CGTCCTTCCGTCTAGCTGGGAGGGATCCGTGTGGAAGTCAGGCCGAGTCCGATAAAGGCGAATTTGCATCGTGGCCAACTTCAGCTGTTGGCAAGTGTTAAAATCGGTCGAATACCGTCGGCAAGACAGGTCGAGGCTTACCTCTGTTGATATATTATAGCCGAACAACTTGTTTTCACCTGCACGGGTGTCGACCTTGACCTTGCGGAGTGTTGTTGCGGTGGATTGGGCAAGGCCAGGTTCGCGAGGTCGGCTCGGCATTTTTGGTGTCGTGGATGTCGTGGATGTCGTGGATGTCGTGGATGTCGTGGATGTCGTGGATGTCGTGGATGTCGTGGATGTCGTGGATGTCGTGGATGTCGTGGATGTCGTGGGTGGTGTCGTGGGCTTGGATGGTGTCGTAGGTGGTGTCATGGGCGTGGTAAGTGGTACGGCTTCCTCTGGTAAAGAGTGCCAGAACTCAACGGCGGAAGCACTATCAAAAAGAGACCAAACAAAAGGGTTAACCCCCGTATGTACATTAATCGCCCCCGAGCCCGGTGTTGTGGGTGCCGGATCTCAACCACATCGGTAGAACAAGCCGATTGACCCCGAAGGGTCTGGTCAATCAGAACGCAATCGCTAGGGGGTTACGCCATTGACCTGTCACCTCACGGCAACGCTTGGCTAACATTAGGCCCTTGACAGACCCTTCCCAATGTGGAGGTCCCCAGAACCCGGGTAACACCTGTGTTTGAAGAATACTCGCTGTCCCGTATGATCTCAGCAATGACACTCTTACTTCATGCTTCGCGCTGACGTTGCCAATGTGCGATAACAAGAGACGTCCGGTGTAATCTTCCACGCTACGACGAACGCATTCTGCCGAAGAGGTGATCCAGCCGTGGTCGCGGAAATGTTCCCAGAGCGTTCCTACTTCGTTAGGAATGAAATGATTGCTTCTGAGAAATAAGTTGTCATCCTCCGTGTCCACCGAGCGCTGTTGCCACCACGGAATACTGTACGATTGCTCAATGGGCAGGCACGATCGAGAATCATAAGCGTATAGACTTACATATCAGTTGAGTTATCTTTCGACCTAGTCATCTTTGATGTGGGAGCCCTTGGCGTGCTGGGTATCGAGGCGGTCGGAGTACGGTTGATGTAGTGGGGGGGAGGTGACGCCGCCCCTCCTTATACTATTCAGATACCCCGCACGGAACAAGGCATCGGGTGACGTTTGCAACCAAACAGCTGACCCGACCAGCCGGACAAGCGCACTATCGTCATCAGTCGTCATCGACTTGAACATATTGTGCTCATTGGACGATTTGGGCGATTGACCGGTCAGCTGTACATGTACTTTGCAGGCCCGGATATGAGCCGGTAAACCTTATTCCAAGAAGGCAAAGCGATGCGTCGTTCGTGTGCAGAAAGAGCGTCTCTATCTCCAAGACAGAAAGTAGGCAACTAGGAGAGGCTTCGTTCGCGCCCTTTCTTGATGGGAATTAGAGCGGACAAGGTTTGGAATCTCGCTATAGCCAGCTAGCGCCTATAGCGTGTGAGCCCGGCGCGGGACGTTATGAAAGGTTCAGTGCCCAAGGCAAGCAGAGAGCATGATTTTAAGATGGAAAGACAACACCGCATACGGCGAAAACCTGTTTTCCGTTACCAAGTCTCCAAAACCTGGCTTTTATTGCGCAGATCGCGACGGATCGGCATCGCAAGGCATGTGTATACGTATTTTGCATAGGACGCGCTTGAAACTTCCTCATTTGTCATATTTATTTCGAATTCACCATGAGGACCTTTGAATGCAAATACCTCATTTTTGGCTTACTTCAAAAGGAAATAAGCAAGGTAACTGGAGCCGGTACCAGTGCCATGGACGATCTAAAGGACAACACCACGACACGGCATGCTGTTCCTACACAGAGTCCAGAGATAAAATATTGTCGAGGCTTGCCATTTGACCAATGATAAACATCACCCTTAATCATACAGGTCCACCCCAACCCTACTCATCCACACACCCTCCCCACCGTTCCCACCCTCTCCTCACGCCGGCACCTCTCCCCCGGGTCAGCCCTCCCCACCACCCCCACATTCTCCCTAATCCTTCACCCACTCGAAACCTCATAAAACCCTCTCCTCGCCCTCATAATACTCCCCAACGGCCGATGCGCCTCCAACCCCTGTCACAGCTTAAAGCTCATCCTATCATCGAAATACCTCGCGCGGTTGCTTTGTGTTGGGATGCTAATTGTCGCGATTGCGAGGTAAGGGGAGGAGGTGGGGGGGCCAGGGAATTGATGCGGTCTTCGATTAGTTGTGTGGATTTGTTACGCCAGGGTTCTGCCTTGAGCGTGAGTCCATTTTCATGTCATTGTCAGTGGAGGTGAGGTTTTTGGTCACCACCGGTGTTCGATCAGACCGCATCACATATCGATGAGCTTACTGTCAGTGAAAGCGAGCCTAGAACACTGAAGTCCAGCTAGTCAATGCGCAATCACCGATTGGCTGGGAAGATCTAGAATTGGCCATGGGGTTGCGTGCGACTTGGGAATCGTAATGACCGCGGCGCGGCCGGTGATCATGAGCAAGAACGTCGGTGAGAGCAACTGGCAGGTACCGGCTAAGGGTAACGGTCCAACGGGCCTTCAGCTTCATGGCCAAGGCGAGAGAGTTAACGTCCATGCGCCGTCAAGCGGTCATGATCAGCTACTACTGGTGTGTACCATAGTTTCAGCTCTTTAGGCAATCACATTTTTCTCGTCATCAAACAGCAAGTACAACACATCCTAAACACTCCGGTACGAGTCCTCTCGTCAGGTAAGCGCAAGCGGATTGGGTAGAACGCTGATGTCGATCCTTGGCTTACGTTGGCAGCGATCCTCTTTACGCAAGATTGATGGGATTTCAAATGTCGATCTTCATTGCGAGTTCAAATGTTTTGTTCGTGTACCCTTCGCAATGAATGTAGGATGATGCCCTGTAGCTGGAGCAATCACCGGTATCCCCACCACAAGCAAAGCCAAACACCATACTCCCCTTTACCCAAGCCTAAGCCCAACCCAAACTCTGCGCCAACCCCAACGGCCCCTGAAACTCAGACCCAATTCCCACTCCCATACCAACTCCTTCTTCCCCTCCTTGCCCCCTCGGCCCCTCCCCCCTTTCAAACTCCTCCATCATCCGATGAAACACCTCAACCTCCCTAGCCCTTTCCCGCTCCTCTGCCTCGCTCTCCTCCATGTCCATCTCCATGTCCACATCCACATCCCCCTCCCAACCTCCTTGCATCCTCTGGAGGTTGGGATCGCGATCATTATAACGGGCATAGATCCGATCGTATTCCATCCCATGCAACTCAGGAAACCACGTCGTAAGGTTAAGAGCAGCCAATATCTCCGGCAAAGTCTGTGGAGACACAGCCGTCCCCGTTTCCGGTCCCGACGACCCCACGCTTAAGGCTACTTCCGGGTTATCGTTATTGATAGTCGTGGGTAAGTGAAGGTAAGGTTCGAGCTCTGGGCTATTCCACGCATGGCTCGCATACTGTAAATTCACCCCATGCTTCTTATCCCACGGTGCGATCGACGCAGTACCATTACCCGCGGCCCTACCGGTGGTGGACGCGGATGCAGAAGACCTAGTGGAGGCGGTGGAAGTGGTTGTGTACGCTGAGGCGTTGGATCCGGTGCTGGGTTCTTGACGATGGGTGTACGTGTAGTGACGGTGTGATCTCGGACTGTGGGGAGCTTCACGAGATCTCCATCGTCGGTGCTCGCCCGCGTTGCCATTTCCACCGGTATCACTGCCAGCAGCCGCCTCAGGAAACCTCTGCTGCCACTGCGCAGTCTCCGCAGGTCCTCCACTGCCTCCTGGTCCCGTCCCGCCCTTCTGCGTCTTCTCCGGCGGTCCAGTGCCCTTCCTCTTCTGCTCCGAACTCCCCGATCCAGAACTCTCACTACTCCCCGGCCTCCCCCTCTTCCTCGCCCGAATCGCAACCAGGGCATCCCGAAACCTCTCCACAATCCCCAAAGCCTTCCACGCAATCACATCCCACTCTCCACAATACCTCATTAACCCCGTCGCTCGATCCACGATCGCGAGGATGCTCTCCGCTTCGGCTTCAGGGCAGCGGATGATGCGGACGGAAAGGTCGAAGAGGGTTATGACGGAAGCTGCGAAGAGGACTTGGACGATGTAGAATTGGCGGCGGTGGATGAGGTCGCGGGCATGTTGGTCCCACGCTAACTCGATGTACTTTCGAGCGACGAAGACGCAGCTATGCGCGTACTCCTTCAATTCAGCCCTCTTCCCTCCTTCACCAACATAGCGGAAGAACGCGGGTCGCGTAAGTAACATGATTGCCCAGAACCTCTCGAGCTGGAGCTGACAAACCATCCGCATGGGCATATCCTCCTCCCTGACACCGCCACACCGATGATTAACCGGCCTCAACTCCTCCGGTAACTCAGTCGAGTACTTGCGTATATGCCCCGCAATATCCTTGATAACATCCATCATACTCTCCGTATGCCTCGCCGGATACACTCTCCTCATAATCTCACTAACGACCGTCGCCAACTTTGCCGTATGCAAGATAAACAACGAACGTAAAGGCTCCGGCTCAATCGCGTCTCCATTCGGACTTTCCGGAACGACGGGCCATTCCACATCACAATCCTCATACCGAATCGCGATGGGTCTCCCGAGTGTGGAAGCGATGTATGTCTCCAACGCATACAACGTCCACCAAACCCTCTTCCTCATCTCCGGGTTCGCACCATCAATCCCATCATCCTGTAAACTCTCTGACCCAGCCTTCCGATGTAATCCAAACCCTTGCGCAACCCTAATCGCGATCCCGACAAAAGTCCAACATCCATTCCTCTGTCCCGCGGTAATAAGATAAAGAGCAGCCAGTATACTCGCCTGTACGCAATGAAACTCTCCACTTTCGTAGACCTCATCCATCAATGTCCGAGCCGTCTCGTAGAACAACACAGCCCGCTCCGCAGTCTGCTTCCCCTCCTCTTTAATCCCGTCGGCATCTAATCCGGGCGTGGGATCCTTAAACAAACATCCCAACGCCAATATCAGATTCATATGACAAAACCACACGCGTCCCATACTGTTCGGATCCTTCCACATGTCTTCATACTTCTTCCAGAACCCATCACGACTAAATACTGGCTGCAAATTGTGAACATGCTTGAAGAACGCCTCGACGAGGACGTCGGCGACTTGCCGCGAAGGAAGTTGAGCTTGGAAGGGGATTGGACGACCAGGGAGGCTCACACCGTCCGAGATGACGTTTTGTGCTGTGTCGCGGGTGAAGGAAGAAGGTCCATACCGTCTCTCCACATCCTTACGGACGGAGCCGAGGAATGCTAGGGGTGATGATTCACCGAGGAACCGGGCTTTCCCTTTGGAGTCGAGGACGAGACGGGAGGTGACATTGACCAGATTCTCGACCTCTCCCTCCTTTTGCTGTGTTTCGCGGACGCCTGTTCCTTCTCCTTCTCCTCCCTGTTCTTCCTCACCCTCGGCTTCAGTCCGAGAATGCTCTCGAGTCGCCGCAGGAAAAAACTCCTTCGGTTCGTTCGCCATAGCCGCCCTCGGTCGGGTCTCATCACCCTGTACCTCCGGCACATCAGGCATCTGCTCCTCCTCCGATCTCTCCGTCCTCATGAACCTCTCAAACCGCGTGTCTTGCTGTTGCTGCTGTTGCCCCATCTGCGGAAAGGTCAACTCGAGAGGCAACACACTCCTCCCCCACGGACTCAACCCCGGTATCATTCCTCCTCCCCCACCACCACCGCTTCCTGACTGTCCTCCTTGCTGACCACCACCACCGAAAAACGAACTCGACCTCGCCAAAGGATCAATATCCCCTCCAATGGGCATCATCCCACCCGGTCCAACCAACGGCCTCTGCGGAGGCGCCGGCGCCGATTGCCCTTGTCCTTGCGCCTCAGGCGGTGCCGTCCCATAAAACGGGTGCGGACGTCCACTCGACGTCGGCCTCCCAGCACCACTCCCCGACGCCGAAGACGACATAGTCGCCGACGCACTCGCCGACGCACCCGCCGAAGTCCCAGGCGTAGACACAGGCGACTCAGACGTCGAACCACCACGACCTTGACGAGAGCGTGAGGAACCGGTATATACGCATTCGGCGTTTTGTGATTGGCATTGTACGCAGGGTTGGGAGCCGTCGCACTATGAGCGCGCATACAATCAGCCAATTGGAGAGGAAAAGAGACGAGAGGAGAGGAGAGGATACCTTTGTTTTGCGACGTTTACACCGATCGCAGGCTTCCGCCGTTCGTCGTCGGTGGATCGGATCGACCTTTCGCGGTGGTGGACGGGGAGGTGGGATTGGAGTTGGGAACGACGACATAGCATGAACGAAAACGAACCTTGAGCTCCTCTGATCCGATTGTCCGATTGTCCGTCTGAACCGTCACAAATGTCGGGATATATGCCTTGGAGGGTTCAGGGTACGTCGGGAAACAAGACCAGTATATACCCAACACAGTAGATAAACGCACCGATCCCGGCCGCTGCGGCTGTGACACGCAATCGCAATCGATGTCATATGACCTCAACACGTCTCCAGATCCATGGTCTACCTAACGTACATTACATTACCGAAATGTGTGTAAGTTAACGTTCATGCACCACGTCGTCGTGTCATTCGTTTTCTTGAGCCGCACCCGCACCCGGCCCCCGTTCTATGAAGTGCGTATACGAAGACGACATGGAACTCGAACCCCCTTAAAGTTCCGGCTCCATGGGGTTGCCTCTTACGTATAAGGTGCCATGCTGAGTTTACCTGTGTCTCGGACGACGCAGAAATCGGCCGCGGGGCTACGGTGGGGTTGGGTGATTACGAGATGGATCTACTCGCAAGTCTGCTTTGGTACTTGGATATGCTCAATTACAGCCAAATTCAAACCGGATCGAGAATCGGAGGGTTTTGAACCTTATGGGATCCGGACTGTTTTCGCCTTTGACTTTCGGATCTCACGGAATTCGGGTTCATGTGAAAGTCCCCCGCTCAAGCAACCGCATGACTCTGGAGGTGCCGGTAAGCGATGCGACAATCGCGATTACGACAGCTGAATCGAAATCTTTCCTGTCATGTGCCCGCTCTCCCCCGGTAAGGTTGTCCCAGGCACAAGACAGGCACAAAACACCGACACCGTACCGTACCTCGCGTCCAGCTCACACCACCAACCCCCTAAACAACCAATCCCCGCAGTCACAATGTCAACTCAATCAGCACCGCCATGCCTCTTCTTCGCCAAAGGCGCCTGTAGAAATGGTTCAAGCTGTCGATTCAGCCACGGAGGAGCCAGTCAGGTTGCTCAACCTCCTTCCTTTGGAGCCGTCGGGGGCGGAGGACAAGGACGAGGGCACGGAGGTGTGAGGGAGTGCACGTTCTACAAGAAGGGAGCTTGTCGGAATGGGAGTTCGTGTCAGTTTGCGCACGTCGATGGCCCGGCTGCTGCGACCTCGACTGCGACTGCGATGCCCCCGCCGCCTCCAGCAGCAATGCAGGCAGTCATCCCCGCCACCACCACCGTCGCACCTCCCGCACCCGCACCCGCACCAAAGTCTAGTGCAGAGTTTACATCTGCTGACCTCCGCGACCTCGAAGAATTCGGTATGTCCCCAATAAACCCCAACGCCCACGCCTTCCTCCTCGCCGTCCGCGCCGGGCAAGCACAAGCACAAGCCGCTGAATCCTCGAACCCTACCCCCTCTTCTCACTCGCATTTACACTCAGCATACACCCCTGTACAAGAGTTCAACGAACCCGATTTCGACTTTGACGAAGCAGCCTACGAAGCTTACGGCTCCCACTCTCAAGGGGCGAATGGCTTCTCGGCGGTCGAGGTGGGTATGTTGGCGGAGTACGGAATCCAACCCACAGACCCAGACGCGGCCGAGTTTTTGGATGCGCTTAAGGCTGGGATGGGAGCCAATGATTTGGAGGATGAGTTGAGTGTGGGGTTGGGGGGGATGTCGATGGGTGGCGGTGGTGGAGGTGCGTTTGGTGCAGGAGGAGGAGGAGGAGCGGGAGGAGGAGGGGTGAAGGAGTGTAGTTTTTGGAGGAAGGGGGGGTGTAGGTATGGTCAGAGTTGTCGCTTTGCGCATGTCTGAACCATTAGTACTGCTGGTCATGGTTGAGGAGAGCTTTTTGGATTTGTGCAGGATTTAGCGTTCGGTATACCTTGGTAGCTGTTTTCTTGCACGTGCTGGTCATTACAGTGTCAACTTGTATCGATATCGATATCCCGGGATCACGTGGTGATAAAGTCTTGTCCTTTGTGATATCGCGGGCCGACTTTGTTTTGAAGCAGCTCTCCGTCTACCGGTATGTAGATTCTCAAAACGCTCTGGACCCGCCAGCGCCGTCGTCCGAGAATAAACACGTACCGCGGCCAATCCTGCCAGCTCAGTCTGCGGCGTCAAGAGCCGGGGGAGATCCTGCGAGAGGTAGCTCTTTGTCGCAATTTCCGACGAGGCAGATGCCGACGTGAAGCGAGGTGCAGGTATGTTCATGCGTCCGATGGAATGCTGGCATCTTCGGTCCTAAAAGCGCTGTCCAGAGATCGTGTCACCGAAACCCCAACTCAATTCGCATCAACAAAACTCCCATGAACACTCTTCGCATGCCATCCCCCCAAACACGCACTCCCAATCTCCTCCCATCGCCTCGCATCCAACACAAACAACTCACACCTCTCCTCGCCCCTCTCTCCAACGGCGTTAACCATCGTCAGCACAATCCCATCCTCCTCCTCCTCCGGAGGGAGAATACCTGCCATGTAGGTCGTGGAAACGGCGTCATCGTAAAATTAAAATACTCCCCTGCCCCTCCATCCCCCTCCCCATGCGCCGCCGCAAACCTCTTCCCCAGTCCTCCGCTCCCGACATTCTTTCTTCGACGGGGAGATGTCGGGCTCTTCACGGGGGTCCCATCAAGCACTCGAAAGGTTGAGCGATCAGCCCTTGGATGGTTGACATCAATCGCATGCCTGGGTATACATCGTAGGAATTGTCGACATTTCGATGTCATGAGAGCGAGGTCAGCGCCGTGTAGCCATAGTTCCCACGGTTATTATAACCGTGCTGCCATCGGAAACCTGACCCGCGCACAATTGCAAACGAGACTGAACAACTGCCAGGTTCGTGGACAAAACAATCGCAACGATTTTATTGCTCAAATATATAGCTACCAAAGGAAAGCTACAAGGAAAGCAAAAAGCACGTGCCAGAGCCGGGAATCGAACCCGGGGCGGTACCTTGGGAAGGTACCATGTTACCATTACACCACTCAAGCTAGGAATGTTGTTGAATGTGGAAGTTAGAGGAGTCATTTGTATGAGATAACATGTTCTCATACGAGTAGGCGGTCGGGGATGAGAGGCGATGTTGCTGTGAGCGTTTCCTGGGGATGATATGTTTGATCTGTGCGGCGGGACGTAATAATGACCTCCGATCTGTACTTCCTACCGCTCGATTCGAACTGTAGTCCTGCAGAACAGCCGGGTGAACACTTTTACGTCCCGACACAAAGACCAGGAGAACTCCCTCTTGAACCGAGGTTGGCGTAACACATCAAGTTTCACATGCCTATAACCTTAACAACGAATTAGCATTCGTCCACTTGTAACAACGACGGAAGCAAGAGCACGCCTCGACGACAACAAGAGATTGTTCAGACAAAAGGCAAAACACATTTATCCTCAATACCCGAAGGTTTTGGTACAGGTCTGTGATATGGTAATCATCATATGATCTCTACTCCATCACTCTTCGTCACAGACGGAACGAAAAGCGAGAGAGAAGTCACTGACGTCGATGGATGCTCAGCGAAGGATAGTACTCACCACTTACTATGGTCGTCGTCGTTAGGCGGTATGGTTGGTGTAGAGGAGAAGTGCGATTTTTTTCTGGGTGAATTTGTAGGACGGGCGCGCGTGCCTGGAAAGATTTCGCAGGCTCACGTGCGAGGGGTCCAGTGCTGCGAGGTACCGCCGCCGAGGGAAGCTGGAAAGTCAGCGTCAGATCAAGAAAACAAATCCTCCCTAAAAGACTGACAGCATACACCCCCATGGCCACCGTCGACCCATCAGTGACCTCGGCACAGACCCTCCAGCTCGCAAAGACGGCGAAGAGGGACTACCTCGTCGCCATCGAACAGCGCTACCAGGACCTCTGGCGCCAACAAGCCGTCTTCGAACAAAACCCTCCCTCCCCCGAAGACCTCGCAGCCGCCAACCTCGACGCCTCCTCCGATCCCGACAATGTCCGCGAAGCGTATCCTAAGTGGTTCGGTACCATGGCCTACCCCTACATGAACGGATCCCTCCATCTCGGACATGCGTTCACGTTGACCAAGGTCGAGTTTGCCGCTGGATGGGAGAGAATGCAGGGAAAGCGTGCGTTGTTCCCGCTTGGGTTCCATTGTACTGGTATGCCCATCAAATCCGCCGCCGACAAAATCGCCCGTGAGCTCGAGATGTTCGGTCCCGAATTCAAGCTTCCCGAGGAGACAGATGAGGATCTCGCCAATGGCACCGCTGCGGTGTCTCTGAACTCTCAGCCTTCCGGAAATGCCGACCCCACCAAAATCGTTGCCAAGAAGGGTAAACAAGCAGGAAAAGCCACCGGCCTCAAATACCAATTCCAAATCATGCAACTCGGCGGCGTCCCTACCTCCGAAATCCACAAATTCGCCGACGCCTCATACTGGCTCAAATACTACCCCCCAATCTGCCGCGAAGACTGCGAATCCTTCGGTGCACGTGTCGATTGGCGCCGATCAATGATCACGACCGATGCGAACCCGTATTACGATAGCTTCGTGCAGTGGCAGATGAGGAAGTTGAAGATGTTGCAGAGGATTAAGTTTGGAGAGCGGTATACGATTTATTCTGCGAAGGATGGTCAACCGTGTATGGACCACGACCGTTCGTCCGGAGAGGGCGTCGGACCCCAGGATTACACCGGTATCAAGATCGAAGTGACGCAGTGGTCTCCCGCTGCCGCTGAAGCCCTCAAGTCTTTTGAGAGTGAGTTGGCTGGAAAGAAGGTCTTCATGGTCGCTGCGACACTCCGTCCTGAGACAATGTACGGCCAAAGTAACTGCTTTGTCGGACCTTCCATCACTTACGGTCTCTTCGCCTCCAACAAATCGGACGAGGTCTTCCTCATCACCCGCCGTGCAGCCAACAACATGGCCTTCCAAGGCCTCTCCCCCGAACGCGGTGTCGCCACCCAACTCGGTCAAATCAAGGGTGACGTCCTCGTCGGCACCAAAGTCAAGGCGCCGTTGTCGGTGTATGAGGAGGTGTATGTCCTCCCCATGGAGACCGTCTTGGCGACTAAGGGAACGGGTGTCGTTACGTCTGTTCCGTCTGATTCGCCCGATGATTACATGACTTGTCAGGATTTGAGGAAGAAGGCTGAGTATTACAAGATTGACCCCTCCTGGGCTTCCCTCGACGCCGTCCCCATCATCAGGACTCCCACGTACGGAGACTTGACTGCCCCCGAACTTTGCAAGCGTATGAAGATCCAGTCCCCCAAGGACGCCAAGTTGTTGGCCGAGGCAAAGGAAGCTGCGTACAAGGAGGGCTTCTATCAGGGTGTCATGCTCATCGGCAAATACGCCGGTGAAAAAGTCGAAAAAGCTAAACCCCTCGTCCGGAAAGACCTGATCGACGCCTCCCTCGCTTTCGTCTACAACGAACCCGAAGGCCTCGTCATGTCCCGCTCCGGGGACGAATGTGTCGTGGCCCTCTGTGACCAATGGTACATCGACTATGGAGAGTCGACTTGGCGGGCTGTGGCGGAGAGGTGTTTGGGCGGGATGAACACTTTTGCGAAGGAGACGAGGAATGCGTTTGAGGGGGTGTTGGCGTGGTTGAATCAGTGGGCTTGTGCGAGGAGTTATGGATTGGGGACGAAGTTGCCTTGGGACCCGCAGTATTTGGTTGAGTCTTTATCTGATTCTACCATCTACATGTCGTACTATACTATTGCGCACCAGCTTCATTCCTCGATTGATGGAGCGAAGGTTGGGCCTGCGGGTGTCAGGGCGGAGGATTTGAATGATGCGGTGTGGGATTACATCCTCTGCCGTGGAGAGAAGCCTGAGACCTCTGTCCCGATTGAGACTTTGGATAAGTTGAGGGCGGAGTTCGAGTACTTTTACCCGCTTGACGTTCGTGTTTCGGGTAAGGACTTGATTCCTAACCACTTGACTATGTGGATCTACAACCATGTCGCTATCTTCCCCGAGCGATTCTGGCCAAAGGGTGTTCGTGCTAACGGACACTTGTTGCTCAACGGTGAGAAGATGTCCAAGTCGACTGGAAACTCCCTCACCATGCGTGAAGCCGTCGGCAAGTTCGGTGCGGATGCTACGCGTATTGCGTTGGCTGATGCTGGTGACGCGATCGAGGACGCAAACTTCGAGGAAGCGACGGCAAATGCTGCCGTTTTGAGGTTGCACACCCTTGCGGAGTGGTGTGTCGAGATGACGAAGGACACGACACTCCGTACTGGCCCCAAGGATTCGTTGTTCGACCGCGTCTTCGAGAACGAGTTAAATGCGTTGATTGAGGTCACGAAGGAGCAGTATGATGCTGCGTATTATAAGAACGCGCTCAAGTGGGGCTTCTACGAGTTGCAGTCTCTTCGTGATTGGTACCGCGAGGTCGTTGCAGAGAAGGGTATGCACAAGGATTTGGTTATGCGTTTCATTGAGGTTCAGGCTTTGTTGATTACCCCCGTCGCGCCCCATTTCGCCGACTTTGTCTGGATGGAGATTTTGGAGAACAAGACTACTGTCCAGAACGCGCTCTACCCCAAGGTCTCGGCGCCGGTCGACAAGACCCTTTCCGCGACTCTCGAGTACATTCGTGGACTTACTTCCTCAATTCACTCCGCTGAAGGCCAACAACTCAAGAAGCAAAAGAAGGGTAAGCAAAACCTCGCTTTCGACCCTAAGAAGCCCAAGAAGTTGTCTATCTTCGTCGCAGCCGCATACCCCGCCTGGCAACAAAAGTACGTCGACCTCGTCGGCGAGCACTACGACTCCGCCACCAACACCATCGACGACAAAGCCCTCCTCCCCAAGGTCTCCAAGATGGGCGAGGTCAAGAAGGCTATGGCCTTCGTCCAGATCATCAAGCAGAAGCTCCAGACGCGTGGAAATGTTTCTGCTGAGGATATCTTGAGTCGCAAGCAGTTGTTCTCTGAGGGTGAAGTTCTTTCCAGTATCCTTGGGTTCTTGGAGAAGAGTGTTGGTGCGAAGGAGGTCGAGGTCGTTGTTGTGCATGAGACGGAGGATGGAGGTGTCAAGGGTGTCAAGGGCGCGGAGGAGGTTGAGGTTCCTGTGCAGGCGTTGAGTGCTGTGCCTCAGGAGCCTTCGTTCGTGTTTGTCAATGTTGAGGCCTAAAATGGGTGGTCAGTACACTGTGTACTTTAGAAGAAAAAAGGAAAGATGGGTAGTGTGTGAGATGTTCTTTTTGCTATAGTAGAGCGAGAGCGAATAACATGCAATTGAGCGTTATCTTGTTTTGCCAGTCCCTTTTTCGAGAAAACAATGATCATGCCACAAGCGCTCCTCCCCATCCTGATGTTCGTTGAGGTAGATGTAACGGCGTAGGACGACGGATATCTTGACTCGATCGATACGCCATCATCCCTCCCACCGCCCCAGGCCTAACATCCTTTCGCGCGGCGCTCTCGTTCGCACGCTTCGATCCACCCGCCGGTGATCTCGTTCTTGCACTCATACTCGTACTCGCACTCGTGTGTGTTGGTGTCGATGTAGCCGATGTCAACCTCTCCGACAGTTCTGCGCCGACCCAGCCGTCTTCGTAGCTCGAGAAATTGACAGAGGTGTAATCTCGACATGCCACCAAAACCCCAAGTATCCCCTTCCACACATCCTCGAGTACCCTGTCTGACGTCGCCGTTGCGCGAAGGGAACTCGGTACCAATAAATCTTGGATCGTCAATAACGCTATCGTGGGATCGCGTCCGGTGAGGATTGCGGACAGCCATGGTGGGGTGAGGACGCCCAGAGACGGGAGAGTTGTGGTTGTGTGGAACGCGAGAAGACGGTGAGGCAAAGCAGCCGCTGTACGGCGTGTGGATCTGGAGTTCGTGAAGTGGTGCGCTGCGGATAAGCGGTCGTGGAAGCGATCTATGCATCAAGTACGGGTAAGTGTAAGTGTCAAACAGCAATGGTGCGTACTTGGCGCATACCATATGGACATGCAGGTTCCGTAGCTCTTATACATTCTCGACCGAGGACGAGTGTACAGCCTTCTGCGTCCTCGTACTCTGTCTTGACGGAGAAAGAGGTGGAGGGTCGTGGTGCGGTAGGTGAGGAGGGGAGGTCAATGGAGGATGACTTCGTCCGGGTGAATAGTGTCAGGAATGGCATGTTTGTAAGCGTTTGATGCTGTTCTAGTGTTTTGCTTGCTCGATGGAGGCACGGCGATGACCGCTATGATATACACCCATCACCTCCACGGTTACACCCCTTTCCCCAGATCACCGGTCCTTGATAGCGAGCATCTGAAATCGCATGGATGTCGTAATTGACCGGGAATCAAGCCTATCGCACAAGATTTCACCTTAACATGAAGCTTGACCCCTCGCTGTGATACGTCCTCAAGGCCGCGCCCATCGCACGGCCCGAACGGTCCGAAAGGACACGTATGTGGGGAAACCCGAGGCCTAGGTTTGAGTTTGCGACAAAACCCGAGAAATGTACCGCCATTGGGAAGTGATGGACATTAGAGTTTGTTAAAGTTTAAGGTTGCACCAATGGAGAGAACTCTGCTGTCAGAACCACAGTTGGTGAGTGCAATGAAGAGGAAGAGGGGGGTTACCTCGCACCCCGCACTTCATTTCCCACACCCCAGGCGAAAGTACCCGACATCTCCACCCCTTCAATTGCAAGTTCCCACCACCTCCCAATGCCCGACTCCAAGAAGATCTACAAAATCGCTCTTCTCCCCGGCGACGGGATCGGTCCCGAAGTCATCGACGCCGGTGTGTCGTGCCTCAGGGCCCTAACCTCCCTTCCCTCCTCCGCCTTTACGCTCGATTTCACGGACTTGGATTGGTCATCTGCGCAATACAAGAAGACTGGGGAATTCATGCCTAAAGATGGTATCGAGACCCTCAAAAGTTTCGACGCGATTTATTTTGGGAGTGTAGGGGATAAGGACGTAGAGGACCACATCTCACTCTGGGGCCTAATCCTGCCGATTCGGAAGGAGATGCAACAATGGGTCAATGTCCGTCCGGTCCGGATTTTGCCTGGGACGAGAAGTCCGTTGGCGGGGGTGGAGGAGATCGATTGGGTTATCGTGAGGGAGAATTCAGAGGGGGAATATGCCGGACAAGGCGGTATCACGCATCCGAATTCATCGCTTGAAGTCGGGACTGAAGTCGCGATTTTCACGCGTGGGGGGATTGAGCGACTCATGCATTTCGCATTCAAAACTGCTGCTGCCCGGGATGGACGCCTAACCCTCGTGACGAAATCGAATGCGATGAGGTATGGGATGGTACTCTGGGATCGTATCGCCTACGAAGTCGCGAAAGAATACCCGGATGTTACCATGGACAAGATGTTGGTGGACGCGATGACGGTTAGGATGGTCAACGCGCCGGACTCGCTCTCTACGATCGTTGCCACCAACCTCCATGCGGATATTTTGTCGGATCTTGCGGCGGCGCTGGCGGGGTCGATTGGGATTGCGCCGAGTTCGAATTTGAATCCGGAGAGGAGGTGGCCGAGTATGTTTGAGCCGATTCATGGGAGTGCGTTTGATCTTGTGGGGAAGGATGCGGCGAACCCGGTAGGAGCGATTTGGAGTGCGGCGGAGATGTTGGGGTTTTTGGGTGAGGAAGAGGCGAAGAAGAAGGTCATGGAGGCTGTTGAGAGGGTCGGCGATAAGGGGATCAAGACGAGGGATCTGGGCGGGGAGAGCAAGTGCAGTGAGGTTGTTGCTGCGATTGTGGAGGAGATTCAGAGGGCGGGATAGCCCTAAGTTCTTCAACCAGTATTGTTATGTCGTGCCTGTGCCTGTGCCTGTGCCTGTGCCTGTGACTTTTGGGTGTGCACAGTACTCCAAGGAGAGGCAGACAACATCACCACCACAACATGCTGAGATCAAGAGCATGCACCCTCCTAAGACGGCCACTGTGCCACGTCAGACACTCCTCGACCGGACAAACATGGACGGCGCCAACCTCAATCCTCCCCGCCGGATCCCCCATGAAAGGCCTCAACTTTGTCGCCGGTGCCCAAGACCCCGTCGCACTCCCCGAATCAGAATACCCCGCCTGGCTCTGGTCCATCGCCACTCCCTCCACAGACCCCAAATCTCTAGCCAAGTCCGCGAAAAAGGCAAAGGTGAGGGAGAATAATCAGATTGCAGGTGAGGCTGCGCGGGCGAAGAGGGAGGAGGATGAGAAGATGAAGTGGAGGAATAAGGAGGAGATTAGGAAGAGGAATAGGGAGGAGATTAAGAATGCTAACTTCTTGAGTAAGCGTTAAGTGGGGTTAGGGATTGGCAATTGGGGGATAAGACGAATTGTTTGCATCAAGCACGAACAGAGGTAGAGTGGGGAACAAGCCAATTACGCATTATCCATGCAAATGTCCCATCTATGTCATATATCGTACCATCCCGCGTCTACACCTCTGCCCGTCTTTCACCTCATCTATCCCTCAAGTTCATGATGCCTCAAAAGCACCCTCCCCCTCCTTAACATCCGGCTTCAAACTCTCAAACACAGCCATACTAATCAAACTCCCCGGAACAGTATACGCCAACCTCGGCGCCAACCCCTTCCAACACATCCCCCACCTCGCCTCCCCCCACAACTGCCTCACAACATCCCACACACCTATCCGCCCTCCTCCCCCCGATCCAGCTTGGGAGGCAAAACTAGCATGTGAGGACGTGGAGACTTGGTACCGGGTTTTGACGACGTCGAGGAGGTTGGAGGCTGTACACGCCACCGCGGTCGCAGCGGCGGAACAAGCCCCATAAGACGCAAAAGTGTGTTCCCTCTCACCCTCCCCACCCCCCTTTTCCTCAAACTCGGGATGCTCATGCCCCGGTTCTGGGGTTCCCACCGGTGCCGCCGATCGTCGATACCGCTTCTTGAAATTCTCGTACGACACCCAATACAACGCGTTTTGCGGAACAAAAACGACGAGACCGACCCAATACCCCCGAAAAAACGCTTTAAGCCCCTCACGTTCCCACATCCCACGAAGAACCTCCAGCGTACCACCCCCACTCTCCCCAATCTGCATCCGGGCTTTCGCATTCTCCATCGGCGTCCACACGAAACTGCTCACCACCTCCGCCGCGGTCCCACTCATCAAATACGTCGCACTTCCGTCTCCCCAGCCTCGGTTTTCTAGTTGGGTTTTTGCTTCGCGGTAGGTGGAGAGGTAGAGGGAGAGGGCGGGGACGGAGATGAGGGTTATTGGGAGGCCGCGGTAGAGGGAGGGAAGGGGGCCGAGGGGGAAGATTGGGAGGGAGGTTTGGGTGCGGATACGGAGGGTGTCGAGGGGGTGCATTATGAGGCGGGAGCAGAGGGCTCCGGCGGAGGAGGCTGCGATTGTGCCGAGGTCCATGGTGGGGGGTGCGGTCTGGTGTTTGTGATTGCAGGTCGTCGACTTTCGAGAGCCCTGAATTCCGAGGGTCGATGTTATATACTGTATGAACTGCCCCCAGATAGTGAACGTAAAAGATATATGGTCTCTTGATTCCCTAAGCGAGCAGACAGAGGATCGCAAGTTTTTGTGACTGGGAACGAAAAAGTAAAGTCGCGGCTGTTAAGCTGCCGGCGGCGTGGAGATTACAGTACAGTCGCAGGCTACCCGTATCATCGATCGTGCGTCACTTCGCCCTCCCTCAATTGGGGTAGCTCTACATGAGTAGGAATAGTTGTTGAGATCCAGCTGGTTTTAGAAATCTCCGCCGACAAAGCCCGTATCGTATGCGCTCCTCCTTCCTCGAGCTCCCCTCGCCTCGAGCTCCACAACGCGTCCCGTTTTTGGGCTTGAGGAGGGAGGAGGGGAGACGTATGCTGAGATGACGGAGGAGAGGTAGAATGGGATTGGTCTTCGGTATAGGGCTTTGGAGAAGGTCCAGGAGTTTTTTGGCTCAGTACTGCTTAACAGCAATGATCGGCTGGGGTATACCTTCCATGCATAAGATAAACTAGAAAAGATGGGCCTAATCCGAGTCCTCGTCAACATTCTCCTCCTCATCCTCACTTTGATGCTCCATCTCCTTCCACGCCTCCATCCACTGCTCAATCCTCTCCACATTTCCCTGAATATCCTCAGCACTCTCACTTCTCAACTCCACCACAATCTCCCCATCATAAGCCTCCCTCGCTTCATCCAACACAACCTGCATAATCTCCGCCTCATTATTCTCCTGGATTTTCTCCACATTATACCCCCGTCCCTCCAACCGATCCCACAACATCGTGTTATCAGTCCTTAACACAACAACTAAATCAATCCAACTTTTGGGAAAGATATCGCAGGTGTGCCAGTCAAGGATTAGACCGCCTGTGGGGATGAGGGGCTCCAGGTGGTCAAGGAGTTTGTCTTCGTCGACGATGTAGGAGTCCCATTCTGGGGAGTAGGATTCGTAGAGTTTGTGGTCTTTTACGAGGGTGCCGAGGTTTAGGTGGGTTAGGGAGGTTTGGGAGGCGAGGAGTTCGGCGTGGGTTGTTTTGCCGGTTCCCGGGGTTCCTGTGGTCATCATATCAGCATTCCATCCCCCACAGCAAAGACATGCGCCGAGCGGATCGGATGCTCCACTGCTTCAGCGACGATGCGTCGAGCGCCGAGAGCCCAATCCACCGGCAAACGCGACAAAAGACATACCGCAGATGATAATATTGGGTCCGTTTGGTCTCTTTGGCATGTTGAGGACCTATATGACGTTTCTCGTATCACACCGGGAGTTGTCAATTGAACGAGTGGATCGACGAACTAGAGGGAGAGAATTGACGAGGGCTGTGCGGGATACTGCAGTAAAGTAGGAAGCAGAGGTCTTATGCCAATATTAATCGATATAGACGTCGTTAATGCAGCTGTGCACTTTGTCCGCCGTTGGTTATCGGTGTCGACGGGATCGAACAGGTGTAGATGCTGACGTTAAAGACGCAGCGAGAGAGCGAACCTTTCAAAGGAGTATGGCAGCGATGATATGACGCTTTCGTCGAAGATCGATGACGATCGGATTTTCGAGATATCGATAATGTTGCCGAATAGTTTATGTTGCGGCTGCAGGCGTATGTCGGCAGTTACTCGGCACTACAGCTCGAAATTAAGTGGATGTGGGAGGAGGACCGGCACATACAAATTCTAGGATTACGTTCTGATCTGATTCATATTAGCTAAGCTAGGATGTACCCTAGCTTCTCTACCTCCTCCCGGTATGCCCGACCACCGTGGCCAGATTATGCCTTTAACCTTCGCCTCAATGAGTGTCAAGGACACCGGCCCATAGGTGTTACTATCTGTTGAATGAAACTGCTCGTCTCCTTCTAACCATGCGTGTCCAGGTGGGATCTTGACGTATCCACTTGGGTATGGTTTCCGCGTGCTCACGGTGTCACCACCTAGACCGACAATCCGCTTTGTCAAGATCTTTTCTGGGTCAAGAGGTGATCTGTTGGAGAAAATGTCAGTGATCCGATCTGTACTGCACTCATGAAAGGGTAGTACATACCGCAGAACAACCACATCCCCAACTTTAAACAAACTCTCCGGCTTCCCCGCCGGCCAAGCTTTCAGCCCCCTAAAGCCAAGCTTATCGAGGATCACCCAATCTCTCCATAGCAGGTTTGTATCTGGGTTGAATGTTGGGCGCATGGAAATGCCGTCAATTGGACATACCCAGCAGACGTGATCTTGGACGAAAAAGGCGACGGGGACCCAGGATGCGAGGAGGAGGGTCTGGCGAAATATCTGCTTGGACATGGCTGTATTTTGGGCGGTACTGATTGAGCAAGAAGATTCGCAAACCTTGCTTTTAAACGCGGGTAGCCGTATCTCTAGGTATTCGTCTTTGCGAGGATAAACGTAACTCTGTAAACAGTATCGTAAGCGTCTGTTTTCACAGCGTCCGTTCGAAGCAGTTCACACCTGTTTTCAGGAGGCCTACGCGGTTCTCGATACCGTATTGCTCTCGATGCTGACTTAACGACGACGTCGACCGAATGGAGCAGTCGCTGCGGTAACGTTGATTCGGCGTTCACGTGATCTGCATGAGGGCGTCATTGGCGCGTTTAAGGAAACATGAACACCAAAACGACGCAAACTTAAAGATTTGCAAATTGCAATTGAACCGCAGTTGTCCTCTCCTCATTGAATCGGAAGCTTAATTATACCGGTCCTCTTCATCTCATCTTTTTATCACCAGCATTCACTGCGACAACTGGTCTGAATTCTGATCAACAACATGCCCTCTTTGTGGCCCTGGAAGAAGGTGGGTGTGACTGACTTTCTGTGATATTGACCTTCACGTAATCTGACATGTTTGCCCACAGGAGGACGACTACGAGAAAATCCTCTCCGAACTTGCCACAAAAATCCAGAAACACGATACCGCTCTCTCCCTTTACCACTCCCGTCTCCGTCGCTACCGCGCCCTATGGTCATTCTACAGTATCGTCGCATACGTTATCTACGTCGTTCTATTCGTCTTAGTTGTCGGTAAACGGCCGGATGCGAGGGAAGAGTGGGGTGCATGGGCTAAGAAGGCATCGGTGATATTGGTGGGGCCGGGGGTTGTGTATGGTGTTAGGAATGTATTGGGGGTGTACTATTCGAGGCGGATATCGAGTGAAGGTTGGTGACTCTCGCAGGTTTTTCGACTTGTACTGACAAAGCAAGCAGAAACACAATTACTGTCACTTCGATCCCAGCAATCATCCAAAATCGAAGAACTCAAGACGAAGACGAATTTCTACAGTACGCAATCCCTCGTCCAACGATACGAAAACGCGGCGGCCGCAGCGAATGGTACCTCACCAAAGAACTTTATCCCAAAGAAGGGCGCGAAAGGGACCGCCGCCACTCCACTCAAGGAAGCCACCAAGTCAACGGGGAGAGCGAGCCCAGCGAGTGGGGGTCCCGTACCGAGACGAATGGCAACAAAAGAAGGCAAGATACCAACATCCAGCCCACGAACACCAAGTACCCGAGCCGCCTCATTACCAACACCGACACAACTCTCCCCCCACCCCCTTTCCTTCGGCTCCTCCTTCGGGCAATCCACGTCCCACCCACCTGCCGTCCTCACCCCCTCCGCCTCCCAACAACCCCCCTTCGAAATACCCTGGTACGCCCACCTGATGACCCTCCTCATCGGCCCCGACGACCCAGCAGAGCCATCATCACGCTACGCCCTCATCTGCCGTTTCTGTGCCGCGCATAATGGGTTGGCGATGCCGGGGGAGGATGTTAGGGGTTTGAGATGGGGGTGTAGGATGTGTGGGGGGTTGAATGGGCCGGCACCACCGGCGCCTGTGACGGTGGTGGTTGTACCGGGGGTGGGTGAAGGGAAGGGAGGGCAAGGGGAGGGTGAGAAGGAGGAGAAGGGGCATGTGAGGGGGATGAGTGAGGGGAGTGAGTATGTGCCGAGTGAGGGGGAGACGACGGGGAGTCGGGGTGCGAGTCCGAAGATGTGAGTGAATGTGGAGTTGGAGTGTAGGGATGGTCTGGAATGGAAATGACAGATGGCCCTGGATGGCTCACATAACATTGATGAAAGGCATAATAGGTACATGGTTCGATGACGTTACCACGGAAAGATGAGAATAATGTTTTTATTCCCTAATGTAGCCCCCCACCTTCATGATATCGTATTCAGCATCCGTACCAGCTTCATCTCCTCCACCGCCCGCCCAGATCCAACGCATGCTCTATTTTTAGTATACGACCTCACAAGTCAACAACCCCTGCCGTCCATACTTCTTTTCCATCCAATACGTCTGATCAAACGTCCTAACCAACCTCCACGCCTCCTCCTCCGTCTTCACATGAACCAAATAGGTGACCTTCCCACCCTTGAGTCCCCAGAAATCACGCGCCCCCAAGTTACATTCAAATTCCAACCTTTGCAGTTCTTTGGCGATAGACGCCAATGTCCCCTCTGGGAAGCCACGCATGATGACTGAAGTTCCTGATGGGTAAGCCTTCTCCTCGCCGGGAGTGATCTGCGCTTCCATTGTTCGGTCTTCGACGAGGCGGATAGTCGCCTTCCCCTTCGAATACGCATTCGGGATCGCGGTTTCGGGGCAGGATTTGTACCATTCCCGGGCCGCGAGCGCGGATTTGAATTTGATGTAGAATCCACCATTTGACACGAGTTGCCTCGTCACGCGTCGTTGTTTGACCTCAACGATCGAGTCTTTGAGATCTGGTTGGAGGTTGAGGAGATCCCGGGGGAGTGTCTTGGTGTCGAGGGGGAAGATCTTGATACAGGATGCGTCGGGGTTGTAGTTTTCGGGTAGCCTGCTGTCGGCGAGGGAGTGGGTGTTTGGTGAGACTCTGCCGTCGACTGAATGAGGTCCCCTGACGCGGTTTCTGTTGTTCGTGAAGTGTTCGGGGCGGCGGGAGAGGTTGATGTCTTCGTAAACACCGGTGTTCTTGAGGATGTTGACACGCGGGATCGCGGGGCCGCGTATTTGTGTGGACATGTGCCTCACGGCGGAGGATGTTGACATTGATCGAGGCCAGCTGCGAATACTCTCGACGACGACTGGCTATAGAGTTGCTATAGAGTTGAGGTCCGCCGTACTTTTTGGGATCGGTGGCTCAGCGTGGCTCACCAGGGGGGGGGGTCCCGTATCACACACGAGCTCCCTCAGCGTCCCCGAGCGCGAGTTTCGCACGATACAGACCCCCTCGAGATCACAACCAAACCATGGCAGCCAGAAATATCGCCGACTTCATCCATTTCCCCGCAGCACATCGGGGACACCGGGCCTCCTTACCACCGGACGAGAGCCTCGTACTGATCACCCAGACCCTCGCGACGCCAGCCGAGTTCATGTTACATCACTTCATCCATACCGCACTCCTCAACGCTCGCTCCGTCGTCTTTATTTCATTCATGAATAACTACCACCACCACGCCTCCAGCCTCCGTAAATGGGTGTGTTGCGCCGTCCGTATCCCCAATATGTGACTGCAGGTGACTGATATTCGGATACTAGGGCCTCGATCTCACCACACACAAACAAAACGGTACATTCACCTTCATCGACGGATTCTCGGACATCCTACTCCCACCTCCGTCCAACACTACCCCCAAACCCGGCGCAGACCCACGTCTATACTTCCCTGACCCGCGAACCGGCGGTGGCGGCGGTGGCATAAGCTCCTTCGCACCACCAATAACGACAGCCTTGAAGGGCATGAACGACGACCCTGTATTAATCATCGAGGGTCTCGAGACCGTTAGTGCGCTTGGATTGGGGGATGCGAATGAAGTCCTCGATCTGGTTACTTTCCTCCAGAAGGCATGCCATGATCACAAACCCCCCAGGCCCCGCAACAGTGACTAACACAAGCCCTTAGTTCTGCTCAACAACCCTCCTATCCCTCCCCATCGACCCCCCCCTCCCTCCGCCCCCTCCCTGCCCCCCACCACCACCACCCCACCACCCCCCCTCGAACGCGCCCACGCCCTCCTCCTCACATCCCTCGCCGCCCGCGCATTCCGCATCATCAACGTCGAGCCACTCTCCACCGGCCGAGCGAAGGATGTAACGGGGGTATTGAGGATGGTCAGGGGTGGTGCGTCTTACATTGGAGAAGAGGGGGAGGGGAAGGGGGAGGAGGAGGGGAGGGGGGAGTGGTTGTTTAGTGGGATGAGGGTTTTTGCGAGGGGGCATGGGGTGTGAAGATATAGGACGGGTTGAGTGTGGGTTTTGGGTGGAATGGGAAGTGGCAGCTATACAGCAGGCCTACGTTGTCGAATGAGCTCGGCCTGGCACGGAATAGGGGTACCAGTGCTTATACGGAACCGGGGACGCTGTGGAGGCTATAGTTCACTTCGACGATCCGCCCGCCGGACTTGCACGCACGAACCGAAGGCTGCTGGCACGGAGAATGGGAAGTGTTGACTTGAACTATGCTTCAGCATGCTTTGGACTCAACAGCTTCGAGAAGTCCTTGCTCAAGCACCTTGGATATAGGTCAATTAGCCTTCAACTTGGCGTAACATACCGATCCAAAACCTGCTCTAACAAAACCCGTCCAAAACACATCTCCTTCCTCGCCACATCATTCAACGCCTCCCAAGGCTCCAACCACATAAAACTGTCTTTCCACACCGCAGCCCACCACACCGACGCACTCCACGCCATAAAGAGCGCATACACACACACCAGCCCGATCGTAACCCACTCCACTTCGTTCATTCCGTCCCTCGTGAATGGTTTTCGTAGGCCCCGGGTCAGGGAGATGATGATTGTGCCCCAAGGGTTGAGAAGTGTGAATCCGGTCCAAGCGCGTATGTTCAATAACCAACTCACACTATGCAACCACGGACTCACCATCCCCCTCCCCACATCTCTCCCCGGCATCGGTATCCTCTCATACGGCGCAAACGCATAGAACAACATCGCGCTCACATTCGACGTATGCGCCCCCACCAAAACATGCGTCCCCCCCAACAACAACACGAGATTGATGGCTTCGAGGAAGGAGAAGGAGAGGAGGTGGTGTATTGCGTTTGTGGTTAGGAGGGTTAGGGGACGGGAGATTGTTGAGGGGAGGATTGAGGTGAGCGTTACGGCTTTGAGGAGGAGGGCGCCTGTTGGGATGGGATGTTAGCGAGAGGTCAGGTAAGGGTTGTGTCGTGGATACCATCGAGACTGTCTGTATCTGATTCCATGGCTGTCATTTGAAAAGAGGAGTTCGGCGGTTACCCGTTCTGTATGTCTATACGGCTTATCGATATCGGCTAAGAAACCCCACAGCAGCCAGGATACGGTAGCAGAGGTTCAAAGTAGAAAACAATATATAGATGCATGACGCCTATAGCTATTCCAAAGGCGTAAAAAAACACAAAGAAAAAGAAATGCAATACCAATCACGAACCGATGTCTAACAAATACAACAAATGCACAACCACAACCACAACCACGCTCGACATATCATATCACACCAACACTAAGCAAATCCGAATCCAACATTTCCTTCACTAATGGCCATCAACAACTGCGTCCTCAACTGCTCATACGACTCATACGCCGGCAAATCAAGCTGATTGAAACACGTATGACTCTGCGGCAATCGCTCAATTGAGGCAAAGTCGCGGTGAATGCTGAATTTCTGGATACCCTGCATACCCTCCAGCTCCTTGAACCCATTAAGCGGGACCTTTGAAGTACCAGTCGAGAACTGAAGCAACTTGGCACGCTCCTCATCGTCGAACGAACGAACCGCACGCCAGAACCACTGTACTTGGGGTGAAGCAGCAGTGTAGTTTTGGTATTCCGTGTTGTTGCGCCAGTCGTCGATGTCGATGTCAGGGAGACCCGAGATGAGCAATTCCAATTCCTTTTCGTTGAAGATCTTGACCAGGTCTGGGGAGATGATATCATGGAAACCCATGATGAAGTTGTCGAGCTGCTCCTTGACACTGGTAATCAATCTGTACTCGACCACAAGCTTAACGTACTCCTGCTTGTTTTCCTCCGTAACTGGAATGTTACGTCCATCCGGCTTGAGATCAATGATCTTCGTCACTCCGTACTCGTCAACCTCCATGGAGAACGTCTCGGCGATGATGTCCGTGATGTCATTCTCGAGGATCCAGCAAAGCGACTTGTAGTAATCAAGATCAAGAGACTCCATATCCTTGAGAGATACCGGGGTGCCAAGCATGCGCTTGTACACAGCACGACTGAAATAACAGTCCAAGAGACGGTTATCGTACAACGCCTTACCAATGATTCGTCCGATGAACTTGAAGAACAACAGGTGCTCCGGGTTAACACCAGACGTCTGGTTGGGGTGGAAGGTAGTGCTGTCGGATGACACCGGCGTGAAGAGCGCATAGTCAGGGTTGAACATCTGTCGAGCAAGCACCTGGAACCACTCACGCGTGACACCTCCGGCGTCTACACCCTCCTCGCCATGGAATCGAATATTGAGCTTGGAATACTTGATCTCATCCGCGGTCTTGAAGTAAAGAGCACGGAAAGAATCATGGAACACCTGATCTCTTCGAACGTTAAGCTGAAGAGGAGCAAATGTATCCCGGGTATTCGGGCGCTCGTGGATCTTGCGCGTAAAGTAGTTGCGCTTGTTGTCGAATTCCAAAGCCTTCGGGTTCCGGACCAGAAGGGAGAAAGAACCGCTCATGAGGTTAGGGTTGTTACGAACCATCTGGTTGAGGATCTTACGGTGCTTGTCCGTGAACGAGAGGAGTAGAGCCTGAGAAGCATTAGTAGGTGCATCCTGGCTAAGATCTTGGGTGACCGCTGCCGCATCCTTGCTTGAGTCCGTGTTCTTGCAGACCACCATCAAAGCCTCGATCAGAGGAAGCAAAACAGTTGCAACGTGCATCATGTCCGCATGCTCGTGAACAGCATCCAAACAAGCACTGAGCTTGTCCCAGAGCTGCGTAAATGCTAGACGCTCATACAGGTCACCGAGAATGTCGATCTTTTCCTGCTTGCTCAAATTGACAGACGCACGGTTACGGTCAAACAAGTAGTCCATGGCCTTGAGAATGCGAAGGAGCTTAGCTTGATCGGAGCTTGCTGGTGAGAACTGGGCCAAAGCCAAACCTTGAACGTCTTCACCGTTCTTAGCAGCCTTGATCTTAACGACCAGGGCGTCCAAATCCGCATGAATAACGTCGCCCAGGTGACGTGCCTGTTTGACCAATTCTCCGGCTATGACATCGCGGCCCTCAGGAAGAGCAGCCAGGTGATGCATTGTCGCCAAAGTGCTCTGGAAAGTGCGACTAGAACACTCGCGTGCAGTAAGAATGTTCACCACCAGACGCATGTTCGTCTCAGGAATTACGGGCGGCTGTAATGACTTTTTCTTAGTCTCCGTAGCAGGCTTTGCGTCACTTGTGGGAGCTTCAGTAACCTTAGATTCGACTTCGGAAACAGCAGATGACTCGGTCGCCTGTGCAGATTCCTTCGAAGCATCAGCGTCCTTCTTAGCTTCTTCCTTAAGCTTTGCCTCCTTCTTCGACAACGCAATCAGAGGACGAGTTGTGGCCGAGAGCAGCTGGGAAAGCGAATCCATGATGCCAGTGTTCTGCAAGAACAGAGGTCGCTCCAGGAGAGACAGCAGCATGTTGATGGGAAACTTAGCGCTCCTGGGGGGCTCCTTGTTCTTACCCTTCTTGTTGGGTTTTCGAAGCCCGCCAAACAACTCATGCTCGTGCAAAAAGAACATCGCCAAGTGTTCGTTCCAGCCCACAATGTGAGACAAAGTTTGTAGACACTGTTGAGCAAGGACCATTGGCGCATTGTCGCCCGCAACCTGCGTCAGAGATCCAAGAGCAGAGCCGAGCTTCGGCTTCGTGGTAGGCTTTGGAGTGTTCGGACCCTTAGCCCGGTAGGAAACCTGGGCAAAACTCTTCTCGACTGCATGCAAGCTACCGCTACCGTCTTGCAGTACGGCAAGGAGGAGGTTCACAATTTCTGCGCGATTCTGCTTGTTTTCGCAAACGTTCAGGAGAATGTCATGCAAGATTGTCTTCTCGCCAACCTGTGGAAGGAACAGGAGACGTACAAGCGTGGCAATTCCAGATTTGTCCAGAAGCTGGATCATATCACGCCGAGGTGCTGGCTTCTTCAATTCTTCCTTCTTTCCAGCTTCACCGCCTTCGGCGGCAGTTCCTCGGCGACCTTGAAGCAGCTGCTCTATGGCACCACCCGGCCGTCCCACATTGAGCGTTCCGCGAGGTCTCATGTTTCCAGCCTCCGCTGCCAAGGCAGGCGGTAACTGCGCGATGAAGTCATCTTCTGCATCAGCCAGAACAGAACGGCGGAGCTCCGGATCCAAAGATGCAAGGAAGGAAGCAGGATCGATCTCCGCAGGACCAGTTGAAGCTTGTGCATCCGGAGCCTGTTGCTCTTCACGCTCACGCTCACGCTCACGCCGGCGCCGGTCGGCAGCTTCTTGCGCCAGTAATTCCTCTCTGATATCGTCAGGCAATGCCTCAAGGAACTCGGGACTGATTTCGCTAGGCTCATCTGGACGAGTGGATGCACGGCGTTCTCGGATATGCTGGGACAGAACCTCTTCCCGCATGTCTTCCGGCAATGCTTCTAAGAACTCGGCATCAACATCGAGCTCTGTGATGTCAACTTCAGCGCCGCGAAGACGGACCGTTGCACGTTGACGACTTGCCGAAGGACCCGCCTCGCCCGATCCTTCCATGCCCTCCATTGGGGTGTCCTGACCGGCAGATTCGGCAACCCTAGCCGCTTCTTCTGCAGCTTTTCGCTCGGCTTCTTCCCTCGCCCGTGCTTCAGCTTCTTCCCTTTCCTTAGCCAATCGAGCCGCCTCTTCCTTCCTACGGGCTTCGTCTTCAGCACGAGCCTTCTCTTGGGCTTTGCGCTCTTCCTCTTTTCGAACACGTTCTTCTTCGACGGCGGCTGGAATAAGCGCATCGGCCAACCTACTAACGAGGCGCTGCAGTCTCTCAGCAACATTGCTGGTTGAACCGTAGATGATGCGAACTTCATCATTCCAACGCACAAAGGTTGCGGTAGGCACAAATCCTGTAGTCGCTGAGGTCGGGTCTTCGCGTGGAGGACGGGAAACATTTGCTCCTGGACGACGACCAAGTATTTGCTCGAGATCGTGAGTCAGGACATTGCCGTTGCTCGTAGCGACTTCGACGCGGATAGCACCCGGGGGTGCATTGCTGAGACGATTGATTGCGTCTCCCAGCATGTGCACAGCACCGCTGCCAATGAGCTCCTCAATCGAGTGGATCCAGTCGGAGAAACTATCAGGACGCGAGGTGTCGCCACCACGACGCGCAGGCTCATGAGGTGCGGTCGCAACGGCAGCTGCTGGGTTAACAAGCAGAGGGTGAGAAGCGCCAGCGTCTTCGCCGTGACGAGGCCGACGGATATCGGGGATACCGCCCAGAGATCCCATGGCAGAAGGGCGCATACCCGGCAGACCGAAAGGGAACATAGTCCCCCGTGGTGGACGAGGCGCCTGCGCTTGACCAGGTTCGTCAGCTGTCGTTTCCCAACCCATGTGCGTTTCTTCAGCTTCTTCATCCGCAAGATCATCGGCGGCCATAATAGCTTCGTCAATGGAGTCCATATCGTCCAGGTCATCATCATCATCATCGTCCCCTTCGGGATCAATGTTGAACGGATTTTGAACATCGCCTTCAGCAGCTTCTTCCGTCTCCCAGGCTGCGTCTTCCTCAGCTTCATCATCATCTTGATCGTCGATGCTCTCGTCATCCATACTGTCGTCCTCATCATCATCTTCATCCTCTTCGTCATCATCACCACCATCCAACTCGATGTCAGACCCGTCGATTTCTCCGAGGATTTCCATCTCCATTTCCTCGTCAGAACCGAGCTCATCATCATCTTCATCCTCGTCATCGTGGTCTTCGTCCTCATCCTCGTCAAGGACAATCTCCACATCGTCACCTCCTTGAAGGTCCTCCATATCCTCGTCACTAAGATCGGAGCCAGTCTCTGAGCCATCATGATCAAATTCCATCTCTTCGTACATCTCCGCGTCTTCGTCATCAAACTCATTTTCACTGTCACCCTCACTGTTGTCTTCTTCCATATTACCGTCGAACATGCCAAGCGCTGAGTTGCGATAAAGATCAGGTGTCTCCTCACGATCAGAAGATTCGTCGTCCTCATCCGACAAAGAAGCCTCAGTCGAGATCTCATCCTCGTCCCCGGTGGGCTTTTCTTGAAGATCACCAAGTTCGGCAGATTCGCTTAGCCTGATTGCAGTCTTCGAAAGTGTTTTTAAAGGGCGAAGAACCTGTCTGATCACCTTCCGTGCAAGCGGGTAGTTTAAGTCGACCTCGGCTAAAGCATTGGTTAACGTCGAGACGAAATTCTTCTCAAACATAAGCTTGGCTAACTTGTCATGAGTGTCATTGAACAGGCCCTGGTTGGTTGTTCCCTGGTTTGCTTGGGCAACAAGAAGACGATAACAAAGATCTGCCAGAGTCATCAACCGGGAGTATCGGTACTCCATGGGCTCAGTAGACGCTGTAATATCCTTGAAGGTCTTCAGGATTCCCTCCAATACGAACTTGCGCACAAATTGTAAATCGGCCTCGTTGTCCCTTCCCAGATCTTCTCCCGTAGCGGCACACAAGGCGACAACAACGGACATAGCCCAGTTGGACGTCGAGTACCTCATCCTGCTCTGATTGTCTTCGGGAACATTGACAAAACCATGTGGAATCAATTCATAGAGAAGGTGGTTCAGGACTGTGGAACGAGGCTTGACGGCTGGTGTCATAGCCTCGCGAGGGTTAGCACGGCGGGAAAACTTGACAAACTCCAGCTTACACCTGGTGTAGCATGATAGAAGTTCAGAAAGAGATTGCAGAATGAAGCAACGATAAATATAGCCAGGATGATCTTCGGCCTTGAAATCCGGACGCTTTCCGTCCTCGACGTATTCGCTTTCGACAGTATTCTGCATGTTGACATCCTTATTTCCGTCAGATGACTGTGCAGGCACGCCGCTGTCCCGACGTTCATCCTTGCATGAGAGCAACTCGGTCAGCAAGAAATGTATCACGCCATCTTGGCGCTCAAAGGACGAACGCTTTGGAGTTTCTTCAACTGCAAGCGCTTTGGTAGCGTTCAAAATTGGTTTCTCCTCAGCCGACATGGTAGATGTCGCTTCATCATCCTTGGGCTTGTCCTTGAGGACAATGCCTTGTGTGCGCGCATTAGGATCGTATCGTGAAATCTTGCACATTTCTTGGGTCGCCTCGATGAACAGCGCAGAATCACGCAGCGCAAGCTGGCTCAAACCACGAAGATATGTGGAAGCGTCAACGGCGCGGCCTCCCGCACGAGGCTGATCGAAGAAGGTCTGAATTTCGCTACGCATGATCGCCTTCAGAGTTTCTCTATCCTCGATAACATGGCGAAGAATAGAAATTATCGGAATCTGGATGCTATCGTCGTATTTACCGACAGTCTTACGAAGGTTTGCGAACAGCAAAGCAAGCCCTCCACGGTCTACGAACATGGAAGCATACTCGCGGTTGCGGGTTAACCTAAGCAACACTCGCAAGACTGCCAAAGTGAGGTTCTTTTCGGTTGGCTCCGACGTCAAAACAGCCAGAGCAGAGTCGAAGAATGACTTTCGCGCCTCCACAGAGAGGGTATGCGTCCCAGAAGAGGAAGTATCCTGAAGGCTACCATCTTCAGTTGACGAAACCTTCGTAGCCTCATCAACATCTGTGATAACAGTCTCCATGATCAGGAAGATATGAGGCAACCAGGGCGCTGGCTTACCATCCTCCACTTTCGCAAGTTCCATCAATACAGGGGTTAGCTGTGGTAGAAGAGAATTACACTTCTCGTAGAGATGGCCGTCGTGAAGGAGGTAGTTCAAGAGGTGAGCAATAGTTGTCAAGCCCTTAGCATTGTCCTCGCTGTCAAATCGCGACTCGCTGAGGCTGTCAAGGCTTAGGATCACGGTCAACACTGCATCCTTCTTCCATCCATCCTGCTTCCAATCAACAGGAGCATTGATGACCAACTGCGCGACGTCATAAGTGGCATCGTTGTGAACGCGGATCACCTCCAAAGCTCGATCAATCAGAGATGTTCTGATATCGTTGCGCAATTCGTTGAGTTGTTCAAGTATAGACGCTTGACTCGGCTTGTCTTCGTCTACTTGCATGGATGTATCACCTTCACCCGTGGTAGCGGGAACTGCGGCACCAGTACCCGCGGCGTCGGTGGCTGGCGCCGCTTGCGGAGCTGGTTCAGCCTGAGCTGGCGTTTGCTCCGGCATTTGCTGGAGTTCAGGATGCGACAGCAGATACTGCGTCGCAATCGTGATGTTGTTGGCAGCATGCTGCAAAGCATGCCGAGCTGCACCCCGACTGAAACCCATGCCCGTGAGGACGCCAACGCGGTCAGTCTCACTTGCATTGGGTGCTGTAAGCGCTGCAATTCCACGCCCGATCAAGGAGAACGGATCCCTGGTGCTGACCTCCGGTCTGGTGGCCGCAACTTCAGCGTCGCCTTTCAAGGAAGCTGCCATGATTTGTGCAACAGACTTGACAATAGATGACGACAACTTCAGGAGTGTTGGAGACTCCCAAATCTTGTGAGCAGCTGGCAACACTTCGCGGCGCAATTGAACAAGGAACTCATTTGCTTGGTAAAAGTCGGGCGTGTTCCTATCCCTTTCCTTCGAAGCCATGCCGGTCGACTGGGCCGCGTCAACGAGGATCTTAGGCGTAGTGATCTGGTGAAAGAACTTGAGAACGATCTTGATACCACCAAACACATACGCCATTTTCGAATGACCGTCTTTCTCAATCTCCTGATCTGTGACAAAGGGCAACGTCGCGGCCTCCTGCATCAAGGAGTCGAGGATCCTGCTCAACACCTTCATTCCATCCTGCTTATAGAAAGAGTACAGTACAGTAATCTGCAAGACGGGAGTCGATCGATCATCCATGAGGACCTGCATTAGAAAATGCAACATCACGATACAAAAGCCATACTTGTTGTTTGCATTATCCGATTCCGCCGCTCGCTCCCAGCTCAGATTTTCAATCATGACACGCGCCATACGACCAGATACCTTCAAAGCCTGCTTCCTGTGGTTAGCATCGGGTTGACGTCTCGTGAAAAGCATCTTCGAAAGTCCTTGAAAAAATGGCGTAATTGAGGCTGGGATTTGTGATACCAAGAAGCGGAATGTCTTCACATTCTTGAACTTGGGGTCATCCTTGTCAACTCCGGCTTCCAATCCTTTCTGCTTCTCCTCGTTCTCCTTCGACTTGGGCGTATCGTCGTCCTTCACCCTAGAGGCCTCATTCCACTCCTTCGACAACGGCGCAGTCAACAGAATCTCCTCCCAGATACACATCCTCTGTAACTGTCCCAGGGATGCGATGAGGTCCTTGTTTTGCTCATCCGTGGCAAATGGCAAGAAAAAAGGCAACGTACTTCTGCCATGCGAAAAGATGGGAGTGGCATAAATCTCTGCCAGAAGGGTCGTCATGTTATGCGCACGAACCAACGTCCTCAAGGCATAAGTCCCGGCAGAAACAACCTCCTCGTCGGTCTGCTGCACATCCAGGAAATGCTCGAAGATACTCTCGTTTGTAGCAGGCATAAGTTCATTTGCCTTGTTGACATACACGTAAAGGCCTTGGAGGATGGCAGCTAGGACGGTGGTTGCGTTCACTTCACTCAGCAACCTGAGAATGTGACTCAACGAGTACGCACCCGGACTTTGCGCAAAGTTATACGGCAAAGCAGGGAGAGTATAGAGTGCGAGTAAGGTGTTCGGTCCATCCAACTCGATGAAACGCTTGCAGTGCCCCTGGTTCTGAAACAGACCCTCCAAGAACCTTGCCCAGAAATCAATGAACATCTCGATCATAGGCCTGTCTTCCTCCTCGTCCTTCTTCTTGTCCACGGTAGTCGCAGCCTTATCATCCCTTGTGTCCGTCATCTCCACATCACCTGACGTAGACGCAACTTCCGCGGCAGCGGAGCGAGCGTGGAGTTTTGCCTCAATAGTACCGCTGATGGCAGGATTGCCGCTCTCCTGGCCCATCTCGATCATACCCTTGAGGACCGTCACAACACCAGTCATTACCTCCTCCTTCAACACGGGATGGTGCCTAACGAGCTCATCCACGCTTGTTCCGAGAATTCCGCTCACATCCGTGTGTGTAAGCAGTTTGACATGTTCAGTCATCAAGAAAACCTCGAAGAACTTAGTGAGAGGGCTGTACTGCTTGAAGAGCTCGGCACCCTGAGAGTTGAGGCATATGGCTCCGAATGCATTAGGCAAACTAGCCATCACGTCCGCACTTGGCAGAATGTTGTTGCTGACAGCCTCCAGAAAGGCATGCGAAAGCTTCGCTTCGTGAATGATGGGGTACGAAGTCGGCTCATTATGGATGAAGGTTGCCAAGATATTGACGGCAACAGCAAACACCGAACTGCCGAACACAGCCTCGTTTCCGAATATGACACTCAACGACTTCAACAAACTCGAATCGATCAAGTTGCGCAACCCATCCTGGTTACCCGAGGTCTGCATCATATGCAACACGAACTTAAGCATACACTTCAACAACGCAAAGTTCTCCACGCTCATCGCATAATCCATGGTACCCGACTTCTGCCCCTCCCATTGCGGTGCCTTCTCCACCGCTGTGTTGACCTCACTCTGGATGCGATCAACAAGGATGTTAAGTCCATTGCATCCACAGAAGCTCGTGAACGCAGGCTGGAAGCCATAGACGAGATGATCCAACAAACCCACACCCTTGGTCACTGCTCTCGTTGTAGCCGCGGGCTCAAGCTTCATGAACTGAACCAGCAAGGGCAAGATACCGGCACTGCACAACATCAAACCTGCCTGCTGCGTCGAGCTCAGGTAGTGCAACAAGCCGAACAACGCATCCATATACGCCCTAACCTCTTTGTCTGCGGCGCGCTCCTCAAGATCATGGATTGCCCGGCGGATGATATACAACAGAACACCATGGTTCACCGATGCATTCAAACTGCTCAAAACATCACCAAGCTTGGGACGATGGTGAGCAATCGCTTCCAATGCGTAGAAAACGGATGTCTGAACAACCCTGTCCACCTTCCTGTCAGGGTGTACCAACTCCGCCAATTGCTGGACAATTTCCGGTTCAGTCACCAAGAACCTGGACGTGAACACGTTTTCCTGTGCAACATACGTGAAACAGGCGATAGCCAAGACGCGGCACTGGAACAGTGTCAAACGAGTGGGCACGTCGTTGATGGACGCCACCAACCGCGTTTTCAGGAGAAGCGCGAAATGTGACTTCTCGCTCAGCTTGTTCTGAGAAATGATGTCCTGGACGACATCAACCACAGGCTTAGACGTCAACACATCCGGTCCAAGCTCGATGGTGGTCATACCCTCCTGCAAACCATTCTCAGCCTCCTTCTCCTTCTCCGGTGACTCCTTCTCCTTCTTCTCACTCTGCGGCACAGGCGGTTGAGGACGCGGCGCGGTCCTGGAAGCAGGTGTGGGCGTAGTCGGCGGCAGATGACTGTGAACTTCCCTCGCACTTGGTCTCCTAGCCAACGCGGGCGTAACTCCCTCATGCTTCTCGCGCTCCGCTTGCTCCCTCTCGGCAACTTCACGAGCCTCGTCGCCCTCCAAATGCCTGTGCCAACTCCAAGTCAAACTCTGGTACTCCTTACCAACGGGTTCTGGCGATGTAAGTTTGAGGAAATCGAGGCGGTGGCCGGTACGGGACGTGGGGTGCATCAATGCGATTTCGAGGAGGCGGTCGGCGGAGATGGGAAGAGCAGGGCGGGAGGAGCGGGTACTGGCGCGCTGTGCAAGGCGGAGAGAAAGGTTGAGGGTCGCAAGTAGAATTTCAGGCGATGTCGTGTGCAACAAGTCGTTCAATTGGGCGCCGGAAGAGTAAAGCGTACGATTCGAACACCAGTCCATCAACATCGTGCTGACCCTCAACATCTCCCTCACAAGCTTTTCCGTATCACCGTCAAACTCCTTCGTCTGAATTCCCTTTTTCAACCCCCATTCCGTAACAATCCTCTCCAGAATCTCATCGAATCGGTCCAGAACGGGAATCCAATTGTAGACATCACCCCTTGGGAACGTCCACTCCTGGAGCGTCGCCAGATGTTCCGCGAGCTCCGGTTCTGGACATGAAGACGCCTTTTGGATATAATCATTCAGAAATGCTGGCGGTGTAGCTAGACGGCGTGGTGCCGTCTTCTTGATTTTGGTCATTGCAGGACCTTAAGCCGGTAACGGCGGGGTCGGTTATAAGTCGGAGAGAACTCTGCTGAGAAGGTTCCCTTTGGTCGAAAAGAATTGCTTATTGGAAGAAACCTCAGCTGTCGTCTTACCGATATGTACTGGGAATTGCTGAAACGGCTGGGGTCGTTTTGGTTGTTGGTCTTGTACGTATAATGAAGGCTGCATGCAGCTTGACTGCCGTACGCTGACGAAACACCCACGAGATGTCATAGGCTGGAGAAGGGTTCAAAACGTCTGATTCCGAGTTTAAATGCTAAATAAAAACTGCCCGGAACTTATCCTGCACAGGTCTTTCCCAACGTCATTTAAGGTTGCCGGGCCCTGAAGGTGCCCTTGCTGGAACCTGTCTCTCCACGTACGTCGTAAGAGGCCCCAAGACAAACAGGTCATCGACCATCTTCTCCATCAACCATGTCTGAGCAAGATTTCGCTGATCAAGCATTCACCTCGGAAGAACGTCCTGGCTTAGCTTCGCCTGTGAATGTGCCGGATGAGCCGGAAGTTAAGGAAAGCGTGGAGCACCAGTTGGAGACGCATGAAGTTGAGGTTTGTTTGCTTCATCATGACCTCTCAAAGGATCATATGCTGACTGCATAGAAACAGCATGACGCAGCAGAGTTCCTAGATGCAAATCGACAAAGCCCAGAAGCTGAACGTGAAGCCAGAGAGCTCGCAGAGGAAGCCTTGGCAGCGATAGAGCATTCCAAGGCAGCATTATCGGAGCTGCATGCAGCCGCAAATGACCACGAGAACAACGGTGAAAGACCAGAGGAGAAAGGTGAAAGTGCGATGAAGGAGGACGGTGAACACGCCGAGGCTCAGCAGCAACACGCAACAGATCACATGCAAACACTAGACGCACAGTCACCATCAGAGGAGATTGACCGCTTTCATACACCAGTAGGCGCGCAACCTACCCCATCAGAAGAGAAGCCAGAACCTGAGCCGCTGACGGACGCTATGCACGATATCTCCCTCTCCGACAACGAAGCAACTCATACCCCCACTGCTATGCCGACGTCACCAACAGGACCGCCCCTCCCACCTCGTGACTCACACCCAACAGCTCAACGCATGAAGTCCGACCCGGCACCCCCGACACCCGCTCGTCGCGGCCCCTTTTCCTGGTTGAGATCGGCGTCGACGGGGACCGCATTGGCTGGCAAGAAGAGTCCTCCTGTGTCACCACCGCTGGAGGCTGCTGGAAAGAGGCGCGATACCATGGCTTCGGTCGACTCTGTTTCTACGATCGCTCCAACTGCGGAGTTGCTTCTGCCGCGTGTGCGTCAGCCGCAAGGCGAAGGTGATGCAGATGGTGTCGATGGCCTGGTGAAGGAGTCGCTGAAGGCTAATTTCGACCGCCTTCACAGTCAATCCCAGTCTCAGGTCAGCGAGGACGAGGCGCATACAATTCCCGAAGAATCGGTCGACTGGGATTTCTGGGACGCAGTGATCAACGACTATCCCTCCGTTCAGCGCGACCGCCCACAAGATCTATCAAGGGCCATCCAGAACGGACTACCCTCAATCATCCGCGGTACGATCTGGACCCTACTTGCAAACTCCAAATCACCCTCCCTCGAAGCCCAACACCAGAAGCTTTGCGGACTTCCCGGTCTCGCCGCGAACGAGAAGCAAATTCGCAAGGACCTGTCACGAACATATCCCAAGGCCGACTTCTTCCGCTCAGGCAGCACGAAAGAAGGCCAGGAGCGGTTGTTCTATGTTGTGAAGGCATATTCACTGCATGATCCCGAGGTTGGATATGTGCAAGGCGAGTCATTCATCGCGGGGCCGCTGTTGATGAACCTGCCTGATGAGGAAGCGTTCTCGTTGTTGGTACGGTTGATGCATGACTATGGACTTCGGACACTCTACACGCCCTCTATGCCCGGCCTTCATTCCCTTTTGTACCAGTTCGACAGACTTCTGGAGGTTCACTGCCCCCTGCTTCACGTCCACCTGGCCCGCCAAGGTGTTGAGAGCGGCATGTATGCCTCTCAATGGTTCCTTACTCTCTTCGCTTACAAGTTCCCTCTTCCCATCGTTCTAAGGATCTTCGATGTTATCATTGCAGAAGGCACAGCGGCGTTATTGCGTTTCGCGCTGGCTCTGATGAAGAAGAATGAGGAGAGGTTTTTGAGCATGGAGTTCGATACGCTTGTTGGATTCTTGAAGGAGGGGTTGTTCGATGCGTATAAGGTACAGGAGCAGACGCGTGGGTACATGGCATGGGGAAGCGGTGGTGAGGCAGTGTATCGCGTGAATGAGTTGGTGAATGACGCTTATACCATCAAGATCACCTCAGAGGAATTGGAAAGTTACAAGAAGGACTATGAGGACGCCACTAGTGCCGAACGGAAGCGTGAGGCCGAGGTCGAGGATCTACGAACCGCAAACGCGCAGTTGTCAGCATTGGTCAAGAGACTCGAAACAACTCTATCCAGTCTCAACCGCGAACACATCGAACTCGCCAACGCAATGGTCCAATCCAAAGTCGAAAACGCCCGTCTCACAGAAGAAAACGAAGACCTCCACACCACCGTCTCCGAACTCCGCAACGCACTCTCCACCCAACCCGCCGAGATCGAAGAGAAACTACGGAAGGAGATGGATACGGTCATGCAGAAGAACCTGGACGTGATGAACCAGAACCAGGAGGTTGAGAGTCGGTGTGCGGAGTTGGAAGGGGAGTTGAGTAACGTCAAGGTGCAGTATGCGGAGGTCAGTTCGAAGTATGAGGCATTGAACCGTAGGTGGCAGGAGCTGAGGAGGGCATTGGATGAGGAGCCTGGACGAACGCGATGAGTCCGGATCCTAGGGGGTGGAAGCGAACATAGTATTCCTACTGGCTGGCCCTGTAGAGTAAGAAATTTATACGAGGTATCTCTATCAAAGGTGTTAAATAGGACCTCATGGCACTTGAATCATCGCATGTATCTCCTGTGAACAATGGCTTATCGATGGTGGGCTTATCTGTTCCGGAATCTGGGGTAACGCAGCGACGCCAGTCCCCAAAAGCGTCACACCTACAGCGACCAATGTTGGCCGATGGAGGAGACAGGAGGAGATGAGTACGAGAATGGTGAGACTTGTTCAAGGGCAAAGCAAACCGAACCTAACGAACACGTCACACAGGCTCCATCCTCCTTCGCTTCATCACCAACTGGGCCGAAGTAGCCGACGTCACAGCCAGACCCATCTCCAGGCTCTACTGGTCTCTAGCTCACTTCATCAACACACATACACTCCTTGAACATCTCAACGGCATCCTCCTCGTTCTCCTCACGCACGCATTCTTCAGGACACTGTGTTTTCTCTACCTCCTGACCTTCTTCTACCTCGCGCCGGGACCAGGGGGGTTACCAGAAGTTTTTCCTTGGGCTTTGTGTTTTGCTTCGTGGTTCTATACTTTGGTCGGAGTGAATGCCATCTTTGTTCTCATTCCCGGACTTCGTCTGGAGCGTCCGTGGAAGTCGTTGTGGAAGCTGGTGTGGAAAGCAGTTGTGGACTTTCTCGCCGTAACGAACAGGAATGCTGGATTGGAAGGATTGGAACATGTCAATATCTCCGGTCTGTGGATTACGATGTCCGTCGTATACTCTGTTGGGAATGGGGGGGTACTCTGGGTGCGGGCCATGCTGGAGCCCTCTTTCACAGTATGGGAGCCGTGGGAAGCCCTAGACAAAGTTATGAAAGCGGCTCATAAACCGGGTAAATAAACATAATATTATCCTTACCAATACTTTCGTATTATTGCATACATGCCACCCAATTGTAATGTCCACAAATTCTAACACTTTATCGAATCCCCGATACACCTCCAAACCCCTCCCCCATCGGCAAAACCATCGACCGCACCCCCGAGATCAAACTATCCTTCCTCCCGTTCCTCCCATCCTTACTCGTCTCCTCCCACAGCTCGTAGAACCTGTCATAACTATTAGCCCAAACATAAATCAAAGCCAAGGAGAAAGTCCACACCTTATCGTCTCATCACTCTGCGCAACAACAACCCTCCCCCCACCCGGACTCAAACACGCCCCAAGACACCTCATCTCATAATCAACGGGGACCTCGAACACACACTCCCCACTCGGGTACTCAAAGATCGCGATCCGTGTTCGCTGTGTAGGCGCCGCGTACCCAAATGTCGCACATCTGTGTTAACACATCGCGTCAGCCTTGTCACTTGTGTACGCAAGAACGCTTCAATGCGAGACACACATTTCTTTCCGGGTTCGACTGAAGCAGAGACCGGTTACTTGTGCCTCGACGTTGATCTCACTAATCACGGCACCTGTGAAGGTGTGGAAGAACCTGATCTTTTTGTCATGGCTTCCACCACCCGTCGCGACCAGACTCCTCTTCCACGGACAAAACGCAAGAGCCTTAACGGCCGACCCATGTTCCCATACCCACTTCGGCTCCCTCCCTTGGCTTCCTCGAGACGGCGAGAGCGGCGAAGGCGAAGGCGAAGGCGAAGAAGACGTTGTGAAATCCCAATACGTAACTCGATTATCGTTCCCCCCAACGAGAAGCCGTAACCCATCCTCACTAAACACAACCCCACAAATCTGATCATCATGTGGACCCCTAATAACCTCCCGCAACTCATACCCATGCACCCCCGCCCCCGGATCAAACGTAACCGCATACCAACTCAACTGTCCCTCCGTCCCGCCCACGACCAGATCTTCCATTCCCATCATACCCGGCTGCGACGAGAGTGCGGGACGACAACGCCAGGCTATGGCTCCAATCCCACCCTGCACTCGAAATCGGACGCGTACTCCACCCTCTCCGTTGACGGCACATATACTGATCGTCCCATCATCCCTCGCGATCGCAACAGCATCCAATCCCGTCGCAAACGCCACCGCACAAACCTTCTCCTCCCCCTCCCCCTCCCCCTCCAATTCCATCAATTTGGGTCTCGTCGACTCATGCCACAAATAAACATCCGAGTCAAGACCCACGATGAGGTGTCCGCTCTTCGACCACCCCAGCAATGTACGATAAAAATCATCGCTGAGGCCGGGTGCATCCAATATCCGTACCGGACTCGGGTTCGGAAGACGCGTTGAGATTGAGTGAGGTTTCCGTGGTGATATCCCTGCTCGAACGGCGAGTCTCAACGCACCCATCGTCGACGCCGAAACACGTCTCGGATTCTTCTTCGTTGGTTTGGGTGGTGTGGGCAGTATCGGGGTGAAATTGAGGATACGGGTTGATGGGTTAGTGTTAATCCCCAACGCGGCGGCTAAACGGCCTGAATGCTCCTCTTCGTCGCTCATCGGACTCCCCGGACTTCCCAGTCTCCTCATTCTCACGCTGTCTGCGCTGTTGATGGGACTTCGTGGTAGACTGCCTCCAACGCGTAAGACTCCTGCAGCAGCGGAGCGTGGGATGAACCTATCCGGGGCACTCGAGTTCGTAGAAGCGATCTTCCGGTGATTCTTGTACCGACGAACAGGTGGTGCAGATGACGGTGTTCGAATCGGTGGACGCGAAGCCGCTGGGAGAGATGGTAGACGGGGAAGAGAAGAGGGGGTCCGCGAGCGTTTCGGTGCGGGACGGAGGAACTGGAAGGTCGGACTTGGTGTGCGACGACGAGGGGTCGTCAAGATAGCGATGCCTTCCATATTAATACCTACTGGTGGGTACTGAGTTAGCACGCATCCATGAGATAAATTGCCTTCCACGAACCTTGACTTTTGTATATCTGATCTCCTTCCGAGGATACAAAGTCAACCCTGTTCGAAAGGTATCAGCAGGAAGATTCTGGCTTGTCCAGCTGCAACCGTTCGAACCTTGGAGATAAATGCACGAATCCCGCAATGAAACGCTGTAGTAGCAAATACTGAACCGGGATGAATGCTAAGCACGATGCTGTTCAGAGGCGTAAGTACGCGAAATCAACGCTTACAATGGCCTCCAAGCCTGCACACTACGCGAATGTAGCAGATATCGATATCGCCCTTGAAACGCAGCACAGCTCAAGCTCAAGCCCAAGCACGAAGAAGTAGCAGACAAGCAGAAAAGAAGCTCAAGCAAATGCTCGCGGACAGAGTGGTAGTCGGTGTCTTGGCAGGTGGATGATGAAGGCCTGCTTCCCCCCGTACACCCCGCGTGCCAGAACGCAGGCACCGAGACACCTCGTACCCCACCAACACCGGACGTAAACTCACCACCAACATCGATCGTCATGGTAGGCATGGTAGACCGAACCGACCTACAATCTTGACTAACCATATTTACAGCACGGCGTCAAACGCGTCCATCTATCAGCAGCAGCCCTCGCCAAAAAGAAGGAATCCGAACACCAAAAAATCCAAGACTACACCACCCTCTGCACAGCCCTCTCCACCCTCCGCACCTCCCCTACCCCACACACCCGCGAAGCCCTAGATCTAACAACCAACCTCCTCACCTACAATCCAGAATACTACTCAACCTGGAACTACCGCCGCGAGATCCTCGCCACACTTTTTACAGAATGGAATGACTCGGAGATTGTGAAGCAGTTGGAGAAAGAGATGAGGTTTGGTGAAGGATGTTTGAGGTCTCATCCGAAAGTGTATTGGATTTGGAATCATCGGGGGTGGGTGTTTGCTCAGTATCCTTCTTCCACACAAGCGCCGTGGAGGAGGGAGTTGGGGCTGGTCAATGCCATGTTGGGGCTTGATCCGCGGAATTTTCATGGGTGGAATTATCGGCGTACAGTCCTCCGCCACATCGAATCCCAAGAACAACGGGGAATGGAGGAGGAAGAATGGGCCTACACATCCACCCACATCCAAAAAAACTTGTCCAATTTCTCAGCATGGCACCACCGCGCCTCCCTCATCCCAAAACTCCTATCGCGGGGACAAAATTTAACTTCGAAAGAGGAAGTATTGGCGAAGGAGCTGGATTTGTTGCATCAGGCGATTTATACAGATCCTGCTGATTCGTCTAGTTGGATATATCACCAATATTTGTTATCGTCGTTAACGAAACCCGCTGACTCGATGCCATCGTTGACGCCGATGGATGTGGGAGAGAAGATTGAGTTGTTGCGTGCCGAGATTGGGGTGATACAAGAACTTTCCGACATGGAGCCGGAAGAGAAGTGGCCCCTTCTCTCGCTCGTGCATTATAAACAGATGCTCGCGGAACTAAGCGGAGATGCCGATACCGACGAGGAGGGGAAGCACGAGATTAGGGAGATGCTGCAGAGATTGAAGGAGATCGACCCACTGCGAAAAGGACGATACGAATACTGGGAACAAAAGCTTTGATAGCCATTTAATTGGAGGTTAATTGAGATTCCCCCACCCCCTGCACGGTCATGCAAGCCAATCAGGTCAGGCGACACGTTATCACGTAAGACGCACGCAGCCAACGATCACCACCAGACGGTCATGAGACAGCCTCCCCGTTGTCAGCTGAGAATGACCCATCCCCCCCGCTTCTCGTGACCGCGCCCTTCCATCGCCTATAAGAACCCCCGTCGTCTTGCCGTCGCTGGTGCTCCCCATCTGCCCATCCCACATATCGCCAACGTTGTCCACCACAAACCACCACCACAAACAATCAATAACCTTCACCTTTACTCGCCCACCATGATCAACACCGCCGAACCCGTCGACATCAACCCCATCACCGACGACCAAGACCAATCCCGTCGCCGTGACCGTAAAATGCCCGACGTCATGATCCCCACAACCCTGAAACACATTCCACCCTCGACCCGTCGTCGCCGCGAGAGCAAGGTGAGCGATTCGGGTGTGAGTGATATGTCAACGAGCCCGACGAGTCCGAAGGAGAGGAGGATGAGTGGGAGTGCGGTTGCGCATCCGGATGATGTAGAGGATGAGGGGGGGAGCGTGGAGGTTATTGACAAGTTGAAGAAGTTGAAGTGGTACGTCCCTCTGTGCAACTAGGCACTTTGAGCGAACCTCGCTAACTGTTTCGTTTTTCGGTCAACTAGGCACATCAACACCCCCGCCTCTAAACTCGACCATATTGACGCCCCCGACCTCCTCTCTCAACCCCTCACCTCGCCCCCCCTCCGCGTCCTCCACCTCATCTTCCCCCAAGGTCTCACCCTCACCGTCCGTAACACCAAAACTGGCGTCACGGTAAAAGATGCCATGGATATGATTTACAAGAAGTTTAAGAAGATGAAGGATGATGAGATTCCGGAGGGAGTGTTGGGGGGGTTCGTGTGGGATAAGGAGGAGTATGGGTTTGGGGGGTTGGGGGTTGTTTTGGCGAGGCAGTAGATGCCCTATGAGGGTGTAGATAAGAGATGAGAGGAGAGTGTATGATAGGATGACAGATCTTTTTGTAAGCCCTTGACGAGCCGGATTGGCTGTCTTGCTACGGAATTTTTGGAATTTATCTCGTTATCGCCGCGGACAGTCCGGTATCGTCGTTGCACCTAACCTCCCTTTCCCCGTGAACGGGACAAACAGCTCACCTCGAAGCCTGAGTCTCCTCTTCAGCGGGCCGCTTGCAATGGCGACGATGTCTGGTTGCCCGGGCAACCCGGTCCAATGCTGGTCTCGTAATCGCATCTCCCGTGTGCATATATGACCTACCACTCCATCTGAAGGAACATAGGTCGAACTCTAAATGCCTTTCGACTGCCGTCAGTCCGACTGGTGAATAGGGCATGTAGTAACTCGTGCATGTGAACGCCAGCTGTAGCAATGCCATGGGTTCGCCGCCGGTCGACGTAGGGCCCTCGACGTTAACGTTAAGCCCGGATGTCCTACGAATACGATAGGCATGATACGAGTGAACAGGACGGGCGTTTCTGAAAGCAGAATGCATTGAGAAAGAAACCTAATACCCAAACGAAAAATCAAAAACGCCAGTGTGTGCCTCCGTGTCCCGTAATTCTCGTATACCCCGTAAGATTGCCCTCCTCGGCTCCCAGCTCAAACGCCGACCACTAGCACTCAGTTCTTGATCTTCACGCCTTGGGAACGGTAGCCGTCCACTTGGTCCATACACATCTCAACCCACTCCCGCTCAGCACGTTCCTTTTCCTCCTGCTCCAGCCTCTCCCTCTCCTCCTCCTCCCTCTCATGCTCCTCAATCGCCGCCTTGATCCGCTTAACCTCCTCCGCCCTCTTCCGGAAGATCATGTCAACCCTCTCAGCCAAGTCGCTGTCGTGGGGGAACATCCTGTGGTCAACCCTGATCCACATGAGAACGTCCCAGAAGGCACGGTCCTCCTCTTCGGACATGTGCGGCATCTTCTCTTTCTCCGCCATGGAAACGACTTGGTAGGGGTCCACCCAGCGAGTTTTCTTGCCGTCGTCGGAAACCCTCTGCATGTACTTCCAGAGCGCGGACTGTCCTGTCGTGTAGTTCATGGGACCAAAATGGTAGTAGCGGTACGGCAGCTCGAGATCGTGCTTGCCATCTCCTGGCGGCAGGACAAAAGGCTCAAACCCGACGGGTCCCTCAGCACATGACTTGAACGTGGTGACGATGTTCGCTCTCACTTTCTTCAAGGCCTTCATGAGCTTGCAGGCAAACCCGTGCTTCTTGGGCTTCTCGTCCTTGGTGACCGTCTGAACGACGGTCTTGGCGGGGACAGATGGGAGGAGGAGACGTTCGTTGGCATCGAAGGACGTGGCCGCGGTGGAGTACGATTCACCAGAGTGACGACCGAAGGAGCTGAGCTCCGCGGAGGTACGCTCGGTGTCGTTGGAGGCCCTGTCCTTGACGACGCTGGCGGCACGGGTGGCGGGGTCGGGGGCGGTCACGGTGGTGGCGATCCTCTTGACGAGTGGCTTGCTGGTGCCGGAGCACCGAGCGTCCTTGTTCTCGTCAACAGTAATGTTCTCACACGTTCTGTGCATCTTGTCAGTGGCTGTTACGGATCATGCTCAAACAGCGGTACATACCCTTCAGGCAACGGCATCATCAACGCAGCACGGCGACGTCTTTCCTTGGCGGGGACCTTAGACCAAAGGACAAAGGTGGTGAACGACATCGTAAAGATAGTGGGAAACTCGGTTGGTAACTTTGGAAGTGTTGTAGGGAAGGCTTGATAGAGAGCAGTTGCTTGGCAGAGAGCGTAGCGTTTTTGTTTGTTGCTTGCAAAGTGTGGTGCGAGTGTGGATGGGGGGAGAATCTCTGGGTGGGAGATGGCCCTGTCTTTATCCACGAAGGTCCCAAATGAGAATTCGGCTCTAGAGGCCACAAGATTGGGAATGTGTGGGCTAGGTCGAGGTGAAAATCCTTCACTGCTGCTTGAATCGGTGTCGTAACTGCCCAATGCGCAAGTCCTAGCTCGGCGGCTTCCGCATTCGGAGAGGTCAGCGCGTGGCTAACGCGTAGTCTGAGTATCCGTCGATCGTGCTGATAAGATTAGAGGCAGATTAGGCGGCGGATTCGTTTGAAACACTTACTAGTTGAACTCGTGATACCTTCTATCGTCATTTCGCTACGAGACAGCTGTTCGTGAAGAGTTATTTTGTGTAACTCGTCAAACCCGACAGCTTAAGTAGGCTCAGATCAAGCCAAACATCCGATCTGAAGGACTGCTGGTCAAGGTGCTTCGTTATCGTCATCTGCTTTGACTGCGGAGAACGTAGCCGTTTGTACATCATCTTTCCGCGTAACTCTTCATACTCACGACTCAGCGGATACGGAAGGGCGGAACCCGCCGTGAAATCGGGATGTGAGAAGTAAAGGAATCTCAAACGTCAACTGAACACTTCTTCCAAAGCTAATCTACTTCTTTTCTATTGCAAAAATCGGCTTTAATGTACATTTCTTTTTCTGACTTCCTTTGTAACCCGTCGTACACCAAGATACTCACGCCAACAGCCGTCACCAAACTGGGCTCTGGAAGCCCAAGAAACCGCACACCACCTACCTAGCATTCATTGTAGAGTATAAATACTATCCTGTTCAAGTATTTCTCCTTTAACTTGTAGTACTCCTCCGAACTTCCGAACAACAAACCGTGGGAAGAGCGTGACTCAGCGACCGGATCTGGTCAACCGTCAGCAAGGGCCCCTGCCAGTGTACCAGTCCAGCTCACCCCCATTCATGACATCACAGAATAGAAGGATTAGCTTTACATTGAGTTTTGTCGTTTCTTTCGTATTGTATGGCAGTCTTTCCCGTTTGACGTGAAGTCAGTTGAGATGCCGTGGGAACACACTGAACAACAGGGTGTGCGTGAGGCAATCATCCGGTAGTGTCATCTAAAGATGTATATATGCTTTGTTGTATGTTCGATCTGTTCCAGAAGTCATTCATAACCAGCCCTGTCACGTGAATCTGCAGGTACCGCATGTTCATGCATCGCCGCGAAACGCTTCTTCTCTCAATTCGACGCGTTCTACAAATCCTCTTTACCATGTCCACCCCCACCGATGCCGCCCCCTTGATACACATCTACCCTCCCTCCAAAAACGGGGGCACGGACGATGTCCACCCCTCAACAACCCTCTTCTCCCGTCTCCTCGGCACGAATGAGTTACTTCTCCTTGAGCTCCAGGCCACCATCGAAGGCATGGACCCAGACACGATCATGGGCGGCCTCTCCTACGACGAACAATCCAAAACAGCATACCTCACAGTCGGATACCAACGTCTCACAGGAAAAGTCGTCGACCTAAAATCCCCATTTGCCGTACTTCGAAAACGAGAGGGTGGAGAGTTATCGATGGAGGACGCGGAAGGGAGAGCAGCGGATTGGCAGAGGGGTGATGTGGAGATGGATGTGGTGGAGATTATTAGGAAGAAGGTGGTGTTTAATCAGAGGCCGGAACCGATTAGTCGGTTGGTTGAGATGTGATGCGATGCGGTGCGATACTGATATGAGACTGAACAACAGAGTCTGAGTGGCATTGGAGTGAGCTGCACTGGTCGGTTTTGCTGTAAATTGTTCTGGGTGTATGCTAGGAGCCCGACATTGAATGGCGACCAAGACGCGGATTGCCTGTCGTGAGGGAGAGAGCCAGCGACGGAGCAGTCGCTGATTACTACCAGTAGACAGACATGGCTTGCCAATGCCGGATGCCGGCAAGGCTATGGGGCCGATATCGATACTGGTTACGTCCTGCAGCTTGGACGACCCCGCTCATGATATCTTATCTACGGCCTGGAGGGAATCTAATAAGGCGGAGGACAGAAGGTTTGAAGGTATCTCTCGCCACTGGTGATCGATGAGGCATGTGTCTCCCAAGGGCATCGATTGCAAGGATTGCTTCCCGTTAGGGGAAGCCGCCCGAGTTGACTCTGGGTTCAGGTTCATCAACGTGGGCATCGTCATCTCTTATCTACGGCTCCTTAACTTTGACACCTGATAAACGGTGGGGCATCTAGACACCTGTAATATTCCCTATTGATTGCACATCTCGTGGGTTTGTGCCCCCGGCCGGCAAAGCGGCACACTCATCTGACAGCTGCAGTGCTTATCAAACCAAGCTTCCGGAACTGACGCACTGACAGCATCGATAAGATTTGATTGATATGTGACTGGACAACGGAAGTCCGGAGAGAAGGATCAACGTTGCATGGTGTGTGCCACTGGGTGCCGCCGGTGCTGTGACTGGCCCCTGCCAGCTTTTGCAAGAGTGATAAGACTGGTTTCCCACCCATAAGCTGGGTCAATGGGATGGATTCTGGGTTGTGGAGCTCTTAACCGATACATCTTTTCACCTCATTCTCCCCCTCCTCTCTTCTTCTAGGGTCATTCGCATGATCTGTTCAGCAACTCCTCTCCTCGCTCCAAATACCACAGATCACATTGTGACTTCCCATTGGTCAACCGTAGCGACCAGCGAGCCAAATATAGCGATGAGCGCCGATAACGGCCACGGCTAATGGCGCTTACAGTAAGTACCCTACCCTACGACCGCCATGTCTTCAGCCCACTCGCGCGAGTTGGGTCGGAGTTCCCCGGCCGAATTCGAATATTAGTAACGCGTGAGATAACGAAAAAAGTCTGAATCATAAAGCTCACCTCCGTCCGTAAGCGTTCGCTTTGATCCGGTTGCTCAATTGGTGTTGCTCGTGTGAATCGAACGATTGAAAGGCAATATGTCAGACCAGCAGCTTCTTGGGATTGTCATCCTCAGCCGCCACGGCGATCGCACTCAATACTACCAAAACCCAACCAACTACACCTCGACCGAAACCGCCATCACACCCCTCGGCGAACGCCAAAACTACAAACAAGGCAGTTTTGTGGCCTCGCGGTACCTCAACGCTTCTTCCGATCACTATATCCAGGGTATTGCGGAGGTTGCGAATGTGGATCAGTTGGATGTTAAGGCTGACGCGGGAGGAGAGGGGAATGTGGTGTTGTTGAGTGCGTATGCGTTTTGGGAGGGGGTTTATCCGCCGACGACGAGGGAGAATATCACGTTAGCGAATGGGACTACGGTTACGTCGCCTTTGGGTGGTTACCAGTATGTTCCAGGTGTGTTCCCTCAATTGCGATAAGTGCGAGTGCAAAGCTAATTGATGGGTGCAGTGACTACCATTGTTGAGACTGACTCGCCTATGCTCGAACCATGGACCTCGTGCCCCGCCTTCACCAAGAACCTGAACTCTTTCTACGCCTCCTCCTTCTTCTCCGACAAATCCACCGAATCCGCAGATTTTCGATCCAACCTCACCTCTTACGTCGGCGGGCGTAACACCTCCCTCATCAACATGTACAACACCTTCGACTACATGAACGTAAACTCCATCCACAATGCAACCTACCTCGACTCCCTCCCGGACACCTTCCTCGCCCAAACCCGCGATCTCGCAAACTGGCACGAGTATTACTCTTTCTCGTCTCCCGCCCCGGGCGGTATTGGGAATATCGCGGGACGTACCCTGATGCCGATGATCATGGATTCGATGAATGACATTGTGAACGACGATATCAAGATCGCGCATTACGCCTTCGCCTACAAGCCGTTTATCTCAGTCTTCAACATGACCGGCGCGGACTCATCTGCCGAAGACATCAAGGGCATCGTCGACTACGCCTCCCTCGCCGTCTTCGAGCTCTGGGGTACGTCGAGTGACAACTCCTCCGTCACCGTCAACTTCCTCTTCAAGAACGGAACGGATGATGATAGGCCTCTGACTCAGTATCCGATTCTGGGGGCACAGAATGTGACTTTCGAGAGTTTTGTGAATACGATGGAGCCGTATGGGATTCCGACGTTGAGGGATTGGTGTACGACGTGTAACCAGACGTCTTCGACGATGGGGTGTGATCTTTACTTCACTTCTGACTCATCTTCTACTGCGACGACGTCTTCGGATAAGAACTGGTCTGGTGCTGTGAGCCCCGTTGCGGCTGGGTTTATCGGTGCGGTCGTTGCGTTGGCTGTTGCGGCGTTATTGGCTGGAATCTGGGGATTCATCATTGCGCCGAAGAGGAGGAGAGCGGTCGTCTCTGCATATGCGCCGAGTGAGAGCAGTATGAGGCAGGAAGATACCATTCACTTGAGTGAGATGGGCAAGCGTTGAAGAGCTGAAGGAGGAGAGAGGGGGTGTATACCAGTTATCTACGGGAGCACGGAAGAGTATTTTGGAAGAATTTCTTCTAACTTATAGCTATTGTAATTGGAATATTCTACTCTACTCGAACGTCGTCTGTTTAATCCCTCGAGTCCGGGTTCGTGCCGTTGGTGTATCCGTTAACGACGCCAAGTTGGGGAAGATTGTGCAGCCGGCTCTCCTGTCGCCGTGAATCCGTGGAGCCTTCCAATACCGTTCAAAACTTTGCACTACAAAGTAATGTATCAGCCGTCCAAGACCTTGGTCAGACGAGTCCCCGGATATCTGAGTTCTAGACATGTTGCCATACCCATGAGAGCAATCACCGCGGGTTCGTAAGCAAAACTGCCAAGCAGAGTTGTTATCTCAAAGGCTATTACAGCCGACAGACGATTGCAAACTATGTGCACCTTCCCAATACAAACTCAGAAAGGAACCTGTCGATATTCCAAAGCTCCTGCTTGCTGCTGGCAACCCTTATAAGGTGTTCTGGCCTACATTGTAGCTTCGCTGTGTCCCGGTTTCGCATGCCCAACTCGAGGCCGTTAACCGACACCGTCTCCAAGAAGACTTTCTCCATCACAGTGTTACTACCGCAGTAGATCATCCCGCCAGTTGATATGAGCAAAGGGGGGAGCACTTACTGATCGACGAAACACAAATGTCTACCACCACGGTGGTAAGCCAGACCAAAGTAGCAGTCGTAGCTGTCGAGAAGCTCTTTAGCAATACCGAAACAGTCAGCTTGTCATAAGCGGCTTATAAAAAGCTCGCACGCTCATGCACTGACATGCCGAAGGAGACGAGGGCAAAGTCCCCAACCTCGCTGGTGCATATCCCGAGTACATCAGCCTTGTACTCGAGGCCCTAAATCCCCAAGACTGATAGTACTTTGTCACTATTAAAGGCGGATGTGCCCTGCAGGAGATCTGCCCTCGTTCACCTCAGCAAGCCAAAGTCATTGGCAGGCCACGTCATCAATGACTGTTATCCATACTGTCTATGCTCGTTAGTAGGTTATTGTTTGCCTGATACTCAGCCGGCTTACTAGCTCCGATCTTTCCCATTTGACCCTACCACCCTGAGGGTGATGGATGGGTTTACCAGTCTTGAGGGCTGAGCAGACTTACAAGCTTAAATTGTCAACCCCCAGTCAAACATATCTCGGAAAGATAACCCCAAAGTGAAGGTGCTAGAGGCCAGATCATCATCATGTTCTGGTTCACTCGTGAGCTTGCCTGAGCTGGGCAGGTTGGTTTCTGCGATAGTCGTGAGTTGGAGTGGTTTGTTGGTAGATGATCCTGTGGATGAAGCAATAGCGAACGAAAATCCCTCCTTTGGAGCGAAAAATTAGCGTCACGCACGTTGTTCCCACGGTGTCCTAATCCGGTACTGCGACATCGACAATGGAAGAATGATGCTAGAAGAGGTTAAGGCAGTATTCTATGTAACAAGCCATTTCTCATATTATTACACGCTATCCTATGCGTTCATCATATCATCTATGTCGTCGTCGTCCTTCGTCTGCACAAAGGCCCGCTTCAGGTACACGAACCACAAATCATCATCCTTGTCCCTAGGTTTCTTACCCTTCTTTCCCTTCTTTCCCTTTTTCTTCTTTTTCTTCAGCAAATCCTGAATTCCCTTGCCTTTTCTATGTTTCTTGTCGTCACGCTTGGCGTCACCCGCGATCTTCTTCGCGAGCTCCATGTACGATGGAACCGTGAGATCCTGCATGTGATATGGCGCACCATCCGTTTCATATTCCACTTCGAACGTCAGATTCTCGTGTCCGTGCAGTGATTTCTCCTCGTTGTGTTTGGTGATGTTGGCGTAATACTGGGTGTACTTAATCGGCGTCAAGAACTGAGGCTCGAATGCAGGACCAAGAGGAGATCCGGGTGCAGGAGGAGCGGGTGCATCTGCGGGAGGCTTCTTGTGCTTTGGCCTCTTCTTCTTTCCCTTCTTCTTCTTGCCTTTCTTCTTGGATGCATCGACTTCGCTGTCTTCCTCGACCCCCTCCTGCACATGATCCTCACTGTCTTCGGTCGTCTCCACCGCCGCCATATCCAAAGTACCGCGGTGAGGGGCATGTCCGCCATCATACCCAGTAACGTTGTACTCCACGACTCTGGCAGCAGGGAAGTACGTAGGAATAATACTTGGCACAACGTTCGCGACCATCCAGTTCTCCATGACCTGCTCCCTCTTCCTGCCGGTATACTTGCGCAAGTCAGGCATATGACGGAAATAATCGCGAAGTTCTGCCATGTAATTCTCCTTACCCATGATGCGGAGAGTGCCATTATGGTCATCATACTCATCTGCATCGATCTCGAGGAAATCACGAGTAGCTTTTCGGAGCTCAGTACGGTCAAGGACGTCCTTCTCGTTGAGCATGATGAAGTGGTCGACGTTGGCGTGTCCGAAGAAGTGACCAATAATCACGTCCCGGAAGGCATTGCTCCACACAACGTACTTCATCAAGCATGTTGGGTAGTACTTCTCCGTCGGTGGCACGTGTCCAATGAGGTAAGCCTTCATGCCTCTGGATCTCAGGATGTTCAACTGAATCTTCAACCACTCGAACTGTAATGAACCAGCGTCCTCCTTGGCATCGCATCCATCGACGGCAGCGTTAGACTCGAACCAATACAGGGTGTTCAGGGAGATGACGGCGAGCTTGTTAGGAATAACTTCGCGCCAGAAGTATGCGCCACGCTGGAAGGTGTGCATCTGTTCTTCGGGAACAAAGTGAGACCAGAGCTGGGCAAAGCGGAGAGTGGTGGGGTTAGGTCCTGGACGCATAATGTTGTGAGGCCACACGTCGTTGTTGCCCATAGTGGGAACAATGGGAATGGAGTGACGCTTTGTAGGATCGTCCGAGTGGAAGACTTCCTCGAACTTTCGGATCATGTCCGCATTGGATTGAAAGATCTCCTTCTGTGTTCGAGGGAAGTTGTTGTCGTTGTCGTGCCTATACAGAGGCGTCAGGGACATACCAGATTGAAGTTCCTCTTCGCAACATACCTGACGCTGTCTCCCGTCCAGATGACGAAGTCAATCTTGTCCTTCCATTCCTTGTCAATCCATTCAAAGGTCGCGTCGACCAGTGTCCAAGGTGCATCACAACCCGACGCGGGATACCCCCAGTATCCAGCCTTCTCCTCCTCATCATCGTCCTTGTCCTTATCCTTATCTTTCTTCAAGCCTTCCAGACTCTTGTCCTTCTTTCCGTCCTTTCCGTGAAAATGGCAGTTATTGTCCACCAACGCTCCCTCACGGTAATTGCGATCAGGATGAAAGTCAGTAACATGCATAAACCTCCCATGAAGCTTCGAATGATAAACCGTCTCGACCTCAGACGCCGTATTCTCAAGATTCTGAAAGGAGAGTGGAAGTTGAGCTGCATTCACCGACGACCCAAACAACAGCGCCCAGCTCAACAGAGCAGCGCTTTGCTGGATACGCATGGTGAGAAAGTGTGGTGTACGAGTCCGCTAAACCGTAGTCAATGCTATGTCAGCAGCGGTAGCAGACGTCGAAGGTATCGAGCTTGTCTCTGTCGTTGTGAAAGTTATCACCGTTAAGGTTGTTCGGGAGCAACGTTAGCGCTGCAGAATGACAGAGCAGGCGCAGCAGCGGCCGGCCAGGATGAGCTGGTATGAAAAGGTTCTGAAGGGAAGGGGCGTATAGCATGCCTGTAACGACTATTTCTGATGGAATTGGAAGGAAGTCAAGGTCAATGGTCATTATCATATTCAACAAGAGGAATCTCATGACGATACGCCTGCCTCTATCCATCCCGCCAAGAAACCCCCGTGACGTCCCGTCTGCACCATCAACGCCTCGAACTCGATTTAACCTCTCCCGTCCATCCCGGAATATTCTGTCCGCAAGACCCAAGCGGCACATCCACGTTCTTCCCCTCCATAGCCTTTGCATCCCTCAACCACGGATGATTACTCATTCCTCCAGCATCAGCCCTCCGCTCCGGATTAATCTCCAACATCGGCAACAGAAAGCTCGCAAACTCCTCCGCCTGCTCCTTCGTGAAATGATATTTGTCGCCGAGAACGTCGGAGAGTTCCCAGTGTTTCAGTTTGTGAATCTTGCGGAGCTCTCCTTTTTGGTTGAAGATTTCCTTTGAGTACTTGCCGGCTAGTGCGATGTGTCGTGGCAGCCTGCCGAGAAGCTCAATGATTTGAGCGACGTGGTCGTCGTCTTTCCTGTACTTCTTCGACCCTTCCTGTGGGTCAAACAAATAATCACCAGTCTCGAGCTCGAACGTCATACACGCCATACTCCACATGTCCGTACTCGCACCCCACTTCGATCCCAAAATAACCTCGGGCGACCTATACTGCCTCGTTTGGATATCGTTCGTAAAATGATGGTGCGTCCAGCATGCATTACCGAGATCTGCAATCTTGACGGTGATGAATTCTGGGTCAGCGGATGCTGACGTGGGGCTGCGAACAATGTCATTGGAGCCGGAGTTGCGATCCAGGGATATCTCTGAGACTTCGCGTTCGAGTGCATCCGCTGTCTGTTCTCGCACATGGTGCTCCGGCACGTTCAACGACACCGCATCAGAAGCTTGCCTCTTCCTCTCCGCCACCATCTGGCTATTCGACCTCGACTCCTCCAAATCACTGGTTGCACTCGTAAACCCACTCCCTGGGAACCCCGATGGAGGCGTAGAGAGTGCCGGACTAGGCAACGGTCGACTTCCAGTAATCACCCTCTTTGGTCTCTGTCTCCTTCCATCCGCGCCCGGGGGCGCTCCCCTTCCTAATCTTCCCTTTTCCTTCTCAGACTCGCTCATGATCATTCTCGTGACGCGCTCTACGTCCTCGATGGCGATCAAGACGTTCTCTGGCTTCAAGTCGGTGTGAATGACACCGCATTCACGATGAAGGTAGTCGAGACCGAGTAAGACTTGCTTCGTGATCTGCTTGACAAGATGAGTAGGGACACCGCGGTGGTTGTAACGCTTTATCAGTCCAAGCAAGTTCTCGCCTAGCACCTCAAAAACCATGCAAATATGCGTTCCGTTAGGTCCACGATGCTCGAAATGATCCAATAGCGAGACTACATGCGCCCGTCCGGGGTGATCCGGGTTCGACTCCACGATCCTGTTCAACAACTTGATCTCATCGATCGCCGTCTCCGTATAGTGCTCCGCAGACCTGACGACCTTCAGCGCGACGTGTCGATCGTACGTCTTGTCGTGACACAACCACACTGTCGAGAAGTGTCCCCATCCCAATTTGCGAACGACGGTATACCGCCCGTCACGGTATGTCTCTCCAATCTGTACCGGGTGATATCCGCCCTTCTTGTAATCCTCGAGATCTTCCTCGTCGCCGGAGACGCCTTCATCTTCATCTGAGGAGTACTCGGGCGCGCGGTTGTGGTGCTGGTTGGAATGGCTATGGGTATGATAGAATGTCGCCTTGGTGTGATCCAGCGGTGAGATGACGGAATAAGGTGATGGCTCTCTGCACAAAACGCGTCAACATATACATCGAGCATACATTCGCACTCCCACTTACGTGCTTCCAAACGGATCAGTAGAATACGTCGTCCCGCCATTATTGGTAACAATAGGCTGCAAATCCTGCCCCTTTCTCCGTTTCTTCGTCGCGCCCAGCGCTTTTGCCTTGGCAATAGCGGCAGCCTTCACTCGTTCACTGGCCATTGACTATAAATGTGCAGCTGGTATCGCGGTCGAGGATTATTACTTTTCTTCCAGATCTCCAGGGCTCGTAGACTTCGCGCGACGAGACGCACAAGCCTCCCGGGTCCAATTGCGTCGATGCGGCACATGACATGAACATACACGCACCGGAAATGGCAACCGATTTTCACATGTTGTCAATGGGATGAAGTTTCTATGAACTGGGTATTGATATTATCAATCATTGTATCTGAATAAACTGACTTATAGTTCCGTCTCGACCGCGACGCATCTCTGTTCCTCCTCCGTGGAAAAGTCCAGTAATGAGCCAATGATGGGAATCATCATATGCCGTTGCTCCTTCCGCAGCAAAAACTGCATCAGTACTGCCTTCATGTATTCCCGGTCGATGACAGGGCTGTCAGCGTACTCCTGAATATGGACATTCTGCTTCCCCTTGCCGTTGGCGGACGATGACGAACCTGCCTGGTCAGATGATGAGGATCCACCAGCCCCAGACGATGATCCTTCACCGGCGGGGTGTTGCATCTCCTTCAGTCGTTGCAGTTCATTCATGGTATTCTGTAGTTTCCCACGGTTAGCCGGCACCTTGTGAAACACTGGACTTAAACTTACCTGATAAGACTTTTGCAAATCCTCGAACCTTCTCCGAGACTCCTCCGCATTGTTCTTCAATGATACCTGGTACTGTTCCAACTGCCTCAACTCGTTCTCAGCCTCAGTCCTCGACGTCTCCAAGTTCTCTAAGAGCTTCTTCGACTCATCCCTCTCCCTCATGACTTCCTCAACCTTCTTAGCCGCTTCGTCCTTGTCCTTCTTGAGGTTCTCAATCGTGCTCAAACAATCAGCATGCACCTCCTGACTCTTCTTCAACGCAGCCTCAACATCGCCCAACTTCCTCTTCACCTCCTCCAACTCCTTCCCCTTCTTACGTCCCGCCTGCGCGAGCTCTTCCTCGGCCTTATCCCGCTCCTCCAGCGCGGCCTTCAATTTCGCCTCCAACTCCTCAACCTTACCGGATTGGTTCGATTCGGCGTCAGCAACAAGTCGGCGCATACTCTCCGCTTCCTGCGCACGCTCCTGCAACAACCTATGGGCCTCCGCCAACTCCTCCTCAGCAGCCTCGCAGCGCTCCTTGGCTTCGCGTGCTTGGTGAGTAAGCTCCGTAGTCTGCTCCCTCAGAGAATCCATCAACGACTGAGTTGAATCATACTTTGCAGCGTTAACCTGCAACTCCTCCTGGAGCTCATCACGTTCACTCGTGAGCGCGGAACGAACATTCTCCAATGACGTGACTCTCTCACGAAGAGTCCTAACCTCTTTCGACGCATTCTCACGATCACGCTCAGCACGTTCACGCGCTCCCCTCTGGTCCTTGAGTGCAGACTGCACAATCGTTAACTCCTTATCCAATTCCTTCGCCTGAGTCTCCTTCTGGTTAAGCGACTTCTTCACCCTCTCTAACTCCTTCTCCGTGCTGGACAACTTATCCCGGACGGTTTTCACCTCCGCCCTGAGATCTCTCTCACTCTTCTCCACCTTCGCCATCTTCTGTTGGACGTCTGTCAACTGCTCCTTCTCCGCGGCGTGCGTCGATGCCTCCTCCCTCAGCTTCTCCAACTCAGTAATGGCGTTTGCCATGGACGTCTTAGCCGCATTGATCTCATCCTCACGGCCCTGAGCGAGCTCCTTGCTATCGTCCAGCTCCTTCCCCAAGATGTTGAGGTGCTGAGAAAGTGCATCGCGCTCGTCCTCCACAGCCTTGAGCGTCTCCTCACCAAGATCAGCCTGCTGCTTCGCCTTCTTCGCCTCATCCTCAGCTGTCTTCAATTTCGCTTCCAACTCCTCCACCTTTCTTGTCGTATCGCCTCCCTTCGCCTTGATCTCCTCAACCTCCTCCTTCGCAGCAACAAGTTCATCCCTTGCCACATCCCTCTCCGCAACAACCACCTTGATCTTCTTCCTTGCCTCAACCAACTCCCCTCCGACATTCTTCAACATCTCCTTCGTCTCCTCAACTTCATCCGCAGTCGTCGAGAACGCACTCAACTTCTCCTCAGCGCTGACCTTGTCTTTGCGTGCCTGGTCAAGCAAGTTCTGCAATCCGCCCAAGATGCTTCTCAACTTTCCTTCCTTCTCCTGAAGTTCCTTGACCTTCTCATTCTTCTGCGTCAACTGTGTCTTCAAGTCCTGAGTGTCCTCGGGGGCAGGCGCTGGAGACGCAGGCTCCTCGACCATCTCACTAACCTTCTCCGCCTTCTCCACCTCCTCGCCACCATTCGCCTGCGCACCCCCCTTCTTCCCCTTCTTCTTCTTCTTTTTCTTGTTTGAACCGCTGGTAGGTACCGTAGGCGTAGTAGGACTATCCGGCTGTACTGTCTCGCTGCTCGCACCAGTGCCGGGCATCTCCTCGTCCTTCGCAGTCTCCGACGCGCCCGCATTCCGCCAAATACCGACCTCCTTCTTCAGCTGCTCGCATTCAGCCTCGAGTTCGGCGATTTTGCTGTTCTTGGCCTGTAAGTCCGCCCTAATGCTCTTCTTGGATTGGTCGGCTGAAGAGAGCTTCGTAGCGATTTCCTCCGTCAAGGTTTCATTTGCGGACTGCGCGCGATCAAGACGAGCAAGAAGACCAGTACGCTCAGCTTCGAGACCGATGACCTTCCTCTTCAGGTCCGTGGCCTCTGCTTCAGCGCCCTTAGCCTTACCCAAGTCCGCTCTCACGCCCTCGAGTTCAGCCTTCAATGCATCCCTCTCCTCCTCGACCTCCTTAACCTTTGCCTCAACATCCTCCTTGCCCTCTCCTGTCTCAGGGGGCTTTTCGGCGACCAACTCCGCGATCTTGTCGTTTAGTTTGTCGATCTCCTCGGCGTGCTTGTGTCCCTCCTCTACCATCTTCGCCCTAACGTCGTCGCGTTCCTTCGTGATTTTCTTCAGTTCTTCCATGACCATGTCGGAGCGAAGAGTAATGTTGTTAAGATACTCTCGGAATGCATCGACGTCTGAGATGGAAGAGACGGGTGTGATCTCTTGGAGGGCTTTCTCGAATGCCGAGACAGCTGTTGATCGGGAAGATGTCTGTTTGTATGCGTTGACGAGGGCTGTACCCCATCGATTAGATCTTCTATTGAGTCATCTGGTCATCGTCTACGCACCTGGATATCTCGTCTCAAACTTCTCCAACTTCCTCAATTTCCTCCTAACTTCCGCGTTCAGCCCCTCCTCTTCTTCCTTCATCCCCTCGCCCTCAGCACCTTCCTCCTCCTCATCCTCACTTACGTCGAACACAATGTCCTCCCTCTCCATACTACCCCGGTGCTCAATCTGCAGCGACGTTCGTCCCGTCGTGGACTCAGCATGTCCAGCCTTGGCAACACCCTGCTGTAAACGCTGTTGCAGACCTTGCTGCGAGGCATTAAAGTTTTCTTTTAGTTTTGCGAACATTGCGCCAGGTGATGCTATTGCTTTGGGATCGCAATTGACGCTGAGGCCTTGGGAGTTTGCTGTTGATGGTCGTAATCTCGGAGTTGGACGGGTATGCATGGTTCAAGCACCGCCAAGCGTAGGCATCTGGGGTAACGTAGACATGGACCTTTTAGGAGATTTACAAAGGAACGAGGGACAATGACGTTTACAAGGGCAATCGAAGACGAGTAGACACCAAGAAAGATGATATTTTAGGCGATAACCCAAAGCAAGAAGAACTCTGAACTCCTTTCCGATCGTGGATATATATCACTTATTTCTTCTGGATCTTACGGAGGTAGTGCTGCAACTCCTCACCCTCAAGGACGTAACCATCGGCACGGCCGGACTGTCCGGGGCGGGAAGAGATGCAAGCGTACAAACGACCGTTACCGAACTGGTTGGCGACGGAGGTCTCGACCTTAGCAGTCTTGGTACGCTCAGCGAACTTGCGCTCGACGTGCTTGGAACGCTGAACGGGCTCAACGGTCTGGGCAGCCTGCTTCTTACCGAGGGTCTGTCCGTAGTGAGCCTCGTACCACTGACGGAAGGGAGTGGCATCGATCTGGACGATGGCGGACTTGGTGAGGGTGTTGGTGCGGATCAACTCGTTGTTGGAAGGGTGGAAGACGACCTGTACCGTTCTTGTAAGCAAGATTGCTTGTGAACATCCAGACGTCAAGGGACACATACACCGATGATACGGGTCTTCTTGGCGACACCCTCGGATCCCCAGGAGAAGTTACCGGAGTCCAAGCGGAGAGCACGGAACTTGCGGTTACCACCACGGACACGGACCTCGTGAACGCGCTTGGGGCCGATACGGGTGTTGGCGGCCTGACGACCAAGCTCGAACTTTCTCTTCTTGCGGTACTGGGCGCGCTTGGCACCAGTCTCAGAGCGCTTGTGGCGGGAGTCACGAGAGATACCCATCTTTTACTGTTCCATGTATGTTAGATGACAACTGGTCCCTCCAACAGCATACGCGGTACTCACCTTGGTGGAACGGTCGGGGGATGTCGAATCGGTCAGGCCTTCACCAGACCAAATTTCGCGGCGAAGTGTGGTCCCCTCCCCAGCCACACTGAGGCGGTGAGAAGTGCTGTGCGCGGGTTAACCCTACCGTACCCTGACCGAATCTACGTTACAGGTACCTGGTAACCCCAATATACGACGGAGATGCTGCGCCCTCTTTTGAAGTCTCTGTTTCGCCGTCAGGGCGTACGAACTGTTCCCGCCGTTCAACTCGATGCCCCTAAAGTCGTCGCTGCTCCGATCCCAATCGCGAGGTTGGAGAAGCTGTACGCGAAGGGGTGGAAGGGCGTGTCGATGTCTGAGCCGATTGAAGGAATGGTGCATGTGAAAGCTCTTGAACGTACCTTCGCATTCTCAAATTTCTCTACCGCGTTCGCTTTCATGACGAGGGTTGCCCTCCAGTGCGAGAAGTATAATCACCATCCTCAATGGACCAACGTGAGTCACTATACTGCTTGTGAGACAGAACGCAAGCTGACGAAGATTGCGGTGTAGTCAAGAGGCTGGAACACGATAACTATTACTTGGACGACCGATGATGCTGGAGGCGCCGTGACCGAGAAAGATTTGATGGCAGCAAAGCGCTGTTCGACATATGCTGCCCAGATGGGAGAGGTGACGCCGGCGACTGTCGATGAGTCTGTACCTCAAGAAACGGACCCAACCAGCGCGTTGTATAACACGCATGACGGGGAACTCTCTCGCTCTGCTGACAACGATCATGGGCGGTCAGTTACCAACAAGCGTCAGGAGTCTGTGATGCCACCTGCCACTGAGGATACCAGCAAAGTGTCCACACCCAGCCAGTACACAGCCAACCAATCACCCCCCAAGCAGCACGCACCCAAGGCGAACGCACCCAAGCTGTTGAATTACAGTGCGTCACAGGAACGCAAAGACCGGATATTCGGAATCCTTGATGACATGAAGAAGACATACGGTAACCCGACTACTGCAGGCCGTGAGCATAATGAGAGTGCAGCCATCAAGCCTCAGGTCACCAAGAGCGACATCAGCGAAGACACAACGACATTATGAGGCAGCTGCCACAAAGCATAGGCGTTGGATATATTTCTGATAATGCGGGACAATTTACCACCGATACCCCATTTTACCTCTACGAGTACATGATCACATATTTAATCGATATCGAGGTTGAAGATTCATACTGTCACAGCACTGTTATGCAAGACAGCAAGCTTCGGTAGATCACATGAACTTACGTTCAGAGGACGAGCATGTCTTCTCCATATGCCGGATCATTGCTTTTGCGGGTAGGGTGAACAGAACGCGACATGGCTGACCATCGAGCTCATGCAAAACCATCATGGGCATCAATTTGCCAATCGTGGGATAGACCAAGGACAAGTACCTAATCCAACACTTGCAATTCCTTCGGTCTTCCTATCTTGGATGCTGCTATAGTAGTATACAGTACGGGTATCACTTCTCAATCGCAATTGAATGACCGCGCATTGCAATTGCATTCAAATCCCCACGGTAATCTGCACGTGCATGAGCAGTAGATTGACAATGTTGAGGCCGGGCTCAGGATGAGCACTCCAGCTCAGTATAGCTGCTGCGACAGGCTACAGCTGCTACAGGGTCTCCATCTACATCAAGCACCCTCATCATCAGGATTTAGCTATCGTCTTCACACACGCGACCGCGCTCTCGTGATGCTCATGACAAAGCCCAATATCCAATTCACTGCCTAAACGTCACGACTAAAGACAAACGCTATGCTCCGGCCGTCCTCCAGTCATCCGAGAATCCCAGGTATCCCTCTTGTCTTTCTCTTTCATTCACATAATCGTCGTATACCATATCATAATCGTACACTGAGCCGTTATTGTACACAGGATTCCCTTCAAAAAGCTTATCCCATGGCCACATCCCTTCACATGCAAATATCGTACACACCTCTCATTCGTCCCCGTTTAGCTCCTCTCCCCCCTCAACCTCCTATTCTCCTCCTCCAACTCCCTCACCCTTTCCTTCAGCACCTCAAACTCCGACGCCTTACTCTCCAAATCCCTAACATATTTCTCTCTCCTAACTCTGAACGCCTTTTGCGCCGCCCTATTCTGCGCAGCCCTCTTCGTGTTCGACGGGTGTTTTTGGAGAGAGGGTGTTCGAGTCTGTGAGCCGGAATGCGAGTGGGAGTGGGAAGAGGTGTGGGAGAGGGGGATTGGAGGGTAGTCGGGGGATGCGGCGGAGGTTAAGGAGAGGGAGCCGGAGGTTGAGCGGGAGTGGCCGTATCCGCTGTGCATACCAGCGGCATAGATCTCTCTTCCCTCGCCGACGCCGACACCTCTAGGCGCACTCGTCATTGGAGGAGGCGAGGGCGTTGACGTCACGCTCCGAGAATACTCCCTACTCCCTGTCGCCGTCGATGTTCCTTCCCTGCTCCCGGGTCCCAGTTGGTTGAATGCTTGTCCGACTTGTGCCACAGCAGCACTACCACCGTTATTCGTGGAGGCGGTAGTGACACCCGTGGGAGGGAGTGGGTATGGCGATAGCTGCAATGGCATCGGTGGTGGAAGCTGGATTGGGCCTGGATGGGGTCGATGGCCATGGTGGTGCTGGTGACCGTGATTCTGTGCATATGTGTGTAACGGTGGTTGAGTCTGGAAAGGGTTGGGTGGGCCAGTTGTGCTAAGAGGAGGAGGGTTCATGGGTGCCTGGAGGCTCTGCGGGGGGTTGAAGCCGTAGCTTGATCCTGCTGTCCATTTTCGTCAGCATACATCCCACAGAAAAGACCGTTAACAACATACGCATTTCTGCTTTGGGTGTTGGGAGATCATATGGGTTTGGTAGGAGCCCCGTCCCACTCATCATCCCGTGACCTCCAAACGTCCCGCTCGATACTGCTAAGTTCGCCTGCCCATACGTCGACTGTCCCTCCAACTCTCCATACCCATAGTTTCCCTGGACCTGCCCGACTCTCAACGGCCCTACATCTCCAAACCTCCCTCCTCCTCCACTTGCCGTCGGCCCCGTCCCCGTCCCACCCGGCAACGCATTTAAAGTGTTGTTCGATGGGGGCACCCAAGTCGTACTCAGCGGCTGTATCGGGGGTGCAAAATTCGGAATTGGAGGAAATGGATCAGGATTATATGCTGGCTGTTGTGGCCCCGTACCAGGACCCGGGAAAGGCTGCCCTCCTCCCCCCATTCCCACAAAAGCCTGCGGAAGCGGAATGGGAGGCGGAAGGCCCTGCTGTTGCTGGTGCGAAGGATGTGAAGGAGGAGCGCTCGATATCGGGAATCTCTCATTCGTGATCGGATTTGCAGTCTGGTCGTTCATGACATGGTCAATTGCAAGAGCGTCGTGTTTACATCTACGACAAGAGGTAGGAGGTATAAGCTATGTGTTTATGGGAGGTTCGGGCTAGGGAGGAGAGAGGGACGGGTAGAGGCATTGGTTTCGTCTGTTGATGAGGTCAGAAATGCTCGCGTGCTGCAGTGACGTCGGATGTGCGCGCGGGACACGTGCATGAAACCTATGAAGCTCCAAGTCGAAAAGAGCGGGGCAGAATGGACGCTGAAACACACTGATTCGATAGACAGGGTTAAGCGTCTATCTTTCAAATGCCGAGGTCTTCAAGAAGGGGGTTCACGGACGCGGGGAGAGGGATACCTCGGTCTCGGACGAATCACGGTTGTTAGGTCAGCAGACAATCGCAAACTCGCCTGTATCTTTCCCGCTTCTCGATTGTCAGAGGTGATCGCTACTTTATCACATGCATATGAACGGCAGATCCCGTCTTTCGCGGAAGGTCTACAAGGATCCAGGTGCGGCCGTTACCCATTTGCCGGTTCTTCAAGCAGCTGGCCATGGCCTGGTTGTCAACGCGTAGGGCCTTTATAGAGATGACCCTTGTCCCGTTGAAGTCCTTAAGAGGAGCTGCCCTGAAGAGTTGTATGAAGCGCGACAGTATGTAACTCTAATCCATGTAATCTTGAAAAACTGTGTGGGGTCAATTGGGTTTCCCGGAGATCATTTGGTCAGCGGCGGACGCGCGTGCAAGTCAAGTCGGCCTTCCTCCCGAATACGAAGACGCGCGAGACTTGACTCCAATTGGAGCTCGGGGAGTTTGTGTGATCTTTCTGGAAGGACCATGCGATTGGTCTGGTGTAACATGGGATTAGTACGGGTGGATCAGGTTTCGAGGAGGCTCCACTGCACGTTCGCTTCCCGTCCAGGTGACAGCTGCACTATATCAACCCGTTCAAAGCTGACTAATGGGCTCTACCGTCTTTTGCCTATGTACACCTAAGCCAGCATCTATGAACCCGATGGGCCGATCTGACGGCTCGCTGACAGCCTCATAGAAGTTCGTCTCAAAACTCGGGGCGTAACCCAACTTCCATGTCTCCAGCTGCACGTCGGATGCACGTATCCGTCCTGTTAACCGTAACGAATGAATATCGCATGAAAGCAACTTCGTCGGATGAAGATACGCTACAGAGCCTCCCGTCTCCCGAGATTATGCTGAATCTTGAAAACTCGTACGACTTTTGGCGATGTAGGGAGCTTACTTCAAGCCCACAGCCGCCGTCTCAGGTGTGTCACAGGCGCCAGACCCGTGGGAACACACTCTCGTGGTGGTCTCGGACTTTATTCACGCGGGAGCTGGGGTATAGGGCCCTCCGAGACATCTGTGTTACTAGTGAGTGTTGTTCGGATGTTTATTGCTTCCGGGGGCTTAGAGTTTTGGTGACTTAGGCCGTCGTCCCTTCGAGTGATCAACCGGGGCAACGCGCGCGTGGGACTTTCGAGTGAACCACGAGTTCATGTCGATCTGAAGACTCTGTGTGGTCTGTTGGCAGTAAACTCGTTGATGCCATACCCTCACCAATTGACCATGGAATGACGTCATGCGGAGACCGGGGTTGCGCACGCTGTCGGGCAAACCATTTCAACGACAGAACTCTGCAATTGCACCCTGATCAACCTTTCTCCCCATTCCACTCTACGTTCAATCAATTCTGATCGCCATGTCCGGCCAATCTTTCGACACCTCGCGCTGGACCTCCCGCAAAGTCCTAATCGCCGGAATTCCCTCCACCCCCTCCGAAGTCCTCATTGCCTACACCTCCTGCCCTCCCCCTCCCTCTGTCACACAAAAGGGTACAATTATCCTCATCCACGGATTTCCACAAACGTCTTATCAGTTTCGACATGTCATTGGTCCGTTGAGCGAGGCGGGGTATTTTGTTGTTGCGCCGGATTATAGGGGCGCGGGTGATTCGAGTAAGCCGCGGGATGGTTACGAGAAGAGCAGGATGGCCGAGGATATCTATGAGCTCGTTACCAAGAACTTGGGGATCAAGGAGAAAGTGCATATAGTGGGCCACGATATCGGTGGAATGGTAGCACACGCGTACGCTACCCGCTTCGCTGAACATACCGCCTCTGTCACAGTCGGCGAGTTTCCGTTACCAGGGACGAAGACGTATGAGGAGGCGATTAGGAATGAACCTGCGTTGTGGCATTTCCATTTCCATTGGCAGACTGATTTACCGGAGTTGCTGACGCAGGGACGGGAGAGGCAGTATATCAAGCACTTTTACGACCGTCTCGGGGTTAACTCCCGTGCTATTAGCCCGACTGATGTTGATGTCTACGCGGGGATGTTCGAGAAAGCTGGTGCGATGAGGGCTGGGTTCGACGTCTATCGTGCTTTCCATAAGGATGCGGAGGAGAACAAGGCGTGGTTGAAGGAGAATGGGAAGTGTACCGTTCCGTGTATGTCATTGTGTGGAGGTGAGAGTGGGTTGGCGGAAATTGCGCCGAAGGAGTTTGAGGAGGTTTATGAGGGGTTTGAGGTGGCGACTGTGGAGGGGAGTGGGCATTGGTGTGCGGAGGAGAATCCGCAGGATTTCGTGAAGAAGGTACTTGGATTTGTTGAAAAGCATCCGGCTTAACTCGTTATTTCACTGATACCACTTCAGTCGTCAAAATCAAAACAACTTTCCTAAATTTGGTGCTGAGTGGGAACTTTCCCGTTCGAACCTCTCATACAGTCGCTTTCCATTCTCGGCAAGCGCATCTTCCTGCACGGCGTAGAACTTAGGAATAAACAACAGAACCTCCACAAAAGTCGTCGCTAGCATTCATCCAATACTTGATAGGGATCAAAGATGAATCGAACGGCAGAGTCCCCGATGGATTTCCAGTATGAGCATGGTACGCCGGCGGATCCAAATAGTCCGTGGCGGACGGCTGCTATGCAGAATTCTCTGGTTGCTTTGGAGCAGGGTCGGAAACGTATGCGTTGCCTCGAGGTCTTGGTTGAGTGGTTACTGATGAAATGATATAGGACCGTTGGGTTTCGGAGGTGACGCATTCAACACCCCATCAAAAGTCCCACAAAGCAATGGCAACGGGTTCAACGCACCCACCGCCCCATTCCTTTTTAACACCCCACAAACCATCCCTCATACCCGGCAAACACTCGCACAACCTCCGGCGCCTGAGGCAGATATGGACGATACCCCCGGTGCGGATGGCGGAGATGAGACGGATATGACACCCGTTGAGAGGGAGGAGAAGCTCAGGAAGGGTAAGAAGGGGAAGGTTGCGGATGGGGCGTTGAGGAAGGTCAAGAAGAGACGGGAGGGGGGACGGGAGAAGAGGTTTTGGAAGGGGGAGGAGAAGGAGAATGATAGTGAGGTTCGTTGTCACTTATGGGGGATCAAGGTGATTTGTACTAATGAGTGGGACAGAGTGGGGACGACGCCACGATGTTGTACACACCGCAGGCTCAACTTGCCGGACCGCGATGGTCTCTTGATCCCGATCATATCACGACATGGCTACAGTTCTTCTTCAACCTTCTTCTGGTTGCGATTCCGATTTACCTTTTTTACGCTCTCTACACGACCATCATTCATGACGTGGACCTCAAAATTGAGGAGTATTCGAGCGAGATTCTGGCAGAGATGGCATTGTGCACGAAGGAGTACCTGGACAACCATTGTTCGATGGCTCAAAGGCCTCCGGCATTGGAAGGGGCATGTAATGCGTGGGAGCGGTGCATGAACCGGGATCCGACTGTAGTTGGCCGGGCCAGGGTTGGCGCGGAGACGTTTGCAGAGATTGTGAACAGCTTCGTGGAGCCAATCTCCTACAAGACGATGGTAAGTCAAGGTTCAGCCTTGTATCGACGAAGCTAACATTTCGATTTACAGATCTTTGGATTACTTGTTATACTCGGCTCGGCCTTTTTGTCAAACGTTGCATTCGGTTTCTTCAGGCAGAAAGCACAGCAGCATCACCAGACGCAGCATCACACAGTGTACACCCAACCCATGATGATCGCACCCCAATACAGAGGACACGAACGAAGCAGGAGTGTCAAGAGAGTCGGATATCATTGAAAGAATCTTACCATAGGCATTTCCTCCGAATCGATGATTTAACCCCCAATTGACTTTCCTGGTTAAACCCTAATCATTATCGCGCGCGAGTCCCAATGGGGTAGTCCCATACATTGCGGTTGTCAGGGGCAATGGAGGACTCGTGGCTGGTGCAGCAGGTGAATTTGCGCGTGCCGAAGTCGTAAAGTTCTTGCTTCGACTCGACCTCAGTACGCCCAAGGCCAGCCCATTGTCCAGCAACCATGAAGGTTCGTTGAGGTGTAAGGGAGTGGAATTGCTTTGTGTAGTTTTATTTGCGGTAGCTGTTGCTTGCTGTTCGGCGGAGGAGCTGGGTTTGGTCCGTTGTGTCGGGTGGTGCGACAGGATTGGATTCGGCTTTTTCGGCGACGGTGATCGACTCGATTTCGTTCAGATCTACCAGACAGTTCACTCTTTTCCTATCCTCTTTTCTGTGGTGGACGTTTGCTAACGAGCGTCCTAGCTTAACATCGCCTACCCCGCCAACGGCACCCAGAAGCTCATCGACATCGACGATGAGCGTCGCCTCCGTGTCTTCATGGAGAAGCGCATGGGTGCCGAGGTTCCCGGTGACTCCGTTGGAGACGAGTTCAAGGGCTACGTCTTCAAGATCACCGGTGGAAACGACAAGCAGGGTTTCCCCATGAAGCAGGTGTGCAAGGATCCGCTCCTGTGGACTATTTGTTCGCAAATACGTCTGTGCCACCGCTAACAATGCTTCTATATAGGGTGTTCTCCACCCCTCCCGTGTCAGGCTTTTGTTGTCCAAGGGACACTCTTGCTACCGTCCCCGCCGTGAGGGTGAGAGGAAGCGCAAGTCCGTCCGTGGATGCATCGTCGCCATGGACTTGTCCGTTCTCTCCCTCGTTGTCGTCAAGCAGGGTGAGGCCGACATCCCCGGATTGACCGACACCACCGTTCCCAAGCGTCTCGGCCCCAAGCGTGCCTCCAAGATCCGCAAGTTCTTCAACTTGTCCAAGGAGGACGATGTCCGCAAGTTTGTCATCCGCCGCGAGGTCCAGCCCAAGAACGCCGAGAAGAAGGCCTACACCAAGGCCCCCAAGGTTTGGGCCCTTATATGACCATTACTACACACAGATCGCTGACAGGCTTGCACAACAGATCCAGCGTCTTGTTACCCCCCGCACCCTCCAGCACAAGCGCCACAGGCTCGCTCTCAAGCGCAGAAGGGCTGAGGCCCAGAAGGAGGCCGCTTCCGCTTACGCTGACCTCCTCACCAAGCGTGTTACTGAGGCCAAGGACCGCAAGGCTGCCACCAAGGCTCGCCGTGCTTCCTCCATGCGCAAGTAGATTCTGGGATTCTCTCTTTTTGGGATGTCATAGCTTCTTGTCGTACCTTGGGCATTAGGAAAATAAAAATGGGTTGCTCTTAATACCGTTTCCATACCGCCTTAATTCCTTCGTAACTGCACTCTCCTCATCGGAACGCCCTTCAACCTTCTGTGAGCGCTCAGGGACGACCGCACGTGCATTAGCCAAATTTTGGAACGCGGAGAGTGAAGCTCAGAGAAATCGACGCAGTACGAACAGTCCGTTCTACACGGCCAAGGAAAGCCCTGATCCGCTTGTGATCAGTCAAGAGACGTCCATTCGACCCTATACTTAGACCCATTCATCCAAGGAGAGTTCCGCGAAACCGTGACGACGGCACATCACATATAAACGGCAGACATGGCATCAAACTCGATCAAGATCTTTGCAGGTCAGTTGGATGGTTAGGGGTAGCTTGGGGGTGAATGCTGATCGAGATTGAACAGGCAACAGCCACTATGACCTTGCCAAGTTGGTCGCTGAGCGTCTTGGGTTGAACCTGTCAAAGGTCAATGTGTTGAAGTACTCGAACCAGGAGACCGCGGTCACGATCGGAGAGTCCGTGCGTGATGAGGATGTGTTCATTATCGTACGTTCGGTCGTATAATGACTGAGGTCATCGGACTGACGAGTGGCTACAGCAATCCGGCTCTGGCGAGATCAACGACAACTTGATGGAGCTCCTTATCATGGTCAATGCCTGCAAGACCGCCTCTGCACGAAGGATCACGGCCGTTATCCCCTGTTTCCCCTATGCCCGTCAAGACAAGAAGGACAAGTCGCGTGCACCCATCACTGCCCGTCTCGTCGCCAACATGCTCCAGACCGCCGGTTGCAACCACGTCATCACCATGGACCTCCACGCTTCCCAAATCCAGGGTTTCTTCAACGTCCCGGTCGACAACCTGTATGCCGAGCCCTCGACACTGAGATATATCCGCGAAGAACTGGATTACAAGAATGCTATCATTGTCTCCCCAGATGCTGGTGGTGCGAAACGTGCGACCGCTATTGCGGATCGGTTGGATATCGGGTTTGCGTTGATTCACAAGGAGAGACAAAAGGCGAATGAGGTGTCGCGTATGGTGTTGGTTGGAGACGTTAGGGGCAAGATTGCGATTTTGGTGGATGATATGGCGGATACTTGTGGTACTCTTGCCCTCGCCGCCAAAACTTTGACGACGAACGGAGCGAAGGAGGTTTATGCGATCGTTACTCATGGTATCCTTTCTGGAAAGGCTATCCAGAGGATCAACGAGAGTGATTTGACGAAGGTCGTCGTGACCAATACCGTACCGCACGAGGACAAGAAAGCCATCTGCCCTAAACTCGCGACGGTCAACATCGCACCTACATTGGCTGAGGCGATCAGGAGGACGCACAACGGAGAGAGTGTTTCGTTTTTGTTTAGCAATGCACCATCGTCATAATTGGGATTAAGTCGACATTGATATCGAGGGAGTTTTTGTGTTTTCTTTTTTTGGTTTTATGTTTGGTTTTACGCATTGAATGTCATGTAAAGTATGACAGGATGAAGATATAAGACATGTCTCCAGACGAGACACGAAAATGAGGATTACGTTTTACATTGCTCCTTGTCCATTTCGTTGCTGTTGTCCTTGTCATTGCGTCCTCACGTCGTCGAGGGTGCTTCGAATCTGGGGCAGCTCGGTCACGTGCCTAACTCGAGCGCCTACGTAACCAAGCGCTTGCGTCGACTCCCAAACCTCAAACACCAAAGGAAACAATTGCATTCAGTCCCAGCAATTGCAATGCACTACTTCCCGCAAAAGGTAGAAGAGGCGGAGCTCCAAATCGCCGAGAAGACACAAAACCTCCGTCGTCTCGAGGCTCAGCGCAATGCACTCAATGCTAAGGTTAGGTTGTTGAGGGAGGAGTTGCAGTTGCTTCAGGAGCCGGGGTCGTATGTTGGTGAGATTGTGAAGGTTATGGGAAAGAAGAAGGCACTTGTTAAGGTTTGTCAGCTGCTGGTTCATTGTCATGTTATGACTACTAACGGTTGGCAAACAGGTCCATCCCGAAGGCAAATATGTGGTTGATATCGCGCCTGATATTGATGTGAAGACACTTCTCCCGACACAGCGTGTTTCGCTCCGTTCGGATAACTACCAACTGCAAAAGGTTCTGCCAAAGAAGGTCGACCCCCTCGTGTCCCTCATGATGGTCGAGAAGGTCCCGGATTCGACATACGATATGGTCGGTGGATTGGAGAAGCAGATTAAGGAGATTAAGGAAGTCATTGAGTTGCCAGTCAAGCACCCAGAATTGTTCGAGTCCTTGGGTATTGCGCAGCCGAAGGGTGTATTGCTCTACGGTCCCCCAGGAACTGGAAAGACGTTGTTGGCGCGTGCGGTGGCACATCATACCGATTGTCGATTTATCCGTGTCAGTGGTTCGGAGTTGGTACAGAAGTACATCGGAGAGGGATCCAGGATGGTTCGAGAGTTGTTCGTGATGGCGCGTGAGCATGCACCGAGTATTATCTTCATGGATGAGATTGATTCTATTGGATCGAGTCGTACGGAGGGTGGTGGTGGAGGTGGTGATTCAGAGGTGCAGAGGACGATGTTGGAGTTGCTTAACCAACTTGATGGATTCGAGCCTACGAAGAACATCAAAGTCATCATGGCGACAAACCGTATCGACATCCTCGACCCAGCTCTCCTCCGCCCCGGCCGTATCGACCGCAAAATCGAATTCCCACCCCCGACTGTCGAAGCCCGCGCCGACATTCTCCGTATCCACTCCCGCAAGATGAACCTCACCCGTGGTATCAACCTCCGTACCATTGCTGAGAAGTTATCGGGTGCGAGTGGAGCTGAGGTTAAGGGTGTGTGTACTGAGGCGGGTATGTATGCGTTGAGGGAGAGGAGGGTACATGTTACGCAGGAGGACTTTGAGATGGCTGTTGCGAAGATTTTGGCGAGGAGTGAGGATAGGGATGTTAGTAAGCAGAGGTTGTTTAAGTAGAGCAGTAGCGATCAGGTGAAGAGAGGTGCATACCGGTATTCCATTGAATTGATGTTGTTGCTAGTATAAAGAGCTACGCATTGTAATCAGTTCATGAATGTGCTTTTCTATCTGCTATCCTACTTCGCAGCTTTTACCAAGCATATACGCAGCATACGGGGTCCTGGGATTTCCCACGCCCCTGGCAGATTACGCACGGACCTCTCCATCCGACCTCAATCTACCACCACTATACGAGACGTTATTGGAGCTCAACTCCATCCCTCCTGCCAATTCGTCAACCTCAACCCAGTGCTGTGCGCAATAGTGATTGTCACCCATGGCAGCTCCCCGTCGGAAACCATTGCCGCCAGCATCTCTCCCACCTCTCCTCAGTCCACGCCTGAGCACTCCAAGGACTTCGACTGCTGCGAGGTATATGCCACCCGTATCGCCGCCCGTGCCCGAGGAACATCTCCCTAGAGCCGTGTTCGCTCCTGATCCCTTCCCAGTGGTACAAGCTCGAACCTTGCCTTGCATATCATCGAGTGTATGCTAATTGGAAGCTGGGAGAACAGAGTCATGCTAAAGATATCATGGGAGGAAGGGAACAGTTCCCGGTTGAGAATGAATGGAATGTTCGGCCGAGGGCGCCTGCGAGGTATAGTTATGAGAAAGGACCGGTAACGGTTGTGAGGCAGAGGTATGCGCCGGATGAGTATGATGAGGAGAATCTGGCGCTTGTAGGTGCTAAGGAGGATGATGGCGATATCGGACTTTACTCTCCTGCCTCCCCACCTCCTCGCCCTGGTTCCGGGGCGCATGACCCAAAAAAATGGAACAAAGTCCGGCAAATCGAAATCGAAGCTGGTCTGTTTGAACCAGGTCGTGAGTTCGGCCAGTTTGTCCGCGCAGAGGAAGATGGGACGACGAACTCTGCACGTTATCGGAATTTAGTGGAGAGGGATCGCGAGCAGTGGGGAAGGGAGCGGAGAGAAGCGTTAGTTAGGGCTGGACCGCCGAGTCAGAGGAGGATGTGGTTTCGCGTCGTGGAGTTGTTAGCGAGTGTGTTGGGGTTTGTCATGATTGCTGGTGCTGGGACGGTCAGCAGCTCCCACTCTATTTCATTTCATTTCAAAAAACTGATGCTGATTTGGGTTGCTAACAGATCACAGGGAAAGAGTATCCGCTCGCGTCGAAGGAACCGTTGTACATCCTGATTTGTGTGAGTTTGTTCTCGATTGCGGTTACGACGTGCTTTTTGGTGATATACTGTTTGAGAAGGTACAAAGGGAGGGAGAAACTGAGTCGATGGTAGTACAAGAAGTAGAATTAACCATGCTGTATGCTGACTTTTGTCTACAGGATTTATACCGGGCTTGACTTTCTTGCGGTGTTGTTTTGGAGGGTTACGCTGTATTGGCTGATTTTGGGGAGTGCGAGTTGTCCGTCTGATGGTGGAAGTTGGTAAGTGAGAGATATCATAATTTGTCAGCTCGACGCTCATAGCGATATAGGTGCTATTGTTACGATACTTCGTTGGGGTTCGGGTGCATGGTTCTCCTCATGTCGTTGATTTCCTTTGGCTTCGACATCACTGGTGGTATGTTCCTCTCCTCTCCTCTCCTCTCCTCTCCTCTTCATCCTACCATCACTAACAATGGACAGGCTGCTGTATGGAGGAACGAGCAAGGAAGAAGGCGTTGAAAGAAGGTGGTGTGCCTGGAAGCAGCCTATATTCCCACGGCTCCCAGGCACGGATGGAGTATCTCATGGCGATGCCGGCAATACCGATGATGAGCAGAGGCCCGTCGTACCAGGTCGTTCCAATGGCATACCCAGGGACGTATTAGATGTCACGAATAAAGGGAGTAATTACGTAGCTTATGTTATTAAGTTGCATTGGGTTGCATCTCACGACGCGTCCATGCACGCACGACCTGTACGCTGTGTTTCGGCCGCTGAAGCCGAGGGACCCAACCACTCTCTATCCTTTACCGCCAATGAGTCGCCTGAAGCACGGCGAGAGCTTTGCGAGTGAAGCCAGTTTCCAGAGTGCCGTCACTCACCAATCCTCTACCTCGGAAACCTCCAACGTCGACGCTGACACTCCACACGCTTCGCCAAGCTTGAGAGAAGAGGAGACTGAGTACGAGTGGCCTGAGATTGTTACTCCTGTTGCTGAACGCGAAAGGCCACAGATGCCGCCGTCTGAGGATAGCATGGAGAGCACTCCGACTCTGCGGCCCACGGTGCGGCAACAGAGTAGTACACCTGCTCCGTCTCATTCGGCTTCTGGGTCAGCGAGTTCATCACGGTCTACACCGGCTCGTACACAAGGTGACGTTGAACGTGCTCCAAGTGTGGAGAGCACCGCGAGTAACCACACCATTCGCCGTCGTAACCCCATGAGTCGCCGTACGACCCAACGTTTAGTATCCCATGGTTCTCATTATGGACACTTCTCGGCTGAGGATGATGAGATGGAAGTCATGGCAGCACTCGAACGACAAAGGAGTCACGAGAGCCGACGAGTGGGTGGGGTTAGTAGGAGGAGTATCCGTGGCATGAGGTCGTATACAGGCAGCAGCTTGAGGGCGGGGATTACTGACGAAGAACCCGATGCGGATGATATGGATAACGATGCAGCGGATGCGATTGGGTTGCAGGAGGAAGTCGTGGATGAGATTCCTGAGATTGAGATGGAGCAGGGGGAGCTGAGTGATACCGGCTCTGATGCCTCTTTTACTCTGAAGGTAAGCTCCCGGTAATAGCTGACCTCAACTTTGCTCTTTGACTAACGATTTCTTATAGGACCGACAAAATGCCATTAACAAAACCCACCCGTTCGGTATCCGGATCTGGAAACCCGCTATCTACAAGAAAATTCGTTCTGTCCAAGCCCGCGCCGAAGGCGACATCCATTCCGCCCCCGGTCTCCGTCACCGCTTCTCTATCTTCAACATCCTCTGGACTCTATTTTTCGGATGGTGGTTAGCTATCATCTGCATGGTCGCAAGTATTAGCTGCTACCTTCTCTGCTTCTCCCGCAGCGGCGTTCGGTACGGAAAAGTCTTTTGGGGATTAGCCCGATACCTCATGTTCCCCTTTGGCCGCTTCGTCGATCTCGAACCCGACGAGGCATATGCGGAAGAAGACGAGGGCGAGGGACAATCTATCTCCGAGTTCGAACGGTATGGGTGGGATAGGGATATCGATGATCTCGAGAATGGACACCGAGAGCCGGGGGCGAGGAGTATCATTGGGAGACACAGGGATTCGTTCGAGAGTACCTCTGAGACGGATTCACTGTTGCGGGCACATCGGAATCGAAGGAGGAGGAGGAGTGAGGCGCAGGTTAGGGGGCAGAGGAGGATGTTTGGGAGGGGCAAGTGGAGTTTGGGACGGATTGTGTTTTATCTTTGGTTTTACATCTTGATCGGTGGGTCCACCATACCTTGATTGTGATTGTTCATGACTGACTGGTGACTTGCAGCTCCGCTTCTTCTGCTTGTGAGCATGGTGTGTTGGATGGGTGTGTTCACGATTCCGATGAGTAAGGTGACTTACCTTCTCTTTGCGCATCTTCGTCGTCACCCGCTCTCGTTGTCATTCCATTCTGATCTCGGCGAGGTGGGGAAACCGGGTTCGCCGTCTGCGTCGGTTCTCGTGTGTACGTACAATGCGGTCGGGCTGGGATACTACAAGTACACCGTCGACGGCACAAACATCTTCTTCGTCAACCTCATGTTCGTCGTCTTCTTCACCATCGTCGACGACTACTTCATCGGACCCTGGTCCGGACATTCGACTTGGGTTTCCTCCCCTGCTGTCATCTTCTCGTTGGCGTTGGTGAGTGTCATCCCACTTGCGTATTTTGTCGGGCAAGCTGTTGCTTCGATTTCGGCACAGTCGTCAATGGGGATGGGTGCGGCGATCAACGCGTTCTTCGGATCTTTGGTGGAGATTTTCTTGTATTGCGTTGCGTTGAATCAAGGAAAGGCGCAGATTACAGAGGGAAGTATCGTTGGGAGTGTGTTGGCTGGTGTTTTACTCATGCCTGGAACTTCCATGTGTGCTGGTGCGCTCAGGCGGAAGACACAACGATTCAACGCCAAGTCGGCGGGAGTGACTTCGACGATGTTACTGTTTGCCGTGGTAGCAGCCTTCGCACCAACCCTCTTCTACCAGATTTACGGCACGTACGAACTCAAATGCGGACCCTGCAAGCACAAAAACCTCGACTGCCAACGCTGTTTCTTCGATCAATCCGATGCGCTCTCCGATCCCTTCTACCAGCACTCCGTCAAGCCATTCACGTACCTGTGTGCGGTCTGTCTAGTCTTGTCATATGCGATTGGGTTGTGGTTCACGCTGCGTACACACGCGAAGCAGATTTGGCAGATGCCGATTGAGGGCGAGAGGAGGGGTGATCACATGCGGGATTCGATTATTACGCTGCCGCCGGCGCCGCAGGATGGGGGTCATTCCCATGGTGACAGGCCACATGCAACGAGGAGTACGTCGTTTATCCGGGATTCGGCGGTGTATAAACGGGCTATGCCGGCGATTCAGTCGTTGTTGAGTCCGTATCGGCATGCGGTTGAGGGAGATCTGTCTGGTGATGCTTCCGGGAGTTCGCCTCGTGCGTCTGGTGAGGTTAACGGTGAACGGAGACCTTCGTTGATTCAGGGATTGAGTCCGGAGGATAACTTGAATCTTGCGAGGAATGTTGCGGAGGTCGCTGCGACGGCCGCAGCGTTGACGATTCATACTCAGCAGCAGAGTGGGACGCATCATCGTCCTTCGCCTGCGCGACACCAAACTCGCCCGACGTCGTATTCCTATGGGAATGCGTTGGACGATTTCCCTGAGGATGCGGAACCGGGACATGGGGGGCACGATGCACCTAACTGGTCGAAGACGAAGTCTGCGGTTATCTTGTTGAGTGCGACAATTCTCTATGCCATCATTGCCGAGATCCTCGTGGACACCGTTGATGTTGTTCTCGAACACGTTCGGATTGACGAGAAGTTCCTCGGGTTCACGCTCTTTGCGCTGGTACCGAACACGACAGAATTCTTGAACGCAATCTCCTTCGCCGTGAACGGCAACGCCGCCCTTTCAATGGAAATCGGCTCCGCGTACGCGCTCCAAGTCTGTCTCCTCCAAATCCCGGCTCTCGTCGCCTACTCCGCCTTCACCAACTACGGCCGCATAGAATCCGCATCATCCACCTTTTCCCTGATTTTCCCGCGCTGGGACTTGGTGTGTGTTATCCTGAGTGTGTTTTTGTTGAGTTATGTGCATGGGGAGGGAAAGAGTAATTATTTCAAGGGGAGTATTTTGGTGTTGGGGTATGTTGTGATGAGTTTTGGGTTTTATGCTACGCCGAGTGATGCGCATTCGTATGGGCCTTTTGAAATTCTTAGGGGGCCTGCGATACTCATGCAAGGTGGTGGTGGTGAGCCGTAGTGTATCAGGAGGGGATGCATATCATTTGATATCTAGCTTGAGCATGCCACATATGATCTATCTCATCATCGTGCCTTCTCCGTCTCGGCTGTTCGCTTCTTGAGCTCATCCATCTCCTCCTTCGTTTTCCTCTTGCCAAACAACAAACTCCCAACCCTAACATTCGTACTCCCCATCCTAATCGCCTCCTCGAAATCACTCGACATGCCCATACTCAACCCCAGTTCCACTCCCAACTCTTTACTAATCTGATCTCGAACACTTACTAGGGTTTTGAAGTCGGGGTTCTCTTCGGAGGAGGAGAGGGAGTTTGAGCGGGATCCGATTGTCATGAGGCCGGACAGAGTGAGGGAGGGGCAGGAGTTGTGGATGTGGCGGCAGAGGGCGTGGGCTTCCGGGGGTTCGACGCCGGATTTGCCTATGATCACACTGTCAGCGGTCCTGCCCACGGTGATCAGGAAGAGGGATACACACTTTCTTCACCACTCGTATTGACCTGCACGTAAACCCTCAACCTTGCCCACTTTTTCCCCTCCTCCCCTACCTCTCCCTTCCCCTCCAATACACTCCTTCGTCCTTTCTCCAATGCATCCGCCTTCTTCACCGTATCAACCGTCTCCACACTCCACAGATTCCGAATCTGGGACGCGAGGTTCTTGCATTTATTTGTTTGGAGGGCACCTTGGAAGTGCCAGTGGATATCGGCGGGGAGGAGGGATGATTTGTGAAGGAGTTCTTGGAGGTAGTTTTCCCCGAAGTGGAGTTGGCGGTGGGGAGAGGAGTAGAGGAGTTGGAGGTCGGAGGGGGGCATGTATTTTGAGACTGCGACGAGGGTTACCTCGAGATCATATTAGTAGGTGGAGGAGAGGAGAGGAGAGAAAAGAGAGAGATGGGAGCGTACCGGTCGCCCGTTCGCGGCTTTGTCCACTCGTGCTTGTACTTCCGCCAAGTTCTCTTGCAGATCCGCAACGCGTCTCGGATCCACGCTGATCATATCCAGGCCGGCTGTTGATGATGACATAGCTCTCCTCAAACTGCAAATTCTGACGATAGTTCTCGAATTCATCGACCTGTCACGTACATGTAACGTCGAAGTCGGTGACTCCCACTTGCAGTTAGCGTCGGTTCGAGCCTCGGCTCTTCCTTCCCGTCTCAAAACTTTATTCTTAATTTACGATGGGGATTGATAAAGAGAGGAGAGAGGACTTTTCTACACAGAAGGTATGTTGTTGTTCTCACGAGTTCGACATAATCTTCAACTCTTGAAGTGCAGTACTGGCAAGATCGCTATACAACCACCACCGACTCCTCTACTTTCGACTGGCTGATCACCTACACCCAACTTGGGCCTCTGATCCACGCTCTCCTCTCCACCTACAATGCGCCACGGATTCTAAACGTCGGCTGTGGAAACTCCACCCTCTCGCGAGACCTCCACGATGATGGCTTCTCGAATTTGGTATCTATTGATTACGCACCATCATGTATCGAACAAATGCGGCAACGAGATCCAGAGCTGGAGTGGGAGGTGCAGGATGCCACGAGAATGACGTATCCGGACGCTTCGTTCGATGCGGTGGTGGATAAATCGACGCTGGATTGTTTATCCACGACTCATGATGATTCAGCAAGACGATACCAAGACGAGACTTTACGAGTACTGAAGGATACTGGGGTATGGATCGTCGTATCATATTCTGGATACCGAGAAGAAGGTTTTGGAGCGGACTGGACCGTGGAAAGACACGAAGTCGAAGTAGACAGCGGCGGAAACGAGGGCGGTGTACATCGGCCAACTGTATGCATGTACGTCTACATCCTCCAAAAACGCGAACGATGATACTCGATAGATAGAATGATAGATATAGATGATAATACTGTCCTGTCCCTCATTGCCTCCCACGCTGAAACGCCAGAACACTAAGAAACCCCCGAAATGCCTACACTCACTCGCTGCTTCATTCGCGATCGATCTACTCTATGCAAAACTCATCGTGATCTCGCCCTCCCCGCCAAAGTCCTCCTCGCCATCATCTTCACACCCGTGTCTGTTGCGGTGGGTTTGAGTTGGGAGAGTCGGTGTAGTCACCGCAGTCATCAGACTCGGTCTCCGGGCCTCGGCAAAGACTGCAGTTCGTGGTGATACACCAACGCCTACCGAAGTTGTTGGGCTGGAAACGCTGTCTAAGCTCGCTCCACGTTCCATCGCGACACTCCCACCTCCAGCAGCCCCAAACGGACTCCGCAAATTCAACACCGGCGGTTTCCCCTCACCCTCCCCTTGCGGGAAGGGATCGGACTCCGGCCCCTCCGAAACAGAGTTCCGCGCCGAAGGCGCATGCGTCCGTACATCCACCGCACTCCTATTCCTTCCCAACGTAAACAACGAAAAACTACTCCTTCCCGCCCCGGACGAACTCGAACCTGGCCTCGAGTTCGTGTTCGTGTTCGAGGGAACAACGACTGGTGGGAGGGTGGATTTGAGCTCTTTCACTGCGACGCCGTTTTTGGCTAGTTCTTTTCGAATGCCGACGATGTCGAAGATGACTTCACCATTGTTCGCGTTCTCGGGGTCCGAGGTTTCGGGCGTGGTGCTTGTTGAGTCTTTCTGGAACTGCGTATACGCCTCAGGCCCTGGCGTATTAACACTACTCCTCCCCGCAACCTTCCCAAACCAACTCAACCGACTCCCCTTCTTCTGCTGAGGCAGTCTTTGCTTCGCCTCCTCCAAATCCTCCAACAACACCCTCTGCCTCTCCCGATGCTTATCCGGATCCGGATCCTCAATCTCCTCGAATTTATCGGAAGTAACGACCCATCCGACCGTTTTGAGGAGTTTGGGGATAGCTTCACGGTATGACATGTGCCCGTCGACGAAGGTTGTACAGTCCACGTTTTCGACTTTGGAGACGACTTCAACGGGGCGTAGGCCGGCTACGCGGCCGATTCCGCCGGAGGAGGCGCGGAAGAGGTAGCCGAGGATCCAGTCTGTTCTTGAATATCCATTGACGAAACGGCCTGCGACAATGGAGGAGACTTTGATGTATTCGGTTGCGGACACGACGACGGGGGTACCGAAGAGGTATACATCCTGTACGATCCCGAACGCGTTCTTAGCCGCGAGTTCGAGGAGACAATAGAAGATTACGCGGGCGCCGAGGGAGTAGCCAACGAGTGTTACTGGTCTGTTACCGAGGTTGTGGTGGAGGAGGGTGTCGGCCATAATCAGTCCTGCTGCTTTTGCACGGTCGAGGGAATTGCTCCAGGGGTTGTCGACGAGGTATCCTAGTTTTGTTAGAATCATGGGGAGTTGGAGACCGCTGAGGAGGACACCGAGGACAGTTTGGCCGAGAGCTTGTTGCAGACTCTGGGTCAAGACCTCTGTACCCAGAATTCTGATCGTCTGACCCATGGAGGTCAACATTTCCGGTTCCCAGAGGACGGAGAATATATCACCCATCACCGGATCCACGACCGAGAACGGAAGTCGAACATCATCTTCTTTGCCAGACATCCATCCCGAGACGGTGATGATGACATTGACACGACCCGTATTGTACAAAGGCCTGAATTCGAAGGTCTTGACAGCTTGTGTACGCCGAGACATACCGGTCACGCCAGTGTTTGCTCCCGCTAGAACACCACCGGTAGTAATCAATGCCGCACCTCCCGTACCCGCCAGGAAAGTCGTCGCACCGCCCGCCCCAACAGCAGACATGGCAACACCAAGTCCAGCACCAATCACAGGCGCCAACAACCCCGCAGACAATCCGATGACGATTCCACCACCAGCCATCGCAAGTCCCATCATCATCATTCTCTTTCTCTTTGCCATTTTTGCTCGCGTAGAGATGATGCCTTCTTCCTTATATTCGTTCTTGTCTGCGGCTTCTTGCACGTCCAGGGCGTCCGTGACACGTTTCTCGAATTTAGTGAGTTCGACCCATGGGACGTCGAGGGCTTTTCCCATCAGGACGAGGAGGACCCGTGATCGTGCGTCGTAGAGGGAGTCTGCGATTAGGACGAGGAAGAGGTCGCAGAGGACTGTCCAGCGGAGGTCGATCTCGATTTCGCGTGTTGAAGGGAGGGCGGATAGGTCTTTGACGGTCTGCTCTTCTTCTTCCTCTTCGTCGTCGACAGCGGATGTTGATTTCTCTTTGCGATAGGCGGGAGGTGCGCCTGCATTGAGGGATGCATTCGGATTTGCGACTTGGACGTTCTTCATGAGTGATGGCGCCAGGTCTGACGGTTTCACACCGTGTAGTGATAGTTGCTCGATCATAACTTGCTCTGTATAGCTGGCGTCAGCTCGTCATCTTCAACAATCTGGAAAGCCAGATATACCTTCAGCAGTAATCTCCATATGAGCATATAATCTCACGCTCATCTTCTGACTCCACAAAATCATACTCTCCGTAGCCTTGGCGATCTCCTTTCTCTTCGAGCTGGATATGTCTCGCAACATTTCTACCATCAACAACTTGCAAATCCCCACGTATGCTATCCGCTGTCCTTCCGTGAGTAGGTCCTTGGTAGCCTGCATTTGGCTCAGTGGTGTTCGTGCAGCCTCGTCATCCTCGAACTTTGTTTCGTCAAAGAGGTAGCGGGTATTTTCGTCCATGGATGTTGCAGACTGGTTGTCCTCGTCCGCATCTACCCTGGTGTATCCCTTCGCTCCGGTAGCCCTCTCATCCTCGTCATCCACCGCAGCTCGTGCAATTATCCGTCCATCCTCGTCATACATGTCGTATGTTGCGATCGCTTCCATATTTGTCCACTCGCCGTCGTCGTCAGCTGTAGTCTCCTTCCTTTCTAGCACAGGTGACCCATGTGGACGATCCTGACCGACAGCTACCTGGTGGCTCCATTCTGACGCACCAGCTGGATTCCATTCCGGGTGTTCCAGGATCGTACCCTCACCCTGACTACTTCCTCTTCGATGTGTCGCTTTGTGTCCGTCCTTTGTTGAAGGCATAGCCTGCCATTCTCCCAAGTCGGCTTCCGGGGTCAGGTGTTGTTTATGAGGTGGTATTGGCGGTGGTGGTAGATCCCGCACAGACATCTGCTCGAACGCTTCTGCTGGATCTTGATACGGATCACCACCATTGTTACCACAATCGAATTCTAGCCCTACGGCTCTTTGGCGAACAGTTGCCGAACGGCTCTCATTGACGTCGTTCAAGCTCATTAGGGGAAGCCAGGTCGATCATAGACCCCGCAGACCAAAGGAAGCGACGTAGTATGCGGCAGGATAATTGTCAGAATGCTGTTGACCGATTGTACCAGTCGCCGAGTCTCCGCGGAATAAATCGATGGTATTTAGGCTCGGTATACCGAGACGCGCACGGGCCTGGACCCCAACGCCAGCGACAGCAGGCACCATCGATAACTACCGAAGAACGTCCATACCAGATGGGCATGATCAAAGACGTCTGATATGCCTCGAAGTATTTACAGATCATCTTTCTATAACGCTCCACGAGCCACATCATCGTTGTACACGTTGATGTTGATATGACGTCTCGGGTCGGTTACTAATACCCGCAGCTGCTGGATCAGATATGAACCATTTCCCGGAAAGCACAATTACCATGTCTTCTCCTGTCATGTACGTTCGATTCAATTCGGCCTCACTGCCATAACACTGACCATCCACTGCTATAGCATCGTCACCGGGGCTTCCCGCGGAATCGGCCTCGAGGTCTGCAAGACCCTCCTCACCGAGTTCTCCTCGAAGATCGTCGCTGTGTCCCGTTCCACCCCCGCCGGCCTCACCTCTTTGAAGGAGCAATACTCCGACAGCATCGAGATCGTCACCGGTGACGTCGCTTCCCCCGAGACCTCCAAGAACGCCGTCAACAAGGCCATCGAGAAGTGGGGACAATTGGACGGATTGGTCCTGAACGCCGGTACCCTCGACCCTGTCGCTAGGCTCGAAGATGCTGATGTCGATGCTTGGCGTAAGGGTTACGACATTAACTTTTTTGGTCTCCTCCCTGCTATCAAGGAGTCTATTCCTCACCTTCGCAAGTCCAAGGGTAGGGTCGTCTTCGTCTCTTCTGGCGCTGCTACCTCTGCATATGAGGGTTGGGGTTGCTACGGTTCTACCAAGGCCGCCATGAACCACCTTAACGAGACCCTCGCCTTCGAGGAGCCCGAGATCACTGCTGTCTCTATTCGTCCTGGTGTCGTTGACACTGAGATGCAGAGGGCTATCCGTGAGGAGCACAGGACCAAGATGGGTGAGGGACACTCCAAGTTCATTCAGTTGCACGAGAATGGTGACTTGGTGCCTGCGGAGAAGCCCGCTGGTGTTTGTGCGAGGTTGGCGGTGAAAGCTACCAAGGACTTGAGCGGTTTGTTCTTGAGCTGGAACAGCCCTGAGGTCAAAGCCTACCAGGGTTAAAAAGGATGAGGTAGAGTGATCAAGATATATTCAATAGAGTAGCTGTAAGAATGGAAGATTCCTGCACACTCCCATCACCGCATAGCCAATTGAAGAAGCCTCAGGGCATTGTGGAATACACAGTGGAATCATGAAGATCATTCTTAGCATGAAATAATTTTTGGACATCATTGGCTTCTTCAATAGCATGCGGCGAGGAAGGGAGCAAACCCTCAGCATCGATTGCTGTCGCAGATCTGAACAATTGATAAGGAAATAGCTGTATTGGCTATGCTAGACGCACGGGGGAGGCAGTCGAACATCGACGAACGAAGAAAGAGCAGAAGACCTATATCTTCAGGGACAATTAGCACATGTCCGACATGATCGCGTACTCGTCAAAATCTCATTCCAAACGAAATGATTCCACTCAAGATCAGTTACGGGTGTTTGGAGACCCTACGTCGAATCGTCATGTAGGCGGGGGTTAAGACCGCTTTTCACGACTGGGGCGACAAAGAATCATCACTTTGAGTGGAACTCTTCCGAGGAGTCCGAGATATGACAAGAAGAATTGTACTCACAATTTCCTGAGTTGGCGAGATGGAGATGTTTGTAAGTTCAAGGTGGAGGGGTCGCGCTGGGGAAGTTTTTGAGGACGTTGGCGAGTTAGCGTGTGAAGGCACCAGCCACAGCACCAGGCTGGTGACCGTGTGACCGTGTGGGGGTGTGAATAACGGAGAAGGCCAGCACCGCCATTCAGAGCGGGTAAAAACAACTGGGTCAGATGGATCAGCCAAAAGCGGACCGGTCCATCTGGAAAATCTTCAAATCCAAATGGGGGACTAATCAGATGATCGTGTGGGAGCGTGCTGGCGGGCCTATGATTTCTCCTCAAGCACACGGACCGATCTCATGACTAACCCCGCCCCGTCCTCGATCCATATGCTCTCCTCCTATAAGAACCCCATTGTCCGTCGCCCAAAAACGCTCATCCCAAGTTCATCACAAGTTCGCTCTTTCGCAGACAGCAATCACTCTTTCTACAACTCTCACTACACTCTTTTCACAACACTTTCAACACAACAACGAAAATGCAGATCACCAACGCTTTCTTTTTGTCCGCCTTCGCCGGTGTCCTTTCTTCTTTGGCCGCCAACGCCGCTCCTGCTGCTCACGCCGGTGCCCGCATTCCCACGCCCCCTCTTGCTGGTCTTGCCAAGCGCTCTGCTGACAGGGCTAGCACCGTCTCCGTCGTCTGGGACTACCAGACCTGGACCTCCCCTGCTGGTTACGAGGAGGATGTTGTCCTTGTCAACGTCTACGACACGAACGGCGACGTTGCTTGCCAGGAGCAGTTCGCCATCACCTCCATCGCCGGCGGTATTGGTGCTCCTTACACCACCAACGGATGTGCCGTCACCATTGAGATCGACGGTTGCGAGGGTGATGAGTCCCGTGAGGCCCACGTGCGCTACAAGGGCGTTGATCTCGGTTGCCAGGAGCTTCCTCTCCAGGAGTGCCCGGTCAAGGGATACTTGTCTGAGGAAATTCAGTACACCTTTGTTGCCTCGTACGAATGTGATTCTAGCGAGGTTGTTTACAAGAAGCGCGATGCTCAGGGTATCGCTGAGAAGCGTGCGCTCTCCAGCTACACTGCTTACACCCCCACCTACGAGTCCTTCACCGTCGACTTCGACTTCTCCCTCACCACCGACGAAGCCCACGTCTTCATCTTCGGCAATGACTGCAGCACCCCAATCTACTCTGCCACCGTCTGCGACATTGACTCCTTGTTCGGTACCCAGATCACCGTTGATGGTTGCGATGGGTTGATGATTGTGATCGAGGAGGCCGAGTGTGGATACACGGGCTCTGCCACGTACAACTGCGAGGAGCTTCTTGCGGTTGAGCTTGTTGAGGAGTGCGATGGCTCTTACTACTACGCTGCTTCTTACTCTTCTGACTCTAGCATGTAAGGATTCTGATGATAGGCATGGTATAGCGTTCGATTTCTTTCTTCGTGGGTTTAGGTTTCCTTCTTGATTTTTTTTTGGGTACGAGGGGGCCTTCGGGTCTCCTGTGATGAATTCATGTTCCATTCCTTATTTGGGTTCACCGCCTCTCTCATAATTTTGGCAGTTCGGATCACTATTGAGTCGGCTGCCTGCACAAGGCCGTTGTCTGTTCTCTATGGCTTAGGAAATGATCGCGGAGACTTTACCTCAGTGAGAGTGTTTGTTGCCCGGTGTGTCGTCGTGAATTATCGTGAGAAGTCGAGATCAAAATCGGGTTACCAGTCGCCCTACGAACACGCGAGTACAAGAAGAATCAAAACAACCAGGAGCATGATACATAACGTGACCTTCAATTCCGAACTGTCTATGTAGGTATATCGTCCCTTTTTCTTTGTCATACTCAGATCATAACCTCCAACCGCATCAGCTTGGTGTACACATCCGCCGGCATCCTGTACTGGATCAAACCGGCATACATCACAGCGTTTTTCGCTTTCCTCTTGATTTCCTTCAACTTCGCCACTCTGCTTGGATCTGTGTATGTACTCTCCTTCAAGCCCATACTAATCGCCTGCATAGACTCCATCGCCATAATCACCAGGTTCGACACATTCTTCGCAATGCTCTCGTGCAAGGAAGCGAATTGCTGAGCACGGTGACGAACATCTGTCAAATCTGCAGACAACAACGGCAGGAAGTCAAGCTGTTCGATGACCTGCAGCGCGTTCTCCCAATCTCCGGACTCGTACAACTTGCGTGCACCGAGCATTTTCTGGAGGGTATCACATGCTTCTCGGTTCACGACACTGATGCTCTTGATGATTGCAGCATTGTTGGCGTACACATCAATCATATTCTTAGCAAGTACCGCCGCATCTTCCGAAGCCGCAAGCGAGACATTCGCATCCTGCGGAACATGCGGAGCGTGAGCAATATCCGTGGTCATATCGGCAATCGCGTCACCGAGCTTCTTGTTGATGATACTAACGACAGTGTCGTACGCCTCGGACAGGTGGTAGAGCAAGACCGCATCGTTTGTTCTGGCATCGTTGTCGGCCTGAGCCGCAGCCTGCTCGGTGATAGTGCGGAGATAGTCCTTCTCATTAGGCAATTGAATGAGGCGCATCTTCTGCTCAATAGCACCAGGGATACGAGTGCCATCCGCACGTACGTCACCGATGAGACGGTCGTACTGTCTAGTCTCCAACACCAACTCCCTGATTGCGCTGTGGCAGAGTGCACGCTGCTCAGCGGACTTGGGCGCCGGCAAATCACCGTTCAAGCAGATCAAGGCCAGATAATCGATAGCCTCCTCAGGATCAGTTTGACGGAAATCGCGAACATACACGCAGATAAGGCGTGCGAAATTGATATAAGAGATATCGCGCTCTTGGTCGAGAATGAGTAGATCCGCCTCCGTAACCGGCGACTCGACGGGAACGCGCAACAATCCGTAGTACGTCAATGCAATCGCAAAATGAACAGCATCGATGCAGTGGTACGAGTACATGTAGTGCACTGCACGCTCGAACTGTCCAGTCATCAACAGCACCTGGAAGTAGACAATAGCGTTCTGACCAGAAGCGTTGAAGTGCTTCGCGCCGAAGGTCAAGACGAGCTTCTGGACGTCCTCGAGGGTATACCTGTCCTGAATAGGCTCGTTTGGGTCCTCCGTCTCCCTAGCCAATATGAACTGCAACCACATCCAGTCCTCGGTAGTACTAAGAACTCTCAACGACCTCCTGTTCAACTCACAGCGACCAATAATCTTGTATACAGCATGCTTGTACGGATCAGTGTCTTCCGTCAAGAACCTAATACGCTGGTTAAAGTCCGCATGCAGACGGTCGCGCAATTGCCGGGGAAGACGACGATCAGGAGACGTGGCGTAGGTGCGAATGTATGTCGGGAATGATCTTTCCCCATTCTGGAACCATGCATCGTTGGCTTCGGTGAACTTGACAGCCTCCTCGAGACGGCCAGCGCGAATCAAGTAGAAGATGTGCGCCCATATCGGGTAGTCTTCGACCAGCTCGAACTTTGGTCCATTCCATTCGCCGTCTTGCTTGAAGCGTACGTTGAGATAACCCCGGATTTTGTTGTTGATCGAGGGAACTCCACCGATTTGTGCCAACTGGGGGTTGCTGACAATCAAGTTATCGACAACTACTCGGAATTGCTCCTCAAGCCATTTGCGGGAGGCCGCAGTGATATGCTTATTCAGAGCAGTGGTATCCTTGGAGCGAGGAGTAGCAGCAGCGTACTGCTTGGCGTACTGTCGCTCAGTAATGGAGTCGCCGTAGAATTCTCCGTTGTGGACATTCTCCTCATTGGCCAACACTCCCATCAACTTCCACGCGTCGCCAAGCTGCTGAATGGTCGCCTTGTTCCCTGCATTATCAGACAGAGCCGAGAAGGCGGATATAATGCCAAAAGGAGTACCCTTCAAGCGGAGGTCGTTCAAGTGCTTGACAACAGTAGCAAACTGCTGGCGGCGGAGGTGGGACGTAAGGCTGCCCGCTGTCGGCTTCTTGCGGGGCTCACCGACATCCTGGAACTCCTCCTTGTCGAAAACACCCAGAACAGATTTGCCGAGCACGGAGCGTGACAAGCTGCGCTTGTGCGTAGAGAACCCCATTGATTTGCCAAAAACGGAGGCGCCCGGCTTCTCTGCGTCCTTTTCATCGCCAGTTCTTGCCGCCAAGCCAATGGACTCGAAAACTCTCTGCTTTTGCTTCTCCCAGTCAAGATTGATGTTTCTGGCAACGAATGCTTCGAAGTCCTTTTGCGTACGTCTGATTGATTCGTCGATAGCCGAAGTGATATTCTGCTCCTTCTTGTAGCGCAAGTGACGGTCGAGATCTCTCGCGTCGTGTGATGGTACAAGAGGGTCAATTGGTTCAGGAAACCTGATCTGCGCCAGGTCTTGTTTGGTCTCCGCAGGATTCACTCCGCTTCCAGCCAACACAAGATGAGCCTTAGAATCGCCGTCGCGAGCGGCTTGGGCAGCCTTTTGCGCAAGGTCCTTTGCACGCGCCTCAATCTGTTCTAAAGAGAGCTGAATCTGCGGGATTTCCGGCTGCAAAAGCTGAAGCTCCGTTGTCAGCTTCTTGGATTGAGCGAGAATGTCGTTCAAAACAGAGAAAGACGGGTTAGGATTCGGCATTCCCGACGACGTATCCACGATTGGAGGCGCCATGTTGTTCATCTTGACTCTGTCGTTTGCGACGTTCGTCCAGGCTCAATTGCAATGGGATGCTGCAGCTCATAACACAGCTCACGTGCAAGATTCAGGGAAAGCGCGCCCTGACATCACAACATTGAACCGAGCCACCAGCAAGGGAACCGACAATGGAAGAATCTTTGGCCGGCAATTACGACGTTGTGATCAACGGGACTGGTCTCCCGGAGTCAATACTGGCGGCGTGTGCATCCTCCTGGGCTCCTCTACAAGTGTTTGGCGCTGACATGTCTCTGCAGAGCTTGCGCACGCTCCGGCAAATCCGTCCTCCATGTTGATACGAATGAATATTACGGCTCAGATTGGGCAGCTCTTAGCCTCAATGAGCTTGAGACTTGGGTAAAGGCTTACCAAAAGAATGAGTCTGGCGCATTTACCTCGGCAACCTTGAGCATACACGACGAATCAGGTCTTGGCCAAGCTCGAGCTTATGCCATCGACCTGTCCCCACGGATATTGTACGCCAAATCTAAATTAATTGACGTATTGGTCTCGTCACGGATATCGCGGTATCTTGACTTCAAATCATTACCAACGACCTGGGTCTATCAATCTGAGAGAAATGAGGAGTGCGGTCTAGTAAAAGTACCCGCAGGCCGTGAAGATGTGTTCACGAGTGACAAATGGGACCTTCTGACAAAGAGGCGTGTGATGAAGTTTCTCAAGTTTGCCACAGATTACGCCAGTGAGGAGAACAGAAGGATCTGGGAAGGTTGGTACTTGTTCAGCATCGTCTGCGCATGTGACTAACAGTGACCAGCGAAATCCGAACAAGCGCTTCCGGTCGTTCTAGCAGCACCGCCTTTCTCACTTTCACCTGCTCTTGTGTCTTCTATCACGTATGCAATAGCTTTGGCGCCGTCTCCTGAAGCCCTCTGCGTTCAAGACGCATTACCGCTGATACATCGACACCTGACTTCCTTAGGTATTTATGGCGCTTTCCCAACTATAGTGCCCATGTATGGCGGAGGTGGGGAACTGAGCCAGGCCTTTTGTCGAGCGGCAGCAGTTAAGGGAGCAACGTACGTCCTTGGTAAACGTACAGTCTCGCAGAACGCGACCGAAGAGGGTGTGGAGGTGGCGTTCGACGGCGGTGAAACCGTCAAGTGTGGGACGTATGTCGAACGCGTGTCAGGCCTGACCGGGTACAAGGATTCGGCCATCTTGCGGAAGGTCATTGTCGTGAAAGGAGACTGCAAAGCCCTGGTTCCCACGGGTGACGCGTCGATAGTGGTGTTTCCGCCTGGTACACTTGGTCAAAATGCACAGTCTGTGATAGCACAGATTCATGGAAGTGGGACAGGCGAGTGCCCAAATGGACAATGTATGTGCCCACTCCACGATTACTTGTTTCAAATGCTGACTTGAGCATGCAGGGATTTGGTATCTGAGTACAACGGGAACATCAGACGCCGTCAACGCTCTGAAGCAAGCATCCATTGCCCTCAAGAACGAAGCAATCCGTTCGGTTGCTGGTGAAGCAGCCGTTACAATGGATTTCCTCTTTGAGCTGTCGTATACCCAACACTCTTCTTCACCTTCCGACTCAAGTGACAAGACGAGCAGAATTATTCCACTTACTCCTGCTCTTACCACGGATTATGATGCGGCTGTGGATTGTGCTCGTTTCGCGTATGGCAGAATATTTGGTACGGAGGAGGGGTTCATGGAGACGTTGGAGGAGGATCTTGCCGGGGATGAAGACGAATTCTAGACACGGTAATAAAAGAACGACAACCGGAACACGATAGCCAACTTCTTGCTATGAAACCGCAATGAGGCGGCAAGAATATAGACATTGTTTTTGCAATTGGTGTCCTAGACCGTGATAGCTTTCCCTCAAATATCCCTTGACATCTCGCCACCCTCGGCAGCTCTATCAACAAGAGCCCTGAACCTCCTCTGCTGATCCGCCATACTCAAGAAGATACCATACTTGATCTCGAAAATATCCTTTTCTGTGTTACTCTTGGTCGGGAACACCGCCGTTCCAGCCTTCGAACATTCTCCCATGATAGACCACAAACTGGCATCCTTCCCTGTGGCAGCCTTCATACCGAGCATAGCGGCACCGAGGACGACGGCTGCGTCGATGTAGTGAGGTTTGATGACTGGCAGACCAGTACAGGACGCGATGAGATGCATGAGAACTGGGTTCTTACATTGGCCACCGGACATGTAGATGCTGTCAATCTTGTGACCCCGAGCGTTCATCGAGTCAATGATATGTCTTGTCTGAAGTCCGATAGCTTCCATCGCAGCATGGTATTGCAACGCCAAACTATCAATGTCTGCATCCATTCCCAAGCCAATGATGGTACCCCTCATGGTTGGGTCAGCCAATGGAGACCTGTTGCCGTGGAAGTCGGGATACATGAACAATTGACGTGCCATATGCGCAATCGTAGGCGCATTGTCCTCTACACGAAGTTCTTCCAGTCGGCGGTTGAGGTACTCAAAGACGGGGATACCAAGTCCCTTCGCCTTCGCTTCCGCTTCCGGGAAGGCCTTGTGGTTATGCGTGATATGGTGCAAGAGGGATCCGGTCGCACTTTGACCTGTAGACGGTTTTGTCAGCACATCTGAGAAGAGGCGAAATTGCATAAAGGCTTACCTCCTTCCGCCAACCAAAAGTCGGGAATCAAGGCGTCCTTGTAAGGACCCCATACTCCTGGCACGAACACCGGGTCCTTCGAGCACACCAAATGACACGTACTCGTTCCCGCAACAGCCGCAAGGCGGTTACTTGCTGCCTCGATACTCTGTGCTCCCTCCTGCTGTGCCTCCTTCGCATCGCTACCGTTCAGCTTCGCTCCAGCCGTACCGATCCAGCCGGCGTATGCATCGATCACGGCGGATCCGACCTTCGTTCCCTTCTCCAAACCCAACTCCGCAGCGGCTTTGTCAGAGAGGCCACCGACCACTTCACCAGCAGACAACCACCGGCCGTTCTTGTCCGGAATACCACCGATCTGCACGTAATCGTTCTCCACAAACTCCCCTAACCCAATTGACTCAAAGAAGTCCGCTTGCCAGCCATCCTTGGAATCGTCGACACCAGGCGGGACAAACGACATCTTACACACGGTTGAACAGAAAGATCTCGCTTCATCTCCGGTAGCTCTGTATGTCAAGAAATCAGGCAAATCGTAAAACTTGCACTTCTTGAATGTTTCTGTAGGCATGTTCTCCTTCAACCACAGGATCTTCGGGATCTCCATCTCCAATGACATCGTCTCACCCACGTACTTCAACAGGTTGTGTTCCGTAGCGTTGATTCTGTTCGCTTGATCCAGCGCGCGATGGTCGGCCCACAAGATGATATTCCTCTCGCTTTCGTCGAATTTGGGACCAGAGACGGAGATAGGGGCATCCGTCTGGCGATCAAGAACCACGAGAGAACACGTCGCGTCGAATCCAATACCCTTAACAGTACTTGCCAGAACCTTCGACTCTTCGATGACTTGTCGAGTGACTGAACAACATGCGCCCCAGATATCGTCGGCAGATTGTTCGTGGATATCTGTATAATACGTTAGCAGATGTTGTTATGGAATTCCACCTGCGCCGTACCACACCTTTTGTTTTCCAGGTCTTGATGTCCTTCACGGCAATGCTTAGGATGTCTCCAGCACCATTGATCAAACATGCTCTTGCACTTCCCGATCCGACATCTGTCCATCGCACGATCAGCTCTCAATCCTTCAGTTGATCCCAGCTTCACATACCAACTCCAACGTAATAGCTCTCAGATCCGGACATGTTGTCGTTCGTTAAGGATCAACTGATTCGAGTCGAGCTGCTGCTCAGGGTTCTTATTGACGTACGTCGGTTGTTGCGTCTGCGCTTGACGGGATCCCGCGGGGAACACGCATCCGCACTCGCACTCGCACTCGCACTCGCGGGGAAGAGGCGGATGCGCTTCGCTTGCGCTTCCTTGGACGAGATCCTTAAATCGATACCGTGACAACTAACAGATACTAAACCCTCACAATGATGTATCGTATGGAAGTTAGTCAAACTTGGGAGGATTCTCTACGAGCTGACGCGCACATTCTCCTTGCTCATCCGTCTTCACCACCAACACCTTCTTCCCCTCTCCCTCTCCGCCCTCCGCACTGATCGCCTCCACCGTCTCCTTCCCCTTCGCCTTCCCATTCTTGCTTTCATCGATCTGGAAGCCCAGGCACTCGACATACTTCCCAACCGCCGCTCGCAACTTCTCGCCTTTCTCACCGATACCGCCTGCGAAGACTAATGCATCAACCTTCCCGCCGAGCTTGACGTAGTATGATCCGATGTAGCCGATGATGCGATCGACGAACAGGTCGAAGGCGATTTTACACATCTCGTCTGGTTGATCGGCGAATGCCTTCTTCGTGACCTCCCCGAAATCGGTGGTGCCGCAGAGTGCCTTCCATCCACTCTCCTTGTTAAGCATTTGCTCTGCTTTACTCAGGTGTAGCTCCTTTGCGGCCTTCGATGACATATCGGAGGAGTTTGACAGGAGATGGAAAGGAACACTGGGGTCGATTGTCCCGCTTCTGGTGCCTCCGGGTAAACCCTCGAGTGGTGTCAGGCCCATAGACGTATCCAGTGACTTCCCGCCTTTTATACAGCATGCAGAAGCTCCACTACCCAGATGCAACGCAACTATATTCACGTCGTCCACCTTCTTCCCGAGATGTTTCGCGACAGTCTTGGTGATGAAGGAATACGACAATCCATGGAACCCATACTTCCTGATCTTCTTCTCTTTCGCCAAGGAGGGATCAACGGGGTACGTAAAGATGTGTTCCGGGATTGTGGTGTGGAAACTGGAGTCGAAGTATGCGACATTCTTGCTTTTTGGCAAGACTTTCATACAGGCTTTGACGATGAGGAGGGCGGGGTGGTTGTGCAAGGGTGCCAAGTCCGAAAGGTCATCGAGTCGCTTGTAGGTTTCGTCGTTGATGACCAGCGGTTCTGGTGAGGCTCCTCCGTGTACGATTCTGTGACACGTAACCTCGATCTTATCTCCACTCTCCAGCACCTTCTTATCCTCCCTATCGTCACTTGTCAAGTGCCCCACAAACACCTTGAAGGCATCTTCGTGATCCTTTACCTCAACCTCTTGTCCCTCGATTTCCTCAATGGTTGATCCATCCTCTGTGAAAAAAGCAGTGTAATTTAGAGTTGTTAGAGAAGATGTAAGGCCTTTGACGTCGGCGGAGACGAGGAGGTTCTTGCCGTCGCGGGAGAAGAGAGAGAACTTGACGGAGGAGGAACCGGCGTTGATTGCGAGGATGGCGGAGTCGACTGCCATGATTTCCTGCGGGATTTTGGTCTGATGAACGCAATTGAAGGGTCCTTGCGAGTCGTTCGTTGCGGTATTTCGGTTCGGGAATTCCGAGATGTTACAGCGGAACGAAGTCACTCCACGAGTCGACTGCTTATCGGATCCTACGTCATCCGCTGATAAGACCGGTGAATGAAAATCTGTCGACGGCTGAGCCGTGATACAAGATTCAAGAATGGATGGTTCATCGTCTTTCAGATCGGTCATACTCGACTTCGGGTGTTCACATGTCCATGGCCGAGACAGGGCCCCTGCACACGCGACGTTGACTTGCAGCTCCAAAAAGTACGACAAACTCAATTTCCAACTTCATAATCGAAATGGCTCCAGCAAAGAAGATCATAAAGAAGCCTTCGTCAACGGAGCCGGCGCCAGGTAAGCGTTTCTGCAATTTTCCTCGTCCGGTCAGCGCTGACAGACCATGACAGACTCTGCCTTCCTCAAAGCTCTCCGAGATTTCACCTCCCACGTCTCCTACCACCGCTTCTCCCTCTCCTCCGCCGTACCCGACGCAATCGCAGCAACCATCTCCTCCTCCGCAGACGCCGCGCCACCCCTCAAAGCCCTCTCCGACCTCGGCGCGCTCGTACACTCCCGCGCAACCAACTTTTCACTGGCATGTCGACCTCCGATCACAGTAGATGCTGCGAAGAAAAGTTTGGAGGAGTTGAGTGGACTTGTGGGACCGTTGGCTGCGGCTGTGTATTGTACGCTTCCGGAGAAACATGGGAGGAGTCTGTATGAAACCGCACAGCAGAATGTGTCGCTGGTTTTCTCGGGGATGGAGGCACTGGCATCCGAGCTAATACCAGCTGATGAGAGTTCACAACGCGGAAGACTGGCGAGCACTGGTGTGCTGTGGGAAGCCTGTAACGACCTCACTGCACTGAACAACCTCGGACTACACGGAATCGTGCAAAAGAAAGTTGAGGGATACAAGTCCATGCTACAGGACGCCATCGAAGACTTGGAAGGGTGGATCGAGAACGGTGGAGATGACGAGGACGAGGATTGGGATGATGCGTTTGGCGACAACGACAGTGAGACGGAGGATTCGGGCGACGAGGAGGGTGGAGGGAAGGAATTGGACCCGGCGAGCGAGGCACAGATCGAGTATGCTAAGGCGACTGTCAGAAGACTAAAGACAATCTCGGCACTCTACGCTCGCCTCAACGCATCCAGACTAAAACCGACTCCATCACTTACCCCAGCACCAGAAGATATCGCCTCCATCGACACCATCGCCGACTTGGCAAAGCAGTTGAGTGTCGAGACAGATGAACTGGTCTGCAAGATTCAGGAGCGGGCGTTACAGGCTGAGGTTTCTGCGCTGGATAAGGAGATCTGTGAGAAGGCGAGGGAGTTGATGGAGGTGGGGAGGGTGAAGGAGAAGGAGAGTGAAGACGTTAGGAAGTGGTGGGAGGAGGTTGAAGCGAGGTTGAAATGAGGAGGGGCATACGAACTGGTGGAGTGCATTACGACCAACGGTCAATCATTAGGTTAAAGTTTGCATATGGATCTTTGGGGAACTGTTCATATGTCTGCTGCAGCCGGCATGCAGCGTCATGCGGGAATGTTCACGGACGGTTCGGCCGAGACCATTGGGAACACAACACCATTTGTAAGCTGTCCGGCTTCGACTCGTTAATCCGACCAAGAGCCAGTAACGTCCGTCGGTTCCAGTTCAGCCATGCTCGGCTCTCCAGTCGAACTCCACCACGCTCCTGAAACTGCCTCTCTCCACAACCCCGACTCCACCTCCACCACGACCATCAGCGCCCTCGTCGAGAGCCTTCCTTCACTGAAAAAGCCCTTCAGGCCCACTCCATGGCTGTTCAACGGACACTTACAGACATTCTACGCCGCGCTCGGTAACTTCGAGTGTATCGATCGGGTAGAGTATGCGCGATACCTGTATCCACTCCCAGATGGCGGGACATCGGGTATTGATTTCGTGTTGGATGATGCAGCTGAGGGTGGATCCCATCCTGAACTTCCACCCCGGACGCGGTTCATGACGGAAGAGGAGCGGGACTATACTTCGGACGATTCCAGACCCATGCTCGTCGCACTCCACGGTCTTTCGGGCGGATCGCATGAGTCGTACGTCCGTGCCGTACTGACCGAGATCACGAAAGAGGAAGTGGGGGGACAGCGATGGGCGGCATGCGTGATGAATGCCCGAGGATGCGCCCTCACAAAAGTAACGAGCCCACAATTCATGAATGCCTGCTGGACGGAAGACATCAGACAAGTCATGCTCTTCCTCCGCACCCGCTACCCAAACCGCCGATTTTACGGCGTGGGCTTCAGCCTCGGCGCCAGTATCCTCGCAAACTACCTCGGCGAGGAAGGTCCGAACTCCCCCTTCACCGCAGCGACCGTCCTCTCCTGCCCCTGGGACCTCCAAGCCGGTAACCTCCACCTCCAACGCACCCACCTCGGCCTCGAAATCTACTCCAGAGCAATGTGCAAAAACCTCCAACGCCTCTTCGAGATCCACCTCCCCGCCTTCTCCCTCTCGCCTCACATGCCACCACACCAAATCGAACGCGTCCGGAAAGCTAGGTATCTGCATGAGTTTGATGCGGCGTGTACGAGTAAAATGTTTGGGTATCCGACGGTGACTACGTATTATCGTGATGCGTCATCTGTGCGGAAAGTTTTGAATGTCCGTACACCGCTTTTCGTGCTCCATTCGCTTGATGATCCGATTGCGCCGGGGCAGGCATTGCCGTGGGAGGAGGTGAAGGTTAATCCGTATGTTGTTATGGCGACTACGGCGACTGGGGGGCATCTGACGTGGTATGAAACGTGGGCGCCGGCAAGTGCGAGTGGGAGGAGGTGGTTTGTGAGGCCTGTGGTAGAGTTCTTTAATGCGGTTGAGGAGGGGAAGTGGGAAGTTAAAAAAGAAGACAAGAAGGTTGTGTAGAAGTTCCAACACGATTGGAGTTGACATAGACGGACGAAGACGGAGAGGAGTCACGAACAGCACGATTTGCAGTTGCCAACAGAGATGAAGACATAGCATGCGACAGCATCGATAGACAAAAGACCGATATTATATTGCATTAACCCACAATGAATAAACACGACCTGCGTGAATCAACCATCCAGCGATCCACGTATCAGAGGACACATGAGCGCATTCAACGCATATGCATTAACCAAGCATCACCTTACTGCAAGCTCGAACTGGCAATCGCCTTGATCTTCTCCACCAAATCCTTGAACTTCGCCTTCTGTGCAGCAGTGGGCTGGATGTCAGATTCGTAGAGGCCTGGTGTGCATCCTGTTTCACATTCCTTAGCACGGACATCGACGAGCGGATAAGGGAAGGAAAAACCTTCTGGGCCACCATTTCTCCACTCCAATTCATCTGAGCCGAAGAAGATACTGGTATCAAGACCGTAGATATCCTCTGCACCTCTTGGCTTCTCCGTCGGTAGTCCCGCAAGGACCTCCTTCAGCTCGGACGCGAGGCCATTAATCTGCTCACTGTACGAAGGCGAAGCATTAGCCGATTCTCAAATTTACTATTCGCGGACTTCCTACGCAGAAACTTCGGCAGACTGCTCCTTAAACACCTTCGTCCCCTGCTTCCTCTCCGAACTCTTGATGGATGGTGCACCCTCGCCGGGAGAGGTGATTTCGAGCAAAAGACGGGGTGTTGCGGGCTTGATGCCGCCGCAGATTCCTTCTTGGAGACGGATGTAGAATTGGGTCATGGTTGTTGGTGTTTGTTTTGGGGACGAGGGCTTATCGCGACCCGAAGGTGTGGGTGTGCGATGACGTCGGGTTGGAGGGGCGGGACCCAGACCGTACCGTACTCGAGCTCGGCATTCAAACAGAAACTGTACGGCTTGAAAACGTGTGCGTAAGGGTAAAACACTGTATCTGTATCTTCTGGTATCTATTTAACTACGTTTCATCTCCCACCAAACATATCCTTCTTCATACCCCTACAAAGCACCATGATCGCCTCCCTACTCTCCCAGATTGGCAACAGCACACAAATAAATGCCGCAATAAAGGTCCAAATGATCGAGACGACAACCCATCCCTTGAAGAAGCCCTCGCTGTACTTGTAGTGCGAGAAGAACAGGGGAAGGGGAATGATGACATCGAGGACGAGGGTCATGATGATCGAAGCCCATTTGGCCCAATTGTAGGCGGAGTGAAGGAGGGCCGGGTCGACGTCTTCCTCGAGAAGAGCTTCGGGTTCGGTGGAGGCAAGGACAGTGACGTCTTTCTCGGGCATGGAGGGTTTCTCGTTGATGCCGTTAGGCGACTCGGAACGGGAGTTGCCCTCGGAGTTGACGACGGCAGTGGGGGAAGTAGTCACAACACCTCCGTGGCCCATCTGGATGTTAGAGTTACGACCGATTGCACGGGTAATCTCCCAGTCAAAGTTCTCGGGCTTGAGGAGAGTCAATGTGGTAGACACGATGGCACCAGTACCAATAGCAGCAAGGTTACCGGCAAGAGTGGAGTAGTTGGCTCCAGTAGACGCAACAGTAATTTCGCCATAGTAGCACTTGGCAACAACCAACCACGACGTCAACCCTGCCGTCAATCCAGACAACGCACCAGCAATAGCCGCAATCTTAGGCTGCTTGTTCCATGTCACAGTGTACGCAACAGGGAACACAGCACCACCGATCAACAATCCCATAACAAGGAAGAGCCATCCGAGATCAATACCGGCAGAGTGCCAGATACACGCGAACACAGCCATGACGATCGCGAACACGCCAATCATGATGTGGCTGACCTTGACCAACTCGGGTCCTTCGGCGTTCTTGCGGACGTACATCTTCCAAATGTCGAAAGTGAGGATGGAGGAGACTGCGATCAGTTGGGCGGATGCGGCGGAGGTGACTGCCATGAATAAGCAGAGCAAGAGGGTTCCGGCACCGAGTTTACCCAGGAGGAGGGTAGCGGCCGCCGGAGCGGCAAGACCGGAGGACACCTGGGAGGCGGTAAGGGGGTTGTCGATCGTCAACGCAACGGCTCCGAGACCCATTGTGGTAGCGAAAGCAAAAGGGATGGGGTACCACGCAAGACCACCAAGGAGGTACGCCTTCACGGACGTCTCGGGCTTAGAAGCAATGGCACGCTGCCAGTAACCCTGGTCAAGGAAGACGGTACCAGAACCGGAGCAAAGCTGGATAACACCGAAGATGAGAGCAAAGTTGGACTTGAGGGTCAAGTACGATCCGCCCTCGTTGCCAGCGACTGGGGTGACCTCGGCGGCACGCTCGAGGAGATGCCACATTTCGGAGATGGAACCGATCTTGGAGTCGGCGCCGCCGGTGTAGGTGTGGAAGACGAAGTAGAGGATGACGATGAAGAGGATGACGGTGTGAGAGTAGTCGCACAAGAAGGTAGCACGGAGACCACCGAGGGCGACGTAAATGGCAACAACGATCGGGATCAAGAAGTTGGCAGCGTAGACCGACATACCCGTAATCGCCGACAACACCGCAGATCCACCGAGGAGGAGCTCAGAGGCGACGATGATGTTGGTCATGAGCGCGAAGCAGATGAACACGATGTGAGCCTGGGTACCGTAACGAGTATGAATGATCTCGAGGTACGTGTGAGCCCTTGGCGCATTCTGCTTCGTCTTCACCGCCAGAATCGAAAACCAAATGATCTGCATCGTAGCCCCAGACGCATACCAAAACGGACCCGCAACACCATACTGATAAGCGACCGTTGAAGACTGCAACAGCGTCGCGGCCCAAGTCCAGGCAGAAACGATACCGGAGGCGATGAGGCCGGGTTTGACGGAGCGTGAGGCGGTGTTGAACTCTTCAGAGGAGTGGGTGTTGAAGGATGTGTAACGGTTCTGGACCATGGAGATACAGGCCATGACGGCGGCGAAGAAGAGGCCAACGCCGACGACCATGCCGTAGCCCATGGATTGCTCGAAGACTTGGATCTCGAGCATGATTGTTGTTGATCCTTGTGTGCTGGGAGAAGATGTGACGGATCAGAGGCGGATCAGAAGTCAGAAGTTGTACTCGAAGTTGTTGCTCGAGGTCGTTGGACCCTTGTTGAACGGGATCAGCGTGGGCCTTTTATACCCATGGTCACCCTCCGGATCCTCGTATCCTCGCATCCTCGAGGGTTCATCTCCAAAACTCCAGACTGCGCCTCGAAGAATCAAAGCTCGACGAGCCCTATCCATTAGATAACAGATATCGGCCCCGCTTTCACATGCCCCAAGCGAGTCCCTACCCCCTACAAGCGTCGGCAGTCTCGTATAGTCCGTCGATAAGATACACTCTACTGCAGCTAAAGCAGATCAATATCGTCCTCGAGGTCGGAAGATGTCGGAAAATGTCATGATCGGGAATCCGAGCCTCCGTTCTGCATGACTGTCACGGCTCGTATGGTGGGATTGGCGGCGTACGACCGACGGTTGATCGCATATGTCGGGTATGAAATGTCCTTAATTGGCGTGCGGCGTTGTGCAGCTGCACCATAAAGCTTATCTGGGACTGAGTTTAGCCGGACGCAGGTAGACGTGCTGTATCATGCAGATAATCTCATCCGTAATAATCTCATACAATTCTTCTCTACTTTTGTTCGTAGTGAACTCTTTCAAAAATTTGAGGTGTTTAATCTCGCACGGTTGGTCGCGCTGCAACGCTCATGCAATCTGACGATCATGTACGAAATACGGTACATATCACCAAGCCGTCCAATATCTCAGTCTACGTTACAATCCACGTTACACCTCCAACTGAGCTCAATTGATCAACCAGCTGCAAGATGACACTCGTCACCGACAAGGTTAGGGAGCTGACGAACCAAATCGACCGCATCGCCGCAACCTCATTCGTTGCGTCATTCACGACGGAGCACGCCGAGTCCACCATTCCTCACCTCCAATCCCTCATCCAGAATCTCGAACTCGGAAATGCGCGGAGACTACCGTCACTGGATCATATCTCAAAGACGCTGAGAGCGGCTGAGCCTCCGGTTGCTTCGACGGATGCGACTGTGGAGACGACGCCGACGCAGGATGAGGAGTTGCAGTGGTTGCTTTTGGCACGGTGCGCGATTGTGGTATATGGGACGTTATTGAACAGGTTGTTCGATCAGACGTTGCCGATCTCTCGAGACCTTCTGTATTGGGACCGTGTACTATCAAGTCGGCTATGGACGTCTCTTTACGTAGTACAGACAACACCAGAACGAGTGTACACCCTCGGAAAAGCCGTCTGGGATGAGGCTGTCGAGCAAGGTCACTTAGTCATGGCGCAAAGCCAAGGCCAGAGCCAGTTGGCGTTCTTCACGTCAGCGTTCAGAGGCGCGCTGGGTGATCGTGCCATGTTCCGCAAATTTGCGTTCCCAACACTCCCTAAGGCTACCGACAGTGTCTTAAGCTTGGGCACACTACTAAGAGGTGAGATGAGGGCCAGAAGGAGGAAGTTGAGGAGCGTACGGGAAGTCCAGGCTGCGGGGCTCGGTCTTCTGGTCACCGAATCCTTGGATCTTGGAGATGAAGCGGAATGGAAGCAGAGGCTCGTAACAGGCATCGACTTGATCGAGGATGTACTTCAGCGTTTATCTTCTGCCGATATGCGAGAAGTGGAAGCAGAAGCCGTATTCCCAGGTACACCCGAACGCTCACTCTCCCCCGCCAACACAACTCCCGAAGACCTCCGCCTTCGCCTCCTCCGCATGTGCGATACGCTCCTCCCAACCCAAGCCTCCCACTCCATCTCTCAAACCTCACTCTACGGCTGTCCCTCCGCACTCACCCGCTACTGGCCCCTCGCCTTGACAACTGCTTTGTTCGGGCCGTCTGTGTTGCGGATCCTGCTGAGCCGCCGACAAGCCTTTGATGTTTGGGTGAAGGATATGTACACCACTACTATCGATTTTTGGCATAACTGGGTTCTTCAGCCCCTTGAAAAGATTGTAGGCACGATTCGACATAGTGAGGAGAGTGAGGTTGCGTTAATGTCGAAACGGAGTTTAGGGGCGGATATGGAAAGTTTGGAGAGGATGGTCGTTGATTTCGTCGTTGATGGGCAGCATTTGAGTGGTCCAGAGTTGGAGCTTGTCAGGACACAGGTCAAGCAAGGCGACGTTACCCCTGTACTTCGGGCATACGAAAACGACATACGGAGTCCACTGAAAAACGCAGTCATGGGAACTTTGGTACGGAGTTTGTTAATCCAAATTCAGAAGACGAAGGTGGATGTCGAGGTTGCTATCAGCGGTATCGACCGTCTCCTCAAGAGTCAAGAATTGGTGTTTGGGTTCGTGGGTGTAACGCCGTCGTTGGCGGTATGTTATGTTGTATCGCGTTGGGTTTCGGGGATCTTTTCGCGGAGGTCACAGTTGGCGCAGTCAACGCAGCAGGGCGATATCCGGAAGACGCTCCGTAATGTTGACCGGATTCTTACTTTGGCGAAAGCACATGATAAGCTTCCGTACAAGGACCAGGGATTGTTGCTTTGTGAGGTTCATTTGTTGAGGGAGTATGCAAAGAGATTACCGGAGGATATCAAGGCTGAGTTCCTGGAAGATTTGAGTGACCTTGAAGGGCGAAAGTTGGGCGTGAAGCGACAGAGGCGGACCATCGATAGGATGTGGAGATGTTACGACAAGTGGTTGTGATCAGCATAGAAAAAGTGCGTTTCTTTCACCGCGATCCTTATGTGTTCCAAATACATGAGATTGACCAATGTCAACATGCCAAAATCATACTCTCGTTGTATCATAACAGTATACGTACTATGCATCGCAAATGTTTTCTTCGTCCTCACCAACTTTAGAAGGGCCTCCCCTCCTCTAAATCTCTCGTGTTCCTCCTCTCCCTTCTCTGCCTCCCCGACTTCTCCGCGTCCGAATCACTTTCATCATCATTGTCCCTCACCTGCCTCCTCAGGAGCCCAGTCTTCTCCTCCTGTGCGCTGCCTTTTCTGCCAGAGGAATACATCTGCTCGACGTCGGCCGCAAAGCTATCGTCCATCACGTTTTCGTCATCACTGCTTTCACGCTCGAAGGACTGATTGTCGTGTTGCTCATAGGGACGGCGACCGAGGGTGATATCCAAGCGGGGCGCGCCAGTGTTCAAAGGCGAAGTCGGGGCAAGGACTTGGGAGAACTGCAAAGCCGCCTCGTTCTTCTTGTTTTTCGCCAAGGTCTCCCTCCTAGCGAGATTTGTCGCGCCAGGAGCGGGACTCGAGAAGGGGTTGTTCGACTTCTCCTCCGTCTCGTCGTTCTCCTTCGGGGCCCTAGTTTCCTTGATGATGAACATCGGGTTCTCAGATTCACCCAGAGCGGGGACAGGAGCCGCAGCACCAGGCGCGTACAACCCAACCTTCCTCACAGCCAATACGAGCGCACACATGAACTTGTTCCTCCTCTGCGCCCTCAATGCATCGTTTTGCCAGTTGCTTTTGTGCTTAATAGAAAGCGTCAGATCCATGGATCCGAGCTTGGGGATATCATTGATCTCGATCGACAAGTCCTCGTAGAAGTCACGCTTGTTAGCCTTGAGGAACTGGATCATCTCGTACTGTAACTCATTGATCTCCTCAATTGTGGTAGCGAACGACACCGAAAGTGTAAGAGACTCGAACATCGCACCAGAACGACGAACGTTGTTGACCCACAATGTTCCGAGGATGGAGTTGGGACATTGCACGATCATTCCATCCGATCTCCTGAACCGTGTGTACAGGAGCGCCATCTCAACCACGATATACTTCTGATCCAAGATCACCACACGATCTCCGACGTCGAATGGGTGCTTGTTAAACAAGAAAATAATCGCATTCAACAACTCCGTCCAAGTCCCAGAGAAAGCCCAAGTCATACCGAGGAAGGTAGTAGCATACGTCGTGATGAGGGTCGACAAACTTGTCGACAACATCGCCACCATGATGAAGACATCAATGAATCCCACAACGACAAGGAGTAAATCATCCAATCTACGGACAGCAGACGAGACATCCTTAATTGACCTCGACAACGCATCACGTTCACGCTGGATTTCCTGTACGGCCATAATCATCTCATCCATACTCAAGTCCCCATTCCCGTCTTTATCGAACAACCCAAACGCCTTCTCTGCGTCCTCACGCTTATTGGGTCCCATGATCCTGACGAGATCATCGAGGATGAGTTCATCTCTATCCTCACCATCCGGAATGAAACTCCAAAACAAACGACGAGCGAGCGTAGATGCCTTCTTCGAGGATGCCATAGCATCTACAACGACAGAGTACGGGGAGTCGGGCTTGAAGACTTGTTTTCCGGTGATCTCGCTAGCAACGTTACCGAATGCAGAAGTCGTCTTATCAACCACACGCTTGACATTCTTCTGAAGCTTCTTCGCGTCGCCTTTAGGGTTGGCCTGGAATAGACTCATACGGCTCGAACGTCCGGAGCGGTCAGCATAACCCAACATCGCCTCCTCGGCCTCTGCTTCCATGGTGTAGGTGGGGTACAAGCGGCGAGAGCACTCGTACAAGTTTGCAAGCATGTGCAAGGACCACTTGTTTTCCCTGATCCGATCTTCGTATGACACCTTGGTGAAGTTGACAGCAATGAGCTGAATCATGACCTTCTCAGCCAAGAAGAGCAATGCACCCAACGTAAGAGCAGCGAAGATCCTCGCAATAGTACTCTCCCACTTCTTCGTCGTCGTATCATTCGCAGCCCGTTGATCAGGATTCCTCGTCATAATCGGCAAGAACGTGATATAACTCGTGAAGAACCAACCCAGAATCGTGAGAGGAACCTGCAACGCATCGATGATCATCGCATACTTCCTCGTAGACACAGACACGACACCGATAACGATGTATAACAGACGTGGAAGGAGTTGAGCAACGAGCTTGGTAACGAACGGCGAAACCCACACGACCTCGAGCCAGATGAAAAGCCACACAATCCTCACCCCACCAATCTTCGCATCCTGCGCAACAGTAGCCCCGATAATAATCGGAATAGCAAGCAAGATAGCAAGCGGCAACACCATCAAAAGATATCGCGTGATAACCGAGTACCCATACAACTTATCGTAGAACTGTCCCATCTTGGTGATGCGGTCAGGTTGTGGCTCACCCAATGACGACGATCTCGAATGTCCACGACGGTGAAAACCTTGTCCGGCTTTGTTGAGGGTATCACCACTCTGCATTCTCTTCGGCTGCGGACGTTTCTCGTTCTCGACGGCTGTATCGCTCGTACCCATCCTACGAGCATCCAGACGAGCCTCGGTGGAACTGGTGAACTCGACACCAGGGGTAAGCTCACGGGTCGAAGGGGCGTACGACACAGACGGCGAGTTCGCGGAGAGGTCTTGGAGAGGTATGAAGTCCTCGCGGCGGTAGATATGCTGGCCAGCAGCAGTAGCGGCGACGGGAGGAGAAGTGGGTTGGGGCATGGCCATGGTGGGGTTGTCAGTGTTTGCGAGGTCTTTCGCGGCAAAGTAGTTTGTGTTTGCGGGTGGATCACGGAGGGTGATCGGACTTGAGAGGACTGGTGCAAAACTTGTGTCTGGCTGTGCAACGGCTGGTGGTGGGTTCAACACAGGTGGACGTGGAACTGCTGGTTGAGCTGGTGCAGACGTAGTTGTAGCTGGTGCTGGAGAAGCAGGCTTCGGCCTACTTGCAAAATACGGTGTATCTTCGTAATACCCACCAGTAGGTTTCCTGAACAATCCAGTAGCTGGAGGCTCCGGACGTTGTGGTCCGGTCGAAGGAGAAGAAGGACTCTCGGTCAACGAGATGTTCGTGTAGCCGCTGGTTGAAGTAGCAAGCTGCACGTTCTTCTTTTTTGGAGAGAGCTTGAGTGGTTGGGTATTTGGATCACTGCTTGCCATTTGTACTTGACCTCGGGAACTTCTGTGATTTTCGAGTGCAGCGGGCCAAGGGTTTTAGACTAAAACCTTATGTAAATGACAATAGATTGCTTCACGAAACTATGTCGAGATGAGCGGCCAAGGACGGATGTAAGGAGCGTAAAGGAAGCAGGGCCGTTGAAGCCGTCGATGGTATGGCTTAGACAGGTGGATTTCGTTGGAGGCCGAGGAGGTGAATGGTCTTTGGTGTTTACCTTCGCACCTCGGGGATACGCAGGGGTGCCTTGGCAACCGTGGTCCCGAGATTAACCCGCGGGTGACGTGCATGGGCTTGCTGGTCTAATTATAGCAACAGTCCTGCGTAATTTTGGTGTTGGAACTGAGTTGTATGACATGGACTCTGGTTGTTGGGGATCTCGTTCATGGCTGGAGTGCTTGCGTTCTCTGTTCCGGAGCATCTGGTCCAAGTGGACATGCCTTGGGTCAGCTGCAATTAGCCAGGTTTACTGTCACGACAACATCAGGTTCCATGCGATGTGATGAAAAGGCGCATCCTATGATCATGGCAGGTGATGCAAGTGAACATTTCATAACGTTCTTCTCCAAAAAGCTTGCTTCATATCCCAAACGACCGCGATCAAGTCAGTTCATCGCTAGACACAATGAGCAGAATTCCTCACAATTCCTCATTATACGCCATTGTTCGTGGACCATACCTGGTACGACAGTATTCTCCTCAACCAACTGTAAATGTAACGACGGTATCTCGGGTATCATATCATCATGATCTTCTCAAAGTCACTCCAAGTCCTCGCCCGTGCACATGATCACTTATCGTTCTTCCCCGAACTGGGACAAAAGTCCTTATGAGCACCGCAGTCACATTGTCCTGTACGCCAGGTTCAGTAACATGTTTCGAATACCTGAACACCTGGCATACCGGGACCGCAAGTACACCCTTTCAAGACCCCACCACAGGTACAATGTGCGTAGGCACTCAAAGCACAACTTTGTTTGTGGACGCCGCAAGAGCACTTTTCTGGAAGACTATGTGTGAGCACATACGCTCAACCTATCACAGCTGCAGTGGGCCACGAAACCCCTCATGCTTTGCATACCTGGACGACACTCGCAAGCATCATGCTCCGCTCCACACGAACAAGGATCCATTGGACCCGCTTGCGTCGCGTTCGACGTAACATGCATGTTCATCTCAGCAGTCGTCGCCATTTGGTTTGATGTTCCCAGGTCTTTGTCAGCCATCTCGTAGCAGAACTTGGTGGTACCGGCGATGCCATCGTTTGGGAGTCACGAGCGCTTTTTCCGTCACATGCATGGTACACCGTGGGAAACAATAGACCGCGGGTGGCCTCGCAAAAGTTGGTTCAGATAAAAACAAGAAAAACAAGAAAAACACCAAGCCAAATCGACCTGTCACTCTCTAGATATGCGCAGGCCGCCCATGCTCCGTGGGACTTCCAGGCCCATTCCCATTGCATCCACCCTTTGCCCTCCTCGCCTCCATAACCTCCTCATAATCAACCAAATCCGCATCCCTCTCCTTCGTCTCTGGGATCAAGAACGTAAAGGCAGCACCGAGAATCATACATGCAAAGAAAATCCACAAGATCTTGGGGATGCCGATTTTGCCTTGAAGGTAGTTGAAGACGAGGGCGGCGAAGACTGCGCCGACTTTGCCGCAGGCGGCGGAGAGGCCGTGGGCGAAGCCTTTGACGCGCGAGGGGAAGACTTCGGCGGGGATGATGAAGGTTGTTGCACTGGGTGAGGGGTTAGCATAGAGTCTGTGAAGAGGGAAGAAAGAGGAGGTGTGAGGAGGTGACTTACTTGGCGCCAAAATTGAAGAAGAACTGTGCGAGGGCGAAAAGAGCGACGTGACCACCAGTACTAAGCGAATTCCACTTTCCAGCAAGAATCGCAAAAAACAACGCACACAACAAGAAACCCTGCACCTGAATCCAACGACGTCCCAATATCTCAATGAACGCAATCGTGAACCAATACCCGGGGACATACCCAGCAGCCGAGATAATGAGGTTACCAATAGCGTTACGCATGAGCTTGTGCCACTCGTTGTTACCAGTGTTAAACCCGATCTCGGCGAGGATAACGGATTGGTTGAGGTTGACACCGTAGAAGGCAATGTCGAGGAGGAACCAGGTGACGGTTGTGCCGATCAAGATCTTCGCGTGGCGCCATTCAGAGAAGTAAGTGAAGAAGACGTTCCATTTGGCTCGTGAGGTGGGGGAAGGAGCGAGGTCGATGGTCCCGCCGATGGCTTGGCCGGTTCCGGCTTCACGGGGGAGGGAACCGTCTTGCTGGAGGTCGCCGTCGACATTGGCTGCGACGCCGGTGTTCATCTTTTCGGGGGCGGGGTGCTTTTGGTAGTCGATTGAGCCAGTCTCTGAGCTTGAGAGAGATTGGCTCTCGGTAAACTTCTTCGATTCCGGCATGGTGAGACGCTGGTAGATGGTCAAAAAGGACGGTACGAGGGCGACACCGAACTGGATACGCCAAACAGCATCGAGCTGGTTATACTCCCCACGGTCTTGAAGAGCAGGTTTAAAGCACGCCAAAACGATGATAGTGACGATAGAACCAGCAAGGTTACCCCAACCCTGGAAAGAAAAGATCCAGGCGAGCATCTGCCCACGGCGCTTCAAATTCGCACGCTCGGATGTGACAGCGGCGGACATAGGGTAATCACCACCAATTCCAATACCCATAAGAACACGGAAGATGAAGATCCAGATCATCTTTTTGCCACCACCAGGGATAGAGTTAGGAAGCGAGATGACGAGAATCGTGCCGATTATACAAATAATGAGTTCCTTGCCGTACACGTATTTGCGACCGAACATGTCGCCCAAGAAGCCAAAAGAAAGTTGACCAAAGATGTTACCAATGTTGGCACCAGCCGAAACGAGACCACGAAGGCCGGCAGGGTAAGAGGTTCCATGCCAGTATTCGTACTGAAAGATGGGTTGGACGAGGTTGATGATGAACAGATCGTACGCATCGAGGAAAAAACCGGTACCGGCGACGGAAAGAAGCTTGACTTCGGGCCAGTTGAGACCCAAAAAAGAACGTGTTTTCCTGAGTTCGAGACGCTCGTACTCGGCAAGAGTGAGGCCAGCAGCCTCGGCTTGTTGCTTACGCGCTTGGGTCGCACCTTCTTCGATCCACTTCATTGCAGCTGGATGTGATGAGAAGCTTATGGAAGCGCAGGTTCACAGAATCAGGAGGAAGGAAACGGGCAGATATAGATAAGAGGGGAAGGATGGGATGGTGGGTTTAGGCGAGAGGAGGGCATGACTACCGATCGGCAATATTGGAAACCTCTCGTCAGTATGTTGCGACGCCAGTGACGCACTTTGAGGTGTTTTTGCCAGTGGCAGTGAGAGACTCGGCTGCAGCAGCTTTTCATATGTTAACGCTCATGACGGACCGTAAGATCTAGATGGGGTTCAGACCCAATTTCTGTGCAGGTGCGCGTCTCGTACAACATTGAGCCCGACCGGAAGCTGAGGCATTTTTGACATGCCGTGCGCCGAACGCTTTTAACACCGTCTCACACACACGTCCATAGAGAATAGAATACATCGAACATCCGCTGTTCTGTCCAATTTGCCTTGCTTGCTAATTATGCTCGTATTATTGGGCGTGTTAAGACGGCCCCGCCAAGTGTACCCATACACAGTTGAATGTCACAAACGCCCAGCCTATCCCATTTCATATCTTAATCACCGCTTCCGTCCATCTCATCCCCTTCGTATCATACACCGACACCCCCGTACGGCCTTTCTCCTTCCTCCTCGGCTGCGACAGGATCACACGTGCAAAACAAGTTCAAGTCACCGTACGCATCATCCAATCGTCCCACGCTCGGCCAAAACTTCTTCTCCTGCAGCCACGGTAATGGATACGCAGCACGTTCTCTCGAATAGCTGCGATCCTTCCATTCGCCAACCAACAAATCGCGCTGAGTGTGTGGAGAGTTCTTGAGAAGGTTGCTATCACGTGGCTGCTCGTCACGCTCGATCTCGGCGATTTCCTCTCGGATCGCAATCAAGGCATCGCAGTATCTGTCCAACTCTGCCAATGATTCTGATTCGGTGGGCTCAATCATCAGGGTGTTCGCAACGGGCCAGCTCATCGTGGGAGCGTGGAAGCCGTAGTCCTGCAACCTCTTCGCAATATCAACCGCCTCGATTCCAGCTGACGCCTTGAACCCACGAACATCGAGGATGAACTCGTGAGCCACCATCCCGTGTTCGTTGGTGTAGAGAATCTTATAGTGCTCAGCCAGCCTCTTTGCCATGTAGTTCGCACTCAACAAGGCGATCTTGGTAGCGTGCGTAAGACCATTCGCACCCATCATCTTGATGTAACTCCAGCTGATAGGTAAGATTCCTGCACTTCCCCACGGTGCAGCGGCGACCGGAGGAACTCCCTTCTCACCTACACCCGTCGACACAATGGGGTGCTCCATCAAGTAGGGCTGGAGGTGTGCCTTGACACCGATGGGTCCAACACCAGGTCCGCCTCCTCCATGCGGAATACAGAATGTCTTGTGCAGGTTCAAATGACAAACATCCGCTCCGATCTCCCCAGGCGAACACAACCCAATCTGCGCATTCATGTTCGCACCATCCATGTATACCTGTCCTCCATTCTTATGGATAATCTCACACGCTTCCTTTACCCGGGGTTCGAAGACTCCGAAGGTGGAGGGGTAAGTGACCATGAACGCCGCCAAAGAATCCTTGTGCTTCTCGGCTTTGGAAGCGAGGTCAGACATGTCGAGGTTACCGTCTTTGTCGCACTTGACGGGGACGACGCGAAGACCACACATGGCGGCTGAGGCAGGGTTTGTGCCGTGTGCAGAGACCGGGATGAGACAGACGTCGCGGTGGCCTTGGCCTTGAGCATCGAGGTAGGCGCGGATCACGCGGAGACCGGCGTACTCTCCCTGTGCACCAGAGTTGGGTTGCAAACTCACTGCGTCGAATCCAGTGATTTCGCTCAAGTCCTTTTCGAGCTCCGAAATAAGCTCAGCATAGCCCTGAGCCTGGTCCTTCGGTACGAAGGGGTGCAGGTTCATGAACTCTGGCTTGGAGAGTGCCAGCATTTCGGAGGTCGCGTTGAGCTTCATGGTGCAAGACCCAAGGGGAATCATGGAGTGCGTAAGCGAGAGATCCTTGGATTGAAGGTGGTGCATGTACCGGAGAAGCTCGGTTTCGGAGCCGTATGTGTTGAAGACCGGTTGTTGAAGGACTTTACCACTGCGTTGAAACGCCTCGGGAAGCGGTTTGGGTCCATTCATTGCTTGGGCGATCTCAGAGGCCATCTGGTTGCAACCAAACAATCGGAGAAGGTCGTTCACGTCGGCTTCTGTGACGGTCTCGTCCAACGTGATACCGACGGTGTTCTCAGTAGAGTGTTTCCTGAAGTTGATGCCCTGCTCCTCGGCCTTTTTCAGGAGCGCCTCCCTGTCCTTCACTCGGATAGTGAGTGTGTCAAAGAACAATCCACTGCCCTGCACGTCCCCGGCATCGCCTTTCTGGATCCCCTCAGCAAGGACCTGTGTCATCCCCCTGATCCTCTCCGCGATCTGCTTCAACCCCACCGGCCCATGATAGACGGCATACATGGCCGCCATATTAGCCAAGAGCGCCTGCGCGGTACAAATATTCGAAGTGGCTTTTTCGCGACGGATATGCTGTTCGCGGGTCTGGAGCGCGAGACGGAGTGCACGACGTCCACTCGTGTCCTTGGAGACACCGACGAGGCGACCAGGCATGCGGCGTTTGTATTCGTCTGAACAGGCGAGGAAGGCCGCGTGGGGTCCACCATACGCCATTGGTATACCGAAATTTTGGGAGCTGCCGAGGAGGATGGAGGCTGGTGGTGGCTTTAGGAGGGTCAATGCCAGTAGGTTCGTAGCAGCCAAGAGAGGGGTCTTGTCACCCAACTTCTCCTTCAAGGGGGTATAGTCGATGATTTGGCCATTGGTATCGGGGTATTGGACCAAAACACCAACTAGGTGCTCCGAGGACGATTGTGAGTGATCCTTGAGATCGGAAAGTGCATTGCCAACACGAACTTGAACGCCAAGATCGTGCGCGCGGGCTTGGACGACATTGATAGTCTGCGGATGGCAGTTTGCGTCGACGAAGAAAACAATCTTTTTGGAGTCGCTCTTCTTCATTTTAGGAAGGGCGGTTGACACACACATCGCCATACCTTCAGCCGCGGCTGTGGCTTCATCCAGTAAACTGGCGTTACTGATGCTGAGACCAGTAAGTTCAGAAACCAAGGTTTGCCAATTCAAGAGTCCTTCCAATCGACCCTGAGAGATCTCGGCTTGGTATGGGGTATACTGGGTGTACCACGCAGGGTTCTCCAGGATATTGCGAGTGATGGGAGCAGGCGTGATGGAGCCCGTATAGCCCATTCCGATATACGAGCGATTGACCTTATTTTTATCAGCCAGCTCGTCGAGACGTTTGTGTAATTCCCGTTCTGAGAGTGGTTCGGAGATCTTGAGATCGCGGGAGGAGAGCACAGAGGGCGGAATGGTAGTCTTGATAAACTCATCAAAGTTTTCAAAGCCGAGCTTCTTCAGCATTTTCTCCGAGTTTGAGGATTCGTGCGGGCCGATATGGCGCCTGGCAAAGGTATCGAGAGGAGCGAAGATGTTTTTCTTCGTTGGTGCATCGGTGACTGTGGATTGAGTTGAATGGAGGTACGTGCGGCGGAACACCGGAAGAGCTGTCTTACGGGCATTGAGCACGCTCAATTGCAAAGCAGCTGGACGAGCAGCGGCTCTCAAAGTGACGGCACGTCCTCTGATAACTGGCAGCATCATTGGGGAATGAATGCTCTGGTATTGTGTTTTGCAAGATCTCAGGTGTGGACCCGGGTTCGTACGTATGCGGGCGCGTTAGCGTCGGGTATGCGCACGGCGATAACCTTAGATTTCGAACGACTCGGGAGAGGGGGGTTGTGAGAGGTCTCCTCGGACAAGACCAGGAGTGAATGCCGTTGATGCCCCGGGGTTCAGCGAAGAGTTTGGCAGTCGATGAGACGATGAGAGAGGGGGAGAGCGGCACACGGACCAGTTTTAACTTTCTCTCTATCGCATAACCGGCCGGTACTCGGTGGAGGACTCAGTGGAATCGCACAAAAAATTATTTGAGGCGGAAAAACCACGACAGAGCTGGATGACCCGGAGACGGCAGATGGCAGATGACAGCTGCCGGTACAGGGGGTGCCAGCCCTTCGGGTCACTCGGCTGTCGGCTGTTCTGTTTAGCCAAGAGAAATCGTCCCCGTAGAAATAACAAGTTCATCTGATCCCCTCCAAGGTTCCCTATCATCATGCCTCTCACCGACGACGACCGTGAATTCCTCAAAGTCGCCTACGACCAAGCCCTCCTCTCCTACCAAACAGACGGCATACCCATCGGCGCAGCCCTCGTCCAACACACCCCTGACGGCCCCAAACTCCTCGGCGTGGGACATAACAAGCGCGAGCAGAAGGGATCACCGATTTTGCATGGTGAGACGGATTGTTTGCAGAATATTGGGAGGTTGAAGGCGGAGGTGTATAGGGAGTGTACGATGTATACGACGTTGAGTCCGTGTCTCATGTGTACGGGGAGTGTGTTGTTGTATCGTATTCCACGGGTGTGTTCTGGATATAATTATTCAAATGAATCGGGCTAATGTTCCGGCATACAGATCGTCATCGGCGAGAACAAGCACTATATGGGAGGAGAGGCCCTGCTCAAGGAGCATGGTGTGGAGGTCATTGTGGCCGACGATCCAGAATGCACAGAGTTGTTCGAGAAATTCGAGAAAGAGAAGCCAGAATTGTGGAACGAGGACATCGGAGAGCCCGACGGAAGCACGGTGCGCGAGATCAAGAAGGCCTAAACTCTGGATATCATTGATATAGTATCATACATTCCTCCAATCTTCACCTGTGGTAGCATGGTGCTCACTACTTCCTGTGCATAGCACCAGCTCCGGCCTGGTGGCTAGGGAACAAGAGCATGTCAGCAACGACAACATTCTGCCTCCTCCCACACGCAAACACAATACATTCCGCAATGTCCTCCGGCGTCAAAGGCTCAACCCCCTCATAGACCTTATCAGCCTTCTCCTTATCCCCCTTAAACCTGACCACACTGAACTCGGTCAACACCTGCCCGGGATCAACATTCATCACACGAAGACGAGTGGAGATGAGTTCGCGGCGAAGAGAATCGGAGAATGAACGGACGGCGGCTTTGGTTGCGCAGTAGATTGAGCCACCGGCGTAGGGTTCTCGGCCGGCGATGGAGCCGATGTTGACGATGTCGCCTTTGTCTTTTGGGAGCATGATCTTGGAGATGATGGTTTGGGTCATTTGGATGAGGCCGATGACGTTGGTCTGTAAGAAGTATTAGTGAATGTATTTCTGTCCGTTGAAGTATACGCTCTTACGTTGATCATTCCTGTGACGTCTTCTTCGGCGATTGAGCCGACTTTGTCCATGCCGTGAACGAAACCGGCGTTGTTGACGAGGACGTCAATGTCCCTGAACTCTTCAGGCAAGGCGTCGACGAAGCCGTTCACCTCCTTGAGGTTGGAGACGTCGAGCTTGACGGCATGGACCTTGGTTCCCTGGAACTGCGATTCGATGTCTTTCGCAATAGCTTGAAGAGTCTCGAGGCGACGAGCGGTGAGGATGAGCTTGAGGTTGGAAGCAGTCTGGGCAAATTCGTAGGCGGTAGCTTTTCCGATACCTGACGAGCCACCGGTCTGTTTGTCATTGAATGTCAGCCATCCGTAGTATGAGCGGGATCCAACCACTAACAATCAGGATCGTCTTTCCAGTCAAGTTCTTGCTCATGTTAGTGGAGTAGAGTCGTGTCAAGCGAGAGAGTGGAGAAGTGTTTGTGAGCAATGCCTTTACGGTCCTGAGCATCCAATTGCTACAGATCAATGGTGGTCGAGGAGGGATTTCGGAATGGCGGGTCGCGGATCCAGGATCCCCGCGCGCGGCTGCTCTGTAGCTGGTGTGAGTCGTTCAGGGGCACCACATACGGCCAGCGTACCGTAACACGTCGCACTGAGCATTCATCCAGGATTGACCAGCCATCATGTCGTCGATGCGTGGTCTTGTCGTCTTCATCTCGGATCTGAGAAATGCGAGAGTACGCGAATTGGAAGAGAAGCGAATCAATAAGGAGCTGGCCAATATTCGGTCAAAGTTTAAGGAAGCGAAGTTGGATGGGTATCAGCGGAAGAAATATGTTTGTAAGGTAGGGTGGACGGGTTGACAGAGGCATTCGAGCTCTGCTAATCTGCCATACAGTTGCTCTATATCTACATCCTTGGCTGGGATGTCTCCTTCGGTCATTTGGAGGCAGTCACCCTCGTGTCCTCCTCGAAATACTCAGAAAAGCAGATCGGATACCTCGCCGTCACGCTCATGCTCCACGAAAACCACGAACTCCTGCACCTCGTCATCAACTCCATCAAGAAAGATCTCGACGTAAACAGCGAACTGTTCAATTGCCTTGCCCTTCACGCCATCGCGAACGTCGGAAGTAAGGAAATGGCGGAGGTGTTGAGTCCGGATGTACACCGACTACTTATCTCACCGACGAGTAAGCCGTTTGTGAAGAAGAAGGCTGCTCTTACATTACTCAGACTATACCGGAAATACCCAGGGATTATCCAGCCCTCGTGGGTAGAGCGCATCATTGCCATCATGGATGACCCGGATCTTGGTGTGACGTTGTCCGTGTCTTCGCTCGTGCTAGCATTGGTACAGGATAGCCCGGAGTTGTGGCAAGCGAGTTTGGTCAAGGCTGCTGGACGACTATACAGACTCGTTGTGAAGCGGGAATATTCGGAGGAGTACCTGTACTACAATGTACCAATCCCGTGGTTGCAAGTCAAGCTTTTGCGGTTGCTTCAGTATTACCCGCCATCAGATGACCCAACAGTCCAGAAACTTATCGGCAAATCACTCCAGAGAATCCTCGACACGGCGTCAGAACCGCAGAAGAACGTACAGCAGAACAATGCGCAAAACGCAATTCTCTTCGAAGCTATCAACCTTTCCATTCACCTTTCATCTGCGCCATCATCTCAGGAGTACTTGGCGCAATGCACGGCATTACTCGGCAAGTTCATTTCGAGCAGGGAGACGAATGTGAGGTATTTGGGATTGGAGACGATGACGCACTTGGCATCAACCTTGGAGGATTTGAGACCGCTGCAGAAGCACCAGGCTACTATCATTCAGTCATTACGGGATCGAGATATTTCTGTCAGACGGCGAGGACTGGATTTGTTGTACAGCATGTGCGATTCGTCGAACGCACAGGTTGTCGTAGCGGAATTGTTGAGGTATTTGCAAAGCGCGGATTATTCTATCCGCGAGGAGATGGTTTTGAAGATCGCAATCTTGACGGAGAAGTTTGCAACGGACGCGACGTGGTACATCGACATCACTCTGCAATTGCTAAGTTTTGCAGGAGATTATGTCAGTGACGAGGTTTGGGAACGTGTCGTGCAGATCGTGACGAATAATGAGGAGTTGCAGGAGTATGCCGCTATGACGGTATTGCAGCACCTCAAGAGTCCAGCATGTCATGAGAGCTTGGTAAGAGTTGGTGGATACATCTTGGGTGAGTACGGGCATTTGATCGCCAACACACCTGGTTCGGCACCTATTGATCAGTTTAATGCGGTTCATTCCAAGTTCGCGGTGTGCTCCCCGGGGACGAGGGCAATGTTGTTGAGCACGTATGTCAAGTTCATCAACTTGTTTCCGGAGATCAAGCATGTGTGCATGAAAGTGTTCAACACGTATAGCAAGAGCATCGATGCGGAGTTACAGCAGAGGGCGTGTGAGTATCTGGCGTTGGTTTCCATGCCTACCGATGATCTGATGCAAACTGTGTTGGAGGAGATGCCACCATTTCCGGAACGACAGAGTGCATTGTTGAAGCGATTGCATGGAAAGACTGGCGAGACGGAGGATAAACGCATCTGGGTCTTGGGTGGGAAGGACGCGAGCAACGAGAAGGAAGCTCTGAAGTTGAATTTGAGCGGTGTGCAGAAGAGGACGGAGGCGAACGGAAACGCGACGTCGCCTGGGCAGGAGTTGGTGATGAGTGGTTTGGATATGAATAGTCCGGTGAATTTGGCTGCGCCATTGTTCCCGAACTTGGCTAGCGCGGCGCATCTCAGTCCTGGGTGGGAGGAAGGGTATTACTCTCTTCTGTCACGGAATGAGGGTGTTTTATATGAGGATGAGCAGATTCAGATTGGGTGGCGGTCGGAGTTTCATGGGCCGTTGGGACGTGTGGCGTTGTATTTTGGAAACAAGACGACGGCGACATACCAGTCTCTTACTTCAACGGTGGAGAACCCTGATAAGAGTGCCTTGTCGATCACTAGCCCGCATTTGCCGAGTACGACTCTGCCAGCGGAGGGACAGACGCAGCAGATGCTCAACGTTGAGTGCTTGGGTGTCTTCCGCGAGGCACCTACGATTCGAATTTCGTATCTTGCGGGTGCGTTACAGGCAGTAACGCTCAAACTCCCCGTCACGCTCAACAAATTCATCGAGCCTGCTCAACTTGGCGCGGATGACTTCTTCCCACGATGGAAGCAGATCGGCGGTGGTGAGCGCGAGGCACAAAAGATTTTCAGTCCCGTCTCTGGCGAACGCATTGACTTGGCTAGAAACAGGAGATTGGTCGAGGGATTGAGGTGGGCAGTGTTGGATGGTGTCGATCAGAACCCGAAGAATATCGTTGGTGCTGGTGTGTTGCATAGCAAGACCGGAAAGATTGGTGTGTTGATGAGGTTGGAGCCGAATATGGATCAGAACGTAGGTATCCCTTCTTGCAGCAGTGAAATGTGGCATGCTAACGATGACTCACAGTTATTCCGGTGCACGATTAGAGCGACGAATGAGGCTGTTCCGAAAACGTTGAAGGATGTTGTGTTGGATGCCATGAAGGCTTATTAAGTGTGGGGAGGAGGTTCAAGGTAGCAAGGACCAGTCAAAAATACTCGGAGTTTATTTAGGCGCATATTAGGATACCAGGATTCTCAACCGTTCACTCGTTTTGTTCCGTTGTCCGCGCTTGTATATGGCTGTTGGCAAATCGCCTTTCCTACTGCAAAACTGGGCATAGCGACATGAATGAAAAGGGCAAATTGCAGGAGGTGGAGCTACCCACTATTTATAACAATATGTAAATAGCATTCGAGAGCCTGGCTTTGCAGATCTGCCTCCAAAATTATCGCAGTATTATTTAGACCAATGTTTGCGACGTTTCCACCACCATGATGAGATGGGTCCGCGATTGGCTGGTGCAGGTTCCCTACGCATTCAAGCGCGCCACCCTATATGACCTACAGGAAATAAGGTTTGGAGCCATCCTGCAAAGAACAACAAGGAAGATTGTAACATCCCTAAAGACTACAATGGCCGACGTTGAGAAGCAAACTTGTGCGTGTGGTGGTGAGGTTACGCAGTGTTCCGTGAGTTCTTGCCTACTCTGTCGTTCGTTGTGACGTGCCTATCTAACGGATCGATCAGTGCGCTCCTGGAAAGTGCAACTGCGCTTCCTGTTCCAAGCCTGGTCCTCATGACCAGGCTCAGACCTGTGGATGTGGTGGTGATGTGAAGCAGTGCTCTGTAAGCTACCTACGTCCTCATGCTACTTGACCAACTGCTGACCATGTGTAGTGCGAGCCTGGAAAGTGCAGTTGTTCGTCTTGCTCCAAGCCTGGTCCCCACGACGAGGCCCAGACTTGTGGATGCAGCGGTGATGTGAAGGAGTGCACGGTAAGTTTACAATACACACATCATGAGACCCTGATCTGACTTTTTATCTACAGTGCGAACCCGGAAAGTGCTCCTGCGCATCCTGCGCCAAGCTCGGCCCTCACAACGCCCAAACTGCTCCCCGCAAGCTTACCGAAGCTCAGACCTGCGGTTGTGGAGGTGCCGTGACTGCCTGCACCTGCGAGCCTGGCAAGTGCTCTTGTGCGTCCTGCGCGAAGGAGGGACCCAAGTCTAGCGGCGTTGCTACGTGCTCTTGCGGAAAGTGCCCTGCTGGTCAGTGCTCTTGCTCTCGTGCTGCCACCGAGAACGCGCCTGTGAGCGGATCTGCATGTGCTTGTGGTCTTCGTGCCTCTGGCGCGTGCACCTGTGGTGGGGAGTCCGGAAAGGCCTGTTGCGGTGGAAAGGGACAGTCAGCGAGCTGCAGTGGTCCTAGGTGTAGCTGTGGTGAGAAGCCCGCTCAGGCTTGTGCGTGCTCCAAGGCTACTTCCGAGAACACTGCTTTGTCGCCTGAGGAGTCTTGTGCATGCGGTGCCAGGGCCAAGGGTCAGTGCAACTGCAAGATGGCTGCAGAGGGTGTTGTCGGCTCATCCGGCAAGTGTGTTGGGTGTGGTATGGAGGGTGGTGCTCACTCTTCCGAGTGCGCATGCGCTGCTTAAGAGTGGTGGATGCGGCCGAGTACCGTGGTGGTTATATTGTTCTTCACTTATTCATTCACTCGTTGATTAATCCATTAATACAATCGTATCGTTATTCGTTAGAATGAGGAAAACCGCAGGTTATTCATCGTATAAGCCCCAGGCTAGCATTCACCTTGACGTGAATCATGCTGTCTTCTTGTTCTCGCTCACCATACACCCTTTCGCACGTTGTAAGACACCTTCAACACCACTATCCATTCTCCAAAAAGCACCCATGTCCTCCTCCTGCGCGGCTGCCTCACCCAATTTCTTGTCACCGGCAGAAGCAGCTTGTTCACCAATCAGCTGTCTGAGGTACTCCGTCCGAACCTTGTACTTCTCCCCGTCCAACTGGCGTTGCCCTTGCGGAGGTACAGCTTTCAGAATGTGACGAACCACAAATCTCGTACCCAACCAAAGATTCTCAGCAAAGAGAACAATACCCAGTGTACCGAGGATAGATGCATCCCGCGGATGAGCGCCAGTACGGAAGATGCTGATGAGGGAAGACGTGGTGATGGAGCCCAACCAGCTAACGAATGCCAGGTGCTCAACCCAAGGACCAATGGAGTCAGCCCGTTCAGGGACGGGACGCCGGTATCCAACGCACAGCTTCGCAGCATCTGAGCGGAGCTCGACCCAGTTGTTGATGAGGAAACAGACTGGGGCAAGTGGCCATACTGGGGAAAACAACACCACGAAGCCAAACTGGATAACGATCTCAGCGTAGTCCCCGTAAATCTCGTACTCGTCTAATGCAGCCTCTTCTTTGACACGGTTCAGTGTCATTTCTTCCACCGTGCCTCGACGTTCGAGGGTCGGCCGTGCTGGAGCCCTGCGGTACTTACTTCGAAGGTGCTTAGCTTCGTTGAAGATGAGCTTGGTGATGAACGGAACGACAAGCTCTAGGGCGAAATTGACAAGGTTGTTGGTGATTGACATGTAACGCATCTGATTGACAAGCCTGCCGCTGTTGATCTGGAAGGTCGGGCCGGCACCTGTCGCTTTCTCCGTGAACTTGGTCGAGGTCTGGAAGAGGTTGAGAAAGTCCAGTTTCGGGACGATGAGATCACCGAATGGGAGGTAGACGTAAGCCGTAATGAACAAGCTCATGTAGCTCGTAAGCATGTTCAGGGCGAAGATCTTATTGGTAAAGGATTGTTCATACGAGGAATCTGTCTCATGGTTCTCGAACATCGTGACCTTCTTTGATGCCGACCGATACGACTTAGACAGGAAGGGAACAACGGTGCTAAACAGGACAGTTGGCAGGTAGATGAGCACGTTCTTGCCCGGCCCGTCGTACACTTCGTTGATGAGAATCTCGGTGGCAACAATGCTCATGATTGCGGCTGCCAAGGTGATGGCTGCGACAAAACCGATAGGAACACTGAGCAATTGGCGGAGAATCCTCTTCCCGACTGGAAATACGGGAACGTCTTCACCCGTATAAGGGTCTGTGACGGTTTTATCCCCGTTGAATGCTGCACGACGGTGCTCCAGCTTAGCACACCCGTGCACACCCCAGCGCACAGCCAAGTTCGTCTCCTTTCTCCTCCACATCTCCACGAACACGATCGACCACGAACCGAGGACCAGTGAGTATATGATAGAATACTGGGGTAGGAAGAAGTGGGCAATGACACCAACGACGGCAGGGACACCGAGGAAAAGGAAGTAAACTTGCGTAAATGCAAACAAGAATGCGACCTTTTCTCCGAAGTTGTCCTTGAGGATCGTCAAGCTTGAGTCGGAGATAATGCCGCGCTTTGACCATGCGGCTAACCAGCTTTGCCCAAAGACCGGATCATGAATAGGGAAGATGCTCGCAACGAGATCCCATTCACCGACGTTAGGTGTAATACCCACACCGCCCTCAGCAGCAGGAATCGTGAGAATAGCGTGCACTAAGCGCAGCCGTTCCGCAGGCGTCATTGGCTCTGCCGAAATTGAATCCTTCGTCTCCTCGACGGGTGCAGCAATCCTGATCCCAGCTAGCCAGTCCTTGACTCTGGAAGTGTATGCTTCCGATTGAAGCTTTGATGTGGGACAGCGAACCATTACGAGAACTGCACTGTTATCCCCAACCTCGCATTTCACTCTCATACCGACATCAACTATTCTTCTGACTAGTCGCTCGAGCTGAGCCGCAGTTCTTTGACGAGAAGATGGATCAGGGCGGAAGAGGATGACGTAGTCAGGAGCAGTCTCGCCGGAGAGACCAGGCATTGAGGTCAATGCTTCGCTCAATGGGCGAGCCATTGTGTTTATCTGGAGGTTTGTCGGACAGCTGCTCTTGTCCATATGACGTTGGGCGCATGAGCGCGCAGATCCAACCTCGGCCGTGGCAAGTACGCGTGCGGGACAGCATCTTGTGAATTAAAGCAACATTTCGAGTTCGTGTTTTAATCGTCGATGACCCTCCTATGATTGATATAGCTCGCTACACTATGCCCGCGATTCAACATCCTAAGGCGTTGCCCATGCCATGCTCCTTCATGTAGTCTCCTCCCATTTCCAGATATTCCTGCCTCGTTACTAAGCACTTCCTTAATTCATCCCCTTTGCTCGCCCACGTGGCCGCACCGCGCCAAGCATCGTTCAAAGGATCGTTTGCCTGTCGTACATTGAAATCGGTATCGACCGGAAGAATTCCTCTGACTTCGTACTTCATTCGCTGCCTGTAATTAGGCAGGAGACTAAGACCACCGGTTAGGAAGACATCTTTGACGACATTTGTGCGCGGGGACGGCTGAAGACGCGACAGAATGTCCTTAGCGATCTCGATAATGGAGGCTTGATCCAGGCCTGCGATACCAGGTTGGAAGGGTACTTCTGGGACACGTATCCGCTCTACATTGAGATGGAGCTGATGAGCGTGTGCTAGGTTGTCAGGCTGCCATGGTTGTGGATGGACACCGCGCAAGAACTTATACACCAGAGAATCCCTGGGATCCACCGCTGCATCATGCTCCATACCTGCAACGAATTCGGGATCGTGTTCCAGTAAAGACGCTTCGAGCTTCTTCAGTTCCGCTGTGTCATCTTCTTCATCTTCAGAGTCAACATCGCCAACGTCGCGGTAGACACCCCAGTCCGCATCATCCATGCCGAACCCATCGTCATCACCTCCTCTTCGGCGCTTCTTCCCAGAAGGATTATCTGATGCAAGGTTTGCGAGAGACTTCATCCGCATCTGCGAAGCCATACTTTTTCTGTCGGACAACTCCGCCTTCAGCCTTCTCCTGTCATTGATTTTCTGGAGAAGTTCCTCACGAGCGGCCCTCTTCGTCGCAAGCCACCCATCCAGGGCAGTCGTACGTTTCAAGTCGTCAGCTGCTTCCTCATCCCTGATACGTTGTCTTTCCGCTTCCTTCTCAACCTTGAGACGCATTCTTGCATCGTAGTTTGCCTTTTGCATCTTTTGCTGACGCTTCTGTTTTATGCCCGCCTCGTCAAGGTCCTCGTCCGGCACATCGAGAAGAGGGAAAGAGGGAACCTCAGGCTCTTCCTCTTCCTCTTCCAGACCGAGACTCTTGTTTCTCAACTTCCGAATCTGAGCTTCCAACTTCTTCATAACCTTGTCCAGGGCTGCTTCATCTTCAAACCCTTCAGCTTCCAGCACCTTCTTCCCGTCTCTCTTTCCTTGCTCATTCAGTGACAACTTCAGCTCTTGATACGCCGACATTTCTCTTTCGAGGTTTTGCAGTTTCTCCGCTCTCTTTGCGGCTGCCTGTTCCTGTAGCCTTCTTCCGCTCGCTTTTCGCTGCTCGGCAAGACGATCGATTTCCTCCTGTGTCTTCTCCATTGTCGCGACCTCTGTATACGGAAATTGGATAATGCGGTCCTTTTCCGCCAAAATATCTTCTGTAATGTATGTTCGCAATTCTTCCGCGTACGATTCTGGTGAGACATAGCAGTGATCTTGCAGGAGAAGCGTAGCTTGCTCAAGGGAGAGCTTCTGTGGGAAATTCGGGTATTTCAAAGCCATCAATGACTGCAGGAAGGTAGCTGCTTGGGTTGCGCCCCAGTTCAGCCGCTTAGCAAGGCTGAGAACGCCCTTGCCGTTGACAACTGGAACAATATTTGTCGAGTTGTTGCCAGTTGAAATAACAAGCCCATCCTTTCCATTGTTGGCGTGGAAACTGAACAGGGAGTCAATTCCATATGCTGCAGATTGAACTCCATACAACTCGAAAAGGACCTCGTTCATCGATCTTCTATTCACAGCAGGATTTCCCAACACTTCGGTCATCACGACTGGATGATCCACCGAGCTTCCCTCGACACCCAATTTCAGGAACACGTAATCCAATATGCCCTCCATGATCTCGTAGTTTGACACTATCGGTCCATCGAATGGAGACTTTGCGCTCAGACGCGCCAGGGGATCCGCCATGATATCGTTGCCTACCAGCTGGTACGTCTTATTCATACGTCGGTCGCGGTGTTTGGCGTATAGACTTTCGATTGAGAAGCGCGGTGTGGTGTCCGTTGCATAGCCGGCACGAAGATTACACGATCCTGAACATCTAGTCAGCCTTCTCAATGAGCTAATTGCATACCAGGACCGTTACTGACCATTGTCGATTACGATTGGTGTCGATGTGCCTCGGAAAGAAGAGTAATCGACAGCCTCAGTCGGGCCGGGGAAGACAGGCTCGCGCACATCATAGATTCTGGCTTCAGACATTCTCGAGTTCAATTGCAAGCGGTCGGCGGCATGTAGAAGAGTCCGTGTCAAGGCCAGCTGTGAAGATATCGGCAGCTCTCTCGGCTGTACCGCGGTGCTCGAGCGCACCCCGGCGGCTGCTTCTGCAGGGCATCCCTGACTGAACCACCTCAGCCTCCCAGGCGGGTTCACACACGGCATCTTACCTCCGCCAAAAGCTTAAAGTAAAGTCGAAGTGGTTCAACAGCTACTGATCGCGATGATGAGGTCATTATTCCGAGTCTCGCCATCCGTCAACTGCAGACCACGGTCTGCGTCGGAATTCTCAGTAGCCAGACGAATGTCGACTGCCGACGGTGCGGCTTCCTCGACCTCGGCGTCCCGCAAATATCCACGGATTGATATTATGCTTGACCTCGAAACGCTCGGTACAAATCCTTCACCAGTTCTCACTCAGATCGCAGCTGTGCATTTCGACCTTCAAACTGGCGAAACGTTCAGTACATTCTCATGTCTTGTTTCGCCGCAGTCCTGTATGAAAACAGGAATGATGAAGTGCGACGGAAGTGCTATGGATTTTTGGCTGCAACAGCCGTCGGGGGTTCTGGAAAATGTTTTAATCAGGGCTTTGAAGGAGGGAAGACCAATAAAAGATGTCTTGGGAGATTTTACGGCTTGGATTGATGGAATCAAGGCGGAATCCAGATCACGATTCGTCAGTGTGTGGGGTAATGGGATCCCTGCGGACAATGTGTGGATTGACTCAGCGTACAAAGCGTGTAGCATGACGAAACCATGGAGTGTCTTCGGTGACAGGGATGTGCGAACACTTGTTGATCTTGGGCAAAGCATGACGGATACAAACCTGAAAACGGAAACTGTGTTTGAGGGCGAGAAACATAACGCCCTTGCGGATGCGATACATCAGGTCAAATACTGTTCGGCAATCTATCGTGCCGTAAGCGGGTTGGACACACGAGCTAAAGAGGAAGTCCGGAAAAGGTTCGAGGAAGCTGCGCTGATGTCGGTGAATAATACCGCCGCGATAAGCTTGGGTGATGACTTCACGGTTGATTTGGAGGCCAAGACCCTAATAGAGAAGGGAAAAGACTTGCAGAATACTCCAGAAGCCGTTGTCGAGTCGCCGAATGCAGCTGCAGTTGAGACGGATAATGCCGAAGGTGCGGTAGCCGGAAAACCATCAAGCTTCGAGACGTGGTCAGAGAAAGCAAAAGTGACACTGACGGAGAAGGAAGAGGAATCGGAGGAGAAATTGCCTGTGAGCAAGTTTCTCAAAAAGCTCAGCGAAATGAAGGTGGCAATGCAGACGGCCGGGGAGAAGAAATGAAGCGGAGAAGAAGTTGAGGAAAAGAGCGAACGCAGATGTTGTGAAGGAAAATGAGGAGCTTCAAACACTACTGGATTATCACACTTTGGAGGAAGCAGGCGTTGAAGATGAAGAGGAAAAGGCGGAGGAGGTGAAAGTCACTCGTACGAAAAGGCGTTGCATCAATGTTGGATTTGTACCGGGGGAATAGCCGCGAAAGAGCAGCGTGAGCGCCGAGAAGAGTCGTAGAGAGAAGATCAGGGCTTGATACGCATATGCCTGAGTGAAACGGCATCGAACACCACCAGGCGGCCGTGGGAGGATACACAGGCAGCTCCTGATCTGATAATGCATGACGTTCACGTGGCATGTACGCTGAATAATGTTCGCGATCGAGCGAGTCTGGACTTTGACGTTGTCGACCATGATATCGATGTACTATGCGCGGTACCGGTTGTGGTACCAGCTGCAGTTGCAATGGCGAGTAGAACAAATTGTATACACACAGGTATACAGCTAAGATAGCTAGGCCAATAACAAATGGCAGCTGACAAATCTCCGAATACCTGCCCAAAGTCTCGCCACTTGTCATGCTGCTGCTGCTCTCACTACCGTACCCTGCGCTTTGGCGCGCACGCAACTGAACGCACTACATTTGCCCCCCAACAGATAAAGTCATCCCTGTCCACGCCGTGCCGCCATCCGACTCAGCGATCACCTCTCCTTGACCGGCTCACTCGTTCGACCAAATGGAGGCTGCTTACCAGACTGTCTGGGCGCACGCTCAGAATGCAACCGCGTCATTCCTTCCCAACACAAACTACTTCGGTGTCCTCGACATGATCAAGGCGTCGCAGCCTCAGCTTTCCTACGCTGAGCAATTGTGGTCCGCCTGGTACGCGTGGTGGCAAAACGATGTCATCGCTACTGGTAAGTCGATTGCGCCGCTCGAATTGGACGTGTTCTGACGGTGTTTCTAGGTGTTATGTCTTTCTTGTTGCACGAGATCGTCTACTTTGGTCGTTGTCTCCCCTGGATGATTATCGACGCGATTCCTTACTTCCGCCGCTGGAAGATTCAGGATGCCAAGGTTCCTTCTATGGCCGAGCAATGGCAGTGCACTCGTCTCGTTCTTATTTCTCACTTCACCGTCGAACTTCCTCAGATCTGGCTTTTCCACCCCATGTGCGAGTACTTTGGGCTCCAAGTCGGCGTGCCTTTCCCCAGCGCCCTCAAGATGGCTTGCCAGATCGCTTTGTTCTTCGTTATGGAAGACACTTTCCACTACTGGGCTCACCGCGCTCTCCACTGGGGGCCCCTTTACAAGCACATACACAAGATTCACCACCAGTTCTCCGCTCCCTTCGGTTTGGCTGCTGAGTACGCTCACCCTGCCGAGGTCATGATCTTGGGTATGGGTACTGTCGGTTCTCCTATCCTCTACTGCGCCCTTACCAAGGACTTGCACATCGTCACCGTCTACGTCTGGATTATCCTCCGTCTCTTCCAGGCCGTTGACGCTCACTCTGGTTACGACTTCCCCTGGGGTTTGAGGACCTTCGTTCCTTTCTGGTCTGGTGCCGATCACCATGACTACCACCACCAGGCTTTTGTCAACTGCTACTCTACTTCCTTCAGGTGGTGGGACCACTTCCTTGGCACTGACAAGAAGTACAAGGCCTACCGTGCCAAACAGGCCGCTGAGAAGCAGGCCCAGACTGCTCTCAAGGCCCAGAAGAAGGGTCAATAAGGAGCGCAGTTTGTTCTTTTCTTTTTGTATGATTTGTGCATACCATGAGCGATTGCGATCTTTGGTCCGTCGCCGCTGACCAGGAGACTATACATATGGCGACGTTCACTATGTTTTACACGTGCTTGCTGTACCTACTTAGAGCAGCTACTTAATTACCTTCCTCTTTATCGTATTGCAAATGTTGCCTTGTTCACGTCTGTTGTTTGTCTTTGAGCTTCTCTCGTGCGCGAGTTTCCCCGCGATGCCTGTATTTCCCGCAGTCCCTTAAGCGCGGGCGGGTTGCGCTTCCCGACCAACCGCCAAAACTCTATCGAACCTCCCGCGTTATCAGTGCCTCCCGAAGTCGGCCCATGTACATATGGGCATAGGATGGAGAAGTCAAGCCTTATCGCTCGCCGTAGCCCGCTTAGGGTCGTCGACCGCTGATCTCGAGTAAAGGAAATGTCAACCACCTATCTATGGCAGCTGCCATGACTTCATCTACGAGATGATCCTGGGGTATAAAGATTCCTGCTCTTTTGCTTGATCTGGCTGTACGATAGTGAGGTTGAACCAGATCAGTCGCATTCAGCAGTATGGGTCGCCTTATGGATTGGATCCTTGTTAGCCGTGAGCCGGGGGAGCCCGAGTACAAGAACCATTCCGAGGCGATGTTGAACAATTACGATCTGAAACCGGTCGAGCCTGCGCGCCGTACGTGGGGTGCGTGGAACTATGTTGGTTTCTGGGTCAGTGACGGTAAGCAATCCTCGTATATGCCCCCCTGATCAATCGTTGACTCGAGAGTCTAGCGTTTAATATCAACACTTGGATGATCATCTCGTCCTCCGTCGTCGGCGGTTTGTCTTGGTGGGAAGCCTGGATCTGTGTGTGGGTCGGATACCTGATCACGGCTTGTTTCGTCTGTGCCAGCGGTAGGATTGGTGCCACCTATCACGTCAGCTTCCCTCCCGCTGCTCGTGCGAGTTTTGGGATTTGGGGATCGTTGTGGCCCGTGTTGAACCGTGGTGTGATGGCAGCGATTTGGTATGGAGTACAGTCGTGGATCGGAGGGGAGTGCGTGCTCCTCATGCTTCGCTCGATTTGGCCGTCTGCCGAGACGATGCCCAACAGCTTACCTACATCTTCTGGAACCAACACTCGCGATTTCGTCTGCTTCTTCTTATTCTGGCTATTCCAGTTGCCATTCATTTGGTTTCCTGTTCATCAGATCAAACATCTCTTTACTGTCAAGGCGTTCATTGTGCCCACCGCTGGTGTTGCGTTCTTCATTTGGAGTATCATTAAGGCGCATGGAATTGGACCAATCGTCAAGCAAGGTGGCACGCTATCAGGCTCGGAAAAGGGATGGGCGATTGTCTCTGCCATCATGAACTGCATCGCCAACTTTGCTACGCTGATCGTTAACGACCCTGATTTCACCCGTTTCGCCAAGAAGCCCAGGGATGCGCTTTGGTCGCAGCTTGTTACAATTCCTGTTGCGTTCGCGATTACTTCGTTCATCGGGGTCATTGTCAGTTCCAGTTCGACTGTGATCTATGGCGAGGCTATCTGGAACCCTACCGACCTTTTGAAGTTGTATTTGGACGACGCTCCCACCTCAGGCACCCGTGCTGGTGTCTTTTTCATCGCCTTCGCATTGGCACTTGCGCAGCTCGGTACGAATATTGCAGCAAACTCTGTCTCTGCTGGTAGTGACCTTACTGCCCTTTGCCCTCGTTTGATCAACATCCGTCGCGGAGGTTACGTCGCGGCTGTCGTGGGAATCTGTATGTGTCCATGGAACTTGCTCAGCAGCAGCAACAACTTTACCACATACTTGTCAGCATACTCGGTGTTCTTGTCATCTATCGCTGGTGTCATTCTCGGTGACTATTACTGGGTGCGCAAGGGATACTTGAAGGTTGAGGATCTCTACAGTGCGAACAAGAATGATTCCTACTGGTACACATGCGGCATTGGGCTGAAGGCGTATGTAGCATACATCGCCGGTATCCTCATCAATGTTATCGGCTTTGCCAATGCTGTCGGCTCTGATGTTCCCATGGGTGCTGTGTACATCTACCGCTTGAACTTTTTCACCGGGTTCATCGTGGCATCTTGCACATACGCTGCCCTTTGCAAAATTTGGCCGAGTCCCGGCCAGTGGCCTTCTGAATGGAGTGAAGTCGGTTCTGAGGCCTATATTGAGGGTAAGGCGCTTGAAAGGGGTGCGATTGAAATGGAGGTTGGTTCCGATCAGCTCGCCTACGACAAGAAGGGTTTCACGGAGGCGGCCAGGGAGAGGGAGCAGTCGTTCTGAGTAAGTCGTTTGGGCATGTTTTGTAGGATAGCTCGAGTCAATGATACCGTGTATACCTTTTCGTTCAACCTGCTTTCTACATGACCACCGATATATACGTACAAACCTACAGTTGGGTGCTCCAACTCTGCAGCCCCTGCGCGGGCGACGTCAGATGCGTTGACCTCTCAGGGAAGAACCAGCCATCTACGAAAACCTTGAATACAAGATCCTAAGACTGACCGAATCCGCCCTGTTTATATTGTTTTCACGAACCGCATACATCCGACATGAGTAACCGCAACTACGATTACCTTATCGTACGTCCCCTGAATCGTGGCATGTTCACCGCGTGTTTTGCTTACACTTTACGCAGAAACTCCTTCTCATCGGTGACTCTGGCGTTGGAAAGTCATGCCTTCTTCTTCGCTTCTCAGAGGACTCTTTCACGCCTAGTTTCATCACCACAATCGGCATTGATTTCAAGATCCGAACGATCGAGTTGGACGGGAAGAAGATCAAGCTTCAGATTTGGGATACAGCAGGTTTGTAGTGATTGCCGTGGCTTGAAGAACACATTCTTACATGCTTCGTATAGGTCAAGAACGTTTCCGCACTATCACCACAGCATACTACCGCGGTGCCATGGGTATCCTGCTGGTATACGATGTAACAGACGAGCGCTCCTTCAGCAACATCAGAACTTGGTTCTCGAACGTCGAACAACACGCTTCAGAAGGCGTCAACAAGATTTTGATCGGTAACAAGTGTGACTGGGAAGAGAAGCGCGTAGTATCAGAAGAGCAAGGACGCGCTTTGGCGAGTGAGTTGGGCATCGGGTTCGTGGAGGCAAGTGCAAAGACGAATGTTAATGTTGAGGAGGCATTTTTTTCGCTGGCGAGGGATATCAAGAAGAGGTTGATTGATTCTGCACAGCAGGAGGCGCCAGGAGGTGATAAGAATGTGAAGCTTGGTAACGGAGCTGGAGAGAAGAAGATGGTCGGTGGATGCTGTTGAGATGTTTTGGGTGTGCAGGGTGGTGTAATCAGGCTGGCGATGAAGTCAGCTGTGGAGGGGAGGAGAATGCGTCTGGTTTCTGGACTGCTACATGCAGTCCTATCGCTACGGTGTCAGGTTCAAGTTTACAGAGCCTACGGGGACGTCACATACCTTTTACGTTATTTTTGAGCAGGGGGATTGGGATTCATTGTGGCTTTCAGCTAGGTTTGATCGACAAGGGTCGTTTCCTATTCTAATACTTTACGTTGGACAATTAATGTGTTCACGACTTTCTTTTGCGGGTGCGACACCTGTAGTATTGAACACCTGAGAACTGCCATTGGACGTAACAACATCCCTCGTAACGTACAGGGGTGACGAACCACCTGTACCTAAACTCCAAGCTGTAAGACAAGATGTCACGATAGGCGAAGACCACCCTTGCGCAGTTCTCAAGTCACAAACCTTAGCTTCACTTTAACCTTACATCACTGCGACATCGTTCCAGCAAAGGCAACGAGAGTGCTCTCGAGATGAATGCACTACGCATTCAGTGTCATGACTGGGCCTATTTGACGGAGGGCAATGCCAACCTCATTTTTGTTTACACAGGAGCATCTAACTCCAACTTTGTGAGCTTTGGCATCCAATCATGTCATGAATGCACGCATATTGACATTAATCTCAGGACGGCAAGATATTGAGGTTTCGCAAAAGTGGCACAGCCGTCGGTATTAAGGATGCCCACTCGTATATCGTGAGGGAGATAGTTCCCCTGTTGGGAGCTGCTCACGTTGTGGTGGGTGAACTGATACCTACCGACAGAAATGTTATTGTGGAACTGAATGACATGTTGAAGGTTGTCAAGAGAACCAGGAAGGATGACAGAAGGATAAGTCTGGAGGACGGGTGGGCATTGCTTATGGAGGATCTTAGAGACCAAGATGTGGTACAGTTCAAGGTGAGTTGCTTGTCTACGACGAACCTACCCCGATTAACGTTCTTGGGTCCAGCCAAAGTGGTTATGTCAATCTCCCACAGCGCCCGATAATTGGGTTGCTTGCCGGACATGTGCGCTTCGTCGAAGTAAGGGCAAGACGAAGGTAGGTCACTTTTGTCCCTTGGATCTGGGCTCGGGTGAAACAGGAAGGGTTACGCGTGCAGCGAAAGCGATCCTTGAGGGCTCGGGACTGTCACAGGAATCTTTGATCTCACAGTTCGTGCGGATATTGACTGCGTCGCCCGTTTTGGTGAACCTGAGAGAAGCTCAGGCCCGTTACGATCGAACTGGACCATTCCGTCAGGAAGGAGCAAGCATTGCAGTGGAAGGCAACGAAGACCTCCCACTGGCCATGACACTCAGAGATTGCACGCTATTTGTTGACATTCGTAGAGGAATGGTAAGGATCATCGACCTTGATCCTAAAGACGAAGTTACCAAAGGGAAATATTGGACGACGGTCGAGAGAACACTGACAGATGGTGGGTGGTATATGGGTAGAGGCATGCTAGACGGCGAGCAACGGTGTTATTAATGGGCATTCGCAAGAAAGCGCATCACCGAATGCATAGAGCAACGATTAGGAAATTTGTCTCGGCTAGTTCTATGATATGTGAGAATTGTTTTAGCAACATCGACTCCATCGGCTATTCATGCCTATAAGGTGAATATGGTGCTTGTGGGCCGCCATATGCCCTCCCCTCCAACTGGCTCACCGGTGTTCTGGGGCCGTTCACTGCAGCCTGCTCCTGGTACGGAGAAGGCTGCCAACCGCGTCGCCACCCATTATGATATTCACTTCCAAAGCTCGCTGCGGGATGCTTGTCACTGCCGGCAGTACTGACTGGTCCTCCCCATGAGCTCTCCGTGCTTGTTAGTACACTCGGTGTATATTCCCGACCGTTGGAAGGCATGTAGTACTCCGTGGGACCCACATTGACACTGGTATTTGCGACAACTGGCACATGAGCCGGGTTTACCCCCAAGAAGCTCTCAAGCTTTCCATTGTCACTCCGACCGGTGGCACCCAGAGCAGCCTCCGCTCCAGCACGGAGAATGTGCTGTACTATACCGGCGGTAGGGACATACGGGTTGGATGTACATCTCCCGATGGCTCCTTCGATGATTGATCTGGAGCGGTTAAGTGCTGGCAAGAAGCCAAAAGGTCTGTGCATCCAGATGATCACACTGTGACATGCAACCAAAAGAACATCTGCTTTCCATGATGCTTCCGCTGGACTATCCTCCTCAGGAAGAAGATGCGAAGGAAGATTCTGATACCAGTCATCCAACTTTCTTCGCACGCGTCGTAGTTGTGCAGCTTCACGCGGTCCAAATCGACGTTGCTGTCCAGGGTAATACAACACACGCAACACACGCGACAGCATCTTCGACACATGCATGAGTGCAGACAAGAATGCGTAATTGCTGCTCTTTGGCAGCTCTGGTAGGTCCATCTCAAAGTCGGCGGGAAGCATTGAAGGCGCTCCGGTCCGTGCACAACACCAAATCTCGAGGGTGAAGATGCGAGTCCATGTGAGGCAACTCGCAATCCACACGCCCTTCGATAGTGGGTCCGCTTCAGGCAGTCGGCGATGAATACCCATATCCACTGCTAACCTAATAGCCGCCATCAGTGCCAAGTCTCGTGCAACGTTATTGTCGTTTGGCACGGAGAATTCTGCGGTGAGCACGAATGCTTGTACACAGCTCAACCGCGGCTCATACGGAATCTCGGCAACGGCTCGTCGGATGCGACTGCGGTCTGGGTCGGATAATGAGTGAACAGTCCGCGCTGCCTGGAATATTGCCGCATATAGCCATGGCGGTATGGGTTCGTACTGCGGATTGCGGTGCGCATTCATAAATGTCGACTTGCTGAGTAGTGGCAGTGCAGCATTATAACGTTCAAAGTATCTGAAACCTATGTCAGCATGTACCGTGCAAACAGTCTTACAACCTACGTTTCGATCAGATCATTGGCCAGCTGAGGGTGAACATAAAGCTCCTCGTGCCGCCGCGTCTTTGCCGTATCCACACTCCGGTCCATCCATGTGTCATTTGTGAGTCTCTCCATGGCGCCAAGACGAGGATGATCTCTCCAGCTTCTCCACGTCACTGCGGCACTTAGCCCATCAGATCCATCTTCTACTTCAATCTTCCATACGTCCGGTAATGGTGATTCCTCAATTTCATCACCCTCTTCGTCGGTTTCCGCCCCGTTATTCTCTTCATTTTCTTCCACCGCGTCCAGGAGTGCCTGCATTCCCGGTGCGATCTCACCACCGCCAACAACTTTGGCCAGCAACTCTTCCATGCGCCCGAGCCTCTTTGAGATGACATCGAAATATCCCTTCTGCGGCCCTCTCTTCTTCCCTTCTGCGAATGTACATTCAGAGCCTGTCTCTGTACATGTTACACAGATCGACTGGTTTGGCGCCAGTATACATTTTACTTTCCTGCGACGACATGCGATGCAGGCTGAGCTTGCCGTCGGTACGCTGGGTGATGGCGAATGCGTGCCTTCCACTGGGGAGTTGGTTCCGCGGGTAACAGAGCTCGCCTGCGGATAGCCGGTTTGTCCAGACCCACCGCTACTGTATTGTTGAGCGTTCATTTTGAGGAAACTGTCGTCGCAAGATCAAAGGAGCCGATACCAGGTAAATGCGCCGCTCGCTGAATGTCCGTGTTCCGAGCAGGAGCAGCACAAAGGCCTTTTGATCTCTTTGTTGGGAATCGCCTAGACAGCTGGGTCAACGGACGACTCTCACTTCCCGTCTGCCGCTGGTTTTTATCGTGATTGTTGCTACCCGGGCGCTTTTGGTGTCTTGGACGAGGCTCGATCGCGCGGCGCATATACGGGAAGCTGCAGCATCGTCCGCGGGCTACCTACACGTTCCCGGGCAATTTACAGGATAGCCTCTCGTGATCAATTCGTTTAAATGCATATGCTAAATGTGTGAATATCGAACGACGTCCCGTCATATCACTAGAGTACCAAGATACCTCCAAACACCGCTGCCATGATCGCGGCATAAAGCCCTGCTTCAACGCCCATCTTTCCGACCGCAACAGCTCCGCTACTAGATCCACTTCCACCGGTCGCCGAAGACCCCGTACTGGTGGACGTTGCCGTTTGAATCAGTTTTGGCGTCTTTTGAATCGTAGGTACAAAGTTGTCTGATCCGAGCTGTGACGTAGGGTAGAAAACCTGCGGCCATCCGTTGGAGGGATACTTCACACTCAAAGCGCCACTCGCACCAACGGTATATGTCGTCCCCGTCAAGATCTCCGTGACACTGTCACCATTGCTCCAGGACGTCTTCAAGCTGACAGCCGATGATGGGATATCAGTAGCATCCTCGCCGTAGTTGTTGAACAGAATAACAACATCGCCCTTGACGTATCCCATGCTTCTGTCACCATTGACAGCCTGAGCTGAACCGTAGGTCTCGAGGAAAGTCGCGTCGTCAGCCGTTGCTTTCTGGCGGAAAAGGTTGAGCGAGCGGATTTGGGCGTATGCCTCTGATGATCTGTTGTAACCAGTCGAGAAGAAGCCTTCACGGTTGTAGGGATCAGCGGTGCCGTTGAAATAGTGTTCTTGACCGTAGTAAAGAATGGGAATTCCGTCGGACAAGAAGTTCCAGGTCAACGCATTCAAGTAAAGACTGCGGTCATTGGTGAAAGAGCAAAACCTGGGCGTATCCTGGTTCTCCAAGAAGTTGCCCATAGTAGTCGGATCCACGCATTCTTCCTGCATTGTCGCGATCATTGCATTCAGGCTCTCGAAACTGCCATTGGTTGCTGAGAATGCCGTGAGGACAGTACCGTACATCGGATAGTTGAGCAAGCCATCCATCGACTTGTTCTGATAGTTGCAGACATAGGACGCGTCACCATCGAAGTTCTCACCGAGGTTGTAAACGTTAGATGATTTGTTGAAGTCATGCCAGAACTCGATCGGCACGGATTTCACTGCATCAAGACGGATACCATCCACGGAGTAATTGCTAACCACCTCCGCAATCCACTCCAACAAGGTATCATGCACGTACGGAATTGACTGATTCAGATCAGGCAAGGGAACATTGATGTCACCCGTCCAGCAGTCTTCCGTACTGGTCTGGTTTGAGAAGTCCGCCCAACACCACGGATGGAAGTACTCTTCCTTGTTAAAGGGGTGGAATTGGGAGTAGTCGATGTTGCGACTGTCAGGAGAGTTGTGGTAGAACGCTGCTTGGGCATAGTCGTTCACGATGATATCGACCATGAGATACATGTCACGGGCATGGAGGGCGTCAGAGAGGGCGATGAGGTCGCTCTCATTACCGAAGTGAGGGTTCAATGCGTAATAATCTTGCACCCAGTAGCCTGTGTTGCCTGTTAGCCATGCACTACGTCCGTGATATTATGGTAGCCTTACCGTGATATGCCCACCCATACTGCGTGTAGTTCTCGATATTCTTCACAATTGGTGAAATCCAGATACCTCCAAATCCCATATCCTGGATGTAGTCCAACTGATTGATAATCCCCTGCCACGATCCTCCACAGTAAATGTCTGTACCAGAATCGCAGATGACACTGGTCGTCGCATTATCTTCTCGAGCAAAACGATCTGTGATCACCTGTGAAAGCGACTGTTAGCAAAGACCATCACACGCCGATAACAGGGTACAAACCTGATAAATCGGCTTCTCGCGCCATTGAGCCGCATGAGCTGCCAACGCAATAGACGGTGCCAGAATGTTGGCAAGCAGTGCTGGAATGGCGAATCTCATGGCAAATGATGGTAAGTATGCGGGACAAACGAAGGTCGGGCTGCTGTGAACGAAGGTAGGGAGTGTCGGGGACTTAGACGGTATCAGATGTCACACAGAAAGACGACTGTGGGTATAGATTGCGGTTGCCTCCTTGATGCGGCTCAGACGTTTGATAGTGGTGACCTGCTCAGAGGCTCGGGAGGGAGGCCCGTGCGTGCAATCAAGCCGGTGTATTTGTATCTGGATGCGCAGCGGCGGTGTCGAGAGACGAGATTGAAGAGGAGCATCGTTGCTGGGCGTCAAACGGCAAGCGGCAAAGACATAGACGTAGCATTCATTCTTCTTCTTCTTCGCATTGATCCTCACAAAGGGACGTCACTGCTTGACATGCCGTACAAAGGGGACGAGCTGAGGCCGAGACATGGGCGGCTCCCGCGCTCAGCCACTCCCCGCTCCTCTCGAAGGAACACAGTGTACGAGATGTATGATCGGAGAAAATCGCAAGTGCAATCGTTTAGAGCAAGAAGATGATGGTATTCAATTGCTTGTCAGTTGTCTTTAAGAGGTACAACTGACAGAAGTTCCGCCCCCTCAAGAATTCTTGAGAAGATAACGCTATGTAGAAGAAGAAACAAGAAAAACACCGAGCCCAGATTTCCCTCGAAACCAATCCCATATCCCATTCCTCGCCTCGTATCCCACCTCATGGAGGGTCCGTCTCATACTCGTATTCCTTTCCGATCCATTCCTTACGTCCCACGCCGTTCCTCGAGGATCCTAACCGCCAATTCTGACGCACACCAAGTCCCAAACCCAGCTCATTCACCAACGTCGCCTCAGATGAACGTCGCGTCGTCGCAGGCTGTAAGCGCCGCGCCATACGCAGAGTCAAGGACAGAGTCGCCAGGCGGATGATATGAACAATGGTTTGAGTCGAGAAGGGCGTCGAAGAAGAAGCCGTCATGATCGTACGAAGGAGGGGCGAGTTCTGACATAAGAAGAGAAGAAAAGTCGTATAGTTGAGAAGGGTGGAGATGAGGAAGGTGCTCGCTTGTCGGCAGTAAAGCTCCGACATAGTCAACAGGCACTGCTGGCGATAGGACATCCGTGCTGGATGTGCTACTGTTGACTCGGTCGAGACGGCTTTACTGACAAGAGGAACATCGACTCGGATGGGTGATGGGTGAAAGGCAGGGATGATGGTGTTTCCCTGCTCGAGGAGGTTTCCGGGAGTAGTAGGTGTAATCGGTCTGGCTGCATTGATAGCAGAGAGGCTCGATTGAATCGCAGCAAGTTGGGCAGCCATCTCATCAAGACGACGCTTATGCTCCGCACTTTCCTCCTCAGCGGCCTTCACCCTCTTGTGTAACCGGGCATTCTCCGCTTCCAACTTCTCGTTGGTCACTTCTAGTTCTTCCATATGCTTGCGTTTCCGTTCACGTGAAGCTTGGGCAGCTTGTCGGTTGCGAAGGATACGCTCTTGTGCTCGAATCTCCTTTTCTTCCGCCGTCTTGGCCTTCTTTCTTGGCGGTGGACGTGACGGTCTTGATGGTGTATTGTCGCTAGATGCAGGTGATGCAGACATGTCGCCGTCGTCTTCATTGTCTTGATCGTCCTCTGTCTTGAATGTGGTGCTGAGGAGCATAGCCGGTGACAGGTAAGCCGGAGGCATAGCCAGTTGTGATGGATTAATAACGTCCGAAACAGCAGAGACAGCAGGCGAGACGGTCCCAGTCGGGAGCAAGTCCAATGCTTGTGAGATGACGGAATCAGTCATTGTCTGTGGTTGCTATATGGAGGCAGACATTCAGGGCGGGGAGTCGTTGTTTTTGTCTGTCCTGCTACGTTGAAGTTGATACGTGGCAGTACGGTGGACCTTTATACCGTACCGGCACAACACCAAGGAAACCTGCCGCGGTGGTGGCAGCGGCCCGCGCGCGCTCTCTTGAAAGGCCAAGCGGGTCCGCGCCGTACAAACACCATTGACCAAGTGCTGGGACCCTTAAATGTTGGTCCGCCCGTGCTGGAATGACTGGAGTAAAGACCATGATCAATTCAAAACCGCGGTCCTGGGCCAGCTTCGTCATACGACTGCCTCGGCCCAAGGTCGGTAATAGCAAGAATTGTGTAGAAAGAATAAAGGTGGCCCGGCCTTCAAACTGGTCAACCCAGCCTGACATGGACCGCCGCCATGCGTAAACAGATACCCAAGAAAGCAAGTAATAGAAACTCCGAACTCGCGCCCCAGCCGCTCCCAAAGGCTTTAAGAACAAGCACACAACAGAAAACCAAAAAACTCCTGCCAGCATTACCCACATTCACTCCTCACCCAACAACTTCTTCAACCTATCGTTCCCAAGCAGTAGGTCCTCCACGTACTGAACCGTCCTGGTCAGGATAACACTCTTCGAATCACCGCCCAATCTCAAACTCGGCACCAACTCCGTCAAATCCGTGAATCCCTGCCTGATAAGATCCCGTCTCTTCTGCTCCGACATGATATGATTCGACCTTTTCTGATGCTCGCTAAGATTCTCACGCCTGCCGTTGATAATTGCCGTCGATCCCGAGGCGTCGGCCTTCGTGCCGTCATTATTGAACGCACGATTAAGGGTCGGTTTCCTGCCGCGTGTGGACCGGCCCACGGGCATGTATGGAAGGGAACCATTGTGGGACGCAGAAGCGGAGCGACTCATGGCTCGTGCAGTAGGTGTCGTAGATGACGGAGGTGAGAAGCCGTTTGAATTGGGTGGCGTACTGTCTTGCTGCCGCGTATCCGTGCATTCGGCTTTGGCGGGTGGATAGTCTTCTTGGCGGCCTCGCCTGAGTTGGGATGGCGTTCGCATGTCGGCGAGGGCGGTGAGTGGTGCCAGACTTTCCAGCCGTGGAGGAAAGTTTGTTTGCGGGACGTTATTGGGCATGGGCGACTGCTGAGGGCCGTGTACCGGGGCATTCATCCCGTTGTAACCATTCTGGCTTGTATTTGTATCCATAGGCACTGCCTGGTTGCCAAAATGCGAGTTTTGACTCCATGTTGAGGTATTTGGCACCGTAGTTTCGTTGGCATACCCTTGCTTGTCTGGCTGCCAACTCGGTAGGTTGTCTGGCAAGACCGGCTGGAAGAGAAAGATGTCGTTACCGGCGATGTTGTCTAAAAAGTTGGCAAAGGCCATGGCTTCCGAATCATTGAGGAGGGAACTGCCGGAGAGCTGACCCGTAAAGGGCGGGGGAAAAGGAGGAGGTGCAGGAGGATGACTATGACTATGATAAGTCGGCGGAGGTTGCGAAGCCATCGTCGACATACTGAGCGATGCCGCTGAAGAAGAAGAACTGTCAGTATGTCCATGTCTCGAAACAGCTGCTCAGGGTTCTTCCCCATGCGACGCAGCTGCAGTGCACCGACACTTTCACATGCAAGAAGAAACAGTGTACGTACCGAGTATGCTCATAGGGTCCTGTAGCGGTGGACGAGTAGGCGATATATGCGCGGTATTTGGCAGTAGATTAGGGTGCTGTGGAGGTTGTGCTGAGGGCAGGTAGTGGTCTGGATGGTCTGCGGTAGTCGGGTCGTCGGCGGGGATTGTAATGGATGGAGTAGCAGCTGTGTCGGGAACCAGAGGAAGCTTCCGTGGATAGGTGTTCATCGGTTGCAGGGCTGTTCCATTGCCTGCTGCTGATGCTATTGACTGACTGACCGACTCGATGGAGGAGTGGTGGTTGGAGCGACTGTCACATGTGAGCCGAGCGCTGCAGAGGCGCGTGCACCAAAGCACTCCGCGGCAAAGTCGGCGCTGGACTGATCGCTGGGGAAGCGCGGGGTCCTCCACCACCACCACCAAACAGATCAGTTCAGTCGTGTAGCGCGATGTATATGCCGTACATCCTCCTGGTAGGCCTGGGCTTCCTGCGAAATGCTCTCGCTTATGATGCCGCGCCTTTCAACAACACTTTCAACGCTTCCGCTTTCCCGGGCTCCGCTCCCGCATTTCAGATCGCCATCGGTGTCGGCGGCGAGACGAGGACTTGGGCAACTCCGGCAAACGGTTTGGCTGGAACTACAAATCATTCCGGTTGTGTTGGTGAGTTTGCGCAGCGCGGCGCCGATTTCCCGAAGTTGTACTCATCGGAATATCGTAGGCGCCCTCGTGGTTTATCCCGGACGTCCACTGGACTCCAACAGCGTCGCCTTGATCTCTTGCGATTCAGACGATGTAGTTACCTGGATCAACCAGGCAAGTTCCGCCAGTGCTGCCTGCATGATCCTGTATTCTGCTTACTCTGACTACTGCAATTTCACCACGCCAATACCGGATTCGGTCGGTACAGCCTTCACCACCATCAGCAATCGAGATGCGAGCATGCTTCTCTATACTATACAGCAATATACCCAATACACCGGTTCGTTTACGAGCACTCCGGTTATAGCAAACATCACGCATGTAAGTAGTACGAGTACGACCGGCGTTCAGGCTGCCGCGCCCACCGCCTCCTCGAGTTCCCAGGCAAGTACATGGCAACCGTCTACGACAAGCGTCGCAATGGTCATCTTGTATGTCATTACCTCTCTGATTGGAATACTGTTTTGTGTCATCATCGTCCTTGGAGCCAGGCGAGCGCGCCGTCACCCGGAGCGATATGGAATGTACGGGGGCGTGGGAAGTAGACCTCGTCGGGCAAGGGGAATCGCCAGAGCCATGCTGGACACTTTCCCAGTCATTCGCTTTGGATCAACAGGTGATCACGAGAACCGAAAGGATTTCGAGATGACAGGAGGAGGTGCCAATGATGGTGATGGTGCTGGAACGGGAGATAAAGCCAGCGTCGATCACCGTGAGGGCGTGGCAGAGGATGGACAAAGTATTCCTGCGAGGCCTGCACCGCAAGAAGTGACTGAGGCCCAACCCTGTGCCATTTGTATGGACGAGTTTGAGAATGGAGAAGAGCTTAGAGTGCTACCCTGCGAGCACCAGTTCCATCCAGCATGCGTCGACCCATGGTTACTGAATGTTTCGTCATTGTGTCCGCTCTGCAGACAAGACGTAAGGCAAACCCCGGAGGAGAGAGCACAAGCACAACTCGATAATGCAAGTGTACCTGCAATTGCGGATCCAGCGTCAAACGAGACGACTCGTGCCCGTCCAGAAATGGCAGCATCGGTATTGGGCAATTTGGTTCCTCATTCACAACTTCCTCAATCAAGCAATACTGAACGCCGCCAAAGCGACGCTCAGGGTCAACATTCCAGGCGCTTCCAGAGGTACCTCGCTATTATGCGCCGTCGTCGCGGAAGGCATGACCAGGTATCGGATGCCGCATTGCAAGAGCTGCGTGACAATCAGGCCGCTCCACAACGACCGGCAGAGGGACAAGTTCGGCCTCCGGCCCCAAGGATAAGGCGAGAGAGCACTCTGAGTAGAGTGTTCTCGCACCCAACAGGGATTTTGGATGGCATAAGAGAGGTTCGTAATTCATGATCATAGGTGTGTGTGACAACACTTTCGTTACGATATGTATGACTAGGATAGGACGGAATAGGATATTCGGGATATACCATGTTATAGCAGATGATATCTTCCACGCCTCTAGAGATCTTACAACCGTGGTGGTGTTCTGTCAACCGACATCATTCGTATCGTACGCGCAAAAGAACCAAGAAAGCGCTTACTTCTTCTCCTGAGCCAAGGCCATCTTCTTCTTGATCTTGGCCAAGTTAGACGCCTCATCGAATGTGTCCTTGATGGACTTTCTCTCCATGACAGCCTTCATCCACCTACCGAAGCGAGGAAGCTTCTGAAGCTTCTCATAAACGTCGGCTGGGACGATACCGTTGCCTAAGGGCACAAGTTAGCAATAGGAATATATGCATGGAGCCGGGAAAGACGTACGGCCCATCAAGTCAATGCGAGCTGCGAAGGGAGCGGTGAGGACCTCTGCCATGGAGAACTCAGTACGGCCAGCAAAGAATGGTCCTGCAGAAGAGGTCTCTGGCAACAGAGGCTCGACAAACCCCTCGACAGCCGACAAGATGGCAGCAGGAGCGGCGGGATCAGCGCGGAAGAGGATACCGGCCTGTCCGGTTGGTCAGCACTCAACATGAAGCAAGTAAGGAAAGTAAGGGTGCTTACCCAGTTAGGAACGACCTTGGTGATGAAGGTCTCTACAAAGATTCTTGCGCGAAGCTTGAAAAGGGCAGTTTCCTCGGTCGAGCCCTGAGGCCAAAGTCCGACGTCAGGGAAGAGATCGGCAACGAACTCGGCAATGGGACCACTCTCGATCAACTTTTCTCCAGCGTAGTCGAGAGTAGGGACCTTTCCCTGCGGGTTGACCTCCTTCAAGAAGAATTCAGGCTTGTTGTCGAGATCGATCTCGACGGTTTCGTACTGGACGTTGGCTTCGGCAAGAGCGATCAACGAGCGAGCAGCCCATGGGCAGTTTGTCGACGAGTAAAGGGTCATCTTCTGAGGCGGAGTGCGCTGCGACATGATGGAGTAGTTTTGACAGGTGTTGTTCTACAGCTGATCGGGAGCAGAGGGTGTGAGTCTTATACCGGTCAATTTGAGGTGATGTTTGTACTTCCGGGGTTGCACACCCGAACTCTGGCGGCTGCACGTACCCGCAGAATATCGCGACATCATCAAGTACACGCCTCAACTCTCAACCTCAAGCTTCGGCGGTGCGACAGATACAGATCACAGTAAATATGTTGAGGTCAGCTTGCAGAACACTCGTCGCATCGGCTGCTAGGACCAGGCCGTTCCATACGTCATATGTTGTTGCTCAAGCGGCAACGAAGAAACGCCCTGAAGATTTCGGAGCGATACCATCCGGTCAAATTGGTGTGCCTTCTAGGGCGTCAAATCAGTTCTTTGACGATGTTTTGGCTGCGTCCGGAGTTATGCCTTCATCCTCCTCTGTCGACTCAGCCCTGGCCGATGGAACAGGCTTCGTTTTGGCTTCAGGAGAGGTGTTGAAGGGTTCTGCGCTCATCATCAATAATGTACCGTTCTTGTGGGACGTTACTCTATCCGAATCTGCTACACGGACTGGAGTCCTGGATCTGCCGAAAGACGCATTTGCCGTATTGGAGCTTTGTCATCCTAAGCCAGAGTTGATCATGATTGGGACAGGAGCGAGGACGTTGATGTTGAGCAAGGAGACAAGACAGAGGCTATATGATCTGGGAATCTCGGTGGATGTAATGGATTCGAGGAATGCGGCAAGCACGTTCAACATGTTGCTGGCCGAGGGAAGGAAGGTAGCGGCAGGGCTTTTGAGTGCCAAAAGGATAGACTCTAAGACGGGAAAGGAATTGTGAATGATTTGAGCTGATGATTATGCTTTTTTTTCGGTGTATGACATAGAAGGCTTTCCACGGCGGGGCGTTTGTTCATCTCATTGTATCTGCGCCTTCGAATGCCGCGGCGGCCACTTTACAGGGTGGACGTTCAGCGCGCGCGGCGAGAACCACACTCAGAGCGCTCAGCACTACGAACACGGGAGCACCATTGCGTTCAGCATTTATCCCGTCAACCAACGAATAATGACAAATATGGGTCCAAGAGCGAGGCCTGTTCCTCCTCTACCCACTCCTGCATTCCTTACATCCGTTCAGATCCAGCATTCACCTCACACTCCGTATCCGCAGACTCCAGCTCCGGGCTCCGTTTCAGCGAATCCCGACAACAGCATGTCGTACTTTGATTTCAGCAAGCCTTCGACAAGTACAGAACAGCCCTTCGGCGGATCAATATACTCCCAGCGCAACTTCTCGCCAGTCCCGGCCACTCTAGCGACGACGACCCCGGCTCCACAACAGATGGATGGTGTACAAGCGACGCCTTCACATCTGGCCGATCCCAACATACTTTTCCGACAGCAGTTAGAGAGGCAAGCAGAAAGGCAAGCGCAGACGCCTATGGTCTTTGCGCAGACCCCAGGTTTGATGGGCCCTGCACAAATCAAATCGAAACCTCGTCTCCATCTTGGGATGAGCGAAATGCGACTGGACTCTGCACAGACACCGGGAGCTTCTACACCAAGATCAAAGGACTCTGAGACAGGAAGAAAAAGATCGCTGTCGCCGCCAGATGGTAGTGGTCTGATGTCACCACTGAGAATTGCCACGACCGGTCTTTCGCAATTCTCATTCAACTCACCGGAGCCTCGCCGTAAGCGTGCTGAATCTATCGCAAACTCGAACTCTTCAAGGTCCAGCCCTGTTCCGACTCAAGTTGTCAGACCGGCCCAGAGCACGCCTTCCTCCATCGCACCGCTTATGCCTTCAGAATTGAAGGAATACGTTCAATCGTCTAGATTTGGTAAGACTGTCGTTCTTGATGTGCGTTCATACGCACTGTTCTCAAAAACGCGCGTTCGGTGTGCTATTAACGTCTGCATTCCGACTACCTTGTTGAAGCGACCTACGTTCACGGTGGCCAAGTTGGGAGAAACGTTGGCGAGTGATGCGGAGAAGAAGACGTTCGCAAAGTGGAGGGAGGCTGATAACATCATTGTGTACGATGTGGACAGTGTGGCATGGCCGGAGATGGGACCAGTGGTGCAGACGGCGAAGAAGTTTGGGTTAGAAGGATGGCAGGGACGGTTGTATGCTGTGAAGGGTGGGTTTGCCGCAATCGAGAGGGAATGTTCGGAGGTGCTGGATCATGAAGCACCGGAGCAGAGTACTGGAAGCCCAGGAGGACTGCATCTGAGCGCAAGGGGACAGTCGATGAACGCTGCTGGCGGAGGTGCATTTGCATGTGCTTTGCCCGCGGCTCAGCCTGCTGTGAATCCGTTCTTCTCTAATATTCGACAAAACATGGATCTTATGAATGGTGTCGGGGATGCGATTCCCATTCGCATACCTCAAGATGCGGATCCGACTAAGATCGCGGCGCTGCCGAAGTGGTTGCATCGTGTTGCATTCGAAGAAGGTGGTGCTTCCTTAGTTGCTGAACGGTTCTATAAGGTGGAGAAGCTTGAGCAAAAGCGTCTGCAATCTGTTTTGAATACCCAAGGGTCCAAGACTCCAGGCCATGGTGAAAGCCGGGCACGAAGTCATTGGAGCATTTCTTCAGCTATGGAGCAAGGCACGCGGAACCGGTACAATAACATCTGGCCTTATGACCATTCGCGCGTCAAGCTGAACGATGTCAGGGAAGGAGGTACTGATTACGTCAATGCGTCATTCGTCGAGAATCACGCAAACCACAGGCGATACATCGCTACTCAGGGCCCGCTTCCGGCAACTTCTGAAGACTTTTGGCGAGTGTGTTGGGAGCAGGATGTTCGCGCGATTGTGATGTTGACTACCACAGAAGAAGGAGGTCAAGTTAAGTGTCACCCCTACTGGAAGGATAAACACCATGGGCCGATGTATCTGAACCAAATCTCCGAGCGCAAGATGGAAAGTGCAGACTTTGGTCCGGAAATCAAAGGCCTGCCCAAGGGCGAGTCGGCGCCAATCATCATTCGTGAGTTTACGCTTGCTCACGGCGATTACCCCTTCGAGCCCATTCGGGAGATTACCCAAGTTCAATACACGGGATGGCCTGACTTTGGATCCGCTGTACCGGCAGCATTGTTGGCCGTTGTTGAGCAGGCTACTGTGGCGACTACACGCTCCACGCCTGTCAACTCACGATCCACCTCCCTCTCGTCATTGACCGACGCCCGAGCCACATCACATCGACGGGAAAAGAACCCGGTTGTAGTACATTGTTCGGCTGGATGTGGGCGTACCGGTACCTACTGCACGATCGACTCTGTCGTTGATCTTGTGCAAAAGTCGATGCATTTAGCCCAGGCTGCTCCCGGTGAGGATGTAACGCCTATCCCTTCCGATTGGGAAGAAGGCAAGCATTCCGACGACGCCGATGAAGAAGACTGGGTGTACCGCACTGTCAAGGAGTTCAGGGAAGACCGGTTGTCCATGGTGCAAACACTACGGCAGTTCGTGTTATGTTACGAGACGGTCTTGGAAGCAGTGCTGAAATGAGTGTTGGGTATGGAATTTTGTTGCACGGTTTTGATACCAGCTGAGGGCGTTCTCGTATTTCAAGGGATCATTCTTGGTGTTTTGCACCCATGGTGTAGGAGTTTTCAATATTTGTAACGTCGTATCTTAGGAGTACACGGTAGAGCATATCATATACTTTGTCTTGCTTTCTTTCACTACTTAGCTTGTGCTTCTGAACCCCCGCCGGTAAGCAGCATAACTAAGATGATCGGTACCAAGTAATGCCAGTACTTCTGTAGGAATGTCTTCTCTGGCTCCGGCACTTCTTCGCCATCGGCAGTAGCAGGACGGGCAACAATGGGCTTCTTGAGCGACACACTTGGTCCGTTGAGCTGGTAAGGAACCATGATCACGGTCGGCTACTCAGATTGTCAGCGGGGGCAGCAATGAGTGCTCAACGAAAGCCATACCGGATTTGAGCCCGTGGAAATTCCGTAGTCAACTTTCCATGGCTTGCCTTGCTTGTCCAGGTGGACCTTGACTTCTTCATGTATGTTCTGCCAGCCATCGGAATTGTGTAACAGCTTTCGTGCGGCCTGGATTCAAATTCGATTGATTAACGAACGCTCCCAAGACGATGAAGTGGACCAACCTGCGAGATGAATCCGCCATTGACCGATTTCTCTGACTCGTCTAGCAGCCCCAGCTTGTACAAATTGCCCTCAATACTAGACAATCGCGCCGCCCATTTGGTCTCCGCGGTCTGAGATACGGTATCGTATATGATTTCGGCTCGAGGTGTCTGTGAAGGGAGGCCCTCGTCCACCTGCTCGTAAAGAGAGATGCGAACTTGCTCCGCCGCTGCGCATAGAAGGTATAGAGACAAAAACAGGAGTCTAATCAACATCGTAACGTCCCAAGGTCGAGGCCTCTTGCAATTGGAGTTCTGTTTCTGTCAGTACGGCAATTCGTATTGCACGGGGGACCTGCGCCGGTGACATCGAACGAGCAGCGCGTACGAAGACGATTACAACGAAGATGTCGTCCTTGGCTGAATACCTGGCAAAGAACTATCTGACGAAGGATGAACCAACGAGGAAGAAGAGAAAGAGGAAGGTCGCAGAGACCCAGGTCGTGGTGAAGGAAGACGATGCGACAGGCTGGGAGAACGTGGACAACGAAGGGAAGGAGGAGGAGGATGCACCAGATATTGCTGAATCTGAACTACGACTGGCTCCAGGAGGTTTCAAGAAAGCACCTTTGCTACAAGTTGCTCCTGGTTCACAATCATCGCTTCCACAGCCGTCAATAATAAGTTCAGCACCTCGAGACGGACTGCGTATGGCCAATGGTACGCTAGCAGGCCTTCAAACAGCTGCCCAGATCAAGGCACAAATAGCTGCTAGAAGAGCCGAAGACGAAGCACGTTTTCTTTCTACAGATGCAGCACAGACTGGCAAGGGCACCGAGACGGTATACCGTGATGCTACTGGGAGGAGAGTGGACATTGCTCTTCAGAGAGCGGAGGCAAGAAAGCGGATGGAAGAAGAGGAAGAGAGAAAGAAGAATGAACTTGAGATGAATCAGGGTCTGGTGCAACAGAGGGAGCGTGAGATGAGACGAAGAGAACTGGAAGCAATGAAGGTTGCACCATTAGCAAGGCGAGCAGACGACAGAGAGATCAATGAGGAGCTGAAGAAAAGAGAGAGATGGAATGATCCTGCAGCAGCATTCCTGAAATCCACGAGGAAAACGGAGGCAGCAGAAGGGTCCAAGCCAGTGTATCAAGGTGGATTCCCACCAAACAGATATGGTATCCAACCGGGGTATAGGTGGGACGGAGTGGATCGGTCGAATGGTTTTGAGAAGCAGTGGTTCACCAGACAAAACGAACGGGCTGTCAAGGAGGCTCAGTATCATTCTTGGGCAACAGAGGACATGTGATTGGCCCTGTTTCTTCACTGTCACAAAAATAGTTCGTTCTTAACGTTGCTCGCATAACGCTCTGAAGACTCGCGGATCACGCGCTCGTGTCAACTTTGAAGCACGCATATATTCTCCTCGGATCTGTATGTACGGTCATCAGCTCTATTCACGCAAACGAGACAAAAGGCCATACATCATATAACCCATTCTTGCCCACCGTCCGCCCGACGTTGTGAGTAATTTCAAATGGATCCTCGATACAAAGGAAGTTCCGGCTACGAACTTTTTGGTCTTCAGGACCAACTCTATCTAGAGCCTATAGCATCGGTTAATACAAATCTGACGGATACAAAGGCATGACTTGTCACTTGCCTGAGTCCAGCCTTTGCTTGTTTTTGTGAGCAGCCCTCCCGGTGTTCTGATGCTTATGACCATATTCCGAAAATCGAACTGAGCATAATATGAGAAATATTCCGCCATAAGCTCGCCAATCGACCGCCGGTTGAGCGATGGAGGTATGTTAGTAAGGTCCTTGAAGAACCAGATGTTGTAACCTTCGCATTCTAGTTCCTCGAACGGTACCGGAACTTGCGCACCGATATGTTGCAAGTTTGGAAGGCAAGAAGGGCTAGCCACGTTGATAAGGAAGTGAAGGATTGTGAGGACATATCCGTAACTGCAACATTTTGTAAGCAGTCTGCATACGCGGAGGCCATGAAAGAGGATTACCTGCTCAGAGTCCCATGATACGAAGAATTGATTCCTCTGACTTTTGCCCAGTGTTTCACTTGTTGCATACCCATTAGCATTATAGCAGGTGTGGATTGAGGCAGAGATGTACGTACCAAATAATACCATCTCCCGTAAGCGAGAATCTATTCTTGAGTATGTGGCAAGGAGGCGAGTATTGTGGAGCGCCAGTCTGCAGATGCCGTATTAGTCGATTCCGTGAGAACGTTATCGAAGAGAAATTCTTCCTACCTATTCTCAAAGCCGATGTCCATGGCTATGTAAATGTGTTAGTACGACATGCACAATCATTGTCGCGTATGGCACACACCTAATCCAAGCGGAAATTGTGCTGTTGGCCCTTGTACAAGTTTGATGATGGGCTACGACAACATATCAGCTCAAAGTGCACCCTTCCTAACGCGACAGGCCGGCCCATACAATTCTTGTTTTCGTAAGAAGTTTGACCTCAAACCCTGTAATGAAGTCAGCGAAACCCCGGTTTCGCTTTTGACTGATAACATACCATATCGTTCGAATTCTGCGGCAAGAACCTCGGGGAGTTCCGTCTTGATCTTATATCGTGGATTGGGGGAATCGTCAAGAATGCAGAGGTCGAGATCGCTGTTGGCAGTTGCGAATCCATTCACCAAGGAGCCGAATGGAATGACACGTGCTGCTGAAGTTCGAGCGTGAGCAATGACCAAGTGGAGCAACGGGTGTGCGCATACACGGCTGTATTCTTTGCACTATCTCTACGTCAATCAAACTACGCAATTGCTCTTTGAGATACATCTCGTTGGCGGATGGATATTGGGGCCTGTTGATCTGAGGAAGCGTATTAGTACATGCTCAAGCCGATACAATTGGTGCGCATATACTCACCGAAAGAACGTACTCGGTGAAGCCACTGTATGCGTCCTGATAAGGCTGAGGGTTCGTAGGGCCCGCACTCAGCGGATGTGCCCCACCTTGCGATGGGTGAGCCATCATATTCCGATTCGTTTGTATCGTCGCCGCTGCAATTGGGTTCAAGGTCCCAAGGTTGTCTTTTTACGGTCCTTGTGGTCCTTGATGGTCGCGAGTCAACGTTACGTTCATATCTGCAGTCGTATGCACGTGTACTGTTTGCATTACCGGTACGTTAAGGAACACCCTGGCCATCCCGCCCAGCTGCAGCGGCGGACTTCAAATGCCCAGGTGTTCAGCTGGAGGTCCCTTACTCGATGTTTTTTAGGATGATGATACAGACTTGGAAGACCAATTTTTACTGTTTTGCGTTCTGCAACGGCGCGGTACACATGGTAGTATGATGAAATGTGTTGTGACGGCTTTTCGCACGTTTCGCGAATAGACGTGTACGTACAACTAATCCCGCAAATGTCGCTCTGCCAAAGTACAAGGTGATCGATCAATAAATTTCCCCGGTAACGGATTTTCTTAGCAAATCGAGGCTACACATTCAGCTGCCCCTGGGTCAGCCCAAGCTGCCAAAGCTGGCCGCGCCCGTTGTGCGCCCACAGTCCGCCAGAGACAGAAGCCCCGGGGCGACGTTGGACATCGCACACCGAGATCCAGAGCTTCTGTGCGACGTCTCACCCGTTGCTGCCAAGTGACATCAGCTGTTTCGTTCGACGGTTCTCCATCTCCGCTCGTTCTGCGCTCGACTTGTGATCTGGAGCACCCGCCTGCCTTTGATTCGCTTTGATCCCAACCTTGCTGTCGCCAGCGAAGAGTTATGGGACATAATAAGAACGTCGTTGCGGCCTCAATGAGCTCCGCCCAAGATAACAGACCTCCCGAGGTTGCTGTTCCCGCGACCTATCCGTCCTTGTCGCCCACTTCTGATCAGATCACACCACCCATGCTGGAGCAACCACCTTCATGCATCTCTGCATCCGCCCAGGTAAATGCTTCCAATGCTGTGGGCAACACTCCCTTTCAATCACAACCTCCGCCCGCCTTGCAGCCCAAGGTGCAAGCAGCATTCGTTAACAAGCTTTACGCCATGGTTGAAGAGCCTACGATACAGCATCTTATTTCATGGACAACGTCCGGAGAAACGTTTGTGGTCAAGGAAGTTACCGAATTTTCCAAGTGCTTGAGCCATTTTTTCAAACACAACAACTGGCAGAGTTTCGTCCGGCAATTGAACATGTACGGGTTCCATAAGGTATGTTGACGATCCTTTTCTCTGTGGCATCATGACTGACCTGGCTTAGGTGAATGACATGTTCCATCAAAACTCGTCCACAGAGTCCACGGTATGGGAATTCAAGCACCCTAATTTCAAACGAGGAGGCGTGGATGCTCTGCAAGGCATCAAACGCAAGTCTTCTCGCCAGCCGCTCGTACACCGAGATTCGTATTCACATCAAAACTCGAATGGATCCTCGGCATTGCCAACGCCGGTAATGGAGTTAGGTGGCCCGGGTGGGTATATGGATGCAACAGTGCCGGATGAGCAAGCAGCACGAAGTGATCACACTGTCCAAATGCTCTCGGAGAGAGTTGCCATCCTGGAAGACAACTACAATGCACTACTTAGTCAATCACACGCCGTGAGATCGGCTTTGCAGTCTTACGAACAGGTGCGCACCCATCGATATATAGTGGTTTCTTGCACTAATGAGGCATTCATAGCTTCAATCTGGTTTGATTGGTTTCATCGCCGCGCTTACGGATGCACACAAAGCCGACGGCCTGCTGCATCGTGATGGTAAGGGCCTTGAAAGCGCATCCTGTGATCAGATAGCTTACTTGTCCTTAGTGAACGAGCTGCATATGGAATTGGAGAAGTTTCGGCATACAGTGGCAAACATCACATCGGACATGAGTCAACGTGCCTATTCACAGGCAGATATTTATCGCCGAAGATCAACTATGTATGGTTGGCAGCCTCCAGAACGGCCGAGCATTAGCGACATGTCGACGATAAGCAGTACATCCAGCCCGCAATCTTACCAGCGATTTCACCCCCATCAACGGGATAGCTATACGTCGAGTGCCCGTCCTTATTTGCCTCCGAGGAGCGACAGTCTCCAGCACATGTCGTATCCTGGGTATAGCCCCTTCGCAGGAATGCCTCGTCCGTCTCCACCACATCCACTGCATCGCAATTCTTCGGGAGAATTGAGAAATCTCCAGCAGTATAGATGGCGGGAGCCTTCCATCGTGGTTCCGCCAAACATGCCTGACAGTCACGACGCACAGCATGTGCGCATAGCGGCACCTTTAACTCAGCCGCGGCCTCCGCTGACCTCCGAGGGCCCTCCACCGCCATTACCGGACGAAAGCGAACCAGGGCGGTCAAACTCTCGGGGTGCTAGCATAGGCAGCGTTCACGCGCTGTTGAATCCTCCCCAGGAGACACCATCGGTATCTGGGCCAGCGGACACGGAAGGATACGACCAAAATCGGAAGCGAAAACGGCAATCATTGGGCGGGGACGCGGGAGTATAGATAGGACAGGCCGGAGTTTATCTTTTGGGAACATTTATTATAGCTGTAATACACACACCGATACCTTACCTACCTTACCGTTTTTGTCGGGTTCAGGCTGACCGGAAGCAGTTCACGTGCGTGAGGGGAAGGTCCCGAGATCATAGGTGCACAGGGTTACCTTTCCGAGTTTGGGGCCGCGCTAAGACGAGACGTATCGAACAGCGACAGCGAGAGCGACAGAGAACGAGAATCAGATTTTACAGTACAATGTTCAGGCTCGCTCGATCATCGCTGGCCTCTGCCGCCAAGGCCCCCCAGGTTCGTGCGCATTGACCGCTGCGCAATTGATGCACTGGCTGATCTTTCTTCCGCCGCAGCCCGGTTTCCTCCAGAAGAGGAACCTCTCCATTCACGAGTACTTGTCGGCCGATCTCCTTAGAGAGGTGCGCAGGCCTTGGAACCGTTATTTGCCGACGACTGACGGCGATTGAGTAGTACGGTGTCGGTGTTCCCAAGGGTGGAGTCGCAAAGACGGCTGCTGAGGCTGAGGCCATTGCGAAGCAATTGAGTGCGTGCTCATCTCCCATTTCACTATGCAATATTGCTGACAATATCTATCAGACACAGAGGATATGGTCATCAAGGCCCAGGTTCTTGCTGGTGGTCGTGGAAAGGGTACCTTCGACAACGGTTTGAAGGGCGGTGTTAGAACCATCTTCTCGTGAGTATGGGATGTTGTGTTCGTTGGGAATACTTGCTGATCTGTTGACCAGTCCTCATGAGGCCAAGATGTTCGCCGAGCAGATGTTGGGTCACAAGCTCGTCACCAAGCAGACCGGTGCTGGTGGTAGGTTGTGTAACGCTGTTTACATTTGTGAGCGCAAGTTTGCTCGTCGTGAGTACTACCTTGCCATTCTCATGGACCGTGTCAGCCAGGGACCTGTTATTGTTGCTTCGTCTCAGGGTGGTGTTGATATCGAGACTGTTGCTGCTGAGAACCCTGATGCTATCATCAGGCAGCCCGTTGACATCAACACTGGTGTCACCCCGGAGTTGGCCAAGGGGCTCGCGAAGAAGATGGGTTTCACCCCCGCGTGTATCGATGAGGCGGCAGACACTATTTCTAAGCTTTACAAGGTCTTCATTGAGAAGGACGCTACCCAGATCGAGATCAACCCGCTCTCTGAGACTCACGAACACGAGGTTTTGGCCATGGACGCCAAGTTCGGATTCGATGACAATGCCGAATTTAGACAGAAGGAGGTGTTCGAGAAGCGTGACACTACTCAGGAGGATGCCGATGAGGTTAAGGCCGCTGAGTTCGGTCTCAACTTCATTAAGCTTGATGGTAATATTGGATGTTTGGTCAACGGTGCTGGTTTGGCCATGGCTACCATGGACATTATCCAGCTCTACGGTGGATCCCCAGCCAACTTCCTCGATGTCGGTGGTTCCGCCACTCCCAAGGCTATCGAGGAGGCTTTCGGTAAGACCCCGCCGTAACATGTACTACAGTGTACAAGGTGGCTGACTTCTTTTTCCTGCGTCTAGGTTTGATTACCAAGGATCCTAAGGTGACCGCCATCTTCGTCAACATCTTCGGTGGTATCGTCCGTTGCGACAACATTGCACAGGGTCTCATCCAGACTGTCCAAAACATGAACCTCCAGATCCCCGTTATTGCTCGTCTGCAAGGTACCAACATGAGAGAAGCCCAGGAACTCGTAAGTGAAGCCGCTATCCCTGTCTAAAACGTTTACTGAGGCTTCGTTGCAGTTGTCCAAGTCCGGTTTGAAGATTTTCGCTATTGACTCCCTCGACGAGGCGGCCGAGCGCGTTACGGACTTCAGCAAGATTGTGTCGATGGCGAGGAAGTCGGATGTCAACATCTCTTTCGAGCTTCCCATCTAAAATCAGTGCTGGCGGCTGTTGTGATACCTTACTCGTTGTTGTGCTTAATATAAATCTACACCTCATTTAATTGTACTTGTAATTGTATATACGGCCTCGGGTTCCTGCTGCCACTGTAGTCAGGGCGCGGGCAGGCGGGTAAACACTCCACCAACGCCTGGGCACCCATGGCCAGCTGCTGCTCCTCCTGCGACCGCCCCTCCCAATGCATGCTCGATCCAAATCTGCTGGTCCATTCACAACTACCACTCCTCGTACTCTTGGCCCTCCACAGTCTTCTTCGTCCGCATCATCGTCCCGCGACACTTCTGCTGTGAGAAGGCCTCCGCTTACTCCCAGTGGAAGTGAGCCCTCCTTGAGCTCTTACGGTCAGCCGGAATCATCTCCTAGCCGTATTCAAGACTTTCCACTATCTTGCCCGATTTGCAATCATTCCGCGGTATGACGACTGACCACGGCTGTGATGAAGGGCTCTAACCTCATGTACGGGCAGGACACGTTACAGGCATTAAATGCTCATCTTGACACTGATCATGCGGAGTTACCTTCTTCGCAGAAGGAAGGCTTTAGGTCATGGTTCGAAAAGAACATGGGTCGAGCACGATCCTTCCAAACGACCATGTTGCAGGAGAAACTTAGAGGTCTAGACTCTTTCGATCGCGCAGGGTCTCTGGCAGGTCTTCTTGCTTTTGATACTCCTATTCCCGAGTTGACTTCCATGTCAGCATCTGGTGGTTATGGTTCTTGCGGGACTGTTGTCCCATCCTCAACCCCAAATACTGATACAGACGGTAAGGAGTACCTGTATATTGACTCCGCTTCAGCCGTCCATCGGAACCATACGGAATCGTTCGTGGCACTCCGTCGAAAAGTCGTTGATAAATCTTATCTTGAATTGCGACGTCTAGAGAAGCGTCTACACAAGGCAAGTATGTCGACGTGAAGTCTTTGGCTTACTAACATTCTTTAGCTTCTCTCCCTTTTATCAACGACCTACGATCACGATCCTTCGCCCAGGATTAGCCTTTTACGCACGGTTACCTTATCTCGAACGCAGCAAAAAGCCTTGGAACAAAGCGTAATCAAGTGGGAAGACGATAAGGCGGTCGTGAACTGCCCGATATGCCGGTATGTTGAATGTGCCACGCCCTGACGTCGAGCTTACTGCCAGCCCAGCTCCATGTTCTCCTTTTCTCGTCGAAAGCATCACTGTCGGGTTTGCGGTCGTGTGGTCTGTGGAAGTCCTTCGACAGACTGCTCGTCCGGCGTTGAGTTTGCGGTCAATGGTAAGGACGCTTTAAGTTCCCCGATCATCTTAAGGGTGTGCCACGACTGTAAAAAAACATTGTTTGGCAAGAACGATTTTAAGAATCACTCGGTTACCGTGGCTCAATGCATCAAGCTATATGACGTATGGTTCCTTTTTGTCCCACGGTGGCATTGATACTGACCTGCGACCAGAATCTGCTCCAATACAAGAGGGGAATTGAATCTATGGTTCCAAGGTTTTACGAAGAACTTGACCGGATGCAAGCAGTCAGGAATCTTGAATCCAATCATGATCCACCTGCCGGTGAAGCATTGCGGCTTCGCAGACGTCTCGTTGATGCTTTTGCGCAGTATGACGCGATCTCTAAGAGAATCCGTAATCTACCTGCAGAGTCGCTGGCACAGGAGAAGCTTCAGATAGCGATACATCAGATGGCGACACAGTTCATGAGCGTGAACCTTGTACCATTACAGTCGGTCCAACGGAGTGCCGGTACACCTTTGACGACCAGTCAAGGGGCCGCTGTTGATGAAGTTCAGAATACACTTTCGGAAGACGCAGAGACTAAGCTGCGTGAGCAGCTCATGGTACTCGAGGAACAGAGATTTCTAGTGCAAGGAATGGTAGAAGACGCTAAGCGTCAGCGTCAGCTGGATGAGGTCGCGACGTTAACAAAGAGCCTCGAGGAGCTCGATTTGGAAGCTCAGTTGACCGCACGTAAGCTTGCTGAAGGTGGTATAGTAATCATTTAGTAAACGTCCATCAACAGCTGCTCGTGTTACAGAGGCAACAGCAAGGAAACGTCTCGGATTAAAATAATATATTTCCAGTATCCCTGCCTTACTGGTCTGGAGTGGACGTAGAATACCCCTCTCCGTGATCTCTGGCCGCCTCAAAATATGATTTTCTGGTGCCCGTGGGACTCAACATTCCTTTGAAATGTCTTCAATACGCATCATTACTCGGTAGCCATGAAACGAAACATACCTTCCATCCGTGACCTTTTAAGATCCGCGTAATTCGTACTTCCGCCGCCTGGTGATGCCGGCGGTGCAGTAGCTATAGCATTGGAAGCTGAATCGACGGCGTAACTCGACTTGCGAGGAGCCAGTGATGGACGAGGGTTGCCAGCAAGAGATTCGGACGCCATCGAGGCGGCGGATACCTTCTGATACGGGTTGGCCATGGTTGTTGATGGGTGTGGTGAGTATAGACGTCCGTTGAACCGCGTCTTGGTCACTCCGATGACAGCACCGCGCCATGCACCCCGCACCACCCCACCTCCCCACTCCTCCTCCTCCCCATTCCAACCTATCACAATCTGAAGATAGGATCAGTTGCAATGGCAAAGACAACGATGAAAGCTGTTGTCCTCGAACAAGTTGAAGGTGCTCCTGGCAAGGTATGGTACCCGCTCAAGCTGGCTGATCGCCCCGTTCCCCAACCCTCCTCGGGCCAAGTGCTGGTCAAAATACTAGCTGCCGCCCTCAACCATCGCGACCTATTCTGCCGTCAAAATCTTTACCCCGGTGTCACTTTTGACGTCCCCCTGGGTGCGGACGCTGTGGGTGTAGTAGTTCAGAGCGGTTCGGATGATAACAAAGACTGGGTCGGCAAACGCGTGGTGCTGGTGCCAGGACGTGGATGGGAGAAGGACCCTGAAGGTCCTGAAGGTCAATATGCTATCCTGGGTGGGACAAAACTTTGCTCCGATGGAACTTTCGTGGAATACCTTGCTATCTCCCCGGAGGAGCTTGTCGAGGCCCCCCGTCACCTCTCCAATTCTGAGGCGGCGGCACTGCCTTTGGGATTCCTTACGGCTTACCGTGCAGTATTTACCAAGTCAAAGACAGCCAAAGCATTGTCCGAGTGTCACGTTCTCATCACTGGCATAGGAGGAGGTGTCGCTATATCCGCTATGCAATTGGCCATCGCGGCGGGTGCCCTTGTCTTTGTCACATCTGGGAGTCAGGAGAAGATTGACCGGGCGAAGTCTATGGGCGCAGCTGGTGGGGTCAATTACAAGTCACCGTCGTGGCAGAAGGAATTGAGGGAACTCTTGCCAAAGACCAGACCCGAGTTGGACATTGTGATTGACAGCGCTGGAGGCGACATTGTCGAGAAAACGACCAGTCTCCTCCGAAGAGGAGGTATTATTACAACCTACGGTATGACAACCGGCCCGAAAATTACGTACACGATGGCTGCTTGTTTGAAGAACATAGGTTCGTAAAGCACTTCTCGGCGTCGTCTGGAATCACTAACACTCTGTAAGAACTTCGTGGCTCAACAATGGGCTCAAAACAAGAATTTCGTGACATGATCAAATTCGTCGCCAACAAGAACATAAGACCGGTGGTTGAGAGGTCATTTGACAATGGTTTTGCAGGTCTCGAAGACGCATTTTCCGTGATGAAGAACGGGTCCCAGTATGTTGCGCATGCACGACGTTCTCCTAGCCATCCATTAATTTTTGTTGCAGATTTGGGAAGCTGGTCATCAAAATCGCGCAAGAAGACGACTCCAAGCTTTAGTTTGTGCCAGAATTAGCTACATATGTATGTTTTACAGTTCGTATTGCACATGACATACCGCATACATGAGACCGCCATTCCCTACGATCTTAGCGCTCATGGAATTCAATTTTGATTTTCCATGGTCAGACTTCTGGAATTTCCATATTATGGAATGTGAGATTTGCTTATGGAATTCCAGAACAGAATTTGAATGCTCGGATAGAATCCCTACGAGACCCCCAAATTTTACCAAACACGGTTATAAAACACGAATAAATTATCGAGTATCACGAATAGAGTTATTCGAGTTAGTGGGATATTCTGGGCACAATCTGGATTGACAATTCGTCTTGAAAGTAGAATTTTTTTATACGATTTACCAACACTACACTGTTATACTATTCTACCTCATGACTGCACACTGCACAGACGTGACGTTCATTGGTCCCATCTATCACAGGTCATCAATCTAGGCCCATTGACATTATTGAAACTTAAACAAGTCCTGAAAATTTCAGAAGCCCAACCTTGCCTCAATTCCCACTGTCAACGCACATATGCATACTATGACGCTTCCTCTCATCTCTTCTTTGTCCACTCAGCCGAAACAAGTTCATCGTCTTCATCATCATTGTCATCATCATCGTCAACGTGAAACTCTGGATCATCTTGGAAACTGCGATTGGACATGTATCGATTCAATGCTCCTGAAGTGCGCAAGGTCTTCTTTCCGGGCTGTTTCCTATCACGAACCTTCATTGCCATTGGGTCAGGGCGGGTTAGTAAATCCCGATGAATAGTCGTTTTACTGTTGCTGTCAACAAAGTGTGGGACTCACCCAAATAAGAGGAGACATCAAGCAAGAGTGTCGAGATTAAACATTATCATGTTAGCCTTTCAGCAACAGCGATCATGTGCCCAGTGTGGGTTGAGACGATACAAGCCATAGCATCGGGAGAACAGATGGGAGAGGACCAGGGAGGTGTAGGATTCGATGCTTTCGTCAGTCAGTCGTGAGACACCCAGGGAGATTGAGATGTTGAAGGTGGTGGGTTCCTGGTTGGTGCTGAGGACTTGGTGAAATTTGCCAGCGCATCAGCAGTGCTCACATGTCACTCTCGAGAGGCGCAGACCGAAGAACTGCTACCAAAGACCATTGATCCTTGTCGATCCATCAAAGACCCTCGACTCTTGATCCTCGAAGACCCTCCTCCCTCCAAAAACCTCAAAGACCCTCAAAGACCCATGAAATCTAGCCAACCTCACGATCCAAACCCGTCCAATAAGGTATTCGTGCACCATGAATTGGAATTCCACTCTACTTGAATACTTTCCCACTTTATTCATGTTTTTCGTACAGTTGAATGACATATTGGAGTGCCTTTGCTGAAAGTGGAATGTGTTATTCCATATTTGTGCAATCACGAATCAAGTATTCGTGACAGTCGAATTCGGGGGGCTCGTAGGGTAATGACAGCCAGCGCTGCGGACTTTGCCAAAAGGTGTACAAGGAGTACCGGTATTATTGAGCACAATCAGCTGTAGACGTAGCACCTCGCCGCTCGCGGCCAAGCTAATCTTAGTCGGATGTTGCTGGATGAAGCTGGTCGCCTGCGTTCATTGCATAAAGTCGATGTTGATTGTCGCTGTTGTGGGTGTGTGTGTCAAGAGTACTGTCGTGGAGCGGAGTCTACCAGTAGCTCATGTGAAGAGGACGGCATGGGAGGCATCACCACCCTATAGACCTGGCGCTCATGGAATTGGGTCCAATCGCCCATGCCACGGAATTTCCGGCATGTACTTCTGCAAGTCAACTCTGGAATTTTCATGAGCAGAAAGTCTCACCTTCCATAACATGAAATTTTCACTACTGGATTCCACAAACGCCAGGTTCGTAGGGCTTCCTTCCCATTGAGCTTGACCTACAAAGTGAAAGATCATGGATTAAACACGACTTCTCCTAGGGCAAGTATGTAATCCACCTCAAAATTGTAGATTAATCTGGCCATGGGATTACACATGGATTGTAAATTTCAACATGGATCATGCAGAATCATATCGTGGATTATCATGAATAGAATTGTGGATTAATCCACCATCCAAACTCATGGATTAAACAGGATTTTGAATTCCATGATCTTTTACGAATGTAGGTTTGTGCTAACGTTGATTAAAGAACCATGAGGATTGCTATCAGAGCTACATTAGTATAGTCATAATGGCGCATTTCGTACCTATGATCTCGATCTGTTCTCTGCTTGGCCTCATAATTGTCCCAAACTCTGCTCAAGAATTCCGGGCATCTGGCCTTGATTCTTATAGGAATCGTGGTTTGCAGGATTGAACGTGATATGTCGGAAGATTATGCTACCCACATCGTGTAATGAATTTACATTGTGCCTAATCTCATGGGCCACATTTTTGGAGGTTTGGGTCCCATTATCCATGATAATGTTACGCTTTACCCAAAGCACAAAAGTCATGCATTTTAGGGAGCAGATATTAAACACTATCCCAAGGTTTAGGGACTCAGCGCTCGTGGATTTTGCTCGTGTAAAATCAATGATGCGCTCACTATCGAACGAGAAGCCTGCGCTAACATCCTGAGTCACAGGGCCACTCTACGGTCGAGAGAATTCTGGATTACAAAGTCTCGCTTAATCGATGATTTTCGGGACTCAAACCATGAGTCTTTACCCCGTAATTCATGATTCTGTTCCATATAATCCGCAATCCTCCCTACGAAGTGTTCCGTTCCGTTTTCAAACAGCATGTCATAGTCTGTACACAGTCATGTAAACGGTCATATAACATACAGACCACCAAATCTGTAACCGAGGACCAGGTAGCATGTAAATGACAGAACAGCGATCATGTTAATTGGAGACCCAAACTCGTGGTAGCAGCTGCCGCTCACACCTTCCCTTGGTAGGGCTCAGCCGGGTATGTTCCTCATATACGTGTCAATCAGTAGTAGTAGTAGTAGCAGTAGTAGCAGGTAATAGTCGGGGAAGGTGTATGACGATGTACAAGTATGTAATACATAGGTGGGGCAGGCAAAGCTTAAGGGGGATGGGCTCAGTGCTGTACCGGGGGAGTTGTAGGAACGCGAGTTTCTGGGACCAATACCGTATCCCTTGCAATTTTGGAAGGGCACCAGACCCTGAAATTCGCAGCAGAGGGAGAGTGGGTGGGGTTGCATAGGGCGGAGTCATTTGGAACGACGTATACACGGAAGGCGAGACAGAATTTGTCAATCGGTATGTGCGGGCAGGCCGGGATGACATGTGGAATCGAGCAGGAGGCACTTATTAGACAATTGTTGTTGATGCACCCCGGTTGTGGAGGTCACAAGGGTGAACCGCGACTCATGAGAACGGGTCGTAGCCATGAAAACCGCAACTTTACCAGCGCTGTCGCTCGAGTTACACAAACAAAGACATTACACGAGCACAGATAGATTACACAAGGGAAAATCCACGAGCATGTGCTCGTGCAAAGAAATTACATGACGATTACACGACCGCTGACTCAGTAGGGCTGGCTAGTTGAAAGAATGCTGCTAGCCTGTCAATCGTCCAATTGATCTATGATTTCGTTGTACGTGATACACTTCACAATGTTCTGTACTCAGTCTGCAAATTACATGACAACGGTCGTCATGTAATTTGATTACAGGACTGATTACATCACCTCCCACGGGTACACAACCTGTAAACTTACGTGGTGTGTACATGCTGAGGTCATGTAGATAACATGAGCAAATCGTCCGTAGGGCCTATTCAGCATAATCCACAGTAAATTTCGGCTTAATCCATGATTCATCAGCATCATAAACCACGATTCTCACTTGTATTCGCGCGCACCAAGGAAAATTGGGCTTAATCCATGATTTTTGAGTTCATAGGGCATATCTCCTGCTATTATAGCTATTAGAATACTTTAAAAAACGACATGTTTTACCTGGTAATTTCGCTCTTGATTGTGTCCAATACTACTGCATAATTCCTCCCATGCGTTTTCGCATTTTTCCATGATTTATTGCTAGAGTGCTTTATTGGGATGTTCCTAATACAATTTTTTCCCTTGGTAGTATTGCTTTCTTGGCCTAATGATCATGAGTTTTTGCTCCATAAAATTCTATTTTGCAACAGCTTGCCTACGCACCTCTTGTATGAACGCACTGTATGTCTGTCTGTATGAGACTGCAGTAAGTTCTTCCCCGACCCGTAATATGGTTCGCAGATGACGTGTTCGGCTCCCGAGAGGTTGCCTGGCTGCGGCGCGGTTGCTGATGCCATCAGATATTCGCAGATTCGTCGCAAGCGTTTCACATTGTCCATATCTAACTACTGAAATATCTAGACTGTCTATGCTCTGTGCCTTCTATTCACTTGTGAGTGTGACCTGCGCCATGATGGCCAAATGATCGGACGGGTATAGACCTTCCCGTGGAAGCCCCTCTGAAAACGGTATTAGCGACACGCGGAACGATATTATGAGAACAACGTACCTGTAGGCATCTCATCTGGCGTCGGCAATCGAAGCAGCCCTCCGCAGCTGACGCCACGTGTGATATCGTTCGTTTTCGAAGGATCACCTCTGTCGAGAACGAACACGTAATCGAGATTTCCGCGGTAAACTCTGGCCCAGTTCGTGAAAGCAGGCTCACCATGCTGGTGGGCATTCTCAGCGTGCACACTGGTATACTTGGTAGCATACAGACTGATCAGACGTTCGGGGCATCTTTCTTCATGACGCTTTACAAGGTCACTGTAGGGAAGAAGCGTCATGTCCTCGAAAGAAGACTTGGTTGGCCCAGCTCCTTCTCCAACTTCATCATCAGCAGGAGTATCATCATCTTCAACGGCATCGTCGTCGTCTCCCCCTTCGTCCACATCCTGAGGTGCAAAAGGGTACTCGATACTCCTCTTCAAGACACACCGATCTTCCTCGTTAAGGTTGATAGGCCTGCAACTTGTGAGACAACGATAGTTTGGATCCGTTACATCAGTATTAAAGTCACCGGCAATAAAAACAGGACAAGCGTCCACAGCGAGGCCTGTCATCTCTTCCACCAATATGGAAGACTGGCGGACACGCTCATAGCTACCTTCCGGATGCCAGAACAGATGCGTTGTTGCAATCACGAAGAATTGTGCAGGCTGGGCACGACTTCGGAGTCGCAAGCCTAAACCAATATTTCCCGTATTTCTCAAAGGTCTCGGCTTCCCGTCCGAGGTATCATCCAGACTGAGCTCTTTACGCTCTTCCACATCAAAGCCCTTCCATGCAATACAACATCCGTGGGTCTTCTTCAAGCCGTGATGGAAAGCGGTTTCATAACCCAACCGCTTTAGCAAGGGTTCGTAGAAAGTAACGAACTTGTCCTTATCGACCTCTTGCATACAAAGAACAGAGGGCATATAATGTTCAATTTCGGCTTGCAGCATCTTTGATCGAAAACGCCATTTTAAAGCATCACCGTTCGTGGGGAATAATTTCCTTCTGATCAGGGTCTGCGCAAGGACGTTATACGTCATAATGGTGAAGGACAAGCCTTCTGGTGCAGTGCCGTTACCGAACGGAACTTTCAGTAATGGCCGCTTAACAAAACTCGTGTCGAAAGCTAGGTCGGTGTCTTCAATAGGATTCGCAGCCCTTTCAAGCGCCTTTGCTGCCTTCTTTGCTTCTCGCAAAGCTACAAAACCGCGTCAGTATTCACTTGCGCACAGGTATCAATGACCAAATACCTCGCATTTGTGCTATGTACTCCGGCGTCACGAAATCAGGCTTCTTTGCCTGATCGTTTGCTGCCGCTTTTGACTTTCCCATAGTTGCCAGATGCCTTGCTAAAGAAAAACACAGAAGAATGCCTCGCTGTCGAGGTATTGGTAAGAGAGTGGCGGCGGGTAGAATATTGAGAAAAAGATGGCTATGGAGTTGCGATGCTGAGCTTCTGGTTTATACCGAGGTCATGAGCGGGGTGTATGCTCAGCTGTGTATTTCCCGCAGAAGCGCGCGGCATTTTGCATACACAGGCAGCGACCGCGAGACGTTTGAACCTTTGGTATGGCTTATATGGAGGAGACAATTGCAAACAGACCTCGGGAGGTATGAGTTTTGAATCTGCACTAGATTTCACAACTATCTAAAACGTACACATCGTCCGCTTATTTGAAGACCTTACCGTCGGCGTAGGCCTTGCCCTCGTAGCTTCCCTCCCAAGCCCAGGCCTCCTCAAGGAACTTCTTCTGCTCAGCGTTGGAGGGGTCGATGGGGCTGAAGTCGTAGGACTCCCAGTCAGGGGCAACCTCGAAAGCGGGCTTGAAATCCTTGCCACGGACAAGGAAAGCACCAGTGATGACGGAGTTGTTGTTCTCTCCGTAGACACCGACGGATCCGAACAAGTATTTGCGGGAAGCCTCGAGACGGGCGAACAAACCACCAATAAGGTTGGAGGACATGAAAACCTGGGTCAACTCAGAGTTGTACTTGTAGTCGATCTTCCAGAGAGAGTAGTCGTTGGAGTCGTAGTTCTCCCAGAACCACTGGAGGGCAACGGGCGTGTCGTTGTTAGAGTACTGACGCTTCCACTCGTCGAGGGGGATGGACTTGGGAGCACCAAGGGCCTCGAGAGGGTGCTTGGCCTTAACCTCCTTAGGGGTGTCGTCCTCCTCCTCCTCCTTCTTGGCAGGCTTCTCCTCCTTCTTCTTGGGAGGGGCAGCCTCCTTCTTGGGCTTCTCCTCCTTCTTCTCCTTCTTAGGGGGGGTGTACTTGGTGACCTCCTGGGCAAGAACAGCCTCACCGGCAACAGCCTTGTACATCTCCTGGTTGACAACAGTAGTGTACCAGCGGGTCAAGGCAGGGTGCTGCTGGCGCCATGCAGCATCGAAGAAGAACTTGAAGCCAGGGGCGATGTGGCAAGCAAGGTAAAGGTCGGCAAGGGTGATGCGCTGACCGACGAGGAAAGTCCTGGTCTTCAAGTAGTTCTCAAGGTAGGCGGCGTAGTCGTTGGTCTTCTTCTCAGCGTCGTCAACGTTCTTCTTGTTGTAGGGAATGTATCCCAAGATGGGAACGAACCACTGGGCCAAAGAGCTCCAGAGATCGGTAGAAGCGAAGGACATCCACTGGAGGACGGAAGCGTAGTCGCTCTTGGTCTTACCGAGGAGGGCAGTCTTCTCGTTCTGGCTGGCGACTACAGCAACAACGGGTCAGCATATTTCGATCTCTTGAAAGGCACATCCACGGCCGGCATCAGTGGATCGAGCAGTCAATTCAGTCATGTTCAGAGTATATGCATTTCTCAACAGAAATCTTCAGACAGGGATAACTGTTTGATTAGGCAAAATCATCACTGTGATTTGAAGTGCTCGAACCCAAAGGCGCAGGCAGTCATATGCTACAGAATGGGTAACGTACGGTAGACAGTAATAGCGAAAGTCTCGGTCAACTTGTAGCCGTCAGCACCCTCGAAAGAAGGGATCTTGGCGAGAGGGAACTTGGACTTGAACTCGGCAGAGACACCCTGGATGGGCATGGTGGGGACAACCTCAAGCTCCAAGCCGTTGGCCTTGGCCACAGCCTCGGCCGCGATGGTCCTGGTGTTTCCTGAAGACAGGCCATGTCAGTAATGGCAGCGAAAGAAGGCGAATTGATCCGTACCAGGGTAGGAGTAAAGCTTTCCGAAAGACATTGCTGTTGGTATTCCTGCTGGGACTTCAAAGCTCTCGTGCGCTCGAGGTAGAAAAATGTGATGCACCACAAGCAGCCAGCGCACAAGGGTGGCACACATACAAAACATACAGATGGAGAAAGACGCTTTTTATTATCTTCAAATACAATTCTAGATCAACGCTTGACCCAGGTTGGCATCTTTCTGGCCTTCTTGTGACCGGGCTTCTTCCTCTCCACCACTCTCGGGTCACGGGTAACCAATCCAGCTGTAGCTCACGTAAGTATCCGCAACAAAATACGAGATCGCTTGACATACCCTTTCGTAGCACAGGTTTCAACTCGATATCATGGATCATCAGCGCACGAGAGACCCCCAGCTGGATAGCCTCAGCTTGTCCTGTGCAAGCGGGTCAGTAAAGGTCCATTCGTCATAGTTTGGAACTGCATGTATACCCGTTGTACCACCACCCTTAACCACAGCCCAGACATTGTAGTGGGGCAATCGGTTCGTTACCATCAGAGGAAAAACCACGCTTTCCCGATCCGCTTGTTTGACAAACATATCTGCCAGTGGCTTGCCGTTCACCATGATGTTACCTTCCCCCTCCACCACCCATACTTTGGCGACAGCTTCCTTGCGTTTTCCGAGAGCATAAGCCCTTCCATATTCATCCACAGTACGCTCCTTCTTCTCAACAACCGTCTTGGTGACCTCCTCACGCTTGTACCACGCAAGAACAGCCTTGATTTCGTCGGTCATGTAATCAGGTTTGATGGCGTGCAACCTGTTCAAGACGAGAATCGCCCTGCGAAACTCAACAGGTTTGATTCGGTAGTCTCCAAGAAGTGATTTGAACTGATCCAATTTCGTCCATAGCACGGCTGGGATCTCACCTGCCGGAAGAGTAGGTAAATTCTCGTACTTCCGGAGGATATTCTCGAGGTGGATCAGTGTGTCGTTGTATTTGCTCTTGGTGGTAAAGTATGAGGGCGACTCGGGAACGAAGCTGAAGGCCGGAACCAGGTTTTCCTCTTCTCGTCGGGCTTGAGACGAGTTACCGGCAGCAGTCCAGGCGTGACGGCAAGCTGCAACGGGTTTGGCGGCGCTGCAAGCAGCACCAGCGCCGGCTTGCAAGGCGCGACGGACAGTCAAGGCCGAGCGGACGAGGGTCATGATGGTCAAGGGCAAACAAACGGTCTTGCAACTCCCAGCTGGAGGTTAAGAAATCAACTGGTCGAGCTGGAGGTTAAGAACGAGTTTCTTGGTTTTCATGCAATGCCCAGGAACGCCGGACGAAAGTCGTCGACGTCGCCAGCTGCCTGAGCATTCATCCAGCATTCATCCAGCATTCATCCCCTCTATACAACAATCAATTACAATGGGCGGCGGTTCTGAATACGTTATTGCTGGACGCAAGGTCAGTCGAAGCCTCTACCCGCGGTCGCTGCCTGTTGCCGGCCTTGCCTGCTTCCATTGATTGATCCTTGGCTAACACGTTATCTGAACAGGTCGGATCTCACTGGGTACATCCTCCTTGTCCGGAACTTTCAGAGGAAATCAATTAACGATCTTCAGTTGTCTATGGCTACTCTCGGTGTCTTCTTCGGTGGTATCGTCTTTGCTACTTCTGGCGGGTCTAAGGAGCAGCCCCAGGCTTTGGCCTCCAAGATCCCTGCCATCACTGCCGACAGCTCAGACGAGGAGAACTTCATCAAGTGAGTCGTTGCCAACCTTGTCCGCATTTGCGATCGCTAAGATGTTTCCGGCAGGCAATTCCTGAAAGAAGCTGAGGACGCTGAGAAGAAGCACTAAGCTATGCATGACGCGTGAAAACTGAGAGGACGTGTAAGATGACGGAGATATAATATGTGAAATATACGGTCTTTACACAATCACCCACTGTCATTGGCATATGTTTGGACATTGCTCTCCTATCTTCGACTGGCAGGGTACGACGAAATCTACATCTACACCCTGTTCAGTGCTTCCTAAGGATCATCGTTCAGATGTCGGTAATCCGTCCAGGCGCCTTCATGTTGATGGCCATACGAGAGCAAGTGGGTCGATCACCTTAATACTCATGGACGTAAAAGTGGCGTTGTTGGTTTAACCTCCACTTTCAGTAGTGACTCTTGCTCCTTTGAATGTTCCAGAGTAAAGATCTTGGTTAAAACGTACAAAGGGTCAAGCTGTCAGCGAGCGATGCGTGCTCGTGTTCCCGCGCGCGGCCGCGAGCTCGAGCTCGTTCCACCAACTCAAGTGCTGTTGCAACGGTCCGCCCTTAAGCTTGGTACGTACCAGGTAGGCATGTAGATACAGGTACTGGATTAAAGACAAGCATACATATACTCAGCTCCGGTGGCATCGTCCAGCACGTCTGGGTTTGCGGCTCACCAGCAAATGGCCATGTCGAATCCAGACGACGACGATCATAGTCGCGACAAGCCTTCGCCTGCACAACAGGTCTCTGACTCATTTGGTGCGCAAATGACTTCTAGTGGACCTCCGCAGGATGCTTATGATCAACCCCAAAACAATACATCCCACGCTGTGCAAACTTTCCCACAACAGCAGCAACCTACAGAAACCGCACCGCTTAATCAGGAATGGACAATGCAGCAGTTTGAGGAAGACGGAAGCGGCAGTTTTGACCACCAACTTCATGATGCATTTGCTCGATTTCAGGCGTCTATGCGTGCATGTCAGATCGCCATTGCTGACGGACGGTGCTCAGACGCCAGCTCGATACTCTACCATGTCACCGAATGGGTCGTCCAAAATGCAGAACGGCTTGGACTGACCACAGATGATGCCGAGCTATATGATCAACGTTTTTCGTTCTGGCGCGATTTGAACGACAATTGGTCCAATCTTTTCCACCGGAATGTCGGGTTGCTCTCCGACAACCACGCTCCAGTGGGCACGCAAAGGCTGAACGAAATGCAGCTCGGAAACTTGGGACAACATATCATCCGCTGGTCTGATATACTTGAAAGATTTGGACTTGTGGATTATGATCTCGGGCTGCAGGAAGACAGGTGCTTGAAAGGTACATGACCACACATACCACGACGGAAAACTTTTGGAAAGCTAACATATCTTTACAGCAATTGAGGCGTGTTTCGACCAATGGAGAGCATACTGGGCACACTTGGGTGTGGTGACTGATTGAACGTACCCGTACATAATGCGTAGCCTTTTAACGTAATTCTCGTCTTTCCTAACTCCAAACAGCGAAAGCGTGCTGAAAGTATCTGCCATGGAGAACGGCAAGTCCGGGTATCATGTAACACCGCTGAAACAACAAGTAATCGTACATAAATCCGCTGCTCAGAAAGAATCGAGAGTCATGGAATGAGCCACGTCCTGCGATGACACAAGTCAGCACTACATCAAAGCCAAGTTCAGGGAAGTAACGACAAACCGTATTTTCCACCATCTGAGCAAACTCCTCAAAGCTGATCCGACCGTCCTTGTCTTTGTCTGCCTCCATGATTGTTTTGTCCACGATTTGCTGAAGTTGATTATCCTTCAAATTCGCTCCAACCATCATCTTCAACACGACAAATAACTCCCCATTAGAGATATATCCGTCTCGGTCAATATCATACACCTTGAAAGCGAACCGCAGTTTCTCCTCTTTGTTCCCCTTTGACGAGAATGCGCTGAGTCCCAGGATGAATTCTCTGAAGTCGACATCGCCTCCTCCATCTTTATCCAAGATGGCAATCAACCGATGAGCTAAGGGATTGTTGGCTATTTGAGGTATAGAAAGGAACTCGTCACGCGAAATGGAGCCCGAGTTGTCGCGGTCCAGCTTCATGAAGCGCTTCCGCAGACGCTCGACTTCCAGCGGTGTGAAGTTGGATTGTGCGACGATGGATTCCAGGAGGTGCGAGTTTGTCTGACCCATGGTTGCTGTTTGTTTCTGTCGTCCTTCCTCTATTCTCCTTATCACCACCTACGCACCACCCATGCACGATCCGCAGTAGCACCGGAAAACTTCAACGTCGCCAAAACGAAAGAGCCAAACAGCAGTCAGCAGTCACCCCAGGACCAGTCCGTCACAGTCCATCGCGTCGCATTTCGTAATTGAGTATGTTGCTCTGAACAATTCAGCCTTTTTCACGCGTTTCTGTCGACATTTTTCACCTCACACGGGTGACGACCAACGCGCCTCGTAAACATGGCAAAGGACAGGGGCTTCCGCAACAGGAAGATCAGTATCAAGCAGCATCTGCCTGTTCTTCGCGCCAGTGAACTCCCTGATCTGGATGAGGAGGCATCAACGCGTAATGTTCCGCTTGTTGAAACCGGTGTTGACAAGGAGGAGGAAGAGGTGAGAAACACTCTATCGATAACCAGCCTTCAGTTGTTCTAACCATCATTGTTTACTAGGAGCACCATCTGCAAGCTGCTATTTCCGCACATCAGGCCGCAGTGGTAGGGGCTGGTGTCAAGCAAATCTACATCCCTACGCCTGATGCGTCAAAAACTGTCTCCGACTATGACAAACTCTATCGTGCAAAGTACTCGGAACCATCTACCTACATCCGCTTCTCCTCTACCGTAGAGGACTGCTGTGGATGTCTCTATAACATGGATGAAGAGGATGAGGAGTGGTTGACTAACCTGAACTCCGAGAAGAAGATTGCAAATGAGCAATGCTCCGAGGATGCCTTTGAACTTGTCATGGAACAGTTCGAGAATGCTACCAATGAACGCCAACCATATCTTGCCATGGATGTCTCTCAGATCGCTTCGTATAATGACTTGGAGCCTACGTTCGATGATACATCAGCCGCGCCTTACAAGCACTTTGCCAAGTTTATTTACGAGCACTGGAAGAGACGGCGAGTTGCTTCTGGTGGGAAGCCAATTCAGCCCGTACTTCGCTTTGAGGAAAACGACAAGGATGAGGGCGACCCCTATGTCTGCTTCCGTCGTAGGGAAGTGCGTCAAGTGCGCAAAACGCGTCGCACCGATGCCCAAAGCACAGAGAAACTACGGAAGCTGCGCCTTGAGATGGAGCAAGCGCGCAATCTCGTCGGTATGGTTGCACGGCGCGAACGGCTTCGAAGGGAATCGCTACTACTGGAGCAAGCAGTCTTCAATCAGCGCTGCAAGGTGAAGGATGTGAAGAGAAAGCTTGGTATCAAAGGTGATGACGAAGATCTTATTTCGCATAAGAAGAAGAAGGTACAGCAAGAAGCTACTGCGCCGACCATTCGTATTCCTGTCGCAAAGACATCTACTCCGACGGCCACAACTACTACGAAGAGTGCTGACGCCGATGCTCTAACTACCCTGGACGAAGTGGCTCGGGAAAGAATGCTTGCAGCGAGGGCTATTATCGAAGAAAAATTGGTCAAGCGCAGAGCGGCTAATATCGGTTGGGAGGACGTGTCGGACGATCCGTACTTCCCGCTCCCAAAGCCCTATCCGTTGTCTTTCTTTCGAGCCGTCGCTTCCTCTTACTATCAATCGGGAACGGGAGAATACAATCATACGTTCGGTGACTCACAATCGCAACGTCGGAGGCCAGCATTTCGTCAGCGCTGCGGAAGGGGTGGTCGCGTCTGGCTGGATCGCCGAGGACTTCGTGCTTCTCGCGATCATGTTGGTGGTAACCGGTGGAAATACGACCAGGAGGACAGCGATCAGGACGATGAGACCGTCCTCGAGATTGACGACATGTGCGATGGTTCACTTCGTTTCCGGTCATGCCTCTTGTCGGAACCCGACCAGCGCAACCTCATAAATCATCCTGTAACTGATTTTCAGTTATATGCGCAGCAACAAGGAACTCCGCAACACAGACATCCTGCTCAACTTCTACCTTCAGGTAGTATTCCTCGGGGAACTCCGACGCCAACTCCGTCTCATATTGCACTGCCTCAGATACCAACGCCCGCTTCTCTATCCGTGGTCCAACAACCTGCACCGATACATTCTGTACCCATGCCGGTACCTGTTCCGGCAGCAGCGGCAGCAGCGGCAGCAGTACCTGTCCCTGTCCCGCAGCCAGTACCTCAACCTATCAAGCGAGAAGCCTCGGCAGCTTGAGCGGGTCTGAGAGATCATGACTTCTATTCTTCATTCTTTAATTATGCGGGAATACGATGATAAATGACGGTTGTTACGATAGTGTAGGGTAGGATAGGCGCATTGTTGGAAGCTATACCCCGATTAACTATGCAATGTCCAATATTATGTTGCGAGTATGCGCATTGTTTTTATATTCTGCCCAGTCCTTCATCAATTTGGTAACACGACCATCCTCCCATTCACGCGATGGCCGGTGTTGTTCCGTGATAATCCACTTGTCGCTGATATACCCTTCGGTCGCATGTTGTAGTCTGTTCATGTGATATCTTACCATCGTCCAAAACTCCTGCCACGCCATCCCCCAATTTGCCCGGGTCATGTTTTGCACGAGGTCATAGAATTCATCGGATGGCACGACATCTCGCAGATCATCAATTGCTGCTTCACCTGCAGCAACCTGTTCGACCAAAGCATGGTACATGATTGTTATGTTTGTCGCGTTACACCAGTTGTGATTCACGCTCAAACAGGTGGTGATATTCCTGACAGAGTGAAACCAGCCTGACGGCACGAATATCGTTTCTCCAGAATTCTGTTCCACAACAACAGCGGCTGCCCGCATTTGCGCTAAAGCTGGATGGTTTGCCACGGACAAACAGGGATCAAAGATATCTGCCGGCATTTCTCCGTTGAAGTTTTCAAGGGCCTCCTTGAATTGTGGAGGGATGAACACCCACCTTTTCGTACCGGTAATACTGGCGCTCCAACTATAGGAGAGATAGACATCATGATGGAGCGGGCTAATGGGCATCAATAGAGTATTAGCAGCGCGACTTCTTCATCGGAGGGAAAACCTACGTGTACGTATTTGGACCACCAAGGTACACGAATCTTCAGCAAAGTATATTTAGCTTGTGAACCTCAGCATTGCTCGGGAACGTGCTCACCGATAATCGTCCGTTCTGCGATTGACTGCTTGTTCATTCATCCAGTCATCCTGAAATATGTCTGGGGTTGCGTACAACTCGTCCTCTGGGTTTTCTTGCACGCAATGCCAATCTTTGAGGTAAATCCGTCTTTCCTCATTGCAGCTGGGAGCGTCTTCATTTTCCCTCAGATGTTCCACAAATTCTTTAAGGGTCATCTCGCTCCTGTCCTGACAGTCCCGCGTCTGCACGACGACCGGAACCTGAGAATCGCCATACTTTGCAATGAGGTAGTCATAATCGATCGTACCATCCTGAGCGAGCCATGCTTTCATGATCTGCCAATCTCGACAAAGACCCTTGATGATTACAGGCCTCCCGGGGAGGAGGTAATCATGAAGAAAAACGCTATACTCCGGCGGATGATCGAGGACATCGATAGACATCTCCTACAGCTGCTTACGATACTGTATGCCACCTACAGATGCCTATGATGGAGGACCAACACCGAGCAGTTTGACGTGCCGGTCACCCGCCTCAGCCACAGCCCCCGCTCCCTCCCCCTCCCCTCCCCTCCCCGCGGCCGGCCCTCGAGTCATGGGGTTGTCAAGTGCTCTCCACCAGTGCCGTGAGCGGATAATTGGATCCGCCAAGTCTTTATAAACCCGACCAACTGCTGGACATAGTCAGATCAAACAATATACGCAAATGTCGTCCGGTACCATGAAGGCTGTCATATTCAAGGGGGTCGGCAAGGTCGCGGTTGAGGATCGCCCAATCCCTACGATCCAGGACCCCAAGGATATCATCGTCAAGGTTAGCATGACTGCGCTTTGCGGTAGTGAGTTGCATGTCTACCGCGGTCACCAGAAGTCAGCTACAGATTTCATCATGGGTCACGAGTTCACCGGAGTTGTACATGAGCTCGGAGACGACGTGAAGACAGTAAAGAAAGGTGACCTTGTTGTCACACCTTTCACGGTGAGTTGCGGGGAATGTTTTTACTGCAAGCGCGGTTTCACGTCTCGCTGCGAGAAGAGTCTTCTCTTTGGGACACCTACTCTTGACGGTGGTCAAGCCGAATACGTCCGCATCCCTTTGGCCGATGCCTCAGTAATCAAAGCACCCGAGGATGTTGACCCAACCGTTCTAAACCTCATGGCCGATATCTTTCCAACCGGTTATTTCGCGGCGAGTAGAGTCCTCAAAGACCTGCCTGAGGAGGAACGCAAAACTTCCGTCAACGTTGTTATCGGCTGCGGTCCCGTGGGAATCTGTGCGATTATCGCAGCTCGCGAAATGGTCGAGACTATTTACGCCATTGATTCGGTACCCGAACGACTCGCTGAGGCTAAAGCGCATGGAGCTATACCCATCAATTTGAATGACAACCCTAAAGATGTGATCTTGAAAGCCACAAATGGGCGCGGTGCCGATAACGTCCTTGAAATTGTTGGTCACGCAGACGCTCTTCAACTTGGGTTCGATTTGTTGAGGCCTTGGGGCCGCATCTCCTCCGTGGGAGTCCACAATGAGAATGTGCGTATCACCCGGAGATCTGAGTCGGCAAAAGGTTACTGACAAAGTGCGTAGATTCCCTTTACCGGAAACCAAGCGTACGGCAAAAACTTGACTATTTCCTTCGGGAGATGTCCAGTAAGAGCGATTTTCGAAGAATCACTTCAAGTCCTTCGCCGTAATTCCAAGGCTTTGTCGACCTTCGTTGACACAGTTATGCCATTATCCAAGGCTGTAGAGGGTTACGAACAATTTGACCAGCGGAAGGTGCGCAAGGTTGTATTTTATCCAGACACCACTTCGGCGGAGTGAGCGATTTTTTATTTATACCTGAATATATCCTAACACGAGAAACGCCGTCCATGCATGCATGAATGCATTCTTTATTGAAGTAGATCGAGTGCATCAAGAATATTTCCTTTACGGCCAGATTGCGTGTTGCGTTCTTCCTCGTCAGCACGCCGACTCTTCCTTTGGCCTTCGGATATAATTTTCGAGACAAAATCAGTTTCGTAACCAAATGCCTGCATCTCTTCCAACGCAACTGTCGCTCGACCGTCGTTATAAATAACGCACTTTCTGATCAATTCGGTGTATATCTCTTGAGAAGGTTTGAAACCTGCAGCTTTCATCTCCTCCAAGTATACGAAAGCCTCTTCGTAATCCGAACCGGCCCAGAGAGAAGTACCGATGATATGCGTGAAAGTGGCAGCCGTAGGTGCGACATTGTTGGAGGCCATGTCCTTCGCTATATACAAGCTCAAATTCTTATTGCTGTCTGCTGCGCAAGCGGCCAGCAACATGTCGTACGTGTCGCTGTCGGGCTTCAGTTTGAATTGAGACATATCTTGGAGGGTCGAGACAGCTCGTTCCAAATCATTGAGACGGATGCATGCCTTAATAACTGCGCTGACAGCAACCAAGTCCACAGTCTTGTGTTCCTTTTGAAGATCCTGGAGGGTGAAAAATGCTCGGTCAACAGTCTCAATGTCCTTTGAGATGTAGGATACCAGTGGGAACGCTGTTTTCAGGGTAGGTGTAACGCCAGCTTGACGCATAATCGGCAAGACCATAAACGCGTTTTTGGCATCGCCCGCACCAATATATGCCTCCAGCAAAGAAGCAAACATGGGCTCGCTGAACGGAGCGTTGCTTGCTACCGCGCGAAGAATCTCGGTGGCAAAATCGGGCTTTCCATGTCGTCCAGCAGCAAGGAGTATACGCAAAGCCAGCCCTTCCGAGAACCACTTCACGTTTCCCAACTCAGCATTTAACTCTTTGAAAGCCGGCCACACCACCAACAATCCTTCAATATCACAGGTGTCTGCAAATAACGACAATGCCCTTCGAACAAGGTGCTGCGGGTATCGAACACCAGGTTCTTGCGTCTGCATGTCCGCCATGAGCTTCCGCACAACACTCGGTTCTCGGATACTTATGAACTCATGGAGAAGCAAGTGGATGATTGCAGGTGTAATGGATCCTCTGCGGGCTTTCAAAGAATCATACAGCTCAATCGCTCTCTCATACTGGTGGGAATTCAGTCTCAGTCGGAACATATGCCAGTACGAATCTGGCGCAACCCAGTACCTTGACATAGCTTCAAGCACCTTTTCTTGTCCAACACTATCTCCAGCATCGGCGGTTATCTAAGATAGCAATCAGCACACCTTCTCGAACGGGGAGGAAGAAATTAACCCACCTCCAACAGCCAATTCCAAGTCTCTCGGTCTAGGGGACAGCCACTCTGCTCCATCTCTTGCATGAGGGCAACTGCTTCTTCGGAGAAGCGACCATCGGAACCTGCCGACATTGCACACAGGATAGAATTGTAGACCTGCGTGTCGGCTTTCTCGCCAGCCGCAGCCATCTCCTTTGCCATTGTAAAGACCTTAGCGTACTGTCCGGCATGGGCAGCTTTGACGATGAACTTCTTCAAGTCCTGCCGCGAATCCAAGGGCGGGACCAAGGAAGCCGAATCTGAAGAGCTTTCGGATGATTGCGGTGATGCAGTCGCGAAGCATCTGTGTTCGGCAGCTGCGAACTGAAATTAATACCGGATTTGAACACAAGGTGGGTGAACCATACCTGCGGAAGAGCGGACAGCAAAGGGGCGAGCACGAACAGGGGCCTGTGATCTAAGGCATCGGACAGCAACCCTCGACAGACGCCCGGTCATTGTAGAAACTGTGCTGTTCACCGTCGTAGATGCTCGAGAAGACTTCTCGAGATGTGTTGACAATATTGGCCGGGTATGCGAAAGTCAGGGTCAAGTCACGTGTTGCACGTCTACACAGTGGGATTTGCTTTATACGCTGCAAAAACAAAAGAAAAGATTACAAACGACACCCAACAGCTCCCAGCAAGTCTCATTTTGCAGCTGATCCTAGGCCGAACTTTAAGCACGTCGGACGCGTCGCTGGTGCCCCTGAAGTGCGCGTGCCCACCACACCCAACAATCCAGGCCGGCTGAAGCATTCAATCGGTGGTGAAATGGCATACATTGACGAGACAAAGGCTGAGCTGGAAGTACTCGCCGCGAACCTGACCAGGACCGATGACCTGACCCAGAAGATGACCGCTCTCTTGTCGTCGTTCGAACGAAGGCTGGGTGGTTTGGAAACGACCATCAGACCGCTCTCAAACAGGCTGCAGTCGTTGACAAAAACAACAGACAGTAAGTCTCTATCATGATCTGCCAATGGCCACTGTTCACAGGAATCCAGACATCGATTCAACCTTACGAGCAATTGAAGACACGCGTAAGTGGTTCGATGTTGTCTCCAAAGAAGAGCAAATCATCAAGCGAGGGTGCGTTCGAGGTCGGAGTGTCTCATCACTACAGCCAGGCTGACTTTTCTTCCAAGGCCCGGACAGAACGTCTCCATTTATATGGCATCCGTGCGTCGCCTAAGCGATAGTTTGTCAATGCTAAAACGCCAGAACTTTCGCAGTACAGACAAGACCATTAGACAGATGGAACAGCTTCTCAAACTTGCCATGCTTCAGCTGAATGATACCTATAAACGCACACTAGCAGAAGCATCTACGCCAATACAACCCCTGAATTACATCACGAAGGGCATGCCTTTTCCAGAACTAGCGCCTGACAAGTTGGCGTTGATCTGCTCGCTTTCTCAAAGCCTCACAGTACATGTACCCTCAGTCGACACAGGCGTCGTAGTGGACCCGGTTGCCACGTATGTTGAAGTAAGGGGAGGTTACATAACAACCTCTCTGTCTTCGTTGAACCAGGCAAGCGTGAGTACAACACTGAAGAGAACAAATGCTCCGTATACCAAGGGAACAAATGGAATCGCAATCTACACAGGTGCTATCATTGCGATGCTGGAGACTGAATATACCCTTGCTTCGAAAGTCTTCGACGACTCTTTCTTTCTTGTAGCTTTCAAGCGAACAGTGGAACCCGCTTTGTCAGCTTATATTCAATGCATCCGGGAACTCGACAATCATGTTCGTCAGCATGTGGAAACTTTTGCTTTTCTTGGGTTCGAGCTCCTTGAGGAAGTGTCCAAGGCAAGCACGAAGCTTGGATCTACTTTACTGGGCAACACGGAACTGCTTGGCCTTAAGGAATCGTCGAAAAAGACAGTTACATCCGTCGTTATCAACTTCTACGAGGGAGTTAAGGTTAAAGCTGATGCTATCGTCATGTTGTCCGAAAATGGAACTGCATCGGAACTTGCGGCGGAGACCATGGATCGGTTACGTGTCTTTGTTCTTGATTACGACCTTTCATTTGCAACGGTGTTGATGTCACTAGAAAATGCTCCATGGCAGAATATGGCTTCAAGAGTCGCCGATCCAAACTCCGCGTTGTCTTCTTTCTGCAACGAAGTGGTCGACAGTCTCGTGACTCGGCTTGAGAGCAGGGCTCGTTTATATTACAAGCGAACCGCACAGACAGCCATCTTCATGCTGAACACCATTGCGCTTATTAGGCAGAAGCTGGATTCCTTCAGCTCATCAGCGAAAGAGCTGACGACTCAAACACTTGACAGAATACAAAAGCGTGCATCAGACCTTTATCTGGAAAGCTGGAGATCATGCACTGACGCATTATTTGACACTACTCATATATCTAAAGGGGGCTTGGGCGGTTCCGTCCGAAATTCGATGGGTTCAAAAGAACGGGATAAAGTCAAGGAGCACTTCCGGAACTTCAACGCCGAGTTCGAAGAGATCGTACGAACGAATAAGGGGATGGTAGTACCGGACGCCGCAATGCGAGGTACGATCGTGCGAGACGTCAGCAAGGTTGTCATACCACTCTATACTCGTTTCCACGACAAATATGCCGACACTGATTTCACGAAACACAAGGAAAAGGTGAGCGGTTCCTTGACGATACCTGGACACAGCTGACAACCGAACACGCAGTATATCAAATACAGTAAACCGGATATCGAAACGATTCTTGCCCAGTTTTTTACAAACAAGCATCCTGTATTGTAGTGAAATTAGAAACACAGTTCTTCATACGGCGGTAGCAGCTGCAGCTTTCAGGCACAAATGCACCAACTGGAATTATTGGGTGCGACGGCGGAACGGCTGTAAAGTGGGCAGACAGCAAGGCAGCAAACAGAAGTCATGTCGCAGAAGATCGGAAGGGTTGGTATACCGTCCAGCATTTAGGAATCCGTTGCTTACCGTTGCTCCCAGACCGCGCTCGCCTACGCCAGAACCTGGCATCATGTTGACGCTACAAACCGTGTTCTCGGACGTCTCGCTACCAGCATCGCAATAACCCTTATGGGCAAGCACAAGCCGATTTTCGACCAATCAGCAGATTGTGGTGATTACGTCGTCGTCACCAACGCTGATCAGTTTATCGTTACTGGGCGCAAGAAGGAGCTCAAGGTTTACCGTCACCATACTACACGACCCGGATCCCTTCACGAAATCACTATGCAGAGGCTGATGGAGAGGAAAGGAGGTGCAGAAATTATCAAGAAAGCTGTCAGTCGTATGCTACCAAAGAACAGACTGAGAGAACCGCGGTTGGCCAGACTGAAGTGTTTTGAGGGCGAAAAGCATCCCTATAAGGACAACATTCTGCAACTGAATTCACTACCAAGTGGTCCGGTGTCGGAGGCAATTGCAAAAGCAAAGGAGGAGAAGGAAGCACAGTCATGATAAAGAGGGACAGATGGACGAGGGGCAGGATTCTGGCGAGATGAAATGCCGTGGCATTACAAGTAAAGTATCTTGTGGGGAATCTATTTGCATAACTCACCTCCGTTCAGAAGCTCTAAGATTTTCCAAAACCCGCTTCAAGCTCATGCTCTTGTTTCTTTCCAAGGAGCTCAAGCTAATTGTAGAGCTGTTTGCCAGTTGCTTCTCCAACATGGTTATCGCATTCTGTGGCTTCAACCGTGAATAAGACTTCATTCTCGTTGTTGTGTTGAGGTATTCTTCGACGTTCTCTGCGCGGAGGAGGTTGACGGATTGTCGAAGCTCCAAGAAAGTGTCCGCAGCCGAGATGGAAGGGTCATTCAGTTCTTCCACAAATTCCTCGAGGTAAGATATGTCCTTGTCAAAATTGGCGATGCCGTGCTCGTTATACTTGCGAGTGCTTGTGCTGAGGAGCATTTTCTGTCGAGGAAGGTTAGTCATAAATTGTGTAAGCACCACGACAGAGAAGTCTTACCATCAACTCTGAAGCCAGATGGTCCAAAGCATCAAAGTAAATGAATACCCGAATGTTTTGCGGGAGGTTCACCATCGTCGATTGCATCACTGTCCGAAGCCACCTCACAAGCTCCAACAGGTAACTTGAGGGCTGGGGGTTTGGCTTTGACGGTGCCCAGTCATATTCAGCAATGTCCAAGAAATCGTCAATCTTCGAGTTCACCAGTTCAAAGATTCGCTTCTCTGCGTTCTTCCGGGATACACCAAACTCATTCGTTGCCTTCAACTTCACCGCGCCCGTCCTATGGGAGGAACGGGTTTCTGCCAAGAGCTGCTCGAGTTCGGAGCACGCATTCTCGAAGTGCTCCAAGTTGACAATGATCTGAACAACCTGACCCAGATTATTGGTGTGCAATCTTTGCAACAGAGTCTTGTTTACATGCTGTACCAAGAGTTCGTCCAGCGAATTCTTTAGGATATCATCAACTTGATTCTGAGAATGAGTGTATTCGTCTGAGAACAGATAATACTGGTTAACAAAGTTGCGGATGTCGACGCAACACAGAGGAAATATCTGAGAAAATGGCAAAGCGCATGGGAATCTGCAGATACTGTTAGTGTTGTTGAATCAATGCGTTGAGGAGATTTGTGCGACCAACCTCATGTGTTCGGCCGGTGTATCTGTCTTATACCAGCTTACGCTGCAAACCTTCTCGTACTCCTCCACATCGTTGATCGTCATTGGCATATAGTCATCTTCAGCCACAATCTGACCGAAGTCAATACTGAACTTCTCCTTCAAAACACCTGCGTACTTTTCAAACAAGGTCAAGATGAATGCGTTCAGGGTCTTCGTGTCGTAGCCCTGGCCTTCCACTGTCTGAATGAACAAGACAAGTATGTTCTTGACTCGGAGAAGAGTATCAGGATTTGATGTTTTGGCGAGGGCCGATAACGTGAGTGACATGACGCGTTTCGTAAGACTTGCGAACAAATCATTAATCTCATGTGAAGAGCGAAGGTTGGTTCCCCGGGTTTGCTTCAAAGTTTCCTGTTCGATGATGGCAAACCCCGTGATATCCTCGAGAAGCACTTCCAAAGATGCCGCGACGTCCCCACCTTCTACGGTCAAACTCGCAGGTAACAGCAAATCTCTTTGCCTTCGACGATCTTGTTCAAAGCTCGTTCGCAGTTCCTCTGAGAGTCCAAGTTGAGAGTATATATGGATACATTCATGCAAAGGTGTAAAATCAATTCGCACCCTGTCATTGTCGATAGCCGAAAACGGATTCATCTCATTCAATACAAGCTCCAGAGCCGTATTGAGTTTGGCATTGTTGAGGACCGGGTCTGACATGATCCGATCATGCCAACTTCTGCGCCTTCTGTCCGTCTCATCGAAAGCCAGCTGACCCACAAGTCTTGACTGTTCTCGTACACCAAGAAGCCATTGTCGAAGGTCTCCCATCACAGCATCCTGTATCATCTTCTGCGTTGCGGGCATACTGCTTTCTAGCAATTTTGCGAATGAATACTGTGAGATATCTTTGAGATGGATTAGCTGTAGCTCATCTAGCGAGCGCAAAGCCTGGTAATGTTTCTTTTCCGCGATGAGAGCGTGGATGGACTGCAATGTATGCAGCGGTCTGAGAGCAGCGGTAATGGCTGTGTGGGCATCTGTGACATTCTGTGTAACCGATCGAGTGTCAATCAGTGCTTTCTTCTTGTCGCCGAGCATCTTTCCGCTTTCTTGCACATCGTCGTTCAAGGTCATAATCTGTTCCCGTAATTGAACCGTCTTCTGTCGTACTTCCAAGAGTTGGTCCACACTCGCGACGAAATCCGCATGGTTCATGTTGCATAGCCGCTCAATCTCTTGCTCCTTTCTGTCTGCGAAGGCTTGAAGCTCGTGCACCAGATCAGCCTCACGGCTGGAGCTGCATGCTAACTGGATGATGGGGGCCAGGTGTTGAAGGTCGGCATCGGTGGTATCCGACGAGTACAAGGCCTGCACTTGCTGCACCAGATCATCGACGGAGACATCGGCCATCTCTGCCGCCGCTATCAATGCTGGATGTATGCGCTTCCTCGTCCTCCAGTCCTTCTTGACTGATCACTGTTTGTTTACCTGGCTCTGCTTGCCCAGTATGTCACTCTACTCACGGCTAGGCACCATGCGGTTGCCGCACTCGGTACCCCGGGCCCTGTCAACGTTACACAACGGACCAGGTGGACTCCGACGATTGCAATGATGAGTGCAATTGCTCGAGCACAAGGGCCGGGCGCATACGAGCTACAAGAACAGGATGCCCGGAGATTGTCGCTGGAGAGTCTGGTCTCCTCTTCTGACGACGAAGGAAATGGCTCTGTCGAGGATAGACAGTCGACCGACTCCCGCATCCTGGACGACGATCCCTTGACGTTTGAGTCTCGTCGGGAGTCCCGCGTAGATGTTTCCGGCGGCGACCTTGGCGCAAAAGACAACATATGGAAACGAGAAACGGCTGAGATTGTGGTTCAGAGTACGCCCAGCATCGCTTTAGCTCTCATCGGTTCTATCGGAGCCGGTATACTCTTGGACAAGATACAGAGTTGGAACGCATTCAGAAGAATTGAGGAGCTTTTCATATTAGTTCCCATTCTGCTGAACTTGAAAGGGTGTTTAGAGCTTGCCTTGGCAGCTCGGCTGTCAACCTCAGCACATCTCGGAGAACTCGACATTCGGCGCACCCGGAGATCCATTACTCTGGGAAACCTCGCGCTGCTTCAGGCCCTTTCACTCGCTATTGGTGCTATTGCTGGCTTATGGGCATTCACTTTGGGCTATATCAACAAGCCCCATAGAGAATCGTGGTTTGAGAGTGCCCTCATGATTGTAACGAGCATGGTGTGTGCAAGTCTGAGCAGTGTCGTGTTGAACAGTTTTATGTGCATGCTTGTGGTATTGGCAAGAATGTGGTGCCTCGACCCAGGTTGGTACCAGCTGTGATCTTTCCGGTCTTTTACTGACTGCAAGTTCCAGATAATATCGCTACACCACTTGCCGCATCTTTAGGAGATCTCATCACTACTATATTCCTGGCTGTAGTCTCCACAGCGTTGATTGCTGTCTTCAAGACGTGGATTTCTACCATTCTGCTTGTATTGCTTCTCGCAGCAATCCCGGTCTTCATCGTTTTCGTCCTGCGCAATCCGTACGTCAACGATCTCATCTTACAGGGGTGGATTCCCGTACTTGGGTCCATGGTTATTGCAAGGTAAGGTAAAAATTCAAACTCTTTGGCCCCCGAACTAACAGCATTGTTCAGTGCCTCGGGCGTCGTTCTTGAACGTTATGTGGTGTCCTACTCTCAGCTGCCCCTTTTTCTGCCGGTATTATCTGGTCTTGCAGGAAACGTTGGATGTATCTATGCGTCGAAGCTTACTACACTATTGCATTATTCGTCAACACACCCACGGTTACGCGCTATGGCCGTTCCGACGACGCTCCTCATTCTCTCAATTCCCATTCAACTCGTCTTCTTATGCATCTTGTGGGGATTGGGTCTTCTTGAAGTTGGCGTCACCTTCTGTTTGCTTTATCTATCAGTGAACGTCGTTGTCGTGTTCGTAGCATTAGGGCTGGCACATGGAATAACAATGGTTTGCTGGCGTCGGGGTTGGGACCCGGACAACAACGCTTTACCCCTTTTGTGAGTCTTGAGCCTTGAATATCCCAGTGCCGAAAAGTTTACTGACTCAATTCTTCTTCGCAGAACAGCCATTGTGGATGTGGTTGCCACAGCATCCCTTGTAGGGTGCTTCACCATTGCAAAAGCTCGAGCATGAGCGGCCGCCAGCGTGGTACTGGATGGGCCCGCACATACATGACATGATAGAAAGATACCCAAGATATTGCCGACCAAAATCAAATCAATAAGATGTGTTTCTTAACCGTACCCAAATAACCCTATATACTGTACAAGACAGATGCATGATGAACCAAACATAGAAACCGAATAAAACCCAACTCCGAAAGCAAGATTTGTTTGCCGTAATGACGAGTTATATACAGGGGTTCGATCCCCGCCCTTCAAAACCACCTTGAGTAACCCGCCCATCCCATTTCAACAACGAAGATAGAGTCTAATCGCTCTCATCCTTGACCTTCTTGTCCTTCTTCTCCTTCTTGGCCTCCTTCTTGGCCTTCCTGGCGGCCTTCTCCTCATCAGTGCGAACCTTCTTCTTCTTGGGAGAATCCTCCTTGTCAGAATTGTCATCATCATCATCCTCCGCCTTGCGCTTAGAGGAAGTCTGCTCAACACCCTCCATCTTGGCCAAAGTGGCGTCGGAAACGAGATCTCCGTTCACCGGGGCAGCGGCATCGGCGTCATCAGAGAGCTTGTTGTAGTCAACGTACTCCTTCTTCCAAGTCGTGGGGGTCTGCTCGTTGGTGCGACCGAACTTGTCGAGCTTACCCTCGGTCTTCATCTTCTTCTTCTCCATGGCCACGGGACCCATACCCCATCTGCGAGGGTAAGTATCACGCTCCATGATGCAACGCTTGACCTTCGCAACAACACCGTGATCGCAAGTGGAAAGTTCAACGGTAGACATCTGAGCAATACCGATGGCAATAGCCTCACCCTTGGTGGTCATGAGAACGACCTCCTCGTTCACATCGATACCAGCCTCGTAACGCAAAAGACCAGGAATCATAAGCTTGGCACCGTAACAGACAGCGTTGACAGCGGAGTCCTTGACAACGATACGCTTGTAGCTGGTCAATAGCGACTCAAGCGGACGGATGACGCGACGCAAGTAAGACTCGTCCTTGGTGTTGTCGTACATCCATTGGGCGTCCAAGACATCGTGCATCGTAACAATGTTGTCGTCCTCACCCATGGCTCCAGAGCGCACACGACGAAGCTCCTGCATGTGACCACCGACACCCAACAAAAGACCCAAGTGCACACAGAGCGTACGAATGTAAGTACCAGCTTCGCAAGAAACCCAGAAAACACTGAGGTGACGGTCGTTGTCAAACTCCAAGAGCTTAGACTCATAGATGTTACGGATACGGAGCTGACGCTTGACGGCAGAGATAAGAGGGGGACGCTGGAAGAGGGCACCGGTCAAGGTCTCAAGGGCCTGACCCATCTTCTTTTCCGAGTCGAGGGAGTCGTGAAGGCGGAGGACAGCAACGTACTCCTTACCGGCACCCTGCTGGGACTTGACCAAACGAGTAGCACGGTCGATACAAACGATCAAACAACCAGTGACCTTGGGGTCAAGAGTACCGGAGTGACCGGTCTTCTCGCAACGGAGAATGCGCTTAACCCAGGCGACGACCTCGTGGGAGGAGGGGTTGGCAGGCTTGTCGAGGTTGATCACACCGGAGGAGATGTAGTCCCTGAGAGGACGCTTCAATGGCGCACATCCGTGAGGGATGGGGGTGAAATGACCGGTGCGAACCTGGAGTTTGTCGTAGTTCTTGAGGAGAAGGGGCCAAGTCGAAGTCTAGATCGAGGATGTTAGCCATTGATCTGTGCAAAGCCTGGAAAACAACGAACATCGACGGAAGCGGTGTTCTTCTCGGGAACAATCGCGTAGTCCTTGGACTCTTGCTGCTCAACGGTCGACATTGCCGGGTATTATATGTCGAGAATTGCTGGATGGTCGAAGCGGCGAGTTTTGGCTGGCTGCCCTGATAGGCACAAAAATATTTCGGAGCGCTGCGGAGAGCTGCACCAGAGAGAGGGCTTCCTTCAGGCACCGTCTCCTTCAGAGGGTAAAAAAAGGAGAAATCCAATGGGAAATGGACTTGATATAGTTTACAATCATTTGCTGCTTACTTTACTGCTGTCTCATGGGCTCACTTCAGGTCGCACGGGCATGTGCGCGGAGCACTGCCATCCAGTACGCGTATGTACCCACATTCCATCGCACATCATAGAAGGAACTGGCAGCTAGATGGGCTGCCAAATATAAGCGATTGGTATAAGTGGGTATCTAAACCAGCGCGAGGGGTTCAGCTGTTGAACACTCTCGAATACAGCACTTCGTGTCTTCCTTGCCACACGTCCAACAGTGGCCAAGTTTGTCCAGCATCCTCAACTTCTAGTCCTTCTCCCTCTTCAACCAGCCTCGCTATGACTTTCCGTGTCTCCTGACTTGCCAGAATCAGTTGGGCCTGATACGGACCAATGACACCCAACCTGACAGCGGCGGATAACACGGCTTTCGTTTGCGACACGAGAAACAGGTGCAAAGAGCGATGAATAGAAATGTTTGCTCCGCGTGTAACCACGCCCCATGCAACTCCATGATGACCTTCAGCTTTTCCGGAGCGAACAGCTGCTCTGTACTCCGCCACGTTTGCGGCACAAGGTGACGCCATCTCCGAACAAGCACCTGCCAGTGCCTTATCCCAGATAGTCATAAGTGCTTTTCCCTGACTTACACTGGCTCTTCTTGCGACAGGACAAGTCAGCATTGCATCGAACTCATCGTCCAACGCAGCCGCCTGACCGGGGATTTGATAGGCGGCCTTGACGAATGGAAGAGTTGTATATGTCGTAGAAGTAAGGGATTGCTCCAAAAAGTGACCAAGATTTGTTGCTGATAATCGTGATTTTGACGCCATCACCCCATGTTGAACGTAAGACTCGAGGCCGGAGGAGAAGGCGAAGGAGCCGATGGGCAGGGCGGAGTCGCCTAGAAGAAGGAAGAAGTGGTCTTCGTCCTGGACAAGGTTCAGTACAACGGGGCATGCATATGACAGTACGAATGAATGCTATACCATCGCAGATGTACCGAAGCTGACTGGGCGTTGGAGGATAGCGGTTACGTCCCCGCGCGTGGTCAGGAAATACAGTAATTGATTACGGGGCATAGAGTGGATGGATTGGCATAGTACAGGCGTTCGGGTTTTGCACATTTCCGAACGATCGATGATCAACTGAATTCTAATCTCATGTTGAAACAGTCACGAGTATTTTACCTTGCAAAGTATCAATACAAATCCCAAGTACCAGCAAGGCGAACGCCGCATGCCCATGGAATATAGCAATGGAATGCCATTGGGACAAGTCCACCTGCAAGAGGCTATAGCTAAACTCAAACCACAGTCCTTCCTATAAGTAGATCGAACGCCTTCCCACAAACTTCTAGAAATGCCGCCTTCCTCTTCCCGATAGCTTCATCCGTCTCCCCCGTCGTCCTCGCCATCTCCAGATCTGCGCCAGAGCCTGAACTCAGCTGTACCGGCCTGATGCGGCGTTTCACACCGGGAACGTTCTCAAAAGCAGCAAAAAAGGTGTTGGTAGCTTCCTGGTGAATGTTGGGAGACGGCGGTGTCGGAGGCTGCTGGGAGTGAATAATCGATGTAACGCTCGCAGGCCGCAATGAAGGCTGTACAGCCTGATCCAATGACGAGGCAAGATTTGCAGGTGGCTGTAGGCTCGTATTGCTATTACAATGTGGAGGCCGAGGCGGCGGGAGAGTGGCGAGTTTTGGGTTCGACGGCCGCTCGGTTCCAGGAGGATTGGATGTTGCCTTCATATCGTTGAGAAAATCGCTTATGGAGGGTAGTCGATTCATGTCCACGGTTCTTGGTAACGACGTAGCCAATGGCCTGTTCGTCTCAGGCATCGGTTGAGGACTGTCGAGAGGCAGATCACGACCTTGCGTTCTGTGCAACGGCGCTGATCGGATAGTTGGGATATGAGCGTCCGACGGAGCACTGATGCTAAGGCGAGCAGGCGGGGCACGACGCTTGGCACTTCTCGTAGCGGAGCCAAGAAAAGAAGCCCCATCGGTGTCCAGCTCAGTTGGCAACCCTCGTTTCGAGGAACGAGACCTTTGGGCGCCGCCGATGGACCTCTCCTGAATCAGAGCGGCTTGACGCTCACGTACCGTCATGCTCTCCATCACGTCTTTCCTACGCTCCGGGTCAAGCCTCGCTGATAATGGCATACCGGGACTCAAGCAAGCGAGCGTAGCTGTTTGCAAAGAAGGATTTACCGTGAGCATACGACGCCGCCGAGGGCTAGACACGCCATCCTGTGAAGCCAATGGTTGAGAACTAGGAGTCGGATGTGTCGAGCCGTGTTGAAGGCGGATGTGCGCTGGATGCTGAGGGCGGCTCGTAGGTGACGTGGAGCCAGGTACAGTCGTCGCCGGGCGGATGACTGGTGATGTCGGCTCGTCCTTAACGACCACCGGAGAAACAGTCGCAGCTTTCGCTACAGTATTCCTCGGAGGAGTACGAGCTGCGGGGGCATGTGTGGAAGACTCTGCGCTTTTTTGACTGCCAGATGTCACCGGTCTGGACGCCGGCAGACCCTCCTTAGTTACGTCTACCAAGACGCATTGAAACTCACTCCGGACAGGTTCAACCATGACCAGGCCCTTGATAGACTTCAACACTGATGCACTATGGCCTTGCACCAATTCATCAATCGTGAACTTGCAGAGGTCGGCAAGAGCAGAGCACTTGAGTCTGCCACCGGCGGTATGAATTACCGAAAATGTGAAGTAATCATCGATAAAGTCGGGATGCGTAGGAGGGCAAGTGCGAAAGTGCGCAACTGGACTGGCGACGACAGCATGCGGAATGACCCGAGAGTCACGGAGGAACGAAGGTGTGTCAAAGAAGAGGAAGTCAACGTCACGAGAACGCAACGTTGGCAGTAAGGACGGCTTGCCTGAAGGTGAAGAAGACGGGTCAGGATATAGATAGACGCAGAAGGGTACGTCCGAAGCAAAACAACCAAGCTGAATGATGTGGCATTGGATCGCAGAGCGGGTCGATGACATGCTGGGCGCTGTGAGCTGTGAGTGTTGCAAGAACAGAAGCGACGACGTCGGTAGGGAGCAGCAAAGGCCGAAGACGGACTGAGTCACAGTCGCAAGAGTATAGCGATGTTTCCTCGGTGCTTGTCGCGCGATTGCGGTGACAGTCGCTATATCGCTGGCGGCAGAGGCAACAAGAGGCACACAGGTTGTTAGGGATAGATGAAGACAAACGACAGCATGCCTTAAACAAACGCCTGCGAATACATGGGCTCCTGTCGCTCATGTTTCAATGTGAGACAGATAAAGCATGTGTTGCGGGCGGGAGCCTTTCCAGGCGGTTGTACCGTTTTTGTTGACAGGACAAGGGCTGGTACCGGTCGCGCATCAGAACAAAGGAAGCAATTAAACGCAAGCTCAGTCCGCAGGGCAAGCTCGTGAATTGAATCAAAAGAGACATGCGGTGCATATTTCAGATGAGGGTGCTGAATCATTTCCATTGTTGATTCCAGACATATGGCTTTGTCCTTGCACTCTAAGTAGAGTACAACGTTACAGCAGTCTGCAAAATGCTCGACGCGCATCATCCTGCGTGCACGAACCTCCTCAATCGCAATTGCAAAACAGCTTCAAACAACTCGGCAAGAGGCCTAGGTAGGCCTCAATAGGCTCAAAATGCACAGCAGTGTATGCAACAATTCCCTAAAGCTCCTAGCTATTGACAATTACATCGAGGGGCTCGATGTTTACCAACTTAGTCAGATTGTCAGAAAATCAACCCACACCATTTCTCGTAATGTCAAGAGGTATGAAGAGGAAAGCACTCATGAACGTCAGGGCAACTCGACTTGTGGGCGTGAGCCTCAAATTGACGTCTCTCTAGGCTCAGTGAGTGCTACTCTACCGTCTCGAAGGTCCCCTCAAAGGTCTCACTAAATGACTATAGCACATCCAATACTTCTATGATAAGATCCCGTCTCTATACCATGATGAGTGCGTAGAGTTTCCCAACCAGCAATTCGCCACAAGGCTATCTCAATACCATATCCTTCGCCACCTCAAAAAAAATTGGATATATCTGGAAAGTTCCTTACAGTGAGGGCAGCCCGAGTCTATTTCCTACCACCTTACAGCCAGACGCAAGAGTCATGCGAATCCCATGTCGCGCCCCATACTGGACCACCAAGCAGCAGACGTGAACCCAGCAAAAATACACTTACTCCTCAACCGGGACGTTTCAGGACCTGGGAATGGTCGGTAAGCGGGTTCACAATGAGGTTCGAGCGCTCGTCATGCATAAGAGCGTCCGTGGACAACCTACTATGGAGGTAGCAGAATGGACCGGTAAGTACCGAAGCACCATTGACCGCATTCTTCGACGCTATGACAACGAGGGTACCCCCGAAGCGCCCATTCATAAGGGCTTAGGAAGACCTTGAAAAATCGATGATCATGTTGGAAGGTAGGCATACTCTCCGTCGCAAAAACAGCATACACTGACACCTCTCCCAGCATATCCAGCTACTACTCATGAACACCCTAAGTCTATACCACCATGAAGCAGCTCTTGTCAACAAAACAATCTGTACCAACATCAATCCATGCGACATTCAGCGGTACCTCAGGCAAATCAAGTGGACCCGGAAAAGCTTAAAGTATGGGCTGCTCAGAGGAATGCTGCCCTACTAGCGAACCACGCCTTACAGTCCGCAAACTATTCGATGGATATGCTTGTTTTCTTGGACGAATCGAGTATTGACAATCATTGCACCTATCGAAAGTTCGGCTATTCTCCCGAAGGTAATCCAGCTTGCAAAGACCGACGGTTAGCCCGTGGTTTGCACTGGTCTCTGCTTCCCGCAGTTCTTGGACGAATGGTATGCTGTGTCATGCATGCTACCAAGGCAGTTTCAATGCTGATCGATTCGTCAATTTCATAGCAGATGATCTCATGGTGCACCTCAACCCTTACCCGGAGTCTAGGAGTGTGGTTGTCATGGATAACTGTGCTACACATCATGATCCAAGGGTAAAGGAGTTGATTATTTGTCATGGGTGTCGAATCGAGTACCTATCGCCCTATTCACCTGACCTGAATCCCATAGAAATCACATTCTCGATGCTCAAATGTAATGCGGTCGAGACGAGAAGGGATACTGCAAGTACTTCGGGACGAGATCTGACGAGTTAGACGAGGTGTGACGAGATGACCGAATTACTTATTCGAATAGAAGGACGAATTTATTGAGTTAACCAGTGAAGCTCTAAAGGAAGGCATAGGGCCTTTCCTTGTATACGGTTTTCCGGACGAGGGTCTAGACCCTTGCTCGGTGGCGTTCCACATTTAGTTAACTCGATGGCGCCGAGAATAAGACCTTGAACGAGAGGAGTGAAGATAAGATGAGCCATGATAGGACCCGAGACAAATCGAGTCTCGGGTTGATCGCGAAACTCGAAGTAGTTCTTCGGTTCATGACATCAAGGCTTGGACAAAGCGCAACCGCGACTATCGTTACGTCGTGGATCATTGCGATGTGTCCTTGGCGAAGGGAATTGACCTTGCTGTCAATGTATTTCCCGACAAATGCATCAGCTTAATGAAAAAGTGCGGATATGGGTTGTTGAAGGAATAATGGCAATTATCTCGCAATGCAGGGGCACAAAGTGCTGTAGACGTCACTGTTGAAGGCATAACTTTGTAGCTGTAGCATAATGTACATCATACTTAGACCCATTATGAGGCGTCCCTTGATCAGAGGCAGGCATCCATCCTCCTCTCAATATCATTCATGCCTGAACTTCTTGGTAAATTGCTAACAAATCTCGGCAAGTGGGATAATCAGGGGCGGGACCTGCACCTCGATCCCTGAACTCTGGGACATCTGAACAAAGAGTAAGAGGCATACAATTTGACCAAACATAGACTATGTAAGATAGGAGTGGTAACATTCGAAAAAGCATAAAAAAAGAAAGATCCTGACACCCATCTCTCCTGCCCAACATTCATCCTCTTCACGAAGTAAGTTGACTAAGCTTATATATACGCAAAAATGCTCTCACGCCACTGGGTGACTCGAGGAAAGTTGTGCAGCTCTGCGGAGAAGCTTAGAACCTCATTACAAAGCAAGCTCGCCAGCATGCTACTCTCCGGGGGGGTGCTGGGAGTGCTGGGAGGACATACGTCTGAATCCATGGACTGCAGTTAGGCCTCGAGCCGGCGCTTGATCTTCTTTTTTGCCTTCCAAAGGGGCAAGCAGCGCTGCGCAGCAAGCATATCTCCTGGTCGGACACCTGGGCAGGTCTGACCGGCTCCCTTTTTAAATCCTCGAGTGCCAATACATTTTCGCAAAAAGCTTGCTCGGTCTGCGCAGCATCGAACCTGGTGTAGCTAGGGTTGTTTTTCGCCACAAATCTCATGAAGCGTGCTACATCCTCAGCGTCCTCCACCCGTAATGGGCTTCCGGTAAACGCAGTGAAGACCGTGGGAATCGGAGTAGCAGCCGGCACAGCGGGAGTCGAGGAGATTGCAAGGGTAGATCTCGACGTAGGAGTTGGTGTACTGTAACTCTCGGAGCTTGCTGCGGCGTGCACAGTGCCTCTGTGAAATTTGTCAAAGGTCAATGTATGCGGTGGTGCCAACTCATCAATAGCACTGTCGGGAAGGGCCATGAACTGCCCCCAGCGGCTCAGGTGATGTGATGCAAGGTGCATGTGCTTCTCTGAGTTTGGGACCTTCCAGCAGTACCCTTCATGTTCTTCACATACCCATTCTTCCTGAAGCTTGGTGACATTAGACAAAATAGCACGCTTGAAGTTATTGTTCTCAGCATGTTGCTTCACTTCCTTCAGCATACACTTGGAGGGGTTGTTTCTGTGCTTTTTGCGCGTCTTACGTCCTCCAAGGGTGCGGGCGGGAGTATCGAGTTCACCGTCTGAAGATCCATTCGAGTCGGGAGGGACGTATATCGCTTGAAGACTGATGGATACGCTCCAGTTCTTGTTGTTACTGCTTTACAGCTCCTGTAGATCCTTCACTTGATCCTTCAAGTCCTCTAAGTCGGCAGCACTACGCAGTCTCGTCACCGCAGTTTTTTCCCTACCTCGGATGATTCGGTAACCCATGGTCATGGCGAAATCCCCGGGGAATATGTCGTCAGGGCAGCTCGGGTCGTCACAAAGATCTTCGGCGGCCTTTTTCATGAGCACGTCGTGGACGTAGTCATAATCCCATGACGATAGAATGCTGACCAGCCCTTCCACCGAGGCCTACCCCCAGTCCTAGTGGCAGCAAATTTGATGATGAATGGTTGCAACTGGAACTCTTCGTCGTCATCTGATGGAATGGGAAGTGGTTCTGATTCGTCGCGGGTTGTTGAAGGTTTTCTTCGGTTCTGAAGTCTGGGTAGCGCTGTCGATGGGACGTCAGTTTCGACTACGTGTCAAACACATGCTCTCGCAGCAAGGGAAGAAGCCCTACGCGGCGATGGTTCGATAGCATCCATCAGCAGTCGTTTTCGACTCGATTTGCGCAAGATATGACGTGATTTTGTTTTACGGTCTGTTTGCTGTGTGGTGTACGTGCGCGACACGTGATTCGCAAGACTTTTTAGTTTGGCTGTGCTCCCCTGATCTGCATTCAATCGACCTCTGTCTCGGTATGATGAAGAGCTGGATGAAGCGTAACAACACACACACTAACGCTCATGAAGACCCCCCAGCATTCGTCCGCCTAGCAATCGAATACATCAACACCCTCCTTGACAAAATCAGCAAAATGTACAGGAACTGTTGTTGTGCTTTAACCAAGGCGCAGCTCAAGGTGAAGGCTAATCGACAAATGACAGCTGATGCTGGGGGTCAGCATCAGGCCTTCCTTCGCTAGTTTTCTTGGATAGTCTTTTCAATCGAAGCAATCAATTCATTTATTTTCAGGCACTTGCCATTGTCACGGACAGATTCCCCCACAAAATGGCAGTATGGCTGTCCAAATGCCCTGCATCGAGATGTAGCCCAGACAACCTAAACCCTCTAGGTGCAGCAATGGGCATAATACTTGTCACCTCGTACTTTTCTACGAGTGACTTTGGAGTAAGGTGTTGAGCTTTGTAAGGTTATTGCGGAAGAACTAAGCATGCCATCGAGAAAAGAAGAATACCACATCGAAGACCAGAACTAAAAGCAGGTTTGTTGAGCCTTGCCTGGGACCTCATAGACCTCGAAGAAGGTCTCCTTGATTAAGCCTGTATTGATTGAGCCTGTATCGATTTCGTTGAAAGCCGACCATTTGATGTTAGTGTTGTTGCGGTCACTGTCGACGGGTCGAACGAAGCCTTCCCAATCCCTGTCAGTACGTAGTCGACACCAAGCTGTCCTGTGCCCTTCCGAGGACAACTTTGAAGGTGACTTCAGGTGTAAGGGAGTGAATGTTCATGCCTTCCTTGATGGTACGGTCCTGGCGCAACTCCTCGACTGCTGCTTCGAGCAAAAAGGGTTTGACATCAATCCATTTTTTCAGCGGATCCACCGTGAATGGGGCTTGGATTCTCTCGTAACGATCAGAAACGCGTCAAAATCATCGTAAATACACTCATGGTCAATTTTTGCGTCTTCGTCTGGGACCTCGATGATGGTCTTAGGTCTCTTTTCCCTCCGGATTGCATCTGCTGGTGTCGGTGACCGCCAATCTTCGACGAGCTAAGCCGGCGGTTTCGGGGTACGTGATCTTACGTGTTTAGTGAGTTGTCGATGTTCCGACTAAGGAGACGTTATATCACGCACGGGTGGGAATTTTGCACACAGCTGTAACGTCGTGCACGCGCTACAGCTGCCCATGCCCTTCTTAACATGGATGGCACCCAGATTATTACTCAAAGTAGCTATATTGCCAAAGACAGTAGCTGGCGAAATGCAGTCCTTTCTCATGCCAACATGTCATCCAGCCATTTCTCCATGTTGTCCTGACCGTCGGGGCCCTTACCACCACTCAACGCTGCTGGGACAGACCCACGTTCTTTTGAAGCCATGTTGCGAGCAGTTTTCATATCTGCTGATTAGAGATTTGTCAGCACAAGGCTTATATGAAGAAGAACTGCAGAGGTTGCGTCCGTGTATCACGTACCATCGTTAACGTCCAAGCCCTTCAAAAATGCATCGATGTCTTCCACCTCCGCTCCTTCACCTTTTTCATATCCGTCTGCCGTAGTTTTGGCCCGCGTCCTGGCAAGTGTAGGCTTCGCACCATATCGCTCCTTGAAGGCTCTGGCAGCATTGGCTTTGTCTATGTTACTCCGGAGCTCCGCATAGTCCTCACGTTTTACATATAGCACTTTCGGTTTTCTCTTTGCTTTCGGCAGGCCCGGAATGTCCTCATGATCGTCGTCTGAATGCACGCATGGCCCCTCTTCGCTGTTGACGAGATTGAGTTCGCGAGCTGGCAAATGTGCATAATCTGGCTCCGGCTCCAGCTCTTCGGGTTCTGCATAACAATCAATCGAGTGCGTCACAGCTCCAGTGCCTAGGAACTTACCAAGACGAGGATCCACCTCCTCTTCTTCGTATCGCCAAGCATTTGACTGCATCTTCCTCCTTCTGCTAAACGTCTTCCCTTCATCCTCATCTTCATCATCCGACTTCACGTCCTTGCGCTCTTCTCCAGGGAGAGGATCTAGCGTACCCCCAGTCTTCTGACCCTCCGCGTTAGGGGCGTCGTCGTCGTCGGACGATCCTTCCCAATCGTCTTCGGGGACAGCTTGCTGTCCAGGACGAGGCGGCGGTGGTATGCCATGCTTGATCCGATATTGTCTGGTCGCCCTCGCTTTCCATTTACCTCCTCGTTGTCCGCCAACCACCATGTTGTAAGTTGAGTTGAAGGTGTCGTGTTCTGAATTTAAGGTTTGAACCAGCTGCAGCACCTGCTGAACTCCGCGCGTAGCAATTGACGTTAAATACGTCAGTCCGGACATGTTATAGCAGCAACTCAACTAGGTGTCGGCATGTCGGACGAGGAGATAAACAAAGTGCTGAGAACGGACGAATGTATAGGTGACGAATGGGTTCTCTGGTCTCGATTGTTGTTGGGATGGCAGAGATGTCACACGAAATGGGGCGTGCAGCGAACCCCAAACCATCCCTGCAGTTGTACGAGTTACGGTACCGCACCATGGCCAGTCGATGTGAAGAAGCGTTTAATGTTACGAAGCAATGACCAGCAATATATCCCTTTCTTTTTGGACCAAAATGAACCCACAAAACTCTGACCGGAATCCCAGAATTACAACGTACCCACCCACCCTTCGAATTGCTCACGCGTTTTCCTGCCCTTCATTGTTCCTAATCCAACCTCTTCTTCCTCATCGTCTTGTCCTTCCAGATACTGCTCTACCTCTTCTGCACCCTTTTGCTGTTCGTCGATACTGTTTTGTTGGTGCGGGAGAAGCGATGCTGCTCCGCAGGCTGTGGGTGCTGTTCAGAGGAATTCTGTTGTGGCATAGACGCAGGGTTACCAAAATTCGGCAGTGCAATCTAACACATGCATTCTAGCAGAGAGAAGAACATGAACAACGTTCAGAAAAGCTATGTTATGTTAATACCGAGCTTCGATCATATCTCTCCCCGTTGTGGGTTGACGGACTCCACGCCTCTCAGAGCAGGACATCCGGGAATCTCGGCAAGGGCTGAAATTACGTACATCCATGTCAGATGGACACGAGTTCGCTGTATGTATGTACTTAGCCGTCCTCGGGGAACCCATAAATAGTAGAGTACCTACAACCAGGTACTCCAAGATCCATACACCTCCACAATGACTCCTCCCGCTCAGAAGCTCCGTGAATTCCTCGCCGATCCTTCCAAGACCGTCGTCCTTCCCGGCGTATACGATGGTATCTCCGCCCGTGTCGCAATGTCTGTAGGCTTCGACGCCTTGTACATGACCGGCGCCGGTACCGCTGCTTCGACCACCGGTCACCCTGACTTGGGAATTGCTGGACAGGATGACTTCGTCAGGAATGCGAACATGATCACCGACGTTGCTGGCGACGTGCCGGTGATCTGCGATGCTGATACAGGGTGGGTATTTGACCGTCTTGAGATGAACTTCGAATCTGACGATCATTAGATTCGGCGGTCCTTTGAACGCAGCACGAACAATCAAGATGTACGAAAGGGCCGGAGTAGCCGCCCTCCACATCGAGGACCAGGTTCTGCCAAAGCGTTGCGGTCATCTTGCCGGCAAGATTGTTGTACCTCTCGAGGATTATCTCACCAAGATCAGAGCTGTTGTTGCTGCTCGCTCAAAGGGACCTACTGCTCCTGTCATCATTGCTCGCACGGACGCTTTGCAGCCCAATGGCCTTGAGGATGCAGTTGCGAGACTGAAGGCTGCTTTTGCGGAAGGTGCTGAAGTGGCTTTCCTGGAAGGTTAGTACTCTATCGAATGTTACGAGTCCAAGAGTGCTGAACCGAGACGTCAATAGGACTGCAGAGCAAGGAGGATGCCGTCACCGCTATCCAGGAGCTGGCACCGCATCCCGTCTTACTGAACTTGGCTACCAATGGAACGACGCCAAACTGGACAGTCACCGAAGCGAAACAGATGGGCTTTAAGATCGTTATCTTCCCGGTGAGTCCAGATCTACTGACACCGTTCCTCATTATACCTTAACTGACGGTCAATCTAGCTCGCTGGTATCTGTGCTGCTGCTCATGCCCTCAAGACGGGTTACGAAGAGATCAAGAACGAGGGAACCGATGTCAAGACTTGCAACGGAATGGGTCCGAAGGAGTTCTTCAATGTCATGGGAATGCAGGAGTGTATCGAGTTTGACAAGATGGCAGGAGGAAAGGCGTACAGTTAGAATGGTTCAAGAAACTTTAAGAATACGTTCGCAAGCGAAATTCCCCTGGTTTTGTGTATTTCCGTCCTCCGACGTCCAAGTTCTTCCCACGACTTTTCACCCGCATCCAAAATTTTCTCGCCCAAAAAGTCTGCGCCGGCTCCCGCCTTGGAGAGAAACCCAACTTGTTTCTTCTCTTCTGATCCGCTCCTCGTCCAAGCACCCTAACTATACCAGAACAGATACCAAAATGCAACTTCGAGGCGGTCAAAGATACGATTCACCTGGTCCTGCGGATCCCTCGCTCGAGGGCCAATTTTTGGAGCTCGTCAACAACCACACCGCTCACATCGAAGGCACCTCCAAGGTCATTGAGCTCCGTTCACCAGCACGCCGAGCAAGATCCCAGTCACCTGTGAAGGCAATGGTCTCTCCATCGAAGTCCAGCCATACTCTCCTCGCCGACGATGACGAGGAGTTCAGCGAAGAAATGATGGAACGCCTCCTGGGTGCCGCAACTGACAACCTTCAAAAGAAGCAGCAAGGTGGTATGGAAGGCGACGATGAGATGTCTCTTGAAGCTCCTAAGCTCAAAGACGAGGATCGAAGTTGGTTGAAGTTCCCCAAGTTGAACCCCGGCGCTTTGCCACAGCCATATGTCAGCACCCAAGGAGCCAAAGCGAAGGTGGCGGCGGAGGTCATTCAGAGAGCTGCACCAAAAGAAGAGATCGTGGAAGATCCGGTCCACGGTGTCTCAATTCACTCTCGTTCCATCACCGACAACCATGTCACAAAGCAAGAAAAGCAGAAGGTAAGCATGATCTTATGGACTTGGGCATCGAGGGCATTGCAACATCACTTGATGATAAGTTTTTCCCAAGCTACGAAGCGAGATTATCGGAAACCGTTATGGTATTCCACTCGCGGTGACGGCGCTCTTATAGTCATAGTTACACTGATGATCGTTGCAATGGCTTCGATGTTCTATGGGTCCGCTCTTTCTCTGTCCGAACGGAACTAACATCGTGGCATAGCAAAAGGATGCCACCGTTGGCAAAGACTGGTTCGACATGCCTGCTACCGAGCTCACGCCTGGTATCAAGCGTGACCTTCAGCTTATCAAGATGCGTAACGTCCTCGACGCCAAGCGTCACTACAGGAAGGACAACTCCAAAACCTTCCCCAAGTACTTCCAAGTGGGTACCATTGTTGAAGGTCCGACAGAGTACTACTCTGCTCGTATTCCGAAAAGCGGGCGCAAGGAGACTATCTTGGGCGAGTTGTTGGCCGAGACGGATCGCAAAGAGTACTTCAAGAGGAAGTACGGAGATATCCAGGAGAAGGCGAACAACAAGACGAGGTGGAACAAGAAGACGAAAATGCGATCGTAGAGTTCCTTCTGGTTGCATCACTTTGCTATTTCGGGCGTTATGGTTACTCGGCGTTTACATCATCTATCAAGAATTTCATGGCATATGCATTATCTTCTACATTCAAATCGTAGTGAGCCTTGGAAAGTCCCTGTACTGTATCCACGAGCTCCTGCCAAATAATCGTTTCTCGCATCTTTACCTACTCAGCTAGGCTGGTCAACGAGCAGCTTCTTCAATCCACCGACCCATCCTTCTCCCTCACCCTTGACGATGTGTATCTCGTACGGGAACGGATTGGCTTCACCAGTTAATATAGGCGGTATGTGCTCTTTCTTCTCGTTCGCAATCCGCACAATCTTCAGCAAGGTCTCATTCAACTGTCGCTCCATTTCACGTTGCGATCGCAGACGCTCACGCTCGGTCCGGGGTGTTATTGTGTCGACCACGATTAGCCACCTCTCCCAAACCACCGACTCTTCCTGCGTCGAGAACCATGCCTTTCGTACCCGTTTCTCGTAGAAGCTCATTGCAAGCTGGCCTCGTGCATGCCCTTGACCTGGTGGTGGTGACGTTGTGGGTGAAGGTGCGGGTGATAACGCATTCAGTAATGACGAAGTCCGTTCATCCAGCAGAACTTCAAGGTCCTGATCGTTATCGACAAATGGATAAGTGACATTCAGGAACTCTCTTGAGCGGGGCCGTACGTTGACGAATATACGATTGAAGAGGATAGAGTGTAGGACGGCTGTACAATGGATCGTTAGGCGAGGACATTAAGCGGAAGGAAAGCTCACCCTTGACCATCTCCTTCATGAATCCACGATCAATATCCTCAAGCTCCAATACATGTTGCTCTGGCATTTTCGTCGAAGGAAGATAACGTCTTTGGCAAATGTTGGGGGTTCATACAGCTGGACGTGTATGCTCTACGTACGCTGGCGCTGCGGCCCGGGGTGTACCGCATCGATCTAAGGCACGTCTGAGCACTGGCCCGCGCCCGCCATATCGAGAAGGTTAAGAAGAGGTTTCTGCGTTTATGTTAGGTTACCGTTCATATATGTACCCATGACTAAGAAAACAGAGCTTAAAAACTACTGCCGAGTGCCTCCCACGTTGATCTTCACGAACTCTTCCTCCATCTTGTCACCCTTGGTACTCTCAAAGATGTGTCCGAGCATCTCGAGGGCCTCCACTCTTCGTACCTTTACGTCGTTGTCCACGCTCGGATCATCCCACAAGACGTTGTCGCACACATCCCTGATCACACCCTCCACCTCCATTCTAGCACCAGCCCACAAGGCACCCATTGCGATTTCTGCCGCCTTCTGTTCAAGCTTTGCCTTCTCCTCCGGTGAACAGCCGCGTGCTTCGGCCTTTTGGATGGCCGTGAATGCGCTCTGCACAGTGTACGCCTTCTTGATCGTCGAGAATGTTGAGGAAATCATATACGTCTTCTCGCGGATTGAAGGGATATATCCACCCAGTGTCCAGCCCTTCTTCGGGTGCAATGACGAAGATAAGGCTTTCATGCGGTACGTATACCCAACGGCATGTAGCAACTCGATCCCGTATTTCTCGGTCTTCAGCTCGTCCGCCTCGTGATACATCTTCTGTCTGAACCGCTCTTTTGCTCCGCCATCTTGCTTGTCATAGGCGTAGCTGTCCAGCTTTGACTTCAAGTTCTCTGTCAGCGTCTTCACACGCTTCTGTCGCTCCTCTTCCTTCTCCGCTTCCTTCATTTTCTTCTCTTCTTCAGACTCCTCATCCTGCTCTGGTTCCGCATTCGGGTCCTGGCCCGCTTCTTCTCTAGCCTGGTGCCGTGCCATTGTCTCCCCCATCTCGCGCCCGATGGCAATGGTACCGATATAATCGTGGAATCGTTCTCCGCCAAATATGTCCTGAAAGAACTTTTCTGGGTGTATTCCATCCGCACCATCTGCACCCTGACTCCCTTTCAGGCCATATTCGTTATATTGTCGTCGCAATGTTGAATCGGCGAGTGTCGTATATGCTTCTGATAACTTGGCAAATTCCTCTTCGCTGCCGCCCTTGTCTGGATGCATCTTTACAGCAAGTTTCCGGTAGGACTTCTTGATCTCTTCTTCAGTAGCCGTAACGTCGACTTTGAGGAGATCATAATACGTGCGATCCAATGGGTCCGTCTGTGTTCCGAACTTGCGGGCTTTGGCTGTATGCACGATTATCAGTTACGATTGGAGCATATATTACATCAGCAAACGTACGTTTCGAGGCCTTAGCCTTGGGTGACTTGACAGAGAACACCTTGTCGCACTTCGCGCACTTCAGTTGCAGCTGTGCTTGAGCTTGAAGGACCTCAGCTGGAGGCAATTCATATTCAAGAGCGGCGTAGCATGTCGGACAGGTCGCTTCCACGTACGACCCACGCACGCGGGTAGCAACTGGGTCGGAGGAGGACATTGAGGGTTAATCGGTGCTTACGGTTGCGTCGCACTTTTCAAGGTTAACGTTATCGCTGCGCATACAGTACACGCTGCGGTAGACGTCAGAGCAGATTCGCATAGTGACGTGGAGGGAGGTATTCGGACACAGGTAACTTTTAACAATATAATCGAAACTATTTTATGGTCTACGGGTTTGTCACTCTGGTGCTCATCAGGTGACATCCCGAAACGCGGGGCCGTCGAACGACCCACGGGCACTCGTCCTCTGCTCGCGACGAATTGAAGCGAACCTTGAACGACCATTTGCGCAAGAGTGTTCTGCAAATCGACAACAATGGCATCAAGGACTCCTTTCCGTACACAGATCAAGTCATTCGTCCAGGTAGTCAAGCGCAATGCTTCTACGTCCGCGAAACCGAAGGCAACGGACCCTTTCAAGAAAGGAAAGACTCGGCCCTCTATCAGGTGGACAACGCAAAAGGCCATGGGTTAGTCAACCCACCCTCTTGACTGGAATGCCTTTTAACGCGTAACCATATCTTCATAGGACTGTCTATTTTCACCGGCGCACTTACTTATTCCCTTGCAACGTCGCAGATCAAAGGCCTAATCGAAGAGCAAGGAAAGACTCCGGAATACCTTCGCGCTAAGCCGACAGAGTACGGTGACCAGGAGACTTTGGAGAGGGCTATTCCGGAACTTCAAAAGGCAATGGGCCACGCCGAAAATTCGATCACGACTGATCCCGAGGACCTGGAGCGTTATGGATATTCGGCATGGTCTTCCGTTAACACCGAGACCCTTCCATTCGCCGTGGTGTTCCCCAAGTCCACCGAGGAAGTCCAGGAAATCGTGAAGGTTGCCCTCAAGTACAAGCTTCCGGTCGTTCCCTTCTCTGGTGGAACTTCCCTTGAGGGTCACTTCTCTGCCACTCGCGGCGGAATCTGCATTTCCTTCTTGAACATGGACAAGATCATCAAGATCAACGATGATGACCTTGATTGTGTCGTGCAGCCTGGTGTCGGATGGATCGAGCTTAACCAAGAGCTCAAGGGAAAGGGCCTGTTCTTTGCTCCTGATCCCGCGCCCGGAGCCCAGATCGGTGGTATGGTCGGCACTGGATGTTCGGGTACTAATGCCGCGCGATTCGGAACGATGAGAGAGAACGTACTGTCTCTGACCGTGGTTATGGCCGATGGATCCGTCATCAGAACCCGTCAGCGTGCGCGTAAGTCATGTGCCGGATACAATCTGACGCAGATGTTCATCGGTAGCGAGGGTACTCTCGGTATCGTCACTGAAGCTACTCTCAAGCTAGTCCCTATCCCAGTGAATTCCGCTGTTGCCGTTTGCCCTTTCCCCACCATCAAGGATGCTGCCGCTACTGCATCCAAGGTGATCCGCCAGGGCATTCACGTCGCTGCTATCGAATTGGTCGATGATGTGACAATGAGGGTCATCAACGAGGAGGGCTCGACCCCGCGCAAGTGGGAAGAGAAGCCTCATCTTTTCTTGAAGTTCTCCGGCACTGCAAACAGTGTGAAGGAGCAAGCTGAGATGGTCAAGGCCATTGCAAAGAACAACAACGGCGGTCGCTTCGACTATGCAAGGAATGACGATGAAGCTGCTGTATTGTGGTCTGCAAGAAAGGAAGCTCTGTGGTCCATTCAAGCACATGGTGCGGCCGATTCAAACGCTATCTGGACGACGGATGTTGCTGTCCCTCTATCGAGATTGCCGGAGATCGTGGAGAAGACCAAGGATGACCTCCAAGAAGCTGGCTTGATGGCCGGTATTGTAGGTCACCTCGGTGACGGTAACTTCCACGCTATCATCATCTACGACCGGAATAACAAGGTGGAGAATGACAAGGCCGAGGAGGTTGTCCACAAGATGGTTAAGACTGCTATTGAGATGGATGGAACCTGTACTGGTGAGCACGGTATCGGCATTGGGAAGAAGGGATATCTTGCGTCGGAGCTTGGCGAGCCCGCGTTGGAGGTCATGAGAAGGATGAAGTTTGCTTTGGATCCGTTGAACCTCATGAACCCGGACCACGTTATTCCAGAGCACAAGCACTGAGTGGGAAAAAAAAAGCGATGGATGTGATGTACGAGTAGGATACCCGAGAGTCTTGGGAAGGATGGCGCAAGAACATAGTTGATATTGTAGTAGCATAACGATCACGTATCGTAACTGGTATAATAACATTTATCCCTTCAGCCGAGTAATTCAAGAGTCTCCCAAACGGTGTCCAGCCCCCCTGAACGCAGTGGAGTTCGACGTAGCAGACCCAAAACCCGTAGCTTGGCCAGCAGCAGCATCTCCAGCACCTGTCTGCCTGTCCCTTGGGTTGAAAGCGGTGCCGTACGGCATAGTGCGCATCCTTGCATGGCCAGCATTGCCAAAGAGGCGGGCGAACCAAGTCGGAGTATGAATAAGAGGACGGACACCATGGCTTCCCGGGTAGATCTCGGTCACAAAGAGGTAAGTGTGGCCCGCAACGAGACCGACAAGCTGCATCTGAAAGGCAGAGCCAGGACCATTCATGACGAATGTCATCACCAACATGGACACTGGCAGCCACATCGCCTTCATGGGGATGAAGCCCATAAATGACATTTGCCGGTCACGGTTCATCTGAGACCAGACGTACGCGACAGACATGGAAACGGCATTGAAGTAGAGGTATCCGTCAATGAAGTATGAAATCACCTGGAAGCACCGACGCGGTTAGCGAACGGGGGTTCTTCCTGGTTGATATTTCAATTCTTGCTATCCTAAATCGAGGAGATGTCGAACACCACAACCCCAGACTGGGAACAAGAGAGCCCGTCTGGAATTTCAAGCAGTGGCCCTGACATCCCACACGACTCCTCCGCGAATGATTTTGGATGGAGAAGCCGCGAGAGAGCTACTTGGTATAGCCCACCACCAGAACCTAGATGCCGGCTTCGAAACGACAAACAGGGCAGAAACGGGGCATAAGAAGACTTGTAGAACGTCCATGATCTGGATCCAGGTGTTTGCTCGGTGAACAGAACATCGAGCTCCATACCACAGACATTCCCCTCAAAAGAAATATCTAAGAGATAAACAAGAGGACTTACCACGATGATTGCCCAGCAAAACGTCAAGAAGAAAGCATAATCCGCAGTCCTCATGAATTTCTTAGTCTCGAGATCCGTACTGTGATTGTAGAAGAAGAACAACCCCATCAGCATCTCGATACCGCCACCAGCATAAAGCGATGCCGTGAAGGGTCGCCAAAGCTGTCCCTTGAACGTCATCGGCCAAATGTTGAAGATTTGGTAAGGGTGGATCAGTTGCAACAGCGGAGCGATCGAAGTCAAGAAAGATGCGAAGAGCACCGTCCTCGACACCGGAGGCAAGCCGTAGTACCATCTGGAGCAATCATCGATGTAAGTCCTCTGTAACAATCGACATATAGAGGATCATTTGCAAACCTCGCAAAGTCATTCTGTCCACGGGGGGCGTCCATCCTTTAAATGTCTGGGGAAGCGTTGGCATTACGACTTCCGGGTTAGCCTGCAGACCGTACGGTACGGTAGCTGGTGTGGCTGGAGCGTATCCCAGCGCATCTCGAGGCCAATGTCAGCGGGATCACACATAAAAATGGCTGCGGAGAAGTGAGTAACACCTTTGATCTGCTTGGGAATTGCCATTAACTATGTTTCAGGAACATCCCTTTGCTCGGATCTGGTTTCGTCGCCAAGCCCACTCTTGACTACCTCTTGAGGCGTCCTGAGAACAAGGTCACTGTTGCTTGCCGTACTAAGGCTACTGCTGAGGCTTTCATTGCCGGTGCTGAGCGCTCCACTGCTATCTCTCTCGATGTCTCCGACGATGTCGCTCTCGACGCTGCCGTTGCTAAGCACGATGTCGTGATCTCCTTGATCCCTTACACCCACCACGCCCAGGTCATCAAGTCTGCAATCCGCAACAAGACGCACGTCGTCACCACTTCCTATGTTTCCCCTGCCATGATGGAACTAGATGAGGAGGCCAAGAAGGCTGGTATCACGGTCATGAACGAGATCGGCCTCGACCCTGGAATTGACCACTTGTACGCCGTCAAGACCATCGACGAGGTCCACGCTGAGGGTGGCAAGATTCTCTCTTTCTTGTCCTACTGTGGTGGTCTTCCTGCTCCTGAGAACTCCAACAACCCTCTTGGTTACAAGTTCTCCTGGTCTTCCCGCGGTGTCCTCTTGGCTCTCCGTAATGCTGCCAAGTTCTAGAAGGATGGCAAGGTTGTCGAGATTGAGGGCCCTGAGCTCATGAAGGCCGCTCGGCCTTACTTCATCTACCCTGGTTACGCTTTTGTTGCTTACCCCAACCGTGACTCTACCCCTTACAAGGAGCGCTACAACATTCCTGAGTGCCAGACCATCATCCGTGGTACCCTCCGTTACCAGGGTTTCCCTGAGTTCATCAAGGTTCTTGTTGATGTCGGTTTCCTCTCTGATGAGTCTGTTGAGGTCATGGCCAAGGGCTCCTCCGCCACCTGGAAGGAGGCTACCGCGAAGGTACTCGGTGTTTCTTCCACCAAGGAGGAGGACCTCATTGCTGCTATTCGCTCCAAGACTCAGTTCAAAAACGCCGAGGAGGAGGCTCGCATCGTTGCTGGTTTCCGTTGGTTGGGTCTCTTCTCCGACAATGTCATTACTCCCTGCGAGAACCCTCTTGACACTCTCTGTGCTACCCTGGAGCCCAAGTGCCAGTACGGTCCTGATGAGCGCGACTTCGTCATGCTCCAGCACAGGTTTGAAATCGAGCACGCCGATGGCCGCCTTGAGACTCGCACCTCCACTTTGTGCGACTACGGTGTCCCTGGAGGCTATACCTCCATGGCTAAGTTGGTTGGTGTTCCTTGTGGTGTTGCTACCCAGCAGGTGCTTGACGGTATCATCAAGACCGCTGGTGTCCTTGCGCCCATGAGCAAGGTGCTTAACCAACCCTTGATTGATGAGTTGTTGAAGGAGGGTATCTTCTGCAAGGAGGAGACGGTTGCTTAGATTCTTCCAAACCAAAAACTGTAGGATACAAGATAGATGACACGATATGGAAAGTTAGATTAAGCTATGGACCAACAAACGGTAGCATGTATCATCACCTCCTCCTCGTCTCTCCAAAACCCGTTGAGCTCCACGTGCTCGAGCTTCCCTCCCCATCAGAGCTACCACCCCATCCGCCTCCCGAACCCCATCCACCACCTCCTCTACGTGTCCTTTCTTGTTCAGCATTCCGTTGGCTTACCTGGTTTGCGGCATACAGAGCCGCGGCGCCTCCGGCTAACCCAGACCAGAATCCTGGGCTCCATCCACTTCCCCGTTGCTGCTGCTGTTGTTGCTGAGCCGCAGGCTTGGGTGGCGGTCTAGGATGGGGATCATATGGCGGTGGAAGATCATCGTCGTCTCCGGGACCGCCGCCTCCGAAGCCTGGACGTATGCCACCAGGTTGATCACGTCCAGCAGCAGGCGAGCTTGGTGCGAAGAAGAAAAGCCATACGAGGAACCCTATTATTAAGAGCCCAATCACTTCACTGATGGTAGGATGACCCACGCCTCCGATTCCCCCTCGTTTTCCATACACTTTCCTACCCTCATCCGTCAAATAGAGCGTGTACTCGCACGTACAACTCCCTCTCAGCACATACTCATCCTTCGGGCCACTATACCCCTCACACACCACATCCGTACGGCCCAACTTGACCGTCGCCGGAAGGTCCGCCGAACAACTCCACTGAATATTCTCGTCCGACTCCCCGAACTGGCTTCCCATGTTTCGGCATTGGATTGCTGCGGGAGTGTGAACAGAACATGCGTCGCCTCCGATGCATTCCAGTTGAAAGGAGGGTGGGAAGTGACGACGAGACTTGACACGTGTTTTGTCGTAGAAGGTGAGGGTGCGGGCGGAGGAGAGAAGGTGCTTTTCGGGGTTGAGGTTGAAACTGGTGACGGAGGCGGAGAAGCAAGACAGGATTATGGCCAAGACGACGCCTAAGATATGTGATAGGCGCATATTGACCAGCAGAAAGCTTCTACAGCTCGTATACAACAGACGGTCCGGGAAGATGCTGCGCTGCCCAAGCACAACGTTTGCTGCGGAAGACGTGGCGATGGGTTTGAAATCTGGGGATGGCAGCGCTACGTCCTGTAACGAAGATACGGCAGCGTCATCAAGGTGAAGAAATGCCCAACATACACCTGATACAGAGATCACCATTCTATCGACATCCTGAAGACCTTCATTTACTTTCTTGCCTTCTTTCCCTTGCCTTCAGCGTCCTCATCTCGGCTTCTCTTGGTCTTCGGCTTCTCCTCCTCTTCAGTAGCCCAAAACTGAAAATCCTTTCTGCACTTCTTCAAGATTCTCTTCTCCCCAATCCGCACTTCGAGAGCGTTCCGCAAGTTGAGCGACACGTTTGCTTCACGCAACTTGGCCTCGTCCTCCTCGAGTGTTGTCGGGTACTCCTTCTCACGCGCATCCAAGATAGAAAGAAGAATCTCTTGGGCCTTCTTTGTCTTTCTGGGTTTGGGGACTTTCTCTGCATCCTTATGTCTCTTGAATTCCAGTCTGCCCATTTGCAGAGTATGGATGGTGATGAGCAATTCCTCCGGTATTTCACCTGCAGCATCGATGTCGAATCCGTCTTCCAAGACACCTTCTTCCAGGAGGTAATCGATCCTAACCTCGCGGTCCTTCTCCATCAATGAAGCGCCAGCAGCGTCAGTCACCATCGGAGCCGAGATCTCCAGTACATCGTACTCCGATCCACCCATCTTCACGTAGCCATATCTCCGCAGGGAGTCGGCATTTGGCAGATCGCCGTACGTATTGTATACCTGCTCACCGGCCGGAATAGCCTGAGTTGCCTTCATCTCCAAAGAATCCGCGGAGTAAAACAAGTGTGCATTGCAAAGGGTGACGTCGGCATTCAGCAGATCGGCAAGAGGGCACATGCTCTTCTCGTATTCTTCCTCCTCCAGATCGTCCTCATCGGCGTCGTGAGTGCCGCCCGCAGGGGCCTTCTCAACGTCGAATGAGTAAGACAAGATCAAGGAACCCATGCGATGGAAATTCTCGAGGGTGCAGTGCTCTCTTGAGAAGAGGTCTGGGTGAGCCTCGATAACTGGCACGATCTGGGTCTGATATGTTTCATCCGCCTCCGCCCTGCCAACCTTATCCAAAACGGCAGTACCCTTAAGTTCAATCAACTCTTCCTCAAACCAGAACATGGGAGTCGAGAAGGCCTCCGGAAGGATAGCCAAGTATGGCGCCCAGCGGGAGTCTGGCCGAGCTGATTCGTACAGCATGGTAAGGATCAAGCAGAGCCAAGGGTTTTCGAGGTCGGCGAGAACCTGAGGAATTCTGGTGGACAGATCGGAGTTCGGGGTGGCAAGCATGGCAGATTTTGGGATGGCGAAGAGGAGCTCTCCTTCCTGAAGGTAATCTTAGTACAGTTCTGACATGCACTTGAAGATGCGTACAGCGATGTCCTGCACAGCGACAACACCCCGTCCTGCATTGTCGCTCCTGTAGTCCTGCAAAGCAATCTTTGGCGAGATCTGAACGCCCGGCTGGGATTGCAGCCATGTCATGAACTGATCGGTCTTCTGATCGAAGTCATCGTTTGCTTGGTCAACCATGTCAATGTCCATCGTGAGTTCGAACCTGGAATGTTTTGGTGGTTTGGTGGTTTGTTCTGAGATTAAGGTTTTGTTATCGTTGACATTTTTAACGTGGAACACCTGCAGTATCGCTAAAGGCTGCTGATGGACACTTTTCCAGGCAGCTGGTGAGTTGTGTGACAACGTACAATGTGAAGCCAGCAGTATCGAAGAAGCCTTTGTCTGCAGCTGAACAGATTATGCAGGAAGCGAAAGAGCGGAAAGAACGTATAGCATGGAGTGGATTTGGCGACGAACGGGACGCGAAAAAGGCCCGGGTATTACGAGTCATCTTTGGTATGGTTCATGGCGTTCAGCGGCGTTCACATTTGCGTTTTGGGAACGTGGTAATGGTTTTGAAACCTTGGTTTGCATGCCACAAGGAATATCATGGCCTGCATTCGTATCACTATCTCCATCTAAGCATACCTCAATCCAACAAAGAACGCCGCCATAAAGCTTGCCTTCATGGGGAAGTTGTGCGTAAGAAGGTTGGTAAATTTCTCACTGATGAAAGCACCAGACTGGTGTCCCTCAGCGTTGTTCGATGCACGAAGAGCCTCCTGGCGACGAGAATACCAACCCGCAATCCTTGCCCAAGGAATAGAGACGATACCGTTGTAGCTCAAGAGCTGAAGGAAGACAAAAATACCACCAGCAAAGAACAGAACCATCTTGCCGATCTTGCCGACGAAGAAACCGGATGCGAGACCCATCATGCTTCCGAAGCTCAGTTGAGCTGGATCGAACCATCTAGCCAAGATATTTCCACCGGTCCCGGCCTTACCATCCACGTCGTCGAAGTCTGGCTTGTCAACTGGGTATGAACCTGGTGTAGAGGAGGTTGCAGCAGCGCATTGATAGGGCTGGAAGACGGGCGAAGAGAGAACACCGTACGACAGTAGAGCGTAGGTAGAGAGGGTTCCTGCCGTACCCCAAGCAAGGCGACGAGGCACACTCAGACTTGCTGTTAAGAAACAACTACGTTAGTAGAGGAGAATGCTAAGTGCAGGATCAGAGCGTACCCGTCTTAACGTTAGAGATGGCTTGTGGACGGAAGGCGGTACGAGCACAGCTACTGAAGAGAAACTGCGAAGGAGCTGAGAAGAGGCGAGATGACGATCTGAATGCTGAGGCCATTGTGAACGATTTATTTTATCGACTTGATCTGTTTGAGTTGTAAGATGTACGGCTTTGATTCGGATTGATTTATACTACGACTCGACTCAACTCGACTCCATGACGTCACCAGCATAACCTCCAACTTCAGCTGCCCTACTTCTCCTCATCAGGTTTGTCGATATCCTCGGGCTTCATTCTCTTGTCAGGAGTTCCATCTTGCTTCAATCCACCATGCTCGCTGGGCTTGTAGATGTCGCCCTCGGGTTGCAAGCCAGCGTCCCTAGGGATCTCGTGTTTGGCGGAGGCCTCTTGGTCTTTGGCCTCCTGTTGGTAGAATTGGATTTTGTCACTGGGGTTTGCAATTGTGTAAGCTGGCCAAAAGGATTGGAGAGGTGCACGCCTACGCCATGATACACTGTGTTCCAAGTGAGGTGGTAGGGGTACCAGTGAGGCGTGTGTGCTAAGCAACTGTAACTGTGACTGACCGATTACACCTTCGCTATCCTTTATATAGGCAAACTGCGGACTGTTCAAAGACAACCGTTGAGCGACAAGGATCCAGGATTAAGGAACGTCATGATGACCGCGCTTCCCAAGGCCCCGGCCCGCAACAATCGAAGGAAACTCATCGTCAGTTGCCCATGTATGCAGTTGAGGAAGGAGGTAAATGTAAAACGTTCGCAATCATTTTTGCTAACCATCCAGCTATAGTACAAGCTGTAGTCGCTTTGGGGGAATATTATACCTCCTCTTCTCCATATATCTCATTTTAATATACCTTACCACATCACACAACGCCCATCTATGCATCCTTCTTCTCCTCCTCCTCCTCCTTCTTGTCCTTCTTTTCATTCTTCTCGTTCTTCTCACCCTCAATACCAACAGCCTTCTTTGCAACCTCAGCAGCATTAGCAACAGCCTCCTTCACGGATTCGGCAACCTCAGTCACCTTCTCCTGTGCAGGAGCAACCTTCTCCTGGACGCTCTCAATAACCTCCTTAGCCTTTTCCTGGACGTTCTCGACGACTTCCTGGACCTTCTCCTGAACGGGCGCAGCCTTCTCCTCAACCTTCTCAGCAACAGGAGCGGCAGCCCCCTTCACCTGCTCGACAACCTCCTGGACCTTCTCCTGAACGGGAGTAGCCTTCTCCTCAACCTTCTCAGCAACAGGAGCGGCAGCCTCCTTCACCTGCTCGACAACCTCCTTTACCTTATCCTGGACGGGTGCAGCGGCCTCCACGACGGGAGCAGCCTTTTCCTTAACAGCTTCAGCAACCTGCTTGGCCATCTTCTGAACCTTCTTATGCTGAACAGTCTTCTTGGACACCTCAGCAGCGTCCTTGACAAGTTCCTTGATGGTGCTGGCCGTCTCGCTTACTTGCTGCTGAGCCTCGTTAAGGGCCTGCTTGGGCTTTTCAACGGTTCCCTTGACAGCCTCAGTAGCCTCCTTCGCCTGCTCCACTACCTTCGTCTTCAGCTCACCAGCCTTGACCTCAACCTCTTGGCCGTCCATGTGCTTGGCGTATTCAGGAGTTTCCAAGATCTGTTTAGCCAACTCGGCGGGGCGGACATTACCCTCAGCGAAGACGGCTTCCATCTCCTCTTGCATGCGATTGCCAATGCCGACCTCTGCAAAATCGTTAGCACACCCACAAATCAACGAAAGAATAAAGGGTACTGACCATCGTAACCGAAAATATGAGCCTTCATACCCACACCCGCATACTGGTTCTCCCGCAAGTACGCCAACCAGACCTCGACGGTCTCCGGATGAGCATCCTTGATCTGAATTAATCTCTTGTGAGTGACACGTTCGAAAGTCTCCTTGCTCTTGGCGTGCACGAAATGTGCCCTGTTGACAGTGAATCTCTCAGTCTTGTTGGGCAGTGGTACGACACCGGAGGCGGGCATCTTTAAGTAGTAGGCCGCACGTAAAGCAAAATCGGCGAAGAAATCCATTGTATAGGGGTAGTAGCCGCGAAGTTGGAGGTTGCAAACAGTGATGCCATGAGTGGGCTTGTGTCTTGCTGGTTCATGATACACCGCCTGGACGTTCGTGGGAAGATCTTCATACGAGATACCTTCATGGTCTTTCTGTTTGGTTGGTGCTGGTGGGTCCGTAGAAGTTTGTGCGACCTCAGTAGGGTTCGTCGAGGCGATTTCGGTGGTCGCGGTAGCGAGTGTTCGGAATCGTAGAGGCGCTGATCGCGGGGACTACAATACGGTCAGCAGGAAACCAGATGCACAGCAATGAAACATACCCTTGCTACGATTGGCCGCCACGATGACAGAAGTGATCTCGATGCCATCTCCGGTTTTCTTTGGCGTTCAACTTCCTGCTCCCTCGGACCTAAAGCACCTGCATACCCCAAATTTCACATTAAAGCTTTAACAAGTTGTCAATTAAAATCAACGATACAGGCACGAGTGCGTCCTCGCTCCCGAAACAGCAAAGAAATGGAGGCTCTCAAAAGTGAGCTGAAAGCATGGGAGAAGCAGTTTCAAGAGGGTGAAGGACGTGTTCCAGAACGTGCAGATATCAAAGCGGACTCACTGATTGGTAGGTGCCTAACCTAAACCACGACGCGTCCGTGTTGCTAATACGCGGTAACAGCTGCCAAATACAAGGCCTACAATCGATTGCGAGATGATATCAAGCGCGAGAAATCATCGGTCGAGGCTAAGAAAGCCACCGAAACACCTATGAAGCCTTCGCAAGCAGTTTCAACACCGTCGAAGTCCAAAGCAAGTCCGTCAAAGAGCACGACGGACACGCCAGGGCGTTCACGGGCCGGCATTGCAGCTTCCCAGTCCACAGCATTTGTCAAGCCAAAAGACCTCAAGAAGGCAATTGAATCCTTGACACCGCGCCGTAAGGGCATCCAGTCACCGTTCATGAATGGCGTGGGTCCTACACCAGAGTTGAGTGGAAGAACGCTGGGCATTTTTGATGGGTTGAGAGATCAAGACGGTACGCCCGTGAAGCCAGGAAACTTATTGGCGAAGTTGAGTGCAGCAAAGTCGGGCGGAATGCCTAGCAGATCTCGTCCAGTAATGGACAGTCCCTCGAAGCTGATGTCGATGCCACCATCTGCATCGCTGATATCCCCGACGAAAGTACGAAGTGCAAGCCAATATGATACACCAACGTTCTTCCGCACCAGATCCATCGATGTCGAGGAGTCTCCTAAACCGCTTCTTTCGCTCCTTCCCAAGAAGTCGTCATCCCGAGGATTGTCCGATCTGATATCTGATCTCCGGACATTAGAGGATGAAGCGCACAACGAAGATGAAGAAATCATGAGAGAGATGGAAGCAGAGATGCTAGCTGAAGCGGAACAGCAAGGTGAGCAAGTACCAGATGGAGAAGGAGAGGAGGAAGGTCGTGTTTGGAAGAAGAAAGGACGAAAGCGGGATCACAGAAGGGTTCTCATGCGGCCGGCGCCAGAGCGACCTGTGGATGAGTTGGAAGACGAACTCGTCGGGGGAGACGACCGGGATGACGACTCAGAAAGCGAGTTTGGTGGCGGTGACGGAGATGATGACCCAGATAACCCATTTGCGGAGCCAAAGAAACGCAAAACATCCGGCGCCGCTGAAAACGAAGCCGAGAGGAAGAAACGGCCGATCAAGGCCAAGGGCGGCCTGGTCCTCGACGCGCAGGTCAGCAACAATTTCGTGCGGATGAAGAACTTGTCAAGAGGGAAGGGAAGATATGGTAAGGGCGGCAGAGGAAGCTTTAGAGGTAGGCGGTAGCGGAGCGTGCTAAAGATATATACCCTCATGGGCTAAAGGCAGGTGTTCGGTGTTCCTGAGGTTATAGCGTTGCAGATTATTATGCAAACTGGGTATCAAGGAAAGCAATCATCAAACGCCCGTCCCAATCAATCGAGATGTTGTATAGATCCGAGCAAAACGTTTAGACAGGCTTCTCCAAGCGCCCGGTCCCTTCTAGGTTGAACAAGACGTTACGGTGGTAGTTGGCCCACATCTGGGAAACAAGCTCCACATTCATAGTATGCATGTTGATATCCTTCACACAGACGTGTTAGTCGAGCATGCTCCCGAACAAACACAGTTCTGCTTACCTGCAAAGACCGGTTCAGCTCAATGACAGCCTCGTTCAACTTCTCAACGTTGTTGATAATACGGGCCACAAGGGCATTCTGCTGTTCCTCATGCGGATTGTCCTGTATAAACTATCAGCATACTGTACTTTGACGACGCCTATAACCGCACGGACCATGCTCTCAGATTCTTGTGTGTGTATGAGTATATTTGTGTTGTGTTTTGATGTTGCGCTTTGGCCTGCATCTCGGCTGCAAGTTGCCAAAGGAGGAAATTGGACATACGAGAACCAAAAATGCACGAACGAAATCTATTTTGCAAGAATCCGCCAGATTTCAAGGCTCTGGCTCTGAAATACAAATCATTTGCGGAACAGTGAGTTTGGTAGCAGCACGTAACGGCAGCCGCTGACCATAAAGCAGTGCACGTTTCGATGGATCTCTTGACTTCCAAGATGCAGCAGCACTACGGTAGCTTCGAAACGCTATAATATCATCTAATACAGAGTGCTGATAAGCGTACAGAGCACTTACTACCACTCTGCTTGAGGACGGCTTCGGGTTGAAGGTACAGCTGCCAAAGGATCGTTTATGTCCACCTGTTCCCAATCGTCTGGACTATATGCTGTGGCTCCAGGATCTTCTAGATTCTACTGAACCGAGTTGCGAAACGAAAGCAGGAGAAGAGCGGGAAAATGGGCCATGTGTACTTGACATTGGCACCGGCGCCTCTGCCATATATCCGCTTCTTGGATGTGCACTCAGGCCCACCTGGTCGTTCATTGCGACCGACATCGACGGCGATTCGATCGTTGGTGCTCGGCAAAGTGTTGCATTGAATGGCTTAGAAGATCGAATACGTCTACTAAATACAAGAGTCGAGGACAAGTTGATCAACCTTGATGCATGGGGGGTGAAAATGTTGGACGCAGTTATGTGCAATCCACCATTCTACGACAGTGCTGAAGACATGCAAAAGAGCGAGTCAGTCAAAGAAGAACAGCCATTCGCGGCGCTGACGGCGACTAAGAACGAGTTGATTACCCCTGGAGGCGAACTTGCGTTCATCCGCCGCATTCTCGCCGAGTCACGGACATTAGGTACTCGCGTACTCTGGTACACGTCGTTATGTGGTCACCTGTCAACATTGCAAGAGATCTCCAGAGAACTAAGTGAGGCGAATATGAATTATGGGGTGGGAGAATTCGTGCAAGCCCGGACGAAGAGATGGGTCATTGGTTGGAGTTTCCGGCCGTATAGACCGGACGATGAGACAGCAAGACATGCAGCGAGATCAGAGTCAGGGACAATATGGCTTGGCAAAAAGTGCAAGTTGCCTCCTTCAACAATCTTCTCGTTTATGTTGAGGCAAAAACAAGACCTCGTCGACGTGAAAGCGAAACTGGTGAAGGCCACAGATGAAGTTGATGTTAGGCTCGAATGGGAAGATTTGGACCAGGACCATCGCATTGCTAAAGGTTTTGCGAACGTCAATACCTGGTCACGTTCAGCCCGGCGAAAACGGAAGCGTGACGAAGAGGCCGAACCAATGCCGGAAGCAAAGGCGAAGGACGAAGTGGATGCAAATTTTGGATTCACCATTGAGTTGAGGGGATACACAGTCAAGATACGATGGACGCAAGGCTTTGATAAGCTGGTCTACGAAAGCTTCTGTGGGTGGGTAAAACGGGCTTTGGATACCTAAACTCCAGAATCAGATCTGGAAGAAGCAGGTCATCTCCCGGAGATCTCGTCAAAATGCGGTTTGCAGCTTCAAACCATTCCCAATGACCTTGCGCGGTCCAAGGTACTCCTTAGCCATCTTCTTCCAAGCCTCAGTGCTGATTTGCATATGCTCTCCTGGAACCTCCAAAAAGGTCAACCCACCCCGCTCGTCCAAAGCCTTCAACCCAATCCAGTCCTCTTGATAAATAGGCCTGTCTCGTAATAATGTCACGTCATCGCTTGTCACGTTCTTCTCTGCGAACCAGGATGTCTCCTTTGGGACAACTGTCTGCTCATCCTTGAACCTGAGCATGACAAAGTTCTCCAACGTGGCCAAGTTCTTGGCATAAGTCGCGTTCTTCTCTCCGCGTTCGTTGTTAACATCTGCCAAGAAAGCCGAATACTCCAAATAATTCTCCATGTCCTCCGGGTCTCTGTAGTATTGCGCCTGGACGATTCTGTCTCGAACGTATGAGCCCCACACGTTCGAGCGGGCGATATTGCGAGCCGACTTGCAGACCCAGTCGGTATCCTTGCAGGCAGGCATATCCGCGATACCATTGTGCTGTGAACCCCAAGTGATCAGGTTCCGTACCGGCGGATCATCACAACGCTCGACATATGCCCTCAAGAACTGACCACCCTGAGAAAACCCAACTGCATCGAACCCGCCAGCGAGCTCGGGGTTATCGCGCAGTTGCTCGCACACGGCTTCAACTTGTTGATCCACGCAGCCAAAAAAAGTTGCAGACCGGTCTGAGCTTGGATCAGTAGAGAGGTAGATTGTGTGGATGTAGATTTCGGGGTAAATGTCACGGATCTCGTTGGAGAGTTGGAGGAGGCCGTCGCCGCGATAGTTGTCGCCCATGCCTATACACATACTTAATAAGAATAAAGTAGATGGAACGCGAAATGAACTTACCGTGCCAGATTACTACCGGCAAAGGCTTCTGCCCGGAGTCCTCGCGGGAAGGCAAGGAAGCTGCCAAGCAGGCAACAGTCCAGCTCACGACGGCCAGCGTGATCGCCAAGTGGTAGAACATCGATGTTCCGGTAACAGCAATGGGCAAGATGTTGTGCGAGAACTGTCGAAATAAGGTTGATACGGTGTGGGTAATTGTGCATGCGTGTGAGACATTGCAACGTAGACATCCGAATTTACAAACTCGGGAATTCAAACACCAACACGTCAAGAGCTGTGAAAGTTCGATCAACAGTGCCGTCCGTCTCAGCCAGCCTCGAAAACGCCAGGACGTCGAATCGATTTGATGTCCAACTCCGCGGCCGCAACACCCAGAACACCGGCCTCTCCCGGTCCAGACAGCGAGCCAGTCGCAATTACCCTACAATTAGCTCAGCCATACTTATCCTCGGCTCAAATTGTACGGTTATGCGCTCGTCAGCGAAGGGAGGAGCTCCCGGAAGTGAAGGAGCAACACATCAGATTGCTCGCAGCACAATGGATAAACGCAGTAGGCGCCGCTCTGCAATTGTACGTATATCTGCCACGGCCGCTTTGCGAGCGTTATTGACGAGGATACATAGTCCAATACGCACAATTGGCACAGCCCTAATGCTTTTCCAACGCTTCCACCTCTTCAACCCCATGGCAGACTACCTCTACACCGACACCGCCGCCGCATGCCTCTTCGTCGCCTGCAAAATGGAAGACACGAACAAAAAGCTAAGAGATATCTTGATTGCGGACTACAATTTGAAGCATCCGGATGGTCCGGAGATCAATCCGGAGAGTAGTTCCTTGGAAGAGCATCGGAGACGGATCATTGGGTTAGAGAGGAGGGTGTTGCAGACTGCGGGTTTTGATTTTAGGGGAAGGCATCCGCAGAATTCCCTCATCAAGTTTGCGAGGTACTACAGAGGTAGAGTGATCTCAACGCGGTCGTGATTATGTGCTGACAAGGTACTCAGTTCACAAGGACGTCGCATCAAAAGCATGGGACATCTGCGTTGACGCATACCGAACATTCGCGCCGTTTAAACACACTCCTCAAACTCTCGCACTTGCTGCGCTGCTCTTAGCTGGCAAGCTGGCCACCGCAGCCGACGGTGCCCCCCTCGAGTTCGACCAGATTCCTTTTGAGCGCTTCCACACTACACACGCAAACGTCGCAGACTGCGTTCACGACTTCCTGGAGCTATACATCCACCACCGACAAATGACACGAATCGGACAGGATATACCCCTCGAGAGATTCATGGAACTGCAAATCGAGCTAAACAGGGCTGGGCATGTCATGCAAGATGTGAAAGTACCCGTCCTGGAAACCGACGGAAGAGCAGAAAACGGACTGGACAAGAGCGGAAGGCACGAGGTAATTCGCTACATCCTCGACCCAGAACGGCAACGAAGAGAAAGGCACGCCATGGAGGACTTGGTGATGGAGGGGTGATCAGCCTTGATGCATATGTAGTAACTAGCACACAGGATATCTAATGCATAATTTGGTATCTCATTCACATCCACAATATCGTACTCTGCACTCCTCCATCTTAAATAACACCAGCCTCCTTCAACTTGGCAACGACCTCGTCCACGCTACCGACCTTTGCTCCACCCTGGCGTGTTGGTGGCTCCTGGACCTTCAACAACTCGAACGACTTCTTGTACTCCACGTTGAGATCCGATGGCTTGAGCTTCTGCATTGGCTTCTTCTTTGCCTTCATGATGTTGGGAAGGGTAGCGAAACGGGGCTCGTTTAATCTGTGAACCGAGGTTAGCATACGTCATAATACGAGACTTGATGACCTTACCTCAAATCAGTGGTGATAATGATAGGAAGCTGAGCTTTGACAGTCTCCGTGCCACCATCCACCTCCCTCGTCACAAGAATCTCATCACCCTCCACCTTAACCTCCGCCGCACAAGTAGCCTGACTCCAGCCCAACAAACCCGCCAACATCTGTCCGGTCTGCTGTGAATCATCATCGATAGCCTGCTTTCCGAGGATGACAACATTGCTTCCCTCCTTCTCCACAAGCGCCTTCAAAATCTTAGCGACGGCGAGGGGTTCTGGTGCCTCACTCTCGGGAACCTCGATGTGTGCGGAGCGGTCAGCGCCCATGGCCATTGCGGTACGGAGACAGTCCTGTGCCTTTACAGGCCCGATGGAGGCGGCGAGGATATCCTCAACACGATCCTTGTGCTTCTCGCGGAGACGGATAGCCTCCTCGACGGCAATTTCGTCGAAGGGGTTTAGTGACTGCTTCATGCCGGCGATGTCGACGGCGGTCTGTGTCTTGTTGACGCGGGGCTTCAAGGCATAGTCGAGGACGCGCTTGACGGGGGTGAGAATCCTGAGCTTTTGGGACATTGTGGACGGTGGGTATATGCTCTTGTGCTCTTGAATGCTCTCCAAGTAATCTCCCTTTCGGACCCCGCTCAACGTTCACCTGCATCCTGATGACTCCGGTGATATTCCAACCCAGACGGGAAGGGATCAGAAAAGAAAGTCATTCTCCAAATGGGTTAACAAGACAGATCTTAGGATCACAATTCGACTGAAGAGAACTCGCTTATCAGATCCTCGCACGCAATCGGCGCTGCCGCCGTCCTCTCAAGCCACGCGAAGTTCAACGCCCTCGACAAGAAACTCCAAGATTCACCTCCATCCACTCTCGGTCAGAGAAGCAATATTCATGTCTTTCACCCTCCGCCGCTCCCTCGCCTTCGTCGCACGCAACTCTAGATCCTTCTCCAGTCTGGCTGCCGTTTCTGCTCCTCGTACCCTCGCCATCCCGTCCGTGCGACCGGCTTTGCAGCAGCAGCAGGCCCTGACGGAGATGGCGCAGGTCATTGCGAACGCGGCCAGGTCTTACAGTGTTGGTGTTAACAGGGAGGTCGATGACAATGGTGCTGTAGTTTGGGATTACGATCAGGTCAGTTGAAACCGTGAGAGATCCTTGTGATCCCCAGCTGACGTTCGACAAACAGGTCAAGAAGTTGACAAAGGGCATTGACCGCGGCAACATCCTCCTCGTCGATGTCCGCGAGGTCGACGAGGTCCAGCAAGGAAACATCCCCACCTCCATCAATCTGTCCGTCAAGAGCCTCCAGGAAGCCCTCTCCCTCTCCGAGTTGCAGTTCCAGGACAAGTACGGCTTCGAGAAGCCACCAAAGGAGCAGGAGATCGTTTTCTACTGCAGATCAGGAAAGAGAAGTACAGCAGCGACTGCTATTGCCAAGGCGGCTGGATACAAGAACTTGGGCAACTACACCGGATCATGGTTGGACTGGGCATCCAAGTCGCAGGGTAGTAACTAAATGTAGCATGTAGAACGAGCTGGCTCTTCTAAGGAAAATCAAAACATTTCATCCGTTCTAAAAAGAAGGAGGCTCAGCTGCTACCTGTGAGATTACATGTGCTGCGGGTTATGACGTAGGGCCGCGGGAGCTCTCGAGTCGAGCACCCATGGAAAGCTCTGAGGTGCATCACTGAACAGAGATATCCTATAAAGCGCGATCCATTGCGACGACTATCTACTCAAGTACAACTACAAAATGCCTGGAGACAACACTGAACGCAAGGATACTGAGGAGAAGCTCGAGACGAAGATCGGGGCGGACGGGGATGATGGGGCTCTTACCGCTGTCGGCGCTTTCGGCGAAATCGATATTCCTCGACGAACACACTCGACGCCTGGAGTTCCTGAATCGGACAGAGTTCTTGAGGGGATTTACGTCGGTTTAGCGTTCGACAACGAGCAGGATGGGCTGATGAAGTGGGGGATCCACGTCACTGATCCATACGGCTTGGTCACCCAAGGCGAGGAAGAGATCGATCTCAAGCAGTTCGAAGACGGAGAACGTGTTCGCAAAGCCGTTGGAGCGTTATTGGAGTTGAGTACCAAGTGGTCCGAGACGCGCGGTTACAAGATCCTGGGAATTTGCCTTGGTTTGCCGAAGGATAAGTATGAGGAGTTTTCGACGCGGGGAGAGAATAACCCGGCTATGATAGCTGCTTCTGAATACTGGTTTTCGGACTTGGATGCGACGCCGTATGTTATCAAGCTTGATTCTTTTGAGGATCTCGTTGATGGAGCGGGAGAGGCGAATCGTGCTTGTGTCAACTATTTCACGCCGTCTGTGCCGGGGAATATTCCCAAGGTCGGCGTTGACGAGAAGCATAATGAGGTTGAGATTGATGCTGCTGGCAAGTGCCATCTCTTGAATCTTCGCCATTATAAGGAGATCACGCACCCCGATTACTGGAAAGCTTTGTGTGTGTCCTCCGATAAAGTCAAGGAGCGCAAGCTCAGGATCGCTTTCTTCTCCGCCACGCCTCAAGGTGGAGGTGTCGCCTTGATGAGACACGCTGCTATCCGTCTCCTCAAGCTCCTTGGCGTCGACGCACATTGGTACGTCCCCAAGCCTCGCCCCGCCGTCTTCGACATCACCAAACGCAAGTTCCACAACGTCCTCCAGGGTGTTGTCCCCGACAACGAGAAGAGTCGTCTCACCGACAAAGACAAGAAAGTTTGGCTTGACTGGAACAAGGACAATTTTGAGGTCTTGTGGAACGAGGACGATGGCCCCGTCGCACAGTCCGACTTGATCATCATCGATGATCCTCAACTTTGTGGTACCATTCCCATGATGAAAAAGAAGAACCCGAAGGCGAGGATCATCTACCGCAGTCATATCGAGATCAACAACGAGTTGGTCGAGAAGGATGGTTCTCATGCTCAGGAGTGCTGGAACTTCCTTTATCAGTTCATCCAGGAGGCTGATTTGTTCATTTCCCACCCTGTCGCTGGGTTCATCCCACCGAACGTGAGCAAGGACTCCGTTCTTCTCATTCCGGCCTCTACTGATCCCCTCGATGGTTTGAACAAGCCTTTGAGCGCGAGAATGAACGGATACTACCAGACGGTCTTCAACCGTATCTGTGTCGACCAAGGCTCCCCTCGTCTCGGCGAGGGCCGTCCCTACTTCATCCAAGTCGCCCGCTTCGACCCTAGCAAGGGTATCCCAGACTGTATCGACGCCTACAAGCAGTTCCGCGAGAACCTGAAGGAAGCCAACTTTGGCGCCGGCAAACACTCCCCCGAAATCCAGAAAATGACGCCTCAACTTGTGATTTGTGGTCACTCCTCCATCGATGACCCCGATGGTTCGATCGTATTCCAACAAGCCGTGCAACAACTCGAGAAGAAGAAGTACAGAGATGTCGCACCGGATATTTGCGTGGTTAGGTTGAGCTCGAGTGATCAGTTGTTGAATGCGTTGATGAGGGATTCGTTGGCTGCGTTGCAGCTTTCGCATCGTGAGGGATTTGAGATTAAGGTTACGGAGGCTTTGGCAAAGGGCAAGCCGGTCATTTGCTATAAGTCTGGTGGTCTGCCACTCCAGATCGATGATCATAAGACTGGGTTCGTGATTGAGAGGGGCGATGTGGCTTCCGTTGCCAAGGCCATGACGGCTTTGGTCATCAAGGACAGTTACCTGAAGGGCTTCGAGGAGACCATCCTGAACGACCACTATGATCTCTTCAGACAGGAATTCTATACGCCAACGGCAATCACGCACTACCTCTACCTTGCCGACAAGCTCTGCTGGAAAGACGAGGAGACCTTTTCTAAGAGCGGAAAAGGCAAGCGTTCTCTCGAGAAGGACGAGGGCGTTGTCTTGGGTGATGGCTCGACCCTGAAGATGGGCGCGCGTCATTGTAAGGAGTTCTGGGCTGAGGAGTATGGGTTGAAGTTTGAGGAGAAGGGCGAGAAGGCTGCGCCGACAAATTCTTCGAGGATTGCGGAGGCGGATGTGAGGACTGCGGATGCGAATAAGGGTTTGTGTGAGGATAAGGACGGAGGTGAGAAGAAGAAGGAAGCTTTGTTTTAGGCAAGACGGGTCAGATACCTAGGTAGTTATAGCCTATCGTTCTCGAGGATTGGAAGAGTATAATAAGACTGTAAGCTTTTACGTTGCTGACTCCTCACGGTCTTCTGCGGTGAGCGCGCGGACGAGCGTGAAGTTCAGGGTGCAGTTGCTGCAAACGACGTCACCGCGATCGATACGTATCAGAACGTTAGGAGGGCAAGGCAGGACAAGTGGGTTTTTTGGGGAGGTATGGTGTTCACGCTGGCGTGATTCGGGTTGTTTTACAGGTGGTTGAGATGAGCACTTGTATTCGGGGATGGAATACCATCAGAAGCCGGGACGTATGCACGTGCACCAGATGGCCCGGGGGCTGTCAGGACGACGGGACGGGACGGCGGAGGCGTTAAGTTGTTCTAGGGTCACGGCAGAAGAAGCTTACACAAGAGAAGGCGGGTTGGATGGGACGGTAACCGGGTTAGACTTTTCCTTCCTCATGGTGGTGAGTCTCGATCAGTCTGGGTTAACGTCCGCGCCGAAGCTAGCTACTGCTGTGTGCAGACGGAGAAGGCGGGTTGGATGGACGGTAATACCGGTGTGCGCGTCTAACCGAGAGATGAGTTGAGTTGAAAGGAGGAGCCAAGAAAAGTAGAGATGACATTTCGAGCTTTCCTCGAATGAATGCTCTCCGTTACCTTCACTGCTTCCTCCTCGAGGAGTGTGACAGCACGCACGGTTAACTGTACGCACGGCACAGGCCGAGACTAGCGGGGGTTGGACTGCCCGCATTCAGCATCACCTACTTCATCGATCTGCACGCGGCCAGCGTAGGCTCCTGCCATCGCCCGACCTCTTCTCGTATTACTATAGCTGTAGGGTAGCTGTCTTCGAAATACGGATTTACTACCACCCTCGGTCCCTCTTCCATTCTATCGCACATCCAGACTGTCAAACCCGTCAGGGTGTCTCGACCGCGATTATATCACAAGTCCTGCTGTCTTTGCAATCGGCACAAACAGTCAACACCTCCCCGGCCCGCGACTCCTTTTCCCTGATCAGCTCCCTGAGCCGCCCCCGTATATTTAAACGAGGTTTACGCGTTTTGCTCGGTGAACTGCAGCAGCTGCTCCCATCGCTCCAGCTCATCCCTACCGTCCTTCGACTTCAGCCATTGCCCGGTTTTCGGTACCGGTAATCAGTCACTGTCGTTAACCCCACAATGACATACGACGGCTCCCTGCCCTTTGGGCAGTTTCCCGGTGGCAAGGTCATCCCAACCCACTGGAGTGCTGCTCAGATTGTCTATACGATTTTCATGGGTACATTGTTGCTCGCTGCTATTTTGGAGTGGTTCCTCTTTCTGGCTGCATTCATGTACTGTTTCGTCAAGGTCTACCAGAAGGCTGAGACGAGAGGTATCAAGATTATGGCCAGCATCAACATCATCGTTTTCTGTGCTTTGAGGTGGGTTGTATGCGCCCCTTTTGACGTCGACGCGTTGCTAATGTGTTTGCAGAGGTGTCTTCTTGCCGATCACGCTCGTTACGGTTCCTCTTGTTCCTCAGATTCAGCAATATATCCCAGAGCGATTCGTCTGGTTCTGCCAGTGGTTCGCTTTCTGGGCGTTCTCTGGTCTTCTCACCATTCCATGGCTTTTCTGCGTTTACCGTCTCGTCACCACCAATGTCGGCAAGCACCGTCGTATCAAGGAGGTCCTCGATGAGAACACTGCGCCCAAGGTCGTTGTTGTCATGCCTATCTACAACGAGATCCCGCACATCCTCATGCACGCTATTGACTCTGCTGTCGAGGGTGACTACCCCGCGTCTTGTGTGCACATCTTCTGTTCCTTCGATGGTGACGAGGAGAACGAGCTTTACCTCAAGACCCTCGAGTCTTTGGGCGTTCCCTTGAGTTTGGACACGTACCCTATTTCGCTCGATGTCACCTACCGTGGGGCGCGTATCACTGTCTCCCGCTTCCCTCACGGAGGAAAGAGGCATTGTCAGAAGAAGAGTTTCAAGCTTATTGACCGCATTTACGTCGACTACCTCAAGACCAACGACAACTTGTTTATCTTGTTCATCGACTCCGACATTATCCTCGACAAGGTCTGTATCCAGAACTTCATGTACGATATGGAGTTGAAGCCTGGATCTACGAAGGATATGCTTGCCATGACTGGTGTAATTACGTGTACTGCCGACAAGCAATCTCTCATTACGGTTCTTCAGGATGTTGAGTACATTCATGGTCAGCTCTTCGAGCGTTCCGTCGAGTCTGCCTGTGGTGCTGTTACCTGTCTTCCCGGTGCTCTCACTATGCTTCGTTTCTCCGCTTTCCGCAAGATGGCCAAGTACTACTTTGCCGACCAAGCCGAGCACTGTGACGATTTGTTCGATTTTGGAAAGTGTCACTTGGGTGAGGATCGTTGGTTGACCCACTTGTTCATGATTGGTGCCAAAAGACGCTACCAGCTCCAGATGTGTTCCGGTGCTTTCTGCAAAACTGAGGCCGTCTTGACCTTCGAGTCATTGTTGAAGCAGAGGCGTAGGTGGTTCATTGGATATATCACCAACGAGGCTTGTATGCTTACGGATATCCGTTTGTGGAGGAGGTACCCCATTTTGTGTTTGGTGCGTCTCATGCAGAACACCATTCGTACTACCGCTCTTTTGTTCTTCATCTTGGTCTTGTCCGTCATTACGACCAACCAGACCATTGGACAGATTCCCGTTGGTTTCATCGCCTTCTCCTTGGGTCTTAACTGGGCGCTCATGATCTACTTTGGATTGAAATTGAGGAGATTTAAGGCGTGGCTGTACCCGCTTCAGTTCGTCATCTCGCCCGCCTTCAACTGGATTTACATGGTTTACGGTATCTTCACCGCTGGTCAGCGTACTTGGGGTGGACCTCGTGCCGATGCTGCGAAGGCCGATCCTCAGACTACTCCTGCGGAGGCTATTGCACAGGCTGAGGCTACTGGTGATGAATTGAACGTTGTTCCTGAGACTTTCAGGCGTAACACGATTGCTCCTCTTCCTACTCAGCCTGATGACCGTGTTGATGGTATGTTCACGGAGGGTCTGGAGGAGGGCCGTGAGGGCGTCTACGCCGAGAGCGAGTGGAACAACTCTATGGACTCGCTTCCCCACAACAACCAGATCCATGCGGCTCCGGGTGCACGTCGTATGACGCTCCACCCTAACCCCTCGTTCGACTCTATTGCCAGTGGTGATGAGTCCTCGGTTAATCTTCCCCGAAGGGTCGAGTCTATCATGGACGGGAATGAGAGTGACTCATACTCGTTCGAGTTCAAGCACGGACGTACTGAAAGCTCTGGAAGCGAGGGCTCTTTCCGTACTGACGAGCAGTTGGTGCAGCCTGAGCCTGCGTTGACTTCTGGTCAGGACAGGTCATATGCTCGGGGCAAGTCTGCACCAGTTCGCAAGTCTAGGTTGGGAGGCAACGTCGTAAGTGGCGGTGACGAGTTCGTCAGTGACGGCGAGGAAGGCGGAGAAAATATCACGTTGGTGGATCTTGACACTCCGGAAAGGCGTGGGAGGTCTCCCGGTGGAAGGCCCGAGTAGAGGGCAGAAGGACGATTTGCATGGCCATAAAACTTTACTACAAGCACGCACACTACGCAGATATTTTGTTCTTTATCTCTCGTTACTTTTCAGAATCTAATTTTTGTCAAATATCTCACAACCAGTCGGCATCCATCTACCCCTGTGGCTTCACGCGCCGGAGAAGCGGACGCATCACTGGGAATCTCCCGGCCCCAAAAATCCGGACGTCGATTCCAAACCTCCAACCCACACGCATATATCCACGATGTTCACTCTCCGTTCTGTCTCTGCCGCTGGCAAGCGCGCCTTCTCCACCTCCTCCGTCGCCGCCTCCAAGGTTGCCGTCCTCGGTGCCGCCGGTGGTATCGGTCAGCCCCTCTCCCTCCTTCTCCGCTTGAACGAGAAGGTCTCCAACCTTGCGCTCTACGATATCCGTGGCGCTCCCGGAGTTGCTGCGTACGTTACAACTATTCAATGGCACTGTGCCGCTCAATTGCAGTTTGCTAACGGGTTCCGATCTACAGCGATGTCAACCACTGCGACATGAACGGTGAGGTTGCCGGCTTCCTCCCCGAGAACAACGGCCTCAAGGAGACCCTTACCGGTGCCGAGATCGTCGTTATCCCCGCTGGTGTTCCCCGCAAGCCCGGAATGACTCGTGATGACCTCTTCAACACCAACGCTTCCATCGTCCGCGATTTGGCCAAGGCCTGTGCTGAGTTCTGCCCCAAGGCTAAGATCTTGATCATTGCCAACCCCGTCAACTCCACCGTCCCCATCGTTGCCGAGGTCTTCAAGAAGGCTGGTGTCTACGACCCCAAGAAGCTTTTCGGTGTCACCACCCTCGACGTTGTCCGTGCCAACCGCTTCGTCTCCCAGATCCAAGGTTCCGACGCTACCAAGGAGAAGATCACCGTTGTCGGTGGTCACTCCGGTGTCACCATCGTTCCCCTCCTTTCCAAGACCGGCTACGGTATCTCTGGTGAGGCCCGTGACAAGCTCGTCAACCGTATCCAGTTCGGTGGTGACGAGGTCGTCAAGGCCAAGGACGGTGCTGGCTCCGCCACCCTCTCCATGGCCCACGCCGGTGCCAAGATGACCGACGCTTTGTTGAGGGCTGCTGCTGGTGAGCAGGGTGTCGTCGAGCCTACCTTCGTTCAGTCTCCTCTCTTCGCTGATAAGGGATGCGAGTTCTTCTCTTCCAACGTTGAGCTTGGCCCTGAGGGTGTTAAGAAGATCCACGAGTTGGGTCAGATCGACGAGTACGAGCAGAAGCTCATCGATGCCTGCTTGGCTGACTTGCAGAAGAACATCGCCAAGGGTAAGAAGTTCGTTGCTGAGAACTAAGTTTGAGGCGCGAGTGGAGTGTGGGATTATAAAAGATAGTGTGTTTACGGTCGTTTGTGGTGTTTTTGGATTCTTTTTGCTCCCATGATAGCTTAAAATATATCCTCAGTGTACGATACGAACACTCCCTGTACATCATAATGCTCATTGACGACGCAGCTGCAGCGCTATGGCCGGCTAGCTGCTCAGCCTTGACCCCAACAGCGTGACTGATAACATACCGACGGTCGGGTAGGAGAGACTCAAACAGCTCCTCTCCCTCTGAAACCTTCCTCTGCGGTTGGTTGCGAGTGACCAATTAGCGGGCCTGCGAAAAAGTGCTGCCACATCCCGCTGCTGATCATCTAGGCAACGTGTATGCCAAGGGGAATATTGTACACTTCCTCCAACATCGATCGATATGCAAACTCGCGACGGTATTTTTCCGCGAAACGTGCTCGTGCTTGGCAGATACGCTGTCGTACCCCGCTCAACTGATTATGTTCATATTTGACTTGGGGCTCCGCATCTCGTGCACAGGACACGCGTGCGATGATCCAGAGCGCCCGCTTCGTACGCGTTATCGCAACAGCCCATGTTCATTGCCGTCGCTTACCCAATTGACGTTCATGTACCACGTCTCGTAACCGCGAACAGAGACACCTGGGCAATCTCCAGCTCGCCGTGATTGGTATTCCTGAGGTGCAGCTGTGACTCGGATGCGTTAACTTCCGATTGGGGTACCGGTAGTAGTAGTATTGTAAGCCGAGTATTCGTGCGCATTTATCCTGAAAAGAGTTGTAGCAATTACGGCTGTGGCTTCCCTTTCCATCAAGATCCGTCATGATGAGTAGCTATTCAAGACAGCAATCTATAACTCGCTGACATTATCGTAACATGACTCCGGACCGAGCGCGGAATGTCCTGCTTCCAAGCACCTGGCATTTTCTTCGCTTCTTCGTCGAAACGGACCGTAAGAAAAGCGACACAACAACACCCTCGGCATCGCCCAGCCGCCGGAAATCCCACCGACATAATCCACCGACGGCGTCTGCCTTGTCAAGAACTACTTGGCCCTCAGCCCGTACCGTGGTAACCGCTCTCCTCTGTGTCATCTTACCGCCTGACGATTGCAGCTGACCAGACGCTTACGCCGTCGCATACATACCCGCCACGCGAAACACCAAACCTTATCGAAAACCTACGATAAATAGGTCGGCACATCCTGTCTCAAATTTCTTCTCGAGCAACCAACCACCTTTTCAGGGTTTCGAAATCTCCGTTGACCCAGCTGAGGCCAAGGTTTCGAGGCAGCTCCATAGGTACATACGCGTACGGGCTTCTGGTGTTAGCGCAAACCCAACGGCCGCAGACTGCGCAGTCTACGACGGATCTAGTGTCACCAACCTTCTTCACCGCCAAACGAGACAGAGTCCAGACAGTTCAGTCCAGCCCTTCGTCCGCGTCGCTACCCGTCCAAAGACATCGCCAGCTTAACCTTGCCCTGCAGCGAGCAGATCGGTCGCCCCGTCGCAGTGTCAACGGTTCCAACGCAACCCCCACCCCCCCGCTCGAAGCCAGTAGCCACGACGGACGGGAGAGCGCACGTCGCAAGTCCCGAGTTATCCCATCAGGTATCTCGATCCCCGGTGGCGAACTGGTCATGGCCTGACAAGAGCATTTGCTAATCCTTATGCGGCCCCTCGTAGTGTCTTCCCTCGCATAGAACAGTCGACATCGACCAGCGCCGATTACCGATCGAGGGGGAAAACGTGCGCACGACCGACTGCTTAGTCTTGTGTGACCCATTTACCTGACACACGCCGCCCTTGCCTGTACAGCCGCTCTGACACGAGAGACATACGCCGTTGCGACTGCTCCCTGTCCGACCTAACGACAACCTTGCTGTGATCTGTTTGCGAAGAGGAAGAGGTGTGTATGCTTGCTCGGCGCGTCTTTTTGCGCTGCTTCTCGTGGCGGTAATCAGCGAGGAAATCGATCGAGGCTCAAGCGCGACTCGACGTGCTGATGTGCTCGATGTTACATCGCATACAGCCGCTGACATTGCGCGTAGCTGTCATAGAAAGTCTTTCGCAACCTCTCGAGCCTTCAAATCGGGCCTTCAACTGGCTCTACGGTTGTTGCGACAACGCATATATATCAGTCGAACACCGTCGCTATGCCTTCATCAGGTTCGTTTACGCTCAAGGACACCTTATCCGACTGATCACTAACATTCACGGCACAGTCTATCCACCCTCTCCTCAACATCCACCTCAGTCTGGGTACTACCAGCAACCACCCCCGCCGCAATTGGGATACGGTCAGAATCCCTACCCTCCTCCGTCTTACTCCCACGCACCTCCGCAGCAGCAGCACCAGCCAATGCCCGCGTCGCAACCTGCGCCAGAGCTTGACGCGTTACCCATAGTGCTCGGCTTCAGTCCCCACTATGGTCCTCCCGGATCGCACTGCCAGGTCTTCCTATCGGCATTCTCCTCAAACTCCGTCTTCAACATCGTATTCGGAAATCACAGATGCGAAACTACGTTCGAAAGTCGCGGTCCGAAGGGTAACACCCTGATCTGCACGGTCCCACACCAGGACCAAACAGGATGGTCGGCAAGCCGTGTACCTGTCAAGCTCGAAGCATACAGCGACGGAGGATTGATGGGAGAGACGCACGTGGGAGAATGGATGTACTGGTCGCACGCCGGCCAGAATCATTCTCCTGGTCCGAACCCCAGCCACAATCAAGGAATGAATGCACCTCCTCCTCCCATGTCCCAGGGCGGATACGTCCCGCAGCCCTCGAATAGCCATGTGAGGAAGCGGTCCTCACCAGATGATCACGACAGTCATCACAGTCCTCACAAGCGGCCGATAAGTACGCCCGCATACAACATGCAAGGCCCTCCAGGATACCACCAACCACCTGCTCCTTACCCGGACGCCAGGCCTGTCAGCGGCAATCCCGGTGGTAACCCTGCTTCGTACACGTATGGATCATTTGATCAGCCGCAGGGGCAATACGGCGGTGCCTATGGGCAGGATACCGCGCCACGGAACCCCAATCCCTACCAGAGTGGACCACCGCCTCCTGCTTCTGCTCCTGCCCCTGGACCTCCGCCATTTGCCGGAAATGAGCTCGCTGCACCTCCTTCAAATTCCGGTGCTGCGTGGAGCAGCTCGTCGCCGGTTCCGCCTAACGGCATGAATTACTACCCGCAGGCAGCGTATTCTCAGGCGCCTATGCACCCCCTTCAACGTCCCCCACCCCCTCCTATGCCTCAGTTCTCGAATGGATTGAACCCTGGTATGGATCCCTTTGGAGGTCAAGGAGGCGGTGAGGACGAGCCTGCGCCCGTTCTGTTCCGTACCTCAACCCTTTCATCGAAAGGCCAGATGCCTTTGTCGGCGAGCACCGCGAGTGCTTTGCCCCCGCCTCCCGCGCCTGGGGCGAACAGCAACAACCCTACTGACCCCAATGCGCCCGGATGGGTTTACCAAGGCAACAAGGCTACGCTCAAGATCATCGGTGAACTTGATGATATGGGATCCAACTGGTTACCGGAGGAATGGGCTACCCGTAGACGACTGGTCCAGTTTTGGCGTCAGCAGAAGGGCAACACGATTAACTGTACGTTCAGGCCTGTTCTTCCAGCGAACCGTGTACCGAACAGTATCTGTGTGAGCTGTATCTGGTGGGAGGAGAAGCAGGATTGCTTCGTGACCAGTGTTGACTGTATCTACCTCCTTGAGGCTTTAGTTGGAGTGCGTTTCACGGTGGAGGAGAAGAACCGTATTAGACGTAACCTGGAAGGATTCAGGCCCTTGACTGTCTCCAAGACCAAGCCGGAGAGCGAGGAGTTCTTCAAGCTTATCATGGGCTTTCCTAACCCGAAGCCGAGAAACATTGAGAAGGATGTCAAGGTCTTCCCTTGGAGAATACTCGGTGGTGCTTTGAAGAAGATTATTGGGAAATATGTAAGTCATTTATTCCCGTTATCAAAATGTGATCATGCTGATGCTGATGCTGATGAACAGACTATCCAATCGGCGAGCTACGAGGGGCAGGAAGGGGTTACACCGGCGCCCCAACAGGCCACCCCTCCTGCTGCCTACAACAACTCTCAGCACGGACCTCCTGCCCCGCCACAGCAGCAGCCTTTCGATGGACAACCCCAGTATCAACCAGGTCCATCACCGAACATGCAGCAGCAGCACGGTTCTGCTCCGCAATCTAGCCAGGCTGGTGACAATGACAGCGCACACAGCGTACACAGTGGGCATAAGTCTAGCAGTACTTCGCGTCCGCAGTCGCAGGCTCATTACTCGCCTCAGCAGGCGAGGCAGCCGCCACCGAAGCTTCAACTGGAGATGCCTCCGCCTAGCAATAACGCTCCGCCGGCGGTACAGCCTTCTGCTTCTACCCTTCCCCATCCACAGCCGAGTGGACAAGGTAACCAGTTGCCCGTTCCTGGAGGAAATATGTCCACGCTCCCGTCGCCAAACACTTACAGGCTGCCATTCCCTGCGCCTATTGGCGCCCCTGGTGCTGCGCGTGGTAGCTTTGACTTCTCTGAGTTTTTTTCACAGAGTCCGGCGACTGCGAATCCGCATGGGCAAGGTTTGGGAATGTCAGGAATGCCTCCGCCGACGAGTGCCTCGGAGAATGATGGTACGAGTAACGTAAGGGATGATGGTCCGGCAAAGCAGGAGGGATGAGAGACTGGCGTTAATGTATGTGTATGCTGAGGTGTAAGACGATACACAGGAGTGTATACTTGTTTTGGTTTTGCTATTGATTCATACTTCGGCGGTGAGGCGGACCGGATGGCTAAGACACGGAGGTCATCGGATAACACATGGACTAAGATTCTACTTCGTTGGTTTGGCTCTGGTTTTATCTGTTATGCTTCCATTTTTCGTATTACTATTTTTAATGAACGTATGTTTTTATCGTGAGATGTGTTTCGGATCTTATTTGGCCGAGTCAAGACAAGAGTCTGTTTCACACGGCTGCGACGGATTCGGAGGTACGAATTTCGCGACGCAAATCAGACAGTTCAGCTCAAGACAAGACCGTAACCACGAAGGTAGCTTCTGCAAGAAAAGAAACCTTCAATATTAAACGAGAGACAGATGAAGGGTATCGTCATGATCCCGGGCCGTTCTCAGGGATTCATGGTATCTAGCAAAACATCAAAACTCGCTCCAAGATGCAAAATATACTCCCACCCATATTATAGCCCAACACCTCACTTCCTATATTAATATTTCCTCAGTAGTCAACATCACGGTTTCTCCAGGTCTCCTTGCCAGACGCCGGGGGATAGAGCCCAACCTGCGCTGCACTCGCAACAGACCTCATCTTCCTCTTCATGTTGTTCGACATTGGGAATTCCTGTTCCTGGCCTGCCAAATGACCCGAGACGTGGAAGAGCTTGGGACGGTATTCTTCGATGTGATCCATGACAGACGAGTTCCTGAACTTCTCGACGAGACAGTCCTTCCCTTGGATGTTTGCGTAAGTGATCTCGCAGCGCTTCTCGGAGTGAAAGCGGTTCCACTTGGTTCCCAGGCGATGTTCCGCAAAGTGAAGGATGTGCATGGGGTCGGTGAAGTTGACGAACGCATAGCCAACGTTGCATCTGTTCTGAAAGTCCATACGAAGGTACAAGAAGTCGTACGCGCCTTTGAAGGAGAAAGAGTCGTTGATATACTCTTGCAACATAGTGGAGGTATACTGTAAGTGCGTCAGTGATGAATCTTGATCTCCTCAACTGGCCATTACCTTGTTCGGAACGTTCTTGATCATAATCGTCGTGCGCATATCCGCTCCGTTCGCAATCCTGTCGAGATTGACCTTGTTCTTCTCATGAAACGGTTGACCAAAGCCTGAATCAATGCCAGGCGACATAAGTGGACTCGGCATTGGGACATCGTCATAGCTCTGACCGTACCCAATCGCGGCGCCGTCATAAGTAACAGAGCGAGCCATATCCGCAGCACGAAGAGAGCCGCGGAAACGTGTGGTTGTCGGTGAGATACCCTCATCATCCAGATAATGACGGCTCTGCGGAGACCCATGAACGAAGAAGTCTGTGGCCTCAAAACGCTCGCTCAACGGCGTACCGATACCAGAACCGATGCTACGCTCACGCTCACGCTCACGACGCCAGCGTCCGGGAATGAGCGCGGGACTGGATGGTTCGAACGATGAAGCATAGGGCGAAAGAGGAACACGACGCTCAGGCCCGATACTGCGAGGCGACAAAGGCTCCACCTCCATCATAAGCTTGCTGCGAACGCGGTTGAGTCTGCGAGGCTGAGACGGAAGAGTACCAGTCGAACCGCGGCGGACCTCAAGGTAATCAGCAGAAGGATGGAGAGGAGAGAGCGGTGAACGAGGTTGACGCTGCTCACACCAACTCTCGAAACCGCTGAGGTGGGGATGACTCCCACGACGAGGCTGGGGCTCGAATATCTTGCCTTCGTCCTGCGTGCGGCGTAAGACATTCGAAACGGCTCTCCAACTGCTGACATCGTCGCCTTCATGGTAAACAACACTGAGGAAGAAGCCCTGTATGACAGAATTAGTCCTGTATCAACCAGATGAACTCAAACATACCTCAACGACGCGATCGTGCAACGCCTTCAATGCTTCCTCTGCATCCCTACAATCAAAATACTCACAAATAAAAACTTGCCCACGGCCCGCTCCAGCAGACCTGAACGATCGTAGATCACCATAGTTGGACAAGATGTCCTGCAACAACTTCACAGGGATCTCCTTGTCGTCGTGATGGAAGGCCGAGATGGTGATTTCACCTTCGTTCTCGGAGATGAGAGGCATTTCTGAGTCTTGGTGGGTGAGAGCGACAACAGCGGCCCTGGAGCAGAACCTCGCGTCGAGACGACGATCGTTGAAGTAGCGTTGGTGACGGAGCCTCTTCAAGGTACTGATAGCGTCCCTCAAGTCGTGGAAGGCAGCGATGATAGTACCATCAACACGCAAGTCTTTCACGACGATACCCTGAAGTGAACCAAGCGACTGTAAGACCGAATTAGTAGCTGAACTCATTCCATTCTTCCCGGTCTCACCTCAAACATCTCTTTCAACGCCCACAACTCCGCCGTCTTCGGCAAATTCCCAACTTGCAAATACCTACTCGGCGTAGCCCCCCACTTCCCTCCCAACCCACCTTCATACCCATTCGAGCTCAAACTAGGACTCATACTGACCGCATTAGAGCCCCCAGCCTCCACAGTACGATACGCAAACAAATCCGTCGAGTTATGCGCAGTGTGCAAAAGACCATGGTCAGAGATCGACGCCTGCTCGAGCGTGGTGGCCAAGTAATGACGAGCCATCGCGGCACGGGGGGAGGTGGTTTGATGACGGCGGTCAACGTCATCGGTGTAGATACTCGCGATATTGGCTGGACGCTGGAGACGACGAGTCGAGTTTGAGCTTGGGCTGGAGGGGGAGATAGGGGATGTCGAGAGGAGTTGTTCGTCGAGACCGTGGGTACGACCAGAAGGAGAAGTATACCCGATACGAGTCCACTCAACGCCAGGCGTGTTCGGAGACGAAGAACGTTCGATATTCTCACCCTCCTCATTCCAGACCTGAAAGTCGCCGAGACCGGATCCGGTGTTGCTCTCCTTCGTGGCAGGCAAGTCGTATCGGCCAAAGAAGGTTTGCTGGGCGTCTCAGGGGTAGAAGGTTGAGAGAGGGGCGTACGGTTGAATGGCTCGCGTGTCTTGTGCGGAGGAGAGGGAAAGAAGGTTTGTTGAGTAAATATACCCGGAGTGACCGGGAGTTCGTCAAAGATATTCATCGTGAAGACGTTGAACAAGAAGAAGGGGTGTTAAGGACGTCAAGGAGTCGATAGGTGTATGTACAAAACAGAAAATAGTTCGAGAGATGGTGGTGGAGAGAGCGCAGAACCAATGGCGGAGACGGTGACGAGACGTAAGAGTCCACAGACCAAAAGGTTGAGGAAGATGGAGGAAGAGGAAGCACGACAAGCTTTATAGAAAGGAGGAAGCCACCGACGATAGAGTTGACCCCTTTCACTATCGGTATTCGAGACCGGAAGAAGTGATCCGTCCGAGTCAGGAGGTGTAGTTAAAGGGACGCTCCAGTCGTTTGTCACTCTCCCGACGTTGGAACATGAGGAATGATCGATGGTACACCATCCAATCGAACTTCTATGGATAGAACAGGGTTTCGGTTGAGTGGGCTAAGTTGCGTCTGCTGACTTTGAAGTTCATTCAACTGGATATACCCCCATGGGAAAAGGGTGTTCCGGGCGAGGCTCGTGGGTTAACGTCTGCGATAAATAGTCACCACGCACGACTCGTATCTCGATTGTATCGGCCGATAATATCTCGATTGAAAGGCATGGCGAGAACGCGTTTCCCATGCTGGTTATATCTGACGGGCCCGGTATCGATAACGAGCAGCTGGGGTCCGTGCACCATGACCTTCCAATGCATATGACAACGAGAAAGAGAAAGAGAAAACGGGTCGGTAATGCTTGCTAGAAGGGGATCTCACTCACTTCATCAACACTCACGTGAGGTGATCATTCACATCTTCAGTCACCCCGCTTCATCATCCAGGCACGTGCATCGAGCCTCGGAATATCCAGGTAGGAGGCAACTACCTCCACACTCCCCCTCCATCCCAACGTCATCTACCCAAAAGGCTCCAGCCAGCAATGTTGGCCCTTCGCTCAGCCGGCCTCCGTGCCTCCATTCACTGCTTCCGCCTCACTGCCTCCTCCCGCCTCCTCAGCACCCTCGCAATCCTCGAACACCGTCAAGGAAAATGGAACGCAAACTCCCTCTCAGCACTCACCGCCGCAACCCAGCTCGGCTCTGGTGTGACCGCATTCATCGCCGGTTCCGACGCCGCCAAGATGGGTGCCGAGGCTGCCAAGTTCAAGGGTGTCGAGAAGGTTTTGACGGTGGAGAATGAAGAATACGATAAGGGATTGCCAGAGAACTTTGCGCCGCTGGTGGTGGAGAATGTCAAGGAGGGTGGCTTTACACATGTTATTGCTGCGCATACTGCGTTTGGGAAGAACACTATGCCACGAGTGGCGGCGTTGTTGGATGTTGGGCAGGTGTCTGATATTGTGGGCGTTGAGAGCGAGGACACTTTCCGCAGACCAATCTACGCAGGTTTGTGATACTCTGATCGCTGTTTTCGTACACGGGCTAACGCAGAGCTTCACAGGAAACGCGATTGCTACCATCAAGTCTCTCGACTCTTTCAAGGTCATCACCGTCCGTCCCTCCGCCTTCGACCCCGCTGGCCCACCAGCAGAATCCAACGCAGCCCCCATCGAATCCGGCAAAGACCCCAAAACAACCTCCCAAACCGCCTGGGTTTCCGAACAAATCTCCACCTCCGCCCGTCCCGACCTCGGTTCCGCAGCACGCGTCGTCTCCGGCGGTCGCGGTCTAAAAGACAAAGAGAACTTTGACAAAGTCATCACCCCTCTCGCTGATGCCCTCGGTGCCGCTATCGGTGCGTCCCGTGCTGCTGTCGATGCTGGGTATGCAGACAACGCGTTGCAGGTTGGACAGACTGGAAAAATCGTCGCGCCGGAGTTGTATGTCGCTGTCGGAATCTCAGGAGCGATTCAACATCTGGCGGGTATGAAGGATAGTAAGACGATTGTTGCGATCAACAAGGATGCGGATGCGCCTATTTTCCAGGTTGCTGATATTGGGTTGGTTGGGGATTTGTTTACTACTGTGCCGGAGTTGACGGAGAAGATTAAGCAGTGAAGGATGCGAGAGGAGAGAGGAGAGGATGATGATATGATAATACAATTGGAAGCTTGAAGCATTTGAGAGCTCCCGCGATATTTCAAGATCGCTGCCCATCTACTGTCCGAATATAGCAATTTCGATGCAGGACGCCTGGCGGTGAAACATGACGCGCAGCAAGGGTTGCGGTAGCAGCCACGTCGCTCACCGGGATCAATCGAGCTCGAAGAGCAACTGACCATCGTCCTCGACGAGTTACGAACGGATCGATCATCATCGCCTTGAACATCGAGCACCATGTCCGGTCCTCCTCCGCAAGCACAGGCTCCTCAGCCGCCGACGCCAGAAGCGTTGGCCGTCCACGACTTTTTGCGACACAAGAAGGAATTGAAGAATCGTACTGGTATCCTCAATGGGAAGAGACATGAGTATTTCAAGGGTATTTCTTCATTAAGCTTCTTCCTTGTGTTATGGAAGACTGATGATTTGCAGGAAAACACGCTTTCGCACTCCTCCAATCCCCCGCATACCAAAAAGCACAAAAGAAGAAGGGTTCGAACCTCCCCGAAATCAACAACCGTGATCAAGCTGCCGAGGCACTGAGATTGCTGCCTCTCCACCTGATCGCACTCCGTGTCGACAAATTCGCGGACCCGCACGCGGGCCACGGCCACGGCGCCGCAGAGAAGAAAAAGAAGCGGAAGAAGGGTGACTCAAGAACCCTCTCCATCATCCGCGAACAAGAAATCTCCGAGGACCACCATTACGCCTGGATCCGCGAAGGCCCACAAACCATGGCGATCCTCGGCTCAGTCCTCCTCGTCCTCGTCATCCTCGCCGGTGTCATGTTCCCACTATGGCCACCCACGATGAGGTTGGGCGTGTGGTATCTGTCTATGGCGATGTTGGGCGTGATTGGGTTGTTTATCGTGTTGGCGATTGTGAGGTTGGTGTTGTTTGTTGTTACGATGGTTGTTGCGAGTCCTGGGTTGTGGTTGTTTCCGAATTTGTTTGAAGATGTTGGGTTTTTTGAGTCGTTTGTGCCGGTTTGGGGATGGGAGAAGGTATGTCTACAGAGTCCTACGTTGGTTGGGTTGTACTAACTCTGCAATATAGCCAAAGAAGGTCATGGGAAAGAAGAAGGCCGCTGTTACTCCTGGTGAGCAGAAGGCTGCAGTCACAGAGTCAAAGTCCATGTCGGCAAATGCTGCTCCAGTGAACACGGCTGCCAAGAAGAACATGCAGCCGAGGTTTGAGGAGGTTGAAGAGTAGTTTATCCGTGAGCCTCCATCGGCAAAGGAAGCAGCGGAGAAACTGGGGTGCTGTCAAAGGTCTTACCAAATTGCATTTCTTACCTGTCAAGGGTCCATCTCGGTCGTCCACACGTGTGCCGTACGTTCCATTCATCTCCATGTTTCTAGCCGTCGTATCGAAAGCGCATCGACGATTGAGTGCTCATGACTGTCCCCGGTGGACCGCTACCCGGTCTCGACCTTTGTAGATGCTTCATTGGATCCCAAAGCTTTGTTTCTAGCTTTCATTCTTTCATATGGTAAATTATCGGAGCCGTGCTCCGCGTGGGCATCCTTTGTGCGGGTGGCCAGCCCTGCCCAACGTCTCGATGCGCGCGCAGCGACTGCTGCAAAGGCCGACGGAGCGCGATGAGAGATTCTTGGCATGGGATCTGACCGGTAAACGGCCGATCCGGAAGCTCCACGGTGTTCGATTGACGCGGTCGGTTACTCGGCCTCGAAGCTTAATCCCCTGTTCGTATCTCTGCGGTGCGACTTCCTTTTCCAGTGCGGCGGTGGAGGGCAACGGTCGTCTTAAGCTTGCAGGAGTCTCGGCCTGTTTCGTGCGCGCAGTTTCCGGCGATCGGATTCACAGCGACAAAGCCCAAGGCAAGTACGCCGCTGCGCTCGCACAAGCTCGAAGCCTGGTAATTCACAGACATTAAAGCCACTTGCTCCATACTTCCTCGTCCATCTTCCAGCTGTAATATATATCCATCGCCGGGCCGCCAGCATCACCGGCCTTCCAACTCTGCAACTTCTACGCTCGGACCCCTCTCGCAGCTCGTCGGGCGCTTACTTCCAGAGTACATACGGCAAGCTTACGAAGTCTGTGCGCGTTTTCCCCGGAAAAGGCACAGTGTAACGGCTAGGACGTGCCATACACAGCAAGCAACCTCAAAAGCGTGAACAGCTGGATCAACCAACAGCTGGAAGCGTACCCTTGCAGAACAGTACACGTGCGCCATCTCCTTCGATCTCTACTCTCCTCGTCGAATAAGCTCAACCCACGCGTCAAGTACCTTCTCGAGTCTCGCACGACAACCACAAACAACCCTTGCCACTCGCTGACAGACTTTCTCACCATCTTCGCTGGAGCTTTCTACGGCTCTTCAGCTGCTTGATCAGCTCAGCTCAACAAATATCGGTCTGACCCAGCTGCGGTATAAGCAAGCGATCTGCGGTCATGGACGCCGACGCACCACGGAACAACCGTCTGTCGATGCTTTCGATAACCTCGAACGACAACAACCACAACAGATACTCTACATCTTCGAACTCTTCGAATGATGGATCACAAGCTGGTCGGCGACCATCATCGAGATTCTCCTTTGGCGGTTCGAAGACGAGTTCGAATAAGCGAGGATCAGTCGCTTCGCACCGCAAGTCGCTACTCAACTTTATGTCAAAGATCGGTAGCAGCAGACGAGGCAGCAAGGCGGTCGGCATGGACGAACAACACAACAGCAGAGCAAGTATGCGACAGAACTCTGTCTTCGGTCTCGGTCCGAATGTCGCAGTGCAGCTAGCCAGTCCGACCGAGGCGACATTCTACCCAGAACGACCTTCGCTAGGCAACTTGGCCACGATTAACTCGGACGCGGAGAGCCTGGCGTCACGAGGCAGGAAATCGGCCATGGGAGAAGCAGCAACTCAGCGCACCTTCGCACCATCGCCGTCAAGATCACTTTCACTACCGGCGCACTCGCCCCTCCTTTCAACCAACTCGCGCATGTCCAGCCCGATTCCAACAGCATGGAACAGAAAGATGCCAATAATGGTCGCCAAAGAACGTGCGATTCTCTACACCGAACTGCCAACACTCCTTGCAGGCCAGTCAACAAAGAGCTTCCTCTCTATCGGTGCCCAGAGGAAGCCTTCTGGATGGGGCAGGAGATTATATATCTTGACTCCGGGAACGCTGTTGAGATACCAACCAGCGCTCGAAGAGGAGGATGAAGAGAACCGTACCCCGGACCAGGTGTTGGGCATTACGGAGTCTACCATCTGCCACGTCTCAGACGCCATTCAAGGATCGAAATGGACACTAAAGGTCGCACCAGGAGGAGGTGCGGAGCCTTGGTACTTGGTTATGGAGAATACAGATGATTTGATGAAGTGGATGAACGCAGTCAGGGAGCAGATCCGGGTCGCAAAGGAGGGCGACAAGGACAGTGTTCGCAGCGCAACACTCGCTGCGCTCGAAGGCGGAGCTACTCAGCACAAGGATAGTGGGATTACTGTGAGCACGCCGGGCACAGAGGAGGAGGTTACGGCACTGCAGGCTCCATCAAAGGCATCGAAGAAGACTCGGACGGCGGGTGGTGATGGTGATGGCATGCACAACGTCCGTATCGCGCTGGATGCCTTCCAGATCAGCAAGCCTGAAGTCGACGGGGTGGACACCATCACGAGCAGCCAGCTCCCGTTCTCTGTGCACCCAGATGAGCAACCGGCTGGTGCATGGTCCGCGATGGCGAGCCCGACTGATACCACCTTCGGCCCAAACTCGGGCTTCGACTTTCAGTTGAACGCTATGGGGGCGGTGGACTCGGTTCTTGCTGCCCCTTTGCCCCTGCCTACGCACGGGTTCTTCGCAGCGGCTGAAGTTAGAAGACTTAGCACTCCTGATACGAGGAGATTGAGTGTCATCTCGACTGGAACTGCCGTCTCCAGTGCGAGCTCGGTCAAGAGCGCGAACACCGGAACATTTGGGAACTACACAACAAAGGGCGACGGCAACACGAGCACTCCGCCTACGCACCGCGGTCTTAGGCACAAGACAAGCATGCAGGCCCTGCCCGAGCAGAAGCCTATGCCAACGGCGACGACACTGCCAGCACTCCCTGCAGTGCCTTTGAGCCTGAACCCCAGCGTCGCTGGCTCAAATAAGCGTAAATCAAAGAACGCAAGCCGCGCGCCGTCTTCGGCATCGACGAGCCGCGTTCCCCTCCCACGCCAACATTCCAACGAAGGACGACGCGAGAGACCAGTTTCCTGGGTTTCCGTGACGAGCGACTCATCCGGTACCGGTTCCGGTCGCCGTCCAAGTTCGTGGTTTGTGAACAACAATGGAATGACGCCGTTGCCGCCTGGTGTGCAGCTTGACAGAAGAGGGAGTATATTGGGTGCGCCGACGCCGCCGCCGGTTGGGCCGTTACCGCCTCCCCCTCCAAGTAAGATGAGAACTGTTGAGAGCAGAGAAGAGTAGAGAATGATAGTATACACAAGATATATACGATGAAGATGTGGGAAGGGTAGGGTATTGGTAATTCTGGCATTAGTAAGGACACTGGACATGGCGCGATTTTCTTACATATAGGGTATACTTCTTAGTATCAGCTGATCAGTGAATAATAAGAGAAAGAGAGGATACGATTGAACTACTAGTTGTTTCGTTCCAATATTAGGCTTAGACCGTGTGCTTTTCGTTCGCCTTCATGGTTCTTATAACGCCATGTCGTCCTGAAAACCACGCAGGATTGCCATTATACTGTACCAGTCGGATAAGTTGAGAGAACGATACAGGATGGGGCTTCGTTCGAGGAAAGACGTGTTTCTTGCGCTTGAGATGTTTGACATCCTCCGACCTCATCTAGGGAGAAGTCCAAAGTAATTGGAAATAATGGATGTTAAAGTCCTAATTGTTTCTCTGCCAGATACGGCCATACCATGATGAAAGCACAGGATCCCGTCCGATCTCCTAAGTTAAGCATCATAGGGCCCAGTCAGTACTAGCGTGGGAGACCAGCTGGGAATACTCGGGTGCTGTATCTTTTTCTCGTGCTTAATATTGCTTCTGGTCAAGTCGTCAGGATGTGGTGAACAATAGTTCCATGAGTCGTAATCAAATGACAAGAATCGAAGAACGATGCAAAAGCGCATCACAACTGTACAGACTCACTCGGTGACCCACAGAACCACCGCGAGCCTGTTCTACTAGGCTTTGGAGAATATCGACATCCATCATATTTGCGAGTCTAGCAGTGGCCACCACGAAACTTATTACATACCAATACGGCTGTGGCCGTTTGCTTGAACACGTTCACCTCCCGGGTAGCGCCGCAAGCGAAAGAAAGCCTTCTCAAATTGGCGTATACTCGATTTTGACCAAGTACGGATATGTACAAGAGAGAGCCCGACAAGTGCGCACAGGAAAGATCGCCCTACGTTGCAACATACGTATAGGGCAACGGAAGAGGCTGTGACTGTCGTCTGAGATTATCATAAAATCCTGTACCGGGTGCTTTCCCACGGTTCACGGGAGCGCGCCGGGGCTAGTGTACGCCATGCAAATTTGCGAAAAGTGCTGAAACCAGCGACCGACAAGCCTCCTTTACGAATGGCGAGGATGGAAGGATGGGGCCAGCCTAAGAACACGATTCGCATAGAGACGTATTTTGTTTTTATGTATTTTTGCGAACTCATCCCCATCCATCCATTCGGGGATGTAGCTCATCTGGTAGAGCGCTCGCTTAGCATGCGAGAGGTACTGGGTTCGACTCCCAGCTTCTCCACACCTTTTTGTTGTGTTTTATGGGGTTTACTCTCCTTTTCTGCTTCATTTCTCTGGCATCAGATGCCCGAATCCATGCGCATCACTTGCAACTCGCAGTACATCGCCATGATTCTCTACGCCGTCGTGAGATTAACATCTCCGTACCGTTGCGCTTGGAATTCCATTGGCCTCGACGTTCGTGACGATATCGTTGCTGTGCCCGAGCAACCGCTCTCAACGTGTTTGAAAGGCGTTGCAAGCGTGACGAACTGGCGCCAGCTCATAGGGCCTAGAGAGCCGTTCTAGCTTGTCCGGGTTTTCTTCGCGTTTGCGATAAGTTGTCTAGGATCAGAAGATGTCCTTAAGGTCAGGATGATCCGCGCAGCTCAACCATATTCGCACGCTTCGCTCCTTCTTCGAGCACTCTCCAGCTAAAGTGAGTGAGTGTTGACATTATCGGAACGCTCAAGTCGAGTTACACTTGTCGACTGAAAACCTGCTTGTTTGAGTACCGGGGATGCCGCACTGCCTAATGACCGTTCGAGGTGGTCCCTCTCCGTCATCCACACGCCATGTTGCCGCCTGTCATGGGTTTTACAGTCCATCCCTAAGCATCATGACCACCACCCTCGGTCCACCAGCCTCCGTTACCCTTGATCACCATCCTCACCACCCACGTCCACCTATCGCCACGCCTCACCACCCACGAACATGTTGATCGATATCCTGGCCGATACCCTCGCACTCATCGACGGGCGTCGGCTGAGAGAACCTGGACCCAAGGTTAACCGCATCATGGCAAGTTCCTGTTTCTGTTCAGAAAGCTACACCGGGTGAAGCAGCTCTAACGAGAGTACGCATTCCAGGAAAATGTACTTGTAAACGGGATCCAAATGGTAACATTAACGATGAACCCATCATCACAAGCAAAGTAGAACGTAACGTAAAAAAACAACACCAATCCGAATAACCCAAATACCCAATCACAGAAAACAAAAATCCAATCCGAACCCTAGCTTACACACGCTCCTCATGAGCCAACAACCCCGTCTTCTCCTCATACGCCGGTACACCCTCCTCATCACTCTCCACATCAACCTCCTTATACACAGGCAACTGCTCCCCCTTCTCATCTCCGTCAACACGCTCATAATCCGCCTCCCTCCTGGCAGATCCCGTAACCCTCCTCACAATCATAGCAACGATATTCGCAGCGACAACCAATCCCATAATCGAAGCCGACAAAGACAACACGCCGATAACGAAGAAAGTAATGGCGCGGCAGACGCCTTTGTGGGGGAGGTGAGGGCGGTGGTGATGCTCTTTGTGATGTTTCTTCGGACGATCGTGGTGGCCCGGGCCAGGACGGCGGTGGTCGTCCTTGTGGTCGTGGTGCGGAGGGGGAGGAGGGAAGTCGCCCTCGACAGGCCCAGCACCAGCACCAACAGCGGCAACGACACCCATCTCCTTCTTCCCACCCTTAAACTTCTTCGGACAAGGACCCTTTTCACCCTTATGTCCAGGCCTAACCTTATGCACCTCCTTCATCCGCTCATACCCATCCTCAACATACCCCTTCACGCCCTCCCACATCCCCGCAATCTTACAAAAGTAATCATGCTTATCGCACTTCTTTTTCTCCACTTTCTTGTGTCCAGGAATGTTGATCGAGACCCCGAAGTTATCTTGGGACATGACGACTTTACCGTCTGTTTCGATGACTTGGACGCCGATGTTGACGTCGCGGGCGCCGCGGGGGAGGTATTTGATGGCGATTGCGACGTCGGCAAGGACGTGGATCTGGGGGAATACCAAGAGTGCGTCACGATCCATTTTGCTGACTTCGTCCATCTCGTGTCCTGGAGGGACATACGCCACCACAGCCGCGATCCTCTGCGTCTCCGAAGGCCTGTGCAAAGAAATCGGCTCCCCGTTCAAGAAGATAACGTTATCCATCGTCGGATCAACATGAAATCCGAAAACGAGTTGTGTAATCTTTTCTTCGACAACGCTACCGCCGTCGGACTCGATATCGTCTTTTCTCGTGACGGTGACGATCATGTTTTCCTGCCCGGCAGAGGTGAAACGGTCGTCCAACTCCACCAAGGTCTTGTGCACTTCTTTCAGAGGATGCGGGTTTGGTACTGCAACAACCAGAGATGCTGTAGCCGCCAATGCGGCGAATATGGTGGAGAACCTCATGGTTGTATGCTGTTGTATGCTGTTGTTACGGGGATCCGATACCTTATATCAGGATTTCTTTGATCGCTTGGCGGTGAGTTCTTGGCACGGGGCTGCATGCATCTTGGCGCCAACCTGCAGAGAAGTTCCGCCGTTGCCGAGACCGCGGCGACACCTCAGAAGAACGTAAGAAAATATGTCAATTCAATACCCCTAATACCGTACGCCGTGTAATAATATGCTAAGAGAATGGATAAGGTATACTCCGGAACCTAACATACACCCCTCCTCACCGCCGTCCTCTTCCCGTGCTCACCAATCAAGAGGATGCTTGGCCGCGGCAGCATCACCGTTCTTCTTCTGGTTGTCAGGCCTGATGATCTTCTTGGTGTTCAAACCCGTCTTGCGGTCATGTCCAATCTTCTCATCAACCTTGTCAAAGTAAGGAGCCGAATCATCTGCCTTCATGATCCACTTCTTCGTACCCAAAACCTCGTCCATCTCCATCACAGGAGGCAACTTCATCCACAACATGCCATCATCGCGAGACTCGATCTCGAAAGTAGCAATAGACATGGAAGAGTCATTGGAGCAGGATCCACCCTTGTCCTCATGACAAGAGATATCGTAATTACGCTTGTGCATAGGACAAGATACGAAGATGTCGCCTTCGGGGGTGTCACCGAGGATACCGTCTTGCAAGACGAACGCACGCTTGTGAGGACACATAGACTGCGAAGCATAGAATCCCTTTCCGGGGACAGAGAAGACAGCGAGTTGAGTGTCACCACGCTTAACAGCGACACCAGCACCAGTCCTGACAGCCAAGACCTCATCCGTCTTGAGGATAGGCTCCCAGTCCAGCTTAGACCACTTGTGTTCGCGGAAAGGATACGTAACAGACATATCCTTCGTCCAATTCGTCGGACGCGTCTGTCCACGATCCGTGATCTTCTCCATGTTCTCAACTTTCTCATCCGTGTTCGCAAACTGCTTGAAGTGCTTGCGGCGCTCGGGGTCATTGACAACCTCCGTCCACTCACAGAAGAAAGTACCAACGAGCTCCTCCATTTGCTTCTCGAGGTCCTCACAGATGCCAAGCTTGTCGTCGAGGATGACTTCACGCAGGTATTTGATCCCACCCGGCAACCCCTCAAGCCAACGAGCCGTACGCTGCAACCTGTCCGCAGTCCTCATGTAGAACATCAAATACCTATCCAACAACTGCACGATCTCATCGGGTGGCACATCAGCCTTCAACAACTCCGAATGCTTAGGCTTCGCTCCACCATTACCCGCAACATAAAGGTTGAATCCCTTCTCCGTGGCAATGAGTCCGAAATCCTTGTTTTGAGCTTCAGCGCATTCACGAACACAGCCAGAGACACCACCCTTGATTTTGTGCGGTGCACGGATGGATTTGTAGCGTTCCTCGAGACGCACGGCCATTCCAACGGAATCTGCGATACCGTAACGGCACCAGGTGGTTCCCACGCAGGATTTGACAGTACGGAGGGACTTTCCGTATCCGTGTCCGGTCTCGAAACCAGCCTTGACCAACTCTTCCCAGATATCGGGAAGGTCCTGTTTCTTGGCACCGAACATGTCGATACGTTGTCCACCGGTAATCTTGGTGTAGAGATCGTACTTTTCGGCTACTTGACCCATCGCGACGAGCTTTGCGGGTGTGATTTCTCCGGCAGAGACACGGGGAATGATGGAATACGTTCCGTTACGCTGGATGTTACCGAGGTACTTGTCGTTCGTCTCTTGCAACCCCGCAACAGGCGCATCACAAACCAACGGGTTGAAAACCGTCGAGAAGATGGACGCAATAACAGGCTTACAAACCTCACACCCAAGCGCATCAGGCTTGTTACCGTACTTCTCCATCACGTCACCGAACGTCTTCAACTGCTTCACACGGACAATGTTGAACAAGTCCGCGCGGGAGTATGGAAAGTGAGGACACACGTGGTTAGAAACCTCGTTACCCATCTTCTTCATCTCAGCATTGAAGATGTTCTGGACGAGGGGCATACAACCACCGCATCCAGTACCAGCCTTGGTGCAAGACTTGACCTTTCCGATGGAGTCACATTCGCCAGAACGGACGGATTCGGCGACCATGCCCTTTGTCACATTGTGACATGAACAGATTTGTGCATCGTCGGGGAGATCCTCGCCATCCTCCTCGCCACCCTTGTTCGCGCCGACAATGAGCTCGTGAGGACCAATCTCCAAAGGCTTACCAGCCTTGACGAGAGAGACGACTTTGATGTAGTCACTCGTATCACCGATCATCATACCACCCAACAAGTATTTTCCGTCATCGGTGAAGATGTACTTCTTGTACACGGATGAGAAAGGATCCTTATACGTCAATGATTTCACGCCAGGCTTCTTTTCCTTTCCGGCACCGGCGCGTTTGGGGACGTTCTTGGGACCGTCGCGGTCAGCAAAGAAGTCACCGAAGGAAGCGACGTCGACACCCATCAACTTCAACTTTGTCGAAAGATCCGGAGTCTTGAACTTCCTCGGCGCATGAAGCTTAGCCTGCGTCAAGTTGAACGCAAGCACATCGGCCATCTCAATTCCGGGTGCGATAAGACCGTAGGTAGCGTTTTCGAACGAAGCACACTCACCAATAGCGTAAACATCCTTCGCACTCGTCTCCAGCGCATCATTGATGAGGATACCTCCACGATCATGACACTTAATCCCGGCAGAATGAGCCAGCTCATCCCGTGCCTTAATCCCAATAGCAAAACAAATCATCTGGCAATCCATCCTCTCGCCATCCTCAAAGACAACGGCGGTCATGACGTTGTTCTCGTCTTTCTCGATGGCGCCTACGCGTTTAGAGAGCATAACGTCCACGCCCATGTCGCGGACTTTCTCGACGACCATATTGCCTCCGTCCATGTCAAGTTGGCGGGAGAGGACCCAGCGGTTGCGTTCGATGATGGCGACACGGGGGAAGGAGTCCAAGTCCTGGACGGCGTGGGCTGCTTCGAGACCCAAGAGACCTCCACCGACGACTGCGGCACGCTTGTCGATGCCTTCCGGTAGCGAGACCTTGGCGGAGTAGTCGATCAACTTTTCCAGATCCTCGATGGTACGGTACACGAAGACACCCTTCGCATCATGTCCAGGCGTGTGACGCGGCAGTAATGCGTCTGATCCCGTAGCCAACACCAATATATCGTAGGCACACTCTTCCCCATTCTGCGTAAACACCTTCTTCCTCGCCGTGTCAATCGACGTAATCTTGGTGTTGATCCTATACGCCAAAGCACCCTCCTCATGTGACGCATACCATTCTTCCGGCTGGAGATACATAGAGGGGATACTCCTATGGGCAAAGAAGGACGTGAGCCCAACGCGGTTGTATGCGACATGGTTTTCCTCGCCGAAGACGCAGATTTCGTATTCGTTGCGTTTTGCGTCCGATTTGAGGAGTTTTTCGATAAAGGCAACGCCGACCATGCCGAGGCCTACAACGACGACCTTCTTACGTGCGGAGACGCTGCCGATCTCGGTGGTCTCAGCGTGGAGCCCTGGAGCCATTGTGATCCGTTGTGCTTCTGATCTTTGTGGAATCGATTGTCGAGCTGCCCTTTCAAGAGGTTATATACGTGTACTTGCGAATGATATCCTACAAAAGTGGGCCATTCCAAGATTTATGAGAGCTATCACAAGAAACCTCGCATGACCCCATGGGAGATAGTTATCTCCCCCTCTCCATTACCCCTAATCAGGCGAGGCTCCATTGGCTGGTGAGGTCTCGATAACTATCTCGATGACTATCTCCCATGGGGTCCTGCAACGGAGCGGTACGGACATTGAGGGACGTTGCTTATCGAGCGCGCGTTGATCAATGTACGTAACTTCGGAGAATTCGAGCGATAAGCTCTCGACGATGTTGTGCTGCGATAAGCGTGAATCACGTGAGGCGATCCCCATCTTGCATCGTGCAGAGGCGAAGTCCCACGCAAATCCTTAGACGAGAGCTTATCTCCAGCACTCCAGAGAACAGTAGAGGCTTGCGGAGTGCGGCTCAAGGTGTAGGAAAGGTGGGTTAGAGATTAGATAACGTGGTCGTTGCTCCGTTGGAGTTGGTCATCTTGAATCCATTTGCTATAAGATGCCACTCTCCCATCCCCCTCGAGGAAGATCATCACCATGTCTCAACCAACTTTCTTCCAGAAACTCTACAGGGCGCCAGAGGTCGACCCCATCACAGGCAAAGCCCTCTCCATTCCCGTCCTCAACCCCCTCAACAAATACGGCCGAACATTCCACTTCGCCTGGCTTGGTTTCTTCGTCGCTTTCTTGTCTTGGTTCGCGTTTGCGCCGTTGGTTCATGATTCGCTCAAGGCGGATCTGAATCTCACTACCGCCGATGTCGCAAACTCCAATATCGCCGCTCTCGCCTCCACCCTCCTCGTTCGTGTCATCGTCGGTCCGTTGACGGATCGCTTTGGACCTCGTTGGACAATGGCCGGGTGTCTCCTCGCCGGAGCCATCCCCACCGCTTTCGCGCCTCTCGTCACCAACGCAAACGGTCTCATCGTCCTCCGTTTCTTCATCGGTATCCTCGGCGGAACTTTCGTCCCCTGTCAAGTCTGGACAACCGCCTTTTTCGACAAATCCGTCGTTGGACGCGCGAACGCTCTCGCCGCTGGATGGGGTAACGCTGGTGGAGGTGTCACGTTCTTCGTCATGCCCGCCGTTGTCAACGGATTCGTTAGCATGGGATACTCCCACCACATGGCCTGGCGTATCGCGTTCCCTGCGTGTCCGCTCATCATCATCGTCTGTACCGCCGCCATGATCTTGGTTTTCGGAAAGGACACACCGAATGGGAAGTGGGCGGACCGCGCGATTCGTCAAGAGAATATGAGACAGATTTATGAGAACGAGGGCAAGGTGACCGATGTCCCTCTTGCAAACTTCAACGACTACGCTGGTCCTACGTCCGGGACCGCTACCCCGCGCGTCATGGACGAGAAGAAGATCCACGATCCCGCTCAGACTTCCGCCGTCATCGAGGAAGCGGACTCATCCATCATCGAACCCCCTACAGCCCAGACTGCCTGGCAAGCTGCGTACTCGTTGCAAACTATGCTCGTCGCCCTCCCCTACATCTGTACCTTCGGCGCCGAACTCGCAATCGAGGGTGTCATCTCCGCACTCTACCAAACCCAAGCCAAGCGTATCGATGGTCAAATCTGGTCTCAACAGCTCGCTGGTAACTGGGCTGCCATGTTTGGTTTGCTCAATATCATCACGCGTCCTTTGGGTGGGTATTTCGCTGATTTGATTTATGCTCGTACGAACGTTGCCTACAAGAAGTGGTGGTTGATGTTCTTGGGTGTCATGGAGGGTATCTTCTTTGTCTGGATTGGGTTCTGCCCGAACTTGCCTGTTCACCACCTCATCGGAGCCTTGGTTGGTCTTGCGATCTTCATGGAGGCTGGTAACGGTGCGAATTTTGCCCTTGTGCCGCACCTGAACCCGAAGCACAATGGTGTTGTTACCGGTATTGTGGGTTCGTTCGGTAACCTTGGAGGTGTCATCTTCAACCTCGTGTTCAGGTACGAGGGTACGAACTACTTCAAGTCGCTTTACATTATTGGCTTCGTTATCGTTGCTATTCACGTTCTTGTCTGTTGGGTGCCTGTGCCCGGAAAGCACGGACGTCCGTAGATGAATACGTTCGAGGGATAAGGTTAGGATAGTTTTTCTTGGTTTCGCTTCGTTTCGTTTGTCGCTTCGTGTTTACCGCTGGTTCGAGTATCCCTTTAACAATTGGACGAAAAGATATGGAGTACGCCCTTGATGTTTTGGCAAGGATTCGTTTAGTTATTCAATATACCCTTTACTACTTAACTTCTCTTCTCCTCAACTTGATTTCAATGGCCATGAACTCTGTGCAATTCCTTCCACGCAAGGCCTCCGTTGTTATTCGTCCCACTCGACGACTGCCTCCGACCTCTCATGTTTGCGATTGCACCGCCCGTCCACACGAATTGCTAGGCAGACCCAGACCCACTTCCAAAGAGAAAGCCATTGATATGACAAAGGATCGCCGCGGAATTACTTCCATGTTCGAAGGTGTTCATATTCCCTATCAGCACTCCTTAGCGTCCGTCCTGAGTGTCGAGCGAGACCTGCATTCCCGCGCGTGAGATAGGCAACCGCCAAAATCTTCAATCCAACCCCCAGATAACAACAGCGTCCGAAATCCAGGCGTGTCCACCGCCAATTGATAAGGATGCATTCACGGTGCGTGTCAGTGATAGAGGTGACTTCGCCCCAGCAGTCGCCCCGCATCTGATCTGATCAGCCTCGCAAGTCATTGCAGGATAGCGGGTAGATAGGCACCAAGTAGTTCTGTTAGTTCTGATATATTGCCTGTCCAACAGCTCGTCCTCTCTCTCCATACACAGTAACATCGAGGAAAAAAGAAAGATGGCAGCAATTCTCTCAGCAGTAAAGGACGTTGTCCTCCCCCCATCACCACCATCCTCCGACAGCGCCGAACCTCAACTCCCAGACTACCTTCTCGCTCCTCCAACCGTCATTCCCACAGAGACTTTAGATATCGATAAATCTACTCCAGACTCGCATGTTCCTCGAGACCCTCGCTTGATTCGTCTCACGGGAACCCATCCCTTCAATGTCGAGGCTCCGTTGACGTCGCTGTACGATGCTGGGTTCTTGACGCCGCCGGAATTGTTTTATGTCCGTAACCATGGAGGTGTACCAAAGGATCTCGAGCCCGAAGGCTGGATGGTCTCGATCGAAGGGTATGTTCTCATAGTCAACTAATGTCAGCGAATATACTGAACAGAGTATAGTTTGGTTGAAAACCCCATCATGCTCCCCCTCGAACAAATCACCGAGCAACTCCCCCAAATTACAATGCCAATCACCCTCGTCTGCGCCGGTAACCGCCGCAAAGAACAAAACATGGTCCGCAAAGGCTCTGGCTTCAACTGGGGTGCCGCCGGCGTCTCCACCTCCCTCTTCACCGGCTGTCTCCTTTGGGAAGCCATCAAACTCGCTAAACCCAAGAAAGAGGCGAAGTACGTTTGCATGGAAGGAATCGATAATCTTCCTCAGGGACATTACGGGACGAGTGTCAAGTTGAGCTGGGTTAAAAATCCGAGTCGGTGTATCATGCTCGCACACAAGATGAACGGCGAGAAGTTGCGTGAGGATCACGGGAAGCCGATTCGTGTAGTTATTCCTGGTGTCATTGGAGGTCGCTCTGTCAAGTGGTTGAAGCGTATCGTCCTCACCGCCGAGCCCTCCGACAACTATTACCACATCTACGATAACCGTGTCCTCCCCACCATCGTCACCCCCGAAATGGCCAAGAACGACAAAAAGTGGTGGCAGGACGAACGGTACGCAATCTATGACCTCAACGTACAATCCGCGATTTGCTACCCCCAACACGACGAAATCCTCCCCGTCTCCGATCTCGATGCGCAGATTAACTCTGTGTACACCGTAAAAGGATACGCCTACAACGGTGGCGGCCGTCGAATCACCCGTGTCGAGGTTTCACTCGATAAAGGTCGTACGTGGCGCCTCTCCGAAATCCGCTACTTCGAAGACGAGTACCGCGAATTCAACGGCCAAGAACTCTACGGCGGCAGAATCACCCTCGACGACGACCGTTGCTGGTCATGGTGTTTCTGGGAATGCGACGTCTCCATCAACGAACTCGCTTCCATCGCGGACAGGGGCGAGATCTTGGTGAGAGCGATGGATGAGAGTATGAATGTGCAGCAGAGGGATATGTATTGGAGTGTGATGAGTATGATGAATAATTGTTGGTTTAGGGTTGCGGTGAGGAAGTGTGAGGGGGGGATTAGGTTTGAGCATCCGACGCAGCCGGCGCTGGCTCCGGGTGGCTGGATGGAGCGTGTGAAAAATGCGGGAGGGGACTTGCAGGATCCGAATTGGGGTGAGGTCGATGAGACGCTGTCTGACAAGCCAAAGCAGAGGATTCCGATTAAGAAGGAGGAGATCGTGATGATCAACCCCGAGGTGAAGCGGGAGATCACGATGGAGGAGGTCGAGGCGAATGAGAAGAATGCGTGGTTTGTCGTGCAAAACGAGGTTTATGATGGTACGGGATTCTTGAAGGAACATCCTGGTGGTGCGGAATCCATCATTTTGGCTTCGGGTGCCGATGCTACGGATGATTTTATGGCGATTCATTCGGAGAGTGCGAAGAAGATGCTAGTGGATTACCATATCGGAACACTGGTTTCCCGCGACGATGATGGATCACCCCAGAAGGTCGGGGAGCCGGCCCCCACCGCTGTGCCGAGGGCGCACTTCCTCCATCCTAAGCAGTGGTTGAAATCCAAACTCGTCTCACGCACGGAAGTATCCTCAGACTCCCGCGTTTTCACCTTCGAACTCGAACACCCCGAACAAACCCTCGGTCTCCCCATCGGCCAACACCTCTTCGTTCGTCTCGAGACGGCGTCGGGCGAGAAGGTGGTGCGTGCCTACACCCCGGTCTCCGACCCGAACATGAAGGGGAAGTTTGAGTTGTTGGTCAAGGTCTACATGGCTACCGACAATATGGAGGGAGGAAGGATGACTACACTGTTCGAGGACATGAAGATCGGGGATACGGTTGACTGCAAAGGTCCCCTTGGTTCATTCGAGTACCTTGGTAAGGGTCGTTTACGCTGGCGTGGAGTTGAGCGTCAGGTCAAGTCGTTCGCGATGTTGGCTGGTGGATCTGGTATCACTCCCATTTTCCAGGTTTTGCGTGCAGTCCTTGAGGATCGCTATGACGAAACGATTTGTCACGTCATCTACTCCAACAGGACCGAGGAAGACATTCTCTGCCGTGAAATCCTCGATCAGTGGGTGGAGGAGCATGGTGTCAAGAACCGTGTCAAGATCCACCATACCCTCTCCAAGCCTTCCGAGGACTGGAAACACGGACGTGGACGTATTGATATGGATATCATGAAGGAGCAGCTTTGTGAGGCAAACGAGAACGAGTGTGTGATGTTGCTTTGTGGTCCTGGTGGTATGCAGGAGACTGTTAGGACATCTGCCAGCAAGCTGGGCTGGAACGTCGAAAAGGATTTGGTCATTTTCTAGAGAAGATCGTCGCGGGGAGCTTCGAGGTGAGGGGGGGTGTAGGTTATTGATATTTGTTATTGGCGCATCGTTTGCTCATCGTACCTCTGGACTTATTATATCATCAAGTTATATCTCATTTTGCTTTTCTTGATGCCCTGAAGTTCCCTGCTCCCGTGCATATTCGCCAGTCGACTCTCCGAAGATAACCTCCGCATGTTTCTTATCTGAGGCGCCAGGCGGTCCGTTGACAGGATCGTCAATGACATCTCTTCCGACACGCTCCACTGGCTCAGATGTGTCGATATCCTCCACCTGAACTTTCGCATCCGCCCTCTCCGCCTGTCTCTGTGTGTCATCCGTCTTCGTGATGATCAATCCCGGAAGGTGATTGGCATCAAACTTTTCCACTACAACCTCCTCCTCAGTCGCCACAGGTAACCCATTCTGCCGTTTCTCCTCCGCCAGACAATCCCACTCAACCACCCCTCCACTCCCATACCTCTCCTTGAGCCACGCATTTGCCTGCTTGAAGTGACCACAGGTCATGAAGCCACGATGTGCGGACAACGGACTTGGATGCACACTCTTCAGGATGAGGTGTCGACTCTTATTTGGCACAGACGCATCAATGTTCTTCTGCGCTGGACTTCCCCATGCCAGGAATACGACACCATCCGATCTCTGCTCCGCGACGGTTCTCAGGACTTTCGCCGTAAACTCCTCCCATCCCTTCTTTGCGTGCGAGTTTGCCTTATGTGCCTCGACCGTAAGACATGTATTGATAAGTAGGACACCGCGATCTGCCCATGGTGTGAGGAGTCCATCGCGAGGTTTAGTGAAGTCTGGGTAGTCGTTCTTTAGTGCGGTGTAAATGTTCTTGAGGGATGGTGGTGCATTGATCGGTGGGCGGACGGAGAAGCAGAGACCGTGTGCTTGTCCTTGGCCATGGTATGGATCTTTCGCGTTATGTTAGTCATTGTTGCACGGTGAGAGGAGTGGTAGTAATGTACCTTGTCCGAGGATCACTACCTTCACTTTATCCAACGGTGTGTGGCGTGCCCATGAGTATACATCCTCCTCTGTGACCGGATATCAGTTCTGTCTTCAAGAGGAACCAACGCATCCCGTTACCTGGCGGAAAGATCCATTTCCTCTTCCCCCTTTCTTGCTTCAAAAACTCCTTCAACTTCAAGAAGTACGGTTTCGTGAATTCACCGTGCAGCGCACTGAACCATGAGTCGTGAAGGGTCTTGATCTCGAGTTCTAGCAGCTCCTTATTCTTCTCACTCAGGGAATCCACCCAGCGATCTTTGTCGAACGGCGCGTTGGAGTTGGGAACTGTCGTCGGCGCCCTGACGGTAACTTTAGCAGGCGAGGTCGGCGCTGCGCCGGAGAAGAAGGAGGAAAGAGAGGACTGTTTGGACTTTTTTGCGTCGACTGAGGCCACGATGGCAGATGCTGCCTTTCTCTTTGCTGACATGATTGAACGTATAGCTGAGTCTTTGCGTGCTTGAGCCTCTTGGACGTTGACTTTGCGACGCGTTCAAGGTCGTTGCTGCACCCCACACGCATGACGTAAAGACGTGTGAAAACCATGTAAGGAAGATGTTCTGGTATTGAGAAATCGATTCGCTAACAAACTCCGTTTACCCTTGCAGAAGTGAATGAATATGCCTCTCCTCTCTCACCCTCCTCTCACGCCTTCTGCTCCCGCCCATCCAACCACTTCGACATGTAAGGCCCATCCAACCAATACCCAAGTCGCTGATAATACTTCCTAACCCCAACACCAGAAATAACACTGATCTTCAAGCTCCCATGTTCCTCCCTCGCAATCCTCTCCGCCTCCTCCATCAACAACGTTCCGAAACCCGCGTGCTGGAATTTCTTCGGATCACGAGAGTGGAGGGGGACGACGGATCCGTAGACGTGGAGCTCGCGGACGAGGGAGGTGGGTTGTCCCGTCAACTCTGGACGGAACGTACGGTCGGAGCACTTTCGTAGACGGAGAAGTCCGACGAGGATATCCTGCTTCGGATCCTCATACGCCAAGAATGTCTCCCATCCTCCATTCGCAGTATAGTCGCGACGAATCAACTCCACCTGATCCGGACGAACTTTATGATGAACCTCCTGAATTCCGACCTCACGCGTCCTCACATCACGACAAGTCGTGCCGAAATCTTTCATGCGCTGCAATGCCAACTCTCTCAAATTACCATTTTCGACACCGGAGGTGACGAGGGGCATGGGGATATCGCGCTGGACACGGTAAATTCTGGTCCAGGGTGGTACGAGCGCGAGGATACGCGCGACGAGGTCGATGAGTGCGTTAGGTGTATAATTCTTATACCGCCCCGTCCGCCAAAGTTCATACAACCCCGTTCCGCGAATAACGAGGGTCGGATAGATTTTGAGACCGTCGGTTCTGAAGTCTGGGTTTTCGAAATACTCCTGAAACTGAAACAAATCGCGCTCCATCCCGACGTTGGGGAGGTCGGGCATCATGTGTGATACGACTTTGTATCCGGCGTCTTTTGCGAGACGGAAGGTTTCGCAGACGGCTTTGACGGTGTGGCCACGGTTTGTGTCGCGGGCGACGTCTTCGTACACAGACTGGACGCCGATTTCGAGACGGGTACAGCCGTAGCGGAGCATGGAGGACAAATGCTGGTCCAAGCAGTAATCTGGTCGCGTCTCGATGGTAATACCGACACACTTCGTATTTGACTGTTCCGAGAACGCAACAGCTTCGTCGACGTTTTCGGTGGTGTGTCCGGAGATGGCGTTATGTAGGTTTGCGATGAACCAATCCCGGTATTGCTCCGGTAGGGACATGAATGTTCCTCCCATGATGATGTACTCCACTTTATCCACATTATGCCCAAGCTGTCTCAACTGCTCCACACGTCCACGCGCCTGCTCATATGGATCATATCTTGCCCTAATCGCACGCATCGAAGTCGGCTCATACCCCGTATACGACTGTGTCGAATACTCAAAATCCGAATCCGGCCCTCCAGGACAATACACGCAGATATTCCCCGTCATCGCAATATGCGGACATCTATGCGGTTTACACATAACCGCGACGACCGCAATCCCCGACGCAGTCCGTACCGGCTTCGCTTTCAGTTTCGGGAGGAGGTATTGTCGGTATTGATCTGGGATTGCGCCGATGATGTCGACGAGGCGGGGTTGGCCGGATAACTTGAATTTCTTGGAGGCTTTGATTTTGAGGCCGTTTAGGTTTACGTCTTTGCCGGCTTCGTGGGCGACGATGAGTTCGTGGGCGATGTCGGCACAGGCCTTGACCATGAGTTCTCCCTATACAAAAGCGTGTCAGCCATTGCGGCTGGTCAACGAAACGGCAGCTTTTGCACCTGTGAAACGACCATTTGGACCAATCCTTCAGCTGATCAGCCTTCTTGATGTCTGTGTTCGAATACGGTTGCCGCCAAAATGTTGACTTCGCCACACGTATGGTGGTCAGCCTCACCTCCCTGCAACACGGCGCAACCTTACCACGGCCGTCCAGCCACCAAAACTTCAATTGCGAGCATATAACGCCGGATCCGCTCAGGCAAACCAGAGAGTTCATCACCGCCTCATGTCATCCTATCGCGGTCACGGGACATTTCGACGCTCGTCCTCTGTTTCGTCCCGGCGTTCTACGTCGCGAAGACGAGACTCCATTGCGCGACACCGACGAGACTCCCAACAACCCCTACTATATGACCAAGCCAACACGGAAATGGCGCACGACGCAATCTTTGATGGACCGATGAGTGAGAGTGTTCCGACGGGTGTGTCGAGCTTCGTGCACCGTGGTTCGAGAAGTCAGAGTAATGCGAGTCAGCAGAGACCTTCGCTGGGGTTATTGTCGATGAAGTTCTTTGGGAGTGGGTATGATGTTGTGGATAATGATGATGCGGTCACGGAGACGAGCGAGGCGCCTGGTGGGTATGATGATGAGGATGGGTATGCGGGGACGGATATGGAGTCGCAGGCTGGGGATACACCGATGAGTGAGTACGGCGATCCGCTGCTCCACCGCACCATTTCTGGCGAGTCAGATTTTATGGGGATGAACAGGAAGAAGACGAGTCAGCGTGCATACTTGCAGGAAGAGGACTTGACTATCGTCATCGCCGGTTTTCGCACGCATTCGTTGAAGATCATTCTCTACTACTTCCTCTGCATCTGCACCTTCGGCCTCACCTACCTCCTCCTCCGCTGGCTACCCAGATGGTGGATTACAATGACAGCCGTACCCTCACCCCTCGAAAAATGCGACTGGGTCGTCATCGAAAATCAATGGGGTGAGGTGTCTATTCACGATATATCCAAGCGCACATACGGACGCGAGATGTCCACCGTCTTTAGCACAAGTATCCGCTACGTCCCCGACGACCCGGAAAACGATGACCCTACCCTCCCTGTACTCAGGTGGGTCGACTACCGCTACACCCGTTTCGTCTGGCACCCCTACCTCGCGAAATTCATCCAAAACAACAACTGGAAAGACCCCTCATGGAAAAAAGTCAAAGACGTCCGTCAAGGTATCGACGGAGATATCTGGGAAGACCGTATCGCAGCCTTCGGCTCCAACGTCATCGACATCGAACAGAAATCGATGGGACAGCTACTTGTCGATGAGGCGCTGCATCCATTTTATATCTTCCAGGTGGGAAGTATCATTTTGTGGAGTTTTGATGAGTATTATTATTATGCGGCGTGTATCTTCCTTATCTCTGTTGGGTCAATTATCACGACGTTGATTGAGACGAAGGAGAATATGGCGAGGTTGAAGGAGATGAGTCGATTTGTTTGTGAGGTGCGTGTACTCAGAAATGGGTTTTGGCGGTCTGTTAGTTCGGAGGACCTCGTGCCCGGAGATGTCTACGAGGTTTCGGACCCAAGTTTGACGGTCTTCCCGTGTGACGCCCTACTTCTCAGCGGTGATGCTATCGTGAATGAGTCGATGCTTACTGGAGAATCCGTCCCGGTATCGAAGTTACCTACGACGGATAAGGCTCTGAGAAGCTTGAATTTGTCTTCTTCGGGGGTGAACCCAGATGTCGCGAAACACTTTCTCTTCTCCGGAACGAAGATCATCCGTGTAAGGCGGCCACAGGCGAGGGGGAGTGAGGATGCTGCGGCGTTGGCTATGGTCGTCCGCACCGGGTTCAATACCACGAAAGGTGCCCTCATCCGTTCTATGCTGTTCCCTCGTCCAGTGGGGTTCAAGTTCTATCGTGATTCGTTCCGGTTTATCGGGGTTATGGGTATTATCGCCTGTTTCGGCTTTATCTTGTCGACTATCAATTTCGTCAAGCTTGGGTTGCATTGGACTTTGATCCTGGTTAGGGCGTTGGATTTGATCACGATTGTTGTTCCGCCTGCACTGCCGGCTACGTTGAGTATTGGAACAAATTTTGCGATTGGGCGGTTGAGGAAGAAGGACATTTTCTGTATTAGTCCGCAGAGGGTTAACGTTGGCGGAAAGATTGATGTCATGTGTTTCGATAAAACTGGGACTTTGACAGAAGATGGGTTGGATATCTTGGGTGTGAGGGCGGTTGATCGCGTGAGTAACCAGTTTTACGACTTGTATGAACACCCGGAGGATTTGTTGCCGTCGAGTGAGTTTGAGAGGGATCCGAGTAAGGAGTTTGGAGAGCGAGCGGCGATTTTGTATGCGATGACGACATGCCACTCACTCAAGCTCGTCGGTGGACAACTCGTTGGAGATCCACTGGACTTGAAAATGTTTGATTTTACGGAGTGGATTTATGAGGAGGGTGGGGAGACGAATGAGCGCGGGCGAGTGTCTGCTGAGGACGCGTCTGCTGCGAAGCCGGCTAGTGGGCCTTCTCTCATTCCTCCCACAGTTAGGCCTCCGGGTGGGAGGTCGTTTGCGATCGAGGGGGTTATGGAGGGGTCTGCGGATCCGAGGGAGACGGCACCGATGGAGCTTGGTGTGTTGAAGGTATTTGAGTTTGTGTCGCATTTGAGGAGAATGAGTGTCTTGGTTAAGAGGTTCAGGAGTACGACTACGCAGGTGTATGTCAAGGGTGCTCCGGAAATCATGTCCGACATCTGTGACCCGAACACCTTCCCTGCGGATTATGATGAGTTGTTGGCGTACTACACCCACCACGGTTACCGTGTCATCGCTTGTGCGGCCAAGACGATCCCGAAATTGAGTTTTGCGAAGGCGCAGAAGATGAAGCGCGAGGAGGCGGAGAAGGATCTGACATTCCTGGGCTTCATCATCTTTGAGAATAAGTTGAAGCCGAGTACGGCTGGTGCGATCAAGCAGCTTGCTGAGGCGAATATCCGAAAAGTGATGTGTACTGGTGATAATATCCTCACCGCCATCAGTGTTGCACGCGAGTGTGGACTCGTGAGTGAGTTTGGACATGTGTTTGTGCCGCAGTTCGAGATTGGGAATTCGTTTGATCCGAACTCGAAGGTTACGTGGCATAGTGTTGATAACAGCTCGTTGACGCTGGATTCGGAGACATTGTTGCCTATGCCTGCGCCGGCAGACGCGGATGCTTCGTTGCCATATGAAGCGCACAACATCAACGATTACTCGCTGGCTGTTAGCGGTGATGTGTTTAGATGGCTAGTGGACTATGCTCCGTTGTCTGTCCTCCAACGTATGCTCATCAAGGGTCAAATCTTCGCTCGTATGTCCCCGGACGAGAAGCACGAACTGGTCGAGAAGTTGCAGTCACTCGACTACTGTGTCGGTTTCTGTGGTGATGGTGCAAACGACTGTGGTGCCCTGAAGGCCGCTGACGTGGGAATCTCTCTTTCTGAGGCCGAGGCATCGGTTGCTGCTCCGTTCACGAGTCGATCGTTCGAGATCTCTTGCGTGTTGGATGTCATTCGCGAAGGACGTGCGGCACTTGTTACGAGTTTCAGTTGTTTCAAGTATATGGCTTTGTACAGTGCGATTCAGTTTACGACTGTCAGTTTGTTGTACAAGTCCGGGTCCAACTTGGGCAACTTTCAGGTTCGTTCAATCGTCTCGATGCCGAGTATGCCTGCTAATATGTTTTTCTATAGTTCCTCTTTATTGACTTGTTCCTCATCATCCCGATCAGTATCTTTATGGGCCGCTCCGAACCGTACCCTGTCATCTCGGTTAAGCGTCCCACGGCGAACCTTGTGTCGAAGAAGGTCATCACGAGTATGCTTGGGCATATCGTGGTTTTATCCGGAATGCAGTTCTTGGTTTATTTCATGATTTTGGCACAGCCATGGTAAGGTTCCTGGATGTGTTCAAACCATTACGGATCACTGACAACATTTTACAGGTACAAGGAGCCCATTGTCGACCCAGACAACTCCACGATCGAGAGCGCCGAGAACACCGCGCTATTTGCCATCTCGTCGTACCAGTACATCCTCATTGCCATCGTCCTCAGCGTCGGTCCGCCGTACCGCAAGCCGATGTCTCAGAATCTTCCGTTCATCCTTTCGATTACCTTCACCACATTGTTCGTTACCTATTTCTTCCTGGATCCACCAGGCTGGCTTGCGTCGATGCTACAGCTCGTCGACATTCCTTACACGTTCCGAGCGTTCATCGTCATTCTCGCAGGGATCAACTTGTCCTTGGCGTTGACAGGGGAGGAATATATATTTACACCGTTGGCGAAGGCTTATGCAGCTTTCAAAGAGAAAACAAGGAGTGTGCCAAAAGAGAGGAAGAAGTATAAGGTTATCCAGGAGGGTATGTTGTTTTAGACTGGTTACGTCGCTCTTATGGCGTATATTAGAGGATAGGGAGTATCAAGAGAAGCTATGTTGCTGCATAACACTTTTTGTCCTTCTATTGAGTGCTTTTGGAAGTGTTGGGCGACCATCCCATATCGCGGCATTTGTGGGCTTATCGCTTAGTCGAACGCAATGATTGTGTGAACGTGATAATATTATGCAAAGGTATGCTGCCGTCCCACAACGTAGTGTACAACTGAAGCCGTCGATTGACAATCCTCTATGATGCCTGATCGAGGTCTCAATCTCCTTCCCTATCCTCCGCTTAGTGGTGAGCCTCCTCCTCTCCGTGTCCGTGACCGTGACCGTGCAACTCCCATGGGTGAGCCCAGCCCAAGAGGACGGGACCCTGCAAGAATCGTCAGTACATCGAAAAAGATGTTATTGAAAGATGGACTTACATCCTGCTTCGCGCGGTAGAGCATCCAGAACCACATGCTACCACCCAGAACCTGGGTTGCTATCCGGTAAATGAGACGCGGAGGGTGGGCGACGGGAACTCCTAGAGGCCATTCAGCATGATGCAGAGCACGTCGAAGGCACAGAGCACGTACGAGTCATGATTGTCGTTGTGGTTTTCTGTACGGCAGGCTGCTCGTCGTCGGCGAGTGGCTGTGGTTTTGACTGCGGCCAGGCACGGAGCGGATTGTACGAGCGCGGAGGACGACGGCCAGCTCAACCTCCAAGTCGCAACATCAGCCATGCTCGATATCAATTTGTTCCAGGTTGAGAAGGGCGGTGACCCGGAGATGATCAAGGAGTCTCAGAGGAAGCGTGGTGCCTCTGTGGAGCTCGTTGATGAGATCATTGCTCTGTACAAGGAGTGGACTGCCGGTGTGTTGCCAACATGTTGAAGAAATGCGAATTGTCATTAATGTTGTCGTCGCACAGTCCGTTTCGACCTTGACCAACTCAACAAGGAGATCAACGTCAATCAGAAGGCCATCGGTGCTAAGATGAAGGCCAAGGAAGATGCCTCCGAGCTCCTCACTAAGAAGAACGAGATGGCTGACAAGAAGAAGGAGCTTGAGAAGGCTGAGCAGGACAAGAACACCGTCCTCATGTCCAAGGCTGCCACCATCGGTAACATCGTCCACTCCTCCGTCCCCGTCTCAATGGACGAGGAGAACAACGAGGTTCTCCGCACTTGGTGCCCCGAGGGTGTTACTGCTGAGAAGAGGGACTGTTTGTCACATCACGAGGTTTTGACCAGGTTGGACGGATACGACCCTGAGCGGGGTGTCAAGATCACTGGTCACCGTGGTTACTTCTTGAGACAATACGGTGTCTTCCTCAACCAGGCTCTTATCAACTACGGATTGAACTTCTTGGCGGACAGGGGATACATCGCTCTCCAGACCCCTCAGATGATGAACAAGGACGTCATGGCTAAGACCGCACAGTTGTCTGACTTCGACGAGGAGTTGTACAAGGTTCTTGATGGTGATGACGAGAAGTACTTGATTGCTACCTCCGAGCAGCCTATCTCTGCTTTCCACGCCAACGAGTGGTTCGAGTCTCCTGCTGAGCAGTTGCCGATCAAGTACGCTGGTTACTCCTCCTGCTACCGTCGTGAGGCTGGTTCTCACGGAAAAGACGCATGGGGTATCTTCCGTGTCCACACCTTCGAAAAGGTTGAGCAGTTCCTTCTTACCGAGCCTGAAAAGTCATGGGAGGCTTTCGAGGATATGATTGCCAACTCTGAGGAGTTCATGAAATCCCTTGGTTTGCCTTACCGTTTGATTTCCATCGTCTCTGGTGCGCTCAACAACGCCGCCGCCAAGAAGTACGATTTGGAGGCATGGTTCCCCTTCCAGGGTGAATACAAGGAGTTGGTCTCCACTTCCAACTGCACGGACTACCAGAGCAGGTCCTTGGAGATCAGGTGTGGTGTTAAGAAGATGGGTGACAGGGAGAAGAAGTACGTGCACTGCTTGAACGGAACTTTGTGTGCTACTGAGAGAACTTTATGTTGTATTTTGGAGAACTACCAGACTGAGGATGGATTCCGTGTTCCTGAGGTGTTGCAGCCGTACATGGGTGGAAAGACTTTCCTTCCTTTCACCAAGGAGTTGCCGAAGAACAGCACATCCCAGAAGAAGAAGGCCGAGAAGAAGTAAGTTGAGGACGATATACCAGGATAATACAAGGGAGAGTGCGGGAAGAATATTCCGCATTGAGATCAAAAAGGAAAAGGATATGTTGGCTCTATTACTGCATCACTGTGCTTTGCCCTTCTTGACAATCGACTTCAACTGGCCAAGCTGAAGTCCTCCCCACGCCGCGACACCGAGCAAATACTTGATGGTCACATTCCTATAATTTCAAATACAAGCATCTGTCAGTCGTCTGTATCTCGCAATAGATAAGGTTTGCGATGCCAAGATCGCGGCAACTTACCACGGCACATTAGCATTGTGGGCGATGTATGCCGCATAGGAAACCTCCATGGAGTGGGAGATCACGAGGAAGAGCACGGTGTGATCAAGGAACTTTTGGCCGAGATATTCATGGCTATATACCACGTTAAGAGATCTACATAGGAGATGACACCGGGGAGACATACACGAGACGGTAAGGGACTTCAAGGAGCGGGATGGGAGTTGTAGCGTAGGTGCAGTAGAGCTGGAAGGCAATGCCCAGGGTGGCGATAGTAGTAACCAGCTTGTTCGCTGGCCATTTGTATTGGTATTGCGGTGCCATTTTGCGATTGGTTCCTTCTAGAATCGGTCCGGGTCAGGCGTGGTCACTGCTCTTGCGGTCGCAATGACGTTCCCCTCCTTCCAATCCGGTCGCTTACGCTGGCTTTACTGAGCGCGCGCCGCACAGTTTTCCAGCCAAGTAAAAGCACTCAACAACATCAACCAAAATCAACCAACAAAATCGGTAGCATTTCTATCGATTTAGCCAATCGAACGGACCGCCAGAACTATCTGAACACCTTCGGCCCTTCTTCCGCCGCTTTCCCCGCTTCGAACGGTCCCGGAACGCATATTTCGCTCACAACACCGAACTCGGGCCACCCAAACCTCCAGTGATCACCAGCGCGAAACGATCTTCGAACAAGCGTTCAAATCATCACCATTAAGGACTCATATCGATAACACACCATGTCTGGAGGATCGGATACATCGTCCGTTGCGTCATCAGAGGAGCGCGACCTTGTGCCTCCGATAAAGCCATCTTCGAACGGGATCAAGAACAGTGGAAAGCCTTCGCCCCTATCAAATGAAATCGGCAACGAGAGTCCCTTCTTTGTGAACTTCAGCCCACCTACCTCCAGGCCGAGCAGTCCTACGAAGGAGAAAAGGCTCACCCCTGGATCACGAACGGAGAGCGCCACGAACATCACGGTACAGGCTCCTACGGCGGTCAGGCCATCTGTTATGCAGAAGAAGAGTCTGTTAAATAGGATGTTCTCGCAGACTGGGAGGAAGGAAAGGGAAGCTGAGAAGGCTGCAGAGAAGGCCGAGAAGGCGGAACGCAAAGAGAGAGAAAGGCTGGAAAAGGAAAGAGAAAAGCAAGAAAAGGAGAGCGAAAATGGTGGCAGCCCTGATCCTGAGCATTCAAGGATCGCATCACCAGCAGATATTTCCCAAAGTGGAACCCCCACGGGAACGAAAGAGCCGCATGTTAGGTTCAAGGTCTTACCGGACGGTAACCACGTTCATCGTTTGAAGAACACGAAGCGTCAGGAAAAGTTGAAGAGCATGTTTGATGCATTTATGATGGGTGGATCAGCTAAGAAGAAGGAAGAGGAGCGTCGTGCGGAGGATGAACGGTACGCTGCCGAAGAAGCTGCTACCCTCCAGATGGACCGCCTTTCTCTCCTGCACAATTGGGTTGATACGCTCAAATCCGAGCAGAAACTTGCGAAGGAACAGAAGAACGGACCGAATGCTACCGCTGGCTTGGTAGAAAAGTATGGCAAGTGCCAAGAGATCGTCGGTAGGGGTGCATTCGGTATCGTGAGGATCGCACACAAGCCTGATCCTGCTGATCCGCGAAAGGAGCAGTTGTATGCTATCAAAGAGTTCAGGAGGAGACCCGCCGAGAGCGTCAAGAAGTACACCAAGCGTCTCACTTCTGAGTTCTGTATCTCGTCTTCGCTTCGTCACCCCAACGTTATCCACACGCTTGATTTGGTTCAGGATGCTAAGGGTGATTACTGTGAAGTTATGGAGTTCTGTGCTGGTGGTGATTTGTACTCGCTTATTCTTGCCGCTGGCAAGTTGGAGATGGAAGAAGCAGATTGTTACTTCAAGCAACTCATGCGCGGTGTCGAATACATGCACGAGATGGGTGTCGCTCACCGTGACCTCAAGCCTGAAAATCTCCTCCTTACGCCTCAGGGTGCACTCAAGATTACTGATTTCGGTAACGGTGAGTGTTTCCGTATGGCCTGGGAAAAGGAAGCACACATGACTTGTGGATTGTGTGGTTCCGCGCCATATATCGCTCCTGAGGAGTATACGGATAAGGAGTTTGACCCACGGGCTGTGGATATTTGGGCTTGCGGTGTCATCTACATGGCGATGCGCACTGGAAGGCATCTTTGGCGTGTGGCGAAGAAGGATGAGGATGAGTTCTTCGCCAAGTATCTCGATGGAAGGAAGAGCGAGGAGGGTTATGAGCCGATCGAGTCCTTGCAAAGGGTATGTTGCCTTGCAGCCTCATGAATGCAGCTTACTGACGGTCATACAGTCTCGTTGTCGTAACGTCATTTACTCCATCCTGGACCCTAACCCTGCTCGACGTATTACCGGAAAGCAGATCCTGAGGAGTGAGTTCATTAACAGTATTAATATTTGCAAGGCGGGTGAATTCGGTTTGTATTCCTGTGATATACCTCGTCATCCGGACTTGGGCTAACTCTTCCTTCTCCTACAGGTATCTAGTATCAGTGAGGCGTTGGCTGGTATCTTCGAAGTCGTATCGTGTTTGTTGTCTTTTGGTGGACCGTATCCTTTTCGTGTTACGTGTTGGAGTGGGGAGTCCTGGATTGCTGTTGATCGTATTCCTTACATTCGTCTTTGTCGCACGGAGTTCTACTATCCTTTTCCTTTCGCATTATCTTACTCTTAGCAGCAAGTAATAGACATATGCTGAATGATCCGTGTATTTTCGATTACCCTTTCTTTACGCGGTGGCACGGGCATGCACGGGTGGTCATCCAACTCACCGCACGGTACGAACTCCTGCAACGCGTGCAACCGTAAACGCGCGACCGCCGACCGCCGAGACGAACAACGGGCAATTGGCGACCTCCAGGGACTCTGATCCGTTTCGATTGATCGCAGCATATCCACAATGTCGCTGCCATATGCGGGCGACGCCCAAGTTCCCGTCCAGCAGCAGCCTCAGCCGCCCGCTCGTCCACAACAGCCGATGAATTCAGACAACTTCCTGCCAGCAAATCTGAAAAAGGAACAGGTTAATGCCTGGCATCAACGCTACCTACAGCTCAAGTCGCAGGGCGCGACCGAGGCGACGAGTCAAGAGCTTGCCCAGTTGTCCCGAGCCTTGAGAATGGTTCAGCAGCAAACCCACTTCAGGCAACAACAGGCTCAACTACACGCGCAACAGCAAGCTCAACAGCAGGCTCAACATCAAGCGCAACAGCAAGCGCAGCAACAGCAGCCGACGCAGCAACAGAGGGCACAACAAGGTCAGGGCGAGCAGCAAGTCCCGGCCAGCAGTGTGAGCCAGGACATGTCTTCGGTACCAAGTCAAACAGGCTCGGATATACTAGATACACTGGGGTCACCCTTACCGAAAGACCAGAAGTTGACTTTAAGGAACCAGATCGCTGCTTTCAAGTACGTGACGAGGAATATGCCGATACCGTCCCAAGTGCAGCAGGCGCTCTTTGCGACGCAAGAGCCCGACTCCGTCCAGCAATCGCCCGTTGCTGAGGCAATGGCCGCTGCGAAAGAGACCCTGGCTGCCGCCGATAAGGAAGAACCCGTGCCAGAGATTAACATTACTTCGCCATGGACGTACTTCACGAAGCCGATTACTTTCAATGCACATGCACAGAGAGAAAGTCGTGTTCTAGTACCTGCAATTATGCCAGTCGGTATGGATCTTGTAGCTTGGACCGCAGAGCGTGAGCAGGAGATCCAGAACCGTATTGCGCTTCGTATTGCTGAGCTAGAACAGTTACCTAGTAACATCACCGGTTTCGAAGGTGTGCGAGACCCAGAAGCGGATGCGATGATGCCTGGCCCACCGAAAGACCCAAGCGCGCTGAAGACCAAAGCTCTGATTGAGTTGATGAAGTTGAGATTGTTGCCGAAGCAACGCGCATTGAGACAGAGTATGGTCAGGTCAATGGTTGATTTGAATACCCTTACAACCTCTGCCGACCGTGCTTCGTTCAGGAGGATGAAAAAGATGACTCTGGACGACTCTCGATTGACCGAGCGCATTGAATCTGAGCAACGGTTGGACCGCGAGAAGCGTGAGAAGCAGAAGCAGCTTGACTACCTTCAGGGTATCGTTGCGCACGGTCAAGAGATCATGCAGGCGCAGAGATCCAAGGTCAGCAGGCAGCAGAAGCTGGGTAAGGCCGTCCTTGCGTTGCACAGTAATATCGAGAAGGAGGAACAAAGGCGACTGGAGAGAGTCGCGAAGGAACGTTTGCAGGCCTTGCGTGCTGACGATGAAGAGGCATATCTCAAGCTTATTGACCAGGCTAAGGATACTCGTATTACCCACTTGCTTCGTCAGACCAACACCTACCTAGACTCGTTGTCCGCGAAGGTCAAGGCTCAGCAGATGGAGGCCGCTAGGATGGATCCAGGCCTGATGGCCGAGGACTTCGAAGATGACGAGGAGGAGGACGAGGAGGCTGCTGCAAGCAAGAAGCAGGATTACTACGGCGTGGCACACAGAGTACGCGAGGAAGTCACCAAGCAGCCCAATATCTTGGTCGGTGGCCATTTGAAGGACTACCAGATTAAGGGTTTGCAGTGGATGGTGTCTTTGTACAACAACCACTTGAACGGTATCTTGGCGGACGAGATGGGTCTTGGAAAGACCGTGCAGACCATTGCGTTGATTACGTACTTGATTGAGGTCAAGAAGCAGAATGGACCATACCTGGTTTTGGTGCCTCTCTCTACGCTTACAAACTGGACGAACGAGTTCGAGCGTTGGGCACCAAGTGTTACGAAAGTCGTCTACAAGGGTGTTCCGCAGGCGCGTAAGGCTATTTACGCAAACCATATCCGCCCGGGTAATTTCCAGGTTCTGCTGACCACTTTCGAGTACGTTATCAAGGACCGTCCCCAACTTTCCAAAATCAAATGGCTGCACCTTATTATTGATGAAGGTCATCGTATGAAGAACACAAATTCCAAGTTGACGCTTACGTTGACCACTTACTACTCGATGAGGTACCGTCTGATTTTGACTGGTACACCATTGCAGAACAACTTGCCTGAACTTTGGGCTTTGCTTAACTTCGTTCTGCCGAAGATCTTCAACTCTGTTAAGAGTTTCGATGAGTGGTTCAACGCACCATTCGCGAACACCGGTGGGCAGGACACTATGCAGCTCAGCGAAGAAGAGACTCTTTTGATCATTCGTCGTTTGCATAAGGTTCTTCGTCCATTCTTGTTGAGACGTTTGAAGAAGGATGTCGAATCCGAGTTGCCGGATAAGGTTGAAAAGGTGGTGAAGTGTCGTATGTCTGGTTTGCAATTGAAGTTGTACGAGCAGCTGAAGAAGGGTGGCATTATGTACGTGAACGGAGAGAAGGGCAAGGGAATGAAGGGTTTGCAGAATATCATGATGCAGCTCAGGAAGGTGTGTAATCACCCCTTCGTCTTTGACGAGGTTGAGGAAGCAATTTCTCCGGTCAGAGATGTTACGACAGACTTGTTATGGCGTGTCTCGGGCAAGTTCGAATTGTTGGATCGTATTTTGCCGAAGTTGAAGAGAACCGGGCATCGCGTCCTCATGTTCTTCCAGATGACTACGGTCATGACAATCATGGAAGACTTCCTCAATCACCGTGGGATGAAGTATATGCGTCTTGATGGTTCCAGTAAGGCCGATGACCGTCAGACCATGTTGACGGAATTCAACGCGCCCAACTCCGACTGCTTTATCTTCATTCTTTCTACGCGTGCTGGTGGTCTAGGGTTGAACTTGCAGACCGCTGACACTGTCGTCATCTTCGACTCTGACTGGAATCCTCACCAGGATTTGCAGGCTCAGGATCGTGCTCATCGTATCGGCCAAAAGAAGGAAGTCCGTATTTTCCGTCTTATTACCCAGAACTCCGTCGAAGAGGCTATTTTAGCTCGTGCGCAGTACAAGCTTGAACTCGACGGTAAGGTCATTCAGGCTGGTAAGTTCGACAACAAATCTACTGCGGAAGAACAGGAAGCCTACCTCAGGAAGATTTTTGAGCAGGATCAGAATGAGGTTGATGAAGACGCGGACATGTTCGATGACGACGTGCTCAATGAGATTGTCGCTCGTAATGACAACGAGCTGCAAATCTTCAAAGAGATGGATGAGGAACGGAAGATGCGCGAACCTTACGGTGAGGACAAGGAACTGGGTCGTCTGATGGCGGTCGAAGAATTGCCGGAGGAATATCAACAAGACTATGTTGTTATGGAGGCTGACGGCAAGCTTGCTACGGGTCGCGGAGCTCGAGAGCGTCAAGCAGTCTTCTACGATGACGGATTGACCGAAGAGCAGTGGCTTGACGCTATGGACAATGAGAACATTGACGTTGACAATGTTATCCGTCAGAAGCGCGAACGTAAGGCTGCTCGTGACGCTACCAAACTGCAGAAACCCACCGAAACATCTCCGGCCCCCAGTCTTCCCGAGTCTGAAGCCCCGAAGAAGAGTACCAAGAAGGGCAAAAAGGCAGGCGCCAATAAGCGATCTCGAGAAGATGCCGAGGAGGAGGGTTCGCCCGAAAGAAAGCGAGGTCGTCAAGGCGATATGCTTTCGAAGGAAGAGCGCGCTTCTATGCGTAAGACTCTGCAAGGCGCTTACGATGCAGTCATCAGCTTGCAGGATGAAGGATACGACCTGGCCGAAGTCTTCCTCGTGAAGCCTAACAAGAAGCAATATCCTGATTACTATCAGATAATCAAGGAGCCCATTGCTTTGGATATGATTCAGAAGCGTATCAAGGGTACGGCCTACAACAGCTTGGACGACTTTGTGACAGATGTGCAGTTGATGTTCAGGAACGCGAGAACATACAACGAGGACGGGTCCTTCGTCTACACCGCAGCAAACAAGCTTGAGGATGCGTTCGAGGAAAAGCTCCAGGAGCTAGCTCCTGATTATGAGTACAATCGTAAGAAGTCCATCCCAACCTTGGTTATCCCTGCTGTTCCGGTTGCGCCTCCTCCAGCAAATGATGATTATGCCGACAGCGGTGACGATATGGCTGCCTGAGATACGAAAATGATATTCGAGTAATTAGAGGCAGTGTTCACACGGAGTTTTGGCGTCAATGTTGTTAGTTTAGTAAATTACGAGGGTATCTTCGTCAGTCAAGCTGTATATATGTATCTCCAACGTGTTCACAGTTTCTCGGGCATGCACGATAATGAGCAATGACGTTGGGTAACGTTCCCTTCGATTGCCCTCCGTAAACCTCGCGAACAGCAGATTCGATTCTCAGCTCAAATAGCCATTGACGAAGATGGGTTTCTTGAAAAAGTTACTACACCAATCACCCTCCAACCATGCGCCAGCGTCCGCCAACACCTCTCCCTCATCCCTACACTCCGACCTCTCCACCCTCCGCGACTCCATCATCGCCGGAACAACGCAAACAGTCGGCGTAAACCTCGGCTCCCTCCTCCAATACGAACATTGGATGTCTGCTAACTCCCCCGTCGCGCGCCTCCTCTCCAACCTACCCAACGGCTCCGACATCGCGGGAAAGGGCGAGCTGCAGATTATGCGAGCGTTCCCCGATCACAGGGCAGAGCTTGAGAGAGCGTTTGCGGAGCATAGGAGGAGTATGGTTACGGAGGAGGATTTCCGGATGATGAGCGAGTATGGAATCAACTCGATACGCGTCCCGGTGAATTGGGGGATCATGCCCATCGACTCCGGAGGAGGGGTTCCCCAGGAATGGAAGGATTTCGCACCAGGTGCCCTCGAGGTCTTGGACAACATCATCAACAACTGGGCACCAAATTACGGATTGACGGTGCTGTTAAGTCTCCACGGGCATAAGGGCACGCACGGGAACAACGATCACGCATGTCCCGGAGGCGGCGGTGTCTTTTGGGATAAATACCCCGAAAATCAGCAACACTCAATCGACCTCGCATCCTGGCTCGCAAACCGCTATAAATCGTTCCCAGCCTTTCTCGGTATCGGGCTCATGAACGAACCCTGTGACGTAAACGAGCAGGTCGTGCGGGAGTACTACGAGAAAGCCTACAAAGCCGTACGAAAAGTGAGTGACTGCCTCGTCGTTATTGCGCCTATGCTGTGGCAGCAACACCCCAACAATGGATGGGAAGACGTTCTTTCTGGGTCGAGATATCACAATATCCGGGAAGAATGGCACCCATACTTCTGCTTCGGCGACGAATGGGCCCACAAATCCCCCTCAGATCTCATCGGTTACACCGACCGAGACCTCCACCAGCAATACCTGAATCCCAGAGGCCACCTCAAGCTCGCATCCGAATGGTCTTGCGCATCCGCACAACCCATGTCTCCCGAACAAATGCGCGAGTTTGCGGGAAATCAGTTGGAGGCTTATAGGGAGATTTCGGGATTCTATTTCTGGACGTGGAGGTATTGGGATGAGAGGGATAATGAGTATGTTAATGGGTGGAGTTTGAAGTCGTTGTTGAAGAATGGGGTTATTACGAGGGCGCAGCTGAGGGAGGCTTGGTGAACGCTACGTGGCGAAGGGTGGTGAAGGGCGGTGGTCCTTGGGTGGTGAAGCCTGCGGCTCGACACCGTCGGTAGCCAGCCAAAGTATGGGCACGGATTCTACGGAGCCCCGTGTCCTGGCGATGAGACACTATACACGGAATAAGTACAGATTGCCAACTAACCAAATATTTTCATGGCGACACTATAATACCAAGCCCTAGCGGGGTTAACAGCGTCACTCTATCCGCCCAGGGCTTGACCACACCATGAGACCTGGGTCGATTAACCGCTTCACCCCATCGTCGCGAAGGAAAACCTCTCCCGCCATATGCATACGCATAGGCAAATCATCCCGTACACCTACCGAACCAAGTTTTCACCATCGGCATCACTCACGATACTACGAAGACCATCAGGAATGATGGCATGGTAGTCCTCCCACGACCTCTTCATGAGCCAGTTGTTGCGCGCCGCTGTGTGCACGTGGTTGCAATTCACCATTGGCCATGCCGTGGTTCAAGAGTACATATGTCACTCTTCCACCTGATACTCAAGGGCTGCATGAACCGTCATAGCCAGAACCCATTTTGCGCCGGATGGGCTACGTACGCGCAGTACTGGTCTTACCGCCAACTTGCGATAGCGATGATCCACTGCCATCCACCCACAAGCTCCTCACTTCATTTCGTAATTCCCATCAAAAACGGCGAAGACTTCACAATCTGAAAACTCACACCTCCGCCCTCGACATTCCCGATATATCCACCCAAGGAAGCCCACAACCCTGCTGCATCTTTCTGAGGACACCTGATCCATGCGTCATACTCCACCGTGTGAAGGATATCGATGTGCGTAGCTGAACCGATGAGACCGAGGTATTGTGTTAAGGCGGCGGTAATGAGGGTGCGCCAGGTGAGGAGGTCGAGGGTTGGTGGGGTGTCATGGGCGTGGTGAAGGCGGAGGTGGAAGTATTGCCATGGGGCGGTGTTTGTGGAGACTGTCAGGCGTGTAGTCGGAGCCGGAATTGTAGCTGTGGTCATCGTCTTTGCTCTTGACAACTTTGGCCTTCTTCTCTTCAACCCCGGAGAGCACGGCGATACACCGCTGCAGTGCGCAGGCTGCCCCTGAAGACTAAAAATCAACAGGTAGACGAGACAGAGAGAACACAACCACCAACAATCCATTCACCATGCCGCGCTCAAAGACCCCCATCTACTCCCTCGCCCGTGGCAAGGTCAACATGTCCATGAACCGCTACAACCTCTACAACCTCGCCCGCAAAGACCTAAGAAACTGGGTCGGCCAAAAAACAATGTACCAACAAAAATGGTTCGCAAAAGCCGAGACCCGAGCATACCACGGCCGCTACCTGACCGAACGCCAATTCAAATCTCACTTTGAGGAGAAATTGTTGGGAACGCCTGGGACGAGTGGTGGAAGGGATGCAAGTGCTATCCCGTTGGCTTCGCAGACGTATGCCGGGTTGGAGAAGAGGTTGGATTTTGCGGTTTTTAGGGCGTTGTTTGCGACGAGTATTCAGCAGGCGAGACAGATGGTTATTCACGGGAAGGTCAAGGTGAACGGTGAGAAGGTACGTCGTGTATTTAACCCCTGATCAGATCCAAGTCACTGACCAATTTGACACAGATCACCGCACCCGGCCACCGCCTCCAACCCGGGGATCACTTCCTCGTCGACCCCAAATCCGTCCTCACAGTCCTCTCCGCAAACCCCTCCGCCGTCGCCTCCGAACCCGACCTCCCCTCCGCCGAAGCCGCTTTCAAAATCCGTCCATACTTTGCTCCCTTTGCGTTTATCCCTACGTACCTCGAGGTGTCGCAGGCGAGTTGTTCGGCTATCTATTTGAGGGATCCGATTGCGAGTCCGGGAACTAGTGAGGTGCCGAGTCCGTTCCCGCAGCCGATTCAGGCGTTGGCTTATAGATGGTATGTCCGTGGTCGTTAAGTGAGTGTGCGAACGTGAGCGAGCCTGCAGCTCATGTGAGCATTGAGCTTGACTTGAGTTTATAAGGAAGATATTGGTTGAATGGTACGTGGGATGTAAGAGATGAGTTGACATTTTCTTGGGGTTGACTTGGCCCAGTTTTGAGGCCGAGTGTAGTGTTTTTCGTTTTTCTTTCTCGGAGTTTGGGGATTGGCATTTCTAAAAAAGTTATCACTGTGTAAAGATAGTGGCTAGAGCATGAGCTGCAATATATGAGGAACGCATCATCGTTACAGTATGTACTCATTGTTCTTGAAATGGGTTGGGTAGAGGAATTGGCATTCCGGGACTGGATTGGGGTGATGCGTAGAAGTCGTCGACGTGGATGCTGTGGACTTCCGGGACTTTGGCGTCCATCAGCTCAACTCCATCGGCTCGAAGTCTCATGAGTACTTCATCAATCGCCACACCCTATATATCACTTGGCTACTGACGGGCCGAGCCGGAACGTTCTCCAGCGCGTGACCACCACCTTCACCACCCTTCACCACCCTTCACCACCCTTCACCACCCCACATATTAGCACCCGTCGAGCATCACTCCCATCATCATCGATGCTAGCTATGCCGCTGTAGCCGAAGGCCAGCAGGGCTTATGTTGCGAACCAATCACACAGTAGCGCGGCTGTAGCACGGCGAATGCCCGGAGTTCGATGAACCCTGCGGCACCGTTCATGAACTCACATCCTTCCGCGCGCGTCCCAAAACCAACCCTTCGTTCAATTCGCCAGTCCTTGTGACGGCTGGCTTCGATCCCATGCCACCCACCGGGCATCCTTCGTCCTCCCCCTATACTCCTCCATCCTCTCTTGCACATTCACCCCATTCCACACCTCTTCCGTCCCCGCATACCCCAACACCGGTACCCCAACCTGCTCGATTGCAAAACTAGCACTCACGATCCCCATCCTCGCAGCCTCGACCAAATCAACATTTGGATACCCCAACGCCAGTCCACCGCAAAACGCGTTCCCTGCACCCGTGGGATCTTTGACCTTTGAGGAGTCGGTGTGGTAGGCGGGTAGGTGAAGCCAGCCGTTGTCGCGGGATGCGATTACGCAGCCGAGAGCGCCGGAGCGGATGACAATACAACCGTCTCCCGCGGGGCCGATACCGGCGTCGACGTAGAGGCGGGAAATTGCGGCGATTTCGGGGAGGGCTGTAGGTTCGGGGCGTCCAAGGAATGCGGCGGATTCGCCGTGGTTTGGGGTGATGACACTAATGTGTTTCAATGCGGATAGACACGCTTTCCAGTTTTCGGGTTTACACTCGTCGGGGACAGGTTCCCAGATAAAGTGTGGGGCTGGCTCTGTGGGGAGACCATGCTCGGCACGGCGTTCCAGGGTGCGTTTGGCGGATGATTCCGCACGCTGGGGGGTACAGATGAGGTGGTACGCCCGGGAGTTTAGAAGTGGTCCTTCTAAGTCGTCGACTTCGATGCGGAGTTTTGGGGCCATGTATGAAAAACCGCGGTAATCCCCCGGTCCGTATGTGTTAAGCCCCCTCGTCGTCAATCTCTCGGGTGTTGAACGGACCAGTGTTTCAGTTTGCCAGGAGTCAATGTCCTCTCTGACAGAATCCGGAAAGTCAGAGCCCGCGTCGACAATCATAGCCACGCCTTTTGACTCCGGTGGTTGGAGGTGAACCCTGGCGCCGAGGAGAGCCCATGTACCGGCACCGCCGGTTACGTCGTCGAGGATGGCGCCGTCTTCGAAGACGAGGCGGTCGATGATGAACATCCCTAGAGTCACCATTAACAGGCTGTCCATAGGTTCCATGCTTTCTGTCATGTCGGAGTAAATGCTGACGTGGAGGTTGAGGGTGAATGCTGGATGCATCTTGTTCAGGGGCCAAGGTTGCATGACATACGCAGGGTACCCGACTCAACGGGACATACAAGTTATTTCTCGCAAGGCATGGAAACAATCAAACAAACCTTATATACTCTTCTATCATCCCTATTCCCCAGTAAACCCTTTATACACGTCGCTGCACGACATCAATCGGGCTGCATACACGAAGCTTACGACGTTGCAGCTTGTAAACATTCAGCCTCGAAATCAACAACCGCGTCGACGATTCGACAAGAACGCTCCATCGACAATCGCGACCCATTGACAGCGGGTTTGTTCGGCTTGCGCTTATACCACGATGTCTGTACAAGACGCTCACGATCTGTTGAGCTCACTGAGAGGAGCTAACAGTATGTTTGACCCTACGGATGTAGCATTGCGAAGGAGGTAGCTGATATGATGATGGGATAGGTACCGAGAAGGAAAGACTGTTGATTGTGGTCAAGACGGAGATTAAGAAGAGTGGAGTTGATGTAGGTGCAACGAGTGAAGGTGCGAGGACATCTGGACTAATTATGGTACTTACAGCCTGATGCGATTCAATTGCTCTTCGAAGCACTCAAGCTGGGTGTTCAATCAGTCAGTCCAACTGTTTCGTTTACATCTCTCACCACACTCACGAACCTAATCAAACGTGTCAACCTCCAAGAACCCGCAAGACTCCGCGCCCCATCATCTACCATCCTCCCCCTCCTCATCGAGCGTCTCGGCGACGTAAAAGACAAGACACGACTTTACGCCATGAGCGGCTTGGTAGAAATGTGGAAAGGTGCGCCGATGGAGACTGAAAAGGTTATGAAGGAACTTGGATTGAGCCACAAGAATTACCGGATCAGGGAACAGAGTTTGACTTGGATCATGGAGGCATACCGCACAAATGCGAGCTTTATGTTCCGATCTTTTGTGCCGTACATGCTGAAGCTACTCGAGGATGCGAATGAGATGGTCCGGGAAACGTCGAAGGAAGTGGTGGTGGAGATGCACCGGAGCGCAGGCAGCGCAGCAAAGGCGGATCTGAAACGCGAATTGCTGAGGAAGAACATCCGAAGGAGCATTGCGACGTATGTACTGTCACAACTGCAACTCGCGGACGCCTCTGAACTCGAGCAATTGAGGGCCGAGGAGGAAGTCGAGGAGAAGCCCGTACAGAAGCGTGTAGCGAGCATGGGCGCCAGCATCGGCACAGCAAGTCACGCACCTTCGAGTGTCGCCGGTAGTGTTGCCTCGACATATGTCGGCAGCATGCCCGGTGGCGAAATGGAGCCCCTCGACCCCGTCTTCGTTCAATCAGCTCGCGACCTCGAACGCGAGATGCAAGACATGCTCCCACCCTTTGAAGGCCGCGAATCCGAACACAACTGGGCGCAACGCGAAAAGAACTGTAATCGAATCCGACAGCTGCTGCGCGGTAACGCGTACAAAGACCATTCAGCTCTATTCCTGGCGCAATTCAAGACGCTGGTGGAGGGTGTTACGAAGGCCATCCAGTCACTTCGGACAACGCTGTCTCTGGTTGGGTGTCAGGTTGTTAAGGATCTTGCTATAGTTGCGGGACCGGGGATTGATCCGTTTGTGGATCAAATGCTAACGGTACAGATTAAGCTTGCGGCTGTTACGAAGAAGATTGCGTCGGCTTCGGCTCAAATTACTACCGCGGTCATTCTTGCGAATGCGTCGTATAATGTGAAGACTATGCAGCATCTCTGGTTCGCGTGCCAGGATAAGAACGTGCAACCACGACTCTACAATACCGGTTGGCTTCGCGTCTTCCTCGAGAGTCACGCGGGCTCCAAATCTCAGATTGAGCATACAGGAGGCCTGGAAGTCCTTGATAAAATTATAAAGAAGGCACTCGCAGACGCCAACCCGCAAGTCCGTGAGGGAATGCGTGAGACATTCTGGAAATGGGCGGATATTTGGCCCGAGAGAGTGGAGGCGTTCATGAAGAGTCTTGATGCGAACACGAGGAAGGCACTGGAGAGGACGAATCCCAATGTTGGTGCTGCGGCGTCGAGCTCGAGACCGGCGAGCGCAATGGAGATGCGTGCGAGTTCCAGGGGTTCGGTAAGGAGTGAGGCCGGTGGATCAGGATCGATGTTGCCGCCGCGTGTTCCACAGAAGGACGGGTTTAGCGCCAAGATTGCCGTGAAGAAGAAGGTCGAGGGTAATGCGCCTCCAGCTGCTGCTGCGCCGGCAGGCGGTCTCTCTTCTGGCCCTATGCGTGGTCTGGGATTGCCTCAGCGACCTCCGTCATCCCTACGAAAAGCCGTGACGAGCCCACCGCCGGCTGATCGAAGGCCTCAGAGCCCGAGTGTCAGCTCGCATGCGACGAATGGTATTTCTGAGCGCCCGAGTCCGTCGCAATTGAAGAGGGATGTGTTGTCTCCTTCGCCTTCAAGACGCATGATGGCGGCGTCGCCGAGAATAGGCGCTGCGTCGCCGTTACGGCATATGTCGCCTACCGCAAGGAGAACGGGGAACTTGTCGGTACTCCAGCAGCTGAACGATGCCGATCCCAAAGTCCGGATTGATGGTATTGTCACGATTGCTTGTCTCTTCGCGAAGAAAACTCCACCGAATGCGCCGAATGGGCAGCCACCTGTTCTACCTCCTGCGGATTTGCTGGGTAAATCACTTCATAGTTTGTTGAATGACCCGACACCGGAAGTGGTGGAGCATTTGCTGGCGCCTGAAGTTATTCCTGAGCTCGTGAAGGTCGTGCCCGTCGAACAGATCGTGCCGAGAGTCTTGTTGATGAGCGAGTCCGACGAGGGCGAGTACAACAACGCTGTCGTTACAACTTGTCTCCCAGCACTTAAACAATTGCTGACCCGGGAAGAGGCAGCAGATCAGACAATGAAGACCATGACCAACATGGGTGTTTCTGGTGTGGTTCCACGTAAGATGTCTGCGTCTGTTTACACAATGACTCAAAAGCGCAAGATCATCCACGGACTTCTCGCCTGGATGAATGAGTTGTTCGAGGACCATATCCAGGAGAAGGAGGTGGGCGGAGAGGGCAATGCCACTCTGAACGAGGAGTATCGGACCTGGGTTAACCGCATTGTTCCTATGATCAAGAATACTAAACCAACGTCGGCTAACTACATCCCTCTGGGTGCTCTCTTGAAGAGCGTCAGGAGGGCTGATCCGGAGACTTTTGATAAGGTTTTGCAGACGTTCGATCGTGACATGGTAAAGGCCTTGCACAAGGCATGGGGAGCCGAGGATGAGGATCACACTGTCACTATTCCAGAAGAGAAGGCCGCCGCAGTTGAGGAAGTATTGGGGAGTATTCCCGAGGTCGGTGGTACGATTCAACCTCCCTCATCTGACTCGGATATGATGCCTCCACCAAGCTTGCCCGTACGAAATAAGTCTCAATCCCCCCCGGCGATATCCGATTCGGAAAAGGAAAAGATGCCGGACTTCTACAATGCACCCAAACCGTCGTTCTTAGACGTCAACAACGGTTTCGACGACGAGAATCTGACTATGATTCAGTTTCCCAAAATAAGTATGGCAGTCATGGCAGTCCCACCGCCGCCTCCACCACCGCAGGTGTATGAGGATAAAGATGCGGAGATGACTGAGGCGCCGACTACGCCGATTCAGGCGGATAAGTTGTTGTTCAACCCTCATATTTCTGTACGGAAGCCGAGGGGTACGTCTCCCGAACGAGAAGCGTTCTTCTCTCTATCACCCGAGAAGGAGAAGAATGGAAACACTTTGGTGCCTGCTGTCGTCGTTACCCCACAAGAGCTTCCTCAAATTGAGAACCTCAATATTGAGGCTAAACCATCATCGGAGCCGAAAGATGAGGTCGTGCCTGGAAGCAGTTGGTTCAGGAGACATATGAAGTCCATGTCATCAGACGAGCCATTACCCGAGGACGCGGAAGAGCAGACGAAGCTCTTGTCGGCTTTGATTGCCAGGTTGAAGGCGAATGAGATCGATAGGCATGATTATAAGAAATTGCAGCAGCTCGCGAGTCAGCATCCCGTTCGTCTACCACAGAATGGCAGCGATGCACCAACACCAGCCGCGGCGTTCGATATTTGGAAAGCGGGGGATGTCTATGATGAGTTGTTGTCCGCTACCCTCGCCTCGCTACAATCTGGCAATAACCGAAAATCTGGTTTATTGTTGGTGAAGCAACTTCTCCATGCTCAGGCACCATATCTCGAGGGTAATGAGCCCGCGTTGATGAAGACCTTGTTGGATGTCAGGGTCGACACCGATCAACACGTCACCACCGGGATCGATGAGACAATGATGGAACTCGTCCACATCATCGACTCACGAAAGGGAACAAAGATCCTCCTCGACTACCTCGTTCCCTACACCCGCGGTAACCAATTCACCCCCTCCCCCCGACCCGACAGCATAACCCTCTCCCTCAACACCCTTGCCTCCTTCCTCCGTCGTGTCCCGCGCGCGGACCTCCAAACCCACATCAACTCCCTCCGTCCCCTCACCATCAAAGCCATGTCTGACGCTGATCCCGAGGTTCGGAGGGCGTGTGTACATGTTTGTACGAGTATGCATGTTGTGTGGCGAAACGATCGGGAGTTGTTTGAGGGGGTTTGGGGGGAGTTGGATGGGGGAAAGCAGAATTTGTTGAAATATTATTTTGAGACGGTGGGGGAGGACTAATTGTGAGAAAAGGGAGGGATATGGGGTGTAAGTTATGTTTAGCGAAGAATTACAGTAATCGAGTTCTAGGGAAGGCGTTCTTGGGATATACACTCGCAATACAATTAATTGTAAATCAATAAGGGCGTTCGGTGCTTGACAGTGACATTTGTCCCGATGACCCGCGGCCGGTGCAACCGTGTGTTCGGTATTTCCTGTGCAATGAACAATGCCGGTACCAATTGATTGCCATAACAAGCCCACGGAGAATTAATAGACGATTGTTTATTGATGCTCGAAACTTTATAACATACACCTCTTCCTCATTTGAAGTTGTCTTTCTGATCCTCCGTCTCGTCTCCAACCTTCCACTTACCGTCCAGGAACTCCTTAGACCACAACATTGATGGGATCCATCGAGCTATTACACATATTAGTCATATATTTCAATCTCTTCCAACAGAAGAATGGGTACGTACATGGGTTGTTATATCTCTTCTCGAGCTCAGCACTCTTCTTAAAGACCCACACGTTAATCAGGAGGATGGCACCCATGGTAAGCGCGGTGTTCATTTTCCAGTTCTTGGGTTGAGACCACCATCCACCTGTTCAAATGCCCGTTAGTTCTCCGTTCCCTGTTCAAGGTGTATGCTGAGATAATGCGAACCTGATGGCGACCAAACGTGCTTCGGGTAAGGGAATCGTGCTCCGCCGCCCTATCAACCAGTGTCAGCATTCACTCCCAAGAACCAGAACAGCCGTCTGTACTGTACTCACCATTGTGATTATTGGTTGATGCTTGCACAGGATTCGCGGGGGGGTCCAGTTGGGCGGTGCGGCTGGACGACAGCAGGCAGGTGCCTGGTGCCTTGTAGGCCGAGAAAGTCGAAAAGTATACGGCAAGTACGCGAGAGTGTTCGACGATATACAATGGCCGCCGCAAGAAGAACAGCGCAGCGCTTGCGCCTGAATGGTTCGCCATTGCCGTTTTTCGAGGCTGTCTTTCGAACGAGCGCTGACGGTCGTTTCTAGGTGCTACCCGCTCCTCGGTGTTCCGGACATCAATCCGTTGCAACTCTTCGTTTTCGCCTGCCTTCTCCGCTGAGCGGGTCTCCATTGAGCAGCCCGTCCCTACTACCTCCCCTCGCCTCGTCGCCCTCCACGCCCGTGTCGGCGCTCCTATCCCCGTAGACACCTTCCTCCGCGCCCTAAACGACAACACCTCCCCCGTTGTCTCCCAACTCGGCACAAACTCCCACCTCAGCCACCTCGGATCCTCCATCCTCGGCTACTACGTCTCCGAATACATCATTACCAAATATCCCCGCCTACCCTCCTCCATCCTCAAAGCCGCCCTCGACGCCTTCATCGGCGTGAAGGCTTTGAAGAGTTTAGCGAGGGAGTGGGGTGTGGAGTTGTTTCAGAAAGATGTTGAGGTGGAGAAGCAGATTGGACGTGTGTTGTTTGGACGTGTGGATGATAGAATTGTTAACCCGGAGAGGGAGAAGGGACAGCAGTATGCCGACGTCGCGGCCGCCACTTTCGTTCGTGCGGTGATCGGTGGTATCGCTCTACACCAAGATCGCAACGCCGCACGAGCTTTCATCGAGGCACATGTTTTGTCGCGTAAGCTCGATGTCTTGCAGCTCTTCGCATTCACGGAGCCCAACCGGGAATTATCCCATCTCTGCAAGCGCGAAGGTATGGAAGCGCCTGTATCACGACTCGTCGCTGAAACTGGTCGTAAATCCCGGTCGCCGGTGTTCGTTGTGGGTGTGTACTCTGGTGCCGACAAGTTGGGTGAAGGTCAGGCATCGTCGATGAAGGAGGCTGAGTTCCGTGCTGCTGCGAATGCGTTGAAGGGATACTATTTGTGGGAACAGAAGGATGTTGTTCTGCCAAGCCAGGCTGGTCCGGATTACAAGGGATCATTTATTGACAAGGGTGAGGTTATTGTGTAGATGGTGTTGTTTTCAGGCAAAAGGATATATTAGGAAAGGAATACACTTAACACAAGCAATCTTCCTCTATCAAGTGAATATTATGTAAAACGTCTACCCCGAAAGCACCAAAAATAAGGACCCATGGCCACGGCCATCATGGCTTTCTAAGCAGCCCTCTCAGAGAACTTGAGCAATAAGTCGTCCATAGGGAAGGTAGTAGCGAAAATGCGGATGTCATCGGAAGTAGGGGTACGCAAATGATCCCAGTCAAGGAACATCGAAGCCTTACCAACACAAGCCATCAAATGCATAACCGCATACTGCTGACCCAAACAAACATGAGGACCAGTTCCGAAAACCAACCAGTTCCTCGGGAAGCTCTCGGCCTTACCCTCAGTCCAGCGCTCAGGGTTCCAGTGGTTGGGCTCGGGGTACGCCTCCTCATCGTGCAACGCGTGCCAGAAAGTGGGGATAATCATCGATCCCTTGGGAACGGTGTACTCGGGGGTAATGGGGTAATCCTTCTTCGCAGCATACGGAACCATCAACACAGGGGGCCTCAAGCGCAAAGTCTCCTTGACGACAGCGCGGGTGTAAGTCATCTTCTCAACCATGTCGATATCCATACGCTTGTTACGGTCACCATCGCGGAGAGCGAGCTGCTCCTCACGAACTTTATCGAGGATCTCGGGGCGATCGGCGAGGTACTGGAAGAGCCAGCACATAGCGGAGGAGGTAGCGTCCTGGGAAGCGAAGAGGAAGGACAAGAACGTCTGGGCAATCTCGGAGTCGGAGAACTCGCGGATGAGGATGGGTGCGTGGCCGGCGGAGTTGGCATCACCCTTCTCCTGGAAAGCTTTGGCCTCGATCATCTCCTTGATCCAAGCGTCCATCATGCAGTTGGGCTCCTCGCCGGCTTGCATACGTGCGCGAGACTTAGCGGACGAAGCCTCGAACTCAGCCAAAACACGGTTGCGAGCCTGGACACCGTACCAGATTTTGGTGTAAGGCAAGACGAGCGGGAAGTTAACGAGCTCCATAGCAGCGGTAATACGCCAGTAATCATCCGAGATAGCCTTGATAGCCGCAGAAGTGATGTAGTCACCACAGAACGTACGGCAAGAAACAGCGACATTGATCTCACGGAAGATGTTCATGTAGGGAACGTGCTTCTCCTTAGACATGGCGAGGAACTCTTTGAAGTACTCATCGTAGACCTGCTCCTGGGCGGGGAGGTAGACACCGAGAGCCTTGCGGGTGAAAAGGTTGTTCAATCCCTTACGATACTCGACGTGAGCCTTACCGTCAAGGAAGACCCAGTTGGTGTGCTTCAAAATCTTCTTTCCGGCATCGACGACACAGGGCTGGACATAAGCAGGCGCGTTAAGAATCTTGCGGGAGAGCTCCTGGGTAGAAGCGATGACAACGAACTTGTGGAAAACGGAAACACAGGACAAAGGTCCAGATTCCCATTTGGCGAGGTAACCCTCGAAGGTGGGGTGCATTGACGCAAGGAACTCTCCAACGATTGGGATAGTCCATGCACGACCAGCAATACCCTGCTTGCGGTTCAAATAACGAATCTGCTCAGCAACCAAGAGAATGGCGAGAGAAGTCGCAGCGACGGTCCACCAGCTCATACCCTTGACGAACTCCCTGAGAGTCGCGACGGCGACGGAGGCCTCGGCGACCTTGAAAGCCGACGCGGTCGCGGTCGCGGTCGAAAAGTTGTTGAAAGACTCCATGGCTCCTAACCTGACCGATATGAAACGACTGGCGGATCAAATCAAGGGATTCCGTTCCAATGAAAGGAGGTGTTTGGGTTTGTTGCTGCCGCAGGTGTTGTTTACTGCGGTCAGTCGCGCCGCCCAACAAATCGATTCGCAGAGCGGGCGACCAGGCACATGTACATCCGGTATCCGGAGCCTTATACGACATGACACGGGTAGTAAACCCTTTGAATTGCTGATATCTCAATAAAATATACCGTCCTTTGTCTATACCCGATTGCCCTTACGGAAAACGGCCAGTGAACCTCTTGAATTACTACTAATGTTTTATTAATATACAAGACACTGTCCCTCCTCTATCTACACCCTACCGCCCTCAGTCCCATCCTAAATCCTGTAGACCTTGTCCTCCGAGATGTAAATCTTACCCTCATCACTCATCTTATCCAACGCAGCCCGTGCCTCCCTAGCAGTAAAGATCTCCTCCTCGGTCAAATCCTTGTTGACTTCAGGCACGATCTCATCAATTGGGCTCGCACCCTCCTCGTCAAAGATGGCCGAGTTAAGGAGCTTACCCAACTGTTTCCGGAAAAGACCAAGACGCTCTGCAGAGATAGAGGTAGCGTCTTGCTGTACGGTATCCTGCTGCGTCTGTGTCTGCGATTGTGACTCAAGCTGCGAACGCTCCGAAGCCCATGACTGCTGAGTGTCTTCATCAACCTCCATGGCATCACTTTGGGTGTTGTGCGTTCTTCTTGGCCGTCTCGAACTCGTAGGCTCTACCTGCTCCTCTTCCTCCTCAACATCCATGGCATCCGCATCGACATCAGTCTGCGCAGTTGTGCTTCTTCCTCTCCTCGCACTCCGTCTCGTAGCCTGGGTATCCTCCTCCGCTTCTTGACCATCCTCATCATCATCACTGCTGCCACTCTCATCAGCAGCACCATCAACATCCATCCTCCTCCTCTTCCGTCTCTCGGGCTCCACGACTTCCTTGAACAACGCAAACCTCAAGATCGCCTCTGCGGCCTTCGCGTCCTTCTCCTCGACCCTCTGCGACAATCGTGCCTTCGCGTGCGCAGTCGACAGACGAATAAGGGTCTCGAGTGTACGCGCAGTCATGGGCGAAGTCTTGCGCTGATTCGCGCCGATCTCGTCGTTACGGAGAGCGCCGTAGGTAGCGACGATATGGTCACTTGCAGCCTTAGTCAAGACAGGCTTAATCCTGTTCTTGGCGTACTGGATGTACTTCTTGATGAAAGGGATACTCAATACCTCCTTCTTCTTATTCGCACCACGGCCAGTGGTGAGAGTTACACCAGCATGCAACATCTCATTGAACTTCTCGAACACGGGTGTCTCGCGCAGCTCAACCTCCTCCACGCCTCCAACGTCCAAACTCTGCTGCTGAGCGCCGTCGCGGACAGGCTCGCCCTCCTCCTTACCCGGAGCGAGGTACCTGTGCATACGCAGGACGTGTTCCGAGATGGCACGATCACGGGCATCGTTGATCTCATCCGTAACAACGAACAACAGATCGAAACGCGAAAGCAAGGAATCCGGCAACGCAATGTTCTTGTGCGGATCCTTGTGCGTGTCATACTGTCCGTAGATAGGGTTGGCAGCAGCGATGACACTGCATCGTGCGTTAAGCGAAGTATGGATACCAGCCTTAGCAATAGTGACGGTCTGTTGCTCCATGACTTCGTGGATAGCAACACGGTCAACATCACTCATCTTATCGAACTCGTCAATACACACGATACCACGGTCAGCAAGAACCATTGCACCAGCCTCGAGCCTCCTCTCTCCAGTCTCCTTGTCAGACGTGACAGCAGCGGTCAAACCGACTCCCGAAGATCCACGACCCGTAGTAGCAATCGCCAGAGGAGCCGTGTTCAACACGAAACGGAGCATCTGAGACTTAGCTGTAGACGGGTCACCGACCATGAGGATATTGATATCACCACGGATATGCGTTCCATTCTCCAAGTTCTTTTCCATACCACCGAGCAACAGCAGCAAGATCGCCTTCTTGATGTGATCGTGTCCGAAAATCGATGGTGCCAAGGATTGTGAGAGGAGCTCAAAGATATTGCGCTTCTTCGAGATCTTGTTGATGTTGCGGATATCGGTATCAGTGATCGTAACCTGCGCGATACCTCCTCCAGCCTTCGACGAGAGCAACATGACATTATTCGCAATCAACAACGTCCTGAACGTTGCGCTGCTCGACGACGGATTGCGGTTACCAAGTGTACGATACTGCCCAACAAGCTGGATACGATCTCCAGGCTTGACACGATCAACCAAGTCATCATCCATGATCACATCAATACTTCTCGGTAACTGACCCGCAGGCGCTCGCTCTGGCATCTCCTGAATCGAAATCGTTTGGTGGTCACGATACGTCGAATACCCAAACTCCGTAACGAGCGGATTCCCATCCGCATCCTCAGTAGGATAAATCGATGTCGTAGCCGGCGCATTCCCACCCGTCATCGTCTGATCCCGATACTCACGGTAATGAAACAACTTCGTCTCCTCACAATAATGCACAGACTTAACAACCTTCGGTCGCACAAGCGAACACCTCGTCACGATTCCCTCAAGCGAAATCAACTTTCCCAAATGCTGCGCACGGAGTGTTCGTGGATTGACGTGATGATCCCCGAAACTCCCGCGGAACGCAACGTAGAACACGGTATCCACCGTAACCTTATGCCTCGTCGGATCCTGTACCGTATTGACAACATCCTTGAGCGCCATATCAAACGCGGGTAAATAATCCGACGGATGGTTCAAGATCCCATCTGAGTATTCTCGGTTGTAGTCCCGGATCTCGTCGAGGGAGACGACGAGGCGGCGTTCGCCTATGTTGAGCATGCGCTTGATCGCGTCGCGGTAATTTGTGCGGCCGACTTCATCGGTTTGGTGGTCGAGGAATTCTTGGAAGACGCGAACGCGATCTTGGAAGGCCTGGTCTTGGAGGATTGGGAGGTCGGCCATGGTGGTGTTATGCAATGTAGGGTATCAAATTGACGCGTCGGTGGAGTTGCACTGAAATCTCTCACAGACGATCACGAAAGCGGTATATGGAAGGCAACCAAGCGACGCGATATGACCGAGGAATCGTCGTCAAAACTGGGCAATCTTTCGTGGAAACACCGGGGATGAATGGGGGGTCTCTCTGGTGTTTTGCGTGCGGTCAGTCCCCAAGCTGGGTTCACTAATTACTCCGAATCGGGATAGTCCAGTAAACAAACTCATTTAACCCGAGCGGGGATATTAACAGGATTCTCAATAAAGCCCAAAGTCTTGGGTATATTCATACCTTATCCTCTCCTAACAAAGCAACAAACCAATCTACTCTTACACCTTCATCTTCACCTCCGCCTCCCCACTCTTCACAACCCTAGCCTTCTCCCCCTCCCTCAACTCAACCCCCAACATCTCCTTCAAATCATCCGCCGCCTCCCTCAAATGATACCACATCCTCTCATTCTGCAAATGCTTACTCACGATATTGAAGTTCAAAGAGTCGCCGTTGACCATGTACGCGATTCCGTAGCCATCGGAGACGACCTCGCCCCAGCCGTAGCCGGTAAAGTATTCGGATGAGAGTTGGGAGGTGGAGAGGAACCAGTGGCTCGAGTAGGAGTATGCCGGGTCCTGGAAGATAGCAGGCGTAGCTTCACCCTCCTTGAGAACCTTCTTCAGACCATAGAGATGGCGATCAACGCCCTGCCCCGCACTCGCCTCCACAGTCAACCTAACATGCGTAGCCGCAGCCTTCCGGAACAACTCAATCTTCCTCTCCACAGATGCATTCGAATCCTCCATCGCGCGACACCACGCAACAACATCATCCGTGACAGTCCTAATCGTCTCTGTCCTCCCCAACTTGTATGCACGAGTCGCGGCGGATTCGTACGTGGGTTTGTTGACGCCGTACATTTTGTAGTAACCGAGTTGGATGACCATTTGTGCGAAAGCGTCGGGTGAGCACTTGAATTTCTTAATGAGGTTTTTGCCGTAGCCTTGGTAGTTCAAGACGCGCAAATCGTGCTCGGACTTTAGCTTTTCGAATGTCGCTTCGGCGCTCTTGATCTTCTCGTTCACCTCTTCGTTGATAGCGAACTTCAACTCTTCCGGCTTCGGCAACCCAGTGCGGGGGGTGGGGTTGCCGTAATCAAGTTTGTTCTCAGCAATCTGTCGACAAACCCAATCATTCATCCTCCAAGTCGGCGTACCATCCATCATACTGTGCTCTCCCAAAAACCCACTCTTCCCATTCTCACAAACCACGAAATGGAGCGGTTTGTCGTACCACCTATTCGCGCCATCACCATGCCAGTACTGACGTGCCTGTTCTTCGAGCGTGACGGGGGTTTGGTCATCAAGCGACACAACGAACGACGCAGCCTCGATTTGTTTGATAAGGGAGGCGTTGTCGGGGGATGCGGAGAGGAGTGCGGAGCGGGATTTGACCCAGTTGTCGCGGTAGTCGGAGGTCAACGCGCCGATTGCGGGTGCACGCTCGGTTCCGGCCATTTGGTAGATCAGCTTGAATTGCGCTTCCAACTCGGCGGCAGAGAGTTGCTTCCCATCGACCTCGTGCAGGACTTTGAAGAACTTGTTCTTACGCACGACGACGATATGCTTGTGCTCCTTGAAGTCATACTTCTCCGAATAATCCTCGCCCTCGGCGGGGATACGACAAGCATTGAACGCCCACTTGTAGCTACTCATCGCAATCGGACTCCCCTTCATATATTCCGGCTCCAACGTCTTCTCATCAACCTGCTTCTTAAACTCGAGCACACCCGTCGTGAGCGCCGCAGCACGCTTGGCAGGGTCACGACGCAAACGGTCATCTTTGTGCGCGTAAAAGTAGGAAACGAAGAAGACGACTGGGTCGCGGTATGCCATGTACGCACCCGAATCCCACCATTCTGCGAGCCAGTTTTGGCAGGTGGGGTCTTGTGCGCGTTGGACCAAGCGTTTTTGGAGTTTCTCGCCTTCGCCGCCGGGTTTGACGAATTCGCGGATAGCGGCCTCGGACTGTGCCCCACATCCTGGTTAGCAATCGCGATTGAATGAAATGGGAGACCGGGAGAGGCACCTTCTTGAACTCCTCCTCACTCAAAATGGGATGCAAACTCTTCAAATACTTCGCGGCAGTCTCCGCCAACTTCGGAACGGGCAATGTCGGCAAACTCTCCTCAAACCTCAACATCGCACCCTTCGAATTGTCTTCCTTGATACCCGGTGCCCACTTGGCCGAGGCGGCAGCGGCAGTGTTGTGTCGTACGAGGGTGGGGGCTGACATGTGTTGCAACTTCAATTGGCTGAACGGGAGGCGGTGTCGTGTCGTGCTGAGGGATCTGAGCATTCCTTGTATTGACGAGGGGAACGGGGGCTGTATGCTGCCTTCTGCTCGACGCGGCGATTCTCCTTCTTAAGCGGGTTCTCCTCCCTCGGCGCATCGGCGGTGGAGCGATGTCATGCGGGGAGTCGCCCTGGCATCCACGCTCGGATTTGCGGAGAGGAGATTTCGGTGATTTGCTGGCAGCGACGAGCAACCAAGAATAGAATGTCCGCCAGCGCAATCGTCCTCGAGAAAGACTTCCTGATCTCCGCTACAGACAACGCAAACTTTGACCGCGTCACTCGAATCTCTGCCTCGACGCCCGACGGGGACATCGACATCCAGCTCGACATCAACTCGGAGATTTACCCTCTTGAGGAGGGAAGGAAGATCAGACTCGTCCTCGCAAAGACCTTGGCTTTGGATGGTTCAAGAGACGTTAATGCCGAGGGTCGGGGGTGGAGGGAGACTTCTGAGGTAACGCTTGCCGAAGGTATGCATATTGGACCAAAACCGTCAACTCTTATGCTCATTTGGTTTTTCAGAATACGAATATGTCTGCTACGGAAAAGTCTACCGCCACGACGAGCACGGAGACACTGATTTGATGTAAGTTGCACCTTGCGCCCCGTGCAACCTGCAACACGGCTACTCGACACGATGCTGACACAGTCTCCACAGCTCGGTGTACATCTCCTTCGGTGGACTGCTACTCATGGTCAAGGGAAACTACAAAGACTTGCAGGGTCTCAATCAGGACAACGTATATTTATTGATCAAGAAGCAGTAGGGCGAATCACACGGCGGGGCGAAGGAGGCAGCATGGATCATGCATCCCTGACGGAAGTAACGAAGACCACATTCACAAAAGTACGCGTGCATGGAAGCGATGGTGCTCGCGCTTCGTACAGCCTAAGAGCGGGCTGCAATAATCTAAAAACATTCGAAAATATAGACGTTTCTCATCGCAATAGCTTTGCAATTGTCCTGAAGAGTGATCTGTGGATAACCTGATGTTCGGATCTATGGCAGAGGTAACTCGACACCATCCCTATAATACCCCCCAAAATCCATCCTCGCCTGTAACTCCTGTAACCCCTCACTCCCCTTCTCCTCCAACCTCCTCAACACCCTCAAAAACATCCCCATATACCTCCCAAACCTCTCAACCAACCCCTTCACCTCCTCCTTCCCTTCCCGTTCATTCTCCCCCCGTTCTCGTACAAGTTTGTTGTACTCCAGAATAACCCCAAACATCCCTTCCACCAACTTGAGAATCGGCGCTTGTCGTTTTCCTTGGAGGGATAGAGACAGCATCTTATCCAACATCGCATCATGCGCGGCCATTAACCCCGCGAGACTGAGGCCCTCCACATTCCCTTTCTTCACCTTTCTCTCGATACCACTCAGTTCATCCATAAAGGCTTTCCACGTCGCACCGACCGCGACATCAAACACGAACCCAACAATCCCAGCCACGAAATGCGCTACCTCAACCCGAAACCTGACCTCCTCTCCTCCAATCCCAATCTTCGTCGCCATCGTGGCTCGGGGAAAGTTTCGTACAGTGCGATCCAGACGAACTAAGACGAGTAGGAATCTCCACATGGACGCATACCTCTCTACCACCTCTCCCCTAAACACCGTCGTGTTTAGGGGATACTCTCCCCGCCAATGCACGCGCAGCCAATCCAGCGCATGCAAAGAATCCGGATCACTCCACTTCGCGACGACCATATCCCCATTCTCGTCGTTGTCCGTGGGCTCAGGCTCCACAACCCCGAACGAAATCCGATTATTCTCCTTGCCCCCCAACCAAACCCCATCCAACGCCCCCACCAACCGTCCCCCACTCGGCGGCCACCTCCCCTTACCACCATTTCCGAGCCCGAGCCCATTGGCGCCAAATACACCCTCCCTCAACGTACCCACAAACCGTCCATCCCCAAATAACCCGAACCTCCACCATAACTCGAGTTCGTGTCGGAGGTTGAGGTCGTGCAGGAAGAGATCTAGGGTTGCGGTTTGGATGAGGCGGGATTGCATGGCGAGGACGCGTTGGAAGGCGTGGTGTGCGATTGTGTCGAGGGAGGGGGGGTTGGAGACGGTGATATTGAGACTCGTGGCGGCATCGGTGGGTTGGGGGGTGGTGGTGGTGGTGGTGGTGGGAGGTGCGGACATCATCTCGCGTAGATCGCCAATGATGGTTTGGAGTTGCTCTTTATCCATTTGCCACATATCCATATCCATCTCATCCCTCCCCACCTCCTTATCCTCAACTTCAACCTCCATTTCCACATTACCATCCGAACTCGGAGTAACAGTGTTCTTATTCCGATATGCCTCCAACACATCCCTCATCTCCCTCTCATACCTCCTCACCCCCTCCCCCAACCTCTCCAAATCCTCCCACATAAACTTCCACTCCAACTTCAACTTTGTCATACCCTCCATCGCACCTCCTTCTCCATATTGACACAAAGGATGATCGGGTTTGCAGGTTTTGATAAGTTCGAGTGACTCCCCGGATCCGAGTGTGCGGAGAGCGTCGGTGTGGGAGAGGAAGGGGGGAATATGGGATTGTTTGAGGGTGTATCCGTCGCCTTCGGCGTTGGCGGAAGTGGGTGTTTTCTGGATGAAGAATTCTTTCATGTCAGATAGGGCACCACGCGAACGCTCCCGTCCCATATGCATCCACTTCTCCAACCTCTCCAGGTACGGCACACTCGTCCGCTGTAACACTCCATATAACACTGGTCGCAGTACAGAGCCTTCCAACCACTCATTCGCCTGCGCCATCTCGAACACTTTCTTCAGTAGTTCAATGCCGATGCGGATTTCGTGTTTTTCGTTGACGAACGCAATTTCGGCGAGCATTTCCAGGATGGCGTGCACAGGCTTGAAGATCGCCTCCAGCATTAACAACCCCCTGTTTGTCGGGATATCGCGTATCTCGGAGGTGAGTCGACGTCGGAAGTCGTCGAGGAGGACAGTAACGCATTCACCGAACGCAACGGCCGTAGCACCGAACTCCTCCGGGTTGCCCTTTATCTCGACACATGCTCCCTCTAACATCCGGAAATTGGCACCGCATGCTTTCGGCATTTCTGTGATTCCGGCCACGCTCTCAACAGTACATCCAGTCACTCTGACTCTCTCCTCGCAATCTTCCCAATACCTCGTGTCGGCGTTCCATTTCCATAACACGCTTTCTCTTCCCAACCCCAGCTCAGCGAGAGATCGGAAGAATTGGGTAGACTCGATGGGTGTGCCGGCTGCGTGCGGGTCGTAAATGTTGTTTAGTGCGCGATGTAGGACAGCGTCGAAAACCTCCGCCGGATTCTCAGTGAGAAATGGCGATTGGACTTCGGCGGATGGTTTTGATGCGAGGTAGGAGTCCCAAGTTACCAAGCGTCCTCGTGCGGGTTGTTCTGGGATTTGTGAGGCGAGGTTCCAGATATCTAGCTGCTGCGACTCATTGGGCTTTGCTTCGTCGCTCTCGGGGACGGAATATGTCGTCGCTCTGCTATTGTCCGAGTCTTGTCCATCGTCTAGCCAATTGAAGTCGTCTACGGCGACGTGCGGTAGCTCGAGTGCCGGTAGCTCTTCTTGTTGACGCTCTTTCTTCAGCGGTTCCTTAGGGTCGAGTGAGAGTGCAGCGAACGCGTCAAGGAATGGTGCTGTGTACAACTTAGCATATATCCATCACATTGATCACCGAAGACCCTCACCTTCCTCCGCCTCCACTGTATGCGACGCGCCAACATGCCCTGCCTCAAACACAGCCCCAGCATCCTCAAACCCCAACGGACCCTTCCTTAAATCGCCCAAGCCAAAGAAGTCCAGTTCCTCAGCACCAGAATCTCCGTAATCGTTCATGCTGTCATGCCGTATTTCCCAGCGTAATTGATTGTATGCCGGTCTTCAAGGTCGTACATGGACAGTCGCGGTCGCGTTCAGGCACGCCCTCGCGTACTCCAACCATCCCATAAAACACCGGGAACTCCAAGATGTCGACTCAGGAGGCAATGGAGTCGAAGGACGAGGTCATGATGGATGCGCAGCTCGCCCCGGTCGCAGAGGACGCAGACGAATGGACCGCAGACGAGGAGATCGAGCTCCTGCGGCAGGTATGCCGGTACAGACCGGTAGGTAAGAGATTCATCGACATCTTCATACAGACGGCGAATTTGACACTCTGACAGGCATACACAAACATTTCCGCATGGTTTCCATCGCAAAGAACCTCAACGGTACCTCCGCAGACCCAAAATACCCAATAAAGCGGATATGGGCGAAACTCGCAACACTCTACGACCTCCAAAAGTTAGACGAGTTGGATGCTGCGAATCCCGATACACCAGACGCTTCAGTCCCAACGACGCCTGCGACCAACGCACCTGATGTTATCCCAGATACGCCATACACAGAGTTCACCCTTCCAGTAGTGCAATACGGTGACCTCATGTTACGACATGCCAAGGGTCAAGACGATGACGGTATGTCACTCGCGACTTCGCCAGCACAACTATCAAACTACACGTTCACCAGCAAAGGACGGAAACGAGGTGGATCTGTTGGTACTGGGACAGTCGCGAGCGAGGATGAGGAGGAAGAGACAGAAGGCGAGGAAGAAGAGGAGGAGGAGGAGGAGGGGAGCGCAACGACAAGTCCAGCAAGGAAACGTGGAAGAGGTCGAGGCGGTGCACGAGGTGGACGCGGACGGAGAAAGACGTTGGGAACAGAAGATGACGCACCAGAAGACACCCCAACAAAGCCAACACGAGGAAGAGGCCGTGGACGGGGCGGCAGAGGACGGACAGCAGCAGCAGCAGCAGGCACAAGATCATCAACGCGAAGCACAAAGAAATAAGGAAGGCGCCGGAAGGATGACACATATGCATATCGATATCACGGATAACAAACGATATTATACCACTCTTCTAGCGTAGCTCATAACACGGCCTATCTCTCTAACCCATGCAAAACGACGTTTACAACGAACCCGGTATCCTTAAATCCGAAAATCCTTTTCTTTACATCTCAACTTCTCCCTTTTCCACGCTCACAAACGCTTAGTCAACGTTCATGTCGTCCGCAGGAGGGGGCGGCGGAGGAGGAGCACGTCCACCGGTACCGACCTCACCTGACTGAGCAGTCTGCGTAGGCTTCTTGTTACCAGCAGCCCTGCGAGCCAACTCCTCCCTCGCCTTCCTCTCCTTCTCCATCTCCTTCTCCTTCTTCTCGTTCTGAGCATCCAAATATCTCTGACGGATCAATCCACCAACCCTCATCAAGTCCTCCATCTTGGCGACGTACTTGGCCTTGGTGCTCTCGTATCCCTCATCGTACAACCAGTCCTCGGTCTTCATCAACAACTCCCTAAGGTTCTCCTTCTCCTCGTCAGAGGCGAAGGCAGCGTACTCCTCCTCGAGCTTACCACGGATGTCGTAGATGTACTCCTCAAGAGCGTTCTTGCGGTCCTCGGTGTCAGCAACGAGCTTGTCCTCAGTAGTCATAGCCAACTCCTGCTCCTTGTAGGCGAGCATGTGAGAATCGTCGGCGGCCTGCACAGACGAAACGACCTGAAGGTCACCAGTCTTGATGAGCTTCTTGACGATGCGGGTCTTGGGGGCGGACTCGTCAATCTCCATGGGCTCCTCACCCTCCTTGGTCTCGGGCTGGGGAATGGGCTCCTCGACCTCCTTCTCCTCAACAACGTAGGCCTGCTCGATGTTCAGGATACCGTGGAGGTTAAGGCGGGCCTTAACCTTGACCATGGAGAAGTCGTCCTGGGCGTTGGGGGTGACGCCCTTGATGGAGTACTTGCCGATCCAGGGGTTGATCTGGCCGGGAAGGAGCTCAGGCTGAGCATAGGAAGCCTCGATGTCGAAGTCGGCCTTGCGGTAGAAAGTGAGGATCTTGGTAGAGGGAACGGCGTTGTTCTGGCCGAAAACCTCGAGCTCGGTCTCCTCATCGGGGATGTCGGCAGCGGTCTCCCAGGTGAACTTGATGGGGTAGGCGGTGACGTCGTGGACCTGGAAGTCACGAACACGGGTAGTGGGGGAAAGGATAGCGCAAGCGAAAGCAGCACCACGGGCGACACCCTCGTCAGCGTTGAGAGTGAAAGAGAGGGGCTTGCCGAAGTAGGACTGGATAGCCTCCTTCAAGGCAGGGACACGGGTGCATCCACCGATAACCTCAACGGAGTCAATGTCCTCCTTGGTAAGACCAGCGATGGACAAAGCCTTCTCAATAGGGGCAGTAGAGCGCGCAAGAAGAGGCTTCATCAACGCCTCCAACTCCTCACGCTTAAGCTGACTAGAAACATCGACATCGTTCATGATAGACTCAACGTTCAAAGGAGCAACAGAGTTAGCAGACAAAACCTTCTTCAACTTCTCAACAGCAGAGGTCAAACGGACCAAAGCCTTAGGGTTAGACTTTACATCAACCTGACCCTTGTACTTGGACTTGAACTCCTCAGCGAAGTGGTCGACGAGGACCTTGTCGAAGTCGCGACCACCGAAGTGACGGTCGTAGGCGGTAGCCTTGACGACGAGCTGACCCTTCTTGAACTCGCAGATGGAGACGGAGTAGTCGGAGTGACCAACGTCGACGATGGCGACACGGCGGGGCTCGTCCTCAGGGAGGTCAGTCTTGATGATACCGTATCCGAGAGCGGCGGCGGTAGTGTCGTTGATGATACGGAGGGTGTTCAATCCAGCAATCTCAGCAGCATCGAGGACACCACGGCGCTGAATGTCGGTGTACCAAGCAGGAACGGTGATGACGACGTCAGAAACGGCAGTCTTCAACTCAGCAGAAGCAGTCTGCTTGATCTTGGAAAGGTAACCAGCCAAAAGCTGGGAAGCGGTAAAAGTCTTCTCCTCACCGAGGTACTGGACCTTAACACCGACCTGACCATCGACCTCAACGAGGGGAGCACCAACGTACTGCTGCTCAACCTCCAACACATCAGGGTCGTTGTAGTTACGTCCGACCAATCGTTTCAGAGAGCCAACAGTGTTCTTGTAGTTGGAGATCTCATTCGTCTTCGCAGATTCGCCGATGTATCGCTGTTTAGGACCGAAGGCGATAAGGGTGGGAGTGGCACGGTTGGAGACCTCGTTGACGAGGATGTCGATACCACCGCGACGAGCGACGGCGACGACGGTGCTCAAGTTACCCAAATCAATTCCGACGACAGACATATTTGTTCGTGTTGTACGAAATGGTTTTGCTTTTGGCCGTCAACGCTTGCGGGACTCAAACTTCTTCAATCGCGCTGGCCTCGATGCACGTGCCCTGACGCAGAAGACCGGCACCGAAATTTCGAGCCGATTCGAGATTATGTCACTGGAGTCGCCTTCAATTACTGTGAATTACGTCTCAATTCGGTATCGATATTGATATTCTTTAGAAGCCACCCTCTAATCCCTCCAAGAACCGTCATCTTCTCGCAAGCTCATGCCGCACCCAATCCGCAAATACTCAATTCCCTCATCTGCTGCAACACAGTCTCGACCTTCTGATCCAAGACTCCATGCGCATACTCATCCCTCACACTCGGATCCAAATACTGCTGAACCTGCGCCAACCTCTCATACCCCTCCTGACAAAACCTCAACTGAATCTTGACCAAAGCCTCAAACGACGGATCCAGATACGGCACTCGCAAGTCGATTAGTTGTGGTAGTTCGTTCGTGAGCTGTTCGTTGAGTGTTTCGTAGATTTCCTTTGCTTGCATTGCTTCTTGTTCGGCGCGGGGGAGCTTGACGACGTCGTCTGAGGGTTTGTCGGTCAACTTGCGAACCTTTGCTCGTAAGGCGTCGTAATCCAGAAGTTTGTGATTGCGTTTCTTAATCGCTTCGTTGATGTCGGGGAAGTACGCACAGAAGCGGGAGATCGGTTCAAGAACCGTAGTTCTGTATGGTCCATCCTGTACGCAGTGGTTAGCGGTGATCTTTGCGTTTTCTACCACAATTACCGCATACCAGCTCCTTCACCGTCTCCGAATCCAGCTCTTCAACTGCTTGTCGGTAATACCGCGAGGTGTCATCCGTCGTCGCAGCCTCTCCATAAAACGCATCAACAGTCTCCGCAATTCGCGTCTGCGACGCAGTCATTGCTGTTATAGAAAGTCAGCACATAGCAAACACCATGATCCGTCTCTTTATAACATACATCGCAGAGAATCAAGATATCCCTTCGCTTCCTTCTGCAACTTATTCGCTGCGGTTTCCATCCTGCACATCCAAGATCAGTCAAACTTGCACCAACAAGCAAACAGATCATTAAAAGCGCACGTTCTGAACCGCCTCTCCTCCATCTCGTAATCACGATCAATCGTCTTCTCCACCTGTCCCGTCTTCATCATCACCTGCGTTCCGGCGCGGTTGACCGCTTTCTTGAATCCGTGCCTGTAACATGTTAGCCATACTGCTTGTGTCAATCGGCGGGCGGTTCATATCACCAGCTCATTGTGCTCTGTTATGCTGTTCGTCTCTGGGAGTGTATGCTGTTCGTCTCTGGGAGTGTATGCTGTTCTCGTCGTTGTCGATGACCCGCTGGCGTCAAGCTGCAGGCCAAGCCACGCTTCGGCACCGGGAAAGCGCAAAGCCAGGCAGGGCACACCGAGGTGAATATGGGGGAGGACTGCGAAAGAGGGGGGAAGTGAAGGGATGGGTTGCGGCGATTGTTATAATATTGCACACCTCTTTTTCTGGAAGGCTCATGTTGAGATATAGGGATACTCTGGAGTGAGCATATGGCGTGGGAAAATGAGACAGACAATGTTTGATCTGTAAGTTGTATAATGCATCATAATAAATACCAACTATCGTAATAATACACACGCTTATACGCACATGCTCCTTCCTATCGTCAACATGATCGACAGGAAAGGTCCCTTATATAAAGTGTTCACATCCAGAATGTCATCTTTCACGGAATAGCAACAACACTTGCATTGGAGCTCGTGGTGCTGTTAACCGAGGTTCCGTTCCCGACAACGTTCGTCGCATTCGCATACTCGCAAACACCCTGTCCACTCTCACCCCAGTTGATACAGGTCGCACCACCGAAAGAAGTAGAGAGGGCGTCGTTGCAGTTGACCGGGTAAGCAGTTCCTATATCACCACGCCATCAGCACTTGCTTCTCACAACGACAGAGAGGGTGGCATACCGTTGAAGCACATAAGAACAACATAACTCTCAAGCTCCGAGCAGACCGTCTTAGTACACGGATCATACGCCCCATCATCAGGATCATTCCACCCCGGAAGCGCATCTTCCGTAATATCATCCTCATCCTCATCCGTATCCGCAACCTTACTCAACCCCATCGCCTGCACCCCCTTCGAACTCTTCAAAATCGGTCCAGTACTCTTACCCGCAGAGTAGTTAGAAGCTCCAACCTGACAAGCACCCACAGCAATATCATTCCCCGACGTCAAAACACATGCCGCGGCACCGAGTCCCCCGAGGACGTCGTTGCAGTTTAGGAGGACTTGGGTGTGGTTTGCGCAGATGGAGATTACGTCTGATGCTGCGCATTGGTTGCCGCCGTTTGTTGGGCAGTAGGCGCCGGAGGTGAGGTTTGAGTTGATTGTGGCGGAAGAAGACGACGCGGAGTTGGATGAGGAGGTAGAGGCGGAGGAGGACGAGGAAGTGGTGGTGGATGGGAGGTCAGCGATGGGGCCGACAGGACCAGTGTTGACAGGTGCTCTGGCGGTAAGCACGACGTTCGAACTCGTCACAGAGGAGCTCGAAGATGTAGCATTCACATATGAATGCAATGGAGAAGCGAGAGCCAAGGAGGCAAGAGTCGAAAGTTGAAGAAGTGTAGCCAACATCGTCAAGGTGTTGCGATTGCAAAAAGGACGGGGTGTATGCTACAGTGGGAGCACCCGGAGGTATTTATCATATTCACAGGAGCAGATGTCAAAGAACGCGATAACGTCCGAGCATGCACAATGAAGCGAGCTGAAAGGACCTTGGCATCCCGTGTCTCCTTTAACGAGATTACACAACGGGGATCATCGGCTACCTGACCCAACTGCGTCTGTTTGTTGTCGAGTTCGATTTTCACCGTTTGACTCAGGATGGTCCGAGGTAGACCAGGGAGAAAGCACGGACGTCACCGCTAATTACTGTAGGGTCCGCTCCAGGCATGCATCCGAGATGAGCTGAGGTCGCCAAAAATAGTAACAGCGCGGAAGCTTATAAGCATTGCATTTCATTTCGAGGCCCATGCACTTTCAGTTTTCATATTCATGAACTCAGATCCAGCTGGCGATAGCTATCCATGATGAAGTGTCCTAATCCCCATCCTCTGTCTCCCACGGTCGGAAACCCCCTCAACACTCCGCCAATAACTCTGGTCCTTGTTCGAATTTTGTGTGCGTTCCTCGCTTTCATAGCCCCCACTCTCACCATCAACCTCATCCTCATCTTCGTCCTCCCACTTTCTCCACCGTCCACTCCCTCTCCTTGTCCTCATCCCCGACCCCGTAGCCCCTCGGTTGACCTCGATAGCCGGACTGACGGGCGAGCTCCAAACGTCTTCTTCATCCTCCTCCTCCTCCTCCTCCTCCTCATGAATAGTCTGCACAGGACTCGTCGCACCCTGTCCACCTCCACCCGCAACTCCGCTCCAGCTAGCACTACTCCTCGGAAACGGTCTCGGGGGTGTAACATACCCAGCCGGAAAATCCGTCGGCGTACTCGGCCTTCCGCTCTCCTCCTCCCAGCTCCATCCCCACGTCGCCAACACATTCTTGGCGACGATGGAGACTGTGCGGAGGATGTGGTTGAGGGCTGTGTAAAGGAGTGCATCGCCCACCGCGGCAAAGGCACCGATGATGAGTCCGATTATGGCGGCGCAGCCCAGGAAAATGTAGACGGGATACAACATTCCCACGAACCCACCGAGAAGCCGAACTGGAGCCATGAGTGCGGCCCAGACGAGTTGTACCATGACCGTGACGGGGCGGAAGACAACATGGAGCACGCTGATCAGGACGCCGAATGGCCAGATGATCCACTTCCCCATAGTCTTAAGTTTAGGGAGTGAGAAGAGAGCAAGGGAGGGTGCGCGGGCATCAGGCTGTTCCGTTTTTGCAATGGGGAGGGCGGGATGATTGCTTTGCGGAAGGGGCTCTGCGAAGACTGGTTGCATCACAGGTGCAACTGGTGCTGGTACCGCTGCTGGTACTGAGTGTGCGACACCGACTCCACCCGCCGGACCCGCACCACCCACCGCTGCAGCATGAGGGACAGGCGGAACAGCTACAGGCTGTGGTACAGTATGCGGCTCCAAGACCGCACCGACCTTCTCCACAACGCTCCCTGGCACGACCGGTGCAACTCGATCGGACTTCAACATACCCGCCTGGACGTTATGTGCGGCATTCGCGACTTGAATTGCCGCGGCGGTGGGAACTGGTGCGAGAGGTTCGGAGACGTGTGCAAGAAGACCCATGAGGATTGCGAGGAGGGCGAGGGCTATGCCGACGCCGGCGGTATTGCGGAGGTTGCCGCGGGTCGGAGTATGGAGGTCTATTCGGGTTGGGCGAGCCATTGCTGTCGATGAAGGAGCATAGGTGATTGATAAGATGACCTGACTTCACCCTGATTGATCTTCGAGGGAGAGGGTTGGTCTGAGCGTCGAGGGAGAATCCTGGGTGTAGCATCCGAGAGTCGGCCGGGGTATGGCATTACATCATATGTCAAGTAAAATACAAACATGGCGAACCCCTTATCCTGAAAGAGTGTTAGACATAAGAGAAACTCGCCTCGAGACTCTTCAGTGTCGGTCTGGGTATGACCCCACACTTGAGGTTCCCCCGCGGGTCCAGGACTTCGTACAATCCTCAACAACATCAAGACAAGGACGAACGAACCTATCAAACAGCATACACCCCTCCTCAACTACTACACACAAAGCGCGGATCTCACACTCTTTTAAAACATTATGGGTAACTCAACCTCCGCCGAACAGCACGCTCGCGCAGGCAAGCCCCGGGACTCCCGTGCCCAGTCCCAAGAATCGTCATCCTCATACTCATCAAATGAGAAACCGTCAGCAGTAGCCGTCCTACAATCACTCAATACTCGTCTTCGCTCTGGCACCGATGCGTCAGCGCGGTCTTCCCCGTCCCACTCCCCCACTGTAGGACACGGGAAGGTATCCTTCGAGGATGCATTCAGCAAGAGAATGGATCTAGGCGGAAACGCGGGCGGTTTCGGCGGCGGATACCCGAGTGACTGGATGAACATGATGAGGGGTAGTGCGCTTGCCGGAAGTGCCGTAACTGAGGACGTCCACGGCATGATCCTCCCTCCCGACTCCCGTCGCGCAAGCTATGTCTCCAGCACCGTCGATGATGACGACGACACCTCCATCGACGCAAACCTCCAGGAAGACGGCAACACCGTCCCAACCTTCATCAAATGGTCCGGTAGCCACGCACACAAAGTCAGCGTAATCGGAACCTTCAACAACTGGCGCATCAATATCCCGCTCACGAAGTCCGTCCATGATTTCTCAGCGGTGATTCATTTACCGCCTGGTGCGCATCGTCTCAAGTTCTTGGTGGATGATGAGTGGAAGTTGTCGAATGAGTTACAAACAGCTACTGACTCCTCCGGGAATCTACTCAACTACATCGAAGTTACGCAGAAGGACTTGAACGCCGTAAGGAATGCGGGAAAACAGCCATCGAATCAACTCCACAAACCCAGACGGCCACGGAAGGAGAAATACACATCCGACATCCCCGCCTTCTTCCAAGAAGCCTTCGACGTATCTCAACGCGCCGCCGCCGAAGCCGACGCCTCCCCTGAACCGAGCTCCCCACCCCCAACAACCACTCACACTGAATCTATCTCCCACGGTTCCCCATCCTCCTCCCATTCTTCGATCACCTCCGAACAAGACGCCGATCCAACTCCGCCCTCGCTCCCACCTCATCTCGAAAAGGTCATTCTCAACACGAATTCTTACTTGAAGGAGGACGCGAGTGTTTTGCCGAACCCGAATCATGTCGTGTTAAATCATCTGGCGGCCAGTTCGATCAAGAACAATGTCCTTGCTACAAGTGCGACGGTTAGGTATCATCGAAAGTATGTTACCACGATTTTGTACAAGCCGGTTGAGTTGCCGGCTATGGATTGAAACTGAACGGGCAATTGGAATGATGAAGAGATGAGAGTGGTGTACGATAGGCCTAGGATGAGATGAGGAGTGTCATTCGTTGAGGGATGTGCGAGTAGCTAGAGCGGTCTATATTCTTAGAGCTTTTGGGATCACTGGTGTTTTTGGGATTATCGGTGAAAATGATAACTTTTGAGCAAAGAACCGTGGACATCGTGACGATAATGCGCATACGCACACGTGTCGAATACCTAGTTACCTACGTATGCTGAATGGCATCCAGATTCATTGCGTGTATACAGAGACCTACCAAGACGAACGAAGAGAACGCCTACCGATGTTCGGCCGCCACCATCCACCACCACCCTCGCTCCACCACCCTTGCACCACCACCCTCACCAACATTGCAATCGATCATGGTCAATATCACATGTGCCCATCACAATAACGACTGGTGTGCTTCATTCACGATCGTGTCTAGAACTCAACCGGTCCTGCGTCCGCATCCACATCTTCATCTTCAACAGCATCCTTCGGTTCTTTTGGTTCTTGTCCCTCGGCCCACTGCGTTGCGTCGTCCACATAACTCAAAATCCTCGCCACGCTCTCTTCTTCCCCGCTTTCCAGCGGCAAGAAACTGACCATGTGGAAATCGTCAATGAGTTGTACTAGCGCCTGATTCAGCTCGTGAAATCTTGGGTTCGTCTTCTCGTTCACGTCGTTTGTCAACAGTAGTGCATCAGGATCCAAGAATCGCTTCATATCCCGCTTCGTAACCTGACCCTTCACTAGATCCATCTTCGACATAACGTTAACATGTGGTACCTCCAACATGATCATTGCTGACATTGCACTCATGACTCCGGCGAAGAACTTGGCTCTGTCCACGATGAATGGTGATTCCAGCAGGTAGGTTGCGCAGAGGTTGAAAGAGAGGTTCATTTTCAAGTGATTGATAAGCGATGGTAGAACAGGAACGTGTGTATACAATTCGATTTGGCCGGGCATGTCGAAGATCAAATAGTCATCCTCAAAGTCGCCAATCTCCTCGTCGAGCCAGTCAAGGTTGTTCATCAAGAACCTGTGCTCATTCAGTCAGCGATAAACTCCCATAATTCCCGCTGGGGAGACGAACTCAAAGCAGTATATCAGTCCACCGTTCGGACCGTACTCCATCTCCTCCATGACATCGTCCAGTGAAATGAGATCACGGATATCCACTGTGGGTTCCCATTCGAAGCGCTCCGCCGCCGGGTCAAGATTGACGAGATGTGCTGTTCTTCCAGAGTTCTTGATATGCGTCATCAGTGCTGCGCAAAAAGTAGTCTATCATGCTTGTCAGTCTCGTCCTTAAGTCTCGTTCACGATCCTCAAACCTTTCCGCAGCCCGCAGGGCCCATCACAAGGAGACCGGTACGAGTCATAACCAGGATGTTCTTTCGTAAGTTTTTGTAGGGTTTTAATAGCTTCAAGCAGTTCTCCGAGCTGAAAGGGCCGAGGTGGGGTTGTTTCTGTTGTACGAGTTCGTCGTTACATCAATTTCGAGGAGGTGCATGATACTAAAAATAGCGACATGCATCATGGAACATGGACTGGATAAAAAATATGGAATTGTTCGTACCAGATGCTCTTACGTCATGTAACGTACGCGAACGTGAAACCCATCAAGATATATCCAAACTCATATATTCCCTCAAAACTATCTCCAAACTCATGGTATCTATGGTTATGCCTCCTCCTCCCCCTTTCCACGCACCACATCATCCAGCATGCTCAACAACAATCGTCTCCAATGCCCCATTCTTAATCACAGTCTTAAACTGCTCAGGCACAGCCCTCTCGGCATAATCCCCATCCTCACCAGCTCCAGGAACATTAATGTTAATGCTCGAACACTGACTCGTCAAGATCTCCACATTCAAACCCTGCTGCGACAAGTAAATCAACCCAGAATCACACTGATCGGCGATGATGGTAGGAGCTTTGTCGAGGACCTGAAGAGCAAAAGACTTGCACTTGACCAAATCAAACGAAGAAACGAGTGAGTCAACAACGACATTCGTCTTCGTACACGACGCAACCGAAACGGCGTTAACCTTCCCCTTGATCTGAATTGTGACACCCGTACATCCAACAATAAACACAGTCTGGTTAATCTCCGCTTCGATAACCATGGGTTCCGCAACATTCTCCCAGTTTTCGATGATCCACTGCGTACCATCCAACTCCTTCTTCGCTGGCTTCTTCGGCTTTTGCTGCAATGCCTGGGGCTTCGCGGGGGGTGCAGGGCTCTTACGGCCTTCCGCGCGGTCGGGAACGGCGGAGGCGGCGCGGAGGGAGGGGTTCTTGTGGGTCATTTGGGATTTGTCGACCTTTTTGAGGGAGGCGGTGATGCCCTCGCCTTGGTTGAGTTGAGCGAAGACGGAGTTCATGTCGGCCGCAGGAGCAGCGGCAGCAGGTGCCGGGGCATCGAAGAAGCCTGGTGGAGGAGGGGGAGGAGGGGGAGGGGGTGCGCCGCCTGCTGGTGCGGAAGGAGCGGCTGGTGCCTTCGGAGCGGCTGCTTTGTTGAGGAGAGCGGATGCTTCTTCGCCCTGTCAAATGTTGTCAGTGGTGTCTTAGGCACAACTCGATAACGACTTTACCTTGGGATTCCAAGCAACACCAGTCGTGTGCCATTGCTTCACATATTTCTGCAACTCCGAGAGCAACCTGAGGAAGGTCTGCACGTACTTAACATGCGCCGACCCACCCTCTTTCTCCTTCCAATCCTTGATAACCCTGTTGGCGTAAAACTGCGCAGAGTCTCTCATGTCACCCACGTAAGGCGCAGGAGTGGGCTCGACGGCGACCCAACCAAGGGCGGGGATACCCTCGGCGATGGCTGAGAGGTGGTTGAAGAACGGCGACGCGCGGTTCTTTTCGCGGATGTTCATGACGTCTTGAAGGGGAGATTGGGTGGGCTTGAGGAGCTCGGCAAATGCAGGAGAAGTCATGTCGGGCTTCTTTGCCTTGGTCGCGAGAAGGAGGTAGGCACGCTGAGCTTCGAAGATGCCGTCGACGGAGGTGGCCTGTAGAACACCCATGTCAGCAACGTAAAGCAAGACGGTACGGCTGCCCTACCTGGTCCTTGACTTCACCGCCAATCTCGCTAGCATATCCGACAAACTCCCTTACGATATCAAACAACTCGTCGTAAGCCTTGACGCTCGCGGGATCCTCCTCCACAACAATTGGCTCCTTCGGCATCTCAGACGGGACACTCTGCAAACTCCCAGCACGGCTACTCTCAGTCGGCTGCAAAGAACTATCACTCTCCCTCCTCTCACCGACAACACTCCCATCGCTCACTCCCTGACGCGCCTCGTGCGTGATCCGCATTGCAGACTGACCCGCATCGGCGATGTCTTCGAGACGAGAAGTGGCAGCTTCGAGCCGCTTGATGATTGTAGTGAGGTTTACGCCTGAGAGATCCATTTGGTCGTTTGGATTGTGTGAAAGGAGGTTCAGGTCACCGACGATGTCGTCGTTCATAGCGGTAAGGCTACGCTCAGCTTGGTGGTTGGGCGTGCTGTAGTGCCACGCCAAGTAGCAGGAGCGGATCAACGCGTAAAACGTCTACGTTACAGGGTACCCACAAAATACGGTAATGTCTCTCGCCGATGAGCTGCTGATGGACTTTGATGATGATGAGGTGGAGCAGGAAGAACTCAATACCGGCGCCGACGAAGCTTTGGATGAAGAAGCTGCGGCGAGGAATGCGATGGACGCAGAGAAGGATGAGGAAAACAAGTTATTTGAGGTCGATGTCAAAGGCGTCGATGATGTACGGAGTATCGCGAAACTCATAGACTCATCAGAGTTGAACTCCGTCCTCGAGCGTATCGACCACTTCTCCACAAACCCCCGACAAACCCTCCACGGCTCCCCCGAACAAGACCCGGAATACGCCCTTATCGTTCAGGCAAACTCCCTCACCACCTCCCTCTCCGACGATCTCCACCTCGTTCTCCGCTTCATCCGGGATCACTTCGCCCCACGATTCCCCGAACTCGAACAACTCGTCCCAGATCCAGTGATGTACGTCTCCGCAGTCCAAGCAATCCGAAACGAAATGGACCTTACCGCCATCGACCTAAAATCAATCCTTCCCTCAGCAACAGTCATGGTCGTCACCGTCACCTCCTCAACAACGACAGGGACACCCCTACCACCCGACAAACTCGTAACTGTGGAGAGCGCCTGCGAGGTCTTTACCCGTCTCCGTGCAGCAAGAGAGAAAATCACATCATACGTCTCCTCCCGCCTCTCCTTCTTCGCGCCTAACCTCGCTGCGCTTCTGGGTGCCTCTACAGCCGCAAACCTCATCTCCCAAACCGGTGGTCTCTCCGGTCTCGCCAAGATCCCCGCCTGTAACATCCCTTCCCTCGGCGGTACGAAAGCACGGGGTCTCGGGCTCGCAAGCAATGTCCGGGAAAGACAACAAGGTTTCTTATACCACAGTCCAGTCATCCAATCCTGCCCCCTCGACGTACGGAAACAAGCACAACGAATCATGAGTGCGAAACTCCTCTTAGCCGCTCGCGTCGACCTCGCAAGATCAAGCCCCGACGGCAGCATGGGACAAACCATCCTCCAGCAAGTTCAGGAGAAACTCGAGAAACTGGCCGAACCACCAACGAGCAAAGGACCTAAAGCACTACCAGCACCCGACGATCCAGTCCGGAAGAAGAGGGGTGGAAAGAGGATTAGGAAGGCGAAGGAGGCGTTTGCGGTTACGGAGCTACGGAAGTTGCAGAATCGGGTGCAGTTTGGAGGGGAGGAGGTCGAGGTTGGGTTTGGAGATGAGACAGAGGGGTTGGGGATGATTAACGCCGAGGGACTCGGGAAGCTTCGTGCCGCGGCAATCGATACGCGGACGAGGGCAAAGGCATCGAAGTCCACTTTATCCCGCCTCGCCGCTGCGAATGCAAGCGGGATGAAGAGTGTGATTGGGGGAAGAGAGACGAGTGGGTTGGCGAGTAGTGTCGTGCTGGGGAGTAAACAGGGGATTGAGCTCGTGAATCCGGAGTTGGTGAGCGCAATGAAGAAGAAGAAGGATGACGATGAGGGGAAGGATTGGTTTAAGGGGGGTTTGTTTTCGCAGATTAAGCGGTGAGGAGGTACGGGGAGTGAGATTCGATATCGATACTGGGAGTCTGTCATGCATAGATACTATATGGCCATAAGGTTTAGATGAGTGGATCCGGAGCGTAGCACCCAATGATCAGTCTATAGCCCTTATGTCTGGAGCATCAGGGATGGGAGGATAGACGATAGTTTTCTTCGGGTTGGATATTATCTCCCATGCTACGACTGCGGCTCGCTAAATCCCAATCTTAATTGACCACTCACGGCCAAAGATCCAGTTCCGCTCTCACGCGTACGCTCAATGTCAACGTCGCTATTAATATCACTCCCGCCTAGCGATCTGGTAGCAACGGGTGAATGCTATAGGTTTCAGACGTCTCAGCTTCATCTTCCCAGTGCCATCGTTGTCTTCTGACCACTGCACTTGCCATGGTATACAATCCATCAGGTCTCCATCAGGCTCCATCAGGTCTCCATCAGCTCGCGATCGCGCCTGTGCAATACCCACCACTTACATGACCGTATTGCCCTGGTATCTGTCAGTCACTTAAACGGTCACCGATAACGATATCAACCTTAGAGGTTGGTCAACGCTGAGGCCAAGTGACATTGGTCTCATTCAAACATGCTTCCCGCGTACTGGCTAAACCCGTCCTTCACAACCGTTTTTCATAGACGTATACATAGGTAGCCGGTTAAACGTGCTCATCCGCTGCGCTCGCGTATTATAGTCACGGCCAGTGCTTGTCCTCCGGTTATCCTCCTCGTCGACGAAGGGGAGGGGAGGGATGTGAAAAGGGCGAGGAATTGAGTTTGAAGATGAGTGGTGGTATGTAGTGTTCAAATTTTGGTGTCTCCAAGATATGAATATCAACTTTTGGTACTCCTGAACTCCCATATGAATCCCAATCACCACGAAGGCCACTTCCCACCCCCACTGTCCCCTCCTCCACTTCCACCTCTCACACCTCCACCCCTGGTCCCACCCCTCCCATATCCTCCGTTACCTCCACTCCATCCACCACCGCCCAAGTTTCCCCCAATCCCACTACCCCACCCAAACGAGTTATTCCTTCTCTGCATCTGCATCTGCTCCCTCTCGATCCGCAGTTTTTCCTCCTCTGCAGCACGACGTTCAGCTTCTTCGGCTGCACGCTTTTCTTTGCGGAATTGGTAGGCGGTTTTTTCGGGTTTGGAACCTTTGGACTCCACCTCCTTGGCTGCGGGCTGTTGAGTGGTGGTGGCAAGTGTTGCTGATTCGCCATCAGCGGAGGATTGAGCAGCCTCGCCTTCTGCTGAGGCTTCGAGTTGAGGGCCGGACTTGGGTTTGAAGAAGCAGACGAGATCAACTGCGGTTATAGTTCCGGCATATGGTCTCCACTCTTCTCCAGCCTCTGACAGACCGTCACGCACCATCTTAAGGTACTCGTTTTTTTGATCAGCTGGCGGATGCGGTTGCCTCCCCCCGCTCCTCCTCTTGGATGTGATCCTAAATTCGACTGTGCTTCCGTCCTGCAGCCACTGTTGGGCTTTCTTCACATACCGCATTACGTCGGCGGGTTTTGCCCACCATGTTACTGTAGCTTCCTTGAATGATTCCTTCTTTTTCTTCTCCTTCTTTAATTCGGTATTCTTGGCTTCGAATTCTGCGTGCGTGATGAGTTTGCACGTCGGAACATCCGCCAAGGGTGTGAGATTGAATAGTGTGTACTGGGTGGTATCATAAGTGCCGAGGATTTCAGAGAGAGGTCTTTTGGCTTTGAATTCACCGTTGGGATCGACAAAGTTGATGAATTTTGCCCGGATGTTGGCGTCGCGTAGGGTGTTTGCTTTCAGGGCTGTCTCTTCGCGTGCGACTTTTTGTACTTGGTGGAGGCTAATGATTCCACGTAGAGAACCTGCTGAGCCAAGTGGTGAACGGATCGCTGGTGTTAAGATCCTTCTGATCGTGAACATCCTTTTTGGTGGTGCTGGTGGTGAGTTCGAGAAAACCCGGGAGTGCAACTTTAAAAATCTGGGGTGACGTCGTATGAGAGGGGGATGCAGGCGTACGTCCGCAGCAACGTGAGTTCACGTCGAAGGTGAACTTCACTCATGTATTTTGTGTACTCAAATAACGATATCCAACCCGCTGTCCATACCCACAATAAGCTTCTCGGTGTTGAATATGTCATGACCGCGATTTCCGCGTACGCGTGCCGAAACCACCTCCGCACTCCTCACCCGTACTAGAAATCGACGACGACGACCGCAGTACAACCCTCGAAGCCGTATGAGCTTCCTGCGATCGCAAGTCCGCAGATTAACTCTTCGATCATCTTCGTACATATCTCCACTTCGAACAAGCATGGCTATAGCCAGGATGTCAACCGCAACCTCCGCCCTCCCCAAACCCCCCGTCGCAAACAAGATCCCCTACAAGTACAAATACCATAACCAAGAGTTCCTCGACAACTATCACTGGATCCGCTCCGATGACCGGAAATCCGAGGATGCGATCCACTACGTCAAAGCCGAGAACGAGTATGCCGAAGCGGTGATGAAGCCCCTCCAACCCCTCGTCGACGAAATCTTCGAGGAGTGTAAGAAGAGGATTCAGGAGGATGACACGTCGCTCCCGGCGAAGCATGGGAAGTATTACTATTTTAAGGAGACGCAAGCCGGGAAGGAGTATCCTATCCGTCAGCGGCGGTTAGGTATCGACGGAGAATCGGAAGTGGTCCTCGACCTCAACCTTATCGACGAGAAGACGCTCTCACTCGGCGCTTACGACCCCAGTCCGGACAACAAGCTGCTTGCATGGTCTCTCGACACGGATGGATCCGAGAAATACACATTACAGTTCAAGATCTTAGAGGGCGACAAGAGGATCTTGGACGACGTTATCGCAGACATTGCACACGGCGTCGAATGGATGGGGGATTCGGAGCATGTTGTGTATGTTACATTTACAAAGACAAGAAGGACGGATAAAGTTTGGTTGCACAAAGTTGGCACGCCGAGGACCCAGGATCGTTTGTTGTTCCGCGAGGTGTGCAGTCCTAGGATGCCTTGTAGCGGTGAAGTGGGCTAATCAGGATGTATACAGGAAGACGAAGCTTACATCGTCGATATCTCCAAATCCATGAGTGGGGAGTATATCTTCATCGAGACGACCACGAAGACTACCTCAGAGGTCCGGTACATCCATACCTCTGACTCCTCCGCCAAAGTCCACCTGTTCGCGAAGCGCAAGGAAAGCCTACTCTACTACGTTGAGCACATGGGCAAGGATTTCATCATTACTCACAATGACGGTGCGATCAACTTCAAGATCTCGAAGAGAAGCGTGGAGGGTGGCAAGAAAGACGAGTGGCAGGATTTGTTTGAGGATAAGTTGGTGTACGTAAACTACGTTGTGCCATTCCAGAAGCATCTGGTTGTTGTTGAAAGGAGTGATGCCGTACCAAGGGTACGCTCCCCTCCCTGTATCACCATATCGTCTTGCTAATACTCTGTTGTACAGTTCCGCATCTTCGAAGCTGACAACTCCGGCTCCGTCTCCTCCTCATCCCCCTCTCACACCATCTCTTTTGATGAACCCGACTACGACGCAACCCCCATGTCATCCTTTGACCAAGACTTCTCTTCCGAAACCTTCAAGTTCTGGTTTAACTCGTACTTAACCCCCAAGACCATTTACGCCTACAACCTCGTCACTCGTGGAAAATCGATCCTTAAGCAGGATTTGGTGCCCACCGTGAACAAGGAGGAGTATGTGGAGGAGGTGCATTGGGTGGAGTTGCCGGAGGGGGCGTGGGAGAGCCAGAATATCCCAAAGGCGGTGCCGGTTACAGTTGTGTATAAGAAGGGATTGTTGAAGAAGGATGGCTCTAACCCTGGATATCTCTATGGATACGGTTCGTACGGGATCAACAACGACCCCCGGTATCCGGAGGGTAATGCGATCTTCTCATACCTCGACCGTGGGTTCGTCTGCGCCTACGCCAAGATCCGCGGAGGTGCGGAGTGTGGCCGTGCCTGGTATGAAGAAGAAGGCAAGTTCCTCAAGAAGAAGAATACCTTCAACGACTTCATTCTGGCCGCAGAGTGGTTGATCAAGGAGAACTACACCTCGAGTGACCGTCTTGCGATCCATGGAGGAAGTGCGGGAGGCCTCCTCATCGGCGCGACAGTCAACCAGAGACCAGAGTTATTCAAGGCATACCTTGCAGCTGTTCCCTTCGTCGACGTGATCAACACCATGATGGACCCCTCCATCCCCCTCACCGTCGAAGAATACCTCGAATGGGGTGACCCCAACGAGAAGAAGTACTTCGACTACATGCTCTCTTACTCCCCCTACGACAACATCCGCCCCAACACCTCCTACCCCAACGGCCGCGTCACATCCGGTCTCTGGGATCCAAGGGTGCAATACTGGGAACCCGCCAAATGGGTTGCGAAACAGCGTGAGCTTGGGGTCGTTGGTGATGGAAGTGATGGTAGCAGCGTGTTGGTGTTGGAGACGTTGATGCAGGCGGGGCATGCGAGTTCGAGTGGGAGGTACGATCGGTTGAAGGAGAGGGCGAAGGATGTTGCATTTGTTGTGCATTACACTGGGGCGGACAAGAAGACCGAGCAGGCCAACTTGTGAGTTACCCTTTGAGAAATTATCCAGGCTAGTTCTCTATCCCCTATCATGACACAATGCTACAACTTTTCCACGATTCTCACGCATCGATCAAAACATCGTGCAACAGCAGCGTCGAGTCCAGATATGGGAGTCGGATAGCAACTTGAAAATGGATTATGTACGAATTTACATTCCTGCACGCTTAAGAGTTTTCATTGGTTGGTCGTCTACTAGAGTTCTGGTTTATCTGTGTGCGAGCCCAATCCGGTGCTGGTGCACCGTGCGAATACAGCTGCGCTAGCATGACGGACGAAGACGAATCTGGTAGCCCCTCTATTACTATGCTCCGGCTGCGCTCTGACCGCATCATCTCTGCTCTCGACACTCCCGCGTCCAAACTTATCTCTTCCCCTTCTTCCCCCCACCCTTCCCCTTCTCCTCCTTTCTCATCTTCTCCTCCGGCAGAAATCCACCAATCCTCAACGCCTCCCGTGCGGCGGCATTGATATGCTTGAACCTGTCTGCACCGAGGTGGATACCGCCGTACCAGCGAGATACGACTACGATCACGTTTTGTACGGACGTTAGTTCGAGGAGGTGGGCCATGCGGGAGCCGGCGGCTGTTTCGCCGTCGTCGTCGTTGTCTGTGGTCAGGCTCATCAGACTCCTATTAAACGTTTTGGGGAAGTATGAGCGTACCTTGGATGACTGAACCACTTTCTGTGACGATTCTCCACGCAACCATATTATGCGTCGCCCGTGCGATTTTTTTATCGTGTAGTAGATCCGCCAATGCGGTTTTCGCTTCTTGTTGGGTATGGACTTGTGTCGCGTGCCCGATGAAGACAGATTTTCGGTCTGTAATGGGTTCTGTTATTGCCCACTCTAACTGGACTCCTTCCGGTGCTTCATTGGTTGTAGGTGTCGGGTCAGCTGGCTGCGCAATGTCGTCAGCCCCCGTGTCGTTTTGCAATAACTCCCGAATCATCTCGCACAATTCGAAAACGCAAACTTCGCCTAGTCGCCATGCCCCGCCCCCCAATAACAAATCCTCCACCAACCCCTTCTCCATGCCATGACACGCGCCCACCACTGGTGGTTCCTCCGGGTAAGTGTGAGGGAAGATGAGTTGGATCGAGGGAGCGGGCTCGATGTCGGGGGGTGTTAAGATGTAGGTGGAGACGGAGGGGAGGTTGGAGGTGAAGGGGGTTAGAGAGCCGGGGTAGATCGAGGTGAGGGCGAGGACTAGGCTGATGATGTTAGGAGTGATCAAGAAATCATAGAGGGTAAAGGAGCATACCTTCATCATCGAGAGCTGGATTTGGTTCTGACATAGGATCTTGCAATTGGAGAATTTGATTTTGGAGGAGTTGATTTTGGAGGAGTTGGTTGCCGTCCTTATCGATAAGAACCGCTACACCATCCGTAACACCTCCAACTCTTCACAACATCTTGTACGTTTCTACTATTGACTGACGAGAGGAATGGCCGCAGAGAATAAAGCACAAGAATACATTTCACAGCTTTCTCAAATCGAAAAGGTCAGTCCGCGGTCTCTTCGTAAGTTCATGTACCACAGGCTGACGGTGAACTGACAGAAAGTCGCATTTCTTCTACGAGAGTCTGGGCTGGCTATACAGGCGTTGAATGGACGTCCTAAACCCTATGCAACGCCCAATGGTGTAGCAAGCGAAGACATGGAAACGGAGGAGACTATGAAAGAAGAAGACGTAGAGATGGGCGACGCCGACGACCTAACCCCCGCCGAACGCAAAAAGCGTGATTTCGTACGGCATTCATCCCGGTATATGGAATTACTAGAGGTCCTTCACCTGTCTCTCGCACTCGCACGACTAAATGCTAATGGGAGGTGTTGTGACAGGACATCTCCAAGTCACTCCGCGAACAAGTGCAGAAACTGGAAGAAGAGGAGATACCACCAGCGACGTCACAGGTTGGCGTGAGGAGTATGTATGCGGCAAGGTTGAAGGAGGAGGAGATTTGGAGGAGGGGTGGGGAGGTTTTGGCGGGGATTGTGGAGAGGAGGGTAGGGAAGGAGAATACGGAGGGAGGGGAGGTGTGAGTCGATTGGAGAATGGCAAGATGAATGGTGAAGATTAGCTACGATATGATCTGAGATGTTTTGGATGCCATGGGGGGAGATCGTTGCGGCGCAGCAATACGTATACGCAGCATTGGAACACCGAACGCAGAAGATCACAAACGGCATTCGGCCGGTTACGATTTGCAACAACGAACAAGGTTAACATCCATTCATTCCAAGTAGATCTTCTTAGAAGACATCTCGTATTCGACAAACCTTACAGGGCACGGACCGATCCTAAAATAGAATGACTTCACCGAAGCCGAGATCCGCCCGAGCCCCAACAACATCGCGAGCCGACGTTAACCACCCACGTCAACGTCGAGCATACACTCCGACATCCGCAGTCCAACCCAATCGTCTCTTCTCCGTTGTCAACACTCGCCGCCCTTACCAAGCACACGGGGTCCTACAGAGTATTTTCTTCGGGGCGCGGGCGTCGTCTAGACTGGGGGGTCAAGCTTTCGTAGTTGGTGAAAGCCACTTGCGCCAAGAACTTGATGAAGTGAACCAGCCGTAACGAAAAATAAGGCACACCCCACACCGGTACTCTACCAACGCTCTGTCTGTACAACGAAAGCATACATCGCCGTCAACTCGTAGCCAAAGTCAGTACGAGTGCGAATATCGTCTGTTTGTTACGCGACACGGCTTCAGCTTGTCTTGGCAGTTCGAACCAAGCCCCGGTTGCACTTGCTCGGAAAAGCCTCAACCACAGAACCGCATACATCCCACCTACGCACCTTAACCTCTCGTCTACGTACGGACCTCTTCGACTACTTCTCGTGTTACCGCTTTCCGAGTTCGCTTTCTCACGGATCAACATCTTTCGATAGCAGACAGCCCCTAGGTCTGCGCTCTTCACTGCAGGTTTGCCAACGATGCCGCAACGATCGTCGAGTCACTATACCTACGGCAGTGGATCAGGCTCTGGTTCGAGTTCGAGTATGCGGGCAGAGGATGAGATCACGCCGTTACCGCCCACCGCGACTCGCCCAGGTACTTACGGTCAACCCTTCACCTCTACAGCAACCACTGCCGTCCCGACCCCAGTCGCATCCAGACCCTCAAGTTCGTATTTCAAGTCAGTATCACTCGACCCTGCTTTCGCCGCGACTGCACCACACTCCCGAGCTGGATCGATTTCGGATGGGTTTGGGAGGTACCCACGCCACTCCTCTCAGGATTACTCAGGGTACAACTCTCCCGCTATGGGAGCCCAGTCGCCTACTGATTCGAATAGTCCTGATATGGAGAAAGGTGCGGTATTCGTCGGTGCGAATACCGCTGCAACGGCGAGCATGCTCTCTCTGAACGGCGAGGAGAGTGGGCTGGTGTCGGATTGGGAGTGGGCGGATTGGAAGGAGGCGGATGATGATTTGCATGATCCCAATACGCCTGATCCGAAACCCGGGTTCAAGGATGCGGTTTCGAGGGAGGGAGCGGCAAAGCTGGGATCGTTGTTGGTGATGGTTTTGGGTGCGTTGGTATTGTTCATTGTTTGGCCTGCTCTCGTGTTCACGGGTCACAGCTCGCCTCACAAGAAGACATCTACGACCGAATCCCTGACATCGCATACATTCGGTACCCTTGGCGCCATTCGGACGAGCTTGATCGACCCTGACACGCCGGAGCAGTATTACACGAAAACGGCACCGCATGATGGACGTACGCTCAAGTTGGTCTTCAGTGATGAGTTTAATCAGGATGGAAGGTCGTTTTATCCGGGTGATGATCAGTTCTGGGAGGCTGTTGATATTCATTATGCTGCGACAAATGATTTGGAGTGGTATGATCCTGACCAGGTCACGACCGCCAATGGCACTCTACGTCTTCGTATCGATGCGATTGAGTCACATAACCTCGACTACCGCTCCGGTATGCTTCAGTCTTGGAATAAGCTCTGCTACAAAGGAGGCTTGATCGAAGTCTCGGCATCGCTACCTGGAAAAACCTCCAAACCAGGTTTCTGGCCGGGTATTTGGACGATGGGAAATATTGGTCGACCAGGGTATCTGGCGACGACGGAGGGTGTATGGCCGTACAGTTACGATTCTTGCGATGCTGGTATCACGCCGAATCAGTCTGATCCCGGAGGTCTCTCATACTTGCCTGGACAGAGGTTAAACAAGTGTACTTGTTCGGGTGAGGATCATCCTAACCAGGGTGTTGGACGTGGTGCCCCGGAAATTGATGCACTTGAAGGTGCTGCGGATGGTTCCTCTGGTCTTGGTCAGGCTACGCAGTCCGGACAGTTCGCGCCGTACGATATTTTCTACGTCCCGAATACGGATTACATGTGTATCTACAACACCTCGGTTTCTTCTTGGAACGGGTGGCGTGGTGGACCTTTTCAGCAGGCTTTGTCCGGTGTGACGAATTTGAATAATGATTGGTATGGAGGGAAGAAGTACCAGACGTATGGATTTGAGTATAAGCCGGGTAGTACGGAGGGGTATATCGACTTCACCGTCGGTGACTCAAAGACGTGGTCAATGGTCGGCTCCGCTGTCGGCCCGAACGGAAACATCGGACAACGCCTCGTCTCCGAGGAACCCATGTCCATCATCATGAACCTCGGTCTCTCCACCTCTTGGACCTACATCGACTGGCCGGCCCTCGAGTTCCCTAGTACCATGTACATCGACTACGTGAGAATTTACCAGGATGAAGACGACGACACGATGAGTTTGACGTGTGACCCACCTGGGTTCCCGACGACGCAGTATATTGAGGATCATCGGAATGCGTATGATAATGCGAATTTGACGAGTTGGGAGGATGCTGGGTATTCGTTCCCGCAGAATACGTTGATGAATGGGTGTTCTATGTAGGTTGAGTTTGTGGTCGAGTTTGCTTGGGCGAGAGTCTTATTTATGTGACGATGGTTTCTGAAAGTATTGATATTGAAGCCGGACTCGAACGTGAGCTTGCAATGGTATGCATTTATCTGAGATTGATTAAGAAGCATGGGCGTTTTTCGGAGCGGCGATTTCTATAGGAGACTTTGTTCTTTTTTGTTGTTTGAATGTTATAGAGGTGTATCTGGAATATACGCTATTGGACATCTACACTCGACGTCATCCAGTCTGTTTGGCCAACATAAGGTTACTTGCAGCGGAATCGCGTAATTGACAAATCAAGATTCAAGTGACTTGACTTCTCAATTGCAATTGACCATACAAGCACACGCACAACACACACAATGGCCCTCGCACTTCAAGCTTACACGTTTCTGCAGCAATACACAGAAGCCTGGCTACACCCAGCTCCGAAGAAGACTTCGAACCCTCTTCGTCTCGGTGTCCTTTCTTCTGCCCAGATCAATGCCGCAGCAGTGATCCACCCCGTCGAGACTCATGAAGATGTAATACTCTACGCCATTGCTTCCCGAGATGCTTCCACGGCGCGGCTCCAGGCGAAGAAGTACTCCTTCCAGAAGTCATACGGTGACTACCAATCCCTTCTCGACGATCCGTTGGTAGACTTTGTCTACATCTCTACCCCAAACGGATTGCACTACGAATGGGCCTACAAAGCTCTTCAGGCTGGAAAGCACGTCCTCCTTGAGAAGCCTTTCACCTCCAACGCCGAGGAAGCCCAGAAGCTGGTAGAGTTCTCCCAAAAGAGCGGAAAGATCTTGATGGAAGCCTTCCACTGGCAGTTTCACCCCGCTGCCCATCATTTCCGTCAGACCCTTGATTCGGGGGAGCATGGAAAGATCATCCGTACGAATGCGCGGATGACTGCATCGCCTGCGGTCCCAGCGGGTGATATCAGGTGGCAGTATGATCTCGCTGGTGGTAGTTTGATGGATATGACTTATGCTATGTCGTTCACACGGTTCGCGTTGAAGGCGCATACGCCGAAGGAGGTGTTGAGTGCCCATGCTCGCACGGCCGATCACGACTCCAAGGTCGACGCGGCCATGACCGCCGACTTGTTATTCGAGAGTGGGTACGGATATGATGTCGTCTCCAAAATCTACACCGACATGGCCCGTTCGAGCCTTCTGAGTGTTATACCCCGTTTGTGGGAGTTGCCGTCCATCGAGGTGGAGACCGAGAAATCCAAAATCTATTTCTACAACGCCATGATGCCGCATATTTACCACTATATCTCTGTCACGGATAAAGCCACCGAGAAAACCGAGTATCACAAGTACTTCACCGGTGGGCCGCAGTGGAGCAAGACTGGGCGGGCGACGCAGCCGTATTGGTCGACGTACAGGTACCAGCTCGAGGCGTTTGTGGATAAGTTGAGGGGAAGGGAGCCGGCGCACTGGGTTACGGGGGAGGAGAGTATCGATGAGATGAAATCGATCGATAGTGTTTATGTGAGGAGTGGGTTACCGCTTCGGCCGACTTCGGCGCTGGCCAAGTGAGCGTGGGAAGAATGATATCGAATATACCAAGTATACATACGTCGAAAATATTATGCTCAATAATGCAATTGTATATCGGTTCGCTTTATCCCACTTTGTCTAAATCTATTAGGACGTGTCTAGCCTGTCAATCTTAGTTGCTAATTGCAATGTCGTGACAGCCATGTCCTTCTCCAGAGTCTGACTCGCCACACCCCGGAAGCCTTGACCCGTCTTGCCATTGATCAATCAACTCTCCCACTGTGTACCAAAACACAATCTTCTTTCCAATTGTTCTGGCTGCATCAACCTGCTCTACGACCTTTCAATTTCTTCCTCTTGCCTCTTCACTTCGATCCTCATGAAATCTCTTGCACAGGTCACATCATCCGATCCAAATTCCTTAATCGCCAATGCTCTAATACCCTCCATGATGCTCATCGCTTCCTCACTCTCATCACCCTTATATCGCGAGGAGAAGTGATTCAGACACAACCTCTTTGCTCCTATTCTTCTCGCGAAGGCACCTGCCATTTGTGGCGTAGAATGTCCGTGACAGATTGTGCGCTCCTGGACAGTTTCGAAAGTGTCTGTGGACTTGGTTGCTGCGTCGATATCTGGAAGATGTGCGTTCGTGGCTTCGTGGATGAGCAGGTCAGCGTCGTCACAGAGAACAGCCATGGGGCTGGGGTCATGGGTATCGCCAAGGATAGCGATCTTTCGTCCGACTCGTGGCGCAGGTGGAGTGAGGACTGTGCCGTCAGGCAATGTGATCTTAGTGCCCTGCTGAATAGTTGCCAAGAGTTTCATGGGGTTGGCAATACCTTCCGCCGCAAGTGCTTCCTTGTTTCTCTTCAAATGCGGTGCGTACAAAGCTGGGTTCATCTTTCCCGGAACATTTGTCTCCTGTACGACGAAGCCGATGCACGGTGCACTGTGTAGGATGGGTCCAGCCGAGACGACGAGATTTGGGGTAATGCAGAAATCTCGCCATAAGCCATCTCCATGTGGCAGGATATTCTTCCCTGGTAGTTCAAGGAGGTGTGGTCTCCCTTCTGGCTGAGGCTGATCTGTCGGAAAGTGAAGTTCAGTCACTCGATATGCTCCGCCAAGATTGGTGTATGTCAGCCTCAGTGCTCGCCGGATGTACTCTCTCAACCCCAAAGGTCCATAAATCTCCAGTGCCTCGTCTTCACCCGTCTCTGCTCTTGCGCTCTTGTCAGCGGCACTGTCAAGCCGCGGATCCGATGCTCCAACCGTTCCTCCAGCTCCACACAACACGGACGCCATTAATGGAACGATGCCAAAAACATGGTCTCCATGCATATGTGTGATGAAGATGCGTTTCACTTGACCCATCCTAACTCCATCACCACCTCGCTGCATCTGCTTCTGCGTTCCCTCTCCACAGTCAAACATCCAAGACCCAGCATCATGTTTCAGCACGAGGGAGGAGTGGTTGCGGGTGTGTGAAGGGACTGCGGATGCTGTTCCCAAGAAGGTGATTGCTAGAGGCCCATTGACCATGTCGGCTAGCGCGTACTTCCTGTTGAAGATGCTTTTGTTGTTCTTGTCGGGATATCTTTGAGTCGTCGTTACAGGGGCCTCGACGCGGGGAAAAGGTAACGTTTTCGGTACCTCAACAGCTGGTACCGGCGTGGATGAATACTGCCTAAACCTTGTTCGAGGATACCGAAACAGCTGATAAACCCAAGCACACAGTCTGCTGGAGCTGTCATTCATTCTCGTGTTTGTCTTCCTCCTCTGCCGTATTATACGTTCAGTGTGGCACAGCTGTGGCTCACCGCCGTTTCTGGCCGAAAAAGCTCGTAAATATACCGAAATCCTGGACAAAGCAGAAGAGTCCAGTCATCCAAACACCCCAAAAATGTCCGCTGAGCAAACCGAAGCTGTCATCCCTCAGGCCGAGGAGGTCCCCGCTGTCGAGGTCGCCATGACCGAGGCTCCCAAGACCGAGGAGGCTGCTCCTGCTGCCCCCGTCGAGGCTGCTGCTGAGACCACCACCGCTACCGATGCCTCCGTCGCCGTCGCCGCTGCGATCCAGGAGCAGGACTCCAAGAAGACCAACTTCAAGACCAACTCCAAATTCGACCCCTCCGACCTCCCCGTCACCTCCGACCCCGCGGAAATCCTCAAACAAATCGAATTCTACTTCTCCGATGCAAACTTCCCCTACGACAAATTCCTCTTCACCACGGCCTGGAACAATGATGGCTGGGTTCCCATTGCGACCATTGCGGCGTTCAAGAGGTGTAGGAGGTTTCAGCCGTTTGAGGCTATCGTTAGTGCGTTGAAGACGAGTGAGAAATTGCTCGTGTCTACTGATGATACGAGAGTGAAGAGGAAGAACGAGCTTAACCGTGTTGATCCTAAGCAGCGCACCCTTCACGTTCGTGGTCTGGATCGGGAGGAGAGCAAGACGCTCCAGATTGACCTCGAGAAGTACTTTGAGCAGTTCGGTCCCATCGACTCTCTCCGTCTCAAGCGCGAGGAGGGTAAGGGTGACGAAGCCGGCAAGTTCAAGGGTTCCTTCGACGTCATGTTCTCCACCGAAGAACTCGCAAAGACCTTCTACGACCTCGCTGAGAAGCCCACCTTCCCTGGTCTCTCCGAGGCTGCGTCCATGTCCGACGTCACCATCGAAACCAAGGAACAGCAATACGCACGCAAGGCCGCAGAGGGCTCCTCCAAGCCCCGCTTCTTCAAGCGTTTCAATGGATTCGAGTACATTAAGCAGCTCGAGCAGGGCGGTAGCGGGAACAGGACTTTTGGAAACCAGGGACGGGATAAGAGAAAGAGGGAGTTTGGTGATTCTGGGGATAACCAGGATCGTCGTGGTGGACGTGGACGTGGACGCGGAAGGGGCGGTCGTGGACGTGGACGTGGTGGACGTGCTGGGGAGGGTAGGGGTGCGAACAACACTCCTTTGGGCGAGAAGGCTGGTGAGGATGCTCCTGCCGCCGCTCCTGCTCCTGCTCAGGAGTAAGGGTTTGTGTATGATGACGTGAAGTAGTTGTTTTTGGTTGCATTTTTGGGACAAGGGTTATTTTCAAGGGATTCAAGCAAAGAAAAGTATCATTTAGAGATCATGAAGGGATATAGGAAGGCTTAAGCTTTGAATGAGGTTGGACGTAGGAATGCGTCTATCCTTTCATAATAGCATTATTACTGGTACGCTGCATACATTGTCCAGTTTGTTTTCCTTTTGTCACGTAACCTCCACGGATCCCCGCTCCTGGTATATGGATCCCCCCGTCACAAACACGCGTGCATCTTTCACCTCCGATGAAAACCCCGTCACCATTCCAGAACGTTAGAACCCACCCCTCAACGATCCACCCCGTCCACGTCCCCGATCAGGAATTCCACCTCGTCCGCGAGTGCCACCACGTCCACCCATCATCCCACCACGCTGCAACCCATGCCCACCGCGATTTGCACCACCTCTTGGTGCACCCCGTGCGTGCATCCTGTTATCACTTCTTTGCGCAAGGTTCTGGTCACGGACTAGATCGATGATTTCGTCTGGTACTCGGAGGTATTTGATCTGGTCACCAAACAGTCAGCAATTGTCAATGGTAGTAGGGGTGGGATTGGGCGCACATTTGACCCACGAATATAACACTCCGGCAGTCTATGAAACTTTGTCCCGTCCATACTCGTTTGAATGACCTCGCGTAGGGTGAGGTTCATCCAGGTATCGCAGTTGACTAAGTGGCCATTGTAGGTTTCGCCGTTTTTCAACTCCACAAGCATTGGGTGGCCTTTGGCCGTTGTAAGGAGGGATAGAGGGAGCTGGACGCAAGATTAGCTATGTAGGATAAGAGGGAGAGAGAAGGAGGGGACGGACCATGATGAGCTGCTGAATGGGGTATATTGGTGAGGTTTCGGATGGACGTGTACTCCTCATGCAGGTATACGACCGCGCCAGACGTCAAGGAGGTCAGGTGAAGGTCAATGAGGAAGATATAAAGATTACACTGCGATTTTCTTTCCATATACTACTGAGAAACGAATGCTCTGCCAAGCATTGGATCTTTCATAAACCTTACCGGCGTGCCTGCAGTTTCGTTGAAGGCAACAAGATCTGACCGAGGAAAAAACGAACAGGAAGGACGATATCGAAGGCCTTGTCATCATCTGTCATTGAAATCCTACATCCTCCAACTCACAGCGACCCATTCCCCTGAAGCACCAGCTCACAATCACTCAACATGTCGTCCAAACTCATGAACATGAAGTTCATGCAACGGGCCTCCGAAAACGCCGTCCGTGAAGAAGAAAAGAAAGTGCAAAAACGAAAAGTCGACGAGCAATCATGGCGACTATCATTCAAAGACCAACCCCCACAACCACCAAAGCTGAACGTCAAGTTCGAGGCGAGTTATAGCGCATTTGATAGACCAAGTGGACGGACATCCTATGGAGGAGCCACGCCGGTGAATGGAAGTGGAGAAAAGCCCCCGATCGGACGGATGAGTTTCGGGAACTTTAACCTAGACGTCGAGGTATGTGGAAGCGTAAGAAACCCAAGCCAATGCGTCTTGTACTCACATCTCCCTCCACAGAAACTCCATAACCCAAACGCAGGCCGCGGATCAGGCGAAATCAGCGAAGACCCCGAAGATCAGTCAGAAGACGCCATCGCACAGCGAAAACGAGACGAGTACGAGCGTGAGAAAAAGATATTGAGGGATATGAGTAAGATGTCGAGTATTAGTGGGAGTGGGTCGAGTAAGCAGGGCACGGCGGGGAAGAAGAGGAGGAGGGAGGAGGTTGATACACCGAAGAAGAGGAGTGAGTGAGGTTTGGATTGGGGAATGTGGACACGGACATGGGCGATATACCCTGGCGAGAACACGGCCACCACGACGTCGACCGGTTGAGAGCAGACGCTGTTGTCAACTTCTGTGCCGGTCGGGGATAGTTTGAGCTCTAACGAAGTGCGCGTTTGGAATGTCGTCATGAAAGGAGGAAGAGGTGGTTGGCGTTCCTGTTCCAGAATATCCATTTGCACTGCAAACGAGTCTGTCCATCACTCTTCTTCATAGTAATTTATGCTTTCCTCACGATAAGCTCGTCCATCACCTCGTCCAACAGGTATCCATCAGCTCGAGTCCATCTCCATCAGGGTCTTCATCACCTCGACTCCATGACTCGATCAGCTTGTAGAATACGAGACGTCGTTAAACTGTCGAAGTTATGCGAACACACAAGTTTTGATTCACACGCTTGAGATCGTACAGGAGGCGTTGATTTGTGACTGAGTCTTTCCATACGAACATTGGACGCCTTTCGGGAAACACAAATTACAATTTCATGGGTATCCTAATCATACGTCAGGTGACATCAATCCCCAACCCTCACCTACTCGACAACAATCAAACTAGCCATTCCCATCCCCAACCCAATACACATACTCGTGACAAGAACCTTCTTTCCCCTCTGCTTACACGCGCTAATTCCCGTCGCAATCTGTCTCGCACCCGTACACCCCAACGGATGTCCCAACGCGATCGCGCCTCCGTTGACATTCAACACCTCTGGATCAATCCCCAATTTCTCCTCACAATAAACGGCCATTGAGGCGAAGGCTTCGTTGATTTCGAAGAGGTCGACATCGGCGTTGGTGAAGTTGTGGATCGACATGAGCTTTGGGATGGCGAGGGAGGGACCGATTCCCATGATGCGGGGAGCGAGGGCAGCGACCGTCGCGCCCACGAATTTGGCGAGGATTGGCTGACCCAACTTCTCGGCTGTCGACCGCTTCATAAGGAGGACCGCGGCGGCTCCATCGGTGACTTGGGAGGCGTTTCCGCCGGTGGTGTTGGGGCCGTACTGTGGGAACGCGGAGCGGATCTTGCCCAAACCCTCCGCGGTCGTACCAGGACGGATACCATCATCCCTATCCACCACAACCCGGGTCTTCTCCCCAGTCTTAGGGTCGATAATCGTAGTATGAACCGGCGCGATCTCTTCATCGAACCTCCCGGCCTTCTGTGCCGCCTCCGCACGCTGGAAGGATCGTGCGGCAAACGCATCCATCTTCTCCCTACTCACCCCAAAATCCCTCGAAACATTCTCCGACGTCCAGCCCATTGGCATCGTACAATCCTTCGACTCAGGGTTCTGCATCACGGTCTCGGAAAACTCCTTGATCCCATCATCACGGTCGAGGGACATACTCTCTGCACCGACAGCGAGACCAACTTCGATGGAACCGGCTTTGATGGCGTTCGCGATTGTCTGGACGGAGAGGAGACCGGAGGAGCACCAGCGGTTACAGACTGACAATGCGGTCGTGTTCGGGAACCCTGCAGCGAGGGCGGCGGCGCGGGCGACGTAGGCGGCCTTTCCATTGAGGACATTACCGACGCAGATATCGTCTACCTTGGAGGGGTCGATTTTGGATTTGTCGATGGAGGATTTGAAGACTGTGGGATCGTCTGGTTAGTCATTGTTACACCAATTGCCCAACCCTTGATCCTACCTGAGTAAAGGAGATCATCCAACACAGTGTCCTTCAATCCACCCTTCTTTGCCTTAGTGAGCGGCGTACGGATAGCGAGTGTGATAACGACCTGTACAACTCGGTGTCAATAACGTGCACCAAAGACTCGCCGGGTTGCACATACATCATCGGGCGACTTTGCCTCCAACCTGGACCTCGCGTCCGTCGAGGTAAGATGCTGAACAAACTGCTGAAGACGTTGCTGAGCCATACTGATTCCCTCCACTTAACTGATCTGCTGCTCTCTCAATCCTGTTCTCGCCTTCCTTATAAATCCAGTTCGGAGGTCGTTCCAGGGCGGGGTACGCCGAGGAGCTGAGTGTGGGGTCACGTACCGAGACATGTGCCGACACACCGAAGCCAATTAAAGAGAGTATATTAAAATGGTATCCAATAAAAGTAGAAACGTAAGAAGCGATAGCGATACGGATGTTGAATCCCTGGTGACAGCTGAGGGTATCTTTGATCATTGTTGAAAGCGCACGTGCCCGTACTCCGAGTCACTTTTCCTTCCTGTAATCATACTCTTCCATTCCCCTTGGTCAAGAAGCTTGATACGTCACAGCCCATACTGAGCCAAACATTCCAACGCACCCTCACCAAGTCTCCCCTGCCCAATCAAATATTTATGCAACCCCTTCACCAACTCAACCTGCTCCTCCGCCGACAAACTCGTGATCGCACTCTCAAGCACCTTCCCCAATGCAACCTGATGCTGCGCAATGAAGCTCTGGTAGTACATATACGAAAAGAATCCCATCATGAACTGGCAATCCATACGGTCGGTCATACCGCCGTGGCCGGGGATAGAGTCTCCGAAATCTTTGATTGAGAAGGCACGTTTGAGGCCGGAGGCGAAGAAGCCGCCGAAGGGGGCGATAAGGGAGGCGAAGGTCGCGAAGATGAGGAAGTGAAATTGGACGGGCGCGAAGATTATGCTGGAGGGGAGGAGGGGCATGAGGGAGGAGAGGGGTTCGAGAGAGAAGGTGTGGGGGAGGAAGACGGGGTTGGGGGTACAGTCGACGCCGGAGAACATGGAGACACCAAGTTCCTAATATACTTATTAGTCTTCCGGGCAGACATGTGCAGTAATGGATGGAGACATACCCTGACAGGACAGATCATGTACTTGTACCTCATCAACCAATTCGCCAATCCCAAGCCGATAATAACCGTACAGATCCATCCACCGACGAATCCCTCAACGGTCTTCTTCGGGGAAACGGCAATGAGCTGCGTGCGGCCCCAGAGGAATCCACAGACGTAGGCAAAGGTGTCGTTACAAATCACGAAAGCGACGGGAACGAAGAACCAGATGAGACCTTCGAGGATGTTGTTGGTGATAAAGTGGGACTGGACGACGACGAGGAGGAGGACCATGTGGGTCCAGCAGAACTATCATACCCAATTGTTAGCAATTGCGCAGGAAAGGGCAGGTCGAACGGAAGACATACCTGGGTAAACTGGAACTTGTAGTGTCCCTTCTCCAAGTTCATGACAAAGAACACGAATCCCATAACATACAACACAAACGAGATAAACCTATGATGCGTCGCCAATGGCAAAATATACGCATCAACCAACACGATATGCTTGAAGTAGTAAATCACACTCTCTCCATAGAAGAAATAGAGCGCAACGAAGAAGAAGTACCAATTCAGTGTTCTGAAAAATGGGAGCTTTTTCTCCTCGGAGGGAACAGATGCGATGGAGATGACCTCCTTGAAGACCATGACCTGGACGAGGACGACGAGGCCGATGATCCAGAGGTGGCCCGCGCCGAGGACGGTGAAGAAGAGTGCGATCATGATAAAAGTCCATAATGTCCTCGTCAGAAAATCCGACTTCTTCTTTGCGCTATCGGCATTCTTCAACAGCACGGTTTTTTCTTCCTTGGCGGCCTTCACGGCGCCATTAGTTGCTGATGCAGTTACCTCGACAGCTGATGCGGAAGCGGAAGTGGATGAATGGGATCCTGTCCGTTTCTTTGCTCCCTTCTTTGGTGGCATTGTGGTTGGTTGGTTGATTACAGGGTCTGTCTGTATGAAGAATCTCGCTTCGCGGCCGCTGACGTTGGATTTTTGGAGCGCGGTGCTGTCAGGATGCAGGTGCCGCCAACCTCCCGAATAAGGAAATTTGAAAGTCTACGTTACATTCCACGTACACCGACGTCCCCAATCCACCATGATGTCTGATCAGCCGTCAACCTCCTCTTCGCTACATCTGGCGCAGCTGTCATCACTAGCTGCGGCAGTCACCTTCGACTTGACACACACACATCGCTGGACATGCCTTACTACACATACATTACCCTTCGAGGACCGTTTGGTTCTTACTGGTTATCCGCCCGCAACGATACAAGCGCCGAATCCAGCGGAAACACTCATTATGCCACTGAGTCTGGACGAAACATTCTCATTACGTCAATGGGCTGGTGTGTTTGATGCTGCTGACCAGCTCGTGTCACATCGGGATGGGGAGGAAAAGCGAAGATGGGGAAGTGCGTTGCTGGGGATTGTGAGCGCAGATTCTACGGTTGTTTATTACACGATGCATGATGGAATCGTGAAGCCGAAGCAGAATTAGGAGCAGTTTGAGACAAGGGAACTCGTTCCGAAACTGACACCTGTTGCAATGAACGACTCGACCCCACCGGGAACAATCGAAACTAAGGGGGTGCACGCCTAACCGTTTCTTGAAAACGCAATAATATTCTGAACGACGGCGACGTCAAAGACACGACGCTGGCAGCCGCGTTCGAAAAGTATCTCGGGAAATTGGGTATCGTTTAGATGTAGATGATAGATCGTCTATGTCTTGTACTTGAGCTCTCTCTTGACTGCGCTCCTCCAAAAACCAAACTCCTAACACGGCCATCACCATCATCACAGCTGCTTTTCCTTCTTCTCCTTCTCCGCCTTCTCCATCCCACTCGAAAAGTGCTTCTCCGCAACCTCATCCACAACAGCCTCAGTCTTATTCTCCCCATTCGCAACCCTCTTATCGACCTCTTCCTTAATTTCCGTAATCACACCCTTATCGGCATTCGTTCCCTCGATTTCGACGATCTTCCTGTCGCGTTCTTTCCGGAGCTGGGTTATCATCCGGTAGAGCTCTGGCGCGATTTCGGGACATCCGAGAGTGTCGGAGAGTTCAGGGATACGGGCTTCGTCAAGGATGATCTCCAAATCCTCATTCACCCCATTACTCGTTTCCCAGAACTTATCCGGCAACGGCTCCTTCGCCACTTCCTTATAATACTCCTCTAACTCCTTCACCGGCGTAGGCTTTAACTCTCCGTTCTCCACCAACGCCCTCAGATGCTTCCCGCCAACCATGGCTTTCCAATGACTCCATGCCCGAAACGCCATCACAAAGAATGGAATATTTGGAACGACGGGAAGGAGAGCGAAGGGAGCCGTGAGGGGTGAGAGGACGACGTTTAGCCACATCCATTTTCGGTGGTAGGGGAGGAGGGAGAGGAGAGTTGAGGTGGCGAGGGGGGAGATGTGGTGAGGTTTGAGCAAAGAGGGCGGATAGAGTATTGGAGTTGAGGTGTTTGAAAGATTGCGTGGACGGGCGGGGATGGTTCTTAGGGAGTACTCTGTATAGGGGATGTTGTCCAGGATCTACAGCCACGTATTAGCAATTAATCCTGACTCACTGCTGGTGGTGAAGAGAGTGAGGAACATACCTTATTTCCGATTGTCACGGTCCGATGCTTCCAATTCCATGTAGAATCCTTGTCCTTACCCCATTCGATCCACATCTTTGCAGCCTTTCCGGTGACCTTATCATGCCATACCTCCCAGGTCTTCAGGGTCTTCGGATCGGGAGATGTGAGGCGGTGTGCGTAAATGAGTGTATGCCGTTTTGTTACTGGAATCGCAAAGAGCTTCATGCTGGTCTATCCTACTCGTTCTCGGTGCGATTGAGTCAATTGGAGGTGTATGCTTCTCGAGGTGTATGCTGGTTATTTGAGGTCGGGGACTGGGGGCGGCGTTTGGCAGGGAGACGTCATCGCGCAACGTCCAAAATACACCTCCAAAGAAAAATAGAAACAAAAACCCTCATTTGAGGTTTGTAGGGAAGAATGAGTTTGAGATCAGCTCAGTCGAAGAGTTCGCTGAATGCTCTACAGCTAAACGAGAAGAACGAGGAAGCTGGCACCGCTATCTCACCTGGTCGTCGAGTCGTGCGGACAGTACCACGTATGCCTCCCTGATCTGGAGATCGAGGTGAATACATGCTGATTTTGAGTTCTAGCATGGGCGAAAGACGACGATGACATATCCGGAGGCCCACTCCCCTTCCACCCCCTCGAAACATCCCGCGAGACTGGAGCACGCGCAACGAACCCCGGTACCCGGAGTACCATCCCTCCAACCCTAAGCCCTCCACAATTGGTTGCACAGACGAGATGGCATTCATTCGCGAGATTACCACATGCAATGAGGCCGCATCAATGGCGGGAAGGAGTGAGTCCCAATCACGGTGCTGGAGATGTGGAGAAAGAAGAAAGTGTAAGGAGGACGAGGAGGGCGAGTGATAGTGATTCGGAGAGAGAGAGGAGGAGTATTAGGAGTTTCTTTAGACGAGATGAGGATGAAGATGTGGATTTGGAGGCGGATCGGAGGGCGGTGAAGAGGGAGGCTCAAGAGAGACGCGGGGATTTTGCATGGCTTGAGCGTCAACAGGGTATAGCATACTTGGGTGATTTCGACACAGAAATGACTTGCTGACGTGTCTACTGTACAGGACTGAATACTCCTTGGCACCATGCCGACCCAACCTCAACCTCCTACTTCCCCGACGACGCCCGTCTTCGGCGTGAGCGGACGACATCAAGCATCATCATCACGGACGGCGCCAACGCGCACAAGAAACAACGGACATGGTGGACAAAAACCCAAGTCCGCTTCCTCAACAACCCCTTCATCCCCCTCGCCATGCGTTCCGTACAATGGCTCGTCTCCCTCCTCGCTCTCGCATTCGCAGCAAACGCGGTACAGTTGAGTAACAAACATGGATTCGATCAGAGGCCTAGTGCGATCATGGCTATTGCTGTGGATGGGGTAGCGTTGATTTATCTCATCTATATTACGTGGGATGAATACAAAGGAAAGCCCCTTGGCCTCCGCTCACCTAAGGTGAAGATGCGACTCGTCATGCTCGATCTTCTCTTCATCATCTTCTTGTCCGCAAACCTCGCTCTCGCTTTCGACACGCTGTTTGACAATCAGTGGGGATGTAGGATTGAGGGTGGACAGTCCTATCCGGGAGCGCTGAATTCGAGTGTGAATGTGAGGGGAGTCTGTAGGAGGATGGAGGCCTTGGCGGCGTTTTTGTTTTTGGGGTTGGTTGGGTGGGTTGCTGGGTTTACGGTAAGTGTGTTTAGGATTGTGGAGAGGGTTGTGCAGGCGTGAAACAGTCCTACTTCGATCAAGGACAACATCTGCGGCCACAGAGGTGGAAGCTTTGTTCACTTGATACTTGACAGTGAGAGAAGGGAGTGGACGGCGTTTTACTTCGATTTTTCTTAGACGTTGACGGACACGCATCGTGTGTCCAAGGAAGGATCCACAGGAGTATACCTAGGGAATATACCAGCTCAAGAAGCTGCGAAAAACAAAGATGCTCAACAGTTCTCTCCATTGATACATCCATCCAAAACTTCCCGTGCATTACGTAGCCGTCGCACACCCCTGTCAGGTTCGGGCGCTTGTGTGCATGGGGGTCCCTGAACTCTCCCGATACCGCGGCCGTACAGTTGGGGTACGCAATTGTCTTCTCCCTACGAACCGACAGCATATACTCAGTCCTCTCCGTCTCAATAAGCCGTCACCGATTTGCTCTTGAGTCTATTGTATCGCTCGCTTGTCCAGAACGTACGACAGAATGCCCGTCGCCAATAATGGGTTGCCGAAGGCGGATGACTTGAAGGGATCGTATGTCGCCTCCCTGCGAATTGGCAAGGGAATGAATGCTAATTGGTATAATCAGATGGGCATTCCTGGAAGAGGGTGTCGATCATATCATGAATCGCCTCGACGAGGGATTGAGTCCGGCGAAGTATGTGAATATGTACACCGTGGTATACAATTTCTGTACGCACAATAAGTTGAGTCAGAGTATGTCTCTGCATGAGAGTTCGAGTGGACAGAGAGGTACGTCGAAGCGATGCGTTATGTCTGTAACGGATGCTGACTTCTATGTACAGGTGCGCACCTCATGGGAGCGGAGTTGCATAAGAGGTTGTCGGAGTACTTGATCAAGCACCTCGCTGGGATTTGCAACGAGTCAAAGCAGTATTCGGATGAGACGCTGCTCAAGTTCTACACCAAGCAGTGGGCGAAATACACCTTCGCCGCGTCCTTCCTGAACAACATCTTCAAGTACTTGAATCGACACTGGGTCAAACGTGAACGCGACGAAGGCCGAAATCAGGTTCACGATATCTACACGTTGGCGTTGGTGAGCTGGAAGTTGCATTTGTTCAACCATACTCAGGAGAACCTTATTAGTGCTGTATTGAAGTTTGTCGAAAAGCAGAGGAATGGGGAGTCAATTGAGACGACGCTTATCAAGAGTGTCGTGGAGTCATATGTCTCGTTGGGATTGGACGAAAATGACGCGACCAAGAATAACCTCGACGTTTACAGGGACTCTTTTGAGGCTCCCTTCCTTGAGCGGACGAAGGAGTACTACCAGGCTGAGGCGGAGAAATTCATCAGTGAGAACTCGGTAGTGGATTACATGCGCAAAGTGGAAGCGCGCCTCAACGAGGAGGAGTCTCGTGTGGTCATGTACTTGCATCCCTCCACCAGGAAGGGACTCATGCAGGCCTCCGAGAGTGTGTTGATCGCGGCGAAGGCGGAGTTGCTACAGGAAGAGTTCCAACCGCTGCTGGATAGCGACAAGAGGGATGACCTTTCGCGGATGTACAACTTGCTGAACCGTGTGAAGGGCGGGCTTGACCCATTGCGGATCAGGCTCGAGACGCACGTTCGTCGTGCTGGATTGGATTCCGTTGAGAAGGTCGCGAGTGGACAGGAGGTTTTGGACCCACAGACATACGTGTTTGCTCTGCTCGATGTTCACACTCATTACAATGATCTCGTGGCTAAGTGCTTCCGTAATGATCCAGATTTTGTCAAGTCCTTGGATAATGCCTGCAAGGAGTTCGTCAACAGAAACAAGGCTTCTGAGAGTAGGGGATCTAAGTCTTCGCCGCAATTGTTGGCGCAGTATTGTGATTCTTTGCTCAAGAAGGGCGCAAAGGTCGTCGAGGAGAATGATTTGGAGAAGCACCTTCAGGGTGTGATGACGGTCTTCAAGTATATCGAGGACAAGGATGTCTTCCAGACGTTCTATCAGAAGCTTCTTGCGAAGCGTCTCGTCAAATTCCTTTCTGCTTCCGATGATGCGGAGGCTGGAATGCTCCTCAAGCTCAAAGAGGCGTGTGGTGTTGAATATACGAACAAGCTGCAAAGAATGTTCACGGATATGACACTTTCTAAGGAGACTATGGATGCGTTCCGTACCCAGATGCAGCAGACTCACGACGCATCTGAGCTATCTACGGATTTCTCTGCGCTTACCCTCGGAAATGGATACTGGCCTTTCACTAAGGCGTCATCGGGTGGTAACTTCAATATCCCTCCGGAGGTGATCAAGGACCTCGAACGTTTCCAGTCTTACTACGACAACAAGCATTCAGGCCGAAAATTGACTTGGTTATGGCAAATGTGCTCGGCTGAGGTTAAGGTGAACTTCACGAAGGTTAAGACGGGGTACTTGTGGACTGTGTCCACTTGGCAGATGGCTATTCTCCTGATGTTCAATAAGGCTACATCTTACACATACGAGGAAATTGCTGGGACGACTGCGATCGAGAAGGATCAGCTTGATGGATCTCTGTCTATCTTCTTGAAGGCGAGGGTGTTGACCTGTAACACGGAGAGCGGAGGTCCTGGAAGTACCTATGAGTTGAACCAGGATTACAAATCCAAGAGGATCCGAATGAACTTCAACCAGGCCATCAAGTCCGAACAGAAGCAAGAAACGGAAGAGGCGCACAAGACTGTGGAGGAGGACAGAAACTTGTTGATGCAGTCCGCGATCGTTCGTATCATGAAGTCTCGCAAGACGTTGAAGCACCAGGAACTCATCACCGAGACGATCTCGCAGATTTCTTCTCGGTTCAAGCCTACGATTCAGGATATTAAGAAAATGATTGACGTCTTGATTGAGAAGGATTACTTGGAGCGGGCTGGTAAGGAGACGTACTCGTATGTTGCATAAAGCACAAGGATGGGGAAGAGGGTGGACGTCGGTTCGAGGTGTGTCCTATGTTGGGATGTTGTTTTCTGTGCTTCAGGTGTTCTTGTTTCCGTATGGGTTCCTTTTTAGCATTTTAGGTGTACGTGCTATGTTCGCTGGCTATAGCTAAGTTATTCTTGCCAGAACACTACCGAGTGCAGTTGCAGTTGCTTCATTGTACGAAGTATTCATGACCATAGGCATTATGAGTGTAGGCTTATTAGACGTCCGCAGCAGTATTTCATAGTACGCAGTACTCGATTCTTAGTAAGAAGCAGACAGAGTAATAAAGACAACAGAAAGGTGCGCGCCAGCTCATGCATCATAAACACGACATCACGACGGCCTCAATCACCCTCCGAAGCCGTCCTCCTCCGCATATATGCTCGTCAGTTCCAGACCGACATAACACGCACCCCCATATTCACAATCACCACGGCTTGCATGAACCCTCCCCATTATCGTTCATCCTGTAATGCCCCTCACGACTCCTCCTTCCACTATTCCTCGATGACCTCCCAGTGCCATCTTGCCCCATACGCATCAACGCTCTCGAGAATCGACCACTCTCATCAACAGCGACTTCATTCAACATCAACACATCACGGCGAGTAGCGCGTTGTTCACGGGCAGCGGCGGCAGCAGAAGCGGCGTTCGCACGGGTTTGAGCATTGTGCGCAGTGAGGTACTGACGGCGCTTCTCGGCGAGGTACTCTTCGAGGTCGGCACGGACTTGAGCTTGGACGCGCTCCTCATGCTCGAGCTCGGCTTGGTGTTGTTCGTGAAGAGTCTCTTCGGAAGCACGGACGTCATCCTCTGGAATCGGGTCCAAATCCTTCATTTCGTAATCATCATCCTGGTCGTGATACTGCTGAACAGCAATTGCTTCCTCCTCATCACGAACCATACGAGCAGGACGAGCAGAACGAGTAGGAGAAACGGCGGCGACACCGGTGCTTGTCCGGCGAGGAACAGGTTGACTTCTGTGCTCATGCATGTGAGGAAGACGCATACCCATAAACTTGTTCGTCTCACGGTCATCAGTAGCAACGACTTGCTCATACTCATTCCACTTCAAGAAGACGTAGAAGAGGGTGGCGAAGATGGAACCGATAAAAGGACCTGCCCAGTAGATCCAGTGGTAGCCCGGGAAAGACTTGGTGACAACGCAAGGACCGAAAGCACGGGCGGGGTTGACGGCAGCACCGGACCAAACCACGCCGAACAACTCGATAACGAACAAGGCGAGACCGATGATGATGGGAGCGATGAAGGTAGCACGGTGCTTCTCAGCAGCACACATGAGAACCGTGAAACACAAGTAAGCGGTCAAGAATGCCTCCAAGAACAACCCTTGAGTGATACTGGTTCCTTGGGCGAGCGAGGGAGAAACGACAAGTGGTACAGGCAGCAACCCATCAATCAGAGCACTGGCAGCGATACCAGCGGCGATTTGTGCTCCAAGTAGAAAGATTGCACGTCTCCAACTCAAGACACGGACCATAAACAGCGAAAGGGTGATAGCGGGGTTGAACAAGGATCCAGAGACACGGTAGAAAGTAAAGGCAGTGACGAGCAAGCCAAGACCTTGAGCTGTAGCGTAGTAGATGATGGTCTGAGGAAAGTTGGTACGGTCGGCAGCTCCGGCCAAGTAAGATGCAGTATTCGTTCCACCGAGTGCAACGAACAAGAACATAGTCGTCCCAACGAACTCACCAATCGTCGCAACAAAGTCGTTCCTCAAACTCGCGTCGTGGGCCCTGACCCTACCGAGAGGACTGAAGATGTGGTGATGCTTGCCCTGGAGTTTCTTGCCGTTACGATCGTGTCCGAGAGCCCTGTCGAGAGAGGTCTGTGGCGGAGCGAGAGCACCATATTGGTCATCCGTCGTAGCCCACATGCTGTCCGGATGAGCAGAGGATTTGGCGGGACCGGCGATACCGCCATCAGGGCCCTTGGGGACGAAGTGGTCCAAAGCAAGAGAATCCATCGTCTGTTGCTTGTAGGAGACGCAAGGTAGCGTAAGCCGTGTAAACGGAAGGGAAAGAAGAAGCAAACAGCGACGAACACCCGGGTTGTGGGAGGTCAGGTGAGGTGAGGAAGAGGGAGGACGCGTCGTCACTTTATACTGACCATCCGAGGTTGCGTGACGACCTACCGCCTGAGATAAAGCTTGCGGGTACGTATATGGCTGCCTCAACCCTTGGAAACGGTCCGTCCGCAGTCGGTTAAAAGGGGTAAGGTTACGCTGGATAAAGGAGGTTTCATTGAAGCATGATTCACACACCCGTGAAAGTCCTTTTAAGTATGTTCTGACTGTCTGAATGTATCGAAGCTTTTAGGGAACTGTTGAGGCGTGAGAAAATGGATCCGCTCAAGCTTGGTCGGCAAAGGGTTTTCAAATCGTCCTCCAGATTCGCAGCTGCTGCCAAACATCGATAAGGTATATATGAATGTCAACCTACAAGATCCTACTTGGTGTAATTATACCGAATGTCCCTGTCCCTTGGTATTTCCAACTCCCAGCTGCAATGCCGCTCAGAAGTACAACGCCTTCTGCCAGAACTCACACCTTGCGTTCGCGTTACTATCGGGTACCACTGGGAACCCATCAATCCCAAGCTCCAACAGGTTGGCCGCCTCGCCATAAACCGGGAACTCCGGCGTACCCGCTGCCCTACCCTCACTCGGATTGCCAAACCTGGCGAAGCTAGTCAAGTATCCCTCCAAGGCGGCTGTCACAGTTTGGTTGGCACCAACACCGAAAGTGTACTGAATATCCTGTCCATGAAGTGCAGGTGGAACATCGAAGAGATAGTTGTACGTGTTGTTTCCGAAAGCTGTAGCCAGGTAGCGTGTGTTGCACGTAAAGACCAACTCCGAGGTGACAAGCGAGGCGCGCTCGAAGTTGGAGGTGTAAGGAGTGCTGCTTGATGGAGGTGGGTAAAGTGCCGCAATCTCGGCCACCACAGCGGGATTGGTGGTACTTGTGAGTCCGTACACAAACGTCTCGAAATCAGTCTCGTTCAAGATATTCTTCGGAGTGAAGAGATAGCCCTCATCGGCATTGTGACCACTCATCACCTGCACATCCTTAGGGAAGGCACCGATCAACAAGAGATACCCGGGCAAAGCAGGCACAAACGTCCCATCAACAGCGGGCCCGAACACGAAAGAGCCATAGGGCGCATTCGTGACAATTTCGTTACTCGCAGCAGCCAACACCTCAGCCGGAGCATCCTTGAGACACTGCAGCGAAGTACAATTTGCCGCAGCCTGGAGTGTCTGGTACTGTGCCTCCAACAAACGGGGCGAGTACTGTGGTGCCCATCCCGGACTCTGGGGTATCATCTTTTGGAACGGAGGAGAGTCGGTGGAGCCATATGCCGTAAGTTGGTGCATCAAACTTCCACCACCAGCTGACTCTCCGAATACCGTAACATCATCCTTCGAGCCCCCGAAGAGCTCGATATACTCCTGAACCCACTCGAATGCCGCGCGCTGGTCATATAGTCCAAGATTTGCAGTTGCGTTGGACTGGTATGTCGGTCCGGCCAACCATCCGAAGGCACCGAGACGGTAGTTGATGGCCACATAAATGAGTTGATTGTCGGCGGCATTGATGAGAAGGTTACCAGGGAACTCATCTTTGTAGCCATTGGTGTATCCACCTCCGTACACCCAAACCATAACGGGCAAGTTCGCCGAGGAGAGATCACCGGAGCGAACGGTACCGCCAGGAATATAGACATCCAAGAAGAGACAGTCCTCGCTCTGAGGAGGAGTAGGGGTAGCAGCCGCCGCACTACTGGTACTCGTCGCCGCCCCCGTGGACGAAGCAGCAGCCGCAGCAGCCGAAGCCAATGCTATCTCCTCAAGCACGATCCACATCGGATCAGACTGATAGCATGTATTCCCCACACTTCCATCCTGAACACCCAAGCTCGTCTCATCAACCGGCGACTGCGGAGGCTGGAAGCGGAGGGGACCAGTGGGGGGAGCGGCGAAGCGGATGTTCTTGAAGGTGTAGACGTCGGTTTGTTCATTGTAAGCTGCTGCGGCGTACGTTGCGTATGAAAGGGTGATGGTCGGCATTGAGCCCGACGTTGCTGTAGCCTGGGACACTGTGGGAGCAGCTGCAGTGGTGGAGGGCATAGCCTCGGTGTCGCAGTCTGAGGACATGACATTGGGGTGTGGAGCCGCGAGGGCGACATGGCAGAACCCGAGAGAGACGAGAGCTGTGATCCACTTCATGATGTGCTACTCCGAGCCGTTGTTGGTACGGCGCAAGACACAGTGCGAGATGCCAGTCTTTATAGTACAGGCCTCCCGCTAAATCCAAGGACAGGCAAACAACGACATCATGGGATCCAGCTTAAGAGTCTCTACCCCGCAGACCCCATAGCTATGGTTATGCTCTCGGTGGATCATAATAATGATCAGTGATCACCGGTCCACTCGACCTTTTGCGATCGGCGTACCCCAGATGGGCGTGCCCCGGCAAACCCCCTCATTCGAAGGTTTAGCTACCGATGGTCACACGATCACCCGAACTTAAGACTTCATTATTCCGAGGTGCGAGAAGCCGAGGAATACGGAAATCTACGCCTGATCAAGTCGCGGTTCCGAACCGGTGGTGGGTTTCGAAGATCAGCTGGGGAGTTCGGAGGAGCTCCCCCGTGGGGAATCTATATGGACCCCGCACGCCACAGCGGAGTTGCGGTTTTAGGGGGGCCAGTGTCGGCAAAATATTCTAGGAATTTTGCGTCATGAGATCATTAATATTTCCTTCCTTTGGTCTGTCTGTATCACAGCGCGAGCTACGTTCACGATTTCCCTGGTTGAACCAACCTCATTTCTTTCCCACCCTCTCAGCAATGAAACCCTCAAACTCGTCCTTGTAATCAGGATGCCACCTACTCAACGCCGGCCGCCCCTCAACCGGATCCGCCGCACTCCATGCCATCCTAGCCTTATCCAAATCCTCACTAACATCATTATCCGGGCAAATAACATAAAACTTTCCATCCAGCATCTTCTGGAACAAATAATCCACGACCTGATCCGCAGTCCACGCAGCCGCAGGCTTGTTCTCCAAAGGTTGTTGATTGCCCTTTCCGGATGCGCCAGCGGTCATACCGGTGTAGGTGTATCCCGGCACGAGGAGGTGTGCGGAGACTTTGCAGTTCTCGGTGTTACGCAATTCGTGAGCCAGCGCCTCAGTAGCGACCTTGACTCCGGCTTTGGAGACGTTGTAGGCGGCATTTCCAGGGGGACATGTGATTCCTTGCTTGGAGCCGGTGTTGATAATAGCGCAGGGCTCGCCTTGGGCGATCATGACGGGTGCGAAGACTTGGGAGCCGTAGACGACGCCGAAAAGATTGGTGTGGATAAGCTTAGTCCAGGCGTCGGGATCTCCGTTAATGATGGGACCACCGTGCCCAGTTCCAGCGTTGTTCATGAGGATGTGGACGGCGCCGAAGGTGTCGTAAGCCGTCTTCTTGAGGTTCTCGACGTCGGAGAGTTTAGAGACATCAGTAGGCACGATCTGCTTGCAAGAAGTCAGACATGAACAGTACCATCGATCTTCGGGCAGACCTTGACTTTCGCCCCCTCCTTCTTGAGTGCCTCACCAGCAGAGGTGAGCAATTCCGTATCGAGATCAGCCAACACAACATTCATCCCCTCGGACGCAAAACGGCGAGCAGCGGCGAAACCGATACCGGATGCTCCACCGGTGATGACGGCAGTAGCACCTTTACGGATACAAGCTGGAAGAGGAGACATGTTATGGATCAATTGGGTGGTTGGTGTTGGGTCTGAGCGGGAATTCTGTGGGTGCGCTGACCGAAGGGTCCGCTGCACCCCGGATCTGCCAACGTCATGGGTACCAGGGTGATTAGGACCGACGGGTAGATCAATCAATTGGATTGGGATATGTTTTCAAAAAGTTCTGTTATTCAAAGAAATACTAATAGCAACCTTTATGGGATGCTATCGCGGAAACAAAGAACGCAAGCACGAGCAGGACCGGATATCGATGCCACCAGGCCCCAGCGATAATTCCATCGCAGCTGATAGCGGAATTGCCAAGCGGGCGAGCCGCTAGATGCCTTGGGTTTTATCCAATCATCCTTATGTTCCCATGTAACGCGTTTTGACACGTCAGAGCCCGCCAATGACGCCATACATGAACAAGCGTAAGAGATCAATAGATCCCCTTCCCAGCTTAAGTCCACTCAGTCGGCAGCTCCAAGCCCTTCCTCAACATCTTACCGCCCCTAACATCCCCAAACCTCAACGTCATCCCATTCCTCGCCGCCGAAGCTGCCAAAGCCTGCTTCTCCTCATCCTCCTGCGTCCTCTCATAGTTAAGCACAAGTGACTTGATTTTTTGCTGCTCGGCACGTTCGGCTTCCTGCTTGTTCTTCGTAGCGATGGCGAGGGCGGAGTCTTCTGGTACAGCGAGAGGGCGAAGCTGTTGTTTGTTACCTCGTTTGGTGAGGAAGGTGAATGCGAGGCCGTTGGGGGCAGCGGGAGTCGAAGCCGGCTCGGCGGTTGCAGCATGCTGCGGAACGTGCCTCTTGACAGGCAAAGGTACGTCAAACACCTGTTTCCGCTCAAACTTCCTCGTCTCTAAGCTCTCACTCATCATTTTTGCAAACTCTCTCTCGAACTCTGCTTCCTCCTCAGGATCAACCTCACGTTGACGCCTAACCACGACATCCACCTCTTCCTCTTCATCGGACTCTTCTTCATCTTCAGAGTCCTCATCATCATCTGACTCAACCTCTGCCTCCTTGTCTTCCTCAGCCTCAAGTTCCTCCTCAACATCGATACCTTCCTCGTCCTCATCCTCCGACTCCCCTTCATCAGACTCAACATCAACCTCCTCCGGCTTAGCCTCAGCAGCCCTCTGCGGCATTTGCCTCGCAACAATCTCATCCAGCTCCTTCGCCGCCTCCTCCAAACTCGTATGAACCTTGAAGTCCGGTCGAATAAGCTGAAACGCATCCTGGACACCAAACTCCACATCCATCGGCAACGTCGCCTTGGTATGGATATAGAACTGGAAAAATGCCAAAAACATATCCAACTTCTTCTTCGAGTTTCCACGATCGAAGCACATCCCACAACTCTCCAACAACGCACAAACAAGCCTCACCCGGAAGAAGTCATCCGGAGGATCAAGGGGCGTCAACCTCCCCGGCATAGGGCGTCCATTCTCATGACCAAGCGTTACAATCAAATAAAGCGTGTCGAAGATAACTGATGTTTCCACCATTTTGTAGTTGTACAACTCACCCAAATACTTCACAGCGGCAATCCGCCTCTGATTATGCTTGAAGATATTCTGCTCCAACCCAAGCCGAATCTGTTCAAGCACATCATCAACAACAGCAACCGCAAACTCGGGATGATACTTGCTCAACCCACCCACCAAAATGGCCAAATAATGCAGATTCGCAAACTTGATCTTCCACGGCTTGGTAAAGATCTTCGTCAACAACCCCACCATCTTCGGATCCTGCCAATTCACTTTCCTCAACTGCTTCAAAATCTTCGCAACGTTCTTCTTGCTCAAATCAAGGTAAACGAGTTTCCTCACATACAACTCAACCGGACTCCGGTCCTTCTGCTGAATCGCGGCACGTTCAGGCGGATTAACTTGGTAAAACGCATTCTCAACCATAACCCTCTCCTGCCCGCCCAAATGCGCCGAACTCTTCTTCCGATTTAGGATTTCGAGCATCTGTCCCATCCGCCCACTCGTCTCCCCATACCTAAACAAAAACCTCCCACAATTCTCCAACAAATGACACAAGATCTCAATATTACTCCGATTAAAATCCTCGAGTGTTATTTTCATGCAGTGAAAAACCACATGCGGAGGGCAGATCTTGAATTTTGTCAGTTCGGAGAGATACTTGATGTTCTTCGCCCGAGACTCTGCCAAGTCCTTTTCCCGCATCCGCTGAAGGCGCCGAAACTCCTTATCGAGTTTCTCCACCACTTTGTCCCTTATATCTGGCATCCAAGGCGCCAGCGTCGCGATAAGCCTTGCATAATACGGCAACAAATCCTGTCGCGATCTCGGGATCTCGTAAAGGGTTTTGATGAGCCTATTCCGCGATGCTTTGGAGTTGACGAAACAGAAATCGACGGCGAATTCATCGATGAGATCACGGTTTGTGAGTTCGGGGAGACGCAAGAGCAAGGCATCGACCTGTGCTCCAATCGTCTTCGTCGGCGCAGCATCAGCGCCATCACCCTCCTCCTCCTTCTCATCTTCATCCTCATCCAAATCCATCTCACCCCCCTCCTCCCCCACAGCCCCCGTCCCCTCCACCTTATCCTTCTTCTCACCTTCCTTAGCGGCTTCCTCTTCAGCCGACTTCTTCCCGGCCTCCAAGAATATGCCAGGAACTCTCGTACTCAAATCCACAACCTCCTCATAAAACCTCCTACTATCCTCATCCTCCCACAAACTCCCCACCGTCTCCCCCTCCCTCCTCCCGCCCTCCGCCACGCTTCCAAGTGCCCTAACCACACTCTCCGGCCTATCCTCCTCCGGGGTTGGTAGGTGCGGCATCTCAACACCCAAAGCATCAGCCAATGTTTGAGCGGAGCTGACGAACTTTTCTTGGGCGCGGAGGAGCTTGTTGAATGCGGTTTGACGATCCTCGAAAGTTTGTCCGGAGGAGATGAGGTGTTCGGCATTTCGACGTGCTGTTGCGTTGATTTGCTTTTGGTGGCGGACGAGGGCATATTTGACGGATTCCCAGTAGCCTGTGAGGAGCTCGCGCGTCTCATCCCGCACGGTTCCATCAGCCAAGGGAGTGTCTTCCGTGTGGTCACCTTCGGCCCCGTTGGCTGCTTCGGCAGCTGCCTCGCCCTCAGCCGTTTTGCGGACGGTGCGAGTGCGAGCCCCAAGGACATCAAACCCAAAATTCTTCACAAACCCAACCGCCAGAGGTAAATTCACGAGTTCCTTATCATCCTTCAGCAGACCCCTCATAACCGTCAACGGCAACGGCGCACCCTCTGCTTTTCCATGATCGACGTACTCCTCCCCCAACTCGCGCCCATCTTCCGCCTTGCGCAAGATGCCAGCGAGCCAGAATTCGGTCGCGACACGGATGAGGACGCGTTGACGGCTGATTCGTGTATTTTCCTCTTTCTCGCGCTGCTCGGGTGACAACCCCTTCAAATAACTCTTAGACGGCGGCAACAAAGCCTGATAGATCCGCTGAGTCAAATACGGCGTAAACCTGGTCGAAAACCTCTGATGCAACGCCGACACAATCTCAACCCCAGCCAACACCGCAGCCTGCGTCTTACACGTCCCAAGACCCTCCGCGACACCACTAACAACCTCACTCAAATACTTCTCTAAACTCAATGATTGTACATCCTTCAACAACTCTGCTTGTTTCTCCGCGGTGAGTGCTGTACGGACTTTCTTGATGAAGGCTGTGTTTTTCTTGAGTGAGGAATCAAGAGAGGAGGAGGTTTTGAAGAGGTTCGGTTCGCCGGACCAGGCTCGGGAATTGAGATGGTGTAATTGGCGCTTTCGTTCGCGGCGAGAGCGATCTTCGGCGCCATCGGCAACCTGGACACCATCAATATTCCGTATGTAGCATACAGATTAAGGATGCCTTACCTCTTTCGTTGCCGTCGTCGATGACATTCGTTATGCTTATGGGGGATCAATTGTCCGTGACGCCTTTGAGGTGTACGGGGTTGGTTTGGGTGTACGACAGCGTCGTGCAGCTGGGGATGCGCGCGCCGCCTTGCAGGGGATGCATCACGCCTGCGAACACGAATCCACACTGAATGTATTTTACTACGACAGCTCATCAACCAATACCCAAACATAACTCCCCCAAACCACGACTCCACCCACAGCCAACACCCCACCACACCACCTCGCCCTCCTTCGTCCCCTAACCTCCTCCTCACTCAACGTCACGACCTTTCCCTCCCTCCTCTCACGCTCAATTCTGTCTACATAGGCTTCATCGTCTTCGTTTTCCATTTGTGGGAGTTGGGCGTAGCGGGAGTTGGAAGGGATAGGGGGACCGGTGGAGGAGGGGGTGGAGGCGTTGAGGTAGCCTCCCATCTGGTGTTTGTCGAGGACGAGGAGGATTGCGACGAGGCCGGCGACGACGAAGTTGCATGCCCATAGAATGGCGAGGACGGCGTTGAAGGGTTGGATGTCGAATTCCTTTTCCTGATCAAGCAGTATCCCAGACCACTATTCCCCTATTAGCCTCCATCTTGAGAAAAGCCCTCTCGAGGAAAGGAAATACCACGTACCGTCTGTGTAAGTGTAGTCCCCATCATCTCCAACATCTTCCACCCCCCAAGCGCGATACTAACACTCTCCGCACCAACCAACCGCTGCGCCGTAACGACCATCAACAACGGTCCAGCACCATACCCAATCGCGAACGTGACAAGTGCAAGCGTCGCAGACCCCGGGAGTGACTTGGCCAGTAGTAACGAGTACGAAGCCAGCGTGAACAGCGTCGACACCAAAAGCAGTGTTAACCGATGTCCATAACGGTCGGTGACCCACCCCGCGGCTGGATACAACAATATCTATCCCAACAAAATCAGCAATCATCCTTACAAAAACAAGCGTGTCAATCGAGCATACCGGCAACGCCAACACCCACCCCGCCCACCCCGCAGCTTTATCTGAGGTCATCCCATACCTCTCAACCAAAACCTCCGTACTCAAATTCACAAACGGAAGCCACACACACCCAACCCCAACCGCAACCCCCAAATACAAATAAAATAACCCAGGAAGCGCATACACCCTCTCCGTAACACTCAACCTCACTACATCTTCTTTCTCTGCATGAATGGGCGTGAACCCCCGCGCACCGAAAGCTTGGATCCGGAGTCTTTCCTCCTCTGCGCGGGAACGGCGGATGGACCATACGATCCATGTGATGTTCATCCCGACGCCTAGGGCTGTGAGTGCCGTGCCCACCGCAAATGGCGTAGTTAACCCAGCGTGGGATTTAGTCATCGAGCTAATCGTCTCGGCAGCAATGAAACTCGTACCCTTCCCCGCGACCAACCCCACCGCCAACGCGAGTCCAGCCCTCTCGTGCGCTCCAAATACCTGTACCAAGAGTGTTTCCTGAATCAGGGCTAATGGGCTAACGCCCATTCCGAAGACGACGAGTCCGGTTACCAACCATCCAATCTTACTCATTAATACGCCGAAGAGCGCGATGAATTCCCCGATGAAGAGGGTTGATGTCGCGAAGAGTGATGAACGGAGGGTTCCGTGTCGCGCGACCAGGAGTCCGGCAAGGAGTGGTATAACCGTATTCAGCAGTGTCTGTGAGGAGAGTAGCGAAGTCAACGTCCGATCCGGTATCCCGAGTCGAGATTTCAGGAGTGGGAGGAGAGGCCCGAGGGTTTGTGCGAAGTGAGAGCCTATGTTGGATATTCAGTTAGCCAGTGGTCCACCGCAAGCGATGAGTTGGTTGCGAACCGATTGAGAATGTGCAGGCGACGAAGAGAATAAACATCCGTGCCCTGAAATCCAATTTATCCCGTGGTTGCTGTTCTTCATCCTCCGTAGCCTCATCTCCCTCCTCACCCGTAACCTGTCTCGCATGCCCTCTCGACCCTCCCTGACCCGCAATTGGCGTCCCCCCTCTCAACGGACTCCCCACAAACGGCGATCCTTGCCCATGTTCTATATGCTCCCCCTTATCCTTCTTCCCAAACAACGGAAGCGAGATTTGAGAGCCGGAGGGAGAAGCTTCGTGTTCGAGTGGTTGGAGTTGGAAGCCGACAAAGTGTTGACGGGGCTCTTGTTCGCGGCGGGTACCGAAGAGCCCTGGCATTCTCTATAGGCTATCCACTGCAGAAGTGATAGAGAGATCCAATTGCAGTGATGGAGGAGTCTTTTGGGGTATATGCTGCTTGTATGCTGAAGCTGGGTTGTATGCTGCCCGTGATCTTCCGCGGGGACGGGCTATGGCTACTGCGGGTCAGCCTGGGGTGCAGCCGGTCGTGGAGTGTGGGGGTACCGTACGTGAGCGTGAGCGTGGGGGCTCGCACGGCCGCGGTTGAAGGGAGCTCGAATGTCGATATTCCTGCCTTACTTAAGGGATTGATATATGATCGGGATCAACGCCTTGTCTTGATATTTGTAAGGAGTGGAGGGTATACTGCTTCATCTAGTTTTCAATGTTCACCCATCACACCCACGCCTTCGGCTTCCTCAACACCTCCATCAACCTCTCCTCCCGACTCCCCAACTTTGGCACATGCATATACTCCCACCGACTCGTCAACGGCAAACTCATCAAAATACTCTCCACCCTCGCTCCGGGCGTATTCAACCCAAACTGCGTCCCACGATCATAAACAAGGTTAAACTCGACATACCTCCCCCGCCTCACTTGTTGAAAGATCTTTTCGTCGGGGGTGTAGGACATGTCTTTTCGGCGTTCGATGAGGGGGAGGTAGGAGGGGAGGAAGGCGTTAGCGCAGGATCTGATGAAGGAGAAGAGTTCGTCTGGTGTCTTGTCCTCTAGATCATCGAAGAAAATGCCGCCGACTCCGCGGGTTTCTTGGCGGTGCTTGATGTAGAAGTACTTGTCGCACCACTTTTTGAAGTCGGGGTAGTACCGTCTATCGTGTTTGTCGCATGCGTTTTTCATCGTCTTGTGGAAGTGGATTGCATCCTCGTCGAAGAGGTAGGAGGGTGTCAGATCGGAGCCACCGCCGAACCACCAGGCGCGGGGGGTGCCGTCCTGGTTCTCGATTTCGAAGTAGCGGTAGTTGAGGTGGACGGTTGGGGCCATTGGGTTGTGGGGGTGTACCACCAGCGAGATCCCCGCTGCGAAGAACGGCAAGGGCTCATCTGTTGCTTCCAGGCCTTTATGATTTTCTCTCATCGCAGCCACGGCAGCGGGTGGTAGCTTCCCGTAGACAACGGAAATATTGACACCAGCCTTCTCAAAAACATTTCCGTCTTGCAGAATGCAGGAGATACCCTCCCCTCCCTCCGGCCTCTTCCAAGAATCAACCCGGAACTTATTCCCGTCGATATCTTCCAAAGCCTTACATATTTCCTGCTGCTTCTCCTTAATAAACTGCTCCATCCTCAACCTCATCGGCGAACTCTCTGTAATTCTCCCCGAAACCCTAACACTCTCGTCCTGAGCCGCAGTATTGTTCTCCTCACGACACTGAATCGGATCCTGTTTATTAAGAGTCCAGGAGACGAGGGGAGCGAGAGAGTCAAAGGTGACGTGACCGACAGTGTGAGAGTCCATGGCGACAATACCAACAGTGGCAGCTCCGGCGCCCAAGAGACCACAAGTCACGGACATGGCTACGCATCTACCTGTGAAGGCCCAGTTTTTCCACCGAGGGGGGTTCCGTGATGAGGTGGAGACTGTGCGTGTGGAGCGGAGTGCTGGGACTGTTGTACTGTCAGGATGAAGCCACGATGGGTTGCGCAAGGTGAATCAAGACATACCCGCACCTACGCATCTTCTTCTGGTAACCGCAAACAGCGTTGTCGTCGTCATCGTCTTTCTCCAAGTCCTGATCCTCGAATGGATCACCGTACCGTACCGTACCCACCCGCGCCCCGGCCCAGCTGCACCCGTTGCATCCCTCCCTCACTTCGCCACACCTCGGCCACCATTCGCGACTTTTTGGAGCACTCATACTCAAACCTCGAATAAAACCACAAGTTCAGCAGGTATTCGCTGGCGAATGCTGGTGTGGATTGACGTACGATAGCAATGTCCGATGTTGCGCTTACTTTGACGCCGACACCAGCGTCCAGGAAGCGAAAACGGCGGACGAAAAGAGGTGACAGCGTGCCGGAGGGTGAGAAAGCACCGTCAGAGGTTGTGCAAGAGGTGGAAGCGCCGGCGGAGGTTGGAGGAGGGGATAAGGTCCTTTGCCGATGTTCGATCTGCGAAAATCACACTCCCGGAGGCCGCTGGGTCACGAAAAAGACGAGAGGGAAACATGGTGCGTTGGTGAGGTGTACGTGCAAGTCTTGTGTGAAGAAGGATCCGGGGGGGAAGTTGGTTACGCACGAGTCGCGACAAGAGCACTTACTGAGGGTTGGGGCTGAGGCGGAGGCGGAGGGACCACAATTACCGGCGGTCGTGGATGCGACAGATGTGGAAGAAGGGAGGAGCCAGTTGCGACCCACAGCATCACCACACCCGTCAGAAATCACTACAGAGAAAGAAGCAAACCCATCAGAGGTGAAAATCCCTCGTGGCTTCGGAACCAGACTCAAGGCTCTAGAACGCGCCGGCTTCGCCGACACCCACGAAAACGTCCTCGCCCTCCAACGGTTCAAAAACTCTAAAGACGCGTTGAGTAAAGCGAAAGCGTACCTGGAGACGCTTAAGAAGGGGGAGCTTCCGAAGTTGAGTCCGAGGACGGCGACGAGTGGGGAGAGGACGAGGAGAGTGGTGGAGAAGAGGCTTGCGGTTCTGGAGCGGGATGGTGGGGGTGATAGTCCCGCAACACCTGATCCCGCCCTCGCCAACGCCGGCACACGGACGAGTGTTACGGTAACACCAACACCAGCACCAACACCAACACCAACACCAACACCAACACCAGCACCAGCACCAGCACCAGGTCAATCGACCCCCTTCCGCCCCACCCTCCGTCGAAAATTCCTCACGGTCCGCACCCTCCCTCGTCCCCTCCCCTACAACCCATCCTACCTCTCCCTCCTCAACACCCACATCGCCTCCACCGCCTCCCCCCACCTCTTCCCCATCCATGGGAGACAGCATCTAGAGGATACGGTGTACCTCGAGACGGTATGGACAGCGGAGGAGAAAGAGGTGTTTTTCAAAAGTGTTGCGAGGAGGGGCAAGAGGGATTTCGAGGGCATACGCGGGGACGTAGGGAGTAAGAGTTTGCTTGAGATAGCAACGTATGTCGATCTCCTTGAATCTGGACTCCGCGCAGTCCGCGAAGGGCGGTTAGGTCGTCGAGCGAGAGACCTGATCAAGATGAGTGACATCCCGGTTGCGGTTGAGGTTAGTGAGTTGTGGCTTAGGGCGGAAATGAGGGCTGCGAGGAAGATGGAGGAGTTTGAGAGGGGGTGGGGAGGGAGGAGGGAAAGGAGGGTCTGGGGGGAGGGATGGGGGGTGATTGGGTGGGAGGAGGCGAGGAGGGCGGAGGGGGTGTATAAGGAGAAGGGGGAGGATGGGGACAAGGGTCGAGTGCATGAGACGGAATCCGTGGATTTAGGCGAGGAATCAGGAGCAGAGGAAGATGACGTGGTGGACCCCCCGAACTGCTTCGAAGCGGAGCTATTGAAGATTCCCACCATCCTCAAGCTCGCAGAGAGCATTTACATGAATCCCCTCGACCCCCGCTTCCCACCAACAACCTGGTCAAATCCCACCGAAGGCCCCCGCCGGCTTATCGACGCTTCCCTCCAGCACTCAACCTTAACCTACCTCGAAGCAATCGCCAAAGACTTGACCCGTCGCCTCGTCGAAAAAGCTATGTTCGTCGCTGCAGCGCGGTGTAAGAACGAGGAAGGCCCTCTCTTTAAAAGGAGTAGGGTGGTGAGGTATAAGGATGTTAGGGTCGCGGTCGAGATGGAGGGGTTAGGGAGGGGGAATTTGGATGAGTATTGGGTTGAGATGCCGGAGAGGTTGGGTATGGTTGTTAAGGGGAAGCATAACGTCATTGTTGAAGGAGATGCGTTGAAGGAGGTGCTGAGGGGGTCTGCGGAGCGTAGGAGGAGAAAACGGAGGGGACAGATGGGGAGGGATGGGGAGGATGGGTCGTCATCCGAGGAGGATGGCAATGAAAGTATCTTTAGGGGCATCGGGGCGGGGCCACGGAGTCGGAGTCCGAGTTTGGGGGCGAGTAGTGAGGGAGAGGAGGATGAGGATATTGTGTTGACGGAGGATCGAATTGAGCTCCCGCCTGAGAGTCATGTGTACGGACAAGCGGAGGTCGACACCTCTGACGCGCTCGCTAGTTCCGAGTCTGAAGCAGATGCGGACGCGGATGCGGATGAGGAGGATAACCCGGGTGAAGATGAGCGGATGTTGGGGGCGTCGGATGTGGAGGATGGACCCGCCTCCTCAGTCAAGGAGAAAGGAGACAAGGTGAAGCTTACGGAGGGTGAGATCGCGAAGGCATGGTTGGAAAACGTGGAGGGTGGGATTGAGGGTGTGAAGGAGGCGAAACACATGAATTTCCCGCGCTATCTCGGGCAGGAGGAGCGTGAGCATCTCGAGGATCTCTTTCTTGAGGCACACGATAAGTGGAAGAGCATGGTTGAAGAGCGGAGGTTGTGGGAGATTCTTAAAAAGGGTGATCCGCGCGTTAACCAGCCATTGGATGACCTCGCACCACGGCCTTCTCCTCGACCTCCACCATTGGAGCTACCTGAGCCGAAGTGTGTGTTGCCATATAGGTTCCTGGGTGGACAAATGCTTTACCGTGGCCGTTTCGCAGCCGAGAAGGAGAGGCTACCAACAGTGTACGCGGAATGGGAAATGGAACCACCAAACAACATGGACGAGCTCGTCAGCGCAGTTAAGAACCAAAAACGCCTCGATGAGCTTGAGAAGCAGTTTCAGCGTGTTCAAACACCGTCGTTGCAAATTCGGTTGTTGAATAAGATCGCGTATCAAAGGAAGAGGTTGTTGTCTTCAGACGATGATACTAGTGACGGTGGGATGCATATGAGGAAGAAGAGGATGGCTCAGAGGCCGTCGGAGTGGTCGAGGGTTGGGTATGTGCCTATGGAGGAGATTGAGATTGAGGGTCCGCCGCCGGAGGTGGTGTCCAGTAGTGATGAGGATTATTCTGAAGCATGAGTACGTTACGTGAGGCATGGCAATGGGATACTTTGGGCGTTTCGATTGATTTTTAGGATATTTGCATGGCATTCTGGCATTGATAGGTACTGTACGCGTAATAAGCATGAGAGGTAGATGATAGTACATCGTGTTTCATACACGGTTTACTCGTAAGTAACAGGCGGCTCCACTTGCCTGATATCCATTTACACTGCCCTCACAATGAGGCCAACAAGGAGGCATGGATGGAATGGGCTGTCACCCGCCGTGAAAGCACATCGTTTGTCATGTCTTCTGTGTGCCTGGCCGGGAAATGGTTGACAAGAGAGGAAGGCAGAAAGGCGTACAATGAGAGGGAAAGGTTGCGCCTAGCGAAGAGGAGACAGGACAATGCTGAGGACAAGGAGAAAGCGAGGTTGAGTACCATCAATTCATCAACAGGTGTTCATCTTTGTCTTGTTACGTTATGGATTCAACTCCAAGGCAAGTCAGATAGAATCAGTAAAGGTCCATCCGCAAGTCGTTGATCGTCAACTGGTTTGGCTGTACGTCCCGCGTCTCAAGACGCGTCTCAGTCGCGTCTCCCATTCCAGATTTCTTGGCTGTGCAGCTGAACCTCCAAATTCCACATCCACCAACCAATATCCCGACAACCCTCGACAACTTCCGAGAGCTCTGACAACCTTACCATATCGATATAGGTCATTTAACCATGGCTACGACGCCTACGAGATCTACGTCGGCAATGAGACCGGGAATTCTGAGTTCCTCGCCGGTGCCGTTGCCCACCTTCAAGCGCGTTGAAGGCGGAAATCTTCAAGAAGGTACGTGTTTGTCGAGTATATATGCCATATCGAAGGTCATATATCCTGGGAGAACAGTTGTTGACAGTCCTACAGCGCGATACCCGACACCACAGCCCTCTTCCTCGCTTTTCCTCCCATCATCACCACCAGCAGCCATCTCGCGCCGCCCGCACCTCTCAGACCGTTCAACATCTTTCCTTGCCTCATCACCACCTCAGCAAGCCTACGAGACCCCAGCACCAGTCGAGCGTCTTCCCGTTCTACAACCTCGCGCGGACGGGACGCCTATGCTCCTCGGCCGTTCCTCTGCTCGCTGCGAGTTCCAATTGCCAAAAAATAACCCTCAAATTTCTCGTACGCATGTTTCACTGACTTATTACCGTCCAACACCACACCGCTCATCCAGCGTCGCGTCTGAAGCGCCATCTTCCGCGTCTAGGCGTGTCAGGTTCGCTGAGCCGGAACAGCGCGGAGAGCTCGTTGTCCGTTGTTTGGGATGGAACGGATGCATTGCTAACGGGGTTCAGTTGAAGAAGGGGCAGACGTATGCGTGGAATGGCTCAGATGCGATCCTGCTTGACGTCTGTGGATGGAAGGCACAAGTCCACGTTCCTGTCGAGGAAGGCGATGGTGATGAGACTGAGGAAGAGGAGTGGACCGCTGACCATACTCAAGTCGAGTCGAGCCCGTTCACGGCTGAGGTCAAGCAGCTTCCTGTTACCCCTGTTATGACTCTGCCGGAAGTTACTGTGGATGCGGAGGAAATCATCGATGTTGAAAGTAGGAGTGGAAGTCCTACGCCTGCGCGTGGATCTGGCTCTCTCGAGCTTGCGACGGCGGACGATGTTACGTCAAGCCCCCATGTTGAGGACGAAGAATTCTCAGCTATCATGCCCTCATCTCCGCCCGCTGCCATTGAGGCGTTTGATGAACATGACATCGAGATTTACGAGGATGAAGATCTGCGTGAGACGTCCATTTCCCTTCCTGGGCCTACGCCCATGGCTATCGACGAGGAACCTGAGGTGCAAGAGTCCGCTTTGACTGTACTGGAAGACGAGGAGGATGTCACTATTGATTCTCCTGCTCCGGAACGCATGGTCTTGCAGGAACGCGAGAACGAAAAGGAGATGAGGGAAAAGAAAGAGCTCGAGATCAAGACCGAAGCAATCGAAAAGGTCAAGAAGCCTCAGCTCAGCGTCGATGTCGACATCGAGACCACCGCAGAACACGCCGACCTCTCCAGCACCCTCTCCTCTTCAGGTCTTACCGCCGAAACCGACCCCGAACTGCCCGACAAAATCATCTCAGCCCTCGTTTTCACCCCCCAAAAATCCACCCCCCTCTCCTCCCTCCTAGCCGAACTCCCCTCCCACACAACCGCCTCCTTCATCCGCTCCCTCTCCCCCTTCGTCGCCGAGATCCCGCGAAAGGGACGGGACGCGTCAGGCAAGAAACTCGAAAGTGAGTTTTGGTATGATATCGATTCAGACCCGTGTGAGGAGCGACAAGAGAGGTTTAGGCCGTTTGTGAAGGGGGTTAGGGGTGCGAGGAGGGTTCATAAGCAGTATTATTGGAAGCCGGTTGTTGTTAAGCCGAGTTTGTATACTGGGAAGGTGGAGAAAGTGCCTGGAGGGGAGGAGGAGGGGAGGAAGAAGAAGAAGAGAAAGTTGTGAGTGAGTTATGACGGGACGTGCTTTGCTTTATCTGTTCTTTATGGCGTTTATGGGTTAATTGTGCGGATCTTGCTTATGGTCTCGCAGTCGATGCTTCGTTAGTATTGATACGCGTGTAATTATGTGAAGCTTAGAACGCAAAACGATTCTCGTCCATTTTTCTCAATCAGTTTACGGGTCCTTACGAGAGCAAGTCATTGGTGTTCCAGTATGCGTGAACTCAGCATCCCAGTTTCCCACGGTCGCTCATCTTATAAATCTCTACAATAAGTTGCTAGGGAACACGCAAACGTTGCAAGACGAGAGCACGGCACTCTCAATCTATATGTAAACCAGCATAATTGAAGAGTGCGTCTGGGGGGCAGGTGAGAGCACATTCTCATTGCAATTTTGCACACGTATATACTTGGTGCAAAAACCGTTAATTAATGGGTGATGTGCGAGATAGCCAGCGAATTCAAATTAGGATGATAAGTCGCTAAACTTATAAACAAACACACATGAATAAACTGTCAAACGACAGCGGGAGACTCAGACATGCAAGCAAGACTTTTCGAGAAAGCCCCAGAGGATCCTGCCCAGTATCACCACCAGTGCAGTACCGAGGCGTTCCCACAACGATCACCAAACTGTTCGATCACTTCTATATACTGTACCACCGACATACCCAAGGACATTCCCTCATCCAATGACCCCTCTTTGTACGCCGCTGACCATGCCCCTCTTGACGCTTGATCCCGCCCTCGTTCAACGTGCCTCCTGCCTCCGAATGACTCAGCTCGTACACGAAATTACCCCATTCGTGCTCCATACAAACCCATAGGAGCCCCTCCTTTTCCAACGCGGTGCTCGGCACGGTTCCCATTTTATCCCTCAGCCAATGAGATTTTCGCCTGCACGCGCCTCAGCTGCACCGCAGTTCGAGGGACGTTAGTCATAGGCAGCGCGAACAAGAGCCCCGCTTCTACCCAGTATCATCACCTCCATAAGTACCTCCGATCCGTTCGCCATCTTTACATTTCGAGAGGACAAGGATCAGAATGCCCATGCTCAAGAACCCCATCACCAAATATCGGCCGTTCAGGTTGATCAACTTGCCCGACAGAACATGGCCAAGCAAGGTCGTTACCAAGGCTCCTCGGTGGTTGGCGTACGTCGCGTCCCTTTTGCAGCATTGCTTCACGTTCGGAATTCATTGCTAACATTCTTGTTCTACAGTACCGACCTCCGCGATGGTAACCAGTCCCTCCCCGACCCTATGTCTGTCGACCAGAAGCTCCGTTACATCCGCCAGTTGGTCAAGTGCGGCTTCACCGAGATCGAGGCCGGTTTCCCATCAGCATCCCAGACCGACTTTGACTTCATCCGTAAAATCGTTGACGAGAAGATCCTCCCCGACAACGTCTGGCTCCAGGTCCTCACTCCCTGCCGTCCGGAATTGATCACCAGAACCGTCGACTCCCTCCGCGGCGCCAACAAGGCTATTGTCCACCTTTACAACGCTACCTCGCCTTTGTTCCGTGAGGTCGTTTTCAACAACTCCAAGGAGAAGACCGTCGCTCTCGCAGAATCTTGCACCAAGCTCGTCCGTCAGCTCACCAAGGACTCCGACCCCAACACTCACTGGAACTTCGAGTATTCCCCCGAAACCTTCTCTGCCACCGAGCCAGAATTTGCCGTAGAGGTCTGCGAGGCCGTGAAGAAGGCATGGGAGCCAACAGTTGAGGACCCTATCATCTTCAACCTCCCCGCTACCGTCGAAGTCGCCGGACCCAACGTCTACGCCGACCAGATTGAGTACTTTGCGCGCAACATCACCGAGCGCGAGAAGGTCGCCATCTCCCTCCACCCCCACAACGACCGCGGAACCGGTGTCGCCGCCGCTGAGCTCGGTCTCATGGCCGGTGCTGACCGTGTCGAGGGTTGTTTGTTCGGAAACGGTGAGCGTACCGGAAACGTCGACCTCATCACGCTCGCCCTGAACATGTACACCCAAGGTATCTCCCCCAACCTCGACTTCTCCAACCTCCCCGAGGTCATCCGCGTCTCTGAGGAGTGCAACAAGATCCCTGTTCACCCCCGTCACCCCTACGCCGGTGAGCTCGTCTTCACCGCTTTCTCCGGTTCCCACCAGGATGCTATCAAGAAGGGTCTCGCTAAGCAGAACTCCCGCAAGGACGGTATCTGGGAGGTTCCTTACCTTCCTCTCGACCCTGTAGATGTTGGTGGACACTACGAGGCTGTCATCCGTGTTAACTCTCAGTCCGGAAAGGGTGGTATCGCGTACGCCGTCCAGGAGAAGCTCGGCCTTGACCTCCCCCGTGGTCTCCAGCAGGCGTTCTCCAAGGTCGTTCAGAACCACACTGACAAGACCGGAAAGGAGATCACCTTCCAGGAGATCATCGACTTGTTCCAGGAGACTTACCACATCACTCCTCAGTCCACTTCCTTCACTTTGGAGAAGTATGCTCTCGAGGCTGGAACTGGATCCGAGAAGGCCCGTACGTTCATTGGTACTTTGAAGCGTGGATCTACTACCACTGAGATCCGTGGTTCCGGAGATGGATCTATCGATGCTTTGTCTGCTGCTTTGGCCAAGGAGTTGGGTGTTACTGTCGATGTCAAGCAGTACAAGGAGCACGCTATCGGAGAGGGTAAGGACACCAGGGCTGCGTCGTATGTCGAGTGTGAGGTCTTGGAGGGTGACCGTAAGGGTGAGAGAGTCTGGGGTGTTGGTATCGATACCGATATCGTCGCTGCTGGATTGAAGGCTGTTTTGGCGTGCGCGTCCGCTGTTGCGAAATAAACTCAAAAGGACTTTTAGGAGGTGTAAGATATATAGTTAGTTTGTCAAAAATTTGAATTTTGGTGCGTCTATGTTATGTGATGGACCCCTCTATGATGGAGCGTAGCTGTAACTATGCGTTTGCGATTTGGTCGCTCTTCGTTTCAACGATCTTGAAAGCACCTCCCATGTGGCCCTCCAACCCCTTCTTTGCGTTTTCGTATGCTTCAGGCGAGCGATCCATCAGTTTTGCCAACTGTTCATCTGTCAGAATCTCATCGTGCTGGTCTTTGACGTTGATATTCTCCGCTTCCCTCCTCAAAATCTCTGCCAGATCCGGCTCATCATTCTCCTTCTCATTTCCGTCGGACGCGAGCAGGGACTTGAACTTTCCTTTTCGAATAACGAGCTTCTCCAGCTGTCTCTTGGATTCTGCCGCAGCGAGAAGACGAGTTTCGATGGTGTTTGCGGAGGCGAACCGGTACACAATCACCGGCCTTTTCTGCCCAATTCTATGTGCCCGATCCATCGCCTGCAAATCCTGCTGCGGATTCCAATCACTATCAAAAATGATGACCGTATCTGCCGCAGTCAAATTAATACCCAACCCTCCCGCTCTCGTACTCAGCAAAAACAGATTAACCCCAGACTTGGAGTCCGGGTTCTGGAAGTCCTTGATCATCTCCCGACGATCTTCCTGGATGACTTCACCATCAATACGAGACGTCGGCCAGCCCTTAAGCTGTTCGGCCCAGACCTGGATTACGTCGAGCATTGTCGTGAATTGGGAGAATATGAGGACTTTGTGGCCCTTGGCGAAGAGGGCTTCTAGCATGCGGTTGAGGAGGAGCATCTTTCCGCTGAGGTTCACGGTGTCGTGGTTGCTTAGGTATTCGTCCGTGCCCGGTTTCGTGGGCCATAGGTCGAAGAGGTAGGGGTGGTTTGCGGCTTTACGGAGTTGCATGAAGGACATCTGTAGGCGCTGGGCCTTGAGGAGTCGCTGTGCCCGCTTCAGGACTTCTTCGGACGCACTGAGGACGATTTCCTCTTCTTCCTCTGCGACTTCTCCGTTTTCAATGGCGAGAGCGAGATCGACGTATGCCTGGTCAGACATGGAATCGGCACCGTAGTTCACCTCCTTCAAAGCACGCTTGGAACGAAGGGCTGAGGAATCGGCTCCGTCGTCGACTTCTTGTATCTTCCGCTTTCTGGTCTCGATCTTTTTCTGGGCCGATTCGAGGAAATCCTCCTCCCCCACGTCTTCCTCGGACACCGCTTCCATAGCAACGTACTCCTTCAGAAGATATGAATGCAACTCACCCTTCAGAGTCGCTTGGTAGATCTCATTCTGCTTTTTCGTGAGTGGTGCATAGAGGAGGTATTCGCGCTTCGGTGGGAGCGAATCACCGAGCACGTCGACCTTCATGCGACGAAGTAAGAAAGGCTTGAGGATAGAGTGAAGGGAGGAGACGACCGAGGCATGTTGTGCAATATTCCCTCCGCCTTCCTCTTCCTGGAGTGCCGAGAAATCGAACCAAGACTGGAACTCATCCAGATCGCCAAAAATCTCCGGAAGAAGGAAATTAAGCAACGACCACAACTCCGCCAAATTATTCTGCAAAGGCGTTCCGGTAAGCAAAAGTCGGTTATCGGAGTAGTACGACTTCAACTCCCTCATCAACGCCGAATTAAAATTCTTCAACCGGTGTGCTTCATCGACAATGATATACTTCCACCCCACTTTCGCCAAATACCCACGATCTTTCGCCGCGGTGATCATCTCATAACTCGTCACGATAACTGGGAACGACGCATCATTCGTCTTCCTAAAATACTTTGTGCGGATGTCTGCGCGGTCTTCGGGAGCGCCGTGGTAGAGACATACCGGGATATCGGGCGTGAAGCGGTGGAACTCGCTCACCCAGTTCGAGAGGGTCGATAATGGCGCGACAACGAGGAAGGGACCGTTGATTCCCTTGCCGCGGAGGAATGCGATGAAGGCGATGGTTTGTAACGTCTTCCCCAACCCCATCTCGTCGGCGAGGATACCGTTCAACCCGTTCTCGTACAGGGATACCATCCACTCCAGCCCCGCAAGCTGGTAGTCCTTCAGAACCCCACCCGTGACTAATTCAGGTTGACGAGCGGAAGCAGAGGGCGTCGCGGTGGCATTCACCCCCGAATCCTCTTCACCTTGCGCGAGTGCCGACGCAACCCCTCTCGCCTTCTCCTCTTTCGCTTTCTTCGCGCCCTTCTTCCTTCCCCTCGTTTTCTTCACCGGTGCAGGTGCTTCCTCCGGTGCAGGCGTACCAACAACCGACCCAGCCGGCGTGGTGGTAGACGACATCTCGACCTGTCTCTGCTGTAACTTCTCCGCCAAAATAGACGTGTAGATCTTGGATTTGTCCATCAACGCTTGAAGACGCTGAAACCGCTTCTTTTCCTCCTCAGTCTGGCCTGCTGAGGATTCTTGCTTGCGGAACTCTTCCATACGCTTCTTGTGGGCGGCGGCGGTTTCGGCTTCGAGGGCTTGTTCTTCTTTGAGCATCTCTTCCGTAATGACAGATCCCTTCGTCTCCTGTCTCTCCTCTTTGACATTCTCATCTTTGATTTCCTTCGTATCAGACATGGCCTGATCAGGCTTCGTCTCAGAAGACGCGTCCTTCGATTCCGTCGCCGTCGCTGTCGTCGCTGTTTCCGACTTCACCCCAGTCCCCTCATCCCCAGCAACCTTCGCCGCATCAGCTGGCGGAGTAGCTTCAGGTTTGTTCATATGACGAGGCGAAAAATACGACCGAATGGACCCGAGCATTTGAGGGGATGTTGAGCACAGACGCGTCGTTTTTCGATTTGAGTTGCCGCCAATCTGCCAGTCATCGATCGCGGGTTCGCGTCGTGCGGGCAAACCATGCCAGCTGCTGCCTGGGGAGGAAAGATTCAATCAAGGAAGAGAAGGACAGCTGAGCGTGACAGTGATATCCCAATGCAATTACTAGATGAACCTAAGAAAAGAAAAGAAAAACCCGAACCATGACCCGGAAGTTTTAGAGAGAACCCTTTTATGCCTTAACCTTCTTCGCAGCCTTGATCTTCTTCGGCAACTCCTTCTTCTCACCCTCAGCCTTCTTCACCTTCTCCGCCGCAGCCTCCGACGGCCTCTTCTTTCCCGCCACCGCAGCCTTCGCAGGACTCGCCTTCGTCTTCTTCGCCGCAACAGCAGGCTTCTCCTCCTCCTCATCCTCGGCCGCACGCTTCTTGCCCTTAGCCTTCTCCTCAACTTTCTCCTCCTTGGCGAGAGCAGCAGGCTCAGCAACGTCCTCTTCGTCGTACAACGCCTCCGTCATCCAGACCGGCAACGAAGCGGACTCGGCAGTCTTGATGTCGAACCTACGAATGCCTTTCCAGCCTCCGGAGACGTATTTCTCCACGAGCGCCTCGACGACTTTCTCGATGTTTGCAGCGACGTGCTCGGCGGGCATGCCGGTCGTTCCGACCTTGATTGAGGTCACAGTTCCGGGGGCGAGGTGGACGTATGTCGCATTAGTCGCACGACGAATCTCTTTCTTGAGTTGCTCGGCAGTTTCGGCGCCAGAGAGGGAGATCGGAACCGGATTTCTCTTTTTCTCGAGGAAGACTTTGCCGAGGAGGGCGGGGAGGAGAGGGACGACTCTGTCGTCTGCGAGGAAGAGGTCGTGGGTGTCACGGAGTTGTCGTCTCTTCTCGTACGTCTTCCACTTTGCCTTCAACTTTCCGACACCGATCACGCGCTGTACCAAATCGCCTAATCCAGCCTCTTCGACCAAATCTTTGTACGTTCTTTGCGGGTCCTTGACGAGCAAGCAGACGGAGGTGACGCCCTCGGGGTAAAGAGAATGTGCGAGTGCGATTCGGGAGGGCTTCAGCTTCTTCTTGTCGACGATGAATTTCTTGGTGGAGAGGTTGAGGTAGACGGGGACGTCGGGGTTCCCGTCTTCGGTGAGGAGGGAGGGGGCGGAGGTGGAGGATTTGACGTGGGCCAAGAGGGCCTTTGCGGCGCGGAGGGTCTGCTCTGAGTCCAGCGAGCTGGTGACGGGCTTTGAGGAGGAAGGCATGGTGGTGGGTATGGGATCAATTGCAAGGAGTGCTGGCCTGCTCTCTGCGGTGCTTTCGGTTCAGCGTCGGTCGACTGCGCCCAAACTTTTTCTGCGCACAGCCAACGATACAGCAGGCACCCCGATAAGGAAAACCTGCCGTAGAGGGGTAGGAGGGAGGCCTGTATTTATGTTTCGTCTATTAATATGCTCTCCAAATATGCTCCTGTCTTATCGCCAGTCTTTCCAACATAAGGTTGCGGCTCTGTCTACGTTACATGATCCAACGTACAATTTGAATTCACGTACGTAAACCCCGCGAGCTTCCCTCCGACCTCCCAATCAAGAGGACAGCACGTAAGGCTACGACCACAACCAAGCTTGCTAGGACGACATCGGCGACTACTGCCAGCTTCAAACGACGACTTTCAAACGCCACCAGACTTCTCTTGCCCCTCTGGGAAAACTCCAAACGAAGGATAAAATGACTGCTGAGTTTACTGTCGGCGTTCTCGGTAAAATGCCAAGCTTCTTTCTCTCTGTCAAGCAGTCCCACTAACCCAGTTCCAGCTCTTCAGGGCGCCTTTATCGAGCACGTTAACCTCCTCAAGGCCGCTCGCAATGCCGTTTCTTTCTCGTATGATATCATCGAAGTCAGAACAGTGGAGGAGCTGAACAAATGTTCCGCACTGATCATCCCCGGTGGCGAGTCCACCACCATCTCCCTCGTCGCACAGCGGACAGGTCTCCTTGAACCTCTGCGTGAATTCGTCAAGGTCCAGCGCAAACCTACATGGGGTACCTGTGCAGGCATGATCCTCCTTTCCGAGCAGGCGAACCGAACGAAGAAGGGTGGACAGGAGCTTATCGGTGGCTTGGACGTACGGATCAACCGGAATCAGTTTGGAGGTCAGCAAGAGAGTTTCGAGACGTTCCTCGATCTGGACTTTATCGACCGACCAGAGGAGAAGTTTCCTTCTCTCTTCATTCGCGCTCCTATTGTCGAGTCTCTGCTTCCGGGTACTCCGCTCGAGGATGCCGTGTCGGCTCCTGGTGAGCACGGCGAGGGTCAGGTAAAGGCTCTTGTCAGGCTTCCCAAGAAGACCATCTCTGAGGTTGGAAACGCCGGTGGTGAAACGACGGATATCGTTGCTGTGCAGCAAGCGAATGTCGTGGGTATGAGTTTTCATCCTGAGTTGTCGAGTGACTTCAGGATGCACCAGTGGTGGGTTGAGAAGTGTGTGTACCCGGCCATCAAGAATGCATAGCCGTGGTAGGGCTGGAGTAAAATACGTGTACGACTATTAGAGCAAGCATAGATACTTAAAAAGGCAATCGATGGTGATAGTATAAGTCGTCATCTGTGAACAGACCTGATGTTGTCATGTTCTTCTTGGTATTTCCAGATGCATGGTTTTCTGTCCTTAAGCTTTATTATCGGCCTATTCTCCCAAATGATGTTGCGGCACCGTTTTCGTAACATAGGAGGTGCGACAATCAGGATCACGGAGAGGTTTACCGTTTACGGTGCGGATCATGTTGTCACGTCATAGTGAAGATTATGGAGGGGTTTTCGGTACGGTTCATGGTACGTGTGATAGGCGAGAGAAGTCCGGTGTTTCTGCTGTAGAATTCTACACCTTTTGAGGACGGCACTTCATGCCAACCCAACGGCAGTCTTAACCTTCTGCATCGTTTCTTGTGCCGTGATCCTTGCCTTCTCCGCCCCCTTCCTGCTGATCTCCTCCAACACCTTTGGCTCCTTCATCAACCTCTCATACTCCCCTCTAAACCCTTTGAAGTACTCCGCAACACAATCAGCAATAACGGCCTTATACTCGCGGTGTCCCATGTGTTCATACTCTTTCGCCACAGATTCGGGGGAGTCGGAGCGGGCTGTGAGACCAGCATGGATGGTGATCAGAGTTGCGAGTCCGGGACGGTTTGTGGGGTCGTAGGTTATGCCAAGGGTCGAGTCTGTGACTGCGCGGGCAATTTTATTCTGGATTTCCGCTGGTTCGTCTGTTACCAGGATCCTTGAAGCCGGGTTTGGATCTGATTTGGACATCTTCTTTGTTGGGTCTCTCAGTGACATGACACGCTTGGTCGGTGTGAGCATTGGCTGTGGTTCAGGGAATACCCTTGATTTCTTTGAGAATCTCTTGTTGAATGTGCGAGCCAAGTGTCGTGCGAGTTCGAGGTGTTGGAGTTGGTCTTCGCCGACGGGGACATGTGTTGCTTTGTGGAGGAGGATATCCGCGGCTTGGAGGACTGGATAGGAAAAGAGACCAAGGTTCAGGCCGGCTGTGTCGGCAACTTCGGTAACGTTTATTTCATTGGGGTCGAGATTGAGTTTGGACTTCCACTGGGTCATGCGGTTCAAGTATCCCACTGGCGCAATGGTGTTGAGGATCCATGCCAGCTCTGTATGCTCTGGTACCCGGCTCTGTTCGTATATCACACATCGTTCTGGACCAAGTCCCATTGCTAGTAGAGATGCCATCATTTCTCGCCGTGATTGCATTAGAGCAGCGGGGTGTTGTGGCATGGTAATGGCGTGGAGGTCGACGATACAGTAGTAGAGGGATGTTGAGGATGATTGGGTTAATTGGGACTGGACCCATGATTGGAGTGCACCGAGGTAATTCCCGAGGTGCGGTGTTCCTGTTGGCTGGATACCAGAGAAGATGGTTTGTGGCCGTGGTGATGTGCGTGAGGAGGGTGAGGCGGATGAGGCCGTCGAAGCTGTTGAGTCTGGTGAAGTTGTCGACGCCGTCGAGGAGAAGCGCTTACATCTTGCGCAGCTCGAGCGTAGAGACCTTCTTATCGACTGCCGTGCAACGGACATCCTTGACAACGCGTGTTGGGAATCGTGGGGTCGACGGTTCCGAGGTCGCAGCTGCTGCTCCAGATTTCAGTTTTCGGCAAGGGCGGGTGTAACGTAGACAACCTTCACGGCAAATAGCCGGTATATGATTAACTTCCGCAGATTCGGCAAAGTCCTCGTCAGAATGTCATCCGAACCTCCAATGAAACGTCCTCGAACCATCACTAGCGAGTTGTCGTTCGCGCTCGAGCCGATAGCGAGGTGGCGAGGCAAGCCGGCTCCGATGCGACAACCGAAGGAGATCGCGTCGTTTAGCTACGATGACAAAAGAGTACAGCATCACGATGATAGTGGACTGAAGTATTACTGGCCTCCTGCGCTGGGACAACACCTGGGGAATGGGTTCAAGGAGCTCGTGAAGCATGACGACTCAGTCGACGAACATCTGGATTCACTTCTGGCCGCCTTGATCCACCATGAGACGACACCGCCAGTACCTGTCTCAATCGAGGAGGATAATACAGCTGCTGAACCACCAAAGGTCCTGCCAGCCATCGATTTTGTTACCTGGAGAGGCATGGCGACCAAACTCCTTTGCACACCCTTCTCCAGTGACCCCTGGTCCATGAACGCAGTCCGCCTCAACGATACAATCTACATCGAAGAGCACAAACAACCCCCGCGGCCTATGGATGAACGTGGCGAACTCTTCTCATACATGGGCTACAAATTTGAGGCATTGAGTACCCTGCGACGACCATTTGGTGAAGTGGAGAGAAAGGAGATCGAGGAGAGGGATAAAGAGGTTGTTAACAATATCGAGCAGTATTGTTCGATTGTGAAGACCAGCATTGGAGGTTCGAGGCTGGTGTTGGGTGGGGAGGTTGATTGCGTGTATGACTACAAACCGGAGGATGGGGAGAATCCTTCGTCGCATTATTGCGAGCTGAAGACAAACAAGCTGATCAACACAGACCGTGACCGGACCTCGTTCGAGCGCTACAAGTTGCTCAAGTTCTGGGCTCAGTCCTTCTTGCTAGGCGTACCAAAGGTAATCGTTGGCTACCGCACCAACGACGGGATCCTCGCCCACATCGAAGAACTCGACACCCAGAAAATCCCCTCAATGGTCAAGAAAAACAATCCACAAGGTCCACCGTGGGATGCCAGTGCAGCGATCAATTTCATGGCAGGATTACTGGAGTGGTTGAAGACCGCAATTCCAGAAGGAGAAGGTATGTGGCGGATGGAGTATGCGGGGACGGGGAAGAGGGTGGTTGAGGTTAAGAGGGTCGAGTTGGGCGGGTATGGGTTTTTGACGGAGGAGTTTGTGGAGCATGTCATGACAAAACACGCAAATGCGCAGGAGGAACCTAAACCATGAAGCATCGATGGTCTCTAGATGGTTTTGGTTCACTATGATAGAGATCTAACTTGAGTGGATGTCTCAGCACCGTTCACTCCGACGTCTGCTCGTGCCTCTTCTCATGCTCCACCTGATACTTCTTGACAGTACGATCCCAATCCCAATTGACAACCGGCCACACAACCATTGCCAAACAACTAAACAACCATTCCCTGAACCCAATCAGTCCATTCTTCGGCGAATGACTACTCATGCCGCCTTTCATAATCCGCCCCAAAAACTCCGTGTTAATCATGAACTCTCCACGATCCAGACCCTTCAAGACCGCGTCAGCAACCTGTGCGGGGGTTTGACCCTCATCTGCGCCTTCGAGGGTGCGGGTCAGGGCTGGTTTGAGGGATTGCTCGTGCTCGAAGCCGGGGCTGTAGATCGTTGCGGGGAATGCAACGTGGACGTTGATTTCTGGGTATAACAACATTTCTTGACGAAGCGTGTCTGCCAAGTTCCTCAACGCGGCTTTGAGGGGAGAGTAGGCACTGTATCCAGACATACCAAGGAAGGCGAGAACAGAGGAGGTGATCAAGACGTGTTTAGGGCCGGCAGGGGAGGTGGAGGTGGAGGATGTCATGAGGCGGAGAGCGGCGTGGGTTGTGTAGAGTGCGGAAAGGTAGTTTGTTTCGACACCTTGCTTGAGGACACTGATCGGGAGGTCGACGAAGAAACCGGGGTGGGCTCCGCCGGCACAGCAGATGACGGTATCCAACCTAGGCAGGCCGCTCAAAGCGTTGTAGATTGCTTCAGGGTCGGTCACGTCGACGGACAGTGCCGTAATGGATTGCGTAGGACGAAGACGAGCAGCCTCGATGAGTGGGATGGCAGCTTCAAGCTTAGACTGGGTGCGGGCGATGATACAGACGTCTGCACCACGTTCAGCAAGACCAATTGCCATCTCAAGACCCATTCCCTGAGAGCCGCCGGTTACAACGCATTGCTATTCCTCGAACGTTAGCTTGAGCGTTGACAGCACCGCGTTCGAAAAATACCTTTCCGTCGACGTCAAACTTGTTCTTGGGTTTGAGGAGGGAGCGGAGGAGCATGTAGGCGATTGAAATAGCAGCAAGGGTGGAGGCGAGGATTAGACGGAGTCTGTGAGATTCTTCGACGCCAGCGAGTGCGATCAGCTTCGAGAGCATGGCCGGTGCTTAAGTTTGCGAATGGGTGCGGTGCGGTATACGGGTCAACTGGACTGCAACACTCGGCTTATCGATAAGGACATACCTCCAAGAAAACGATTTCTTGACTGAACGAAGCATCTTGAAATGCTCTTTATGATTGAATCTTCAAAGAAGGTGTCTTCATACCGGTGTCCCGTCAGTTCCATGCCGAGCGACGGCATCACACATCAACCTTAACCCCTGATCTCCCCGAAACCCAGAGCCTTCCTCGTTCTGCCTCCTCGCCTCATCCTTCCTGCTTGCTTGCAATATGTCACTATCAGAAGACCTAGTCGCATTCAAGTCCGAATACGGCCCTCCATTCACCAACTCCATCGACACCTCGTCCGACTCTCAATCATCGGTGCTAATCGTCACACTCGAAGATCAAACATTGGCTGTAACATTGTCAGCTTCTGGATGGACCGTAAGTTTTTCTTCGCCAAACCTTCTGTGCCACCTTCGGAGCACGTGTTGACGAGCGTGAGCGCAGGTCGACCGAAGTTCTGATCAAAAACTAAGAGGAAGAACTTTTGAGACGCCAGAAGCGTTACTGATGAGGGCGAGTCAAGGATTTGCAAGAATATGGAATGAACGGTTATGGGATAAGCTAGAGGAAGCGCGGGTCAGTGTTAGGAGATCGTTTGATGGGGAGGAGGAGGTGGATGGGGCATGATGAGTGATGTCCAGCTGTGGGCGTATGAGGCGAAACATCGCTGAGTGACGAAAGTCAACGGAACACTTCGTATAGTCGCCAAGAACAGGGACATTCGCACCAAGGTATGCTCTCGGTGGGCCATATTCTATTCAAGGGAGGAGGCGCAGACAGATCTTATAGATAATGCAATTAGATATAACTCCTACACTCTATCAATCCAATCCCTCCACCGAAGGTCCTCCTCCCAACCTCGGTGCACCCCTCGGAGCTCCTCCCCCTGCTCCACCACCAAACATCCCACTCATCAACTCCGCCAACATATTCCCCTGTGGCCTCGGCTTTCTCACCCCAAACCACACCTCCGCAATCCCCTCCAACACCTCATCCCACGCACTCACATCCCTCAAATCCCGCTCATACCTCCCCTTCAACGCACGCCACAGATCGGGTGTTCCTCTCGCCGCAGACAACGTGAGAAGACGGAGGAAGTTGAGGAGGGGGAGGGAAGGGAAGATGGTTGTATCCGCGATTGGAGAGGAGATGGATTGTGATGGTGCGGAAAGGAGGTTGGTAAAGACGTCTAGCGAGCGTTCGGCGGCTTCGAGGTTTCCCAGGGCGAGGTAGGGGAGGACTGCGCGGCTGATGTACATGGGCGCCATATGTGGTTCGTCTTCCGTATACCACTCATACAGCGCCTTTGCCAACACCACTGGCGACTCCCGGTTCCCAACAATCAAGTGCTTCTCCGCCTCTGTTATCTCATCCTCACCAACTAGAATCGTGCCATACGCATGCTGGATTTCTGGATCGCCGCTCTTCACTTCCGCGAACTTCTTTGACCACGCGAGTGCTTCTTTGATGAATGTCTTCCGCCCTGGCTCATCAGGCTTGAATAAGCGGAGGAGTTGGATAGTTTGTGCCCGTGTAGTTGGGTCTGGGCCCTTCTCGGCGAGGGTGTAGACTTGGATCATGTACAACCCCAAATCGGCACCTTCGGCGCCTTGCTCGTACTGGAGCATGAGTTGGGCGGAGGAGTAGAGCAACTCGATTGCGGCAGGGTAGTTCTTTTGCTTGACTTGACGGTTTGCGATGGTACGGATGGTCTGTGATTTCTCGTCGTTAGTACTCTAACATACAGTACTGGACCGAAGACGAAATCACCTGGTGAGCGTCGTAGTAGTTCTTCTCTTCCAAACGCGAACGCATCTTCGCTAACGTCGCTTCAAGTTTAGATGCCATCGTAAATCTTTTGCTATGCTCAATTGTCGGTCGACGTCGAGGTTTCCGGTGTTCGATGTCAACGTTGCGCTGGAATTCCCGAACTTGGCAAAGCGCGATCGGTTTCGTCACAAAATTAGAGGTGTAACGTAGACACGCAAAAAGTAAACATCCTCCAGCAGAGAGAACCTGGGACCTCCATGGATGGCGATGGAGACGGAAGATTCACTACATCATGAGTTCATGAGAGCCGCCCTGGACATGGTACGTCAAAACCTCCCACTCCTTACTGCACCCACCACCCTTTTCGTGATCAGTTCCACTAACACCGTACCCTTCCCAGGCCGAACTCGCCCTCAACACGGACGAAACCCCTGTCGGCTGCGTCTTCGTCCACCAAAACAAAGTCATAGCCCGCGGTATGAACGACACAAACAAATCCCTCAACGGCACCCGACACGCCGAATTCATCGGTATCGACACCATCCTCGCCTTAGGCCACCCTCCATCGATTTTCGAGGAGATTGATTTGTATGTTACGGTTGAGCCATGCGTTATGTGTGCTTCTGCTTTGAGGCAACTTCGGATTCGGAGAGTGTATTTCGGGTGTGGGAATGACCGGTTTGGTGGGTGTGGGAGTGTTTTCAAGATTCATTCTGATCCGGATCCCGATCCGGCGTATCGTGTTTTTCCGGGGTTTTGGAGGGAGGAGGCGATTATGTTGTTGAGAAAGTTTTACGTGCAGGAGAATGAGAAGGCGCCGGCGCCGAAGGCGAAGAGGGAGAGGGTGCTCAAAACGGATTTTGAGGAGATGGATGTGGAGAGGTTTGTGTAGGGATGAATGAATGGACGCAACCTCCATGGACTAATAATACAATTACGTTATGATATGTTCTGAAGGCTGTTCTAGCCCGTATCAGGACGCCTGCTTCCTCATTTGCTTCTGGTCGTCTTCCCTACTCCAAAATCGGACTCGTCTCAGCCGGCATCGCCATCCCCAAACTCTTCGGCTCCCTCTCTTCCTCCCTGACCTCCCTCTTATGCCTCTCATCCAACTCCTTCACCTTCTTCTCCCCCTTCCCAGACCTCGCCGCCCTTCTCTTCAACTTCTTATTCAACCACCTCGCTCCCCCAAAATTAAAGAACGCAAGACAAACCGCAATGGCTACATGTACATAGAATCCCAATCTGCCCCATAGACGGAGTGATTCGCGGACGTTGAGGATGATGAATGGTTGGACGAGGTAGTTGTAGGTTGATTGGGTTAGTGCCCAGGAGAGGATGTCGTAGAGGGGTTTGTATGGGGTGGGGTGGGACATGTCTGGGGTGAAGAAGAAGGGCCGGAGGTAGCGGCGGAAATCTATGTGGTATCCATATTAGCTTCTCACAACACAGGCTAAGAGTAGAGGGAGAGGGTGACACGTACAGCGCCCAAGTGTCTGGATAAAGCTGGCCGTCCCGAAAGCGAGATAGTATCCACCGTAGAACCCGTGCCAAACAGCACTCGTCCCAAACGTCACCAAACTACTGACGAACCCAGGTTTCCCCTTCTCCACAATCGCCGCAACACGTACATAAACATAGTTTTTCAACCACTTGTTCGTGTTTTTGTTCCATGCCTCCAACAACGCCTTATTATTCTGCGCCAATTCGAATTCACGGGCAGAGATGTTCTTGACTCGATCCCACCTCAGCTTACCCTTAGGAGAGTACCCGTTGAACCCGAGACCGGAGAGGATACAGGAGCCTTCCGCGAGGGCCCAGATACCGTAGTATTTTAAGCGGTGGGAGAATGCGAGGGGTTGCATATACCACAAACGCCGCCAGAATGGAAGAGAGGCGAAGGCGGGGGAGAGGGCGTAGGTTGTTGAGTACCAGGATGCGAATTTGAGGAATAGGATGAGCCAGAAGACTCCTTCGGCGCCGCGGCGGAGGGCGGGGATGAGGGAGTGGGGGATGCGGCGGCGTTTTTTGTGCGGTGCGGAGGATTTTGAGGGAGAGGGGGAAGGAATGTCGAACATGGACAGATCCAACCACCGCTTGTACTCCACGAAATCAAAGCTCGGCCCAACCATGAAACTCGGGAAGAAAAAGACGTATCCGAGATAGTCCAATAAAGTCGGCATCGCTTTCAGTGCGCGATCGGTCTGGAGCGAGGAGAGGGAGGATGGTGACTGGCGTCCATCGTAGATATTCCAGGCGAAGGAGGAGAGTTTCATGCAGAGGACCATCTGCATGGAGGTTATGTCGACAACGTCGGGGTTGTTGATGATTTGACGGTGGATGTGATTGATACTCATATGGCCCATGACAAACACAAACACGACCCACGGCATCGCACCCCCCTTCATGTACTTCGCCAACCCATACGTCCCAAGGGAACTAATCATAATCGTTCGCAACCCGGTCCAGAGATCAAACACCCCTACCAGGAAGAATAGGGAAACGAGGATGTTGAAGGCATTTCTAGTCGATTGAGTGGGGAGTCGTTTTAGGAGGCCGCAGAGGGGGTAAGAGGCGAAGATACAGGCGACCAGTTTGATGTTATCGGGGGCGCCGAGGCCGTATTTCGCGCAGAACGACACAAAGAAGGAGTCGATTGCTTGGATCATCCTGGCCCTTTTCGTCTGTCGGTCACTCCCAGTTTCTTGAGAGATCAGAGGACAGAGACGAGGTATTTGGGGTCGAAGGAGATTGTTGGGCCGAGGATTGAAAGGGTAGATTAAGGTTTCGGTTGGGTCGCGACGGCAACCGCGACGGTGCACGTGCAGCGACTGCAGTGCACCGTCATACAACACCCCCAAGACGATAAACCGAAATGGATGTGATCAAAGCCGTTCAGAACTATGTCAATAAGATGATTGCAGACACGTCGGGGATGAAGGCTCTTCTCCTCGATGTGGATACGGTGCGTTCGTTGTGGATCAATCGCTAATACAAGAAGGGCGCTGACGACGGTATGGTGGGTGTAGACGCAGATTATTTCGATGGTTACGACGCAGTCAACCTTGCTATCACAAGAAGTCTTTTTAACAGAGTATGTTCAGCTTCTCGGCTGCGATGGGATCGTGTGCTGACGAAAATGAAACGTACAGTCGTCTCGAGAACGCCGAGCGAGAGAAGATGCGTCATCTGAAATGTATCTGTTTCGTCCGTCCGACACCAGAATCAATTCAACATTTCATCGACGAATTACGCGCCCCGAAATACGGGGAGTACTACCTATACTTCAGCAACATCATCAAGAAATCTTCCCTTGAACGACTGGCTGAGTCGGATGAATATGAGATGGTCAAATCCGTCCAAGAGTTCTTCGCAGACTACCTCGCCATAAACCCTGACCTACTATCTCTCAACATCCACCCTCCTCAATACACCCTCTTCTCTGACTCCCCCTCCACCTGGTCCCCGCCTTCGCTCGTTCGTTCGACGGAGGGGCTGGTCTCGTTGCTGTTGTCACTGAAGAAGAAACCGGTGGTACGGTATGAGAAGAACTCGGCAATGGGGAAGAAACTCGCACAGGAAGTTCAATATGTGATGGGACAAGAAAGTCCGCTGTTTGAGTTTAGGAGAGGGGAGACACAACCTCTCTTACTGATTCTGGATCGGAAGAATGATCCAGTCACCCCCCTCCTAACACAATGGACCTACCAAGCCATGGTTCACGAACTCCTCGGCATCTCCAACGGGCGCGTAACCCTCCCCCCCTCCGCCGACAACCCCAAAGGCACCGAGGTCGTCCTATCCACGTCGGGGACGTTGGATCCATTCTTCGCCAGCAACATGTACGAAAACTTTGGCGACTTAGGCGCAAACATCAAAGAATACGTCGACACATACCAATCGAAAGCAAAAACGAACAAAAGTATCGAGAGTATCGCGGACATGAAGAGATTCGTGGAGGAGTATCCCGAGTTTCGGAGGTTGAGTGGGAATGTGAGTAAACATGTTTCTCTTGTGTCTGAACTATCTCGGAGGGTTGAAGGGGATAATTTGTTGGAGACGTCGGAGTTGGAGCAGAGTTTGGCGTGTAATGATAATCATACGGCGGATTTGAGGTCGGTACAACGGCTTATACAGCAGCCGATTCCGGACGCGAGTAAGATCCGGCTCGTAGCGCTCTACGCACTCCGCTACGAATCTAACCCCTCCTCCGCGCTGCCCACCCTCCTCTCACTCCTCTCCAACGCCGGTATACCATCCCACCAGGTCGCAACTATTTCAAGGTTGTTGCAGTATGCGGGCCAGAGAGAGAGACAAGAAGATCTATTCGGAGGGACTGGATTTCTGGGGAGGGCGAGAAGCGGGATGAAAGGCCTGAAGGGGGTCGAAAACGTTTATACGCAGCATACGCCGCGACTATCGGAAACACTCACCTCCCTCCTCCGCTCTCGTTTACCAACCACAACCCACCCATACATCTCCGATCCCCCAAGCCAGCAGCGAGTCCAAGACGTCCTCGTCTTCTTCGTGGGCGGGGTTACGTACGCCGAGGCAATGGTCGTGAATAAGTTTAATGCAAGTCAGGAAGCTATGAAGGCTGGGGTTAGGGTCGTGTTGGGTGGGACTACGGTTTGTAATAGTGGGAGTTTTGTGGAGGAGGTTAGGGTTGGTGGGGAAAGGTGGGCGCGGACAACGGCGGGGGGGAGGTTGGGGGCGACGGGTGGGGCTGATTTGAGATGAGGGGGGGTTGATATGGAGATGATATACCAATGATCTAAGCTTTAGGGTATGCATCGTTCAAGCCTCGATCGCCAGCTTGGCAAGAGCTGGCTATGGAATATCGGTAGTTGTGGGGCCGGCTTGCTGTCGCTTCGCTGATTCAACAAGGGCACACCACACTTGAATAACCAGGAAAGACTTCAGCGTTTCCCGTTATTAGACCACGTCATGAGTTCATTCCAGTTTGGGGTACTCCACGTGTGCCATACCCATCGATAGCACGTATGTGTAGTGAAAGGGATACCATGACGTGATCGAACCGAGGTGCTGGCGATGAGTTATGACTTTTCGATTGTTTGCGGTGGTGGGATAGGTGTGCATGGCGCCGATGCTGAGTAGATGCGACCAAACCGTCGTTGGTTGAATAGGAATTGATGTGTTGCGAGAGCGGAAAGATTCGCACACAGTCCCTAATACTCCTCATCCTCAAGCGGAGTGGATGCCATGATCCACGCTTCCTCCTCCAAAAGTTTCTGGACCTTCTCCTTCAGATGCTCTCGTACCGCCTCGCCAAGCTCCTTGTCTTCATTGCCACTCGTGTAAATTGCCTTGATCTGTGCCGCATCTTGTGCTTCTTCCCCTATATATGCAATTAGCCCTCCGTATCTCTCGGCATTCACTCGCGCATTCATGATCACTCACTCTCGTTCTCAAAGTCCTCCTCCGGCAGCGGCAGCTGCTCATCCAGCGAGTGATATACACTGTCATAGATGATGATATCGTCTTGTGGTTGCATAAAGACGTCTTGCGAAGCACCACGGTTCTGATTGTTGCCGAAGAGGAGGCGCATGGCCGCTGGATTGCCGTTGAGGGTCGGCGCAACGGCTTTCTGAGGGCGGAAAAGTTGGCGGCGGACGGTGCCGGCTGAATGATGAGGGTTCCTGGAGGCCATGATGAGATTGGAATTGAGGTAGACGTCGATTACGGGCGCTCAATTGCAACGATCCGGGGACCTCTGGTGTTTGTTGTTTTGGGGTGTACGAGTAGACCAGGGCCGGTCGACGACGCGCGCCCAGCAGCTGCCGGCGCTGTGGGAACGGTTAGATTAAGGACAGACGACGATGGATTGTTGCTTTCCTACGGGTCGTTCAACTCGAAGTCAAGGCGTTGAACCTGAGAAGAATTCTTAGTTTTTGTGGTCTTCGTATTCGTAGTCACAGAACACCTGGCACTGGGTTCACCTGCACGCGTACGCTTGGGCCTCTCCTTTGAGCAACGACAAGGGTATGGCACCATGAGGTCGGAAGGTGCCCGGCGGCGGTGCAGGCGGTGCATCTTGCCTCTTCCGTGGGCTCATAACTCCAATACCTTTCCGTGAACGATATAGTCCGCCTCACTCTTGATTGGTCACCATCGGAGTCATGCTCTTCTTCAAAGGATTCGAGGTGGAGATCAGGCGCGAGAACGCCGTTCTTGAACCACTGGGTGTGGTCTCCGTTGATTCCACGGCAACGATCACGTCCTATGTCGAATCTGTCGCCGGTGAAGCTTTCACCATTCACATCAACCGTGTTCGCGGTGTCACGCCTGTGGCTCCCGGCAACCATTTCATCCCATCTTGTCTTGCTGAGATCAGTGTCGACGGCGTGGTCGTAGCCAAGGGGAAGTTCAACCCTCAATCGCAAGAATGGATCTGTGAGGGAGCGACGGAGAGACGTGGGATAATCCGTCCGTTCCAATTCGGTGTTTGCGCGGTTACAGGTGAGAGTTTATCTACATATTCGGATTCTTGGAAGCATTGCTAATCGTTTTCGCGCAGACGAGCGTATGGAATGTGAGAACCGTCACGATGTCTTGAAAAACTTCGGCACGATTCATGTTCGTATCTGCCGTATTCGACACAGCAATGTCCCCGCTGTTCGCAGAAGCCGAGAATTCGAGGTTCAACATCGCAGGGCCATACACGAGGACGACGCAATCAGGACGCACATGAAACACGACGTCACATTCGGCCTCCCCACTCCCGCGAGCCACCACAGCAGTCTCGGGGAACCTGAGACCTACACCGTAATCGATCCCTCAACCCAGCCATACGCCACCTTCGAATTCCGTTACCGCGATGGCAAAGAACTCGAACGACTCAAGCTACGCAAACCGAAGCCTCTCATGTACATCCCACTCCCCAAAGCCAACCCCAAGAAGCGCTGCCGGGACCTGGTCGAGATGCTCGAAGATGTGAGTGTGGAGATGATGACGCGTCGTGCGGAGACCGAGCACAGACGTAAACAGGAACAGCGGGCGGCGAGGGAGAGGTTGGCGGCTGGGGCTCCCGTGATCGATTTGACGGATGATGACCCGTTGATGCCGGAGTTGTGTATTATGAAGCCGAGGGAGGATAGTGATGGTGAGGATAGCCTGCTTCGTACGTTGATGGTGAGGAAGAGGAGGCTTGATGAGGAGGAGGAAGAGGCGGAAGAACAGCCGGTGAGGAAGCACATCAGGTTCAAAGATGAGGAGGAGAAAGAAGAGAAGCAGCTGGTCGTGGCTCAGCATGTTGATGTGGGCGATGACAAGGATGATGAGGAGACGGACGAGGAGACCGAGTCGAGCGATGAGGAGATGGAACACGAGGAGCGCGACATCGAAATGGCTAGGCCGCTGACTGAGGCCCCTCCTTCTCCGGTTGAGGGACCGTGGATGGCTGTTGTCAAGGTCACTAGTTCCCAGGAGAACAAAGAGCAGGCTGCCAACAAGGACGCCGACGAAGATACTGCACGGAAGGAGCACAAGGAGCACGGGCTCCAGGTTGCCCTTATTGAGGAGAGCAACAAAAGCAAAAGTCCGGAAAGGAAAGAGGAAGTTCAAGGGTTTATTTTTGGTCGTGGTGCTGTGGTGCTTGCTCAAGATGCAGAGGCCGGGTGGGATGCTGATGGGAAGACGGTGAATGATGAGGCTCAGGCGGGTGTGTTGGCGTTGATGAATGTTGGTGGGGAGGGAGAGCCGGAAGAAGAATTGTAGAGGGTGTTTATGAACGACTATGCTGATTCTGCGAGAGATCGAGGAATCATAGTAGGTATAGCGAGAGTTTCGGAGATGGCGTTCGGAGGGTGATATCGCTCGCATCTTCGCCATCACGTTCTTTTGTAAGAGTGGGCCGTGGCATGAGTATATTATTGGTACGCCTAGCTAGCCCCCTGACGTATGATTTACAATGAAAAAGGCTTGATATGATGGAATCACGGCCCTCTTATCTCTTTCGTGCCTCTCACGCTCAGAAAAATGATCCCACGCCAGGATGTCGACCGCAACTCTAATAGTATATACATCCACTTGATTTGCTGGGGCGCTAGCATTGTCAAGTTGCAGCGGAGTGCTCGAAAAGAGGTACCAAACTCACCTTGCCCAAGAACTCGTCTATTTGCGGTTTAGGGCCACAAGTAGAGTTGCCCTTACGCTCATGACTATCCGTCTCTTCATACTTCTTCACTATCGTTAACAGAGGAAGCCATTCGGTTCGGATGATGAAATGGATGACTATGAACGCTGGGTCTTGACTATATTGATCTTTCACATATCCCATATAACGGGTATCTTTCTCTCACTTACAACGAAACATCTCCTCTTCAGTCTTCACTTCAGCATATCCTCAACCATCTCCGCAATCGCTAAACTACTCGTCAACCCCGGACTCTCAATCCCAACAAGGTTGACAAACCCCGGGAACCCCTCCTCATGCTTGATATAGAAGTCGCTCATTCCCTCACCATCCCCCCTCAGCTTCGGCCTGATCCCAGAATAGGATCCAGCGAGTTCGGAGCGTTTGGTGGAAGGCAGATACTGCTTAATCGCCTCGTACATCTCATCCAAGCGGTCCTCAGAAACCCGATACAAGTCCCGAGAAAACAAGTCAATATCCGAAGGCAGCCACTCCGTATCCGGCCCAAACCTAACCTGCCCACCAAGATCAAGCGTCAAATGCGTCCCCAAACCCGCCAGGTCCGGTTTCGGGACGGGATAGATAAGTCTCTGTGTTCGTGGATGTGAAGCCGAGTAGGAGAAGTAGTTCCCTTTGCAGTAGTGAGGGGTGAAGTGACGGTCGGAGGGGAGAAGCATATTGCTGATTTGGAAGGCACCGAGACCGGCGGCGTTGATGAGGGAGGAGGTTGTAATAGTCATTTCCTCGCCGTCGGAAGAGAGGGATGACATCTGGTAGCCGCTGGTGCCGTTAGCGAGAGGGGTTATGCTGGTTACTGCTGTACCATACGCAACGGCACCTCCGGAATCTTCGAAGGAGCCGAGAAGGTGAGTCATCAGGCTGTGGGCGTCGACGATGCCGGTGCTGCTTGATTCCAGCGCACATTCGAGTGCGGCGACATCCGGCTCTAGTTTCGCTGCCTCTTCCTTCCCGATAAATCGCGTAGGTACACCCAGTCTCTGCGCTTTCTGGTGCATCTTTTGCAAATACTCCCCTTCTTGAGGTGTCTGTGCCACGATCCACTTCCCACAGTTCTTATACGGTAACCCATGCTTCTCCAGGTAATCATACAACATCGACTTTCCCTTCACGCACAGCTTCTCCTTCAAGGAATCGGGAGTGTAGTATATCCCGGCATGGATGACCTCAGAATTCCGGGACGAGGTTTCTTGTCCGATGTGTGCGTTCCGTTCGAGGAGGATTGGGGATGCGCCGGGGAGACGGGCGATGCGGGAGGCGATTGCGAGGCCAACTACTCCGCCGCCGATGATTACGTGTGAGAAGTCATGTTCGGTGGGTGCGATAGTCGTGGCTAGGGATCTTGATTGGTGTCGTATCGAGAAACGCGACAACGACAGCGACAGCGACAGGCGGGAGCGGGTAAACATGTTGATCCCACTCGATAGTTATGAAGAATCAAAACGTCTATAAGCGGTCAGCAGCTGGTATCCAGAATTGATGATTTCGACCCCGTCGACCAGCTGCCCTTAATATCCCCGCTTACCGGCACCGGGAGGACTCGGTTGTAGTGTGGCGTGCAGGACTGGGCCACACGTATACGCGACGGACGAGTAGAAGGCGATACCATACCCAGCAGACAAAAAAATCAGGAATCATGCCGAAGGCAGAGGTCGGGACACCCAAGTACTTGGCAAACAAGATGAAGAGCAGGGGTCTGCAACGTTTGAGGTGGTACTGTCAGGCCTGTGAACGGCAAATGCGGGATGAGAACGGCTTCAAGTGTCACACCCAGACCGAAGCTCACGTCCGACAAATGATGCTCATCGGCGAGAATCCGCAAAAATACATCCAGGACTTTAGTCAACAGTTCCAGAGTGATTTCATCCAGCTGTTGCGGACTGCGCACGGTGAGAAGCGGGTCAACATCAATCACTTCTACCAGGAATATATCGGCAACAAGGAGCACGTTCACATGAATTCGACGCGATGGAAGACGCTGACTGAGTTTGCGAAACACCTTGGGAGGGAAGGAATCTGTCGTGTCGACGAGACTGACAAGGGGTTTCATGTTGCTTGGATCGACAATTCGCCTGAGGCGTTGCGACGACAGGCGGCCATTCAGAAGCGAGATAGACAGGAACGCGGTGACGAAGATCGGGAGCAGAAGTCGCTGAAGGAGCAGATTGAGAAGGCACAGAAGGAAGCGGAGGGGATGGGGAGGAAGGAGGAAGACCAGGCAAGAGAACTGCAGAGATCCGCTGACGATGCGCCCATCAGATTGGCTCTTGCGCCGAAAGTTCCTTCGCCGCCTGCAAACGATGAACCGACAGCAATAGCTCCAGCAGAGAAGCCTGCATCAACCGGAGGGTTCATCATGAAGCCCTTGATGAAGAAGAACGTGTTCGCGGCGGCCAAGAAGGCTAACCCACTAGCAGCGAAAAAGACAGACGCGAAGCCAGCAGTATCGAAGAAGCCTCTGTCGGCGGCTGAACAGATTATTCAGGAAGAAAAAGAGCGGAAGGAACGTATGGCACGGGGAGGATTTGGCGGCGATCGGGACGCGAAAAGGCCCAGGTATTGAAAGTAATTTTGGCATGGTTCATGGCGTTGAGCGTATATCGGGGAGGAGGACCGAGGAAACGGCGGTGTAGCAAATACCGTACCGGTATCCCCGGCGTTGCCGAGTGCTGTGAGCGGATCGGGTTTAGCAGAGGGTCCCGACGCTTATTGGAATTCATACATGATAGACAGTTTAATGCAATTCTGTTTACTTCAGAAGAACTCTAATTGCCCTCAGCCGCCGCATAAACTCATTCATTGTTGGCTGGCATCTCCGGCGCACGTCCCCTTGGACTCGCGTGTTGACCGCAGCACACGTACATCCCCATACGCGACTATCGATACTCCGGCCCTCGAGTATATACCGCGACAATGGAGCATTCAGAAGAGCAGAGTGAGTCCATATATTGAGGAGGATCGCCGCTCGCGTACTGATTTATGGACTTTCAGATCCTCCACCAATTCCGTCAGAGACCCTCCAGGCAATGGATGTCGAAGGCGGCCAAGAAGAACTCGAGCAGCGCGAGGAAGATAAGGCGATGGATGAAGTGCACGCGATGAAGGAAGAGCAAGATAATGGGGCGGATTTGAACGACGCGCCGGCTGCTGGGCAGGACGCGCCTGTCGAGGAGCCTGCTCCGGTTGATCCGGCAGCTGAGCAGAGACGAATCGAGGAGGCGGCGAAGAAGTACTTGGCGGAGCAGACGCATGAGGTTATCATCCCATCCTACGCGGGATGGTTCGATATGACTACCATTGACCCCTTGGAGAGAAAGTCTCTCCCCGAGTTCTTCAATGGACGGAATAGGAGTAAGACGCCTACGGTCTACAAGGACTACCGCGACTTCATGATCAACACGTACCGACTCAACCCGGAGGAGTATCTCACTTTCACCGCGTGTCGACGAAACTTGGCTGGTGATGTGTGCGCGATCATGAGGGTTCACGCGTTTTTGGAGCAGTGGGGTTTGATCAATTACCAAGTCGACGCAGACACGCGTCCGTCCATTATCGGTCCGCCGTTTACTGGACACTTTAGAGTTACGGCGGATACGCCCCGTGGATTGCAGCCTTTCCAGCCGGGGGTGAGTACTGTGACGAGTGGCAAGCTATCGGCGGCAACGCAGGAGAAGGCGAGGAAGGAGACGGGTGAGAGCAACATGGAGCTTCGTAAGAATATCTACGAGTCTTCACCTAGTGGCGGTGCGCTGAGAGATGCGAACGCGCCGGCACCTACGGGTCCGCAGAAGCACTACAACTGCTTTACTTGTGGAACCGAGTGCACACTCCTCCGCTACCACAACACAAAGCGAAAGTCGGAGCTCTGTGTTACCTGTTACGAAGACTCACGATTCCCTTCTACCACTCACAGCGGAGATTTCGTTAAGATCGATCTGCGAGGCCAGAAACCCGGAGACGACTGGACGGATCAGGAGACGTTGCTCTTACTAGAGGGTGTAGAGATGTTCGAAGAAGACTGGGACGCAATCGCAGACCACGTCGGTACCCGTACCCGCGAAGCCTGTGTCTTAAAATTCATCCAACTCCCCATCGAGGACCCCTATCTCGAGGGCGCACCACAGCCTGTCATCACCGGCGGCAAGAGATTGCCGTTTAGTCAGGCGGATAATCCTGTCATGAGCGTTGTTGCGTTTTTGGCGAGTGTGGTTGAGCCGACTGTTGCAGCGAAGGCGGCGGAGAGAAGTGTTGGGGCGTTGAAGGAAACGTTGAAGAAGCAGGCGGAGGAGAAGAAGAAGGAGAAGCAGGTTAGGGCTGAGGAGGGCAAGGCACCTGCGTCGGATGAGGAGATGGCTGATGTTGATGCTGCTCCACCATCTCCGGCGGCTGAGCAGCCTGCGCAGGATGGAGCTGTGGATAAGGAGACGCTGGAGAAGGCTGCTGAGATCGCTCTTGGCTCGGCGGCTGCTAAGGCACACCTCCTCGCCTCCCACTCTGAACTCGAAATGCAACGCCTAACAACCGCCCTAACCCACGCCCAACTCTCCAAACTCGAACTCAAGCTCGCGCAGGTTACACAACTCGAACGCGTCCTCGACCGCGAACGCGCCGAACTCGAGAAACAGCGGGAAGAGATTTATCTGGAGCGATTGAGTATGAAGAAACAGGTGTTTGCAGTACAGGAGCAGTTGAGGAAGGCCGTGGAGATTGGGACGGCGAATCCGAAGGAGGGGTTTGCGGCCGCGGTACAGGCGGGGGGGATGGGTGGGGAGGGGGTACCGGTGCAGATGGGGGCGGGGAATAGTGCGAGGTATCCGGGGGTTGGGCCGATTAGTGCTGAGAAGCCGGGGCAGTATGTTCCTATGCAGATGTAAGGTGTTGTAATTGTTTACCTGTATACCAATTGCCTACGATCAACAGCATGAGATTCTCAGGTGCGAGCTCCGATATCAGTCTCTCCCACGCTCCCAATGGCCATCTCCACTCTGCCAATGGGGGTAGTCAATCCTCTGCAAAATTTACAGCGAATCAGATTATAATCCAGGGCATAATACGCGAAGGTCTGACCAACCCTTACAAAACATAGACATATTATTTTTTCAGCAAGCGGTTAGCTCCCGCTCGCGTGAAGGATGCACGGTCCACCGTGCATAAAGCCGCTACGCGAAAACGCAACGCGTATGGAGACCAACAACCCAATGAATCCAGGCTGGTTTTCGCTCGGATGACCGGTCCCTACGACCAATTATGGTGGTCCGCTTACACTGGCACCCTCACTTTACGCGCAGCGGCAAGGAACTCCTGTTTCCCTACCCCAACCCACACTCCCGCCCTTGATCAACATACTAAGCCCAGGCATACCAGCCAACCCAACCTTGAGACGCATCAGATGGAAGGGTCATCATGAAAACAAGCTTGCTGAATGCTATATTCGTGACCACGAGGCTTACGACGATTATCGCAATCCGACCATCATAAAATCAAAAGATGGTTGGGGGCAGACTTGGTGGGTATGGGACTGGATGCCCCTAACGTCAAAAATCGTATCCAGCATTTCGCTACACAGTTCCAAAAGGCTTATGCGTATGAAAACACGACCAGTTCAGGTGACACCGAGCATAAAACCCTTATTGAACAATGCTTCAAGATCTGCTCTTGGTATGATGAATTCAAGGCAATCTTTGGGACCCAACCCAAGGTCACACCTATCAGTGGTCCCTTCGACAGGGTTTACAATGTTTCCCAACTCCCAGGTTGGTACCGGTTCTGGCGCAGAAAATGACGAAGACGGTGACTCGGGTGAAAGCTCCAAGGATGATTCAGGCAGCCAGAATGGGTCCCAACCAGTCAACATCACTTGAAAACGCAATCCGCCTAGTCCCTAGCCCAAAGGCATTGCCAAGAAACCTGCCGTGGTCTAACCCAAGAAAAGTCGGAATGTGGTCGACAAATTCCTGGACCAGAAGGAAGCAGCCGCATCTCTGCGCCGCATGAAGCAATTACAGGTCCTGTCGGGCAGCCACAAAATCAGAGACCAAGGGCAAGATCATTTCTCTGCGCATAGAGAGGGAGCATAAGTTGAGGATGAAGCAGCTTCAGATGTATTTAGAGATCAAGTTACATGAACAAGGCATCACTCTGGCAGAGTATAGGAACTCCTTGGGCGTCTCAACAATGGTGGCAAGAAGCAAGGTTTGGCCCATGCATAACTCCATGAAGTGATTGATGACGACGATTGCCTTGAGATATCCTCGGACTATGAGCCTTTAAAGCCTCCTTCCATTCGCCGTGGATAAGACCCCATGCCCAATAAATTATTCCCGTCTGAAGGGGTTTCCCACGGTCTTCGAGGAGTACAGAGTTGGTTGGTTTGTCGATTTTTGGTCGGTGAATGCTTAGACTGCTGTAAATAGGTAAACCGACGATAGGGGATTGAAGAATAAGTTTAAATACTGCATTTGGTGTGTTCATTTCCCATGCACTTAGTGGTCTGCTCGATTCCCAACCCTTTTATCAAAAGTCTCCGATTCCTCACGGTATTTTGCGGAAAAGGTCGGTACGGCGTATTCAAGGGCGCGCTCGAGCGCCGTTTTGATCAAAATGCGTGCGTATATCATCAGGGTGATCTCCCTCGAGGTCCATGTTTACCAACCATGATTCGTCGATGTCCGGGGATCCGCGGAGATTGAGTATGTTGGCCAGGACAATGCAAGATGCTATCCATCGAAACAGACCTTCCTTGGTTCCTTCAGAAACGGTTGTGGGAAGGCACTGTAACGACCCAAATGAGCCTTCAGCACTCCAATGGTATGCTCGACCATAACCCTTATATGGGAAACTTCATGGTTGAATCCAGCTTTCTGGGCCGTGTATCCTTGATCCTGCTTGAAGGGAGTGACAACGCACATGGTCGAAAGAGGATACAAGCCACCTAATACCTTACTGATGCTTGTACACAGGCACTATTGTTGTAGAACACCGGGTTGGTCTAGATCAGACCCAGGACGAAATGAAAATCTTCTCGATTCATTTGGTAGTAGGCCTTGAACCTTCTGTCATCATACCCATTGAGAACCTCTTCAATGAAGTGTTGGGACTTTGCCAATGGCTTGCGTGTAGAGATATATCGAGTGTTTCGATGATTCCAAGCAGCTGGTAATCTTCATCCTCGGAATCGTCAGTCTCCATGGATTGCAAAAAAGGGTCCCAATTGGTGATTCGTCTGGATGCTCCGGAGCTCGAGGATGACGGTGTTGATGGTGTCGAGGCCGTAGAAATTGACGAAGCTGAAGAGGGCGAGCATTCGTCGAAGTCAAGTTGATCCGTAGCAGCATTTCCTAAGCTGTTGAAATGGTTCGAGATCGACGGTGGGCTGGACGGCAATTCAGCCTCTCTAACCTGCCGATAACATATGATCGCGTTGCGCAGTTGTCGTTTCAGGCTCTTTCGAGGCAACTGGGAATGGTACGTGAATATTCACGGTAGTGAGTTTGCCTCGAGGCAGCTGGGTCAGCGACAATGTGGCTACGCAGATGATGGCAACTGCGGGATTAAAACTTAAAACTTAAGCGATTATTTTTTGCAGAGGGTTGACTACCCCCATTAACGCGCGTTGGCCTCACTCTATTGGCCGCTGCAGATGCATATTCGTCTCCCATGAGGTGCGGGAAAGTGGGTCGTGAATCGTGGTCTGCACCCCGATATTGGCCGAGGTTGAAAGTTCAAGTTGAGCCGATTACCTAAGGGAAAGTACTGGGATGGAGAATGTAATTCGGCGTGATTGGGTGCATGGAGGATGTAGGAGGTTGCAGTCGGAGAAGGGAGGAGATTGGATGGGCGGGCCTGGACCTTTTGTCGACTCTTGGGCATCGACATTGTGAGGGGAAAAGGCCAAAAAGGTAAAATAACCGACTTGTATAGAAATAGAATCCTGGTTTACTTCTCCTTTCCCCCGGACTCTTTCCTGAGAGGTCCCAGTTGCGCCCACTCCTCGGTGGCTTGCCCTTAACCTGGTCCACCTACGCCTTCGCACCTCCCGCCAACGAGTTAACGCGAGCAGTGTCTAGAGAGGGTCACGCACGAAAGAACCTCTCCACCAACAACCCAACCCACCAACAAGAGACTCCCCCTTCGTTTCTTCTTTCTTACGACTACGAGTACGATACTACAATGGCTGAGTTTATCCGAGCGCAGATCTTTGGAACGTGTTTTGAGATTACGAGTCGGTATGTGGTCTCCTTCTCTTCGTCGCTGGGTGGTTATGAGTGAGGGGATTGCGTGGTAGTTCGTGAGAGGGAATCGCTTGGGGTGAATGTACTGTTTGCTCGAATGTCAGACTGCTGAGATCCCGCAATTGTGCGAGAGCGGATGAGGTGCAGTCGCTGATGGCATCAAGTCCAAACCCCTCGAGCATTCATTCCCGGTGTCGCCCCTACGCGTCCTGTTTATCGCCATTGTCCCTCTTCAGCGACGCAATACTCTGTTCAATATACTAACGAATTCACAACAGCTACGTCGACCTCCAACCCGTCGGCATGGGTGCCTTCGGTCTCGTCTGCTCCGCCAAAGACCAACTAACAAACCAACCCGTCGCCATCAAAAAGATCATGAAGCCCTTCTCCACCCCCGTCCTCTCCAAACGCACCTACCGCGAACTCAAACTTCTCAAACACCTCCAACACGAAAACATCATCTCCCTCTCCGACATCTTCATTTCCCCTCTCGAGGACATTTACTTCGTCACTGAGTTGTTGGGAACGGATTTGCATCGGTTGTTGACGAGTCGGCCGTTGGAGAAGCAGTTTATACAGTACTTCCTGTATCAGATCTTGAGGGGGTTGAAGTATGTGCATTCGGCGGGTGTTGTGCATCGGGATTTGAAGCCCAGTAATATTTTGGTGAACGAGAACTGTGATTTGAAGGTATGCCGCTTTTACCGGGGTATAGGGCGAATGTTACGCGTATTCTGAGCGCATACACTCAGCATATACCCAGCGAACAGTTGGAAAAATGACTTGCTAACAATTTGCTGAAGATCTGTGACTTTGGTCTTGCCCGAATCCAGGACCCCCAAATGACCGGTTACGTCTCCACTCGTTACTACCGCGCTCCCGAAATCATGCTCACCTGGCAAAAATACGACGTCGAAGTCGACATCTGGTCCGCTGGATGTATCTTCGCCGAGATGCTGGAGGGCAAGCCTTTGTTCCCTGGTAAGGACCACGTCAACCAGTTCTCGATCATTACCGAGTTGCTTGGTACCCCGCCGGATGATGTTATTCAGACGATTTGCTCGGAGAACGTATGTTACCTTTAACTGCGGTGTCTCTATCGGACAGGGCTAACGAAGGTCACAGACTTTGAGATTCGTTCAATCTCTGCCAAAGCGCGAACGCGTCCCCTTCTCCCAAAAATTCCGCAACGCAGACCCCCTCGCCATCGACCTCCTCGAAAAGATGCTCGTCTTCGACCCCCGCAAGCGTATCTCTGCCGCTGAAGCCTTGGCGCACGAGTACCTCGCTCCCTACCATGACCCCACTGACGAGCCCGCCGCGGAACAGAAATTCGACTGGAGCTTCAACGATGCGGATTTGCCGGTTGATACATGGAAGGTCATGATGTACTCGGAGATTTTGGATTTCCATAATGTGGATCAGACTGTTGAGGAGGGTGAGGCTTCTGGGCAGTTGGCTGGGCCGCAGTAAGCGCTGCTCAAAGTAGAATCAGAGGCATGAGTGAAAAGATATACGAGAGTGAGAGTGTGAGTTGAACTGACAGAGGAAGTTTGGAAGGAAGAGGAGAAGCATGTTAATACGACTCGAGTGGTTTTTCGTTTTACAGCTAGAAGCGTCGGATGACAAGAACACGGGTCATCAAGTGGAGAGCTTGAGCTTAATAGCTGAACAGCACCTACAGCTTCAATGTTGGAATTGTGTACGGGATGGTTACGACGACAGATTGGGAATGTTGCCAAGATAAGCCTGTGTCGCGCGTTTTGCAATTGCTTTTTTGAGATCTTTTTATTGCGTAACTTTGCTTTGTGCTTCTTTCTCTTTGAGTCTTGGATTTGAATATTGTACGTTGATATTGCTGCTGTTTATGCTCTCTCTATCGATCTCGTATGATTGGAATAAGCTTTGGTGTTTGGGAGCACTTGGGCAGTTCGCGCCCCGACCGACCGTTTGATGTCAGGCTGCATGTGGTGCCAGGCCTGTACGTGCACCCCGGGAACCCTACACCGAGGTATTGCAAGATGGACATGGACGAGGATAGCGAGATCACCGTCTGTGTCGTAGGCTTTCATCATCAACGAGGACCGGAGGTACGTGACATTTGTAACCTGACGGTGAGCAAGGCTGACGGCGTGTGGGACAGGTCGAGTATGTGTACCCGGATCGAGGACAGGAGTTACCGCCCTTGTTGAGTTTTTGCGCGTTGCCTGATGGTGCGCATTTGACTGAGGAGGATTTCTCATATTTCACGTTACCGGCTGGTGAGTTGTGGTTGTGCTCCATGATTTCGAGCGTGTGGGTTAACTGGGTCGCATAGTCACGTCCTCCTCGACTGAATCTACTTCCAACGGTGATGATGACGGCAAGGATGAGGGCGAGAGCGAATCGATACCTAAACACCCAACCGTCTTCGGCATCTCCTGCAACCGCCAACTCAAAGCCTCCGAACTCCTCAACCGTCCCGCCGACGTTACCCGCTCCACGATCCAAAAAGCTGTGGTGGTGCTCTCCAGCAAACCATTATTCTTCGTGCGGGATAAGTTGGGGGTTGTTACGAGGGCCTATTTTGCGCAGAGGGATTTTGAGGATCGAGCTATCATAAGGGATTTGTGGGAGAGTTTGGGGGGGTTGGTTGGTGGGAAGGATGGGGAGGGGAGGGGGAGAGTTACGGAGAATGAATGGAATGTTGGTGAGTATTGCGAGCCTGAGATGATTGATCGCGAGCTGACAGGTATGCATAGGTATCTCGCTGAGAGGGTTACTGGGCCATTTCAAGCTGAAGACCCTGATTCTGGTCAAGGCGCTGTTGTTGGAGCGGAAGATTCTGTTTTTTGGAAGTACGACGGAGAAGTTGTGTACGATGCAATATGCACTGCTATCGCTACTGCCAGGTTTGCTGTTATGATGTCTGTGATCTCGTGTCAAGGCTAACAAAAGCAAACAGAAATGATGGATCATCTGGAGGATGCGAGTAGTCCACTGCTTCACACTTTGGAGACAAAGTTGAAGAGAGCAACGAGTCTGAAGACGAGTAACAAGGCGTCGCTACACGCGTATCTCGGATTTCCATTACAGATTTTTGGCAAGGTTTGTTTTGTCTTGTTTGTTTTCGGAGTTATCGCCGACAACTAACCTGGCAAACAGGGGTGTTTCTTCGGACCATACACGCCACTACAGCAACTTGACATGCTCGAAGGGCCAGATACGAAGGCGTATCTGATCGGGAGTACGAATGCGTTGTTTCTGCAGCAGAAGGATAAGCACGCGGAAATTGTCGTAAATGTGCGGCCACATATGAAGCGGACCTCGAGGAGACCGCTAACAAATTGACGTACAGGTCGATAACGCCACGATAGAGGTGTATAACCCGCAGTTGAAGGACGCGTTACTCCTCACCCCTTCAGATAAGAAGTGGATTGAGGGCCTGGTCTCAGACGTCACAGCCTCCGAATCAAACCTAACATTCACAGGCTCCGAAGACCACATCCGCGCCCAATTCGAAGAATACCTCTCCAATCTCGTCTCCACCGTCAAATACGACAACTTCCTCACCCGCCACCAATACTACAACATGGCCTCCGACACCCCGCTCATGCCCGACGTCGACGGAAACCCGGCGAGGGATTATGGGATTCCGTGGATTCGGGCGTGGAGGAAGACGAGGAATTATGAGGTTTGGGGCCGGATGACGGATGATGAGTTGTTTGATATTGTGGAGGCGCGGCATCCGGGGGGGAATTCGTTGGGGATTTCGTTGGGAGATGTGCAGATGAAGTTGGCTGCGTATGTTGTTTCCTTTCTTATTTTGTGTTTATGTTTGTGGTATTGACAAATTGATAGGGCGGCTGGCGAGTTGAAGATTGGAGAACGGACGGCGCCGGCACGGGAAGCTATCTCGAATACCTTCTCGAATTTGTGGAATAACGTCGAGTCATACCGGGAACGGAAACGACTCGAAGCCGAGGAGAAGGTGAAGGAAAAGACGTCTGCAGTACCACCGGTATCCACGAGTGCAACCACGAGCAAGCCACCAAGTATCGGGGAGAAGATCACGAGTAGCGAACCAGCGACGCCGACATCGACCACGGCTGCGGCTGCGGCTGCGGTGGTGACGAGTAAAGCATCTGCGTTCGCTTCGTCTTGGGGATCGTGGGCAGCCGAGAAACGGCGGAATTTGCTGGCGAGGAAGAATAGTCGGGACTTCACGACCAGCCTAACTCCCAGCGTCACCAGCAACAATGGGAAAGAGAGGAGTGTCGAGGGCGACTTCGGACACGAGCACCTTTCGGATGAGTGGAGGCCGTTTGATGTCACGACAGCGCCGAGGACGCCGAGTCCGATGACTACGCCGCCGGCGATGTTTCCGGTGCAGGCTGGAGAGAAGGTGGAGGATTTGGTCAAGTCTGAGGAGAAGGAGGAGGGGGAGAAACCCGACGACGGAGTAGAAGGTGGTGAGGATAAGGGCGATGATGAGGGCGTAGCCGGTGAGGTGAAGGAAGTTGAGGATGGCGTTGGGAAGGCGGCAGTAGAAGCTGATATCCATACCCACGACGAGGCTGAGAAAGTCCAGGAGAAGGAGGAGGACGTCGCGAAGGAAGAGACACACGTGGACACCGAGGGTAAACATTAATGAACGGCTCGGGAGATCGGGACAAGGCAGAGAGAGATGGAAACGATTAACTAGTCTTCGCATATCATATATACAGAAAGGTTTGCAATTGTTGGGTACAAGTTGTACAGCACGCCGAACTTTCCCACGACCACAGCAGCGTCAGCGAACCCAGAAAACACCAAAAGGCAGACCGCACACCGCACTCACCCACAATACCCCGAATCAATCGCAACCACCACGAACTCTTGCGTAACATCACCATCTGATTTGGTTTCCCTTGAACGCGACTTTCACATGAAACACACGGCTGAGCCTCCTGCGTTTGCTTGCTTCCGGCGTGCATCGGGTAATACGAATGGCATGAAATAAAGTTATACGTTGAAAATTGCATGATTCCTATCATCGTAGAAGCGATCGTTCGAGCCGCTGTTTTAAGAGTTGCGTGAGTGTCTGGCCAGCAGCAGCAGATTGAACGGGACACGTAGGCTTCATTCCGGTGCCGGTTCACCGGTCCATTGCAACGTGCGAGGTCAATTGTAACGTTAACGCAAGCGTTACGTACATATCTCCGGGGAAGGCGGCGGAAACCGAGGCAATTGCAAGACCCTGCTTCGTTTAACGGTTAACCTGGTACCTACGGCTGGTCCGTACACACCTCCAGTCACGCACGTTTCGCCTTCCACATACACTCTCTCTACAGGGCAAAGATGATGCACCCAGTCCTTCCAGCACTGCTCTCGACATTGTTTATCACGGCTGTCTTGTTTCTCCTACTAGCCCCGACACTGGGGTTAGCTGATGAGATTTCCTCATCTATTGACGCGGCTTGCGTCGCCTCCCTGTCGTCGCTCGCTGGGGATGCCTCGGCGTCAGGGATGAGTGTGGGAGCTGGAGGAGGAACCATGTATGCGTGTTATAACATCCTCGCATTCACCCCTCCAACATTTATCGCGGATCTACGACTTTTCGAATCGCCCTCGCCATCGTCCTCCGCACGCTATTCTAATGCCAATATCTCCACGGATACGGGTTCACCCACGATCGAGATTGTCTGGCCACCCGGGATTGAAGGCGATTCTGTTGCGGGCGGAGCAGCACTCACACGTCGTGCTCCCTCTCCTGTTCCTAACTGGAAGGAGCTCTGGAAACGTCAGAACTCTGGGACCGGCGCTGCTCCCTCGATGCAGCTTACGAATAAATGGGTATTCACCGGTACGATCACCGATGAGAGTCTTCTTTCACAGTCGGAGAGCGTACTCAAGAGCATGATGCTACCTGCTGTGAATCTCGTTTCGGGGGATGGGGGAAAGGTGGACTTGTCGTCGTCGTCGAGTGGGAGTATGGCGTCGTATGTGTTCGGGGTCATGGCTGATACGACGTCCGGTTCTGCTATAACTCCGGCTGCAACTGCGGATCCTCCAGAAGTTGTGGTCCCATCTTCGACTTCCGAGGCGGCACAGACGCCAGCGGAAAGGACACTCACTCCCACGACGTCTGAGGATACAGCTGCTGTGACAACCGGTCTTCTCACGGATTCCTCGGTGAGCGAAATCGGGGCAAACGGGCCCACCACTGCTCTCGTTCCCACACCTGCACCCTCGAATTCGGCTGTGGACACGTCTACTTCCGCGACGAGTGCGTTGGCTGTGGACACGAGTTCCAGTACACCAGCTGCGGAATCAACCTCATCTGCCGTCGTACAAGCCTCCTCGAGCTCCGCAACTCCTCCGCCGACTTCGACATCTGCCGCAGCAACCTCACCCACAACTGCACCTGCATTCACCCCAACCATCGCCGCCGCCATCGCATCCTCCTCCTCCTCCTCCCCTTCCTCCTCCGCACCCCCCCTTGCCCTCGCCGACACCGCCCAGCCCCAATCCGCCCCGGCAGCCGCGCCCGCACTCCAAGCAACCATAGCAACCCCATTCGTCCTCCCCGGTACCTCCCTCGGCATAACCCCAATCGGAACATACGTCTTCTCGGCTTGGACTGGGATATTTGGTATCGTCGTCGGTGCGGGGTTTTGGCGGAAACAGATGTTTAGGGGGCAGTATCGGAGAAGGGTCAATGTTAACGTTAAGCAGGGAGGAGGAGGGGTGGTGGGGAATGGGTTGAGGAGTGAGTTTTCGATGTAAGAGTTGCTGCTGGCGGTGACTTCAGGGAGAGGAGAGGAGAGGAGGTAGGATATATCTCAATACTCATGTCTAGTTCAGAATCTGATATCGCATTCTCTGCGCCTGCTTATGCTCTGTTGTTCATTTGAGGAATGGAGAGAAGAGGATAGAGGAGGAAGTAACCATTGGAAGAGAAGTCCAATTCCGCAATGATCCCGTATACATAACGACGTAAAGCAAAAAACAAGAGTAATAAACAATCATGGGAAAAAAGGAAATCACTAAGTAAACACAACACACAACCCCAAAAGGATCACCTGCGAGCCGCACCGATCCTTCCCTGATCCTAACCCATTGGCAAGGACCAGCAAGAAGTCCCATAGCACAAGCATCCAGCAGCGTCCTGATATCACAATCGACAACAACCACAAATAGTTCCAAACCTATAATGTGTAACAAAACAAAAAAAAGCGCCTGATGCAAGAAAAAAAAAGTTTGTCGCATGCTGGTAATCGTCCATATAAAGTGTAAACGCCTTCATCCTTTTTTTCATCAACAAAACACAACAAATTCATCAACATCACACCCCTTTCACCTCATTAAAGGGGTTGCGAGCCTCGGTATGTATGGTATATAACCGTCTACCATCCAGGCGTTCCGTTCTGCACCCCAGTACCAAGCGGCAAGAGCTTGCTGTTGAAGTACTGCAACGAATCCGAGAAGGAGTCGTTCGTGGGCGACTGTTGGACGGGTTGTCCAAAGACCTGGATGTTGTGCGCCATGAGGTAATGGTGAACGAGCTGGATCGCATCGCCGAGGTGCTCGGAGGTGCCACGAGAGTAACGGAGGATGAAGGTGTGGAAGTTACCCGAGCTTCCACCGCTACCGGGGCCAGCAGAGCCCTTGACGCGGTCAGGAGAGGGATGAACAATACAATCAATGTTGAAGTTCCTCCTCATCGTATCAACAACCTGACTTCTGAACTGGGGCTGCGTAATAACCTCTTGAAGCGATTGAGACTGCGGCACACGGAGCTGATACTCCTCCGGCACGAGCTCAAGCAACATCTGGATGCAAAGCGGAACCTGACTCTCGGGACCAGTGATCTGGACGATATCACTCCCACTCCTCTCATCCGGGAACTTTATCCCACAGTTCGTCTTTTCCGAGATATCCAACACCTTGATCCTGTACTCGTGATTCAACATCCTGTGAAGCCCACGGGGGATATTGATAGTCTCCGTGATATAATCCTTATCCCTCGACGACACGAGCTCCATAATCGACGCCTTCAATTCCTCGAGCGCGACAGCGTTCTTCGAGGGCGTACGCGCGACAACGTTGTCATCATTATCAAAGTACCCACCGAGCGCGGCAAACTCGAGCGCATTCGAAAACTTGACATAAACCCCATACTGCTTCATAATCCTCTGGATATTCTTTCCCCCGACGCCAATAATGCGTTTATGATACGCCTCAGGGACAAAGAAAGAAATCTCAGCCGGCAGTTCAGCCTGCAACATCGTCAACCCATCAAGAGCCCTCTGAACCCCCTGAGAAATAAGGTCAATAATGAAGTTGTACTCCGTAAAAGGCTCAAACTTGATATGCACATGAGCCTCCTTCATAACCTTATTAATCTTCCCGTTCTTCTTGCCAGAGATGAACTCGCGGTGTTCGTTGCTCAACTCCAAACGGATACGACACTGAACCTGTCGTTTCTGGACCCAACCGAGGTTGTTGATCATCATGACCGCAGCACGGACAGCCTCCTCCGCACCATGGACCTCGAAGCAGTTATTGCGGAACGACAACTCCGCACCCGAAGTCCCCGAAATCTCCGAAACGTTCTGCCGAAGCGTCTGCATAGTGGGCTCCTTCTCCTCATCCTCATCATCTTGGCCGTGTCCATGCTGTCCATGTCCGTGATGACCATGTTGAAGCTGATAGTGAGTATGTCCACCATGCCCAACATTCCCATCCAACGGCAAAACCCACACCTGCGCCGTATAAAACGCACAAATCAATGCATTCAAAGACCTAATCGTCCTCTCAATCAACACCAAACTCGTTCCATGGATCCTCAACAAACTTTGGTGACTACCCAACGTCGGAATTGCGATGAACGTTGCGTTTTGCTGCATGATGTTGCGAACCTCGGACAACTTCTCGAGAAGGAGCCAATCGATTTTTTCAGGGATCATGATGATGTCTTTAGTGTAGAGCTGGATCGAGCGTTCTTTGACCTGCAACATCTCCCTCGCCTGGAAGACATGTGCGAACTCGCCCGTGATCAGAACCTCATGCGGGTTACGGGGTCCACTCTGCGGGTTCCTGTAACCAAACACCGAAGCAAACGGCGTAGGGATGTAGACCTGCGTCCCGGACTCGCGCTCGATAGTCGCAGCATGCATACGCTTACGTCCAGCAATGAGAGGCTGCATCGGCAACTCGATCGGGAGACGAATAACCTTCAACCCAGCCAACTCATCCAACATAACCTGGACCCTAACTTTGGCGTAATCCAAACTCTCCAAGTCACCCCTCAGAATGAAGTTCAAGTTCGGACCAGCCTTGTTAAGAGGCGGACTTCCACTCGCGGCACGAGCTCCATTGAACGTCGACGTAGTTCCAGGCGTCGTGTGCTGAATGAGAATAATGCTCACACCAGCATGCAACGCCAACTCCTCCAACGCCGTCTCGACATCAGACTTCATCGCACTCGCATCAGGATCCATAACCAAGTCATACTCCGCCTTAACAACAACCTGATTCTTGATCGGCGTCTGTTGCAAAAAGATACCGCGTGCAGTCGACGTATGACTATGCGGACCCGTAACGGTAACATTGATCCGACCCCTTCCCTGTCCAACAGACGCAGCATTGAGATACCCAAGCGCCGAACCCCTCGGATCAGCGATCGTGAAGCTCGCGTGGACACTCCCGGTAGCATTGATATCAGCACAAAGCGCACTGAGGTGATCCAAATGCTCGAACGCCCTCGTCCTCGCGTTTCCATTCGCGACAACACTCGCCTGTCCCTGCGGCGGCGACCCAGACGAGTTCGGAGAAGGCGGGGTATCGGGCGCAGCGGGGTAGAGAACTCCATCGTTCGAGTTGGAGGAAGCCCAGATGATACTCTTTGGATCGGGACGGGTGGGCGCGACGCTGTTGGGAAGACAGAAGGAGTGGACGCGTTGTTCCACTGCGACATGTTGCGCGTGGGGCATGAATGGCATGGCGTTGTGGTTCATGTAACCTGCGGCTGCGGCGGCTGGATTCATGATTGTATGCTAATTGTAAGGTAGATCGTAAAGGTCGTATATGCGATTTGTTTTTGTTTATGAAGCAAAGCGTTTCGTATAACCGGATGTCTGCTGTCTTGATTACACCGGGATGTATGCTCCTTCAGCTGTTAAGATCTGGCTGCAGAATGTTGCGAAACGTTGACCAAGAAACCGAACCGAGAACTGACGAAAGCTAAAACCGACTGCAGTTGAAAATCTGAAGCCGGACGACCGAAGAAAAAGCGACGACGACCGAGGAAGATGAAGAAACGACGAGAGCAAGAAAGCGAGAAAGCGACGAGTCACGAAGGCGAAAAATCGAACGCGTAGATCTAAGCTTTCCCTCCGGTTGAACTCTCGGTTCTCCTGGCTCCTTGTTGCAAGGTGGTTGCAGGGAATGCGACTGGGATGGTGTTGTACTTTTTCGACTGGGCTCAGCAATTGCGCTGCAGGGCCAAAGTTGAGCAACTTGAAAAATCTGCAGAACATGAAATTAGCGCCAAACGTCACGGTTAATTAGAGAGCTTCGGGCGAGCCTCAAATGAAGGTCGTCGTACCGTTACCCTGATTTAAGTTATACAATGGGGGGACTGAGTGTTGGAGGTGACGACGATGACGGCGACGAGTCAGGTTGACTGAGCGACGTACGGTGGCTGCTTACGAGACAAAGTGTATCTGGCCAATCGATCCGGATACGAGGAACAGAACCCCAAAGTGGCCCAGCCGCTTCTATTTATGCCGTTCCCAGAACTCCACTCTACACCTACAGCTATTCCAAAGCTAACCCAGCTATGGGAAAAAGTCATCCTGACCTCGACAACTACACGAACCTGTAACAGCGTAAAAGCGAGGGGATCACGCGGGGCCCCCTTTGGGTAGTCGAGGGGGGTTTCAGAGCGAGACTCGCTGGCACGCGTGAGGACTGTCGACGTGTCGGTATATATCGGGTGTGACGCGCATATATCCCAGCAGCGCACACATCGAGGTCAGGATTGACTTTCGCGCTCAGGCCCCCTCGAGCTCGGTGGATTTTGACCTGCGAGAGGAAGATCGTCGACCGAGGCTTAGCACGGGCTGTCATACGGCGGCCGCTCTTACTTCCTACATGTACACCCACACCTTTACAAACTTAGAAGCTATACCTATAGCAATACTTGTCGTTACATCGTATACGTACCGTAGCTACCCAAGTATATATAGCACGTCAACATTCGACGAGCGTCACGGTATGACTATCACACCGTAACCCCACCCCACCTCACCTCCACTCCCTCTCCCCAGTCTGCCCCCTCCCCGGATACTCATGATCATACTCATATTCCCTCTCCCGTCTCTGACGATCCAGATACCGCATCCTGTCCTCATACTCCTCCCGACTCGCGATCGGCCGAACACTCGCTGCCCTCGCCCTCGCCGGCGGGGGCATACGGCCATCCCAACCACCATGGCTAGGTCGTACGCTTCCCTCGCGATAAGACATCGGTGGAGGAGGAGGAGGCGGCGGTAGCATCATTCGCCCAAGTCCAGGCGAATACTCGTCATCCCTCATGGGTGGGGGCCTACTTGCCTCGCGGCCACCGGGATACACAGGCGGAGGACGGACACTCCCCTCCCTGCCGCCAGGATACACACTCCCGTCCCTCCTGCCGGGATACATGCCCCTCTCCCTCTCCCTCAGCGGTAACGGCAACGGCGGCGGCATGCCCCACCTATTCCTCTCCTCCTCCATCCCATGACCAAACCCGTACATACTCGTCGGAGGCGGCCGCACGCTCCCTTCCCTATCCCTATTCATCCCATGCCTCCTCGACAAATCCATCGCCATACGCGTAAGCTCGCGTTCCTGCTGTTCCAATTCCCATCTCTTGCGTGCGAGGTCCGCCATACGTTGCTCCACATACGGATCCCGCACGTGCTCCCGGTCCATGGGGAAGTGGTCGTCGGGGTATCCAGCCGCGGAGCCGTACTCACTACCGTACCCATACGCCGCACCCCTCGGAGGTGCGCGACTCTCGGCCCTGATACTCCTCGGCGGAGGTACCACGCTCGGTGCACGCACATGCGGATCCTGGAGGTGGGGTATCAGCTCATCCGGATAATACTTTTTCATTCTCTCCCTCTCCTCCGGATCTCTTTCGGCCGCTCGTTGCCACTCTGCTATCAGGGATGGACTCATAGTCCTGCGATCAAAGTGTCTCGGACTGAGCACGGACCGACCTCTCCGGACTGGCGGGCTAGGACTCCTTCTCCGCACGAGGGAGCGGCCCCTTTCGCGTTCTCTGTCCTCATCCATCCCATATCCATACCGTCTTTCAGGCCCGGGGCCAGGTCCGAGACCGTACCTGTAATATTCCTCATACCCAAATCTCGGCCTCTCATACCCATACCTCTCCTCCTCCCACTGCCCAGGCCCATACACCGACCCCTCTCCCTCCCTCGCTCTTCCCAAACTCGCCCTCCTCCTCGGTAAATGCAAATCCGCCCTCGTGGGGTCATACTCCTCGTGCTCATCTTGCACTGGCTGCTCTGCCTCTGTCGCCAGTGGTTGCCGAACCGGCTGCCCCATCGGTCTCGGTGCGCGGATATCATCCCTGTCCCTCAAGACCCGAGGAGGAGGTGGGGAAGGACTCCGCATCCTCACATCTTCCACGGCACTAGTGTCCAAGGGGCGGATAAGCTGCGAGGGATGAATGGGAGGGAATTGCTGGCGGGTGATTGTACCGTGGTCGAGCACCGCCAGGACTGGTGCTTTCGGTTCATCGGTTTGTGGGGCGGACTTGGAGGGTGCGTTTTTCGTCGAGTCGAGTGCAGCGGGTTTGTCTTCCGCCGCAAGTTTCTTCGTCTTCACTTTCTCCTTTTCCGTGTCTTTGCCCTTCCCACCCTCAACCTTCCGCGGCGGACTCGCACGCCTGACAGGCGCCGGCGCCGGCGCGCTATCATACGGCAACCCCATCCCCATATCATAAGGCAAAACAACCTCCCCACACCCCCTCGGCGGAGAATCAAAACTCGAATAATGCCTCGCCTTTTTCTCTATCCTATCCCTCTCCCTCCTTGCCTGCTTATTGGTTAAAGCTGCGGGACCGGTTGGCGGTTTAGCGTCGGAGCGGTGATCGCCTTTGCCTGGGGCTGGGAGGCTGCGTTCTGGCTCGGTGGGCGGTGGGATGACTCGACCAGGCGCCGCCGCTGATGGTGCAATCATGGCTTTCTGCTTTTTTGCGGCTGGAGACTTGGAGGTGTGTGCTTTTTCCCGTCCGATCTCCGCCACCGCACCTGCACCTACTTTGGCCTCGACCATACTCCGCACAACATTCGGTGCATGCACAGGCGGGGCTACAACCTCCGGCGGGGGCGCAACACCTCCACTACCGGGTCTTGGTGTAGAAGCAGCGATCATCGCAGCCAGTTCCGGTGGTGGAGGGGGTGGGGCGGCGTTGGGGGGTGGTGGGGGACCAACGCCGAAGCCCGTACTCGCCGCTACCTGTGCTGGAGCGGGTGTAGTCTGAGAGGGTGTGGTGTTGGTCGCGGATGGGATTTGAGGAAGAGGAGGCGCAGGAATGCCGAGTCCTGGAATTGGTGGCGGAAAGGGCATTCCCGGTATCGGTATCGGCATCGGCGGTAGAAAACCAGGTATGAACGGAAAAGGTGGTGGTGGAAACGGAAACTGTGGTTGCTGAGGGAGAGTCGGAGCAGGCGTCTCAGTCGGTGTCGGGACAGATGACCCGGGGTTTGGTGTAGCGGTTTTGGACCCAATCTCGGCTTTCTTCGCCGCGATCTTCGCGCGTAAAAGTTGTTCCAACCGCAGTTTATCCTCACTTGGCTTCGGCTTTCGCACCTCCTCCTTCCCCTTCGTTACAGTGACGCCAGCAGCCGCAGCAGCAGCAACAAACTCATGCGGCGGCGACTCCAGCTCCTCCCTCCTCCGCTTAAGACTCGGATGACTATTCTGCCGAACCTGGTCACGGAGCTTCGCGAGCTTGCTTAACTCGGCCAATGCATTCTCGTCGGGGGCGAATGGCATTATGGTGCCATTGAATGCAGCAGACATCTGTCAACAACGCAGCACTTTCCCTGGTTGACCTGTCCTGATTGCCGGGGATGAATGCTGATGGAGTCGCCGTCCTTCTCTCAGATCCCCCCCCCCCCAGGCACAACCTGCCCCTGACTGACGATCCCGCGTACCGGTATCGGTTGCCGGCGTATACGGGGAGCACTGGGCTGGTAAACAGTTCGTAAACCGCGCCCCCAGTACAAACACCTCTCGAACAGCATCTCGATGGACGTCAAATCGCCGCCGTCTACGCCTCGCTCTACTGCCTCAAGGCTGACGTCCGACCTTCAGACTGCCCGGAGAGGTGCTGGATCAGGCGTTGCAACTCCCGTAAATGCCAAGACGAAACGGAAGGCATTGCGTGAGTTTTATGGATTGAATGAGGCTATGAAGAGAGAAAAAACAGCGATACCAGAGATTGATCTTCCCGACTTCAATCCTCAGAGTTATGTCAATGATCTGCTGAAGACCAAGAATTTGAAGGAGCTCTTGACGGTTGAGAACACATTGGTCAAAGGTACAGCGTACACAATGCCGCAGGAAGTAATCTTAGCTGACCGCCTCTTCAGAAATCCGTGGTCTTGATGGTGAGCGGAAATCGCTTGTATACGATAACTATTCCAAGCTCATGCACGCTGCATCCACTATACGCAAGATGCGTCAGAGCATCGACCCGGTGGCACCAAGTACAGACATGCTGGGAGCGGCTATCGAGAAGATACAGAGGTTATCGGGTGTGGCACGGCAGAAGACGTCAGAGCAAAACAATGGGGAAGTGCTGACGGAAGACGCGGATCTGGCACGGCAACGGGAGGAACTAGTGACATGGGTTCGACAATCGCCTCAACGCTTGGAGGAATTGTTACAGCATGGAAACACCGAAGAAGCAGAACGGCAATGGACGAAAGTACAAGGGATCCTTGATCGATGGTCAGAGGTACGGGGAGTGAAAGATTTGAGAGAAAGGTGTGAAGCCGCTATGAACCATGGCGCGCCTACACCGCCTCCGAAGCAAAACGCAACGGAAGCGGATGACTAGAAATGATTACTGGGTGTGCCTTGGGAACGCGGCGTTAGTCTTTACCATATACCTATCTACATGATCTCTACAGGATCCCTGTCACCTTCACTAACCACAACCTCAATCTTCTCCTCCTCCTCCTTTAACAGTTCCTCTAATCTAGGCTTCATCACTGCTGCGAGAAACCCACGTTCAGTGTTTGTATGACCACAGATGATCGCACTCATGCCGTTTTCAACCGTAGCCAAGGTCTCATGGTGACCCAGTTCACCGGTAAAGAAACAGTCGGCTTGAACGCCTCTGAACAAAGAACCTCCAGAACCAGCACATATGGCGATGGTCTTCACCTTCTCCAATAATTGAGGCCGTGCGACCTGAACGTATTTCAGCCCCGTCAACTTCTTCACGCGCTTCACCAACTCTATCAACTCCAGCGGCTCCTTCAGCTCCACCAGTCGGCCCATGCCACCGTCTTCGTGTCCCTCGACTTTGGTGCCGTTCTGCAGAACCTCACGCTTCTCCTCGTGCTCCTTACCACCCGAAACTCCATCCGCGAGCCAGTCGTTGACTCCACCCACAGCAGCATCTACGGCGGTATGCGGTGCGTATATGGAGATCCCGGCCGCTGCAAGGCGGAGGAGAGAGCGCTGTTGTGTGTCCTTCATTGTAAGAGACTTTAACCCACGGAAAATGATAGGGTCTGTAGCATATCTTCAGTTAGTTCTTCGACTAGACCACGGCTACATGAGTGTACGTAACGGTATGCCACAATCACGGCGACACCACTGCCCTCCCTGAGCGCCTCCTCAGCAACAGCGGTCGTCAAGTCAATAGTGAGCAAAACTCGGCTGACTCCATTTGCAGCAGGTCTGTGGGGGATTGGCGCTTCGAGGAGGAGACCGGTGTTATCCCATGTCTTGTCGGCAAGCGCAACAGGATAAAGCTTCTGCACGGTCTTCAATACCTTTGGCAAGATAGCTGGAGCCGAGGCCATTTGTTTACTGGGTACCCGGTTAACGTCGTTGTATGGAGGAAGACTGGGCGCGTAACTATCCCGCATGTCGGTTACCGGCGTACTGTACTGTACAGATACTGGCGGGCACTGAGCGCGTAATCAGTCATAAACCGCTCACCGTGCACAAGGACCCCTCACAACAGCATACACCCCATCGACCAATTGAACAAGTTCTTGAGACCTGGCAGCATTGTTCTACCGTCTTTATCGTTCCGCACTTCGCAGTTCAGCATTTCATTCGCCTTTGTTGCATTTCAGCCGCATTCATCGGGTATCTCCCTCACGAATGACCACCACCACAACCAACGGAGTCAATGGGCATTCATCCCCATGCAATGGTCAAGGAGACGACCGTATAACCTTCTTCTTCGATCTCGATAACTGTCTCTACCCCAAATGTCCGTCCCCTCCTCCTCCCCCCTTCCTCCCTCCGCACACACGTACCAACCCCCACTCACAGCGCACCGCATCCACGACCTCATGGGTCAAAAAATCCACGAATACTTCATGACCCACCTCTCCCTCGACCCCTCCGCCGCCCGCCATCTTCACCACACCTACTACACCCAATACGGCCTCGCCCTCGAAGGCCTCGTTCGACACCACCAAATTGATTCTTTGGAGTATAACGCAAAAGTCGACGCAGCACTCCCGTTGGATGAGATATTGAAGCCTGATGAGAGCGTGAGAAGATTGTTGGAGGGAATCGATAAGCGGAAGTGTAAGATGTGGATCTTGACGAATGCTTACATCGACCACGCCAAGCGATGTCTGGAACTCCTGGGTCTGAAAGATCTATTCGAGGGAATCACGTACTGCGACTACTCCGCCCCTCGCCTCGTCTGTAAACCCCAACCCGAGATGTTCGCGCTCGCAATGTCACAATCCAACACAACTCACAAATCAAAATGTTTCTTGATCGACGATTCGGCGGGGAATGTTAGGGGTGCGACGGAGTTTGGGTGGGGTGTTACGGTACATTTGTTGGAGGAGGGGGAGGGGAATGAGGGGCACATGAAGACGAAGGATGGGAGGGTGGCGGGGACGCATGTTGTTAAGACTCTGGGGGAGTTGAGGGATATTCCCGAATTGAGGGATGTCTGGAAGAAGGAGGAGCCCGAGGTGTAAACGGGGCCGGAAGGGAAGATTTGTATGTTAGGAGAGATGAATATGGATTGGATTGGACGATCATGTCATAGGGTATACCACGTACTACAAGTTATACCATAATCTTTTAACGATCGAATGCTCATGAGGATTGGCATAGGTATCACCGAATTGTCTTCTAATATTTGTCTGATGATCTCGATACGGATATAGGGGTTATACCTAAGCATAAGCTTTGTCCCTTGATTGCCAGCTGCAACTCCTCTTCACTCCCAAGAAAAACAAACAATATGATATAGAACATCCAGTGTCCAATCGGGTATATCCACCCTTACATTCCATTTGCAACCACCACCATCCCCTCACTCCCCTCTACCTCAATGTCCCTTACTCCGCAAACACAACCTCCGCATGCTCAATCAACAACTGCATCAACTTACTCTTTCCCTGCATATCCGTAATCTCCCTAACCCCCGTCCGGTCCCTCATCAACGTCGGGCTAAACACAACCGCCAGGTTCTTCGCATGCATCAAATTCGTACCCGCCATTCCCGCGACTCTACCCAGATGCAGCATGAGGTACCTCAAGCAGAGATAATGCGTCTCAGGCATGGATGTGAGGACGGAGCGGATAGCGGAGAGGCGGTCGGAATCGGAGTCGTGGGAGGAAGAAACGGCGTCGAGGAGATGGTGGTAGAGGTCGTAGGTCATGAGTGGGGTGGAGAGGTGGCGGAAGTATTGTTTCAGGACGCTGGTGACGCCGCAAATGTCCCCGGCTTCGGAGAGGTCAACTTCGCCGGCTTGGGCAGAGGCGGCTTCGAACATCTCTTGGATTGTTCGCATTTGGCTGGCGCCTCCCGACTTTCGGTAGATTCCTTCGAAGTCCATACCGCGTTTTTCGACTTCGTCGATACAGCAGGTGACAATATGCGGAATCGGCCGGCCTTCGAGCTCGGCTTGTTTGCCCAGATCACCGCCGAATAATGTATCCGATTTCTGCTCGGACTCACCCACACTCGCACCGTCATGTTCGGGGATGCCACTGCCCATACAGCTCACCGCAATATCCGGCAGACACTTCGTATGACACTGGAATCCACACGCAACACACCGCAACTCCGATCCACGAAGCTTGTCAGAGCAATGATCACACTTTGCCGAGCGAGCGAACTTGCTAGGCTGAAAGGAGTGCGATTTCGCCATCGCACTGAGGTTGTTCATGGTGATGCTGCGAGGGAGGTTCATGATATTCAACCCGTTCGGTGCTGACTGGGACATCGTCATACCGGTCCCACCCGCAGGCATCCCAGAGTTCTCCGAAGCCCAGAACTTGTTGAAACCCTTTACCGCACCCTTCGCACCCTTCTTCCAGTTGAACTTCTTGGGAGGCGGTGTAAACTCCTGATTATGTGGATCCACAACCGTAGCGGGTTCCATCACGACTTCGCCCTCGTCCAAGGTTCCCGCAGTCGTGAGCTTCCTATCCGCCACTACAACCGCAGGGTCACTCGTAAGAATCGTACTGATCGTCTGCGTCGTCTCAGACATCGGCAGCGTAGGTACAGCAGTCGCACTACTTGCCAAACTCGCCTGACTGTGGTTGTAGTTCATCTGTTTCTCCTTCTCCTTCTGACCCCTTCCAAACAACCCAAACCCTCCACTCTGTCCCGCACCGACATTGGGACTCTTCCCATGTCCGTGCGTCTTGACTTTACTCTGAATCTCCTGCATGAGCTCATTGTTCAAATCCGTAAGCTCGATATTCTTTTGGTTAAGATGATGAGCCTCTTCGATCGCTTGCGTACGCAACATCTGCAAACGAGTATTCTCATCAAACAGCTTATTGCGCTGGTTGATCAAATCCTCAATCTGCTCCTCAAAGGAAGCCTTCAGCTCGTCCAGCGAGTCCGTCAACTCCGCAATGATATTCGCTTTCATCATCTCCGCATCCGTTTCAGTACGTTCCTTCATTAACGCCCTTAACTCCGCCAACCTAATCTCTCGCTTCGCCTCGAGATCAACGAGCGTATTCCTCTTTTCTTGGATATTGACTTCGACTTCCTCTTCTGTCGGTTTCTTCCCATCCTCGAGCACTTTACTCTCCAGCTCTACAATCCTCTGACTCGAGTTCCTCAACTCCCTTCTCAATGCTTTCTTCTCATCATCTTCCTCCGCAACCTCATCCAACCTGGGACTGCTCGTAATCGACGCCCTCCTCCCCCATCCTCCCGCCGCCTTGGGACTCCTACTCGATTCGCGTCCAAGTTTAACCGATTTCGTACCCGAGAGGTCGGATAGACTCCGCCCATGCTTCAGGGCCTGACTCAACCGGGTGATGGTGGTGGTCGACGTCCCACTCTCATGCTTCGCCATCAACTTCGCGACATCATCATCCATACTCAACGCCCCAATCTCCGGCAAATCAACAAACGACTCCTGTACGCTCAATACCGACGTACTCGAACTCTTCCTGCTCGCCTCCAACCTCGGTTTGCTACCCACCGACGTCGGTGACGGCGCAGCCGGAGCAACCGGAGCTGGTTGTGATAACACAGATCCATACGAACTCTTCCTCGACGGCGCAAAGACCGAAGCAGCAGCACTCCCAACATCACTCGGCGCCCCCTGTCCCTGGCTCACCACCCCCAAACTCGACTGACTCGCATTAAACGCTCCGTAATTCGGTTCCGAGAACTGGGGTGCATTATTGCCGTTATCGCCAGCCGCAACGATCTTGCCACCGCTCACCGTAGCGAACCTCGCCGACGAAGGAGTAGGCGGTAATGGCGGAACCGGCGAAGAGCCACCAATCGTCTGCATACTCGGACTCGGCACAAGCGGGCTAGCACTCGCCTGTCTCGGCATCCCTCTCGGACTCTCAGGGATCGCGGTATTATCCTGCCCCAAGTTCCCCAAATCCTGTAAAGTCGTAGTCCTCTTCAACCCACTGAACCCACCGAAGCCCTTCAACGACTTTCGCCGACTCGAGGGCGGAGAATGCTTCTCACCCTCATTGTTGGGTAGCGCGAGTTGATCGTCGGGTAACGAGTTCTTCCTCACCAAACTCAGTTTCCGACTCAAGAACCCACCCTTCTTTTCCGGTAGCGCACTCGTCTTTCCCAACCCACTAGGCGCCCTAAACGGTAACGAGCTCATACTGACCCCGGGCGTACCGTTGTTGGCGTTGGCGTTGTCGTACTGTTCTTCCATCTGCCGTAATTCGGCCGGTCTTCCCTGCTTCGGGGACCACGTATTGAATTGTCCACCTCCACCCATACCACCCATCCCCAACCCCGTCGCGATGGTATTACTTGTCTTCATCGGCTTCTCATCAAACATGATCGGGATAAAATCACTCGTCCCATTCCTATTCGCAGCAGCCGCCGCAGCAGCTTCACTAGGCGTAGGCGCCCTCCTCGTTGGGGAAGGCGGCGGCATAAAAGCCGACAACGCATCCATATCCGCCGTAAACAACCTCGACTGTCGTTTCGTCGCTTTACTCACCTCCGTCGGCGGCGGCGCAAGCGTAACCTCCGCATTCGCCGGGCTAGGTGTGCGGATATCGCTCAACCCCGGCGAAGACATAGGCGGAATGGGACTCCGAGCGCGAGCGATCTCGCTTAATTGCATCGTCGACTGGCTTGAGGCGAGATGGGGGGGGATTTCCGGCAGTGTCTTATCGCGTGGTAGACCAGATGCTCGAGTCCCGTCTTTATCCCTCGTCCGATGTTTCCGCGACCGCGCCATTCGCTCGTTATGACACGAAATACAATAAATCCCACTACTTGTCTTCGCAAAAACCAAATCCTCGATCTTGCTCTTACACAGCCGACACCTAAAACACTCCGAATGGTAGGATTCGTCACCAGTCATGATGGCGAGGTCATCGATACGTTTGTTGCAGGCACGGCAGTTGTATGAGCAGTTTTCGCAGATGGGGGAGCCGTCGGCGAGGAGGAGGAGGTTGGAGTCGTGGTCGACGAGGGAGTTGCATTTTGCGCAGCGGAAGCATTCAACGTGCCAGATGTTTTCTCCGAAAGCGACAACGGAGCCTTCTTCGATGACCTGTACGCAAACTATTAGCATACGAACCAAGATGATGACCTCCATGTAGAGTTGCGTACCCCTCTACACCCATGACAACAAGGATCCTGACTCGCTTGTGTCCCATCCTCACTCGTCGCAATGGACCCACTGCCTGCACTCCCCGGGGGCGGCGCGAGCTGAATTGAAGGCATACTCGACATCATCGTATCCTAGTTAACCGCGTGTGCAGGTTCGTGTACGTGAGTGTATGTATACGTATATGCGTATGTGTACAGCGGTACAGATGTTCGTCACCACTGCAATCGCAATCGACCGATGAGCGATATAACACCCAGTCTCCGATGTGGTGGAGCACCTGTTGTGTCGTGTTTTGCAACTGCGCCGCGTTCAACGTGTCGTTCGTTTCGTATATTGCTGGGGGCTGCGGGTACACAGACCTCCTTCCCTTGTTCCTACTCCCAGCCGAAACACTTCTGCACACTCGACAGTATACCACCAGGATGGAAACCACGGTCAATACGCGTCCTTGATCACCGGATTAATGCTCAATTGACTCGAGCGGTCGATAAGGAGAGAACGGTAATACGGTGTTTTGGAGGAGAGCGCGTGTGTTGGGTATGGTCCCTCTCGGTGTAGCTTCCCTGCGCGTTGCATGGCTTAGCTGCCTAAAGAGCCTCGGCAAAGAAACAGCAACTGAACCAGGAATATCCTTTGCCGTCGTCGAATGGATAAGAGTCGAATGGTCATCGTCAATTGCAAGACAAGGCAGATGGTGAAAACGATATATGTCATAGCTTGCTTGTACCAAAAGTGCAGAAGATATGTAGTCCCGGCCGCTATGCCTCAAGCGAAAAACAATCGAGTCGAAAAAAGAAACTCCATGATTAACCGACCAAAGATCCCGTCCATCCTGCGCTGCTTTGCTCTGCTCTGCTGCATCCTCCTCCGTATTCTCATCCCTCTTCCATTTTACGTGTGTATCCCTCTTCCACATCCATCTCCTTCACTACTCATCAACGAGTGCATGCTCCCCCGCAAGTCGAAAGTCCACACCGCTCTTATAGGATTCCACTATCCTGTAACGCATTCTGCAAAATTGTCTCCTTAACCGCCGCGAACACCAACCGAATATTCCCCGTATCAGTCGCTTGCGTAAGATGTGGATACACCTTCAACCCAGCTCGATTCAGTTTCGTAAACTTGTATAGGATGAATTTAGCCGCTTTCGATGGATCTGGGCCACCTATAACGCAAAACACCGCACGGTTAGCCAATCACGCTCACTCCAAAGAAGCCCCATTACAGAGGATAGGTGATCGATGACATACCTTCATACTCGGGAAAATACTCCCCCAACGGGACCCTCCCCAACTTCCCCTTAAACAAATCCACCTTATTCAGAAACAACACAACACTCGTCCTCACAAACCACCTGGAATTAACCACACTCTCCCACAACACCAAACTTTCCTCCATCCTATTTTGCCCACTCTCTTCGAGGAGGACTTGGTCGTATTCGGAGAGTGCGACGCAGAAGATGATGGAGGTCACCGCTTCGAAGCAGTGGATCCATTTTTTGCGTTCAGAGCGCTGACCGCCGACGTCGAACATGTGGATTTGGAGGTTGCCGGAGGTAAATCGCGTTTCGAAAATACCTGTTGTTTTAGTCCTCGCTCTCAAGACATCAGACTCGGTCGGACAGTAATCGGGGCTCGATATCCGGCCTGCTGCCTCGAAGAAGTATTCGGCGGAATCCATGAGGTAGAAGGTGTGGAATAACGCTGGATCCTCGACCATTCGTTTCGTCGCGGGATACGCCCATATCTTCTCGCACGCCCTCACGATGCTCGCGTCCAACACGCTCTTGTAGTCTTCGTTAACCATTGCTCCATCAATCTTCGCGGATGCCTCCGCTAGGTCAAGAGGGAGGGGTGCGGGTAGTAATTCATTCTCCTGTAACGCAGCAATCAACGTCCTTGCGCTATCAAGCAAATTCCGATAAATCTGCGGCCGATAGAAAAGTAGCTCAGTCTGCGAGAACCCATTTTGGTGGATAATCTTCATTTGTTTGACGATTGTGCTCTTTCCTGATTCCCCGGATCCGAGGAGTAGGATTTTACACTCCTTTCGTAGTTTCCGCGCATCTTCTTCGAGTTGTTTGTCTATCCGGGTTGTTTTTAGACGGGCGGATCTGTCGTTTTGTAAGTCTCCGGTTCCGGCTTCTGAGGAGAAGCAGGAGCCCATTTTGAGTTTCTCTCTGTCTTTCTCCTGTCAATCAGAGAAACGAAACGAAATTCGCCTTGGTGGAGACCGTGTGAAGGCTTGGTTGGGGGAGTTCGGCGATGTTGTACGTACGACGTCAAGGGGCGTACTGTGTGTCTCACGAAAGGAGTAGGTGGTACCGAATGACCCTCCAGCGACAGCGGCACAAAGAACTTAAGCGTCGAAGACACGAAGCAGCCGTTGTACGACCTTGCTCTTAGAGATTGAAGCGCACCCAACACACCAGTTATTCCTCGCGCTCGAAGTGTGTTGCCGCTCGAGGGTGCTGTCGTACGTAATTGACGCGTTCCTTCAAGAATCCGGTGCGTCGCTCTCTCAACACACCCCTTCTTTCGAACTATCTCTGTCTTGAGGAATGACCGAGCTTCGTAACTCTACCCTCTCCTTTGATGGTCCGTGCGCTCGACAGGCTGGTTATGGCAATTAGGGCGCCTGGTTGCCGAGTCCCGTCCCGTCCTCACGTGAGAGCGAGAGCGCGCGCAACCCAAATGCGCATTAATTGAATGTTATTTAATACGTCAGGTTATGTCATCACGTGCATGCTCACCACAGCAACTATCGGCGAGGCTGTTGCCCAGAGAACAATCAAGCTCCAGACAACAACACCAGAAACTGAGGGCAAGAACATCGCGACCATAGCATTCAGCCCGTTTCCTCGGTCGTTCATAATCATATAGGACCTATTCAACTCTTCAATTCCCTCATCAATCCTTTTGAGCGCCGATCAACCATGGAATACTTCCAAGAACCAAAATCCCTGGACCAGCACCAAGTCGCACAAGCAATCCACCTCGCCCAACAACAACGACATACCCCCCACCCGCACCACCAACAATTCCCAATTGATCCAACATTACAACATGAATACGCTTCGTACGCTGCGTCGATGGAGGGAGCCGGGGAGGGGGGACACGAGCAGCAGGGCCCGTTTGGGGATGAGGTGAATGTGAATGTGTTTCAGGATGTTACGCCATTACAACAGGCTGCGGTGTCGTTACAGCAGCATCACCAAGCGTCACCGCAGATCGGGCAAGATCAACCACCAGTCCAAGTCCAAACGCAACCACCTCTCTCCGCCGCTTCCACCACCGGAACAGCACATGGCACCCCCGTCCCACCCCCAGCACAACTCCAAGCCTCACTAATATCCGCGCCCGCGCCCACACCCGATATGACGAGTGTCGACGTCGACACCCTCGAACTTCGCCGCATAGCCCAAGACTCCCTCTCCCAACCCCTCTCCTCCCTCGCCGAATCCGTCCGTCTAACAACCCACACCCCAACCTCCGAACGCCACCGCCAGATCTTCGGAATGTCATACCTCCTCCGCACATGCGACCCCGCACCCCCCGAAATCGCGGTGCCGAGGAATAGGATATATGCACGCTATGTAGCGGTGTGTGCGGGGGAACGTATGAAACCGTTGAATCCGGCGAGTTTTGGTAAGTTGGTGAGGGTTGTGTTTAGGGGGATTAAGACGAGGAGGTTGGGGGTTAGGGGACAGAGTAAGTATCATTATTGTGGGATTAGGTTGAGGGGGGAGGATGACGTCCCACGGTCTGAGGATGATGATGATGAGGGGATGGAGAGGAGAGGAGGACAGATGATCGAGATTGGTGAGGGAGGGGATATGGATGTTGCGAATGGGCAGTTTTTGGGGTATCATGATTATTATCTGCATTTCCCACCTGTTGCTGGGTCGGGGAAGGCGGCGGCGAAGGAGGAGCAGCCTGCGACGGGGTCACTGACCACCGCTCCAGACGGCGGACTGCCATCATCTTCATCACGGTTCACACTACCACAGATCCAATCTTACCTCCCAACCGAAGGCCACGATCCAGACCTCGTTGGGATATTGGTGGGGCTATATAGCGCACACTGCTCTCAACTCATCGAATCCGTTCGCTTCATGCGGCTCAAACAGTTTCTGACGAGTATGGCGGGCTTCCAGTCTGGACTGACCATGCCCGTTCAACGACTTTTGTGTGGAAGTGAAGGGTTGAGACGATGGGTGAGTAGAGCGGATTTGGGGATGTATAAGGAGATCGTCAGATTACTTGCGCCATTAGCACTACAAGTCGTGCCACCACCCGTGTTGGCGTCGCTGCGGGCGTTGAGCTCTACGCTCCCGGGGCATCTGAGGGCGAGTTTAGTAGCATGCTGTCCCCCCGACTTCATCGAGGCAAAAGCGAAACCAGCGGAGGCGTTCGCACGGCTTCTGGGACGGTTGTTGAGGGTGAATGATACAGCGCACGCCGCGGCACGGTTTTTGGTCAATCCGGCGGATCGGGAGTTGATGAGGGTTGATTGGGTGCGGTTGGTTGATATTAGGGGGATAGTAGAGAGGGAGGTGCCGATGTGTGGGCAGGATGCTGTGAGGAGGGTGTTGGAAGAGGAGATCCCGGCACTACTTGCGGGTGTTGATTTGAGTCTTCCGAGGGGGGCGGGTGAGGGGGGACAGTTGCAGCCAGTTCAGCAGCATACGAGTTCGGATGTGTTGGAGCATTGGGCATCGTACCTCACGCGCTTACCGAGTAGGTTTCCGAGGGTGAGTCCAAAGTTGTTTTTACTTGTGATGGGGGCGGTGATGAGTGCTGCGTTAAGGGATGTTACGGTGGGTGGTGGTGAGGGGTTTGGAGCGTGGTGGGTTGTGAGGTGTTGGGTTGATGAGTTCGTGGGGTGGATTGGGGAGAAGGGGGGATTCTTGAATTTGGAGGCGGTGGAGCATCCGGGGCCGAGGAGACGGGAGACAGTATTACAGAAGGATGCACCTGGAGAGGAAAGCATGGGGGTGAGAGAAGGTGAGGGGGAGAATGAGCATGAAGATCAAGAGGATGCCGAGATGGAAGGTGAAGGAGAGGGAGAGGATGCAGGAAATGAGAACAGAGAGATGGATAGCATTTACGCTTCAGTAACGAAGCTGGACGAGGACTTTGATGGCCAGGATACACAGGAAGCATAACCTTTGATTAAATTTAATTGGTGACTAGTTAATACCTGGATTAATGATGTAATGTGCTGGGATTCTCTGGAAGGTTCACCCGACGCGCGACCAGAACCTTAAAACACCACACCGACCCATGACCATGGAGGAACACCATTGATCTACACTTGATTCCTACTCGAATACACACGAAACAACGATGGGAAAAGACTACTATCAGATCCTCGGCGTTCAGAAGAGTGCGTCGGACGATGAGATCAAGAAAGCGTACCGGAAGCTCGCGCTGAAACACCACCCGGATCGTAACGCGAACGATGTCGAAGGCGCAAAGAAGCGGTTTCAGGAGGTTAGTGAGGCTTTTGAGGTGCTGTCTGATTCGGAGAAAAGACAAATCTATGATCAATTGGGCGAGGAAGGATTGAAGGGGGGGATTGGTGGTGGTGGTGCTGGGCCTAGCGGCGCTGGCGGGTTCCCTGGTGGAGCGGGAGGATTCCCGGGTGGGTTTGGTGCGGGAGGGTTTCCGGGTGGAACGCAGTTCAAGTTTTCTACCTCGGGCTTTCCCCCGGGTGGTGGGGGACGGGGTGGGTTCTCGCCTAGTGACCCGAATGATATCTTTGCCCATTTCATGAATGCGTTTGGAGGTGGTGGAATGGGCGGTGCATCGTTTGGTGGAATGGGCATGGATGATGATATCCCCATGGGCGGAACCGAGTTTTTCACCAATGGTGGTGCACCACGAGGACGTCGACCAGGCAGCATACCGGAAGAGAAGGAGGTCATTACCAAGCCTTTTGCAGTTTCTCTGGAGGATATCTTCAAGGGCGCAACTAAGCGTCTGAAGATCACGAGAAGAAAGGGTGGAGTACCAACTGAGAAAATCCTCGAAATCAAAGTCAAGCCAGGCTGGAAACCCGGCACCAAAATCACCTTCCCAAACGAGGGCGACGACCTACCCAACGGCACCGCCCAAGACATCCAATTCGTTCTCGAAGAAAAGCCACACGCACGATTTACTCGTTCCGCCGACGACCTCCGTCTTGAAGTCGAACTCCCTCTCGTCGAGGCACTAACCGGATACTCTCGTGACGTCGAAACAATCGAGGGAAAGAAGCTCCGGGTACAAGGTACACAACCCGTCCAGCCCGGACAAGAAGTCAGGTTCCCGGGCCATGGCATGCCGATTAGCAAGAAGCCGGGGGAGAGGGGTGACCTGGTTGTTGTGTTTAAGGTGAAGATGCCGAGTACGTTGACGCCGGAGAAGAGGGCGGCGTTGAAGGATTTGTTGAAGAACTAAGGGATGGGGGATGGAGTCGAATGAATGAGTACGAAGATCAGTATGAGTATTGGGAGGGCGTTTTATGGGTTTTAGAGATACCGATTATCAATGCATATGATTTACGCTGGCGTACATTCTGTCCCGCATGTAACGAACGTAGTCTAACATTGAATGGAACAGAGGTAAGGGGTAGTCACAATTAGAAAATAAGCGTTTTCTGTATACTTACCGTTTAAACGGGATAAAAGGCCTTGGTTTTGGCTAACCCACCGTTTTTTCAAGTTCCCATTTTCGCATATAATCAGCGATTTCTCAGACAGGGACCTGACATTAGACCATGGCAAACCTACATTAAGCTAGGGAGGGTCGACATTAGGCTAAGGCATGTGCAGCACCACTACGCCAGCATACGAGGCATTCGAGACTCCCTACCATTGCTACCCAACACGATTGAAGGTTGCAGCATACACTCAGCTTTTGCTTGCTTTTGCTTGCTTTTGCCTGGTTGCATCGTATCCTTCTGGAACTGGTAAGTTGACGGCATTCTTGCCCTTCATGCATGACTGGATGCTTATGTCCGTTTTCAGTTTATGTGATATCGTCGCATACATCCCATCAGAATAATCGCCTACATCAGAGCTTTCAATAGATACCTCATACACCTGCTTAACAAGCTTCACTGGTTCAGCATATCGCTCCTAGTTGTCGAACGGGCTGGTAAGGTCTCTGGAACCACGCAAGTTGCGAAAGCCAAAAGGCGGAAAAGAACAGCCAGGCCAAGAACAACAACGCCTGTGGTGGTCAGTTTCGCTGGAATGATGAGACGTCGTTGGAGTACCTTATCGAGCTTTGGGAGCGTGACGTCGACAGACTTACGTCCAGCCGTACGGAGACCTGCAAACGGAATGATTCACGCTTCAGAGAGCTCATCGAAGCTCAACCCAACTTCAGCTGGTAGGTTATCCTCACCAAAATCAATAACCAGACGAATTTGTGGAAGGCCGCCGAGAAGCTTAGATTCAGCACGGGTAACGGTGATTTGCGTGAAGCAGAGCCTAGGCAGGTGCTTCAGAAGAAGTTCAAACGCTACTTTCCACTTGAGCCTATCCTAGGTGCACGTCATGGTCTCAGACCACTCGCTATTTCACTCGACGGAAACATCATGGTTTCGGTAGATGACGACGCAGACGATTTGCACGACGCACGATCACGCTAACACCCCGCGGTAACATTGCTCGACACGCTCCTGCCGAACCATCTTCGGTATCAACGGATACTCCGATCAACATCAACCCCACGCTTTTGCATTCCCCTGAGGATGATATGCTGCTTGGAAGGGATGCTACACAACGAGCTGAAGTTGCTGCTGCTGTTCATGCAGTCGCCCGCATTGAAAATCCTGGCCTCGATGTGAATGAACCACCGAATGTTGCTCGGGAAGATTCCGCTACCGGTCAAATCTCAATGTTGTCCATTGAGCTTATACGGTACAACACAACCCGCGAATGCACGTTTATTGCGGTCGGCACGAAGCACGGTTCGCATTCGACGTTTGTTGACATCAGAAGGCCATTTTCACAACATCTTTATACAGCCCCATCAACGCTGTCGTCACACGGTTGGTGTATAAGACTAGTGTCCCTTTACCGAGACCGAATTTAGCAGAAACATCTCCGATAGACGACGCAGTTGATGATTGTGATCCGAATTGATACAAGGCAACGGTATGGAAGATAGAATGCGACTCGCTAAAGTTGGCGACATGTGCGATTGATTCTTTTTCCTTATAAATCGTCCTTTTTTTCTAATTTTGACTACTGCTATAGTAAGAAACCACCGGACGTGACGTGACGCATTTCGAGAACGAGGAAATAGTCTGAGTGCACAAACCGCAACCGTATGCAACACTTGTGAAGTAGCACCCACAGAAAGGACAATCACACTAGCGTGCGTGCGTGTACATTCGGTCGAGTCAGTCACTCCCGTCGAAACGCCAAGGTACACACCCTGGGAAACGAACGTCCAATGTTGGCAATGACGTATGCCGGGAGACAGCCGGGTTCGGTCGTCACCATTCCGATAGAACCTGATAAGATTAGCAGGGCAGGGCCTTGGCTAAGTAACACGTGCAAAATCACGGGTCCACACCCCACCCCGCGCGCGCTCGTCCTGGGAAAGCTTGCTGGACCGTGTCTCCGGCTTCTAAGAACTCCCTAGCCGAGGCAAAATGGCGGGTTGCATATTGTGGGATGTACGGCGTATTGGTTAACTTGGGCTGTGATGCATGGAGTTCTTGGATGGTTGCGCGTTCATTGGCACACTGTCGTTGAGGTCCATGAATGATTTATGATCTGACTTGTCAATTGTTCACTCGATTCCTCATAATCATGGTCGACTTTGTACTTTACGCGAGGAATGGGAAGGGAGTTCGAGGAGACGGAGGAGGCGGACGGCGTGGAGGAGGAGGGAAGAGGAAGATGGGAATGGGGAACAGGATATGGCCGGTGGTGACAGGTCTAGATAACAGGAGTCTCATACCTCACCGATAGCAACTCGAACATGTCGTACAACGATTACAAACTTAGATGATTAACCAATCGAAGAACACCGGATAGATTGACGGCGTCACGAAGATTACTGCACAAACAGACCTTGAGGACCGTGCATTGATTGTCGATACGTTCCTCACTGCCTTTGGAGGTATGTCAATGCGTAACCAGCCTTATGATGAGTTCGCCTATCAATATTCAAGCCAATAACGTACAGACAATCGAACACAATGAATGCGTGGGACCTACGCCGATTGGATACAGTTTGGATAATAACTTATTCCGATTCGTATCTTCAACGTATAGTATACTCTTCCCTCAAAGCCCGCAATCCCATGATCTCGTATGATCCATTCACCATTCTCCATTCCGCCTCCCCTCACCATTCTCCATTCCGCCTCCCCTCACCATTCCCCCGCCTCGTCATACACACCCCCACACCACGCTCCTCCAAGGTACTCTCACACTTACATAGTAGAGAACCCAGTGGTAGTGGCCTGCGCGGTCCTCGCTCCAGTGGCAGTCGCAGCGGGCTTAGCGTTCACGACGTACTTCCTGACGTACCCGCGAAGGAAAGTGCGGTAAACATACTCAGCGCCGGAGAACTGGGGGAGGACGAGCCAGAGGAGGAAAATGGATTTGGTGAGGTAGTAGAAGGGGATGAAGTACAACTAGACAACGAGTTAGAAATTGCGACGGAGTATGGGGAGTAGAGGGGAGAGAGACGCACGATCGTCTTGGACCAGAATTCAAGGACGCTGAGTCCGCCGAAGACGACCCAGTAGGTCAACAACCTGGTGTCGTCCGCGGTTCCGGTAGATTCGATAGCCTTGACGGAGTAGAATGCGGGAAGTGCGAAACCGATGAGGTTGGCAAGGAGGGGGGAGAGGCCGGTGTTGAGGAAGAGGAGGAGGGTGTAGACGGCGGTGAGGCCGAGAGCGATATAGTTCTTCTGGACACCGAGCTGCTGCTCGAGGCGGACTGCAATGGGGTCTGAGCAATAGTTAGTAACTGTAGAGAGAGGTTTGGAGGAAGGACAGGGATCGATGCGGCTGCGACCGTGGAATTCGGGAGAGAGAAGGAAAAGAAGGGGAACGTACACTTGGAAAGCTCGCGATCCAAGATGGCGAGGTAGCGCTGAGCGTCGGCGGCGGTAGGGAGAGACATGGTTGGACGCAATTGATCTGAAGGCCTGATCCTTTTTGGTGTTTTCCTTTGCGTTGCTGCAGCTGGGATTGGAAGGGCCTCGGGAAGTTGCGAGGGAGAAGCGTCATGGGGAACTCAATAATAAAGATACATCAGGAAAAATAAGAAATAAGTCATTCAAATTTGAAAGAATCGTCTGAATGCGTGCTACCATTAAAAAGCATCAAATCCTCGGCTCATGTACCGAAAGCTCGGTTGCGGTCAGAAATCCTCGAAGTTCATCTCGACGACCGAAAAGACAAAACCAACAGGTCCACCCACCACCAATAATCAATAGTCCACGACAGACAATGTCGCCCTTTTAAGGGATTGCATATAATGACCGACGCAATAAGCACAGATCAACCAAGAGATCATCTATCTCAACCGAGGAAGAGGCGTCCCAGTAAGCCGCCTCCGGATTGGGTACCACCTCCAGAGCCTCTACCTGAGCATCTCAAGTACTCGCCATACTTTTATGCGTTGAAGGATGCTGGTTTGCCGATCGAGCGACCATTGAAGTCGGATACGTTCGCGCCGCTGTATTTTGACCTCCCGATTGATATCTGGCATATTCTCGAGGTGGAAGATTACACCCTCTCCTTCTCCGATCTTGCCCGCGAAATCGAGTCGCGGTATCCGTTGCTTGAGAATGGGTTTGAATTGTGTTGTCGTTTGGTGAGCGCTATCGAGAATCAAACTTCGAATGTTGCGAAGATGACGGCGACATTTGTGTTGTGGTGGTATTATCGAAATTGGCCGTTGGAGATGAATCCTTTCTTGGCGCACTTCATGGGGGTTTGGAGAGCGTGGATGCATGATGAGGAATCCGTCATGGAAGAGCATGTCGCCATCGTGGGGTTGGTCCTCGAAGGCCGCGCATCGATACTCAAGCGGCATTCCCCATTTCTGTTCTTGCAGTTCGAGCCGATCGGAGAAGGCGCACCCAACCCCATCTTTTCCGAGATCTACCCGCCGCTTCCAATGGTCCCAGACCACCTCATTGAAGCCCTCGTCTTGCAAAACACCATCGGAAACGAGAAATGCACCGTCGATCTCGGTCTCAATTTCGAATACGGCTCCGAAGGGGACTATTACATCACGAAGCAACGCCGAGAATGGTTAGAAAAATTGCAAAAGTGCTTGGACGAGGCGCTTGAGAGTGGGGAGTTCGAAGTCGATGATAGCGTTAAAAGGGAAGATGGGGATGATGATGATGAGGAGTATACTGACGAGGAGGGGGATGGGAGGAAGAAGGACAAGAAGAAGAAGAGGAAGAAGAAGAGAGGTGGGAAGAAGAGGTGGGGATAGGTGAAGACGTGAACGGTGCGAGCGTATCCCGCATTCCGCGGTGACGCTGTAATGCACCGGCACAAGACATCGTTCATTCAGACTCGAATGACAGAGCGTATCCCGTTCTTCAAACAACGGTGACGCTAACGAATATAAAAACAAAACAAAAGGTAAGTCCTTGCCATCATCGTCTCTTTCTCACCCCGTTGCGGTCTTGCGGATACACGAAGAAGGAAGACCTCAAAATGATGAATATTCGGATGTATACCTTTCGATCTCCGAAGTGTCATATGTGGAGAATACCGACTGCCTTCCTTCTGAACATTGAAATATTCTTTCTCCGTGTGTGTGACTGCGATGGAGGAAGATGAGGCGAGCCAGAAGTCGATGAGAGTACGGCGTTGACTCATGTTTGTTTAGAGATCAATCAGCACGCATTACGCCGACGTGCAACGAGTACGAGCTACCGGCCGAGAACCCCAGCCGATTGGGGAAAGACTATGGTATGTTAAATATCTCTTTTATGCACGACCCCGCAAGGTCCATGGCACACCATGAACCTAAAATGATGAATGTCTGGATGTTTACCTTTCGATCTCCGAAGTGTCATATGTGGAGATTCCCGACTGCCTTCCTTCTGAACCTGGGTTTCATTTGGTGTGCCTTGTTGGACTTGTGGGGTGTTGTTGGTGGAGTGCGAAAACCCCTAGAGGATATTTGACTAATGATGTCTGTTGTTAGGCATTACTGGAGGAAACGCTACCATACACGTCTTACGGTACGGAGGATGATCTATGAACGAGGCATATTCTGGAATGTGAGGGGAAGACAGCATGAGAACGTATCATTCTCGAAATTAATCTACGATAGCTTGCGAGAATACAGAAAGTCAAATGTCTGAATCGCTCATAGCCTAACGCCGTAACCATAACCCCAACCGCACATCGACATCCCTCTAACGGCTGGCTCTAAGTATACATCACCTCTTGATTCTGATCCCCCTCCTCCGGACGAACCCAACACTTGAGAGATTGTGGCGTGGGTGTGGTACGGGCTATGCGTCACTATCCTGCTCTTCCTTTACCCCCTTCTTGACCTTTACTCTCCGTGGTTTACCCCTCGGAGCCGCATGCTCAACATCTTCATCCTTCACCTCTCTTTTCACCCCCCTCTTAACCTCCCTCTCCCACCCCCTTACTAACCTGCCCCACTCCTCCTTCGCCTTAACATACCTCTCATCCAACCGCACCTGATTCCACACCCGCTTGAAGATCTCACTCGCCTCCAACTTCGTCTGATCAAGTTCGACGATCGGTATGATCGTCCCGTCTTCAGCGTACTTTCGGCCGGAGGCGTGGTTCGCGTACCGTTTGGCGCGCGTCATGCCCATCTGGATAAACTTCCTACACATATCCGCGCCCACAAAGGCTCGTTGCCACTCTACCCCTCCTCCCTCTTCCTTGTCCATCCTCTCCAAATACCCTTCGAACATGCCCTCAATCTCCCGCGCACTGCGCGTCGCAATCTCGGGGGTCCGGAAACGCCAGTGAGGGCATATCTCGCTCTTGTAGGGTTCGCATGTCAATACGCCGGTTTCGGCGCGGTGGATGCGGTAGAGGTGGGGGGTTTGGCGGTAGTTGGCTGTCGGGGAGGGGAATTTTGTTGGGTTGTCGTAGTAGGGGGGTTTGGGCATGGCGAGGACGGTGGAGATCCAGTCGTAGTAGGGGGCTAAGAGTGCAGAGGAGGGGGACGGGGCTTCTTCGCGTACGCAGTGTAACGTAGACACGCGATGACATCACCGACGGCCTGCGCCACAGCCCACCGCACACACGTCACTGGCTGATCAGGCTTCACCAGCCACACCCCCGCCGCTGTACTTAACATCCGATCGTCCACTTGTCCTAACTCCCTAACCCTCCTCTGTTCATCTCCTTCAACGACTCGCAATGGCATCCTACGCAGACATGGCTAAGCGCGGTCCCGAGCAGTAAGCTCTCCCTTCCCTCTCTTGACCGGGATGTATGCTAACCATCCCTCAGAACCCCCGAAGAAAAAATGGCGAACCCCGTCCCAGAAGTCATCGCCGAAGACGTCCCAGAAACCACATCCACAATCGACGTCGACTCCGGCTCCGTCACCGTTGTCCCCCACGACTTCCTCACCCAAGAAATCCAGACCAACACACAATCCGAAGCCCGCGAAATCGCTGCCCGTCAAGACCGCATGGCTGAAGAGGCAAAGAAGGAACAAGAGGAGGCGATTAAGGCCGCGGCTGAGAGGGCGAGGGTGGAGGCGGAGGAGATGAAAGCGCATGCGAAGGCTGCTGCGGAGAATGTCGAGGAGAAAGCGCAGGAGGTAAAGCACAAGATCGGAGAGGTCGTGGAGGAAGGCGAAGAAAAAGCTGCAATCGGCGCCCAAAAAATCGAAAAAGCCGCCCACAACCTCACCCACGCAGCCCACGACCTCGCCTCCGACGCACGCACTACCGCATCCCGCTCCGCCGCCTCCGCCAAACGCGTTATCCACCGCGACATCGGCGAAACGAACGCAATGGTCGGACTCGTCGTCGATGCGATCGGATTGGCGTTTTTGGGGGTTACGGGGTATAAGAAGTATGCGCGTGGTGAGTTGACGTGGAAGACATTTGGGCTTGGGGTCGCGGGGGCTGTTGGGTTCTTTGCTGTGCAGGGGGTTGTGCAGACGGTGTTTAGTAAGAAGTTCCAGAGGGAGCATGTTCCGGAGGAGAAGAAGGAGTTGTGAGTGGATCATAGAGGGAGAGGGTACGATAGGATGGAACTTGAGCGTGGTTTTTGAGCGCTTGGCTTTTGAGTATTGTTTGAATAGTCTTTAATTCATGTGACAGCTGAAGCTGTATTATACCACCTACCTCTCGGGATGAGTTTACGCCTGTGCTCGAGGTAAGTCACCTCATATGGCCAATGTCAATGGTGCGTGCGTGTGAGAGACGGACATGTCAACCGCCGGTGGCCAGGCACGGGTTTTACTCCCGGACCGTGTTGCCTTTGGGTGTTGCGACCGCTGCCTCGGGACCAAGTGCTGTTTCCGACTACAAATCTGATACGGTAGTCGATGATATATCATACAGAAGAAGGTGACGATCACTCGCGATTGAGAAGTGGTAGGAGGAGGCATGCTCTACATTACTCATCATTAGGTATTAATCAATTTTCGTAACAGATTAATCAGACGTCGTACACCATCCGGACCCATAACCTGTCCTGATCCTCCGTCTCCTCCCTACATCTCCTTCCCACGCCCGTGCGGATACCTCACCATGTACTTCACGGCCACTCCTTCCCCATTTCCCTTGTACGGCATTACCATCGTGTACTGGTTAATCTTCCAACACTTCTGATCCCAGTATCCCAAACTCCTCTCGGTGACGAATTCAAAGTTGTGCGCTTCGTAAACTGAGGCATCTTGAAAGTAGACAGAGCGACGAAGATGGGCTTTACGTCGACGGCCCATGCCATCAGCGCGGCCTGTGCCATCCAACGCAGCCCAAGGCCGTAGAATTCGCTGCTAAGTCCTCTCGATTCGTCGTCGTCGTACTTAGGGTTAGGGTTAGGGTTAGGGTTAGGGTTAGGGTTAGGGTTAGGGTTAGGGTTAGGGTTAGGGTTAGGGTTAGGGTTAGGGTTAGGGTTAGGGTTAGGGTTAGGGTTAGGGTTAGGGTTAGGGT